AGTTACTTACCCGACCTATCGCTTAGAACTTACTCGTCTAACGAGCTCTAACCCCCTTATACCGTAGGTATATAATACTAGTAGACTAACTCTAGGGCTAGATATAAGATTACTTTATTACTAGATAATTAAGTAATCTAGATCGCGTTTACTATAACCGGGTTATAATTACTAATAGTAATTACGACTATATATAAATTTCCTATATATATAGAATAGACGTTTCTTATATAGGTAGTTTATATTTAACCTAAGTTACTAATCTACTAAAAGGTTAAAACCTTAGAGTAGTTACTTATCTAATCTATCGCTTAGAACTTACTTATCTAACGAGTCCTAACTCTCTTATACTATAGGTATATACTATATATTCTATTAAATAGTAGATCTTATAAGTATTCTAGTATTATATATATCTTATAGTTCTATTATCTAGTTTATATAAGTTATATATTAATAGTACTAATACGCTAGCTTAGCCTACTCTCTATAGGAAGCTTATCTAGGGAACGTCTAGCTAGGCTATAACTAGACCTATATTATTATAGTAAACTACTTTAGAGTTATATAGATTATAGCTCTAGCTTTAGCTCTAATATAAAGAGGTAATAAGTACCTATATATCTACTAGAACAGGTACTATCTTGTTGTTGCTTACGGTAGCGCTAATAAGCTATAGTCTATACTAGATTAGAACAGCTATAGTCCGTTAACGTCTCTTTATAAACACTCCAATGTCTATCAACCGTTTCCGCGTGATGTCATCCGCGACGCGAAAAAGTCTAGATCTCGCGTCGCCCAGCTTCAACCAACATCCTGCCAACGGCATCGATCAACATATTCGATGAGAGCCCTCATCCACCGGAATGTCTTGAGGCGGCGGCGGCCTTGTTATCCGTGGAAGATCTATCGTATACAGACCTCACCTTTCCACAAACATGCACCACACCAGAAGGAAGCGCGGGATCCTCGTCTCAAGGACGTCGATGAATTGATCAAAGATCAATTCGCCACTCTACGACAGGACTACCAGGTACCCAAACATCCTATCATTCTCGCCCATGGACTACTAGGATTTGATGAACTGCATCTGGCGGGCCAGAACTTGCCCGGGATCAGATACTGGTATGGCATTACGGAAGCGCTTGCTGCACGTGGGGTTGAGGTCATTACGGCGACGGTGCCGCCAAGTGGGAGTATTGAGGCGAGGGCGCAGAGGCTTGCAGAGAGTATTGAAAGGAAGGCAGGAGGTAAGGCCGTTAACATCATTGGGTGAGCCATACCGATGCCCGAGTGGTTCATGCGTGGCGCTGACTTTGATGTAGACATAGCATGGTAAGTTGAGATGTAACATGACGAATGGCATTCGACTGACCGGACTGTGTAGGGGTAGGCCACGTCCCAGTAAAAGCATCACGCCCTGACCTACTGATACTTACTGCCACACAGAGGTCTTGACTCCCGCTACATGATATCCCGCCTTAAACCTCCCAACGTGAGCGTCCGCTCCCTTACAACCATAGCTACACCCCACCATGGCTCCGCCTTCGCAGACTGGATGTTCAAGCGCATCGGCCCCATTAACATCCCCAAACTCTACCAAGCTCTCGAATTCTTCGGTCTGGAATCTGGAGCTTTTCAGCAATTGACGATGAAGTACATGGCTGATTCTTTCAACCCCCGGACACCGGACTTGGAAGGCGTGAGGTATTTCAGCTACGGTGCCACGCTTCGCCCAAGGTTTACTAGTGTTTTTCGGAAAAGTCATTCCGTCATACAAGAAGCTGAAGGACCGAACGATGGGCTTGTCAGTGTGAACAGTTCCAGATGGGGCACGTATAAGGGGACGTTGGACGATGTCAGTCATTTGGATCAGATCAACTGGACGAATAGATTGAGGTGGTATATTTGGACTCTTTCTGGGCATCGGAGGAATTTCAATGCTATCGCCTTCTATCTAGACATTGCTGGTGAGCTTCCATGATCATTACCGAGAGATGGTGGCGGTGGATGCTAATCTGGTGCCAATAGATATGCTTGCCAAGGAAGGCCTGTGAATGCTCGATAGTACGTCCGTCCGTCCTGGAACATGCGAGGCGGAATCGAGTTCACGGCCGCGGTGTGACGGCATGGGACCTTACTCTTTAGCTGGGCTACTGGTACGCGCTACCCCTGCCGCTTGCCAACGCATGACCCAGCACTCGAAAAATCAGGCCAAAACGATCAGCCACTTACAGTGCGTGGCCCATCATAATATAATAATGGGGATGCGACCTCTCTGCGGATGTGCTAAATCGTAAGTGGGGAGACATGATACCGCCACTACTTGATTGGCGGTGGAGCCGACAACATCTACCTTCGGCGGCACCTTGTACTGGTGGCGGTGACTAGCACCAGAGCCTCGAGCGCGAGAGACCTGGAGTGCGGATCGGGCCAGTCATTGTGGGGAGTGCAGGGTGCTACAGAGTGGCATTGGTGCGCAGCTTCAGCACATCCGTATATGCTGTGGATGGACGTGAGAAGCCTTCAATCGCAGACGATGGTATCATGAAATTCCCTACATCTTCTCAACTGTACAAGCTCCCAACCGCGCCATACGCATCCATCTCCTCATACCGCCCTCGTAGGCACCTCAGGATGCACATCCATAACCGCCTTGACCAAATCATCCACGACCTTCGGACCAGTCTTCTGCCCTATCTTCTTGATCTCGTCTAGCTGCGCCTGAATGTCCTTCTCTGCTTGCTCTTCGGCGGCTTTGTTGCCTGATGTGTGCTGTTAGGTTGTTAGAAGCGTGCGATCTCAAGAGAGCTGCGGATGCTGAGCGGAGGCGTATACAAACCTCCTTCTCGAATGACTGAAACTCCTCGTCCTTTTGCTTGCGGTAGTCCTCGATTTCTTTCTGAGCTTCGCTACGAGCGTCCTTCACTCGCTTTGTTCGGTCTATGCCAAGATCAGAGCGTAGTCGCCTGGTGTCTGACACGAGTTGCCTCACATTCTCTCGCCTTTTGTACGATCTTCTGTGCCTCTCTTTCTGCCTGTAAGGTTTGTTAGTGCTGTGCTCCATATGTATGGCAAGGCGAGTAGGTAGTACGTACGTCGAGCAGCGTCTGAATACCGGCTGAATTTTGAGCAGCCTAGTATATGTGTTAATGACGACTCCACATGTACACTGGCATAAGAGCATACCATCGTTGCGCTGTGTGTACTGATCGAAGTAACGAACGTTGTTTGAGCCTATCAAGGGTCGCAGAAGCAAGTCGACGATGTAGTTGCAGCTTGAAGCTCGAAGCATTGACGTCGGCCAACCAGCGAGAGATCACCGAGCATTTTCCGGGCTCGTACACTGCAACCACTACTTGATGCTTCTTTTATCGCTACCATTCACTTACACATGATCAAGTCATGTCGACGAAAGCCAAAATCACCCTCGCCACCACAACCCTCAGCGCCATCGGAATCGTCGTCTTCGTGCACCAGCAGCAGAAGTCGGATAAAGCTGTATGCATTGCATCTCATCGGAACTCGGTGATCAATTACTGATATGGTCTACAGGCAATGCACCAAGGTGTCATCCGCGATATGGAGCAGCAACGAGTCAAGCGAGAACGGCTACTGGACTTCGAGATGCAGAAACAGCTGGAAGAGGAATACAGGAAGGTGCAGAATGTTAGCCAGAGCGCTGAGGGAGAAGTGAAGGCGAGATGAGATCATGGGTCGATTGTATGGCCTGTGATGATCGGACACTACTCGGAAGCCTTGTCTGCTGCAGCCTGCGAAGGACATCGAACATAGGATCCTTGATGTCCTACTTCTGTGGGTCCAGGATCATGATAAGCTCTGCTGGACGATTCCAATGGCCACAGACACACAGCCTTCAGACTGCTCCTACATGCTGGATTGTCGGCGGCCGTTCTACCGAGCTCATGTTCTCTGTCACTCTGTGCCTCGTCCGCGGTCATATCGACTGCCTGTCCTCCTGCCGCCGTGCTTCCTCTTGCACGAAATGGGCGAATGCTACCAGCACAGGTGTCGCAGCCATCTGAAACGGACGATGCAAGGGCTGAGGTCGTCAGTGCTGCATCTTGCGCCACCGTAGCAATGGTCGCTAGCCCAGTAAGGACTTGGGGAATTGCTGGGATTGACGTTGTGCTACGATCCAGACTTGTCTGCAATGTCCTCCAAACTCTGGCCTCAACGAGAGCAGGTAGAAGGCAGATGAGTTCCTGTGGCGATTGTCGAACGTTGTGGGTGGGGCATGCAAAACTGCGTCGCAATACGCGGCTGTTACGTGAGGAAGAAGAAGATGTCATTAAGGATCCATCTCCCAGATCTATGCTTCGGCCGTACTGTTTGCGGTGTACGCGGACAGACGCAAGCAGCATTTGCAGACACAGTGTTTGCGCAATGCATTCGACGGACATTTGGATCAAACTTGCAAGCGAAACGAAATATACGTACAAATAATCAGATCAGCGGTCTCATCGACAGCATGGCTTTCGTCTTGTCCATCAGACACATTCTCGTCCTGCCCACTGTTATCCTCTTGTTAATCCGTCTGATCGCTGGAAATAGAGCAAGGTTTGCTGCGCCCTGATTCGGAAATATCGTCACTCTCACCATCATCGCTCTGTGCTGCATGCAAGTCATCGTCCTCAGCGTCGGCATCATGTATATGCTGACCATCGCCCATCATCTGAGGACCGCGTTATCACTATGACGCTTACGCGCTTGTCTCATACCAAGGGGCTCCAGTGTTCCAATAGCAAACCTGTCCTCCGGATGCCACATGTCTTCCTCCGCGGTGAGAAGATCAAGTTCCTTCTTCTGAACGCACGCACGGATATCTTCGCGCAACTGAATCGCGGATGGTCACTCAGCAGGCACAAACTTGCAGCACCTTTCCACCAGATTGATCAACCAGGGTGAATAACCAAATTGTGCCCTGAGACTCTGCACAGTGGGCTGACGCTTTGCAGGATCAAGGGATCAGAAGTTGAAGCCAGCTGATTCTGGATTACAATCGGAAACCCGGTCCATTAAAGCTGATCATAGTTCTGCCGATTGACCAAATATTGCTTGCCGATAGGATCTTCTCGTCCTGGCTGAGATACCATGGAAGATCTGGCTTGACTGCCGTTGTCTCTAGAGAGCGAAAGCCTCGAGCTCCGTTCCAAGCATGAGCATCTTGTCCTCCAGAGACTTCGCGATATAGGTCCGGGTCATCGGGACCTTCGCCTGTAGTCAAGATAGCTGCACCGTAATCCCCGAGAACAGGTACCATGCGCTCCTAACTTCGCACATCATCGCCCGGCACATCGTCCTGTGGCACTGTAGTGGCGAGACCAAGATGATATTATCTGGCTTGATATCGCGATGGATGGCCTGCTGCCAGCCATCCACCTCCTGATCGAGCGATCCCTGCTCCATGATCAATGCGGCATTTGCGAGCGCTGCGAAGAGCGTCCACAAAAATGGCTCAGGTATTGACCGCTTCTCAGCCACGTGCCTCGCAAGCAGAGAAGTCCCTCCTTCTGGTATTGATTGTTTCTCAGCAGCGTATTTTGCAATCAGAGGAGACCATTCACTGTAAGGACAATGTCTGTGAAGAGTCGATACATACGGCGTTTGGCGAAGACATTGCACTTACGGATCCAAGCAAAATGACGATCGTGAGATGTCTTGCGAAGTATGCTCTGGACACCATATTCCATTGGATGCATAGTCCGTTGCTTCGGGTTCTCCACTTCCCACTTTCGTACATCGACCCACTGACTCAGGGTAAGATAGGTATCCTTGACGACAATCCTATCAGAAATTCGATCATTGTCATCCAGTCGGAACCAGATGCTAGTCGTATTCCTGCCTCTACACGCTTCCTTAGCCGCATGCCACCCGGTGCCAAAAACATTAGAGTGATCTGCCTGAAGCAGATATTCCAGGCGGCTCGTGTTGTCATCTGCTACACGATCGCTGCAATCCCAGTCGTACAGCATGTCTGGATCTGGATCTTCGACGTCTATCTGTGCGTGCAGATTGTCGCTCGCATCTTGGGCAGCGGCTACCGGGTGGTTGGCTGCACCAGGTACATGACCGACGTGAACAGGGCCTGCGCCCACTGTTGCATTTCTTGGTACGCCCAGGGCGAGTCCAGCGACGTTGACTTGTCCACCGCCTGGTGTAACGCCTTGCCTACCAGCGACCTGTCCCGCACCGCCTACACCACCAGGGCCGACACCGACGACGCCTGCCGCGATCCCTGTCCCGCCCGCTGCTGCATTTCCTACCCCGCCCACAGCATTTCCACCCATCATAGCCTGGCCAGCAGCAGCAGCACCTCCCACTTGGGCAATGAGAACTGCAGCGGGCGCGAAGACTCCCAGAGCATTGAGACGGTTCCATTCAGCGATCTTCTTCAGTGGAATCTTGAGCGCCCCCCATCTTTTTGCGATGAAAGCATGTCTCCACCGCGGATGCTCGGCATGCATATAGCGAGAGTAGTCCAACCATTGAGCTTTGGACATGATGATTGTGCCGGTCGACCTGTGTGGGTTGTCTCTGGTTGTGTGAGCCTATGACGAATAGGGTGGAAGCTCTAAGTCTTCATAACTCAACGGCAAGCTTGCTGACTTCTTTCACGGCCGGATCGCAATGCTCTTTGATATACAGACGGGCTAATGATGCGCTTCTTGTCAGGACATAGTTTGCTAAATCGTGCCGTTGTTGTGCTATAGCTTGATTGATATATCGTAATGGTCAAGCAGCAAACCCGCGCCGCACAGTGTCGCGATGTAGGTCACCAAGATGGCCATAGCAGACACGTCATCCATATGCCAAGTAGGCACAGCCATATTGACAGCGCCAGTCAAAAGATTCGCCAGCAGGAACAAAGCTAGCCCATTGCGATTGAAAGCATGCATGACCCTACTCGTAGCATCCTTGACTCTCTGCCTTTCCGTCTCCCGATCCTTAGCCTCATGAACGTTTGGAAACATCAGCCTCTGCACAAGATTGAAGAGCAGTAACTGCGCCGTGTTGAAGCAGCAGACCCAGACAATGTATGGTAGATTGGCCATGCGGCGAGAGACAGTCAAACGCGGGCCATAGTGCCACAATGCCCAGCCTGATAGAATGAACCATATACCAGTCCACTTTGCGAGGAAGATAGAGTCATCTTTAGAATTGGCCACGTAGATGATGCCCATTGGATCTGGATGAGGTTCGTTCTTCTTTGGCGCTGGCTTGGTGGCTGTCGCATTGTCGGCACCAGTCACATCATTCTGGTCTGAGCTACCGAGCACTTCTGCCAGCCATTCGTCGTCTTCATCTAGCGGATCGCCGTCTGCAGCGTTCATCTCGTCTTCTGGGCCAGAATCTCTTGCTAGAATGGTTCTGCCTGTACCCATACCAGCAAGGAAGATGGCTAGGTAACCAATGAATGAGAAGACACCTTCGCGGTTCTGTGATAGCCAGTCTCCAGGTATGCGCTCCGATAGGATGATGTAGACTTTTAGATCTGGAGTGAAGTAGAGTGCGCATTCGTAGACACATGCAATGAAGAAGGTCAAACCACCGAGCGAGGGTATACGCCTCAGGAGAGGCTGCAGTATGGCGGTGACTGGGCCAAGTAGTGCAAGTGTGAAGAAAAAGTTCCAGTGAACACCATATTCACTGACATGCTCAGCGTACTCCAAGCCTTTCACGCTCCAGAACCTGACGAAGCCGAGGGCGGCGAGTGGCAATGCATGACGAACAGCATTATTAAGACCGTTGGGTATCGAAGGTGCGCCTGATAGCTGCTCCTTGAGCTGCTGTCGAGCTGCGATCATGCCTGCTCCAAAGACGAAGGAGCCTACACCCATATCCATCAATGAAGTGCCAAAGCTCTCCGTCTTGGCAAAGCGACGTGGAAAGACTTTGAAATCGACAGCAAGAATACTGGTGCACGTGATGATCATCATCGCTCCTCGATACATGGTGATGAATGGCTTGATAGGCAGCGGATCAAGGTCGGCCGTCGAGCCTTGCTCAGCGCTAGTCGGCTTTCCATTGGCATTGACCTGGCTGGGAACCTTCGGAACCGGTGCCGAGCCAGACGTCGGCTGCAGTAAAACTGCGACAGCAGGTAAGAAGAGTAGCCCGAGGAGTATCTGAGGTCCGTTGCCATAGACAGTCGTTGCAAACAGAATCGCTCCGCAATGGAGTAAGAAATCCAGCAGTCCGGCCGAGATCGTGTACGGCTTGAAGAAGCTTTGACGTGTCTGGAAAATGGCCCATAGTAATGCTGCGACCTATGATATTATTTAGTATGCAAGCAAGCAGCCGAAGTAGCACGAGCAGAGGGAGCGTACAGGAGCAATCACGGTGACAAAGTTGATCTCCCAGATTCCGCCGCCGCCGAGGAAAGAGACGGAGGCCTCCTTCTCGGCCTTGTACTCTGGCGTCATAATGATAGAATGTCGGGAAGAAGGGTTGTTGTGGTCATGCCAGCTTGTAGTCTGGCAGTCGAAGAAATAGGATGCACGAATATTCTAGAGTTGCGGTTCGGGGCGCTGGCGTTGTGGGCCCGGAAATTGAGATGGAGCATTGCTTGTGCATGTCGTCGCACCGACTTTCGACCTCACGCCGACGCGCCCTGGCGACACCACATATTGTGCAATGCGGCTTGAATGCTGCTTTTCCGTTGGATCGACGTACAATCGACCAGAAGCCGTATGGATGCGTCGAGCAAGATGCCTGATCTCTGCCGCGAAAAGGGCACTGCGCCTTCCTATACTCCTGCCCACCACAATCGAGGAGGCCAATGACAGGTCGATAGTAACGGAGCTGTTCTTTTTGCATGTTTCGCCACGATGTATGATGGCCTCCAGTGTGGATACAGTTCACTTGCTCTATAACGAGCGAATGAAATAAAGAATATGATCAAGCTAACGTACACGGCCGCTCCTTCTCATACGCGTACCTGCCTGTTTGAACCAGCAGTCGGAAGCTAGCTCGCACGGCCCAGACCGTGGAGCAATGCACAGAATCCCTAGCGTTCTGTCACACTTGATCTTGACCTACAAACAGAGAGCTCATCGAATTATTCTTCGGCTTCCATACGCTGCTGTCTCGGATCCATCTTGCGCCACTGCCGAACGTGAGTTACCAGACTGACCAACCCGCAACCGGTGCTATCCTCCATACGAACGCCAGTCCTCGAGGCCATCAGCACCCACGTATTCTTGACCGTCTGCACATGACAGCTCCATTCATCCACCTCGAGTCCTTTGCATCAGGAACGTGCACAGTTTCCTGCACATGCCGATCAGTCGCACCGCAGCCACGAGGAACGACCACAATGCCGCTTGCTGAACGCGACATCAATACACAACGCGAGCCCCGCCTCAAACGTCACTCTACCAAAGCAAATCTAAGCTACTCACGACTCAAGGATGAGAACTCGCCTCTAACATCACCCACTAGCAAAGCATCACCGCCTTCTAGTCCACTGCTTGCACCTACCAAGGCTTCCGCCGCCAAGGCCAGCCCTCCTTCTTCACGTGCAATAGATCAGACTGTCACTCCGAGTCGACTTCCGCGGCGAATGGACTCGAGTGTAGCATCTCCCAGAAGCACGGCCACATCTACGAGATCCAGTGTCCTGAGTTCTCGTCATTCGACACCGACGGCCATGACTGACAAGCCACTCCCAGCTCCACCAGTTGCTCAGATCCGCTCCGCGATGAGTCCAGCTAGGAATAGCCGGACGTTGGTAGATGCGAGTGACAAGTCCATGCGCATGCGTGGCTATACTCCTTTGACTCCAAAAGCCAGTCTGGCAACTCCAGTTGCGGAATCTCCGTCCCTGGTCGTGCCTTCTGCCGAGATTGACGATTTTTCAACTCACCCTGGGCAGACTGATACTATCTTCTCGCCCGATAGATGGGCCAACGACGTGTCTAACGGTCTCATCGACACGGCTCTCTCTGCTATCGGTTTGGCTAGTCCTGGCACAGTGCCATCTCTTGAGTCTTCATACTCGTCACTCAACAGCATTGGCACTAATGACAAAGTTGGCCACGGTACGACAGAAGCAGCGGTCGAACATGATTTGCTTCACGACTATGAAGAGCCGTCCCATGAGGTGCAGATGGCGGAAGAATTGCTCTCCAACAGCATGTACTGTTCTACTACTTCGACCAAATCCAGAGGAGTTCTGGAGAGTGCGGCCGCTCCACCAAACCATCCAGTCCCGGGCTTTGCCGACCTCATGGCCACGGTGCCCAGTGCACGATCCGAGTCCCGCCCACATTCGCCCTCGCCCGCAAGCTTCTCCCGTCCTCGTCCTAGCAGTATCTCTCACGGAAGAGTCACTCCATCGCCAATGACACCAAGCATCGCGACCTCCAGAAGTGTCAGGGCTCAAAAGACTGCATCTCGTATCCCCATTCCAGAGCCGACGAAAGGTATGCTGGTGGACGTGAAGCCTCGGGGCAGCACATACACTACCACACCATCAATCAAATCCACTCACAAATCAACGAAAGCTCCCTCGTTCGGGACTCGTCGCCTCGATGCCGCTGGTGCGCTGGAGAAGTTGGATCAGGGCATAAAGAGAAGGCAGCTCTCCCAGCTGAAGCGCACAATTGGTTTCGACAGCAGTACCACCACGCTGTCGACGATAGACAAAAATTATGGGCGAAGCGCTGGCTCTATGACGGACCGTAGTCATGCCAGCACGCCAGACAATACCTTCGCCACAAGCTCTTCAGACGACGAAGAGGTTGTTACACCATCGTGGCCACACGGCACATTCTATGACAGCGATGACCCTCACAGGTACGGCAACACTTCGCCAGCGACTTTCTACCGCCATCCTGCGGCATCCCTGTTCTACAATGCTGCCCCGTCGTTCAGCAAAGGCCCACCTTCGACCAGTCCCTACACAGTTCCGCTGCAGACAATACCCAGTCAAGCAGCTTTACCGCTCTACGCAGATCTTGAGGAGCCTCTGGATATGCCTCCTATCACGTCCAACAGCACGAGTCTGCGCGATCGACTGTCCATATCGCAAGAAGGCCGACCGAATGAATACCCCAAGCAGAGCTGGAGGCAGCAACCGCTTTTGACCAATTACTCATTTATGGACCTGCTTGATGAGTACATTGATCAGGACGGGCGCATCAGCACGCAGGGTTTCGCGCCCTTCGATAAGGAGGCGAAAAGGCATATCACGCGGACTCTGTCTATTTTAGAAGGGAATGGCGCACCATTCCAGAACAAGGTGGATGAGGAGACGATTCAGGAGAGGTTCGGTCATATCAAGTGCGGCATGGATAGAGCGACCAAGGAGGCCTCATTCATGAAAAATGCTGCAGCTGCTCAGAAGTTCCTAGCTCAAGACGCTGTTGTGCTTGACGACGCAGACATGCATGGGTTATTACCAGAAGCCAAGGACCATAAGACTGATATTATCGACAACATCAAGCCACAGCTACCACAAATCGAGCCCATTGCTAGCAAGTGGTCGGACAGTACGGCATCTTTGCAGGCCATTCTCCCAGATCTCGTAGATGTCTCGCCACATCAGACGAATACTATGGCCATCGACAATGCCATCCCGCAGGTCCAACGAAAGGCGGTTCCGGAGCCTCCTCGGTCGATTGGCTATCCATCGCGTGTTGAGTCGAAGAAGGTGATGGCACTGATCGGACCTGGTAGTGCTGATCTCTCGCCACTGGGTGGTCCGCCTCGTCGTCTGTCCTCGCCGTCCCTTGATAAGCGCAAGCCTGGATCTGTAAAGACAGCACGCGAGACACTCCCAGGTCGTGGCTTTAGTCGTCCCACCGCTTCTGCTGAGGCGAAGAAGGCACCGAAGATGCCAACGCCGAACACGAAGCAGTTCAACATCGTTGGTGGTTCTCACCGTGGTCGCAACCCATCTGCTGAGAAGGGTAGGTCTCAGTCTGAGGGCAACAACGTGCAAAAGGTTAGCAATACAATACATTTGTCGACACACGACCAGCTACTGACAAGATTGCAGGCCAAGAGGGCCCGCTCGAGAAGCCGACTCGTCATCGACAAGCTTCAGGGCATGTTCTCACACAGGCGTGACAAGAGAGCCTCCGACATGCCTCAAATTCCTGCTGTTGCTGAAGACGGTGCCTCGAAGAAAGAAGAGCAGAGTACCGTCCGTACTGTCGCCATCAGCAAGCCACCGAAGCTGGCGGGGAGTCCCACTATGGATCCTCGGACTCCCTCGGTACATCACACCCCACAACGCAAAGACAGTAAATCCACGTCTGCCGCCACACCACCTTCTACCCTCGACAAGTCCACGTCTGCACACGACGACCGCTCCTCGGTCTTGAGCTGGGGCGAGAAGCTTCGTGCCAAAGCAGCTCGAGAATCCGACCCAGTCCGTAAACTTCGCCTCCTCGAGTTCGTGCAGGTCTTGCGTGAGTCGCACGAGAACGCACGCAATGCGCAGATCAGCTGTCTAGCTGCTCGTGAAGCTGCTGTACAGGCTAGTGCTTCCTATGCGCTTGTCCAGCAGGGCACGACGATGCTTCAGCGTCTTGCTGCTCAAATCGGTGGACCAGATGCATGAACGCACCCGACGTCTCCGAGCCCATTCGCAGGAGAGGGTTCTTGATCGCAGGAAATTCCTTGCGATGAAGATGTTTCACATTTCTTGTCGTTGGAATATTATACAGACAGGGCATAAGGAGCAATCTACTCACCTGTGGTGGCCTGAAGCATACGGTAGTCGAGTATGGGAGGGAAGAAGGCTGATGGTCGTTCTTGCTGTAAGGTATGTATTGCTCGATGCTCTTATGCTTCAGTGATATAGGAATAGTGCGAGACCCACCGTAATGTAATCAAGGATCCCGCAGCATTCTTCTATGCCAAATGTTTCATGGTACATGTGCAGCATCATTTGTACATCACGTCACTGACCAGCACAATCTCAGCACGCTCTTGTAGCTCAAAGCGCTCACACGGCTCTCAAATTAAAGCATTATACTCTCCTCCATATAGCAAGAGAGTCGACAGCTATCACTGACCGGAGCATCCCATCCAAATCGTCCTGCAAAGTCGCCCGCGATGCGATCTCCATGACTAGACGCAGCACTGCCGTTTTCGTGTCATCTAGAGGCCAAACGATCTTTGGTAACTCTTTGAGATAGACCATGGCGGCCCAATTGAGCAAGTTTTGCCAGTTGTTCTGTCCGACGAGCTTGACAACGACAATGTCTTTCCAGATAGCTTGATCCCTACCAGCGTTCTTCTTTGCACTGACTTCCTGTAGATGAGCCCAGAAATCTCGATACAACGTAGCGTCGCAACCAACTACTTGAATCGTGAAGTGGTATCCCTCATAACAGATCGGCAGCGCTCCGTGGCGGATCTGGCGGCGCGTGAATAGGAGTGACGGTTGCTTCAGCACTCTCGTAATGACAACAGGAGCGTCTTCCATCACTTGGTATCCATAGATCATGGCCCTCAGCTCCAGTGGCAGTCGCAATACTCGGCTCTCTGTCTTGGCATTGGCCTTAGAAGTCGTTGGTGTCAGCGACTGTCCTTGGCTCATTCTACGATGTGAGACACTCACTTCTGTCAATCCCTGTGCCTTCTCTGACAGAGCTTCGTCTTCGCAATCTATAGATCCCACCGATTCGTGGTCGTCGGCCATTGGTTATGGTCGCTGAATTTGGAAGACGTGTGTGCTCGATGTCAGCACGAAGCAATCAAGCTGAGGCGGAAAATTGATGATTCACGCACGGACGATCATTTCTGGCAGGCACGAGCGATGACAGAGATCGTGAGTGAACCATGTGAATCACAGTGAGGATTAGATTTGTTCGCGTGTACTCAATAATACCCGACTCGATCCACAGTAGCCTGGGCCGTCGCTGTGTTGTGTTGTGTTGTCGCGACTGCGGTAATACCATATCTGATTCTCTCATCCTAGGCTGACTGCTTTAGCACGTCTATGCCGGCTCGAGGGTAGGTGGGCTCTGATCTCAGGATGCTGATACCTCCACCAAACTGCATGCAAGTAATCCTGCTTCCCCACCAAGGTTGGGGCGCCTTGCAGCAACGATACAACCTCCACGTACACGCTCCTTACCAGCCTCAACGAGAGTCTACACGGCTGGCCAGGTCTCTTAGCCCCTCAATCATGGTCTTGCACGCTACCCACGGCAGCCCATCCTTCGCAGCGGTCTCAGCAATGTCCATAATCGCACAGACGACTGACTCTGTGTTGTTGTCGGCGGAGTCTGCGCGGCGTGGCCCAAGGGCCTTACGCTGATATGCCCACTGTGCCCACTGTAGGACAATCTCCCAGTGAGCACCAGAGACTGTGATGGCGAGTCCTGGCCTATCTCCCGACTTGTCTACTATCTTCGTAGAACTCAGTGGAGTGCTGGAGTGTTTGAGATGCTTCTGGAAGGATCGCAGAAGCTGGGCGTCGCAGTCGGTAATGTGTATGTCGAAGTCGTTGCACTGGTACCAGACGTCGAGCGCTTCGGAGCGTATGAGCCGGCATACAGAGAGCATTGCTGGCTGCTTGAGTGCTGCTGTTATGACGATTGCTCTCCCACGCTCGATGGGGCAATACTCGTAGATTCTATTTCTCAGCTCTGGCGGTAGCTCGAGGAGTCGACTCTCGGTGCCATCCTGGGTCTTGAATATCATGTCAGTGCATCGTGTTAAAGAATCATCGTACAAATCACCTACTATAGTGTCCTCCTTGGATCCCGCCAGATCACCTAGATTCAAGCGTCCAGCCATGGTCTCTGAGCCAAGGTATTGGTGTAGCAACAACACAGTTGTGCTTGAAGATTTCAGGCTCACTGAGTGATGTAGTGAAGGGGTCGACTATAGACTGAAAGCTTACGGGCCCCGCCGAGAGCTATTGAGCTGAAGTCGCCAGGCTAGGAAGGAGCAGCACGGCGTCCAGTACGTGAAAGTGACGTTCAATCACTGCATAAGGTAGATTTGCAAGGCCTAAGAATCGTGGCTGCGACCTACACATGAATGTTGCAGTGGCGGTATGGTATCACTGCATGTATAGATTGGCAGCGTGAAGGTACGAATTCCTGAGTGCGCCCAGCGGTGAGGTTAGTGATCGTGATTTCGAATGGCGAATGGCCAGTAAATGCAAATAATGTATTCATGCTGATGTCTACCTCAGGTTACCAAGCCTTTGCAGCTACCCTCAAGCTGAAACCTTGTCTGTAGGCCAGCGTTCGTAGTTTCGTAACATGTCTTTTCACCTCGCCACGACAACGCAAAGTCATCCTCACCAGCCATCGCCGGCGACTTCCCATCCACCATCTTCACTTATGCCGAAGCACCTCCGCTCGTTGCATGCAGGCTCCTCTATTTGTCCTTCTTGGGAGTGCCGTCAGAAACGTGGAACTGATCACCCAGCCTGGCATACTCATCACTGAGACCACCGGCCTGCTTCTTCAAGACCTCAATATCACGATCCCTCTTCCTCAACTCCTCCCTCAAACCAGAGATCTCACCAGCATTACCAGCCTCGTTCAGCTTCTGCGTAGTCTTGCTGTTCCCGCCCTTCTCACCCTTGTACTGCTTGACCTCGGCCTCAAGGCGGAGGACGTCCAGGATCATGACGTAGGTGCGGTTCAGGATCAAGGAGAGAAAGAGGGTGAAGCCGCAGAGGTACATGTTGCGTTGGGAGTAGAATTTGCGGGCTTGGACTTCCATGCGTTCGCTACCTGCGACGGCGCTGTGGGATGTGTAAGTGGTTGATCTCGTTGAGATAGTGTGAGAAGACTTACGCAACTCCACCGCCCTGGTACTTGGCCTGTGCCAACTCCACCTGGACGCGGTAGACACGGTTCACCGAGTCGATGAACAGGATGAGGATGAAGATAAACGTGATCTGGCCTGTATCAGCATTTGAAACGTGTTCAAACTTCCTGTGGACTTGCTCACCTTCATGCCATATTGTAATTTGGCTATGATGGGGCTTTCCGAAATGAAGGTGAAAAGCTTGCTCTTCACGGTGAAGGGCATAGGCACAATGAGGGCCATGAAGACGGCCATCTCAAAGACCAGGAGGGCAAAGACCTGTTGATCACCATGTCAGCCATATTCATGTATAGACTTAGAGGTGTGGTGAGGCTCGACCGGAGCATAGATTAAGCTGGGCATGATTGCTGTTGTGGTGATAATATTTGCTCGTGCCGGAAGTGCAGTTGCGGTGAGGCGAGTGTGTAGAAGGTAGAGGGTGGAATGCCAGAGTAGATCAGGTACAAGTACTTACGAGAGAGTAATAGAGCGTCATATTGCCTGATTCTGGTACCGCGGATCTGCACGGGGTGGGATGGTGACGAAGTCGTTGGTGGAATTGTCCGAAGGGGAGATGGTCCAAGAAGTGCTAGGTGGTCAGATGTCGTATGGCAGGGAAGCTTTGCAGACAAGCTTGGAGGAGAATTGACAGCTGCTTGGGAGGGCAGAACAGAGGGAAACAAATTGTAGCAAACGCAAAGTGAACGTGTCTGAACCAACGCCAAGTTTCGTTCTGGCAGCTGCGGGACTGGGTACGTCACTGTGTGGCTTCGTGGCTTTGTGGCTTAAGCGCTAGAGGCGGGGCTCGAAGCTTTCACGATTTCGTCAGTAAGTTTTGACGAAGATTTGATTTATCGATTGGCTGTGAAGCTCTCTGCTTATAACCACAGGACAAGACACAACTATGGCTAATCCGCTCAGTGAAGGCGACCAGCTGCATGCTGCGGCTGCTGACGAGGACACGCAAGTAGCAAATCCTCAAGCTGAGATCTTGCCTGGAGACTCGGCAACGACAAAGGCAGAAAAGATCCAACGACATGGGACTGCAGCGGCCAATGGGGAAACCAACAGCGACAACGACGAGCGCTCGTCTAAGAGGCGAAAGCTTGGCCAGGATCCATCACTGAGTGCAGCCGAGCCAACGACGGAGCGCAGGAAAGGTGTTGCTCCGATCAAGAAAGAGTATCTCGTCGAAATATCCAAGTCAGTTGAGGAGCCTTCGTTCGACGACGATGCGGCTGAGTCATCTGGCAAGGCCAACGGGCCAGAGACGGTCGGAGGCAGAGGCCCTCGAGATGCTAAGCAGAAGGGAAAACGTGGACAGAACCATGCTCGGCAGTTCGGGAGCTCGAGAGACGAGATTGCGCTGTGCAAATCGCGAGCTGGTGTGAACGAGTTCCATCCTCAGGATTGTTCATATGGAGCAAAGTGCAAGTTCGAGCACGATATTCGGAAGTATTTGAAGGATGGCAAAAGGGAGGACCTTCAGACGTTGGGTGGCGTCTGCCCATTGTTCGAAGCCAAAGGCAACTGTCCGGCTGGTTGGCGGTGTAGGTTTGCCGGCAGTCATAGCAAGGAGGTGGAGCGTGAGGACGCCAGGAAGGAGCTAGTACTGGTCGAGAAGGACCAGGCTAAGAAGGACCCCACGGAGAATGCGGACGAGGAAGACGAGGGAGTTGGGGTTGTCAATGTTGTCCACTATACGCAGAAGATCAAATTGAGGAAGAAGCAGTGGAAGACCGACAAGGCCGACAAATATCTGGACTGGATGAACAAGGAGAACCTGGACCCTAGCAACGGCAACCCACACTCGGGAGCAGACTCTGATGTTCCTGAGGTTGATGGCGACGGCATTCCGATCGACAAGTCCCGCTTCAACGGTGCAGTCAGACTCGACAATCGCGCTCGCTACGTCGAGCCGCCGTTCAGGGCCTCAGAGAAGCGTCGCCTATACTATGGACCCGAGACACCAGTCCTCGCACCACTCACAACTCAAGGTAACCTGCCCTTTCGTCGCCTTGCCGTCTCGCTCGGAGCACAAGTGACCTGGTCAGAAATGGCCATGGGTCTACCTCTTATCCAGGGTGAGAAGGGTGAGTGGGCATTGATGAAAGCACACGAGTCCGAAGCAACGCCCCCTGCCTACTCGCCCAAGACACCTGTCCTCGACTACAACCACAGTCGTGATCTCAAATTCGGTGCTCAAATCGCAGCCAATAAGCCATGGCTGGCACTCAAGACCACAGAAGTCCTCACATCCCTTTGCCCATCACTCCGCGCCATTGATCTGAACTGCGGCTGTCCGATCGATCTCGTCTGCCGCCAAGGTGCCGGCTCAGCAATGCTAGATGCTCATACCAAACTGGAGAAGACGCTCCGGGGCATGAATGTCGTGTCTGGCGAAGTACCCATCACGGTCAAGATCCGTATGGGCACAAAGGACAAATCACCAACCGCCGAGAAGCTTTGCCAACGCTTGGTGATGGGTAGCCCCGACTCCCAAGAATCAGGGGAAGGACCTTGTGGTGTAGCAGCCATCACGCTCCATGGCCGCAGCAAGCAACAACGCTACACCCGCAGTGCAGACTGGGAATACATCTCCTCCTGCGCAGCTCTCGTCAAGAAACTCAAAACCCAACGTGCCTCCATGACCGACACAATCCGCGAACCGGATGCCCGCGACTCAGGGACCGGCTCAGATGCCCTGCCCTACTTCTGCGGCAACGGCGATATCCTCTCCCACATCGACTACAACGAACACATCGCCAACGCAGGCGTAGACAGCTGCATGATCGCCCGCGGCGCCCTGATCAAACCCTGGATCTTCGAGGAGATCGAGACGAATCAGTACCTGGATAAATCCGCTACGGAGCGGTTGGGCTACATCGAGCAGTTCTGTCGTAATGGGCTGGAGTACTGGGGTAGTGATGAGATTGGCGTCGGCACCACCAGACGATTTCTGTTGGAGTGGATGAGCTTTGCTTGTCGGTATGTGCCGGTTGGTATCCTTGAATACTTGCCGCCCAGGTTCGGAGATCGACCACCGGCGTTCAGGGGTAGGAATGAGCTTGAGACGCTGCTGAGTAGTGCGAACTATAAGGACTGGATCAAGATCAGGTATGTGCTCGTTGTTTTAGCTACGCATTGGGGAGGTGACGTGCTGACTGCGGAATGTACAGTGAGATGTTCCTTGGCCCAGCGCACAAGGACTTCCAATTCATGCCCAAGCATAAGAGTAATAGCTATGAGATTGAAGCTGAGGGGTGATCTAAGTCAAAAGGGTACGGGGGCTCGATACACTGCGGGTCCAAGGAAACGCTCCAGCTCATGGTACTGCAGCCTTAGACACGATCCTAGGTTCTCACAAACCGTCGAGTCCGGACAGACTTGTACCGAGACCGTTGCATTTAATGACATGATAGCAAGCCGAATAGCGCATTCGCATTCACGGTCTTTTGATGAAATTCACGCACGCAGCAAATGGATTGTGCCCTGATACTCGACGGTCCACTGGGTAGTCTAATTTTTAACCACGGCAAGGTCTACATGCCCCTCCATAAATAATGTGTATACCTTGACATGGCCATGAAGTCAAAAGCGCCAATTCAGCCAGCGATCGTGAGCAGTCTTGCCGGGGCCTCGTCTTCAAGGCCTTCAGTGGGCTGCAATAGCGCGAAGCACCGACCTCGCATCATGGGAGCGCCTTTTCAATGGCATAGATTCCCGAGAGACTCAAAGCCATGAGCTTCATCGACCTCAGCCACCAGGCTTGATCAATATTGTGGTTCCAGGCGTTGGCAAGGATATAGGGTGGTCAATGGTGTTGTGGCTACCCGGATGCCTTACCGAGCAGTGTGTGCCAGTGTATATCTTACTATCCGAGCTTGCAAGTAGTGCCGGAGTACCAGGTGCGTTGAGAGAATTGTGGGTGATTGTTCGGAGGCGTTGGGAGTCGTGCTTTGCCTCGAACCGCATAAATTAGCTCTCTTCTCTAGGCATACCTCGATCATGACCCCGGCTTAGCTGCGGCCACAAATGGCGTTCACCTGCATCCATCGCACTGTGCACTGGCTGCAGCTAAGCGAATGATCCTTGTCCCGCTAGTGGTGCGTGGTTACACTACAGGGCTTGACAGCTGTCAATGCAGCCTACCGAGCGCCTTATGAGCTCACTTGCCGAGTGACGCGACGTCTCTGCTGTGCAACCAATAAGTACAGCATGATGTCCCATCAACACATTTGTGCGCTCCGTAGCGCAGTAGCGCCGGCATCGCTTCCAACGGATACACGCACTGCGCTTCGAGGACCAGATTATTCTTGCAGACGCATATAGTATCGTGACCAGGCTCTGTTCAGACTAAGAACGTCCAGAAGCTGGGATATACGAATTCATCCTCGAAAATGCGTTGAACCTGCTCCAAAACAAACTTCTCAATCTTACCCATGTTCTTCAGCACCTGTCTCCCACTGTCGACCTCGCCCATCTCGGTCTCGATCTTGATATCCTCCAATAACGCACCAACCCTCCTCGGCTTCTCCACATCTTCCACTGGCGAGCCCAAAGCAGCTTCACCGCCTACCAAAGCTTCTGCATCCTCGGGTGCAAGAAAGCATAGATGCGCTTTCTTCTTAATGTATGCCAGGATGCCCACACCATCAAAAGTCATGCCTGTGATGTTGAGTTTCAACGGAATGCCAACGAAGCTTGGCATAGGATAATCCAAGAAGACTTCAGCGGTGAGCGAAAGCCGAACGTCACCATTGTAGGCCACGTGAAACACCACCTGGAGATCCTCAGGGGCTACTTCGTGATTCGCAGCGGGCGGCGTCTGCGTGCCACTGCCATCCGATACAGCCGAGGCATGCCTATGGTCGAAGTATCCACTGTGGTCCCGCGAGGTGGGCCTGGATGAAAGATCATCGGTCAGCGGAGGGGATATGGAGCTGAATGAGTCTGCGTGTTGATGTTGGACGTTGTGATACTGAGCGTTCTGCTGGAACTGGGCCCCCGCTACAGCAGCTAGCGGCGTAGTTGTACCAGACAGTCCTGCAGACAGTGGCAAGTGGAAGTAGCCCAGATTCGAAGTGCCTCCTAAGATACCGGGGGTGCCAGCTCGAGAAAAGTTCGGGCTCGCAGCTCTTCCCAGATGATCCGAGAAACCTGCGTGACGATTGTTGCGTGGCGCTCCATGGTCAGTCACCTTTTCCGCCGAATGGCTGTGAGCCTCAATTGGTAATGATTCCTCATCTTGCTCGTCTTCGTAGAAGTCTGGCAATGGATCGCCAATGTCCTTTAAGACTATGTGTGGCGAGACCGATCCGAAGTCGAATGACCGACACTTCACTGAGCGGATCAGACGCGGTAGCGGAATGTGTTGAAATCTCTCATGCACGAAGCTCCTGATGGTTTCAGCCAGTCGTGCGCCATCTGGCCCTTCAGTCAGCGTTTTCCAGTCGATGTCGACTGACATAGTGGTGGTGCATCGAGATCGAGGTGCTGTTGTGTCGGCAGTTGATGATTCAAGGCTTGGCAACGGTTGTTCTCCCACCCCCACGCTCAGATCAACTTCACTCATTCAACCTCCGCATTTTCGTTGACCTTCTTCACGTCTACTGCACACGGCTATAGACATCGCTTGGATAAATGGCGACTGTCTTGAGAGAAGTACGTCGACGTATCATGACTCAACTTCATGCAAGCTCGCCTGCGGATGCAGGGCCGTGTCATCTCATCTGCATTTGAACGAGACGCTACGCTGAATCATCGAGACTGTTGCGTAGCAGACGACGAAGACAGTTGAATTTGACCTGCTTATCACGGCGACGCGTTTGAGAGAATACGAGATCGGTTATCTCTGCTTCGATAGAGTTACAGCGATCAGCCAGTCATGAGATCCTCCATCTATCCCGAAGCCCAGACGCCGGTCGCTGGAAATACTGAGCAGATATCACCACCTTGAAGCAAGACGTCGAACGTCGCCCATGCCAGAGCCTCTGACCGTATCTGATGCACCAGACAAAGAATCTGCCCATGAGTCAGCACGGTTCATGATTTCGGTGGGATGATTGCCTACATGTTAGGGCTTTCCGCCGCAACGATAGCACTTTTGGTCATGAATCACCTTGCGCTTGGTGAGGACGTTGCACTTGGTCCTTCTCGAGACGGCACATGGCGACGTCTCGACTTTGACGTGCTTGCACAGGTACTCGTGCGTGACTTGGATGCACATGGTGGAATGCGAGTGGGCAGAGTTCCTAGAGCAGATGGGAGGGTCAGCGTGCGAACATGGGCTTCCATCGAAATTGAGGACGCTCGTTGTACCTTCGTTATGGAGGTCGGGGAGCGTGAACTGCCTTGTGCGAATAATGAGGAAGTGTTGAAGTCTGTCAGTTGCAACCACGATGGGCGTCCTTTATATCTCGGAGCTCCTGTCACCAGCGGTCAATCGTTGTAGTACAATACAATGCGCTTCGCAACACAACACAACATGAGAGGCAAGAAATCGCTGGTCTGCGAGGGGTGACAAGAGTGAGGAATGTCAATACCTGCCCTTGCGGAGCAGGGGCCCTAGGAGACTCATGACAAGTCCTTCTTCAGACCAATGTATCCATAGCACAAACAGCGGGGGGAGTAGATCCAGGGCAGTAGTTCCCGCTGTGCATCACCCTACCAAGTGCCGCCGCTAGTCTGCCACGAGGTGAGAGCGCTAGTCTGGCTGTAAGCATGACATAGTCTGCTTCGCTACTGTTGGAACAACGAACGAAGACTTCGAAGATGTAGCTTCCGGCCTTGCATTCGTCGATGGCAAGAGTAAACACTCCCACCTTCCGCGACCCCTCCACAAAGCAGCAGACAATTCTGAGGAATTGAAAGCTGGCAATTGGTCTGTGTGACGGTCTGCCGGCAAGCGGATACAGTAGACGTTTCTACACCTGCAAACTTGCAACTCAACCATCTGCTCTCGCCAAGGCCTGATAGCACCATCAGAGCGGTGAACCCTCGGTTGTTGACTTTGGTCAGGCATTGCATGTGATGACTATCGGATGCGACCGGAAATATGCTTGGGGTGCCGGCAAAGTAGCCGACACGACGATGCATGTCATCTGCATTTTAATACCAATTGTGCGCAAAATAACTGTCGCATGCCAAGACCTAAAGTTATACGGTGTATAGTGTCCTCGAGGAGCGCCTATACCTAAAATATCTAATTATCGTCTTAATAAAGCCTTAAAAAGGGTAGGGATTATAATAATAGTTCGAGTTAAAGGTATTATTACTTTTAATACGCGTTATAACGCGGCGTAAGGAGCCTTAAGTAGCTTCCTAGGTATAGGCGCTCCTCGAGGACACTATACTTTCCCTAACTTTTGGTCTTAGCATGCGACAGTCATTTTGCGCACAATTGTAGCGGTGGACAGAAATCGGAGCCGCCGCCGCTGCACGTTACACGCATATTGAAGCTATCACTGCAGCCCTTACGCGCCTAATACTGAGCACGATGCGGCTGTCAACTGGACTTGGTGGCACCATATATCTGCACCAACCCGGAGGAGACGAACGGATTTCCATCTGACATGACGGGACAGTACACTTTGCCGCCCGCGATAGGCAGCAATTTCGCTGCGTCGGTCAAGTCAAGACCGGATTGCATGTTTGACCAGTGCCTGGAGGATTGAATTCATGCACAGTAACACTTCAAGACCAATGATGATCCCCTTGAGATACTGTGGCCATTGGTAGCTCGTACGGTATTTGCATGGTCCAGCTACACGAGATACTGGCATATGATCAAAGTGGTTCTGGTCGCACTCGACTTGCAATTGGACACAGACTGTGATGGTAGTGGATCGGGAAGTTCAAAGCATATATGTCGTGTACATGTATACATGGCCCACCGTCAGGCCAAGAATGCCCAAATTATCTCCTCCTCGAGACACATATCCATGCAAGCCGCGACGCTGATCACCTTCAAAGTCATGCCCGACACGGACGTCGCAATACAAGCCGGTTCGTCTGGATGTCATAAATAGTCGTTTACTCATTATGTCTTCCCCACCAATGCAACCTTCATTCGTCCCGATCGACATGGCCGAGTCGCAGAAAGTCGCCCGAAGCTGTCGACGCGGTCGAACCATTGCTGCTGCTACTATCGGATCGCTCGGATTTCTTGACTTGCGCAATGACGTTTGTTGCTGACGACAGAACGTCGATGGTAGAAGTTGCCGCCTTATCCGTGGAAGGGGATGATGGTGGTATGGATTGCGAAGGGACCAGGCTTAAGAATGGTTTCTCCTCGCTAGAGACTGCGATGGGTTGTGTATTCGCGTTCGACATGATCGTGCATTACTCGATCTCCTGATGGTGTTGTAATGAGTCTTTACGCAGACTTCCTCTGAGTGTACCCAGTAACGTCGACAGCTACTATCGAGATGAAGCCCACGATCGAACAGAGGAAGGCCGGGTCGAAGCTGGTGTAGCTTGTGGTGTTTGCTGCTTGACAGGGCGTGGCACCGCTTTTGGTTCACTGAGCTGCCACAGCAGCTTGAGCGTCTGGTAATGCATTGTAGCTGTTAAGTCGATTGTATTGGGTCGGACTGATGGCTCACAAGGTCACACTCCCACCACGAGCTACACAAGCTGTCACTTATGTACTGACTACATACCGTGCTAGCAAAGAGCTCTGTCGGGTGTGATCGCAATGCTCACGATGTCTAGGCATTGTTGTTACTCCTTATTTTGTGACTCTGGCCTATCAGATGACTGCAACGTTCAAGGCCGCGTTGTTGTGTCGTGAAGGTGTTGGCTCCGCTCCACCAGAACATGATGCCCACGAAAAGCAACCGGAAGCATGGTTCATCATGGTGACAGTCTCAGCCAATCATGGTTGCTGCGGGAATAGCATGTGGAGCTTCACGGCTGGGGACCGCGGGAATTGGACGACGACATCCTTTCTTCAGTCTGGGGATCGTGAAATGGCAGGTCGAGGCTCAAATTTCTCGAGACGACCACGAACAGTCCGATATGTCTATCTACCGAACTTCACATCTTGCGGGCAACTTTGTGTAGAGTCTAGAAGAGATCGTTGTATCAGTTCTACCCTTCTCGCACCCTCGCCATGATTATTGGGCTTTGGATCGAGGCATGACAAGTTGGAGGAGAAAGCTATTAAGGTATATTCGGAGCTAGTGGTGACATAAATTGTACGTAAGTATGGACGGCTAGCAACGGCAAAACTGCCATTATTGTTGCTCGTGGTCGAGCAGCTGACATTAAAGCCACGCTCTCCCGAAGTAGTCTGCTGGCTGCTGCTGAACGTGTCCTGATGATGAGTAGCGCCTGATACGCTCTGTACTGAACGTTTCCGATGAATGCAGTCGCGTCGGCTCTAGATTACGCTGCTCTAGTAAGCGACCATTGTAGGGAAGCCTTGCATCTCACGGTCAAAATTCTTGTGCTGAGCAAGGGCGAATGTGTAAGCGTCCACAAAGTCCTCCACGCCCTTAGCCATCTGGAAAGCCTCCTTGAAGCTGTTTGGCTATACATGAGCAGCAGTGACGATAATTATAGCTGTCGACGACCTCCGCTGAAGTTGAGGACTCCATGCCAGGCAGCCCGCACGCATCCTTGATGAAGTCAACAGCCTCGCCAGTGGCACCAACGGCCTTGAGGTGAGCGTATGCTTCGCGCACCCAGTGGAGTGCACGACCGATCTTGCAGAGGGTTTCAACGCTAGCTGCTCCGCACAGGAATGAAGACGGAGTCGTACATGGTATGGCGCATGCCTTCGAGGTGATGGTCAGGCTTCACGCCCGTACCAGACTGTTTGCTCTCACCTGCAGCAAAGATTGGATTCGTTTTGGGCACAATGGAGAAAGGAAACGCTCCACCTGTCTCGAGTGCTGCAACCATGCCATTGTATGCGAATGCATCGGGCCATCCGCGATGGTTAGAGCCACGCGGCGAGTAGCAATGGTTGCTCCTTTGGAACCGGGCGCAATAGCCTCAGTCTGCGATAGACCCTTGGCTTTCTTGCCATGATTCTCTGGCCCGGCCTCCTGCGGGACTGGTGCACCAGCCAGATCAGCGACCTGTTGTGCCAATTCCAGGTCGATCTCCGATAGTCTCTTGGTCATGGCTTCATACACATTTCTGTATCGTTGAAGCTAAAATTGCGTTCTTGCAAAAGCGGATCATCCGGAAAGTGGATGCCAGATACGATATGACCAGTGCAGAAGGCGACTTGCTCTGCTTGGGTGAAAGACTCATCGATATTGCAGTTGAACTCCATCTCCGCGAAGTATTCGATTGGTACCAGCTCTTCTGGCCACAACTTCGTGGCGTCCAATATATCGAACTCGAACTTCTCCTCGTCTGCTCCCGGGACGACTTGCACGCCAAAGTCCTACACAATCTTGACGGCGTCTGGTACCACACTTGACACCATAGAAACACTCATACCCATATCGGGTAGGCACCGTTGTAAATGGCCTCACACAGACCTTTGCGGTGGAAGTCCGGATCTTTACCAGCTTTAACACTTCATCCCACACAAAAGAGTGGGCGCTCAATTGAGGTGTAAAGTGGAATTTCACGAAAGAACCTCTCATTCTTGCCATTCACCAAGCAGTATGTATTGAAAGCCTTATTGCATCCTGTAGGATCTAGGAATAGTACAGTCCCTTGCCTGCCACATGAACCTGCAGATCGACGGATGTAAAGGTTAGGAAAGGTCTCAGACAGGACTACCGGCTTCACAGCCATCGTTTGCTTGGATGTGTCGCTTCAGTATGGTTCGAGATAAAATCCCAGAAATTGTTGTGGGCGGATTGAGCTTGTCTTTTGGTGACATTAGCACCCATCGATAGCTCACGTCCCGCGTCAACTTGATGCTATACTTACGAAACTTCATTGTGAGGTTCTGGCTTGCCGGCATGGATGACGTCTGGGAATTCAATAGCATCTTGGATGAAAACAACCGGTATGTTGTTCCCAACCCGGATATGGTCAGTATGCATCAACGTGATAGCAGAGGTTTCGGTGAGGATGCCAGCATGAGTGTACTTCTCCATACTCTTGTTGTACCGAAGGCACCAGCACCACGGGCATGGACGACACGTTCCGGAATGCGTTCGTGGTCGAAACTCTGGATCTTGTCTCGAGCAGCGTTGTTCCTCGGGAGCATTGCACAAATCTTGTTCTCGGTGGCAATCTTGAGCCAGTCAGCTGAGGCAGTGGTTAGACACATCGAGCATTTTCTGGTATCATGATAATCTACCGGTGTTGGTCTACTTCACACCATGATCAGTCGTGATCCTGGCGTTGACATCGTGGACATTCTTCATGTCCTCCGCCACATCAGCCCCCTTCTTGCCCTCCGAGGATCCGTTCAAGGTCTCCTGGACCTTCTCGAGGCCTGTGGAGATTGTTGAGGATGCCATAGTGAGCATTCGTGATACGAGAGGAAGGAATACGTGAGCTCGAGACTCGGAGAGAGTTGCGATACTTAGCTTGAGTTGCACGTAGCTCGTTTCTGAGAACAAGGCGTGACGACGCGATCGATACCACCACTCGCTGTGATATGCCTACTTCGAGACTTCCGGCATTTTATGCGACTACAGAGGTTGCAGTCAGTATCTTTATTAGGATAGTCGGAGCAAGGCATGGAGCTGAATCGCAACATGACATCTGCTGAAGAGTAGGCATGTAGTCTTTGCAACCAATCGAAATGGTTGTGTAGGCAATTCTGTGATGCATTGGTACTGCTGAAGCTGTCATATCATGGCCGAGCTCGTGGTCGGTCAGCATATTGCATGAGCAGGCCGATTGTTCTCCGTGCAATCGTGATCGTGAAGCGAAAGTCTTTGGGTTTGCATTCAGACGTGGAAGGTGTGAGGAGAGACAATTTGCCACACCTTGTTCTTGGCGTACCTAGCAACAGGGCTGTTCGAGTGGTAGTCTCATACAAACAAATAGCGTCAGCAGTGTCGACTTCTTCGTCGACGAGAGCCGTAGTGAATCAGGAATACCAGGTAAAGGTTTTCTCAAGGAGACCGAACCATTCATGCTCCCCCGCATTTCCTTGTTGACTGAGTGAGTACCCAAGACAAGGTTGCCTGCACCCATCTCATTCAACACAAGTCCCGAGCAACCCATCTCTCATCTGCTGCTTCTGTATCTTGCACACATGGGCCTCAGGATGGACGATCTCCACGCGCCCACCGTGAGCTCCGGGCCAACCTCACAACCAACGGCAAATGGCACCAAAGAAATGTCCTTAGTAGAGCTCATGGCGAAGAAAGACAATCTTGAAGCAGAGCTCTCTGCTCTAGGCTCGGTACTAGAGTCCCACAAGGTCGACATGACTACACCTCTTCTCACACCAGATGGCTTCCCACGAGCAGATATCGATGTGGCACAGATACGGACGACGCGAGCTCAGATCATCAGGTTGAAGAATGATTATAAGGGTGTCATGGGGAAGCTTGAGGTAGCCGTACACGAACATTTTGCGGCTGGGAAGACGTTGGATGGTCAGACGATGTCGGCAAGAGTGGCTCCAGCTGTGCAGTCGAGTATGAGTGGCCCAACTTCTGGGATCGAGCCGCCGTTTGCTAGAGTCAACACAGTTGTACCAGGCAGTCCGGCAGAGCAGGCGGGTTTGAAGGCAGGTGATAAGGTTGTGCGGTTCGGCAGCGCAACATGGACGAATCATGAGAGATTAAGCAAAGTTGCCCAAGTGGTGCAGCAGAATGAGAATGTAAGTGCAGTCCCACTGCCTGCCGTCAGAAATTTACTTACAAGGCCTCTAGCGAACAATAATGGTCAAAGTACTCCGCGAGACCTCCGAGACCGCAGCATCTTCTTCTTTGGATATTCAGCTTACGCCGAGACGAAATTGGGGTGGTAGGGGTTCACTGGGCTGTCACCTGGTGCTACTGTGAAATGTGCAACGAAGATGAAGATGATTACGAGACGATGTCGGTCATAATCACCATACTCGACACAATTCCTTGACCAACTCGAAAGCCTCGCCACAATCAAGCACGCTAGAGGCTACATTACTTCTGCCAAGTGCCATAATTGGGATGCTCTGTGCGTGAAGTCACTTCCTTCCAGCAGTACCACGCTCGAAGCCGAGCAGCCCGTCTGGGAATCTCCTCAGCATACGAGAGCCACAAAGCCTCGATAACGCTCCCAAAGTTGCCAGCATGATTGAGCTGATTGTGGAGGTGGATGTGTATGAGACCAGACACCGTGGATGTGGAAATGGGAAGCATTGATAGCGCTGGCAATACGAAAAACCCCAAGGACCAGGCATGTGCTTGTGGGCCGTCGAGAGGCACGATCCAATATCTTAGGATGCCACCGCGGAATATGTAGAAGAGATTGTGATTCCTGAATGCACACATTCGCACCTGGTTGACTGCATGTCTCGTATGGTCTCGTCAGTCTCAGCAGTGCAATCGATGTGTTGGCAGCGTATATGCCGTGAATGCAGTAACGGAGTGATCGGTAGTGGCGGTGAATCTGAATCAGGCGCCAAACCCTTGTTACCTGCGCAGAGCGGGAGGAGCCGATGACCACAAAAACTGGCCTGCTCAACCCCACTCAAATACCAAACACTCCAACGAACTCACTCTCAATTCAGAACCGCAACACCCACCCTCTCTCCTACCACACGACACTTGATCGATCCCGACAAGTGCTGCACAATCTTTGAGATACCAACAATCTCTTCCGCGACAACCACAACCGTCAACAAACCACAAAAAAAACAGTCAACGGCAAGATGGCGGAGGGTCAGCAAGTTCCTACCTTCAAGCTTGTGCTGGTCGGTGATGGCGGTACTGGCAAGGTGAGTGAAGATACAAACATTGGATTGCGAGCTACAATCTTCGAGCTTCTGCCCGAAAAATAATGATATGCTAACAAGGCCTCTTATCGCAGACCACCTTCGTGAAGCGTCACTTGACGGGCGAATTCGAGAAGAAGTACATCGCCACTCTCGGTGTCGAAGTCCACCCTCTCGCCTTCTCCACCAATCTCGGCCAAATCCAATTCGACGTCTGGGACACAGCAGGGCAGGAGAAGTTCGGTGGTCTGCGTGATGGCTACTACATCAACGGCCAGTGCGGCATCATCATGTTCGACGTGACCTCCCGCATCACCTACAAGAACGTACCGAACTGGCACCGAGATCTTGTGCGGGTGTGCGAGAACATCCCGATTGTGTTGGTCGGCAACAAGGTTGATGTGAAGGAGCGTAAGGTCAAGGCTAAGACGATCACCTTCCACCGCAAGAAGAACCTGCAGTACTACGATATCTCGGCCAAGAGCAACTACAACTTCGAGAAGCCTTTCCTGTGGCTTGCGAGGAAGCTTGTCGGCAACCAGAGTCTTGTAAGTCCAGGATGAAGACTCCCGAATCTGCAATGACTAACAATGCTCGCAGGAGTTCGTTGCTGCACCAGCCCTCGCTCCTCCGGAAGTCCAGGTTGACCAGGCCGCTATGGAGGCATACCAGAAGGAGATGGCCGATGCCGCGAACATGCCACTTCCTGATGAGGAGGACCCTGACTTGTGAGCGGGTTCCTGTCGAGCGTCGCAACAAGCAGCATATCAGGCGCGAAGATACCCTGGGCCGAGCTACGAGCGCAGGAAACGAGGTGGCGAGGATGCAGAGACTCAGGAGGCTAAAACATATGGGCGAAGCTTTGAGCAGAAGGACATGACTTGAGGCTTTTTGCGTTCTTCTACACCTCCATCAGAATGATGAATGATATCGAGCAAGGGTCCAACTGTGCGTGGAGGAACATTCTGCAAAGCGATGGCGTTCACCCATCCGCCAGGCGGTTTACGGCCCGCTTTAGATAGATGACTATGTATTCACTGAAAAGTTGCTGAGCAGGCCTTCTCCTCCGCCCAATCAATATATGACACGGGCGGCATGAATATTCGACGACATCTTTCATTGCCGAATCACTCGACTATCGATGGCTCAACACTCAGGCTGGTCTTGACCATCACTTACAGCTTGAAGTGAACAAACCTCCCAGATTAGGCAGTCATGCGCATGTGACCCGAAGTGCTTGTAAATTACAAAGACTGTCGTTCCCACCGTTCCACGCTCTCGTCAAAACTTCGATACCATACCACATTTCCACCACTGGGACGAAAACACCAACACCAACACCAAGTCCATTCCCATAGCACCTCTCTGCCTCAAGCGACAACATGCAGAGAAACAAGCTGAGCGTCACATCTACTGCCTCCCACGGCAATGAGCTCGTTCACGATCAACTAATCGTTGGTCGCAACATCAACTACGCTTCCAAGCAGAATCTCAACATCTCTTTCCACCGTACCGTGCGCGTTCCAGACAATGGCGATATCAACAATCTCCCTCCAAGCCTAGGCACCTTCCCACTCTACAAGACCTCCGACTTCGACACCATCCCTACGAATATCAAGGCCAAATCCAACTTCTTCCTGCCGATGTACCAGCGCGAAGCACTATGGATCAGCTTCAGCTGCAACGCGCCTTTCGCGGTCAAGATCTACATGGGCGGCACTAATGCTGTGTCCGGCGGATCACGCCGCGAGACGGAGCCGACTCTCGAGCGGCGTGCTGTGCGCATGCAACGGGATGAGATTGTCCAGGACTACATGGTCACGCCGAATCAGTTGTGGCTGGATGGCTTTGCAGGTGCGGATGGGAAGGTGCGTCAGTTTGTTGCTATGCCGCTTGGCAAGGGCTACACTGCAGAGGCTCAGATCACAGGCGAGGAGGTTGTTGGTGGTTTGCAAATCGAGGTTACTTCGTCGAAGCCTACCTTGATCAACGCACTTCAGAGCCACATGGGATGGATACTTGGTACAGGCGATTCTCCGGTCATCGTCAAACTCATAGATAGCCAATTGCTTGTCTTGATGGTAAATAATTCGGATACAATCGATACCGTCAAGGATCTCCTCGCCACGAAGCTGGATCTCACCTCGGATCAGTAACGCCTGATCTTCGCTGGCAAACAGCTCAGGGATGGCCGTACCCTCGCTGAGTTCAACATCCAAGCATACTCGACATTGCATCTGGTGGGGAGGCTTCACGGCGGTGCTACGGTGCAGCTGGAGATGGGCATCTGGCCCGGTGGCATGATCAAGCAGGCCGTCGTCGAAGACGAGTACGACCCGGGCAGCTGGGACTCCGACAGCAGCATCCTTTTCAACGTCGACATCCTCAACTCCCAGGTCTTCAAGCACTACACCGGCATCGATCCGCCCACCACGCCCGTCACTGCAAAGCAGTATGCGGCGTACGGCATCCCGTACTACGCCATCTACGACGAGAAGCCTAGCAGGATCCATGGCGACTTCGCCAATGACAAGTCGGTCAACGACAAAGACCTTGAGGGCGCACGCACCTTAGCCAAAGCCAAAGCCATAGCTGAGGTCATGACCGACGTCAAGAATCCTATCGTCCTGCTCAACCACGTTGGTCACAACGTCGGATTCCGCACCCGCGTCGAGATGGAGAACGAGGTACGCGAGTGCTTCGACGTCTAGGTCGTCCCGCTGCTCCATGCATTCTCCTGGCGTAGTGGAGAAGAGGGTCCACGGCGCGGTATACCAGCGAGTAAGCTGGTAATACGAGGAGTGCGATCAGTAATCACTAGTGCTGGTATACTTACCTCTGGCTAGCTTCCGGCTGGCTCCAGGCTGGTTGGAGGGAGGAAGGTATGTGAAATACAGTCAGAGTGCTAGAATGAAGTATGATTCAGATCTCAAGGTGTCGCGTCGTGAAGCCGAACTGCCCTGAAACGAATCGCTTCTGTGTGACTTCCGCCATGTAGCTGAGAACCACGCCCATTCTGATGTATCGAGCACTGCCTCTGTCGAACGCTTTCCCAGTCTGTTCTGTGATTCCTTCAGAGCTGTCAGACTGATGGACGCAGGCGCCTTGCTATACCAGCCAGCAATAGCTGCCGGAGTGCAGCATCTACATCTACTGACCACTTCAAGGGCTCCAGTACGGCTGGACCTTCTTCGTCCACCCTAAACGATCTGTCATGCCCTACAAGCTCACGAGCTGATAGTCTGCCGTCGTGCATGCCATAAGGATCAGCCCCAAGACTCGTTGTAGAAGCGTAAGAAGTTGTCAGCGAAGACAGATCTCCCTAGTGCTTATCCACGGCATCAAAGCGCACACTCGGTCAGATCTGGGCATCTGCTGCAGAATGCTTCGAAAGTCGAGATGAGGCTCGCTGGCGGATTACCTCGTTTGTTCTCAGACTGCGAACAGTGTCCGCCGTCTTCACCTCGGGCTGATGTGAGAACCCCTGCCGATTCCTGAACAACCCCGCGCCAACATCATCTTGCCCCACCATTACAGCATTGAGGGCTGAGACGTTGACGAAACACAACGCGCCGCGCAGCATGCTCCGATACTACGTGCCGCTTGTAAGGAAGCGCCTGTAATCCACTAGAAGGCTTGGATAGTCTACGGACTATATATCTCTCCATTCACCTCTACCTTGTCTCCTTGTCTCTCTTTCCCGTGTCAACCCGTATTAATACAATCATACTGTAACAACCACAACCATGTCTCCCTCCAAGGTATCCACCATCGCGTGGGACTCCTTCCACAATACCGTCGACGGCAAACCAAGGGGTGGGAAGGAGAAGCACCGTGGTGTCAACCCAGCCACCGGCGAGGAGTTATGGGAGGTGCCCATTGCCAACCAGCAGGACGTCGATGATGCTGTCGTTTCAGCACAGAAGGCTTTCGAGTCGTGGAGCCAGGTGCCGATGGAGAAGAGGAAGGAGCAGATCACGAAGTTCAAGGAGCACTATCTCAACTATGTGGACGAGATGACCGATTTGCTTTGCGAAGAGACTGGCAAGCCGGTGAGTTTGCGGAGAAGATCGATCAGTGGAGGATGCATGCTAAGATGATCGCAGCGCCAAGTCGCAGAGATGGAGACCAAGGGCGTGGTCGGCTTCATCGACTTCCACTTGAGCTTGACGCTCCCCGAGGAGCGTGAGGAGGACCACGAGAAAGTCATGCTCACCCGCTACACACCTCTCGGTGTCGTCGGTGCCATTTGCCCATGGAACTTCCCAATCATCCTTTCGCTCGGCAAGGTCATCCCAGCTCTGCTCACCGGCAACACCGTCATCATCAAGCCATCGCCATACACGCCCTACACCACCCTGAAGGTCGTCGAGCTTGCTCAGGAAATCTTCGCTCCTGGTGTCGTACAGGCAGTTGGCGGTGATGACAAGCTTGGCCCCATGTTGACCACCCACGTAAGTCATAACATGCACTCGCTATGAGTCTTCACTCTCCTGACACCACCCAGCCCAACATCCAAAAAATCTCCTTCACTGGCTCCATCGCCACGGGCAAGAAAGTCATGGCCGCCGCAGCCAGCACCCTCAAGCGCGTGACGCTCGAGCTCGGCGGCAACGATGCCTCCATCGTCCTGCCCGACGTCGACATCAAGAAGGTCGCTCCCGAACTCGTCATGGGTGCCTTCCAGAACTCCGGCCAGGTCTGCGTCGCCACCAAGCGCATCTACATCCACCAGGACATCTACGACGAGATGCTGAAGGAAATGGTCGAGTTCACCAAGACCATCAAGACCGGTGCACCGGGCTCTAATGCTCTTCTCGGACCAATTCAGAACAAGATGTAAGGCCACGCAGAAGCGAATCCGTCCTCACGAAATCGAGTCCACTAACAAAAGGTCTAGGCAATACGAAAAAGTCCAAACCTTCTTCGCCGACAGCAAAGCCAAGGGCTACAAATTCGCCGTCGGCGCCCCGGAAGTCGAGCAAGGCAAAGGCTACTTCATCCAACCCACCATCATCGACAACCCCCCCAACGACTCCCGCATCATCCAAGAAGAACCCTTCGGCCCCATCGTGCCCACCCAACCCTGGACGGACGAGGAAGAAGTGATCCGCCGCGCCAACAACACGAATGCGGGGCTGGGGGCCTGTGTTTGGGGCAAAGATGTGGAGAGGGCGGAGCGGATCGGGAAGAGGTTGCAGGCTGGGAGTGTGTTTGTGAATTCGTGGGAGAAGCCGACGCCGCAGGCCATCTTCGGCGGGCACAAGGAGTCGGGGATTGGGGGCGAGTGGGGCAAGGAGGGGATCAAGGCGTATTGTAATGCGCATGTTTTGCATACTTATAAGCAGAAGTAGGAGGGAGTATCGCCCGGAATTGTGGCGGCACGATGTAGTGATTGACAACTTTTCTATGATCATCAGAATGCTTCGGAATGGTTTGCAACAATGAAGTGAGTTTTGCTTGCAGAAAGGTTTATGTATAATTGTCAAGTGGTTCAGATAATGTCGTCGCAGCAACTCATGTTTTCTCATTGTTAAAAAGGCCACTTGATAGCCGTATTCATTGTCCCGCCTGCCTGCCTGCTTCCTTCTCACCTCTTCTCCCGCCCATACTCCTGATACTGCGGCGGCGGCACCCCGCCAGCATCCGCAGCATACCCCGCCGACCCAACAGGTTTATACTGCCCCCCAGAAGGCGTATACCCACCTCCTGAAGGCCCGGCACTCTGCTTCTCATTCCCATCCCCACCCATCCTCCTCCTCTCCTCCTCAGTAACTTCCCCCCCATCCCCCCCACCCACAACAACCTGCCCCCCGCCTCTAACCTTCCCAACCACCATCCCCTTAGCCACCGACTTAATGACCGCCCGTCGACTCACCCCGGTAACGTCAATATAAACCAACCCGACATTCTTCACCCCACCCGCCAGCTGCGCCGCGATACTCCCCGCTTCGTCCCCATACCGATGTCCAACCACCGTACTCGCCGCCGCGCCGGAAGAAGTCAGGAGGTTCTTCCCCGAATACGCGATCCCGTCCGCGATGGTGGAGAAGGCAATCATACTCTTATTCAGCAAACCGGGTTTATACTGCTCCTCCGGCAATGGGTTACCCTGGGGATCGTACCCCTTCTTGCCCCTCTCCTTCTTATGCCCGGCCACGCCCGCGGCGAAATTCTGCGCAATATCCGTCAACGACCCGACGGTCTTGGCCGACATGCCGGCGGCGCCTTGGGTGAAATTGTTGATTTTGCGGACGCGGGCATGCGTCGCTTCTTTGAATTCGAGGGGTTTGGCGACGGGTTTGGTCTTTTGCGTGAAGTTGTCCGCGCCGGACGTGAGCATGTTTCCGATGTAGGAGCTGCCCGTTACGATTAACCGGGATGCCGTGGCGGAGGATTGTACAAGTCCGCTATCTTTGTACGCCGGGTGGCGGGCGAGACGGAGGTACTCTTCGCTGACGGGCCGGACTTCGATGCGTTTCCCGTCCTCGCTGACTTGGACTTCGACAGGGTCTTTGTGGCCGTGGCGGAGTTTCGGGTCCTCGAAGATCTTGGCGTCGCCGCCTAGTTCGCCGACGACGGAGCCGTCGTCTTCGTCAACTAGGACGATTTGGCCGCCGGCTTTGCCGTCCGAGGCGTATCTACCGCCTGTTGCGTAGTCGGAGGGGTTGTATCCTCCTTTCTCGCCTGGACGGCCGGGCAAGGGTGGTTTGGCGCGCTCGAGGAAGGCGGTGCATTGGGCTAGGATGGTCTCGAAGGTGTCGACGTCTTCTTGGGTTGTTCCGTAGCCTACGCGTGGGAACTCGATGCGGGTGAAGGCTCCGGAGTCGGGACCGAGATCCCAGCGGGGGATGAGGTAGCTTGTGGGGGGTTGGTGGTAGATTTGGGTGGTGGCTGGCATGGGGAGGTCGAGCTCGGGGGGAAGGTTGAGGTGGAGGTAGAAGTCCTCGTCTGGAGCGTCGTTTTGGGGTATTGTGGAGCTTAGTTCTGAGTAGGGCGAGTGGGTTGGCACCATCAATAGACTGAGCGTCTGTGGGCCGCTAGGCGTGAGCGCGTGCTCTTCGCCATCCTGGATATGGTAGGCTTTGATGCCGTTGATCGTGTAGAGCAGCTTTGGCTCGTGGTGACTTGCCATGGTGAGAGGTCACGAGGTGTGGGTGTTGTGTGTGGATGGTAGGTATGGGAGGTATGGGACAGGTCAATGGTGGGGGGTTGCTGTTGTGAGATATAGAGAAGTAGGAAAGTGCACAGCCTCACTCAATGGACGAGACAAGAAAGTAGGAGAAGAGGATTGTCCCGTATAAGCTCTTCCTACTACCGCATCGTAGCTGCAGATGCAACTTCCCATCACCAAACACCTGCTTCCTGCTTCCTGCTTCCAGACCCCAACACACCCAAGCTCTAAATCTCACTGACGAACGTGGGGCGTCGATCAACGTCATCCCTGTGGCTGTGCCGTTGCATGTGTGGCGTACTTCCATCCTTGGCGATGTCACCCCATTGTGGTCCTCGAATGTCGCCGTATGAGTGGCAATAATGGTTGTCGAAGCGAACAGAGGTGAGAGATTGGAGAGGATGAAGGAGGGCACGAAGAAAGTTTTGTGCTGCCACTCGAGGCGCTCAGACCAGCCCGTCCATAGCACGATGCGCGAAAGCGACGGGCGCCAAGGATACCATCTTTGGCCATTAACAGGCACGATGATGCTGCAAGCCCTCATTGATGATGATCGCGATCTCTCTGACTTCGCTCACCCGAACGAATAGGTGATTGCCAATACAGCTCCCGTAGTTTCTGTAATGCTCCTGGAAATCGCTACGACGGCCACAGCCCATGACTCCGAAACGTGGGAAGGATGTAAGAGGAGGCCAGAGGAAGTGAAGACACCCTTTAGTGAATGAACGAAGACTGGATGGCCGAGGAATCTAAGGTGCGACTGTAATTGTTTGAATGCGAAGGGGGTCACGCAGGTATCAAATGCCTTCACGTGTGATTGAAGCGCCACTCATTCATTTTGACGAGCACTTGCGCCGCTGAGAAGCGACCCTAGAGAACACACGAATCCTTCAATGCTTCACCCTCCCCGATTGGACGCCAACAACGTGATACTGTCCCAAACCGAAGCGCTCTCAGCAACCATGGTCGAAGGAGCTCCTCTAGCAGATTGACGACGAGACTATCCACGGAAAGTCTAAGACTGTGGAAGCTGGGGTAACCTCTCTCGCTGACCTTGACGGTCATGTACGCCAACACTGATCCCGTTCAGCCGAGTCAAAGCCTCTAATGCGGCTTCCTGCGGAACTCCGAGTGATCATCTACGAGTCCAGCCTGATCGAGAGCGACAAGATCGAAGTCACAGCAACTCTCCAGCAGCCTCCATTGCTCTGCGTATCCCGTCTGATCCGCTGGGAAACACTTGCGATATGGTATCACCGCAACAGACTCGCTGTGAGTATTAATGATTGCGACGCCAAGCTCCTGAGAGCCTTCTACTTCCCGCTGCTATGGGGACAGCACTTCTATGAAGGAGGGGGCTGCTAAATGCTGGCGCGCATCTCCATCGCTTTTCCACTGGCCACAATTGGAAGAATCTGCTACAGTGGGCCCATTGGCAGCACATGGGTGAGGTGCCAAGGCTTGTCTGGAGCAAACATGAGGCGGAGCCATTGGTGTCAATTATATGTGCGGCAATGGACGTTGTTCATAATGCGCGTGATTGGCCAAGCTGCGTTCAGTCGCTCGAAGGACTAAAGAAGGCAGTTTACTTCCTAAATCCGGAATAGGCCAAGGCGGAGTAGGGGCTTAGTTTGCGAAGTGCCGAGGGGAATAATGGATTGATTCGTGCTCTCATGCAAGCAGTCATCTCCTCGCTCGAAGGTTCTATCTCGTGTGGCCTCAAGTACCATGGAAGCTGTGAGTAGGCACCCAAGGTTTGAGAAATGCAGCGTGCAGTCTGGATACCGATTAGGCGCAGGCAAATTGATCGAAGAGATCGGTGGCTACACTGTTGAATGGAGTCTGAAGGAGGGAGGAACACCAAAGATAAGTGGATACATGAGAAAGAAGCAGATGGGTCGTGGCTGCTTTCTGGAATTTGACCCGAGTCTAGCACCTTGTCAAGTTTCAATCAGCACTTTCCGACAACCCGCTACACAACCTGTGGACTCATGGACGTGTCACTCAACCATGGATACTGCTAATACCACTCCTCTTCAGGTTAGCCGGAACAAGCTTCTCCAGGACCTTGAGCCACACAGTGTAATACAATCCAGGACTGCCATCACTAGCCCTGCTACCCGGCTCCAGCGAACCAAGGCCAACGCCGTCGTTACAACATGGAGCATTCGTTCCCCATAGCGGCCCAGCGGCCCATGCGGTCCATCCGATATCTGTGATGTGATTAGTACAATGGTGAGGTTAGACGCAGCACAGCGATAACGAAAACTCACATTCAGGGTTATCATTCATGTACTGAACCGCCTGCGTCAGGTAGTTGTCACACATAGTATTATTGTCACCACCGAACTCCGAAATGAACGCCTTGAGCTGATACTTCTTCAACCACGACGTCAAGAACGAGAGGTTAGGCGGGAAGGGCTGAGTGCAATTCTGGTGCTGGCCGCTGAAGTCGACGTCGAGGTACTCGTGGATGTCGATGGCGGTGTTGTCGATCGGGTCCTTGAGTTTGTAGAGGTAGTCTGAGCTGGGCTGGCAGGTGGCGCAGGTAGATTGGTTCCACGAGTGCCCGCCCGTGTAGCCATTGCCGGGTGCGAGGATCATTTGCTTGGCCCCGGAAGCGCGGATGCCGTTGATGGCTGCTTGGTCGTCTTGGAGGAGGAGAGCGGTGCTACTGAAGTATCAGAAAGCTGCCAAATGTGCAGATGATAAAATGAGGTGAGGAGAGGGAAAGTGCTGACCTCATATCATGCGGCTCGTTCATAATCTCAAAGATAACCCTCGGGTTGTTCCTGTATCGACCAGCCAGCTCGTTCCAGAAGTCTTCGAATTGCTTCGTGGTCGCCGCAGCCGGATCGGCAGTATTGCCAATAATCGAGCCCGTAGTCGGCTGCTGAGATGGATCATTGTATCTCATATAATTATGCGGATCCAAGATGGCATACGCGCCGGCATTCGTGATGGCCGTGATCGCGGCATTGTACTCGGAGAAGTAAGTCTCGTTGAACCTCCTTCCCAACCCATAGGCCAAGGGGCACATGCGCTCGAGCAAGAAAGCGACGCGCAAGGTGTTGATCTTGTTCTGGTTGACCCAGATCGGGACTGTGGAGGCGTTGAGGAAGGCATAGTCTACGTTGAAGCGGCCGGGGAGACCGGTTCCTTTGGTGGCGGTGGAGCTGTAGACGCCGAACTCGCCGCCAGATTCGTCGATGCCGGCGTAGTAGATTTTTGCTGCTGCTGAGGCAGCGAAGAGGAGGGTGGATGACAGAGAGGGCGCCATCTTGGAGTCTTCTCGGAGGATGAGGAGAGGTTCAGGGAGAGTACTGGGTCTTAGATGGGAGGATGATGCATTCATATATCCCTACCTTTCTCCAACCTGACGAAATGATCGCCGCAGACTCGATACTCGATCCGCAGACCTGCCTCGGTGTTGTGATCTGGAGACCTCATGACCAGTACTCGCCCAATATATGCCGTTCCAGCCATTCCAGACCTCTCAAAGAGCCAGAGTGAAGGTAGACCGTTGAAGGTAGATCATTGTGGGGTACGAGCCGCAAATACAGTGCAATTCATGCATGAGGTCCAGAAGAAAGTGACAGGCTTTCTCCGCAAAGCCGCAGCTTTAGCCGCCAAGCCTTTCCTCGTTGGAAACGGAGAGACGATCGTACCTGTACGCATCGCGGAGTGAGGGTTTCGAGATCGAAGTCTGTCTACTCTAGAGTTGAGGAGTTGCGGCGACACGGTCCGGTAGATCCTGGCTGTTTTCAACAGTAGTAGTACTTTCGACGATGAAATTGTGCTTCAGCTTCCCAGTCCTGCCTGCTACCCGCAGACCACTGTGGAGTGGCTCATGGTACATGGTGCATTGTGAGGTGCGATTGGGCCGAAGGAGCAACAAGCATCGTTGGCCCTCCAATGCCGTGCCCTGCATGAGCACGCTCAACGGGACCGCGAGGGAAGAAACGAGAGGAAGATGGAGAGGTACTGCGACCTCAGCTCAGCATTTCCAAGATGCTATAGACACTTCCAAAAACGAGTGACTTCTCGTCACATTCATGCAATGACTCCCACCGCACACCTACCGCTCGTCCTCCCCCTCCATTCCTCCAACACTCTCCCCATCCTCCGTCCCACTAGCCAAACTCAACCCACTCAAACTCGGCGTCCCATCCCCCTTCTCCTTTCCCTTCCCACCACTCCCCTTCCCAAGCTTGAGAACATGACTCCAACTCCTCACACTCCCCCTGGCCACCTCTTTACTCTCCCTCCCCTCCCTACTATCCCTCAACGACCCAATCGAAGCCCCCATCACCCCATCATCCTCCTCGTGCAATTCAGCCGAGGGCGTGGTCAAACCCCCATTCAAATTCGGACTATTCCCCGCCCAAGAAGCAGAGGAAGAAGCAGCATCAACAACCAACCTCGACTTCTCCCGCTTAAAAGTCGGCAGCGAGAACTTCCCCGAAGAACTCTTCCGTGAAATCTTCTGCATGAAACTTTCCTTCCCCAAACTCCCACTCCCAATAAGAGGACCCGGGGCCGTAACATCCAAAGCATTAGAATAACTTGACGTCCTCGCCAAATCACTCAGATGACCTCCGGCTAATTCATTGCTGTCGGCGAGAGAGGACTCGGTGGTCGTGGTCGTCATACTACGGGCGTCGGAGCGGGACTTGCGGCTTTCGGGGGGCGAGCCGGTGTCGTAGTCGATGTCGCGGTGGGTCGAAGCAGAGGTGGGAGGGATGAGACTGCTCGAGGGCACAGGAACAGTATTCGAGGCCCCGGCCACCGTAGCCGTAGAAGCCGAGCGCGCCTTATCTTTATCCTTACTCTTGATCCCAAGAAAAGACTTAAAGTCCTTCGCCGCCGGGTTCAACCTCGCGGCAGCCGCACTACTCGCGTCAGCCGCCGCCGCCGCCTCCTCCCCCTCATCTCGTAACTTCTTCTTCGGCTTAGTCCCTATAGGCGCCAACGGCGGAACCTGACGAGACGTCCCATGCACATCCGGCTGACTGAGCGCATCACTATCCTCATCCTCCATAATATCCTCCGGCGGTCCAGAAGCAGCATACTGGACACTCGGCCTCCGACTCGGATGTCTCGACCCATAGAGTCGACTCCCAGAAGAAGAACTGCTAGGGAGCATCCAGCTGGTGTTGAAAGATAAAGGACTGCTTCGCGCCCCGCCAGCCACGACATCAGTCCAGCGCGAACTATCCACCGAAGGCCTCGGTAATTCATTCGAATGCGTTGACCCCGGACGCGGACTCCCCGGCCGCCGGGAGAAGCCACTCGGCCAACCCCCCGTCGTAGTACCACCACCACCACCACCACCACCACTACCCCCCGCCCCCTCCTTATCCCCGCCGAAAATCCTTCCCATACCAAAAGCCCTGAATCGACTAACCTGATTCTGCACCGGTTGCTCTCCCATAAGCACATCACTGGACCCATCTCCAAGCCCACTCAGCTCAGAATCCGGCCCAGTAATCCCCGAAATAGAACTATTCCGCTTCCGGATCTGCGACTCGAGTAGCCCCGGGATCGACTGATCCTGGCGTGGCATACTATGACTCTGAGCCTTCCCCAGAGCCAACCCATCCAGATCTCCTCCGGAACCAGCGGAAGCAGTTTTGGTGCGCTGTTTGATGCCGAAGAGGCCGGAGAATCGACTACTCGCTGCTGGTATACCGCCCAGGGCTCCGGCTGTACCCGCTCGAGTCGAGCGGGTGGAGCGGATGGAGCGGCGGTCCGGGTCCATGGACGGGAAGGTGTTCTCGGGGCTGCCGAGGTGGAGGTTATTTTGGCTTGCGCGGGGACTTGCGAAGACGGAGGGGGAGCGACTGCTGGCTGAGGCCGGGCTGGCGGGGCCGGGATAATGATACTCTCTCTCTCTTTCGGCTCCGAGGACAGGTGGTTGGGGCATCGACGGTCCGCCAGGGAGGGAAGGCAGACCGGGTAGAGCTCCCAGGCCAGGCAAGAACCCTTGATCGCGACCGCCGTCGTCGCCAGAGAATAGATCCGCGGGTAGTAGTTCCGCACCAGCACCAGGAGACATAGGCGCGCCACCTGTAAGCTTCTCCCTCTCCTCATCCGTCATCCCAATATAATCCGTCGGCTGATCCGTGCGCAAAGTCATCCCATTATGCGGATTGAAGTAAGGCGCCGAATGGAAATTGCTCGCGGGACTGATACTCGTCAGACCCGTAGCGAAAGGACTGGAGGAACTCCCACTCGACACAAGCGGGAAATGGCCCATGCGCGGACTGTTGTTCGAGCTCTGACCACTAGCAGCACGCCGACTGCGCTGACTATCACCCCGGTGGATCATACGTTCAGCAGGCGGAGGTGGTGGCGGAGGAGGGGGCGGAGGAGGGGGCGAGCCAAACTGCGATTGCGCGGCTGTGATAAGATCGTCTTCGCGTCGGCGCTGGCGGCGGATACTATCGAGATACAGCATCTGTTCATCATGAAACCGCTTCGACGCCTCGAGTTTCTGGTGGATAGAGCCGTATTGCTGAATCAGACCAGCCTTGTGATTCTGCCACCGTCTCTCCTCTTCAGCATCCTGCTGCATTTGCTGGACAAGATTCGATTCCTCGTTGTGTGATGTCCCGTCCGGAGAGGTATTCTTGACATCGCGCTCAAGCTTCTTGATGGCCGCATTAGTCTCCTTCACCCGGTCCTCTAAACTCTTCATCGCACCCGCTTCATCCGCTTGTCTGAGCCGTAGAGCATTCTTCTCCTCCTCTACGCCACGCTTATGCGCCGCTTTGCTGGCCTCGAGCTTCTCTGCTTCTCTCTGAAATGATGCCGTTTCCTGCTCCCACTTGAGCATGTCCTCTTTCTGCTTCTGGCGTTCCTGCTTCTTCTGCTGGAGGAAGCGTTCTTGCTTCGATCGCTCACTCTGCGCTGTACCGTTGTGCTGCATCAAGAGATTAAGCTCGCGTTTCAGAGTCTTACTTGCTTCTGTTTTCTCTGCTACGTGAGTCTTCAGCTCCTCCCTCTCGTCGTGCAACTCCTGCTTCAGCTGACTATCCTCCTCGTCCTCCTTCTCCGTTGATTGCTCTGCCGAAGTTATCTCCCTCCTGATAGCCTCGAGCTTCGTGGTGAGCTGTTGGATGCTCTCATGCCCTTCTGCAGGCTCCGTCTCTTCGACAGGTGGCTCTACCTCGACATCGAGCCCTAGAGCCGCTGGAGAAGGTCGTCTACCAGTAACACTTCTCTTCGGTCCTAGCCCATTACCGCTTCCCTGCCTTTCCATGAGCGCAGGAGCGTTGTCAATGCTGGCTGGTGCTGGTGCGATATCCTTGAGACCACGGAACACCCTGACGCGTGGCATCCTACTCATCGTACTTCCTGTTGCATCCTGATCCGCATCATCGCCTGTATCAGCCGAGTGCTGTGGTACGAAGAAGTCCTGAGTAGCCACAGATTTAGTCCTGAACCTGATAGGCTCACTACGAGAAGCCAGTTCCTGCTCGTTGACCAGTGCCACACGTAGGACGTAGTATGTGTTGGGCAGAAGATTGGTGATGGTGACGGCAGTCTCGTGTATGCTCACGTGCTCCACGGCATTCCCATTGACATGTATCTCATACTTGAGCTTGCTCTTCTGCTTTTGCTTCTCCGGAAGGCTCCACCGAAGGATACATCCGTCTGCCTTGATCGACGCCAGATCAACGACCGGTGTGAGTGGTATGTCGAAGCCGAGTAGTGATGCCAGGTCGTCCAGTGGAGTATGCAGGACTTGCCAGGCTCGGACGGCCAACCATGATACGGCGAGGAAGATGCAGGCTGTGCGGAAGTAAAAGGTGACGGGCGAGGAGATGAGTTGAAGTGTATAGATTACCCGCGAGATCCAGACGACCACGCCTTCCGGTAAGGTGAAGGTAAGCGGCACATCACTGGCCATGGTGACCGCCCCTAAGGGCGGCGCTGCGGTAGATTTGTTTAGCGCCAGGATGAAGGATGTGGATGTCGCATCGTATACGGTGTGGTGATGATAGCGATATGATATGGGGTTGGAGAATAGTGACAGTACTACAGTGACAGTACTACAGTGACAATAGTGTAATCCTATCCCGTTCGTATCGAGATTAATATTCGAGCAGGGTGCGAATCAGCCCTGCTAGTACTGTATTGGAGTCAGCGATTAAGCTTTTCCTGTGCAGTAGTAGCCGAGGCAGTAGCGGGCAATCCTCAATCAATTCTCCGTTAAGCATTGGCGATGATTGGCGGTGCATGGCAGTTGAGCCTTCATCAATCATGCCTCATGCCTCATTCAAGACAGATAAGTTGGACGGTCGAATATGCGGGGTGCATTATTATTTACATGCTGTAATGGTTGAGTATTGACCATATCTTGAGCTGGTCGGCATGCCTCGACCACGTGTGTGCAACAGTACCGCATGGCCTGGACTTACAGTACTGCAAAAGCGCCTTACCCGCCGAGTGGCTTCGGACCCGATCAACCGAGCTGCGAGGTGAAGGTGAAGAACTGAAGATTGGGAGTGCGTGGGGATGCGTGGGGGTCCATCAATCATGCAAGAGAGCTCATCAATAATAATAATAATAATATTAATGTGGATGGCTCTCAACCAGCCTCATTCGAATGAATCCCTGTACTAGGTCACGGCTCAGAATTACTGAAAGTCTTAATAAATCCAACCTCGTGGCCGGATGACGTCCGTGCAGTTCGGCTTCCTTCACGCAATCGCATGACCCCTTGGCTCCGTCTCTGACTACAGTATACATCAACAACACATCGGCGCAGCTGACCCACCGCGAGGAAGCGACCCTCCGCCTTCCTCCCCGCCATGCAATACGTCCGCTCCATCTCCGGCTCCCTCTCCAACACCTGGAACTCCATCAACCCAGCCACCCTCTCCGGCGCCATCGACGTCATCGTCGTCGAACAAGAAGACGGCTCCCTCGCCTGCAGCCCCTTCCACATCCGCTTCGGCAAATTCTCCCTCTTACGCCCATACGAGAAGAAAGTCGAGTTCCGCGTCAATGGCGAGAAGGTGGAGTATCCCATGAAACTAGGGGAGGGCGGGGAGGCCTTCTTCGTGTTTGAGACGGCGGGACAGGTGCCGGAGGGCTTGAGGACGAGTCCGCCCGTCAGTCCGGTCACGAGCCCGGAGTTGAAGGCGAGAGAGGAGCCGCCGAGTTTGGAATTGCCGGGTACTGGCTCGGATCAGGAGCCGGAGCCTCTAGAGCTGGATGATGGGGAGCTTAGACCGGGGAGTGCGAGGACGGCGCAGCAAAGACGGCAGCATAGTAAGAGCACGACGGAGGCGATGACGATACCTCCTGGGACGCGGAAAGCGCATAGTAATACCGATCGGCTGAGTCCTCTGACATATGACCCGATCAAGCGGCCGAATTCAGCCGCGCCGTTCACAACTGCGACGCCGAGGCTGGAGAGGATGGCTACGGATAGTGTGCTGCCTGCAGCGACCAAGACGACACTCTCAAGCTCATTCAATAGCCCCGACCCACTTACATCCTCCATCCACCGCCCAGCCTCACCACTCCGAGCCCGAACCGACCGATCAGGCAGCCCACAACCGAATAACGAAGAAGCCCGGCTGCGCGCCATGAACCTAAGCAAGAAACTCTGGACGAGCAATATCAGCAACCAGGTCAACGAGTCCGGCGATTTGATGCTAGACATGACGGGTTTCAAAAGCAGTGATCGAGAGGCTCTGCACGCAGAGGTCATAGCACGACAACTGCTTAGCGAGGAGATCGACGGGCCATACGATATAGGTGCATTGATAGGCGCGGACGAAAAGGGAAATGTCTGGATCTACAGCAGTGAGGAAGCGAAAGAAGCCGCCGGCCGCAAAGCAGCAGAAGGATTGGGATCATTCAACCCAGCCGCCTATCCTTCCGCGGACGCGCTTAGCGACCCAGGCTACCACAGCGACGACTCCCGCAGCGAATCTAACATCTCCCTCACCACCTCCTCCCATCTCCGCCGGGACTCCGACTCAGCCGTCGGCCTCCTCTCCCAACCCTCCTCTCCCACGACCCCCGCAACAAACCCGAGCACAGGCGACCCCAACAAAAACTACGCCAAAACCCTGCGCCTCACCAGCGACCAACTCAAGACAATGAACCTCCAACAAGGCGCCAACCCCATCTCCTTCACCGTCAACCGGGCCACCTGCCACGCGAACCTCTGGTACTGGCACCACGGCGTCCCGATCGTGATATCGGACATCGACGGCACAATCACCAAATCCGACGTCCTAGGCCACGTCCTCAACAGCATCGGCCGCGACTGGACCCACCAAGGCGTAGCGAAACTCTACACGGAAATCGCGTCCAACGGCTACAATTTCCTATACCTCACCTCCCGCTCCGTCGGGCAAGCAGACACCACCCGAGCGTATCTAGACGGCGTAGTGCAAGATGGCGGCTTCCGCTTACCCAAAGGTCCTACTATCTTAAGTCCGGACCGCACGATCGCGGCTTTACGGAGGGAGATTTACTTGCGGAAGCCGGAGATTTTCAAGATGGCGTGTTTGAGGGATATTATGGCGCTTTTTGCCGGGCAGGGCGGGGCGACGAATACGACCGAGGGGGTGGAGGCCGGGTTGCATGTTCCTGCTTCCTCCCTGCCCACCACGGGCTTCAACGCCGCGAGCCTGAACTCTGGACCCGGAGGCGGAGGAGGCAGCAGTGGGAAAAGTCGCGGAAAAGCCAGCTCCCCCTTCTACGCCGGCTTCGGCAACCGATTGACTGATGCATTAAGCTACCGCTCCGTCACTATCCCCTCCACCCGCATCTTCACCATCAACTCCAACTCGGAGATCTCCCTGGACCTGCTGAGTCTGAATGAGTACAAGACAGCTTACGGCAGTATGCGGGAGATAGTGGATCATTATTTCCCGCCCGTCGGGTTGTTGGTGAAGGGGGGTGGGGAGGAGTTTACGGATTTCAATTATTGGCGGGAGAAGCCGATGGAGATTGCGGATTTTACGGATTCGGAGGACGAAGACGGCAATGGTGGGCCGGCTGTTGTTCGGCGGTCGCTGGAGCGCACGGAAACTCTGGCTACGAAAGAAAGTGTTTTGTCCATCTTATCCGAGGACGAAGGCGGAGATGGAGATGAGATGTTGGAATCTTATCTCTCTGATCCGAGGCTGAGTTTGGATGAGTCAATTTTGTCGGAGATGAGTGGGGTGGATGACGAGGAGGAACTGACGAGGAGTATGTTGGAGGAGGAAGGGGTTTATGGTGGTGATGATGAGTTGGAGTTGGAGCTGGAACCTGAGGATCAAGGGGGTTTTGGTGGGGTGGAGGCGCCGACGACGCCGGAGATGAGGTTGGGAAGTGATGGGGAAGAGGAGGGGGCTGGAGTGGGGATGTGGGACCACACGCCGAAAGCTCCGGGCAGGCGGGCGTGATTGTCGGTGTTTTGATTGTTAGGACGGAGTTTTGGGTTGTGCAGGGTTCCCGGCATGAAATCATGAAAGCGAGTTTCTTCATCGCTTTCACACAAGACTTTTGGAGCTTTCGCTGGCGGGAGAATTTACATTGCGATGGGGCCATTTCCGCATAGCATGGCAGGGGGCGCTTGGTTTGGGTTGGATTGTTTGGGTAGGTAGTGGCGTTTCTCTTGGGATGTAAGGAGATCCTCATGTAGTATATGGCGAAGCATAGCGATGTGCGGGCGGACGGAAGCGGTGACTTTTGAGGTTGATGATGTATATACAGAACAAAAGCTTTTCCGCAATTGTAATGCAGCCTACCTGCCATCACATATTCTGAGTCCAGCATGTTCCTGGTGTGCGGTTGTACTCACCTACGTACGGCGGTACATGTAAGGTGTCTCTCTTTCGAAGCACAGACGTTTCCAGTCCGATGACGGAAGGTGGGGTTCGAAATATTATCCATCGATCGTATCACTCTAGCCATTGACTCAGAGGTGTCGCTCTCATCGTCCCTCTCCTCTCCACCAACCCTCGCGCATACATTCAAACACTCGCCATCGCCAGTATGCCTTCTCACAGCGGCCCTTCTGAGCATCTTCCAGCCTTCCTCGCTGCCATCGACCTTCAAAAGTATACCAGCGCATCGGACATACTAGCAGTGAAAGAGCTGGCATATACTGGCGCACTGTACTCGACCGTCACATCACAGACCCTCGATTCGACGTTGCAGATATTGAAGGCTACAGTGGGTCGGCTAGCACTCTACATCGACTGCTCCGCCCTCGAATCAACCCAAGATATTGTCCATGTCCTCGATGCCGGCGCAGCAAAGGCCTTCGTGACCAGTCAACAAGTCCCCGAACTGCAGAAAGTGGCCAACGTCGATAGTAAGAGGATAGTGTATCACCCGACTGTGTCAGCTGACCAGGCAGAAAGTCAATTGGATGGCACGGGCTATGGACTCTATCTGCAGAATGTGCAAGATGTAGGTACCGTGAGCAAGCTAGTAGATGCAATGGGGAAGGAGCGACCGACCGTCTATGCTGCCAAGAGTGGGATGAGTGAGAAAGAGGCGGTGGAGTTGAGGAGACGGGATGTAGTGCCGGTCATCCCAGCGACACACTTGACGACCAATACTACGGCAGCAGGAGACGACAAGATCAGAGTCGCCGAGCTCTTACTAGCCAACATCCAAACCGATCGCCCAGACGGCCTCTTCACAACCCTCGTTACGGATGTGAGAGGAGTAGCATTAGGCCTCGTCTACAGCAACCCCGAAAGCATCGCTGCCTCCCTCTCCTCCGCCCGCGGCGTCTACTGGTCCCGCAAACGCGGCCTCTGGCGCAAAGGCGACACGAGCGGTGACTGGCAGGAGTTGGTGCGAATAGACACTGACTGCGACAACGACTGTCTTCGCTTCGTCGTCCGACAACAAGGTGCCGGGTTCTGCCATCTGAGCACAGCGACTTGCTTCGGCGACTACAATGGCTTATCCAAATTAGAGCGGACGCTGCAGAGTCGGAAGAGGTCGGCGCCGGAGGGCAGTTATACGAAGAGGTTATTCGAGGATAGCAAGATGTTGAATGCGAAGATCATGGAGGAGGCGCAGGAATTGTGTGAGGCGGAGAGTAAAGAGGATATCGCGGCTGAGGCGGCGGATGTGCTGTATTTTGCCCTTACCAAGGCCGTGGCGGCGGGTGTGTCGTTGGAGGATATTGAGCGGAATTTGGATGGGAAGAGTGTCAAGGTGAAGAGGCGGAAGGGCGATGCTAAGGGGGTGTTTGCGGAGAAGTTTGGGGTGGTTAATGGAGGCCCGAATGGGACGGCGGCGGCGGCTAGTACGAATGGTGGGCCAAGGAAGGAGGAGATTAGGGACGCTGAGAGTCGGCCGAAGAGGAAAGATGATCCGGCTGGGATGAATGGGGAGGGGAGGATAGAGATGCGGAGGATTGTGACGGCGGAGGAGAAGCCGGAGGTGATATTGGAGGCTCTACAACGACCTTCACAACGATCGACGGAAAAGATCATGGCGATTGTGCAGCCCATCATCAAGGATGTGCGGGAAGGGGGTGATAAAGCTCTCCTATCCTACACTCACAAATTCGAAAAGGCAACTTCACTTACCTCACCTGTGCTGAAAGCGCCGTTCCCGGAGAGCATGATGCAATTACCACAGGAAACGATCGAAGCAATCGATATCTCCTTTGAAAATATCCGCAAATTCCACGCTGCGCAGGCCGAAACCAAAACACTCGAAGTAGAAACGATGCCCGGCGTAGTCTGCTCACGCTTCTCCCGCCCCATCGAACGCGTAGGGCTCTACGTCCCAGGCGGCACTGCCGTCCTCCCCTCAACAGCCCTCATGCTCGGTGTCCCAGCCATGGTAGCCGGGTGCAAGAAAATCGTCATGGCGTCCCCCCCTCGCGCAGACGGCAAACTAACTCCCGAAGTAGTCTACGTCGCGCACAAAGTCGGCGCCGAATCCATCGTCCTAGCCGGCGGCGCCCAAGCCGTCGCAGCCATGGCCTATGGGACGGAGAACGTGAGTAAGGTCGACAAAATCCTTGGACCAGGCAACCAGTTCGTCACGGCTGCTAAGATGCTGGTGAGTAATGATACCACGGCCCAAGTCAGCATCGATATGCCCGCCGGCCCGTCAGAAGTCCTCGTCATAGCGGATGCGACCTCGAACCCAGCTTTCGTGGCGTCTGATTTACTTTCCCAAGCCGAGCACGGCACGGATAGCCAAGTCGTGTGTATCACCGTCGGATGCTCAGACAAACAAATCCAAGGAATTGAGGAAGAACTCCATAACCAAGCCATGGCCCTCCCCCGCGTCGAGATGGTCAAGGGAGCGATTTCCCACTCCGTCCTCCTCGTCACTGCAACGCTTGAAGAAGCAATGGACCTCTCCAACGCCTACGCCCCGGAACACCTAATCCTACACCTCGCCTCCCCCATCACCGCCCGCGACCTCGTAACAAACGCCGGCTCCGTCTTCTGCGGCCAATGGACCCCCGAATCAGTCGGCGATTATTCAGCGGGTGTCAATCATTCGCTTCCGACATATGGGTATGCGAAACAGTATTCCGGTGTCAACCTGGGGAGTTATGTCAAGTTCATCACGAGTTCCCATTTGACGGAGCAGGGGTTGAGGAATGTGGGGCCGGCGGTTATGAGATTGGCACAGGTGGAGGAGTTGGAGGCGCATAGACGGGCGGTGGAGATGAGGTTGGGGGTTTTGGATCAGAGGGATGGGGTGGGGAAGAGTGGGTAGATGGGTAGGGTGACTAAAGAGGTGGAGGTAAATGGCGGTCTCGGAAGGTGTCATAGATGTCTGCTAGAGTTAATGCTTGCAATTCTCCCATAGCATGAATATTAACCTGTTTCCTGCCATGCTGGTATCACGTGATCCTAAGTTATCGATGGCCGTACCCGCTGAGCCGCGTGGATAATTCTAGCCTCCACTTTCTTTCTCAAGCTATTTCCGCTTTCGATCAATATGTGCTCAATCGCTCGCAATGAGCTCGTAAAGCGCGCCTCGAGAGTTCCGAAATCTTTCTCGAATATGCGCTCACGGTAAGTGTGTCTTGTGTACATGGTTTATCTTCCGTCAAATCTTCGACCGGCTGTGATGTCTTTCTTTCTTTCCTTGGCAATATCGTTGAGTTGCGGAATCGCTTACCTGTTTGAGCACCATTGAGAGGTGGCGCTTTCTTCGGTGACAGTCTGTCGCTTGGGTTGCTGGTAAGACTGCACACACCTTTGCTGGACAATCCTAAGCCAGCGTGGACGACTTGCGAGATTGGAGTTGCGAGAGCCGTGGTGCCACTTAGTGATACGATCTACATTCCTGGCCTCGATCTAGACGTCTCAGGCACAACAACATCAGTTCTTCCGTCGCTGTAGAAGGCAGTCGCCCACGGATATTCTCTCACCATGGACATGAGTGGTAGCGGGATGGACATGGGTGGCGGCATGGATATGGGCAGCGCGCCTCTCAACGCCACCGGTGTCGACTTCACGGACCCAGATCAAGCCTCGACCTTTCTCGCGGCACTTCTCAACGATGACGAGCTCAAAGTCATCGGCAATGCCTACGCGAGATACTTCTGGTACGGTGTCGCTGTTGTCGTAGCCGTTGCGGCGGTGTTCAATTGGATGAGATACCTGATCTTGCAGATGCGATTGAGGTCTGCGGCGAGGAGGGAAGATATGCCTGCTAGGCCCAAGGGTGTGTTTGCGAGGTGGTTTGCTACGATTACGGCATTGGTGCGAGAGGCGACTTACCTGGACTTCACGCCGGCACAAGTCAATGCCAGGTTCAAGTGGTTCAAGCTGCCGACCAGTGGGCAGACGATGCTATTGCTTGCTTATTTGGCATTCGTACTGGCGCTGGAATTCGCCAACGATAGTGTGCAAGGTGCACAATTCTGGCAAGCTCGGGGAGTGAGAGCTGGCTGGCTGGCGGTGGCTCAAGTGCCGTTGATCGTGCTGCTTGTGGGCAAGAACAACCTGTTCACTCTCACCACGGGCGTCTCGTACGAGAGACTCAACATCATCCATCGCTGGTCATCTCGAGTCATGCTGCTTCTAGCCATTTTTCACTTCGCTTTCCAGAGCCGCGCATGGTCACAATTTCCAGGTCTCATGGAACTGGAATGGTCGACGGACTCGTGCCCGCCAACTGGTATTGCCGCCTTTGCGCTCTTGCTCTGGATGAATCTTACGACATTGGCACCCTTGCGCTATTGGTCGTATGAGTTCTTCGTCTGGCAGCATCTGATCACTTTCTTCGGCTTCATTATCGCCATTGTATATCACTTGCCCAGCACGGCGACGTGGTCGCGTATCTACATCTATGTCCCCGTTGCGCTCTACATCATCGATCGTATGATCACGACCGCATGGTGGGTCTGGAACAACAAGCGCACGAGTCGTGCCACTCTTACACGCCTGAACGGGGATGTGACCAAGATCACGATGCGCAATTCCACCATCAAGCGCTGGGGCCCTGGATCATACATGCTTCTGACCTTACCAGGCCAAGATATTTTCGGCTGGGCACAAAGTCACCCTGCTACAATCATGTCAACGCCGACTTCACATGACGGGCAATTGGTCTTTATCCTGAAGAGCCACAAAGGTTTCACCAAGAGCATCATGAATTATGCCAACACCTCCACCGAAGCCCTACTGTCCCGTGGCAATTCAGAAGCTGAGACGGGTGAGAAAGGCAAGACAATCTCTTATCGTGCTATCATCAACGGACCATACGGCGGACACCATGCCGACTTCGCAGCTTTCGACTCAATCTGTCTGATTGCTGGATCAACTGGTGTGACTTTCACACTAGCAGTCCTCCAAGATATCGCAGAGCGAGCTGCCAATCTAGGCAAGAAGCTGCCAGTCAGACGTATCCACCTCATCTGGTGCAACAATCAAGAAGATAGGGCGAAGTGGGTGGCTGCTGAGCTGAACAGCGCAGTGGAGAAGCTTGCTCAAGCCGGTATAGAGACGATTGTCACTGTACACGTTACATGCGACAGTGCTCTCACCAACCAGACATCCGAGCCCAAGGCCTGTGGTTGCAAATGCGACAAGTCAGCTGGACCGTGCTGTTGCGTGACTATCACGAAGGATACTGAGGAGATTGCCGAGGAGACGAAGAAGGGCGATGGCGAGCCGAAGGTGACGATCCAGTCCTCAGCGCGATCATCCGACTCCATGCGTTCCGCAGCATCTGTCAAAGATGATCGAGTAGTCGTGAAGCGTAGCTGGTTACCCTGTGGCACTCTCTGTTCAGGCCGACCGGATTTTCGTGAAATACTTACGAACATGCTCGACGGCGCCCAGGGCGAGTCTGGCGTTGCGGTGTGTGGACCTCACGGCATGGGCGCGATGATAAGACGGGATATCGTGAAACTCAGTGACGAACGGGCGATACACAAGGGTACCGGAGCGCAGGGATGCTATTTGCATGTCGAGAGCTTTTCGTAGCGGTTTTACCATACCATGCCATTTACTGTTGATACAGATGCTGTCCGACTTCCCATCCAGATCCCCTCCAGCACAAGCTAGTATTGCGCTTCTTTCAACGCCTGCCCTTTGATATTTTTTACGCAGATGCAGACGCACGCTGATCCGGCACACCCTCGATCAGAATCTTGATACCCCTCGAAGCAGCCACATCCTCAAAAGCCTCCTCGGCATCCGTGAACTTGACCTTCTTGCTCACCAACTCCTTCACATTGACACGACCGCTAGTCACAAGACCAATGGCAGTCTCGTAGTCGTGAGCATTGTACCGGAAGCTGCCCTTAATATTGAGCTCCTTCGCACCAGCCGCGCCGATCGGGAACATGATATCCGGCTTGCCCATACCACCTTGCACATAAGTGCCACCAGCGCGAAGAACGTGAATCCCGGCTTGAATACATGGCTCGGCGCCAGTAGCATCCATGACTATATCGGCGCCCTCGACGATCTCACATTCTTTGATGATTTGGGCTGCGGTCTCGGCGGCAGATTGCTTCTTCGAGACGATGGTGTGGGTCGCGGCGTACTTCTTGGCGAAGTCAAGACGTTCTTGGTTGATGTCTACGATCACGAATCTTGTTTGCTCCGTAGGCCTTGGCAACGGAGCCGCAGAGGAGACCGACTGGTCCGGCACCGAAGATGACAACGGTGGAGCCATTCTTGGTGCCGGCCTGCTTGTTGATGTGGACGCCGACGGAGAGCGGCTCCATGAGAGCGCCTTCCTCGAAGCTCATGTTCTCGGGAAGCTTGTACGCGAAGTCCTCGGGCAGGACATAATACTTCGCCAATGTGCCATCGATGGGTGGAGTAGCGGCGAAGCGCATGTCGACGCAAAGATTGTACATTCCCTCCTTGCAGCGTGGGCATCGTCGGCAGGGGATGCCGGGCTCCATTGCCACTCGGTCGCCGACCTTGACGCTGGTTACTTTGTCACCGACTTCTGTTACTGTCCCGCTGGATTCGTGACCAAGGACCATGGGCGCGCGGACGACGAAGTCGCCGATGGCGCCATGTTGCCTGATAATTGCTGTCAGAGGCTTGCTCGAGCTGTGAGGCCATGTGGACTCACCAGTAATGTACGTCAGATCCGCAGATACCAGTCCATCTAACATTGACCAGGACGTCGTATGGCGAGGTAAGCTTGGGAATGGGACGATCCTCGAACTTGACCTTGCCCTGCTTCTCAAGTACGAAGGAGAGGTTCTGCAGTATTTCGTCAGTACTTCTGCCTCAATGCCAAAGCTCACCAGCTCGCGGGGTAGTCGCGGGCACGAGATCAACGACTCACCTGTTGCTGCGCCGAGTTGGCATCGCTGACGGTGGCATAACTTCGAAGGTTGGGTCCGCAGCAGGCAGAGTGGTTCCTCTTCTGATTTGTGGTCTTGGTCGCTGCGACCATCACCGGGCGAGCAGCTTTGGTGATGCTGGCATTGCTTCTGGCGCCACTTAAGGCGGCCCTCGCGCCTGTCGCTAGGATCTTAGACATCTTTCTGCTGCTGGCCGCGAGAACGAGGACAGGTGAGTACAGAGGACAACGGTGAGAAGAGAGCTACAATGTTGAGGAGGCGCCGGCGGTCAAGACAACCAAAATAATGAGAGCCGCAATGCACATGGTGCTGTTTAACAGCTACTCTAGCGTGGGCGGATAAATTGCTTTGCATATTAACCGCGGACAAACGCCGAAACACGTGACGGTCGTGAGCCGTGCTCGTAGACCAGACGGTTGAAAGCTTCTCGGCGTCGCTCTCTCACATATCTGTCCGACGAGAGAGGTAGGCGACTGAAGGAGGTATTTAGATGAGAGACCGAGGAACCAGCTTCATGTCGCTGCCTCGCGACTCTCCGAGCGGACGAGGCCGAGGAACCTCTTCTTATCAGACTGCATGTTCTCGAACCTCCACGCTAAAAGAAATGCATCACACCATCTACACCTTGTGTCAAACAGCATGGTCTGGCCATCGTCGCGACTGACTTCACGGTATGGGTTTGCAGCTGCCAATCGTCTCAGGTTGCCACTCTGAGCAAAGACAATTGTAGATTGACTAAGACCAATAGTCGAGGTTCTGCCTTATCAATGCACGGAGTGGAGCCAATCTGCAGCTTGCCCACAGAGAGCGCCGAGCTCGTGGGAGTCTTATCGCGGACGACCACTAATGGCTATGAGTTGCACAACAGTACCCATCGCACAGCCTGCGGAGGTGTGAGGAGGGCTGATAACCATGCACCCCATGCTATCGTCACGTAGGATACATAGAGGTAGGTCTGCACCTCCATATTTTCACGACCGCTCGAGCCTCATCGAAAGGCGAGATTTGTGCCTCATTGATACCATATCTGTGACGTTTGAGGATATCGACTCCGCCATGTCGACCACTCCTCCTCTCAGCAAAGCTACTGGCTATGGAGTCATCATCGGCCTTGGATTTCTGTTCGCCTTCGGTATGATGCTGACAACGTTTGTCCTCCGACGATACAATAATGAGCTGCAGACGTCGGAAGCCTTCAGCACTGCTGGCAGAACCGTCAAGTCTGGTCTGGTCGCTTCCGCTGTGGTGTCCTCGTGGACGTGGGCAGCGACTCTGCTTCAGTCATCGAGCGTGGCATATCGCTACGGAGTCAGTGGGCCGTTCTGGTATGCTTCTGGTGCAACGGTTCAGGTGATCTTGTTCGCAACACTCGCCATCGAACTTAAACGAAAGGCACCCAACGCACATACGTTCGTCTTGACACATTCGCGATGTATTCGTAACAATCACTGACGTTCTCAGATTCCTGGAAGCAATCCGAGCACGATATGGTGCCGCGACTCATGGTGTCTTCATCACCTTCGGCCTTATGACCAACGTTCTCGTAACGGCTATGCTTCTTACTGGCGGCTCCGCAGTCGTGACATCGCTGACAGGTGTCCCGACAGCAGCAGCTTGTTTCCTGCTGCCCATCGGTGTCGTACTGTACACTATGTTCGGTGGGATCAAGGCCACCTTCCTCACTGACTACGTCCACACTGTCATGATCCTGGTCATCATCTTTATCTTTGCTTTCACCGCTTATGCGACAAGCAGTGTGCTCGGCTCGCCAGGCGCAGTCTACGATGCCCTCACAGAGGCAGCTAAGCGCCATCCTGTGGCTGGTAATGCTGAAGGCAGCTATCTGACTATGCGTTCTACCGAAGGAGCCGTGTTTTTTGTGGTGAGTCCATCCAGTAGTACACCTTGGCACTACTGATCGTTGGGGGTAGATCAATCTAGTTGGAAACTTCGGCACTGTCTTCTGTGACAATGGTTACTATAACAAGGCAATTGCTGCTAGTCCAGTACACGCCCTGCCTGGATACATTGCAGGCGGACTAAGTTGGTTTGCTATCCCATGGCTGGCTGCCACGACCATGGGCCTCTCAGCACTTGCTCTCGAAAGTACGTTTTGTTCTCCGCACTGGCTCGGAAGAGTACTTCGAGCTGACACTCCATTCTAGACAACCCGGTCTTCCCAACATATCCCAACAGGATGGATCCTGCCGATGTGTCAGCAGGTCTCGTGTTACCAGACGCTGCCGTTGCATTACTTGGCAAAGGCGGTGCCGCTGCGACACTTCTCCTCATCTTCATGGCCGTCACCTCTGCTATGAGTGCCGAACTTATCGCTGTGAGCAGTATCTGGACCTATGATATCTACCAGACGTATATCAACCCGGGAGCGTCAGGGAAGAGGCTGATCTACATGTCTCACACAAGTTGTATTGTATACGCGATCATTATGGCCTCGTTCTCCACCGGACTATACTACGCTGGCATCTCGATGGGCTACCTATATTTGATGATGGGCGTAATCATATCGGGAGCTGTTCTACCGGCGTCATTGACATTGTTGTGGGATAGACAGTCATGGGCTGCTGCCACTTTCACGCCACCACTTGCGCTGATCTGCTCGCTGATCGCATGGCTCGTGACGGCGAAGGATGAGGGCGGCAGTCTATCCGTTGACTCGACCGGTGCGAAGTACGTATACTGGATCTGCAATTCTGAAGTACAATCGCTGACGTCGAAATAGTATCCCTATGTTGGCTGGCAATGTCGCTGCTCTCTTGTCGCCCATCATTTTCATCCCGATCCTATCGTTCATTCCTGGTCTGAAGGGACCAAAGTACGACTGGGTGTCCATGAAGCTCATCCGAAAAGGTGACGACTCAGATCTTGCAGCGGCTGCGCATGTCGACATTGAGCTTGTGCCTGGAGAAGCCCATCACACGGAAGATGAAGAGCGAAAGGAGCAAGCACAGCTACAACGTGCTGCTAAGATCGCTCGCTACATGACTCTGTTCTTGACTCTCGCTTTGCTTATCCTGTGGCCGTTCCCGGTAAGCATATCATCGCCTCCTCATCAATTGACTTCACAAGCTAATGTGCACCTCGTATCAGATGTACGGCAGCGGCTACGTCTTCAGCAAGAAGTTTTTCACAGGTTGGGTATCGGTCGGCATCCTCTGGCTCTTCTGCTCCGCTGCCTGTGTTGGTGTTTACCCGCTCTGGGAGGGTAGACACACTAGTTCGCGGACTGTGGTGGCCATCTTCTTGGATATTACGGGGAAGAAAAAACCAGTCTTACATGGACGTGCAACGGTGGCAGAGACTGCTGAAGCTGAGGAGCGTGCTGATGAGAAGAAGGGTGTTGATACGCCGCCCGAGCATCCCGTTGATGCTAAGATGTGAATGTGGCTGAAGTTAAAGACTGGCAGCTGGATAGTCGGATATTGCATGGTATCATGGGTCGATAGGCATTTAGTTTCTCGGGAATGATCATGTTTGATCACAGATCATACCGCAAGACCGGCCATCTTAGTATCATTTCCAACCATGATCAAATCACCAATTCAGCGAAGGGCTGCTGAAGCCGCTCGCGTATTGAATGTAGCTACTGCTGAGCACTTACCGGATTAGCAATGGTCTTCCCTGGGCATGATCCCTTCGCTTGCATAGTTTCGCATATCCAACAACACCAATGCAAGCCTTATAACCGTTCACGACGTCGGCCTAGATAGAGACATGTGCAGTATAGTCTGCATTCGACAGTTATGCAGTCAGCTCGAATCCTTCGTTATCTTGACAAGGATGAGATGACGATGCCATGGCGAAAGGAGGAGATAGTGTTGTACCTCTTTGTGGACGTAGCCGTGAGCATCGGATGGTGGACGTGATGCTGCGAATGAACACCGGGCCTGTGAAGAACGTTACAGATAGTCCGTGAGGGCACTATGCAGTCCTATTGCCAGCAACAATGCAATCGACATTTCTTCGATCATGTTTGAATTGGATGGCGAGACAATACGTCGTCTTGAACATCTGCCGGGTGCATCGTCCGTCTCCGTTATACAAACTTTCGAAGAACGATCAAGCATTGGATAACGGCACGTCAAACTAGATCGTGATGAACTAGGATCGACATTGATATTGGTACAACTGGTAGATGTATGCGATGGTACTTTGTTATTATACTTTTGTGGATAGAGAGTGTATCCGCAATGGATCCGTTTGCTCATGCCGGGGTCGCTCATTGTTGCTGTGCACATCTGACCTTGCTCGAGATCATCTGCTTGTTGGTGAATGCTGTCACTCTTACCTTCCTGGATATCGTTCTGACGGTTGACGAATGGTCCACATTTGATATGCTCTCCGAGTGTGGGACAGTATACTTGCGACTTTGACGATGTACCACGCCAGGCCGCCAGCATCTGCATGCAGAGTCATGCCCTGCAGCAGTGAAGTGCATTGGTGCCGAGCGAAACCGTCAAAGGTGTAACTAATAACCTGTAAGCTCAACTACTGTGGAGGACGACGTGGGGTGAGATCGCTGCTCGAAGTCTTCGCTGTTTCAGCGTGACAGCGGTCTGACGAAACGTTGAATTGTGGCCAAGTGATCTTTGGTCGCAAATGTGTGCCGAGACGAAACGCCGAAGGACGGCCTTTTACGGCAATTGTCTCGCCTTGTCGGCAAACCACCATACTCAGACGATCGTTATACCGAAGGTCAAACCGAGTCGCTGGAAGGGCAGCGTGATGGTGTAGGAACCCCAAGCCCGGCGGCACGGTCGGTGTCATTGTCTGGTAATAATAGATTGGCATTTGTATCTCGTATTCTGTTTTGAGGTATTAATTCAGCTACAAATTGGTGGCGCATAGGCGTAGGTTACCGTGAGGTCGTGGATGACTTCCTTTGCCGAGGGGGAGCGGCTGCAGCGCACCTCCCACCCAGCAGCATTCCCGCTACATGATGGACCTGATGAAGGTCACCAAACATGCGTGGCAGCTGCATTGTGGTACCTGGTTCGATTCATATGCAGCTGACATGATGCCACATACATCGCCGTGGATATGCCGAGGCCACCGAAGCAGTCCTAGACTCATGAAAGTATAAGGAAGGCGAAATGGACCGAAGAACTCACACGGGGGAACTCGGCTTGTCTCTGTACCATACCGCAAATGAGACATGTCCGATCTTGTTTGGTATGGTAGAACCTGGTTTGTGCACCGGTCGTACCATTCTGATGTGGTTGCTCGTGGATGGCGACTATTCGTTGATTATTTGAGAAGTTTAGAAGTTGAAAGCCTAGGCCCTCGGTAGTTCACTTGGACACGAGCGCTGTGGCGTTTGACGGCGTAGGCGACGGCCATACTTTGTTGCAATGAGTGATCCAAGGCAACAAGCATGTATCTACGGGCTGTCGACCGTGTCATCAACAACGATGAATAGGGTCGTGCTGGCGACGTACCCCATCCTATATGCAAGCTTTTACCTACTCGTGCTGGTGACGGATGATCCAGCTTCAGGCTGATCATGCATGTGCTGCAGCGGCTTACCGATTTTATGACGCATCCTTCAGACTTCGACCTTACCCTTTTCGCAAGTCCGAACCGCGTGAACCGCTTCTTAGGTTTTGCTGAGCAAGTGAACTGATTTCTGAGGCGACCCAGTCGTGCGAGTAGCAGTGTAAGCAAGCACTGCCGACAAGGCCTACGCAACGCATGTGGAGCGAGTTTACGTGCTTGTTTGCTTGTGGAGGCCAACGGGCACACGATCAAGTGGGCTCCTTCAACAAGCGTTGCGGCGTCTGAGCAGGGCGCTCTTCCAGAACCAGACTAGAAGACATGTTAGAACGGTCAGAGCTTGGCACTACTTTGATTGGACGGATGCCGACCAGACCGGCAGTGTGCAGGGTGCGTCAGTAGTCGTAGTGATGGTGGCTGGTCTGCGGCGATGACTCCTGCGGCCTGCTGCAGTGGTCTCCACGGTCTGTGGTACAGGCCTCGAGAGTGTGCAGCTTGCGACAGGTCGTCGGCACATGTTATCCGGTTGTCGTCCAAACGTAAGATGTGAGCGCTGCGAGTGTTTCCCGGAGAAGCCTCGCTGCATTCAGGCAGTGAACCACCAAAACGAGTGTCGACGGCGAACAGTCGGCGGCGGGTAGCAGACTCGAGACTACAGCTCTCGAGTATGCGTGATTGGCTGCATGGGTTGCTGAGTGCAGGGTGGCCCTAGTGAGCCGGCTCTTGGGCCCATATGTCACTGTTGAGATGATGCGACGTCCGACCGCTAATCAATTGCCTCGCGTGCTTTATTACTCTACCCATATCCACTGCAAGATGGCTGGTCCACTGATGCTTCAAACTTGAACCCCTCCGTCGAATATCAGACCATATCTTGCTGTAATTGGCATTGCGGCTGCATCGCGAGCGAGCTTGCCGAGGGTCAGCGCATAATAACTTTAAAGACTCACCCGTCAAAGCCACCCAAAGTCTTGCTTGACTTGGTCGCATTCTACTTTTCTACATCCACATCCACTGAACAGTCGCAAAGGTGGCGTCCTCACAGTCTCCTCCAGCGTTGCATTTCTCCAGTACACGGGAAGGAAGTGTAGACAGCGAGGTCATCCAGACGCCCTCATCCGCCGCTTTCAACCACGCCGGCCTCAAAGCGCACCACGAACGAGACCTCTTCTACAGTGTATATGCGAGGCGAGATCACGCGACCGCTGAACTAAGCAGCGACGATCTCCTCTTCCCTCGCGAAGACGAGGACGACGCCACCATACCGCTCTTCCAAACCGCTCGACCCGCACAAATGGCTGGGTCGGCATCACCGATAGACATCGCCACCTCGCGGCAGAGCTCAGGTTCGCCGCGAGGTCAACAATCCAATCTCACGACACAGCTGCAACAACCGAGCATCAACGTACGACACGACGACGGCATGGAGCCACCGCAAATACCAACCGAGTCGCAGTATCGTGGTCGGCAAGAGTCGATAGGTATGTTAGGCACAACTCCATATGGCGCTCGATCGATACCAAGCAAGGATGGCTTCAGGCGCGAGAGCAACGTAAACGCGCTCGCTGGCAGTCTCATGCAGGGCATGAGTTGGGGTGGTATCTCTGTCGGCAGCTTCATTCGCGACGAGTGAGTATCCGTCCAAGCGATCGTTGGTCGATGTGTGCTAACTCACGTTCAGCATGATGATGACTGGGACGTCTCCGTACAACTTCCAATCGCCCTCGTTCCATTCTTCATCATACCTGCCCAAAATGGAGGCAAATTACATGAAGGATTACGTATGCTGCGACATTCGCCTGGATTCGATGCACGAGCTGCTGCAACATTACGAAGAAGCCCATGCCGCACAACCGACACAGACAATGGGCAGGACTCCAAAAGAACAGCAGTATCCCAGTAGCAGAGCTGCCAACGCCACCAGCACGGCTCAGGCTGTGCAACAACAAGCTCAAGTCCAGCCAGCAAATCTCATGCCACAACCGCAAATGCAACAACCGACAAACTTCCAGACTTCGCCACTATTCAGCGGTCAATCTGGCGAACAGGTCGATTTCGAGAACCTAGACGGAATGGACATGGACACCATGCAATCGCCGCAAGGTGCACAGTTCCAGCCTCAGCCTCAGTTCGGTCGGCAACAACCTCGAGGTCCGTCTGTGAACGTCAACATCGCCAACGCATTCCAAGGTCAAGGTCTGCAGACTCCAACAACTCCTCGCCCTGGTCAGCAGAATATGGGTCTTCCGCATAACCCCACAGTATCGTCTGTCAATACGCCTACACTCATGACGCAGACTGCGTCGCAACAAACGGGCACCCCAGACTCTAGCATGCCTAGTACGCCTGCTGAGCCAGCGGGTTTCGACTATAACCAGCTAGGAAACATGGGTCTGACGAATTTTGACTACCAGCAACTCCTGCAGAATCCGAACATCGACCTCAACAGCCTTGATCTCGCCCACATGAACAATGGTGGCTCAGGCACGATTGATGATCCTGCGAAGCGGCTATTAAGCAAGCAAGGCTACGGCAACAAGGGCACACCCAACCAGGCTCTCATGAACAGCAACAGTAGCGAGCTAGCCAAACGGATACGCGAAAGTCAACTACTCAACGGCCTAGCGGGCGTAGGTGGCTTTGTGGGTGAAGAGATCAAGCCGTTCAAGTGCCCTGTTATCGGCTGCGAGAAGGCGTACAAGAACCAGAACGGTCTGAAGTACCACAAGCAGCACGGTCACCAGAACCAGCAGCTGAAGGAGAACGTTGATGGCACTTTCTCGATCGTCGACCCGAATACCAGTATACCATACCCCGGCACGATTGGTATGGAGAAGGAGAAGCCTTATCGATGCGATGTTTGTGGCAAGCGATACAAGAATCTCAACGTATGTCACTCTCCACTCCTCACTTTCCGACCACTGCTAACACCACACTAGGGACTAAAATATCACCGTCAACACTCACCACCATGCAATCCAGAGCTAAAGCTCGACGCCGCAGGCATGCAAGGCTTGCCCAACAACGCCCAGGGCATGAACGCGAACGTCGCTCAAGCACCCGTCATGAACGACATGACAGGCTATTAGTCTGCATCCGGTCATTGCCATGTACCTGCTGTACTTGGGTACGTACCTCATCCTGGTCCGGGGTAGCATCATGATTCACGAGCGTTTGTGCTGCACGACGCACCTGTCAGCCATTTCGCGAAGCCCTGCGAAGCTTATCTGGTCGGACTCCGGCCGCCTCGTCGGAGCTGATGCCACGAACCACAGCATGCTTTCACGGCAATTGCGCGGCATCATCATCGCTGCGACACAACATCTCATCGCCTCCAGGCGCAGTGGTGGCTCTGACCAGGCTCGCATGCACTGGAAGAACTACTCGCTTACGCCTGCTTTCTTATCTCCTTCGGTTCGACTTGTTTTTACCTTGTGGGTTCCTTACTGCTTTTTCCTGGGAACCAAAATAAACATCGATTTTAGCGACGGTGTTTTGGAGTTTTCTTGAGCGGATGATCCCTTCTGTGCGCTCTCATGCCGCAGCGAGAGTACCTCAGGTGGCACTTCCTTTGACACTGTTTTCGCTTCGAACGATACCCCATGATGCGGCTACAAGTAGATTAGGCCCTTTCGCTATTGGCCGACGAGTATGGTTTAGGAATGGATAGAACTAAAAGATGGATCCCTTTTTTTTATGGCAGAGGTTGGAGTGGTGCGATGCAATGTAATGCGGTTGGTAGCTTTTATGCTGGAACATGCTTGTCATGATTGTATGAGGTATTATGCGCGAGCTGAGATAGAGGGAATGAGAAATACTTTCATCGGATAGAGTCTCACGGGGCTTTCGTACAGTCTTGCATGTCCCATATCATGGATTCGGGCTTTCCCAACTGTGCATTCGTGGACTTGCAACAGCAGGTACGAGCGAACCGCCTCAGATAACATTCCAATGGTTAAGACGGTTCACAGCGGCGCTGGGGAGAACATCGATGCTGAGCACGTAATCTGCTCGTTGGCTGATGCGTACCATATGCTACATCGCTGTCGCAAGATAACGTATATCTCGAAAATGTCCAGAGCTATCGCTCTCACAAGACTATCCCATCTTCCGACTGACCCGCTGCACCATCCCGAATGACCGTACACCGTGCTAAAAACACCAAAAAGTAGCGGCTGAAGCAGTAACGACCTTCAGACTTGCCCGACCTTGCTCCACCGCAAATCATGAACCCATTGTCCCTCTCCCAAAACTCCTGGAATTGACCCCGCCATGAACGGCAAAGAGTGTGCTCAAGCGGCTGCTCTCGTGTGTGGAGCAGGTACGCTGTTCGCCGTAGCAGTAGCCGTCTCACCCGGTGTAGGCAGTAGAGCGTAAGCGTGCGCCGATCGACTTATCTCAACCAGCTGCTGCAAGTTCAGACCATCGCTACGGAGCATACCGCGTTCACTCTGCTCCTTGAGGTACGTCTCGATTTCCGGCGGCAGACTTCGGCCTTGCTCGTAAGCAGCAATGATTCGTTGTGTGATGGCTGAGTCGCGGCGACGCTGTAACTCTGCAATATGCTGATCGGCTGCCGCTGTCTCATGAGGTGCCTCGTGTACAGTCTCGGTGTCCACACCATCGTCTTCCGCCTCCGAGTCGGCATCGCTCATTTCCTCGTCCTCGTCCATCTCAGCTGGGTGACTGCTGAGTGCACCATCTGCCTCTTGCACCACAACCGAGATGTCCGTCCGCCTGTGAATGTTCTGTCTTCTTCGCTCCTCCTCGGCCTCTGTGCGGTCAACCCAAGGAAGAATCTCGTCTCCCGTCGTGTCTACCACGGTGATGTTCTCGTCCTTCTCGTATCTACACAAATTGCGTTAGTACCATGTGGATGGTCCCGTGTGCCGGCTGCAATTACCTCTCCCGTGCCCACTTCGTCCCTTCCCAGCAACAGAACTCCTGAATCTCATTATACGTAAGACCGAGGTTATCAAACGCATCGAATAGCCGCCTGTGGTGCTTGAACCGGCCCAGACGCATGCGGTGGGGTGCGTAGCAGTAGTTCAGGCCTGGGTACCTTGCTTCCACGCTATTGAGGTCCCCATAGTATGTGGCTACCTCGATTCGTACTTCTGGCACTAGGTTCCGAGCGAGATGCGCCGAGAATGATGGTGGGTCGTTGGGAGTCGGGTGTGGGTAGAGGTAGGCGTATAGCAGATGTGCTATTGGTGTTTGTCGCCGCATCTCGGGTTGGGCCTCGTGGTGGCGAGCGTAGTATCGTATGTGGTTTGTAAGCAGACGACCAATTTTTTATGATCGTAAAGCCGGATACACGGCCTAGCGGTTGGTCGTAGTTCGTTTGGGCACAAACGACTTGGTGAGCGGTATAAAAGGGCGAAGTGGAAGTGAGGTATTGCGGCCAGGTCCAGAAGTTCCGTGGTTCCTGCAAGGGATGTCACAACCGACTTGGCGATGTGGTGGGCGGAGTAGGCATGAGCGGAAGGGAAGAGGAGGAGCGGTAGAAAGAGAAGGAGTAGATGAAGTGTGCGTGCGTATCTGACTCTTGGTCTGCAGGGCTCGAGAAGAGAAAGAGAGAGCCCGTGATGCTGGTCTGTGTGGTGTATCATCATGCGTGGCAGCCTTTCTTCCGACCCGCATCAGCACACGCTTTGTTCGCCAACCTGGCGCGAGGTTTAACACATGATTCGGGTCAGACCTGCGCGTTTAGCCTCGCCATGCATGTCTGTGACCACCAAAGCTTCGTGGGTGGATGTGCAGCTGCGTGGACGTGTCTTATTCGGCGCGGCAACCTGTTACGGCTACGTGTGGGCGGTAAAATAGCAGAAGATCCTCCCAAAGCTACTCCGGCCGGTTTTGCACAGCACGCCGCCACCAGGGCGTCCTTCAGCATCAACACCGGGCAAGAAGCCTGCTTGGGACAATGAATAAACTCAGCCGTGAGCTTCCAAGCGAAACGAGACGGGATTACACAGGCAAGGCGATGGATCTAACTCTCCCGGGTAGGGTCTCGGCGCCGGTACGGGCTGCAAAAGTACCCGCCGATGAGGCTCACTAGACATTTCCTGTTCATCACCGCATATTCCTCGTACCTCGCCAACTTTGACGCCTCACATTCTATCAGAGGCCTCTGAGCATAAGACAACACACGCAATGACAGTGGGCAAGTAGCAAGAAGCAAGTGTTCGCAGAGCTCGGATGGATACGCGTACGAGCCTTTCTTGGTAGCTTTCGTCTCCTCTATCTGCTACGGTTCACTCCGAAGGTTCAACAACGAAGGTTTGACACCCAGGCATTTGACCATCGCCACTACTGTTCACCGCTATGGCGGCTTCTTGTCTTGTCTGCCGTCCTTCCGGCTGAAGACACAACTCCACCGTCACCACCGCTGCATCTCCTGTCTTGTCCCTGCAGGCATCAGGCCGTCAGCAGGATGTTGGTGTCAATTCATCTGCACGTTGGCTGCAATGCATGTAATAATGCTTTGCACCATGGAGAAAGGCAATTGCTCGCTTGGATGTGGAGAGGCTGTAAATATGTCACACGTTTGATTGGCTATTTTCTTGGCTGTAGACTACACGATCGAACCACAATATCTCATAGAGATGCACAAGCCGCACTCTGCTATCGGACGCAAACTCACGTGGCAAAGTGTCCGTGTCGAATACATACATTCGGAGAGCATACTGAAGTGATCGCACCCACAAAAGCCAAAGTTAGGTACCGAGAAATCAGCGCCTTGTCCCAAGCAAAATCCTTGTCGATTTCTGCCAGCGCGCACATCTTTGACTTTTAACTTTGACAACCACTGGCTGCGCCTGCACACCGACGAACGCAGAGCGGCAAACAGGTTGCGGCGCTGCTGGCTGCTGACGCGCTACAGCTCCCCGCCGCCTTCAGCAGAGCAGGCGGCTTGTACAACAGTTGGCGTATTGTGTATACACGATCCGAGGAGAATGAAGCTGGTCACGTCGTCGAGCCTTGGCAGTGCTCCGGATACTTACCTCTACTCTCTGGCTCATATAGGAGGTCACTGTCTTGCTACCATCGGCTCAGATGATACGCTTCGGCTCTTCGACGCAGCATTGAAGGGTACTGCTACTACTCAAGTACGGAATGCTGGCCTGGCATGTTTAAAGTCCTTCTCAGATCAAGCCTTCATCACTGCTGGCCGGGACGGAGTCATCCGATTGTGGGACAGTCGTGCAAAGCAAGTCGCACAACTTAACGAGTCTCAAGATCGTGGCATCTCTGCTATAGCTTGCCACGATCACATCATCGCCGCCGGAACAGAAAGTAACAAGGAGGGTCTAGGAGATGTGAGTGTACTGCTATACGATAACAGAAGCCCTGCCGCACCGATTCGGGACTACGACGAGTCACATACAGACAGTATCACACAGCTGGCTTTCCATCCCTCCCAGCCCACTATCTTGCTCTCGGGCAGTACCGATGGCCTCGTCTCACTATTCGATGTCAATCAGAGAGAAGAAGAAGACGCAATACAGCAAGTCCTCAACCCGCGCTCAGCGGTCCACTGCGCAGGTTTCTTGACACCCGATCAAGCTTATGTCCTGACCACGGACGAGCAATTCCTTATCTACCCACTTCAGGAGCCTGTTGAGGGGAGGGAGCCACCGCCTGCCATCGACTTTGGTGATGTGAGGCAGAAGCTTGACTGTATGTACGTGATCGACCTAGTACGGCAGCCGAATGGTCAGCCAGTCGTTGCATGTGGTCATAACGTCAAACAGACCTTATCTCTGGTTCAGCTGGACGGTCCAGAGCCATGGAATCTGGGACGGTCGGTACAGCTTCCGGGTGCTCATGGCGAAGAAGTTGTACGGGATGTGCTGTTCGCGCAGGATCGGGTGTATAGCTGTGGTGAGGACGGGCAGGTGCGGTTGTGGCGATGATCATGAACGAGGCACTTTTTAAGATCTGCGAGTATCTGATCCGCCCAAAGGTCAAGGACTGCTGTGGAAGCATTGGAACCGCGCTGGGTTTCAGTACAGCCAAAAAATCTGCTCTGGACGGTCTCCAGTGACCTCGATCTATCGTCGCTGTGCTTTTCTGTGCAGACCAACATAGAATGCCAGCCCCATATTCAACCCCTCACCAATTGTTCGCGAGGGCGACGGGAGATGCAGCCCATTCTCTTTAGTACGTCTGAGACCGTGGATGCTCATGGTCCGATGGAGGAAGCCAGCTGCAAGAGACTTCATTGACCTCTTCGAGACTACACCACAATGATCGACCAAGCCTCAGAACCTTGCTGCCTTGCATGTCTCGCAAGCTGGCGAAGACCGTCGTGACAGACCGCACGAGCAATCAATCGCGCAAGACCTTCAGTACGCAGCCCGATACATCCACTCCCCTGTATCCTATCAGAAAGGAACCGTCGGCCTATACTTGGGCAGCAGTCAGTACACAGACCGTTCTGAGGACATTAGTGCATGGAATGGATGGACGTATGTCCGACGGGCGCGATGAAAGGAGTCTATAGGCTCTGCCAAGTCGAACAATCACGCACACTCCTATGGTCAAGGTCAACGAATGATCTGTGATGGACTTGGCAAGCGCCTTCGAAAATAACGTTTACACAATATGCTTAACTACCATTATCAATGCAGCCCGCAATGCTAAGGCGCAGTCATGAGTCACAAGACTCGGGGTATCGGCGAACTGTATACAAGAACTCCTGCCACCGTCGTGATATTCGCAAGCATTCTACTGTTGCTCAATCTCCCTTCTCTTTCCTCAAAAGCTCACGGTTCCAGCCGAGGTACGTCTCGCTCTTCACATCAAGTATCCCATCCGTGCTATCCAGTCTATTGCCCAAGATCGTCTCTTTCGTTATCTCATCCCTGTTTGTGGTGTCGAGTGCAGGCTGTCGTAACACACACGGATCGCACCATACTACCTATGCTGTACGGCGACATAGCTTAGTTGCAGATGGCGCCGAACTGGCGGCTGTTCAGAGGCTGAGGGAAGATACCGGCATCGATGAGGCGGAAAGCGTCCCACTCGGGCGAGGCCTCGGTCTTGAAGTTCCAGAAGACCCAGCCTTGGGTGTAGCGCTCGAAGGTCTCCATCTGCGCCTCGATATAGCCACGAGTATCATCCCTCATGGTCTGGTCCCAGGTCTCGATGAAGTTCTTGTTCTGGCAGCTGCCAACGTACGAGGAGCCTGGGTAGAGACCTTCGTAACGAGCACCGATACCGTAGCCGTTGAGAGCCGCGGCGCAGTCGGTCATGGCGGCTGACCACTCGCCGACGAATGTCCACTTGTCTGCACCGCTGTAGGTACCGGCGTTGTTGCAGACGTATTGGCGATGCTGCCATGGCGCCAAAGCGACGAGCTCAGGAGTGAAGACTTGATACTCGTGGTGATCGATCGCAACCCACTCGGCGTTGTTGTCAGAGGGAGTGAGGAAGCCGTTGTAGGAGCTGGGTGGCATGAAGCCATCTTGGAGAATGACGACACGGCTGTTTGATACCTTGCGCTGCTGACCATAGCCATCACGTTCGAATTGTCTGGTCGTGTCCGGGTTGAGTGCGGTGTTCAACGGTTCGTTGAGGAGCTCGATACCTGCTACAACATCGTCATAGCTCGAGTCGCCGTATTTGGTCTGGATGGTCTCGAGGACATCAAGGGTCTTCTGAACCGTGTTGCCGGATTGCCAGCCAGGTTGGGCGATGCGCTGGCCGGAGTTGTCGAAGCTGTTCGCAAGGTTAGTTCGTGGATCAGGAGCTCATCATATTAAATCCGGCTTACCCATTTTGCGAACCAGGGGCACCGTGAAGATCAATAATAACCTTCAAGCCGACTTGACGGGCCCAAGTGATCGCTTGATCGATGTATGGCGCAGCACCACTGGCGTAGGGAGAATCGGAGTTGTCGTATGCCCAGTAGCCAACGGGGATGCGGATGAGGTTGAAGCCGGAGTTCGCGATCTTCTGAATATCGGCAAGCTGCACCCACGAATCCCAGTGAGGCTTAAGGACGTTGTCGTGAGCTTGCTGAGTCCCCAAGACTTGGTTGAGGGTGTACTCGTCAACAATGCCTTGCGAGAGAGGGTATGCTTGGAAGATGCTCGGGGTGATCCATGGTTCGAGAACGAGCCAACCACCGAGATTGACACCTTGGATCTTGGTGTTCTGGTCCAACGTCAGTTAAAGGTCTCGTGTGCGTATATCGAAGCACTTACACCCCAGTCGAAGCCGGAGGGACTCGAACGTCTCGTGCTGCAAGGGCTGTTAGCTATAGCTTCACGACAATTCATTGTCTCGATACTCACGGAGCAGCCGTAGTCAGACCAGCGGCGCATAGCGCAACCGTAAAACCCTGAAGCAACATCGATGCCATGTCGTTATCCTTGTGTGCGATCTCTGGTTATGGCAGGACCAGTGTGTCGCAAAGGATGTCGGAATTGAAGGCTGCGATCAACAAACCAAGCAACAAAGGTTTTGAGACCAAGAGTTGCCAATGGAATGTGGAATGCAGAGGTAGCTTCCTGCAATCTTGCTGCGAGCCCCGGGTAATAATGGATTGAATGCTGGAACGAACGCGATAATAAGAGGACTAGTGACTAGGGTTGTTTCGTCGACTACCAGTGCCGAGCATGGGGCGTGAGGTTTTGTCGGACTTGGTCGCTTGGGTGCTTGGCTGGTAGTCGATGGCTAGTCGTTTCAAGTCGTGGCTGGTCAAGTCTGTATAGCGATCTTATACATGGACCGTGTGAGAGTGAGAGAAAGGGGAGGATGTATTATTAATAATGAACATGAGAATGCATTCATCTTACCGCTGCGGAGGCTTCACCTACACCTAGGCTTCTTTTCGTTGCTGCCGTGCCTGTGGGTCATGCTGCATCTCCGTTCACGGTAGAGAGGAGCGCGTGTGAGCTGGCGACAACGCGCAGAAGCTGTTGAGATCATCGCTGCGACTGCTCCCTGTGGCTGGTGGCTGGTGGAGCTCTGAGCCTAAACCAACTTAACATCGCCATCTTACTTTCTTAGGCTAGGAGAGTCGGCATATCGCGACAAACCTCGTCAGAGGCTGCGCCGATCGCCGAATCTTTTGTGCGTCACATGTCCAGTCGCATACAGGCAATATTCCCCATCTTCCAGGCCGTGTGACTACGAGCGTGCGATGACGGAGCGGTGATAGGGCCCTAAACTTCCTTGCGCCGTGCCGAACACCTCTACGATGTTCAACGCACCGCCACGCCTCCTGTCTTGCCATACACGCGCCAGTGAATACCGCAGACACCCGGATGTACGATACAGGGACCGCTCGTCGACTGAAAAAACCTTGGCAGGGCAACCGCAGGCGCCGCCGCTCCAAGTTTAGCCTTGCCGGCGGCCCGCAAAGCGTGGCGTTTTCGTGCATCTTGCAATGACTCTTCTCAGCCAACGACGACTTGCAGAATGACCTTGGTGAATCAACCTCGGCCAAGATCTTGAACACGTTGAAAGTGAAGCTCCACGACCACCTGAGACATGATCAAGCTGCCCAGATTCTCTTTCTGAGCCGTTGTTGGGCGTTGACCAGCCACAGCGGTAGCTAGCGAAGGGAGGAGTGTCGCTGTCAGCAGGACGGAGTCTATTGCTGCAACAGTGGGAGCGGTGACGCAAGGTCGAAGAGCAGCGAAGCAGCACAATTCGAAGCGGGAGACAAGACTCTAGACCGCACAAGGTCATGCCGAGTCCACGCCATGAGAGACCAGATGACAATATTTAGACTTCGTGAGACCGCTTTGAGGATGTAAACGTGACCTGTTACCATCGATCGGTTTCTGTAGTGTTCGGTAACGATGCCAAAGAGTAGTACAGCTACAGACGGCTACCGTGATTGGGCAAGGTGCATAGTTCGTTAGATAAATTATTCATGCAGACTCGGCTCGTTGTCAGCCACTCTGCATTGCTGCAGCATTCATGACGCCAGCGGCAGCTACAACGTCAGACAGTGAAAAGTAAGATTGTTCGAAGCGGCAAACTATGCTGCTTCCACCAGAGCTGTGCCTCCCATAGCACCCTGCTAAATTCGTGGTCTTGTTCGACGTCAGTCTAGATGACCTATACATGCGTTAGCATTCTCCTTTGGTGACACGGGCCGAAGAACCACTTACTTCGGCAATGCTTTGCCTCTCAATTATACTTTTCTGTGTATCACTGCGACTCACACGCCAATATGTGTCCGCATATTCGCTGCAATTCATGTGCTTCAAGAATTCCTCGTCGTGCGTGATGACAATCAGCTGAAAGTTGCGCTGCACCTTCCTCATCTTGATGATCTCCGACAGACTCTCTGCCAGCGCCTTGATGTTATCTTTGTCCAGATTCGTGGTGGGCTCGTCGAGAGCAATCAATCCACAGTTGACACCAAAGCACTCCGCAAGCGCCAGACGAATGATGATCGAGGCCAGGACCTTCTGGCCTGCGGAGCAGCGTCCACGCATGTCCATCTCTGCATCCTGCTTGACCATGCACACGTGGTAGTTATACGACTTCGCAGTCCTGCCGCCCTCCTTTGAACTCTTGATGAAGATCGTGTCGACGTCCGTACCTTGGTAGGTCTTGCGCCACAGCTCGTCAATGATGCGATTGATCTCTTCCATCTTGATAGAGTGGTACCGCATGATAGCCTGATCGAGCGCAGTACCAAAACTGTTGAGATCCGCAACACATGCCTTGGTCGTCTCGACATTGATGTGAGCCTCCTTGTACTTGCGAGCTGCATCTTTGTATTCAGTCTCGTAGTCGTTCAGTATCTCCTCCAGTATCTGGTCCTTCGATTTGAGCGTTCCAGCCACGCCTGACCGCTGAGCCCCAAGATTGCTCTGTTCATTCTGCCACCTAGTACCCTCTGCCGCATACTTGGCTTGGTCTCGTTCAGCATCATGGGTTTCTAGTTCGGAGATCTCCTCGCGCACCTGCTGAAGGCGTCTCAGGTCTCGACGATAGCGCTGATTGTCGGCGATGCTTCTCCTTGTTTCGTCTTGGTTACGGAGCTGGTCTTCGAGCTTTTTGACGCGGCGGACGATCTGACCTTGCTCCTCCTCCAGGCGACTTACTTCTGTCTTTTGAGCTTCCACATCACGCTTGCCGCGCTCAAGCTGAGTTGGGCCTCCACGAGCAATGTAGGAATCGATGTCTTCACTGGCAAGGGTCAACTGGTTGACGCTGGTGTTAAGCTTGTTCAAACCCGCTTGGAGTTTGCGATCCTCGTCGGCGCCGGCACGTGCGACATCGTCGTACTTGGCTTGGGCCTGAGCCAGCTTTGGCACGAGTTCCTGCAATTCCTTGTCATGAGCTTTATTGCCGTCGCGCAGTTCCGAAATGTGTTTCTTCAGATCTTCCATCTGACCCTCCAGAGACCGCTTCTCCTTGAGCTGATACTCTGCCGTGCTGAGCTTGCTGCGGATGTCGCGTGTCTGGAGCTCAAGACCGTTGACCACACCACGGGTACGCTCACGATCGCCGTTGACCTTGGCGAGACGAGCCTTTGCGGCGCGAGCTTCCTCATTTGTCTTCTTGAGATCTTCTTGGATCTGCTCCAGGCCACGTGATACACCCCGGGACTTCTGCTTCGCTGAGAGCTCCTCGATCGAGTGTTGTAGATCAATGATCTCTTTGTGCAATTTCGTGATGCTCTGTACAGTACGAGACACGGCATCAATATCACGCTTCGCGGCTTGACGCTCTTCGACCACAGCATCCTGCTGCTCCAACTGCTCGATCAACTTCTCACGTGATGCCTTCAGCTTGCTCTCCTCGCGATCATGACCTGGTAGCTCTTTCTGTTTCAGTCTCTCCCAAGTCTCAAATTCATGCTCGACCGATTTGAACGAAGCTAGCTCCTTCTCAAGCTGCTCCAGATCCTCTGGTGTCCCTCCAAGATCTTTCTGAAGTCTCTGCTTCTCCCTCTCTACGTTCTTGAGCAGTTGGTCGGCGTCTTTCTTGTCCTTGCTGAGCCCGCGCCCACACGTACGACAGCATGGCTTCGAAGCATCCTTGGCGGTCTTGATGCAAGCCTCGAAGTACTCGAATATCAGCTTAATCGAATCGGCATCAGATTTGAGGTTGGCCCGACTCTCCTCATACTGGCGGAGTTCGTCCGTGTATTCCTCGGCAGTAACTCCACATTCCTTCTTGATCTTCTCTCCAGCCGCCTTCACAGCCTGCCGCTTGTCCTTCAACTCTCTGCGACATGTGCCAAGTTGAAAGTCGATCTGATCCTTCTCGCGGTTCGTGCCGTCACGCTGGCGCTCAGCATCCGCAACCTGTTCGCCGCTCTCGTCCAGAGTCCGTTGAAAGTCGCCTTCAACGGTGTCGGGCTGCCAGTCTGTACCGATTAGGCTGTTGATCTTGTTGCTGTACGTACTGATCATGGTCTCGAGGCTGCGCTCCCGGTCCTTTACGTCCTTACGAAGCAGATCCACCCGAGCAGTCTCGCTGGCCTGACGAGTACCTTCGATCAACTCACCATCGAGCTTGTCTTTGCGGTCCTCCAACTTTCTGAGCGCGCCTTCTGCATCCTCCAGGCTCTGCTCCCAAGCGGAAGACTCCTCGTCCGCTTTCGCAGTTGCAAGTCTTGTGTCAACATCTTGTAGGTTGGCCTCCATTGTTGCTTTGGCGCCTTCGTCGATGCTGATACGATTGACATCGCTCTGAAGGCTACCGATCTTGCGATCATTGGTCGCGATGGCTTGCCGCGCGTTCTCCTTGCGGCCGTTGATGGTAGTCTTTTGCTGATTCAAGTCGTTCAGCGCTTGCTGCTCACGCTGCAACTTTTCCTGTGTCTCGCGCCTTGTGCGTTCAAAGGTGGCATTCTGATCTCGGGCCATCTTGGTGATCCGGTCCATGAAGACAGCCACTTGTTCTGCATCGAGCTGAAGATCGAAGCCGCGGATATTGTGGCTGCGTGCCGTCTCCTTTACAAGCTTCTCGCGACTTGCTACCTGACGCTCGTATTGCTGAGCTTGCGCTTCGTACGAGCCACAATCGCGCTCCTTCGTGCTAACAAGGTCGCGAGCTTGCTGTACTTCTCGATTCATGTCTGAGTATTGCTGCTTCTCCGCATTGAGATCGTCTTGATGATGCTGCACTCGCTCGTCATACTGCTCGACCATACGTTGAAGCTCGTCATCAGAATCTGACATCTCTTTGAGATTCTCTCGAAGACTCTGCACACTCTCCTCCTTCGTCCTTTCCTCAATACGCTTGCCAACAAGCTGGCCAGCAATTGCACCAGCCTCACGTGCCTTTGTAGACGCCATTTCGAAATTGCGGCCTGCCTGATCAAGGCGATCGCTGAGGTCGGCGTGTTGCTGGCGAAGATCGTCACACTCAACAGTCAGCTTCTCGGACTGCTTTTCGATGAGCTTTGCACGATCCTTGTTATGCCTGCGGTGCTCTTCGTCATTCTTGTAGACTTCGAGCTTGCCTTTATAATTCTTGGCCATGACCCGGATGTTGTCGATCGCTTTGGTGTACTTCACGGCCTCGAAGATGGCATCAAAGCGTTCCTTGAGATCTTTCGGACTGGACATGGGCCATAGCGATTCCTCTTGATGACAGAAGATCACGCTCTCGAGCACTGATCGAGAGACTCCTAGATAACCCGGCACCAGGGCGTTCATGTCCGCCACGCGAGAGCTGAGAGACACCTTCTCGCCATTCTTGTGCATCAAGAGATTCGTTTCAACAGCACTTGTGGTACGGCTGGCCTTCTTCACCGTGAGCTGCAGACTCCGAGTGCAGGTATAGACTGTGCCGCCACGATCCTTGAATCTGAGTTTGACCTGAGCCATGACCTCCTTCTCGCCACACAGCGCGGGATCGTGTACGAATGCACCGTTCTGCTTCGCGTTCGGGGGTAGATCTCCAGTTGTTGCATACCGTAGACATTCGATGATGGTCGTCTTGCCACTGCCGTTGGGCCCAACAATCAGTGTCAATGGCTTTTCGAACTGAATCACCATAGGATGACGATTGTCGAAGGACCGGACGCCCTGGATTTGGAGCCTGTCGATGGTAGACATGATGGCGGCTTGCACCAGATCGAAGGTAGCCTTGTCGGTGCAACCAAACTTTAGCCAGTCGCAGGCCGGCAGCCCGTGAGATCAGTTGTTGAAGCAATACCTTTGTCCGAGATTTGTTCGTATCTGGCCTATCCGAGATGGAGGTACAGCAATCTGCTGTTGTCGAAGGCAAGTTGGATTGTCTTCAAGATCGAGCTTTATTAGAAGTCTGTTTGCCTTGCAGGCAGAAGTGCTTAAGCGAGCGAATGTCACGCGTGATCACGCGACTTGGTGGGCTATAGACAGTCTTAGTCATCAATAGCTCCCAGCACTAGTGCGAAACGACCTCAAAAGTTCCAGTAACTCGCACTCACACTTCTCTCCTCATCGCCATCCTCGTCAACGCTGCGTTTCTTGGTTCACATACAGACAGCGCCTCGTGCTCGTCCATTCATGGCCAATGAGAAATTCGGAGTAATCTTCACCTCAAATCCATTCCCTCGTCGACTCGACAACAAGGTCTGGTGACTGCCTGTAAGGGCCTGCCATGACTCTCATGGTTGCATTTGGCATCAGAAATTGCAGCCTTGCATGCTCACTACAGTGGGCTCTGTATTGGCTATGGGAGCCGGTGCGAAGATTGTGTGTGCTTGCTGCCTCGGAGGGCTTGTACGATCACTTTAGTGCAATACGCGGCGTACTGGCATCTCATTCTGGCACTGTAGCGATATGGACGGAGTGGGATGTCAGTATCATTCGATTCTGATTACTGTGAGTCTAGAAATAACACTGAGGAAGTGGAGCTTCATATGCTGACTATGACTTTAGCTGGCGAGGATGGCGATCAACCTTTTCTTTTTGCCGCACATGGCCGGCACCTTCTCGCGGTGTGCGGTGTCTAGTAGCTCATGAGAGTGAAGCTGAGCCCGGCCGACCATCCCATGCACGTGATTAGATCCATGTTGCTCTTCCAGCATCAGAACCAACATCAGCGCGGAAAGCAATTTCCTTTCAGAACAACTTCTACCTTTGCAAGCTACCCTGTTGTCGTACTCTGCTCAGCCGACCTCCACCGTGAACTCTTTTGCCTTCTGCATCCGACTCTGCAGAGGCTCTGCGCCACCGACCTTCGCCAACTTCATCTCAAACTCCTTACTCGGCTCCTCTCCCTTCTTCTCCAATCTATACAACAGATCCGTCCTCATCGTATACTTCGTCCCGCCCAACACATCATCCCCGCTATGCAGTAATCCTCTATGCTGGAACAACAGCACCCTCCCTACCTTCGGCACCACATCCAGTCTTGACTTCATATCGAGGCTGTGGAATGTCGTCGCACCACCCTGCAGCTCTGCACCCTCCTCAGATTGACTGAGATACAGATGCAGCGTGAAGTACGTCCGCTCCTTGTGATCAGGAGTCTCATACGACCCATCGCAATGAGGGCGGAAGTACTCGCCGCCAACGTACTTGAGGAATCTCATCCGCTCGTTCGGGCGGCTGACACTCCACACTTCACCGCGCTTCGCAGGACCATTGCCAAAGATCTTGGGTACATTCTCCAGACGCACAATCTCCTGCACGTCAGATAAATCCTCGATCCGCTTCCAGACTGCAGTAGCAAGGTCTTGGTTATCGTAGATTATGCGACCGCAGCAGCGTTCATCTTCCATAAGTCTTTGTTTGCCACCGCCGATGTTAATCATGGCTCGCTCCCAGACGCCATTGTTGCTCTCCTCTGCTGCTTTAAGTAAGGTCTTACATTCCGAGGCTGTGAGGACGTTGTCGAAGATGACTGCGTATAGGCCTTTGTAGCGGGGTAGTACTGTATCTTCGAAGTTGATCCGTTCGACAATGATGTCGCTTGCTGGTTGAGCCAGGAACTCTGGCGGGACTGTCGTGGTCGCCATTGTGGACGAGCTTGAACGTCCTAGCCGATAGTATTTTGCAGTGGCGTGATGTCTACGAGTAGCAAAAGACACACACGAATTGGTTCTTATTCTTATCCTACTGTTGCCTACGGTAATTCGAATTATGTTGCTGCCTGAACGAGAAGTCCAGCTTCATCTAGAAGTGATCGTTGCATCCTCACTACATGCTTCGTGACTCTGAAACAGCGCGAGGCCACAGTACAGATCTACCAGGCTGAGTGAATGAGTCAACGCCCGCGCGCTGCGCCACGAGCCGACTTGCATTGTGCGCATGATCTGACCTGGGGCCAAGGTTTCGTGCCAGGTTATTCACTGACATTATGTACAGAATACTGCAAGCCGCAAGGCTGTCCAGTGGTTGCAATCATCGACTGGAACATGCCGTGGGTATCAAACTCCTCGAGGCCAAGTAGTTCGCTAGCGTGAACACAGACTCATAACTTCACTCCCCCTCCCCAACACCACCGTCGACCTCCGCCTCCCTTTCCCCCCTCTCCAGCCTCCTCAAAATCTCTTCATTGAAAATCGTCTCCTGACTCCCCAAAATGTCCGGCCGTCCGTAGTGTACCGCAGGCCCAATCATATCAATCCAATCCCTCCTTTTCTGCATCAACGCCTTGACACCTTCACTAACACCTCTGCCACCCACGCCCGCGATGCCGACGCCCCTACCAGCCGCCGCCGCAGCCCGGGCTTGAGCCGCCGCTGAAGAGGATGAACCTTTCTTGGAAGGTTTGGATTGGAGACTGCGGTTACGCTTGAGGTAAGCGGCGTTGACTTGGCCGTCGAGGTCGTCGGCTATGTTGGTGTATTCTTGCATGGCCATGCGCTCTTCGGTCAATTCTAAGACGCGTGCTTTGCGGATGTTGTTATGTCTGCTCACGCGACGGAGTTCGTGCTGCAGCGTTCTTAATCTCGCGGCGATCTCATCGTCGTTGTGTGCGGCGAAGTCCTGGACATCTGTTGGTGACAGGAAGCCGAGGTAGGTCAGTTCCTGCTGCATGCGGGTTTCTAAGGTCGCGTAGTCGAGGTTTTGTGGAATGTTACTAGGTCGAGGGAAGTCGAGAGGGAGCGCGGTGGCTGGTTTGATGTTGAGAGCATCGTCTAGGGAGGCACCAGGTAGAGCGCTGTCGGGATCGCCGTCAGTGCCGTTGATCATGGAGGTGTCGCCGCTGGCGTCGATTTCGTTGTCTTCACGCTTGGCGCCTACAGGCTGTGGTCGCAGAATACTCAACATCCTTTCCATAATCGGACCATGGCTCACTTCATCCGTCTCAGCCGTAGCATCGTCCATATCCTCCATACTACCTCTCGCCTCATTCGGGTTCAGCCCGACCTTTGCCGGAGCTTCTATCCCTGTCAAGCCATCCTCCGCAGCCCAGATGTCCTTGTAACTCTTATTGCCACGATTTGGAATAACGTACGGTGCGAAACGGTCGCCCCTCTCCTTAAGGAAGGCTGCATCTTCTTCAGTGAAAGGTCGGATGTAAGGCTCGACGTAAGTCTGGAAAGTCGAGAAATTAACCTGATTTGCCGGCTTAGCGTTGCTGAAGTCCTGATCCGGTGGGTCGCCTGCTGTGAGACCGCTGATGTCGTGGCGTGGCCAGTGGAGGACGTTCAATCGTTCTCGGATCTCTTCGTCGGGTAAACCAGGAGAAGGCGGTCGGATGTCGTATATGGTTGGGTCGTCGAATGTACTTGGATCCTTGCCGAACGCGCGCTCATATAGTGGGATTGTGGCTGGTGGCTCAGTCCGCGCATCTTCCGAGTCAGCTGGTGAAGCGGCGACGTCCATGGGATCCAGTGCCGCTGTGCCTGGTTGCACTGGTGGAGATGGTGGCGCCGGTTGACCTGGACGTGATTTGCTTAGCTTGAGTACTAGACGAGGCATTATGCGCTGATTGCGTTCGCGATTGCTTCTGTAGTGTAAATGCGATGCGCGAAGGTGCACTCAAGACACCTTTATAGGTGCGACTGAGCGAGCACGTGATCCTGGCTGTACACATGTGACCTCCCGGAATGGAAGTAGCCGAATGAAGGCGTTGTGAGCTCTGAAGAAGGAAGGAGCAGGTGTATAACGTACCTTCATGAACACCGACACCATCCTGTCTCGCCAGTCCATGCGCACCAACACTCGGCAAGCTTTCTCGTCGCTTCGCCCTGTCCTCCTCCTCGCCGTCAATCTCCATCTCATCTCGACTCCGCTTCCTACTCAACGCCCCCTTCTCCTTCTCTCGTTCCTTCTCTCGCTCCTTGTCCTTCTCCTTCTTAGCTCTCCTCTTCTCCGCGTCTTCGCGCTCCCTCTTATCCGCCATTTCCTGCGCCTGCCTCGCAGCCTCCTCCTCCCGCTCGGCAGCTATCCTCTCCTTCTTCTTCTGCATCAGCTGCCTCATACCTCGATCGCATATTTCGCCCCGTTTGCCCATGAACTTGTTGACACTATCGCGGATCCTGTCGTGCAAGCTATTCAGCTCTTTGGCCGTAGGAGGCTCAGATCCACGAGCACTCGTGCCAGATATGAGCTGTTCGATACTGAGATCATCGGACAGCAGAGCCGAAGCAGTAATCTTGAGGTAGGCAGTCTCCCTCGGCACAGCAGCAGGAGTGGGCGTGGCAGTGACCGGCGTAGGCGGAGCGGAGTTCTCAGTCAACGCGGACACTGGGGTGGAGTGGCGCGAGACAGACCGACGGTCGCGCGCAGCCGGCTTCGACGCTGCTGCTGCCTTCTTCGCGACTGGAGGGGCCATATTGAGATGCGTGAATGATTAGACTGACATTATTACCAGTCCATGGTCACGTCGACCTCGTCTCTCTTCCTACTTGCATGTGAAAGGCTGTCTCCACTAACCCCACAGTTGACGAGCCGTGATTATGACAGCCTACTCTACCATACCTTACATATTGCGGCGCAGACCCTGATCTCTCTTCATCCGATTGTCTGGCCAGCGGCACAAAGGCACAGGCTCGCAGCACTGTTTGCTGATCTCGTGGCGCAAGAAGACAATCTTGGAGACGTGGTCCTGCAGCATAGACTTCACATCCGATCACATCGCTGCGCCACGATTAATGCAACCTCACTCTACTGTCCGCCACGCCTTTCCTATCACGCATCCAACCACACGTGCCAGTCTGTAGATCTCTCCATCATTCCTGCTGCTTCTGCGGTGTCACAGAGATTTCTGGCTCCGCTTGGCTGGACAGATAAGGCGTTATGAGATGCTGTACCGACTGTGCCCAACTCTCTGCCATGGACAGTGTACCGGCCGCCACAGGCTTAACACACCCAAGGAAGAGCTTGTTGTTGGCTTCATCGACTTCTAGCTATCATCTATCCAGCCGACTTATTGGCTACGCAGCATCGCAACCATGGGTATCACCACCAATTTTTCTGGCGCTCGAAGAGGTAGTAGCTGACATTCACGAGCTTAGCTGCATCTAGTGTCTCCGTGATCGTAAAGGACATCAGCATTTCCGGCGAATCTTGACATGTCAATGCATACGTCTCGTTTCGCTACTCGTTAGATTCGAACATCACTAGCTTGTCTGTCCACAACGGCCAACTCAACTTCCAAGAGGGCTAACTATACACCCCTGACCTCCCAGACCCGACCTGCGTAACCGCTAGTGTCCCCTACGCGCCCTCGAACACGACCCGACTGTCAGATCCTCCAAAGAACGGGGACGTAAGAGGACATATGGCAATTGGCCCCAAGACGACCCCTGAATGCATGCTCGAATATTACACAAACAACCGCATCAACGCTTTCTTTGTCGTCTTCCAGCAAATTGCACCGACGAGCCGCTGTATCCTAGGAACGCTGTGTGGAATCTCGGTGATCGAGATCAATGGAAAGCCACGTCAAAATATCCCGTCTACGCTTTACCCGGTCAGACGGGACAACTTCTCATGGACGCTCTGGCGCAGTACAGCGGCAATGTGAGCGAGGTGCCATTCGGACAGCAATTAAGCCAGCTATACAGACCAGATGACTATATTCGGCTGTCGATACGCTATGAGACTGTATATTATGTGTTCCTCCCCTGCATCGGTGGAGAAAATTGACGATGGCTTTTAACACTCGTGAGGTTTCGCGAGTAGTGGAGCTGTGTTACCGATATGAGCGGTTATCATTCTGGTCGTCGGTTCACTCCCGTGTTTCGCGGCTCTCATATCAGGACTCCAGCATCGCCGGCAGCATAGACGTCGTGTCGACCTTCGGCAGAGGGTCGTGAATGGTGAAGTCGACTTGGAGGCTTTGGGTGTCAAGCGGCTTACTATTTCCCAAGATGTGCTGGACAAGATGCCACTGTATGCGTATGGCACCGAGAACGTCAACAACACGCCCCCAAAAGCAGTGGTAAACATGCCGTCTGGGTCTACTACTCCTCTCGAAGCCGAGGAAATGGACTCAACGGCTAGTAGTTGTGATTCCTCTGTGCCCTCGGCCACACGGCCGGTCGTCGCTGCTCGCACACTGAGCTACTATCCCACGTCACTCGACCAGCCTACTCGTGCGATCTGTCTCGACAACTTCGTATCAGCTGTCTCGCCAGCAGCCGTCCACGCCCGAGTAAACACTGAGACGGCTGCAGCTCACGGTCCGAGAAATAAGAATATCTTGATTACGCTCTCGCTATCACCTGCACCACTTCGGCGCGGAGATTCGACAGCCGCAGCCGACTCAACGACGACCAGAACACTTACTGTCCACCCTCGGGCTACTCCAGGACGCCGAGAATGGGCTCGCGAGTGTGCCATTGCTATGTTAGGAGGACGTATTGCTCCCGATGATCTAGACGAAGAGGAGCAGCGACAGATATCTGGGTGGTGGAGATTTGTTACTAAACTATTCGCGGGTCTCTTGAGGCGATGAAGTCTTCATTTGTCACGGACGTGGACCTGGACATGATGAGGCAAGTTTGTGGTTGATGAGGATGGAATGAATTGTTGTGCTGAGGCCTCGGGCTCTTGGTTGTTTGTGTCTATGTTATTGCTGATCATCCCGCTACTGGATATACCACGAATGATCATCAACGGCGCCTGGTATCGGTATGGTCACACTATCTAGAGGATATGAGCCTGCCATGGTCCTCCAATTAGTCTCATTCGAACAACAACTATTGTGCCACTGGGGACGAGGGCAGAAGATGATTTGCCGCACGAAGCTGCCGCGTGTACCATCGTAGGATGGTCATGTTGTATAGCCGTCGGATCTGTGCCGGTGCCCTCTAAGCTCGAGAGCCAAGAGGCGTCAAGCGTGCATGATCGACGTCAGGCGGGGAGAATTTCACATGGTCTCAATATTCCTGTGGACATCCCGACACAACGACAAGATTGCCTTCATAGCCTACACAACGATGTCTAACGGGACGTCCGGTAGAATACATCCAAATATCATAGATCTTGGCTACCATGACCCCGCCATGATGCCGAAGCTGCAATGCAACATGGGACTCTGTGGAGGGGAGGCTGAAGTTGACGGCCGAGTATACGTTGAAAGGTGATGATATACCGCTCGTCGAACGTGCCTCTGCCGTCACGTTTAGCACCTGCATTTTCGTTGTCCATCTGTGATATCAAGACATAGCCATGAGCACCATTACCCAAATCACAGCGCTGCTCGCCACGAGCTTAGCTCTTCTGGCATCTACGACAACGGCCTCGGTGACAGTCCAATATACCGGCCGTGCACCTACAGGCTACGAGGTCACTTTCAAGTACACTAATGCTACAGCCAACAAAGTCCAGATTGCAGGCGGTCTGCTACCATTCACCGATCAATTCCACACTACTCCTGCCTTCAGCACAGCTTATGATCCTCACGAGTATCGTCCTGGAGACTTCTTCGTCGCCGGTCTGAATGTCAACACTACAGGCAACCTTGGACCGCAAGGAAACTACACTGGCTTCTACATGAACAACACTGGTAACGGGCATTGGGAGTGGACTTCGCCCTTTCCTTCGGGCACATATAGCTACGCATATATCATCGATTGCGGCCTTGGGCCACGCTGCGCTACGACAGAGCCCGGACAAGTGCCAGGCTTGACATTCTATAACGACCCGCAGAACCTACCTTTCCAGAACGATCACCTCCAGTTCAACCACTCTATCTTCCAAGTCCCATATGACAAAGAGTTCCAGTACTATCCAGCCCTGAACCTTGACTTCGACTTTTCTCTGCCAGTCCCGACAGCACATCAGGGCAAAGCTCTCGCAGTGAACTACTCTTCACCGGGGTCGACATACCCGGCGAAGGACATCCATGATCTAGCGCTTTACTTGCCACCGAACTACGATCCAAACTGCACAGATCCTTATCCAGTTCTATACCTCTCGCACGGAGGTGGAGGGTCAGCGTACGACTGGCCCAACCTAGCCAAGGCCTTCAACATAATCGACAACCTGATCCTAGAACAATGGATCCCACCCACCGTAGTAGTCTGCCCAGCCTTCTACAATCTAGGCTGTAACGACACAGGTCCCTTCCCGGAACTCATGATCTGCGTGCGCGAGAACTACCTGAGTATCTTACTGCCATTCGTTGAAGAGACGTATCGCGCCTCCTCGGACCCCGAGCATCGTGCTTTCGCCGGCCTGTCGTTGGGCAGCGAGCTGACTTATGAAATGTATATCAACGCCACCTCGAATTTCAGCTCCTTCGGTCTCTTCTCCGGCGCCCGCGGACCAGCGTCCAGCGACACGAACACAGCAGGCTACATCAGTAACGCTTCCGTGGCCGCGAATCCTGAATTGGCCAACCGTGGCGTCTTCGTTGGGTTCGGAAACTTCGATATCGCGTTCACGGATTGCAGGGCTCTAGAGCTGGCGCTTGAGTTGGCGGGCGTGCCGTTTTTGTCAAGGTTCGTGCCGTGGGGCAGTCACTTCTGGAATACGTGGCAGGATACTTTGTGGTATTATGGTAGGATTGGGTTGTGGAAGCCTACACCTTATGGTATCGACGCCGGAAGAACGGGCAGGGTGACTTATTGAGTTTCGCGTGGCCAGGAAAGACAGAGCATTCATTAGTGCTGTCTACGGAGCCAACGGAGCACCGCCGGGACATAACGTCGGCGATGTACTTGTATTTCCGGCATGGTCGGGTATGATTTCGACCGATCTTGCTCATGTCGTTTGAATCGGGCGAAGTATCGATAAACGACATGACCAGACTGCTTACTAAAAGTTATCACATAGATAGTACACTCAAGCATAAAAGTCCCAAAGCTTGTTGGCACGATCCATGACCTCGCGTTGTCCCATTGTGAGGCCGCTTTCTTCACTATCCCATGCTTTGAGCCCGAAAGCTCTCATACCGTCTTCTGGGTCGACCTCCTCCACGTCCTTCGCGCCTGGACGACCGACATGCTTACTCTCACCTACGCCGCCACCAAAGTCTGGACAAGGGTAACCCTGGAGGAACGCATCGCGTTGGCGGCCGACAAAGTCGGCGTTTTGTACTGTCAGAGGGCACTAAGAGAGCCGTCAGCACGTAGCAGCAGTCCAAGCTTGAATGTGTGCCATTAGACTTACGGCAGGAATGTACATAACAGAGCTATCACTTTTCCCAGCATGAACCTTATCGACGGCATGGATCGTGTCGCAATGCCAGCTCACGTAATCGCCTGGGTTGACCTTTGGCATATGGACCATGGACCATGGCAAGTCGAGATGAGGATGTAATGCGGCGCGGAGTTCTTGGCCATGGCCGGGTGTAGCACCGTGGAGCCATGAAGACGAGGGAGACTCGAGTTCCCAGTTGTTCGAGTCAAGGAACGACTCCTCGAAATGCTCCGCGGTAGGATCAGCGGCTTGCTTCTTTGGCGAGAAGAATGGCCGCAGTAGAAAGTAAGCAGTCGCGCGGCTCAGAAGAGGATTGACCAATAGTGTGCCCTCGTCTGAATTTCTTGTCAACGTTCTGGGTTGCATTGAGGAGTCTTGGCGATGTACTTACAAGGACCGGTCTCAGACATGCTCAACCATCCTTGGAACATTCGAAACATTGAGCAGGCCCCCACACCATTATACAGATCCGACACAACAGGGAGACGACAGCTCGACTCCCAAGGATCGTACTCCCACCATCTGCCCTTCCAAATCGCATCGTAAACACCTCCTCTGCCATAGCCGCTCTCTTCCCACCGCTCACAGCTGCCACCATCAATATGTGGACCCAGCGCGAACTTGGCATCACCAGGTAATCTCATCCGTAGCCGGTCGGCATATATCAATGGATGGCTGCTCGAGATGAGAGCATTTGGATCTCTCGAATGCCAGAACTCCATCAAAAAGCGTTGAGCTTGAATCAAATTCGGATGTGACCGAGCCTTGATCTGACTAGGTGACCAGTAGAGCTCGTAAACCTGCGGATTATCCTGTGGAAATGCTTTGGTCTGCGGATTGGCGGCGATGTAGTCCCGTAGCTCCTGCTTGAGGTCCAGAGCTTCCTGTTGGGGAATGACATTGCGGATCACAGCTACGCCGCGCTTCTTGTGCTCTGTTCGAAACTCTGGGCTAGCATTTGCGAGGTCCTTGAAGTCGATCGAGGGAACAATTTTTGGTCCAAGCTCAGCTATTAGTGGTATCTCTTCTCGTAGAGAAGCTAGTAATTTGTTCCAGCTGTCTTGCAAGGCTTCTTCGATCCCAGCGACAAGGCGATGTTTTAGATCTGCGAAGCGCGGCTCCAGTGGTCTAAACGTTAGACCTGAAAGTGAAGCGAAGGCATCAGATATGTCTCCTTCTTTCTTCTGGCCTTGTGCAGCTGCCGCGGACTGCTTCGTGCCGGTGGTCAAGAGTCTTCGGCCTGTAGAGGCCAGTGTTCGCGAGCGCGATGGAATGCACGAAGCCATGATTGACGTCTGTTTGATGGTTCAATGGAATGAAAGGAGACCGAGTGTGGGAGGATGAGATAGTCAAGAATTAAATGACTACACGTCTTTCCAGGATACAGACCGTCCGCCGCCGCCTACTGAGTCTCGAGCGTACAGCACCGCTAAGAGATCCAGATGCCGAATGCTTGCCACCGTCTGGAGACAGCGAGAGAAGCATCGACAAGATGTTCCGCCAGCGGATGGCCACCTAAAGAGGTAGTCCGCGAAGCTGTTTCGGCTTGGCCAAACACAGCAATTTGTTTGAGATGCCTCAGGTTCAGTACTATCGGCACCAAGGCCCGACAACCGCGTTGCTCGCCCCTCTTGAGCTCCACCGTCTCCCTATAGCCTGTAGCCTCAATCGCAATATGTTCTGTAAAGTGCCACGCCGTGCTAGACTGGACAAGGTGCTCCGAACAGCTAGTCGCTGAGACGACGCCAGCCATATTGAGAGGTTGGTCGCCGTGTTCGAATCTCCTTCGTCCCATCCAAAATTTTCTACAATCGCGAACTACAAGAGACAAAATGACAGACGTGAAGCTGCCAAAAGACTTTCTGTGGGGCTATGCCACTGCAAGGTACGAGATCGTGGTATGCACTTTTACATCCACGACTCACATTTTGATAGCTACCAAATCGAAGGCGCTCCTCATGAGGACGGCCGTGCAGATTCTATCTGGGACGTATTCTGCCGCAAACCAGGCAAGATCGCGGACGGAACCAACGGCGACGTTGCCTGTGACTCCTACCATCGATACAAGGAAGATGTCGCCTTGCTGAAGCAGCTGGGTGCCAAGGCTTACCGATTCAGCATCTCGTGGTCCCGAGTCATCCCACTGGGCGGACGCAATGACCCCGTCAACAAAGCTGGTCTGCAGTACTATATTGACCTAGTGGACGAGTTACATGCCAATGGTATCATCCCCATGGCCACATTATTTCACTGGGATCTTCCAGCCGCTCTTCACGAGCGATATGGTGGACCTCTCAACCAAGAGGAGTATATCCAAGACTATGTCCGCTATGCCCGAGTGATTTTTGAGGCTTTCGGATCGAAGGTCAAGCACTGGATCACTTACAATGAGCCATGGTGCATTTCGATCCTAGGTTATAGCGTCGGACAATTCGCACCCGGCCACACCAGCAATCGCCAGAAGAACGAAATTGGAGATAGCTCTATTGAGCCGTGGAGAGTTGTGCACAGTCTCCTTGTCTCGCACGGTCATGTCGTGAAGATGTATCGTGATGAATTCAAGGCCAAGGATGGTGGGCAGATCGGAATCACCCTGAACGGTGACTGGGTCATGCCTTGGGACGAGAATGAGCCCCTCGACGTTGAAGCCTGCGAACGTAAGCTTGAGTTCTCCATTGCCTGGTTCGCAGACCCAGTGTACAAGGGTGACTATCCCGCCAGCATGAGAAAGCAATTAGGAGACAGACTGCCAAAGTTCACCGCCGAGGAGAGTGCCTTGGTCAAAGGCTCCAATGACTTTTACGGCATGAATCACTACTGCGCGAACTACATCAGGCACAAAAAGACAGAGCCAACTCCTGAAGACTTCGCGGGTAATCTCGATCTGCTCCTAGAGAACAAGGAAGGCACGCCAGTAGGACCCGAAACTCAATCGCCATGGCTCCAACCTTGCCCACAAGGCTTCCGAAAGCTCATGAAATGGATCTCAGATCGTTACGGCAGACCTACGATCATTGTTACTGAGAATGGAACTAGTTTGAAGGGCGAGAATGACATGCCTGTGGAGCAGATTCTGCAAGACGACTTCCGTGCACAGTACTTCACCGACTACATTAATGCCATGGCGCAGGCGGTGACCATCGATAACGTGGACTGCAGAGGTTACATGGCGTGGAGCTTGATGGAGTACGTACCTTCGCACCCACATGCCACGAACAAGCTGACCCGCTGTATAGCAATTTCGAGTGGGCCGAGGGTTACGAGACCAGGTTCGGCGTAACTTACGTTGATTATCAGGGAGGTCAGAAGCGCCATCCCAAGAAGAGTGCGAAGACCGTGGCTGAGCTCTTCAACTCGATGTGCCGCGATTAGATGCAACCTAAGTCTCGACCGGACTCTGCTCCATGTGCAGCCCATCGTCGATAATGCCAAAATGAAACTGAGGCTTGCCCGCTTGGGCAGCAACGCATATCACGTTGCGAGATTGGATTCTGTCATACCAACCACGATCGTAATGGTCTGTGCCTTCTCCCGTTCGCTCACCACAGTAGTGCCGTCATGTCGTCCGAACTTTGTCTTATTTACCCGCTGTCCGCCAGTACGAGCATACTTTGGTCTACGGTGGAAGGGCGCTGTGGAAGACTTGAATAGAACAACGTTACTTCCACGAGCTTACTGCATTCAGGAGAGAGTTTTGCAACAATGTCCAATGTGGAATCGTGTTTCATGATGGTAGACTCTTCGATCTGTGGGTCTTGAAACAAACTCTCGTTGTCGTGCACTAGCAGCGACAGAAGGCTGGGCAACGAGAAACAACCACGACGTTGCAAACTATACCCAAGCGTTGATCACATTCGCTGAGCCCCTGCATCAGGTAAAGCTGCAGTCTGCGGGTCTACTCCTGCAAACATGGGCTGGCGGAACTCGGCGGAACGTAATATTCGGGAGGTATAAGGTTCACTAGCCGCCAATCTGAACCTTCTCCCCTCTGCGAGATTTCCACCATGGACCACAAATAACACTGCCGAGGAATGATCTGTCGTCTGCCTTGCATCTCGTAGGCTCGTCGATCTGGAGGGCTCTCGGGGGAGATCATCGCAGTTCGGGCAGCATCCGAACAGAATAGGTATACGCGCCATTATGTCAACATTCGTCGCCTTGCTTTGTTTGATGCCTCCATAAGGTGATGAGCTAGTGTTCGACAGGATCGATGGTCGCGTGCTTCAGCCACATGTGGCGTTGTACTTTCTAGCCTAGCAGCTGCAAAAGAAGACGTACAAGGTTGGAAGACTGCAGAAAGCTTCAGACTTGATTTAGCCTGCTTTTCAATGATGATGTGATGGATGTCGTGGGCGCGAACGTAGATCGATTGGTATAACCGTATTGTCACTGTCCAACGGATAAACTGCGTCGAGTCGCCGTCGACAGACAGCCAGCACTAAAGTTGTCTTCGTCGTTGACACGGTCGCTGCAGACACCGACGGCGTCAAGATTCTCCTGAGGGCTTCGGGTCTCGGATCCGAAGCCGGATCGACGATGCATGAACACATGAAACAAGTTGTTCACCTCACTAGTATCACACGAGCGTGGTGTCGGCTACATGTCGGAAAGACGACGACCGTCAGAAGTGTCCCTGCTTCCTCGTGGTGGGTGGACCTAAAAATGAAAAGTGCTTGGACTACAGTGAGGCGCTTGGCTTTGCCAGGTCATATGGGCAGCCGTCGGAAACACAAACCGACGAAATCAGGGGATGTATCGCGTGTCTTAAGCGTCCCGGAGCATATCGCCATCGACTTGATCAAGAACAAGGAGATTGAGGACACGCACCAGCAGATCGGACCAATGCATCCTCGAGAAATATCGTGCGAGTAGATGGGTGCGCAATTGCGTCTATTTACTGTCTTCGTATTCGAACTGGCCATGAAAAGTGGGCACCGGGTCGTAGCCCCAGAAAACGTGGCAGCCACCATTTCGGCGAACAGGGGAGCAGTCGCCACACGAGCGCCAGGGTTCGCTGTAGGATTCTGTCAAATGTCGATAAGGTAATTAATTACGGCGACTGACGAGAGACCACCATGGTCGCGGCGCGCTGACAACATCGCATTCACAAGCTCGGATGCTGAAGGGCACATTGGTGAGAAGACAACCTCTCGGAAGGCTTGCCATGGCCTATAGTGCATCAGCTGCCGCATACCACGTTGCAGATCACTGTTTACCAATCTGCAGTACAATCGAGCTAACCATGATAAACAGCTCATCGTGCTGCTTGCGCGCCTAGTCGAACTGGGTAACACTTCGGCGTAAGTCTACATTGGTGCACTCCTTCGCGCCATTATTGTAGCGGTGGCCGGGTGATCAACGCAAGCTGTGGCATAGAGTTTGGGATTTGCTGCTTTGTGCAACGTCGGCAAATTGTCGCTTCACGTTGCCGGTAGTGGGTGGGTTGCTGCTGTTCAACGCTATATTGTATGCGTAAGCACTGGACTTCCGAGTTTTCGACAACAGGCACAATCGGCAATGCCCACTCGCGTTGGTCAATGTGACCTTCCCAAATGTCATGTCGCGAAAATGCAGTCTTGTCTTATTTATCTGCTGGGACGCTGGTCATCTGGAACGAAGTGGTAGAGTGATATGAGAGCAATGATGCAGGCTCCGTTGATGTCGAGACACATCCCTGAATGTATTGACGGCACAGTCCTTCTACACATCCCGAAATGTCGCCCATACACGTGGGATAGAGTGTAAAAGCATATCGAAGTCTGATGGAAGCTCTAACGAAGCTCTTAGCGTACCCAAGCACAAGCCTTGTCCCTTCTTCGGCGGAAAAACGGGCAAATGGCGTGGCACTAGCAGCATGTTCATCTAACCGACTCGCTAAGGTTATGTGCGTCTCACCGTCTGTCTGCCGCCCGGTGTCTCAGGATAGGCTTGGCTGTACTCGACCAGACGGCGGCTCGTGGCGTGAAGTAAAGAAGGGTGGTCAGGCACATTCAGCCAGTTGGGCAGCATGAGCAGCTAGCCTGCAGCAGGTATCTGCAGCATAGCGAGATGGCGCGTTTCCAGTCCCATGTGCAGGGCAGTTCCTGCACATACCTCTGGAGTAGTGGGTTGGACTGAGCCCTGCCCAGTATTCGCCGTCACTTCGCCAGAACCGCGCAATGATTGACGGTTTCTACCGGAAGGTCCTTGCTCCGCATGCAGCAGCTAAGGTATTAGTATAGACAGGCAGCCCTCGCGTCGACATTTGCAATGGCCATCGCATCCCTTCTGTTCGGAAACCCGAAATAGACTTCTACGTGCAGTGACTAACAACTGCCACCCACCGCGATCCGCTACACCTCAGGACCGACTTCATCGTCATACGCCGAGGCAAATACAACTAGCCGCTGCCCGCCCTATCGCATCGGTAGATTCGACCTGCACTCGAAGCCTCAATCAGCGGTGTGGCAGAAAGGAATCCCCAAACCACCTACCTCGGAACCCATCCGCAAGCTGTTTCCATGACTTGTGTGCTCACGTCAGCTTGGCATCCGTTCGAAACTCACTCTCCATGGTCTCCGATGGACGCCGACCTTTCCACGACGGGTAGCCTGGAAAGACAGCCGTCCCATGGTTACGCATCGTCAGGCTCAGAATCAAAACGACCGTCTGGTAGTTCGGGCAAGAAGCGAGCGTCTCGAGCAGGAACCCGTAGCGTGACAACACTCTCTGCTGCTCAACTTGAGCGCAAGAGAGCGAACGATCGCGAGGCTCAACGTGCTATCCGGCAAAGGACCAAGGACCATATCGACATTCTCGAAAGGACTGTAAGCGAGCTTCGTGGGACAAATGAGTCCAGCGAGAAGATTGTAGCTGTCACTCGACAACGTAACTTTGAGCTTGAAGAGGAGAATACATTTCTGCGTAGTAGACTCAACGACGCTGCTTATCGAGGAGCGGATACTAGCGATGGTATGTATCAACGATCGATTCACCATTCTATCGACTAATACAAATTGCAGTACACGGATTGTCTGAACCCTCTGCCGTTTCGGCGCATGCGACATCGCCTGCGACAGCACTTTCAACAACGGGATCAAGCATTCAGCGACCAAGCTCAACCTCAAGCCCAAGAAGTCTATCCGTAACCACGGCGTCACAGTCATCGAACTCTCGCCATAGCTCTTTTCAGCAGATGGGTCAATTTCCTGGCAGTGCACCCAGCTCTTTGCTTCCTGTCTCGAGCTCCAGCACAATGACGACACCCACTGCTTTGACTGCTTGGAGATCGCATGATGGAATCCCATCTGCGCAAGTGCCCCAAACACAGCAGGCTTCAGCGTATCATCTTGCGGACTCATCTTCAAGGCCAGAGTGGGTTCCTACAACACAGCACTATCAGTACTCTTCCGCTGCTGTTGCGCAGCGACCGCAACAATACGAACAGCATCAAGCACCGCCAGGCTCTGCATCAGGAATGGCCCAGCACTATGTGCAGACCCCAGTAATGCCATACACACCGATGCATGCTCCGACAATCCAGCAGCAGCAGCCTTACCATCCTCCCCAGCTCCCCCCTCAAAGCGAGTTCCAGAACATGGCAGTGTCGAGTCCTGCAGCGTACAATGTACCGCCATACCCACCAGGCCAACCGCAACAGGCATATGCCACACAGCCGCAACCACAAAGCTATCAGCAGCAGCCCGCTTCGTTACAGACTAACCCTGTGCAGATGTCACCAGCAGGCAGCGTATATTCGCCGGCTCATTCTCAAATGCAGCCACCGCCTCTACCTCCCACTTCTTACGCGCCAATGACCGCAGACCGACAGTATGCTCCTCAACAGCTGCACCCGCCGTTGCAGTATCCACAGGATGCAGCCAGTCATGGCTATAGTCTCACGCACTATCCCTCTGGATGAGCATAGAGTCATGAGGCACATTCGAAACACTTCAACGGAACTTCATGTTCATCGAGCCGGCAAACTGTACTAGAATGCGAAAGCGACGAATTCGGCCTGAGGACGGCCGAATACGACTCTCCGCGACCAGTGCAGCTGCTCGATGAACTGCAATGTGACGCTGCAATGTTGTCAGCTATGAAAGTATGTCGACAGAGACATCCACTTCGCCTCAAGACCCAGAGCATCTTCTTGAACTGGTCAAGACGCAGATTGCGGAAGTAGATCAGCAGTCTAGCTGCCTGCCATCCCAAGTCGACACGCGAAAACATGCACAAAGTCGAAAGAAGCCAACCGCTCCACTACGCTTTCGAACACGGCACAGCAGAATTCCGTTGGAGGAAGCACCTGTCGATTGCATGCAGGCGTCGAGCTTGTGTGATGATGAGGTGGTGCAAGGAGCACACAAGTTTAAGGTTACAAGAATCCTCGGGAGTCGACGGTGCTTTCGGGCAAGTTCGTGGTCGAAGCGTGAGTTTAAGGACAGCTGTTAAGGTTGGCCGATAGCCTATTTGCATATCGCGTACCGGGCGACAGGGAGTTCGGCGTTTTGTCTGGCCTGGTTGGACTGCTTTTACTTTTTGATACCCAATCGAGGAGTATGTCTGTTTGGCTGCAAAGCGTGCTGCCTTGATTAGAAATTCCATGTTTTGCAAGCGACTGCGTGTCGGTTTCTGCAGCTGTATGATACAACAGACGAAAGTTACGGCCGTTCATTGGTTCCCGTCATACATGTGCTTTTCTTCGACGTGCCGAGTCTCCATACCGCTCCATACCGCTTCGACAACAACATGCCATCGATCGGTTGACGCGGGATGTTCGGGATTTGCTTCAATCACCGACACGATAGTGCCGCACTCCTACCAATCCTGGAGACGGTACAAGACGACATTGTGCATAGCCTTTGGCGGTCAACATGCAAAGTGACATTCGGACGACTTGCATTATCGCACGACATCGCAAGCGACGGTTGGTACCACTGATTCGCCACGGATGTGACAATACCCAACCAACCCTAGCCAGGCAGTAGTGAACTTGACTCTACACTATTCGGAAGATATCGACTTTTGTGTACAACGAAATTGATCTCGTCGAAAAACGCATGTGGTACACAAAGACTACGTAGCATGATGACATTCAATTTTGTGGTCGTCCGATCATGTATAGCACATCGGAAGCTCCTCAAAAGACCTCGACAGCCGTCGTTGACGGTCTCTCCTCCCGTCCAGCCATCGGAGTTTTGGCTGGTTCATTAGCTTTGGCTTTCGTCGAGTCAGCAGCCTGCTGCTCCCTGATCCTAGCCAGCAACTCAGGATAAAACCGCGCTCCCACATCCGGGTGGCTCTTGATCCGATTCATCAAGGTCGCCTCTCCCAGATGATTCCATTTCCCCTTCACAAAAGTAAACTCCACATCGTCTCTCCTGCCACCTTCTCGGTCTAAGACTTCCTTTCTCAGCGCTCGGACATGTTCGGGAACAGTCACAGCTTCAAATTGAGCGTCGTAGCTTACGCCCTGGAAGAAGGGGATGCTGAAGCGCGCACCGGCGGCTGCTGCTGGTGAGAGCACACGGTGCGTCGTACTCGCACAGACGCCCCCTGTCAGAGCTTCGAGACCTTGACCTATAGCTACAACAAGCGTTCCACGTATTGGTGGACAGTCAATCCATTCACCTCGTGTGTTCTGTGCTTGGAGTCCTTTATGTGGACTTGCTTGGAGTAAGTAGGATGTGAGCATGCTGTCCTTATGCGGACCGACTCCCTGCCCCACCCCAGTACCGTTGTCGGGATACTTGACAACCTTCAGCTTATGCTGTTGATCCTCGTCGAAGAATTGATCGAACGCTGTAGCGGGCAGGTCGATAGCTTCTGCTATCAGCGAGGTGAAGAAGAGGCTTACAGTAGACATTTGTCGCATGTACTCGGTAAAGATGGACTGAAAGCCGGGCATGTCATTTGCTTGAGGCCATTGATTCGGCGCTAGTAGGTTGTGATAGAGCGGATCGGTGGGCTTCCGCACTGGATGTGGTGTGCTTAGGTCCAATTGCTCCCGCCAGTCAGCTTTGTGTGCTGTAATTTCGTTGCCGAGCTGGTTTGATGTCAGTAGTACTCTCGAGGCGTGAGATGTATGAGCATATCAAACATTGGTAGCGTACTCTAGAGTATCCCAGAAAGCTAGGTTCGTTCTTCATCTCTATTCTCAACTTCTCCTCGTCCGACAGATCAAAGAATTGGATGCCTTGTTCACATACTCGGTCGAAAAGTTCCTGATCGATCCCAGCATTCTTGATATATAGAAATCCTACATTGAGTAGAGCATCCCGAAGCTGTCGCAGGAAGGCCGGCTTGGTAGAGTCTGATCTGGCTTCGGACAGGTCGAGAATTGGTATCTCCTTGAATGCCATGCTATCTATCGACCACTGCAGCCACTGTATGCTGCCGCTCCAGATGGCTAGAAAAGCCTTGACTCGTTGATAGGTCAATCGGGTTGCTGACACAGCCCAGTTCCGATCTCACTTGATGGCAAGGTAGCCGACGACAATCGCCAGTGCCGAGATCTTTGTTACCAGCAGTCCAAGAAACGCAAATATCAGCAACGCTGCCATTATCGCTCCCACGATCAGTCGACCATATCACGAGCGAGGCTATACCAAGGCGGGGTTCTGAAGCTTAAGCAGCGGCGTCACAATACAGCACATTTTTCACGTGATCTTGTACGACCTTGCCGAGCCACGCGCTTTGTCATGCCGAGGGTAGATGATTCAGACCCACCAAGACACCAGCAAGGCTGTGAAAGTTGCCCAATTGACAACAACCTTGAATCGAGTCAGTACTGGACTGAAGCATTCCTTTGACGTCTCTCACAACAGCAATGTACGCTATGCTCATTGCCCGGTGTGAAGGATTGGCTTTCGCGCAAAGGATGAAAGCCGGGTCCGTATGACACAACGTAAGGACTATCCTGGTTGATCGTAATTCAAGGAGTAGCTCTGGTGCACACGTGATGGTGGTCAATGCCAGCCGCGTGACGAGTCTTGCGACAACAGAGAACCACGGCCGCCCGCCGACCATGTGCTCGTCATCATTGGAACTTCTGGTCAAGACTGTTTCTTATCACAAGGACCTCGTATCTCGTATTTGTAGCTGATTCATGGCAGGCGCCGGAACTTCACCCAACAGGCTTGTCTCCCGTATGTTCCCGGGAAATTAATATGGAACATAGCATGCCCAGGACAAACGGATACCCTCCTGCCGTTCAGCCAGACCTTTGAAAATGTCGTCCGCTCTCCAATATACACAGAGCATGCCTGGCAGGCTCTCGCATCGTGATGCAATATGAGGAACGAGCATATTGGCAAAGGAGGACTAGCTTTCCTCCTCGGAACTTCCGACCAAAAGCAAAATGCGAATGATATGCAGGGCAGAAGACTAAAGTACTGGACTTGCCGGCCGTACGTACAGCCTGGTCTTTTGGGAGTGACTGCCGGTGTATGTCAAGTAGTGACGCAGCGTGTAGGTTGGCCCAGCAGACTGGATGAAGTAAGTAGTGGATGAAATAGAAGAAACGCCGAATGAAGTGGTCTTGTTCCAGCGCAGAGCAATAGTGCTTCGTCTTGGGGCGTTTGCGGACCATTTGCTTGAGCCATGTACTCCGTATGATCTGCAGCTTGCCCAACCCGGTATGCGCGAGAAGGTAAAGATCCAACACCAGACTTGTAACGCATTATGAACGACGTAAGTTGCCGTTCCGGAGTCTAGAAGCGTACTCGATACACCAACCCGGGCCAAAGGGGTAGGTGACTAGGCCTCTGCAGCCATCTTACGAGGAAGTCTCGCAGACATGGCCAGACCTGTCTGATGGCGCCAGTAAGATGGCACGAAGGCAGCCAGACATGCGCAAGTGGCAAGAGTAGGGGACAAAACACACTCAGCCGTATCCATAAAGCAAAGCACACAACCAACACAAAAGACATCCGGCCCGGCCAACAGGAAGGAGTTTCAGCCCATGATCGCTCACTATACACATTCCGACAGGCTATCAAATTGCTCGTGTACGAGTCATTGGGTAGATAGAAACTCTACACCCCCCTTCAAAAGCTTCAGTATGAAAGTAAGAAACGCAGTACAGGATGCCTGAACTCAGTCTTATGGAAAGAGGAGGCAAAAGCATCCCCACATGGTTCCGATGAATTCAATGGTAGCGTGTGAATGCGCGCGCGGCACGAAATACGAGATATCCTGCTTTCTTTGGGTCTATGTCTGCGTCTATTCTGTCCGAGCAGAAACAGCGATGGCGTACGAGCTTGATGTGGTTATCACAGGAAAGCTAGCACGTGTAAACGACGAGCACAGTGAGAGGTACATCGGCCATGGACTACGTTGCTTTGCTCAACCGATAGAAGGCTGGGTTTGCGAAGTGATGATACATACGATCTGAGGCTCTACTCGCTATCCTCATGCTCTACATCCTCGTCCGCAACATCATCAACAACAAGCTCACCGCCATCAACCTCACTATCATCGTCCTCCTTAACATCCACACCGCCTTGCCCATCAGCGCCACTCTCATCCTCCTCCTCGCTCTCCTCATCATCCTCAACCTCCTTCAGCTTACTCTGCGCCTCCTTCTTACTTTCCTTCTCCCGCCTCCTCTCCTCCTCCACCCGTCCCTGCTCGACTAACTTTGCCTTCTCCTCCCGCGTCCTGCGTTGACCATATACATACGCCCCCAACGGTGTCTTCTTGACCTCGAAATCTCGCAGGAAAGCTTCCACACCCCTGCGATCCGAAGGCGAGAACTCCACTTTCGCCCGCTTTTCCTCAATAAACCGAGCGTTGGCTTCAAGCTTCTGCACGAGGAGGGTGAGAGCTGTATTGACTTTCTGATTCTTGTTCCCTTTTCCCGGCACCCTCGACCCAGCATCCTTAAGCCATCTTCTCAGGAGGATGAGCACCGGTAAGACGAGTTCAGGGAACGCGATGTTCTTCCCCCAACACGCGAAGAACTCGCCCATCAACTCCACGACCTGCTCACCCACCCCATCCTGATATATCCTCGTACGAAGATAAGTCTTGGGCGCTCTAATCACAGTAGCAAAGTCCAAAGGCTTGAGGGTAGCACTCTTCGGCGCCTTCCTCATCTCCGCGCTTGCCAGGACTTCATACAAAGCGGGTGCAAGCGGGATATACGTCCCCGTCGTCGTCGAGATCCTCAGTAGCGAGCGAATAAGATGGAATCGGAGCGGAAAGTACGTAGCAGTGGGTATCAGCCTCAGCGCCCCGAGCGTAACCTGCACGAGAGGGTAGATGAGCGGACGAAGCGGTGATGCGGCCTCGACGGCATGCGAGCTCAGGACTCGGGACCAAAAGTCCAGGCTGTGAATGTACTGCCAGTTATAAATGACCTTGTAACTCTCGTTCGAGTTGTTAGTGATACTCGTCCTCAAATGCACGGCCAGTTGTCGGATGAACGAGAACGCAGTGGTGTACGCTACGCCATCGCCCGGCGGACAGAGGCCCCACAGCTCAGCCCCAGAGTTCTTCATCAAGTTCACTCCAGGTAGAGTATGAACAGTCGTGTTCCTTGCCCCCTTCACTAGGGCCTGATAAGCTGCTTTCAAGACATTCTCGCGGATCCCGGCGTCTCCGATGACGATGAGGCGGCGAAGGACGAGGAAAGCGGCGATACGAGTGGTTTCGGGAACGGAGTGCGAGGACCAGACTGTGGCAGTGGCGCGAGCGGTGTCTCGGATGAGTTTCTTGAATGAGAGAAGGTAAGGTAGTAGTGGTAGAGTGGACGAGAGCGTGAGTCGTAGAGTTGAGGCATCGGAGAGGTTGTCTAGGAGGTGGATTATACTCGTGACCTGGCTCCTCAGCAAAAAGACGAGGGTCTTGAATTTCTTGCTTTCGGTCGAGACGTGCAGTTTGCCGGTCTTCTGGTTCTCTTGTACGGGTAGGTGGTGGTTGAACACTGTCGGAATATGCTTGAGTGCTGTAGTGAGGAGGTGGTGGTAGACTTCCGGCGAGGAGATAGAGTACTTGAATTCCTTCTTATCGTCGTCCTCCGAAACGTGTGCAGCGGCGCGGAATGCGAGGACGACCTCTTTAGCTGCGCGGAGGGAGTGTTGTTCGGACATGGCAGTACTCCATCGCTTGACAGTAGCCATGTCCAGCTCGTTCTTGCCTGCTCCGGTCATCTCGTCGTCGGAATCATCCTCAGCAGCTTGACCCTTCTTCTGCTTTTTCTTCTTAGGCCCGCCCTCATCATCGCTGATGTCACCAATCTCTGCCATCTCGCCACCAAGGAGTTCTGGCTCGTTGTCCTGTAAATACTTATGGAACTCAGGATCATTCTCGGCCAGAGCGTCAAGCTGCGCCTTGTGGTCTATGTCGTCCTCATCCGAGTCCAAGTCACCTTCACCCGCACCTGCTGTGACCGGCTCCTCGACCAACGATCCCTCCGACTCGGACACATTCTCCTCCTCGTCAGCATCCGCCCTCTTCCTCTTCCCACCCTTCTGCTTGGCAGGCAACTCCGGCACCTCAAACCCTCCCTGGAAGAAATCATCCACGCTCATATCCTGAAACGCATTCTTCGCCACCCTACCATTGCCGTTCGTATTCGCAGACGCGGCAGCAGTGGCAGGAGTTTCAGCATCCTTCCCACCATTCTCCTCCACCCTTCTGGCCTTCTGCTTCGCCTTGAGCTGAACCTTTTGCTTAATCTTCTTCTGTCCTTTCCGTCGCTCCAATGTGTCTTTCAAGTGGTGCTTCTCGAACTTCTTGGTCGCTTTGCTTTGCGCCATCTTGTCAAAGATTAATTAGTTACTGAGGACTTTGGCATTCAAGATACTGACTTCGAGAAAAAGTTCCAGAGCTCGGATGCGCCGGGCCGACCTTTCTCCGTTGCACAGTCACGTGACATGGCAAGATTCACAATATGCACGAGATCCGAATTGCCGCCGAGATTAAAGATGTATACCTTACTTATCAAGTTATGCGCGACTTTGACTTCGCAAGATACAATCCCGCACGGAAGCCGACTTGTTTCGTAGGACGTAGTCCAGATTCATGCACTACAAGCTCACTCGCACCTTCTCTCCCTCTTCTCCCGCTTCTCCTTCTTCTTCGTCCCACCCACCTCTCTGGCCCTCTCGCCCCCATCCCTGCTCCTGATATCAATATACTCCGCCCCCGACATGAGACACCCCACCGGCATCTTCGTCCACTTATGCTCCAGATCAACAGGAAAGCCCTTGTATCTTGTCAAGAAAGTCTCACGACAGTGCTCCACGAAGCCCGGCTCAAACTGTGCATCCTTCCTAGGATTGGTACTGAGGGAGGCCTGATGATCTGAGGGATCGATACCCAAGATTTCCAGCCACGGCGTAAGTTCAGCAATGCGATCTCGACGATCAGACTCAGCGCGTGCTTCTCGTTGAGCATCAGCCCGTCCTGCTCGGGCTCTGTTCACATTCATGTCCTTCTTCATCTTCATCTCCCCTTTCGGCTCATTCATCCCAGCACCAATTACCGAACTCGCCAACTCACCCCTACTGACACCGAAACCCGCACCATCCGCCACAAAGCCCGGCTCAATATCCTTCTCGATATCCCTCAAAGTCGGCCACCGCACCACCCGATGTCCTACATCCCGCCTCGGCGCGACAATCATAGAAGGCAATATCCAGCTTTCCCCTTCCGCTCTCATGGCTCCCCAATGACTATTGCCATCTTCCATATCTTCATCTCTGTGATCATGAGAGCCTTCCTGATCATGGAAGCCTTCATGATCACTCTCGTTCTGGTCTGGCCCACAGGATGTAGCAGGCAGAGAATCATCGTCAATCATTTTCTTAGCCGCAAAAAGTAGTTCTTCGGTATCCCGAGGGAAGATGGGAGCGGCTAGCCTTCTACTACTTGAGGGCAAGTTTCACGGATATCCTCGTTGGCGTTGGCGTTGTTGTGAAGAGGAGGGCGTAGCAGTCGCAATATCTGTCTCGACGTAACTTCTTGCATCTGCAGGAGACATCGTAGGGCGTGGCAGTAACGTATGCAGCAGATGCAGCGCTGTCTTCACTGCTTGCGCGCCCGTACCAAGAAATACAATATTACCCTGCTTGTCTTGACTGCTATCAGGGTGTACTGGACGTAGTGGTGACTGAATATCGCAGCTTGCCAGCCGCCACTCCGACATCTGAGCTCAGTCATCGTGCAGTGACCGCGCAAGCATGCTTGTCAAAACAGACGACAAACACCGACAACAACTAGATCAACCGTCGACGGGGTGAGCAAACCACAAACATGCCCTCTTCGTGCCGAAAGTCACAATGGAGGTTAAGCAGTCTTCCAACCCCATACACTCCACCAACATCTCACCTCCGCCCCAAACGCCTCCTCCCCTCCATCCCCGTCCTCACCACCGGAACCGCCCCAGTCATCATATCCCACCTCCTCTTCCTCTTCGCAAATCACCAAGCCCAAACCCAGCATTTTGTCCCGGAAGTCCTGTCGTTCACTAGCATACGCTTCACGAACCGGCATCTCGACCACGACTCTGGCGTCCACGTCACGGGAGAGGTGGTAGTCGATTGCATTGACGAGTAGGCCAGGGTGGTCGGAAGAGTAGATAGGATCAGCTACCAAAATCAACGGGAAAGAATGTTTTGGCCTTGAATGATCGGCCTCAGTGCCAGGGCAGAACTCCGCCGGATCACTCCAATCCAGCACGCCCGTCGCCACCTTCCCTTCGCCATGACTACACGCTCGAATAACTTCCTCGTTAGCCATGATATTCCGCTCCAGGTTGGGCACAATCTCCGGCAGATCGGTCAAATACACGGTTCGCTGAAAGACAGCAGCAGCGGCCATGCCCACCAATCCCGTCCCGGCTCCCAGCTCCAAGATCTCTGCATTCGCTGCGAGAGGTCGTAGAGTGGTGTCTCGTAGGGCTTGTAGCGTTTGGCAAGCAGATATGAAGAAGCCCATGTCTTTAGACCAAGATTATCGGCTGTCAAGGCTGGTTCATGCAGGGTGAGGTCCAGGTACTCCATCTCGTCATCTCCATTACGGTCCACCAGTCCATCCTTCAGCGCGAGTACTCCCTTTCCACCTTCACCTTCCTTGCAAGCGCTTCGACCAAGTGGTATCTCAAACACCCTCGTCAAATCACCCATTGCCGTCCTCCCACTCCTCTCAGCTAGCCTACGTGCAGCAGTCTCCCAAATCCTCTCCTTCTCCTCATCATTCTCTATCCATACCAGCGGGTTCGCAACAATACGTGTCAGATATGCTGGAACGCCTTCACTTCTTACTTTCCGTCTTTTTGTCGCCGGGGTGGAAGCTCCGCTCCTGGTCCGTGGGGTGCCGTTCCGGGGTGTCGCTTCCCACGGTGGAGGTTGGGAGCTTAGATCGTCGAGAGTAGAGAGGAGGGTCTTGGTCGTGGGGCGGGTGTGGAGTTGTGGGAGGTCGAGGACTGTTGAGTGTCAGACGGGTTTGGAAACTTGTTGTCTTGCCCAGGCATACCGTCTAGTACCCCCTCGTCATCAGCATGCAAGCCCAAATCTCTTGCAGTCAGCAAGCCATTGCCGGTGGCCATACTGATGTCCCCGAACGGAGAACAGACAACGTGCATCTCCGCAACTTTTTGGCTGATCCAGCTTTTGGCTAGCTCATATACCCGAACTTTCGCCGAGCTCGCAGAACAACTGCTGGTGTGGCCAAAGGCGACCACAAGATCAGCCTCACTCCAAAACACTCTTAAACCCATCATAAGCCGCATTCAAATCGAACTGCACCTCCCTCGCCATCTCCGGCGTTAACTCCTCCGCCGCCCTCATCTGATTCAACGTAATCAACCACTGCACAATCTTGCCCTTGTTCTCAAAATCCCGATCCGTGACCTTATTCACCGCTTGGATAATCTCTACCAAAATCGGGTGTAGGGTGTCTTTAGACAGCATGTTCATCTTGATAGCGTCGAACAGGGTGATGAAGTTCTCGGAGGCGGAGACGATGTGGGTTGCGTTTGCTGTTGGACCGGCGTGGGAGGTGTTGGGGTTGTGGTTGGAGAAGGAGGCGGTGGAGAGCGGGCGGTGATTGGTGTGGGCGGGTTGGGTTTGGACGGTTGCTGGGAGGCCTATGCGGAGGCGTTCGGTTGCTTTGGGAACTTCGAGCTTGTATTCAATCAGCTTACGTCCTTCTGGCCCTACTGTTGTACCGCATGCACATACATCCCATTCATACTTGAAACTTTCCAGATCTCCGAAAGCGGATTGCACCGTCTCGTCCGCAAGATTACTCTTATACTGTCTCAGCAAACGATCACATGTCTCGGTATATTCGCTCTCTTTGATCGAGTCCCTCAGGTAAGCTCTTTCCAGCGCATCGAGGGTGATGATAATGCTGTAAATCTCGGCCAAGGACTCGTGGAGATCGCGTTCGGCGGCATTATCGGCGAGCTTGACTTCCTGTCCATATATGTCTTAGCTGTGGAAGTAGGACTGGAGGAGTGGTGTGGTGTACTTGGTCGAGGTTTATGGTTGCTGTCAGGTGGCTTGATGGTGTATAGCTGTAAGGGGTTGGCGCATAAGCCAGCTGTGATTGCGAGTACATGATTGCATGAAGATGAATGTGTCGATAGCAGTGAGCAGGCACACGACATTCATCGTGAGCTATCTCCACAATGCGCCGGCTGAACCTCGGAGGCTAATTGCCCGGTCAAAATCGTTACGACTTCCCAAAGTCTAGACCTCTCCCTCCCTTGGACACGACAGACACAGTCAAGCGCTATCTAAATGCCAGTACACATAGCAGCCCATACATTATCCCCATACAGTGTGACATGCACAAAAAGTCCTTCCTAAACACCTGCACCAGGTTTCTGCCATCCAAGCCTCTCCAGCAACCTGATTGGCCAAGTTCCACCTGCAGCCACCCAACACCAAACAAGCATCTCCTGCCCAAGTCCAGCATCAGCACACCATCTTCCTCCCACACCACGATCTGAAACATAAACAATCAGCATCTCTCAAACTCCTCCGAACCACTTCCCTCGTGTCCGTACCCGCATCTCTACCGGCCTCGGACCGTGACGACTCGCCGGAAAGCCACGAACTGCGACATGGGTTTCATGTCTATCCTCGTATTGCCCTTGCAGACGTGTGGAAATGGGGGTGCGACGTCAACTTCAGGTGTGTCTGCTGTTTGTGGATGTTGATGGGAATGATAGGCTCAGATTGGATAACATGGTAAGCCTGCTGTGGCGAGTTTGCAGAATGGATTGTTTTGCTCCATGTGAGAATAGGTATGATACTGTAAGGCTGATATGTAACTCTTCCTCTTCTCTTCCGTCTTGCAGTTTTTCCTATACTCTACACTCCACTCTCGGTCTTGATCCTAGCTTATGCTACAGACACGTCTTCTGTTCCTGTCTTCAGAAACAAGACGACCATGCGTAGCCCCCTCCCCGACTCCAGCGCACTCGAAGCCGGCCTCGTCGAAGACGAAAGAGCAACGCGCCTCTCTCGCGTCCAAGACAACGTCCGCAATCTTCTCCGCAACTCAATAATAGGCTCCGTCCGATCCTCGTTTGCCAGAATCTCGCCACTGCACGCGCGGACGACGGTCGAGGATTCGCCACGTTCACCACTACAATCACCATTACGCCCCTCACCACCTCATGAGCACATCCAGATTGCACACGGTGTCCTGGCTAGCCCATCGTCCTCGGCCTGCAGAAGTGACAGCAACAGCGACAGCCCCACACCAATACATGAGCACGATCTCGAGCGCAGCCTCTTCCCGCCAATCTCCTACCAGGACCAGATGACCCACCAGTCGAGCCTGTTCAACACACGGGCGGTAGCCGCGCTCGACCATCCCGACTTGACCGACCCATCCTTAGCAATCCTGATCCAGCAGAAAACAGAAGACCGGCATAAACGCGCCTGGAAACGATCCCGGAATCGAAAGATGAGGTATGCCAGTGCCAGACACAGCAAAGCCTCGATCGCATTATGTATCTCGGCAGGGCTGTTGCTTGCCGGTATTGTCGCCACGTGTAAGTCTCGCCTCCCTCAGTCCGCCAAGATGTTAGCTGATCATAATTTCCAAGACCTCGCATTCGCCACCTCCCAAACCATGACCTCGACCTTCCACATCCTCTTCATCTTGGCCATCCTCCTCGCCACAATCGGCTTCGTACACGCGCTCGTCCGAATTTGCCTCTTTAAGCCAAGCTTACAGCCTTCGCCACGATTATGCGTGGTAGCAGACGGAAGGCTGAAGCGACGAAGGCGACATCGACACCACAACCACCACCATCATGAACGCCAGATGCCTACGGTATCCGACGACACAGCGGACTTCGTACCTACGATGCCCATTCCAGTCCATCTAGCGTCAGACGCCGAAGTGCGACCAGATTCCCGCGAAGCCGGACCCAGCGTAAGCGCCAATCGCGCCTCACGAATAATCCTCGCGGAAAGCGAATTCGCAACCAAAAATCTCGACGTCGAGCTCCCTAAACCCCCTCCAGCCTACGGCCGCTGGCGTGGTAGCGTCCGAGCAGATCCAGAACTCCTGCACTGGTGCGCCATCCCTTCGCTGGTAGACGCAAGTGTCCCTGCTATGCCCTCACCTACGTATGAGGAAGCTATGGCTGCTGCGACTGCCGCGGCCGGTGTGGGTAGTGGAGATGAGCAGGAGAGCAGAACCGGGCCTCCTAGCTATGTTACCAGGGAGTCTCCTGCTAGGCGGAGAGATGATGATGTCGTGCATGAGGCTAGAGTTGTCGAATTAGCGCAGGCGCAGTGGGTTGAGCCGGAGATGATCCAGGGAATTGGGATAGGTCGAGCTGCCTAGTATCGGTGTAGCATCGTCATGTATAGTGTTGTATCATATCCGGCTGGTCCGTAGTAATGGCAGATACGCGCCAGAAGCGATCTTCCACAGTCCCCAATCCAAGCAGCTTTTCCTGATCTACACTCATCACCAGATCGAGAAAGCCATCCCTCAAGCCTTGCCCTCCCCTTGTCCACCAGACCCAGCCAACTTCTTCTTAGCATCATCCTTCTCCCACCACTCGCGCCAGAAAATCTCGTCCTTCTTCCTCTTCTCCTCCTTCACCTCCCTCTCCTCTTTCCGCTTATCCATCGTCGCAAACCATTCTTCTCGCGCGGCGTCCTGTTCGGCTTGAGTGGCGTATTTCATCATGCAGACGTTCATGCGTTTTTGTTCGGCGCGGCACATGATGGTTGCGGTGAAGGTGCGGGAGGTGCAGCAAGAGGCGAAGTCTACTTATGTGTTAGTAGAGGGTATGGGTATGGAATTCGTGGTCGTCGGACGGCATACCTCGCACCTCATCGGCGCACTTGTTCCTTACTCGCTTGAAGTAGAGCTCGCGGACTTGTGTCTCTTGGCTGGAGGACAAAGGGAGAGGGTTTCGAGATGGTAAAGCTGCTGGTCCAGGCCGTACTGGATTTGGTGATGGAGATGCCATTACTGCGGCCATAACATACAGAGTATGTATTGCTCGGGAGGATGATGTACACTGCTGTACGTCTGTGGCATGACGGCTTTCGGGAGTCCGAAGCTGAAGCTTGATCGTGCTCGGTCGACTTCACCCTCCTTCCTGCTCATCTTCAACTTAACACTTCGAAGCATAGGTGCCACCCAATCGGCAGCCAAGGTCAATGTCCTATTTCTCTGGGCTCAGGTTATGGAGCACTCGATTTTTCAGAACATGCTCTACATTTGTTCCTTCACCGGACACAACGATGATGGCTCAAACGCGCTTTGCAATCATCGCCCGCAAAGCATGAGGGCACGTGAATGTCAAGCTCGTGAAGTACTCCTTTGAATTCGACTGATATGCTTGGTCGTTCATGATCAAGCTTTTAACCAAGCGACTCACCTTCTTCACGTGCGAAGACGGTCCATGAAATCGGCCGAAGAAAGGTAATGAGCTCGCTCCTCACCAGACAACATGTATACGCCACCAGCGGCCAGCAACACCAAAACTGGCGGCATCTTCAGACTGCCGCGCGAGCTTCGCGATATGGTATACAGCCATTGCTGCAACGATGCGAGTTCACGCGCCCGGCCACAACCACTCACGATCTGGCATCTACTTGTTCAGGGAGCCTCCACTCGCACGGGCGTCACGAATGACCCGCGAAGAGTGCCTCACTACATTCTATGCTGAGACCGACTTCAAAATGATCGTGCGAGTCAACATGGCGCTGCGCAAGTACAAGGACCAGCCACCTGGCCAACTACTTCTAGACCGCTCGCATATGAGCGACTTCGTAGCGACACGTGCTCGATATCATACCACGACATTGAAGGTCGAGAGTCCTGGCCTTGTCCCCTGCTGGGGCAGGAGTCTATAGCCCCACCCCGATGAGTTCTGCTACGGTATTTTAGGGTTTTTGACCTTGAAGTGGCGTACCGGTCGCCTGGACGTGCAAATGACAGAGATGCTCGATCGCACGCTCGTGGGTTGTCAATGGCAGGAGTATCAGGTTGAGGACGCACTACTGCGTGGGCAATTTTTGGCGCGTGAGCTCGCCGCACGGTCTGCCTTTGATGGCTTTAGCCTGCAGGATCTGGAGGAACTGGCTGCGGTGCTCGCTTGACGTGGTGGTCATTCAGAGGTGGAGATGAGCCGTTGCCTTGAACACAGGGTGAAGCAGAAACGTTCACACATTAGTAGCGACGACAATATCGAGGATATGATTACCTCTTCTTGAACAACAATTCAACCGTCCTCTTAGCAAGCACCTCAGCATCACCAGGCCACCTCCCACTGACATAGTTATGCTTCTCATCCTCCACCACAAACGGCGCACCAGGGTTCCCACTACTCTTCCACTGCCTAGCCGGATCGGCCAAGGCATCTCTAACGATCTGCTCAACATTCTTCGTCCCAGCTCCATACGTCTTGTAATAATCACCCAAAAACACTCTGGTACCATAATCAACCGTATTCTCAAACACACTCGGCAACGCAGTCGTGCTCAGATCATGCAAAACACTCTTCCCGTCTGCTCTCTTCGAATGCGCGAGTAGTTGAACACCATGACACACAGCTGCGCAGACTTTCGTACTTGGTTTCTTGAGGTTGGCGAAGTATTCGACCACCAACTCCTGCGCTCGCTTCGAGTCAAGAAGCTGTCGTACACCTTTCTCATGCCCACCAGGTAAGAAGACTAAGTCATAGTTCAGTAACGTGAACTTCGCGTCCGAGTAGGAGACAGGGCTTTGCCACTCTTTGGATTGCGACATCTCATTGTACGCCGCTATGGCGCCTGCGTCGGCACCCAGCATCTTTTGTGTCCAGCCAGTGAGCATCTTGCTGTCGCAGGCGACGGGACTTCCTTTCTCCGTGGCAAAGGAGATTTGAATACCGGCTTCGTCGAAGACTTTGTAGGGGATTGCGGTCTCAGTGGGGTCGTGGCCGTAGTCTGCCATGAGGAAGACTGCTATTTTGGTCGTCATACTGTCCACCGGCCTTTCTTGATCTCGCTTCTCGAGTATGGTGAGGTCAGATACCGAGGTGTCGAGCGGGAGCGTTACAGTAACGTGGTACGAAAAGTATTGGATTGTTCGTTCGTCTAGACAGATGCGTCCGAAACGGAGCTATCCATCGCTACTTGCCCTAAGCGTGCTTTGACTTCCGCTACGTATGTACACGCTTTTCAAGACAATGACCAAGTTGGGAAGGTACGTTTTCGAATGTGAGAGCGCCATTATGATTGAGCTCTCAGCCGGCGCCGAGAAAGCTTAGCGAGGGAGCTACAATGGTGCCAGAGCTTCTCTGTCCTTCTATTTTTGCCCTGCATATTTTGATCTCTCACTTTGCTCTGTCGATGTGGTGGACATGGCAGTTCAATGGCCATTGTCGGATAGTAAGATCGGACTTCCGCGGAGGGCTGCCAGGCAAGGGCTGTCATGATGCCCGGACAACGTCATGTTGTCTCCTGATCTTTCACATGCCAATCCGAGCCCATGATTGACAAAACGTGGAAATTGCATGTGGACGGCGAGGTATGACATGTGCAAGTGCGATTTTTGTGTAAAACAGCTATTGATCTCTTCTCCTTCCTCTATCTCCACTGCTCTGTCTACTCTTGTCGCACCCCCTCCATCCGGAACAAGAAAATGACAACAATGATGGAAGACCACGGCATTATCGCCACGGCGCTGGTAGCCATGCCAGACAGACACAATGGAGATCTGAACGCCGCACCAAAGATCAAGAGACTGGTACAGCAACACGGCAAATTGATTGACGAATATCCACCTGAGAAGCCGTGAGCTATTCACAACAGACACACCGTACTCGTTCTCGATGTTGACACATATTGATGCAGGTACAACGTCTGCGTGGACACCGTCCCTCTCACCATCGAGAGACTCCCGTACATACCAGCAAAAGACTCGAAGCTCATCGACCCAGGCACAGCCCGCGCAACTCTCGCCCCGTCAGCAGAATGTCCCTACGGCACACAAGACAATGACTGGGCCGAACGCCACGCTCATATGACAGTGGTACAACAACACTGCAGCTACTGGGACAAAGACGCGGACGGCATCATTTGGCCCAGTGATACCTGGCGCGGCGTCCGAGCCTGGGGCTGGAACTGGTTCCTCAGCGCCATAGCCGTCTTCATCATCAACTTCAATCTCTCGTACCCGACCATACCGGGTAGTATCCTTCCGGATCCGTTCTTCAGGATCTACTTGAAGCAAGTGCACAAGTGCAAGCATGGGAGCGATTCGCAGAGTTATGATGCCGAGGGGAGATTCGTGCCGCAGAATTTCGAGAATCTGTTTGCGAAGTATGATAGTGGGAACAAGGGCGGGCTGGACGTCTATGATGTTGCGAGGGCTCTGAAGGGGTATCGGTTCGCCTTCGATTTCTTTGGGTGGAGCGCTGCTATGTTTGAGTGTGAGTCTTACATCACGACACTCTGGAGGAACACTGGCGTGCTGACACGGTACAGGGCTCGCTGTGTACTTCCTCCTATGGCCCGAGGATGGAATCATGCGTAAGGAGGATGTTCGTCGCGTATTCGATGGCAGTATCTTCCAGCAGAAAGCAGACGAGTACGCGGAGAAGTGTGCGAGGAACGGAAGGGTTCGGAAGGCGATAAAGTATGGTCGGACGGGCTACTGAGCTCGAGATGGTTCACACCTGCGATACCATTCATCAACAACCTCTCTATCATGTGAATTCTGGGCGACAGTATCCGAGGCTGCTCTCTGCAAGGTAGATGATTCTATCGTGCACGATGGACATGGTGCCGCAAACCGTGAAACCACGTATGCTTCCTTTTGATCTTTTGCGGCTGGCAATGTAGCTGGAAATCAATGTTCACAGTTCCTTCATGAGAACGACTACTTTTGTCAAGTAACAAGCGTCTCAAGAAAGTGGATGCATCATGTAAATCTGTGGCCGTCAACATGCATCATCTGGTCCGGCTCGGACGATCCCCCATGTCGATCTTCTTCTGCTCCAAACCACTATCCACGATGCTTCGCCCTTGTCTCTGCGCAGCCTACAACTAGGCGCTGATTTGTCTTCGTCTCTGTGTGTCATTCTGGCCATAAGTCTGCGTCCACGACCCTTCAAGAGACGATGTCCACAGCCTCCACCTTGAGTTGCAAGGCATTGAATCCATCGGGATTGCCTTCACGCGTGCAGCGATCTTCGCGCAGCCCACCCAACGAGCCTCGAAACACGATTGGTCCTGCAAGAACCACATTTCAAGATGCGCATATGCATGTCTAACCCACCGCAGTAGGAAAAGTATTCTTTGTTCATATTTGAAGTCCGGATCTCTTTGCACTTATCTCAATACACACACTATGATACCGTGGAAAGCAAATCTTCCAAGACATGGACACAGGTATGAACGAGAAACAGGGTGGAGACTATCTAACGAGCCATGGCGGTGACGAGGTCTTAAGTGGTCATCTGAAGCTCGACCCGAACGGTTATCCTCTGCAGCCACGACCTTCGGACGACTCTCTAGGTAGGTAAGTCTCTTCAACCTCCATGCAATCCCATCTCTGACAGAGAAAGATCCCTTGAACTGGAAGAAAAGCTACAAGCTCTATGTGCTCCTACAAGTCGCCCTACTATCCCTCCTCAATTTCTTCGGCCAGGCTGTCACTAATCCAGCCTTCGGCCTTCTGGCCAAAGATCTACACATCACCATCACAGAAGCTTCCTGGACAACAACGATTGCCATCCTCTCGTGCGCAGTTTCCGGCCTGGTACTCGCGCCCCTAGCCAACATCCATGGCAGGCGACCGGTATACATTTACTCCACGGTGATCGCGATCATTGCCAGTGCGGGCTCAGCTGTCGCGACCAGGTTCGGGCCACTACTCATCGCTAGATTCTTCGTTGGGATCGGGACAGCATCCGGAGCAGGTATAGGAGCGTCCTGCGTGGCGGACTTATATTGCCAGCATGAACGCGGCCGATATATGGGTATCTACATCGTTCTGCTTACCAATGGTGCTCATCTCGCGGGCGTAGTCGGAGGCTTCATCGCGCAATACGAAGGCTGGCGCTGGTCGTACTGGATTACCACGATCGCCTTCGGTGTCATGTGGCTGGTGAATTTCTTCACGTTGCCGGAAACACTGTATCGCCGCGATCCGATGACAGGCCAGTCCAAGGAGGATACGAAAGACGTCAAGGCGCTCTTCAGCCTCCGAGGCGTACCCACCGAGCAGCGGTTGACCTTGCATCATCTCCTGCATCTGCTCGAGATGCTCAAGTATCCTTCAGTCTCCCTAGTGCTTATCTACTACAGTGTGAGCCAAGGCATCGGCAGCTTGCTTTTCGCAATCTCGGGAGCAGCAGCTTATGGGTCCATTTACAACTTCTCCGTCTCCCAGATCGGTTTGGCCATCGGCGTACCAACTCTCGTTGGGTCAGCGCTCGGCGAACTTATGGGAGGCGGCATAAGCGATTACATCTTCCATCTAGGGAGAAGACGGCAGCACCATGGAGAGCCGGAGGCCGAGACAAGACTTTGGTGCATCGTCCCTGGCGCTTTCTTGCTGCCAGCTGGTGTGATCATTGAGGGTGTGTGTCTCCAGTGCCGCACACACTGGTCAGGGCCAGTCATTGGAATCGGCATAGGCTCTTTCGGCTTGCAGGTCGTGTCCACGAATGTTTATGCGTATTTGACGGATTGCTATAAGCCGCAATCTGCTGAGCTCTCGACGCTGCTCAACTTCGGCAGACTGATCTTCTCGTTCACACTTGGCTTTTACATGGTAAGCAGCCTCTAATTGTCCGTGAGAAATGGTTCAGGCTGACTGTAGCAGGTACCATTCGCCAAAGCGACAACCTGGGGCGCCGCTTTTGGGACCATGGCTGCCATCGATGTTGTCCTATTCGCAGGGATCGTGGCTCTGATCCTTCGAGGGAAGGCATGGAGAGCTAAGCTTGGACAGCCTGCGTTCGACCAGGACTTGTGATTCGTGTTGGATATCGGCATCGGCGGCTAGCAGCCCAAAACAGCGCGTTCGATATGTCCCGCTGATGCCATCCACCCAACACGTGCAAAGCGCAGATGTAGCCGACGGATCATGGCAGTCGCATGTCAGATAGGGATCATAGACCATTCACAAGTTGACAAGACCACTCAACCATTTGACTTCTTTGTGTCCTTCTTGGCGGATTTTGAAGCTTTCGAAGCCTTGGAGGCCTTGGAGGCCTTGGAAGTCTTCGGAGCTGGTCCAGCTGGTGCAGCTGCTGGAACCTGTGCAGCTTGTGGAGCCTGAGCAGCTTGTGGGACCTGTACAGCCTGTGCAGCTCGTGCAACTTCTGCATCTTTGGCAGCCTGCTTCGCTTTCGCCGTCGCAGAGATCTTATCGACCTCCTTTGTCGCTCTGAAACCCATGTTACCCTCCTCCGTCAAACCCCACTTGTTGACCTCCTGCCCCGTAATGACTCTCCTAACAAGACCGACCTCCACAGTCTTCTTGCCCTTACTCTTACTCTTCAGACCATCGTCGTCCAGATCGAAGTATAATGCCCACTTGTCCGGCTGCTCCTCTACCGCAATAAAACCTTCAAACTCATCGAAAGTGATACTCGAGTCTAGATCGTCAGATGTCCAATCGAAGCTCCCCACATGATGTTCGATACTGCCACTGCGGTTCGCATACTTGAGCTCGTAGGTCGAGGTGTCGATGTATATCCAATTGAGCATGGGCGGATCCACAGAGATGGTGCTCACCATGCCCCTGGTATAGGGTCTGTTATCATCCGGATATGCCAAGTAAAAGCCAGTAAAGGGATGGTGCTTCGCATCGACTGGCCAGCCGGTCTCATGGTTCTGCGGCTCAATCCACATCTTGTCATCGTGAACTGTGACTATGCAGCCATTTAATTCCGCACCCTTGCCTTTGCGCAGACTCGCATCGACGGAGATGTCGATGTGGAATTTTAGCATACGGCGCTGGTTCGATACATCGGCATTCTGCTTGTGTTGCTCCTGGACACCTTGTGCGACGCCAGTTACTACTGAAATTCCTCCTGCGCCGACGACTGGCAAGGAGACGCCGAGGCCGAGGATGACATCGATGAACATGGTGTTGAATTCTGTTCGAGCCAAGGAGAATATGTAGACCTACTCTGGCATGCTTACAGAAGGATCGTCCTGCTCAGACGGCTCGAGAGGACGGTCACAAAGTTGGTTCGTCTGCTCAGAATGTATGCGAGCTTTGACCATTTGGAGTCATTTCTTGGAATACTGCAATGACTCGTGCCTTCCTTTTCAATACACTTCTGTACTGGGCATGCATCTCTCACCAAGCTCGTTGATTGCTCCTCGGACCGCTACTGAAGATGAACATTGACCTTGAGGACTTCGCCTGATGTCCTCATAGCGAGGCAGCTCGCACGATTGAGCATGGCCAACAGCGAATACGAATATGTTCGACACTTTGAGCAGTGGGACCCTTCACCACCGTCAAACTGGATAGTCGTACGCATCGACGGTCGAGGTTTCACAAAGCTCTGCAAAAAGTACGACTTTGCCAAACCCAACGACCGCCGAGCAATCGACCTCATGAACGCAGCAGCAGTCGAAGTCGTGCGCTCATTTGTTGATATAGTCCTTGCCTATGGGCAAAGCGATGAGTACAGCTTCATCTTCCACGAGTCGACAACGCTGTTTGAGCGACGAGCTGCGAAATTAGCTACTTCGGTCGCCACGGCTTTTACAGCAGAATACTGTATGCAATGGTCTACTTTCTTCCCAGACTTGCCACTCGAGCGTCCTTGGCCCACATTCGATGGACGCTGTGTCTGTTACCCCAAGCGCAAGATTCTACGGGATTACCTCTGCTGGAGACAAGCGGACTGCCACATTAACAATCTCTACAACACGACTTTCTGGAACATGGTTATGAAGGGTGGAATGAGTGCTACTGATGCCGAGCAAGCTCTGAAGGGCACACTATCCGCGGACAAGCATGAGATACTATTCTCGAAGTTCGGCATCAATTACAATAATGAGCCGCAGGTATATCGAAAAGGCACGGTTGTGTTTCGCTCGTACGACACAGCGGTTCAAACGAATGATGTCGGCCATGACGATCTTGCGGAGAAGCAAGCCAATACCCACAGCAAGACCCAGTTACAGAAGGAGCTGAAGCGAAAGCAGAAGGCGATCATTGCAACCGGACATATTGACATTATCGGGAACGCCTTCTGGGACGATCATCCTTATATACTTACCGGCAAGCGAGGCGAGGACTTTGGTGAATAACCCATCAGCAATTATGCAGCGGATTTCGTACCCAAGAACTTAGACCAGTCTGTCCGCTTGATATGGTGGATTATCTTGGACCTCGGGATGCTGAAGCCCTGTTTCTCAAGCTGTACCACGTCAGCACACATCAACACAATGCGAAGGACGTATAACACCCACATCATCAGGCGACACCACCTCAGGATCACCACCAGTATATCCAAACTCCTCAGCAAAGCGGAAGCCCTCAGCGAATTGCAGCTTCAAACCCAGCGGATCATTCTGGACAGCCGCTTCGAAGGAGATGTCCTCGAATCGTCCTTTGACTCCAAGGTGGTCGAACAACAGCTCAAGATATTTCCCAGTACCAAGCCACTCGCTCACCCCCAGCACATGAGTTCCAGGGGATGCCTTCGTCAGCGCATGCACAAAGGCACCAGTATCGCGCTCCACATCGACCCACGGGATAGGACAGTCTTTCTGCAAAGGCAGCGAGACGAGGAAGTCTCCATTCGTTTGCTGGTCGGGTATACTGTCAATACCCTGGGAGTGGCAGACGGAACACGAATCACAACTTACCCTAGATATGCCCCACTGCTGCGGTGTGTTCGCCAGATTATCCATGAATCCACCCATCAACACCGCACTAGCCTTGTCCTTCAGCGCAGGCAAGTCGCGCATGTACTGCCAAACAGTATACTTGCTGTCCAGATGATAAGCTTGCACGTACTTCCCACCACTACGACCTCGGACATCAGTAAGCGAGCTCCAGACCAAACGATGCAGAGTCGGAATCGTAGCAGCAGCATCAGCGACATTCTTGCCCTGCTGGACCTCAATTTCGTAGGCGTACTGACCGACGGGAGGTTTCAGCTCGCCGGACATGACTTTGGGGATGAGGTTGGAGGATTGCAGGATTTCGCTGCCGGCCGTATAGGCGAAGATGACGGTGGCGTCTTTGAAGGCATGTTTCAGCGAGTCGAGGTCGTTGAGGTCGGCTTTTACGATCTCGATCCCGGACTTGGCGAGTGCGATGGCGGCGTCGGATGATGGGTTGCGACTTGTGCCACGGAGCTTGTAGGAGGGTTCGTATTGTTGGAAGTATGTGAGCACGGCGCGGCCTTGGTTGCCTGTTGCGCCTATAACGACTAGTACATTGGACATGGTTGTGGGAGCTGGTGATTTGAGTGCAAATTGCAGAGTTGCAGGGGAAAGGAGGGAGTCCGAGACGTGAACAATTTTTATTAATATTGAGACTTCGGTAGTCTCGATCAGTGATCAGCTCGTACAGCAGCGTGGAAGGCAAACGGAGGGTTAGCATGTTGGTATCTCCGAGATTGTTCTCATACAGCACAAGGTCTATGAGCTGTCAGTGCGGCTGCATGTGTTGCTTATGCGATACACCAACTTTTAGTGAAGAAACTTCCCCACTTTTCATGCATATTCAGGCTATGCGTGCGCTACCTCGCATTGCTCGCGAGTTGGATCATTGTGCAGTACTCCAGGCACCAGCCATAACTTCTCATTTGCAGACGATGATCTTGTACTCGACTCTGCACCTGTGAACAGCTCGACTCATGAACAAGTGAGTCGCCCACTTCACGATTCAAGCCTACATTACTCGCGTCGTCAAACCAAGAAACATAAAAACTGCCCTCTCTCACCACATCTTCCTCTTCCTTCTTTTCTCTCTTCATCCTAGTGCTCGGGCGTTACGCGTGTCAGTGAGGAGAAATCCGAGGCCGCGTTTTTGCTGATTGCAAACTATATGCAATGACCTCTCGGCATGGACTGCGTGTTCGTGTCGGAATATTTGGAAAGTTATTGAGTCCGTTATCGCGACGGATCCTTTCCATCGGTATGCAGGCTTGTTGGTACGAGCCTGGTGCTGGAGAAGAGATGTGCCTATGGGCTTGTGTGGCTGTACTCGTACTGTAGCGATTCTGGCCGCTCATTAACTAGTACCTCTGAGACTTGTCGGCATAGAATAGTGCTACAGTGGCCCTGATCTCAAGCTCTTGTTCTTGGTAACGTCAAGTGAGCAGGTTCTTCCACTAGTCTACCGAGTACTGTAGCACGTAAGCCAGACATTCCCGTTTTCCACGAAGACGCCACTCTCGTCGGTATGAAAGGTGCTCATGCATTGATTTCAATCTCGCTTCCTTGACTTCGGGTTCGGGAGAAGACGCTTCAATCCTTAGGACTTCGCGACAGGCCTTACGAGAAGTATTGACGACAGTTTTGAATCCCCAACCCCTTGAGCTTGGCTCCCTTTCTCGCGGTACCACTGTCAGATTGGTCAGACCGGCAAATATGATGCGGAGCTGACCGGATCTGACGTCTCCTGGATTCAGGGACTCGGTGCATGTATTGTGTCTTGAGAGGGTTTTCTTCTAGATATCGCGGCTAGTCACGTCAACAGTAGCTGTTACATGCATGGTTGCAAGGACCAGAAGATGAGAAGTAACAGTACGGAGAGAACTAACAGGATTTATACTCATGCGGATTGCTCAGCCAGCCAGTGTTAGGCTCTTCCTCAACCTCCGTGGTTCAAACATACCAATTGTTAATTTGAGGTATGTTGTTGCTGGTCGGTTCCATACTGTAAGGTAGGTAGTATAACTCGGCGCGGCGAAACGTTGATGCGGCAGCCATATTTTTCTGTGATTTGCATGTGAAACCTACGAGCTATTCTTTCTGAATGCCAGACATGGCGACGACGATATCCTTGCTGGAAACGCTGTCCAGCTTCACAGCAGCCACAGAGAATGCTACACAAGCTCTACCAGATGCAGAGTCATTCGTAACTCCCAAGGACGGGATTACTCTTCTGGACACAAAGAACGACATCTTCCTCGCCTACCTCCAAGCGCTTGCCCTGCGAAACCTGAATGTCATACGTAGTATCAAAGAGGGCAACGATGCAGAAGCAGCGAATGAGCTGAGCGAGGAGATAACGAAGAAATTGGTCGAGCATCGTGTATATCTGGAGCGCCGAGTCCGACCACTCGAGGCCAAGATCAAATATGGAGTGGACAAAGTCGTCAAGGCAGCCGACGATTCCGAGCGAGCAGCGGTCGAGGAGACAAAAGCCGCAGCAGTGATCACTCATAAAGCTACTGCTCAAGATGACGAATCAGACGACGACGGCAGCTCCGACTCGGACGAAGAACGGGCCTTCAAACCAAGCGGCGCCGCGTTCACGAGATCCTCCACCACTGACCCCAACACCACCCGCCGGGCTTTGAGCAAACAAGACGGCATCTACCGCCCTCCCCGCATAGCAGCCACAGCCATGCCACTCACCACTAGTGCCCGCGAACGCAAGGAAGACCGCCGACCAGGCCGCTCAGCAACAGTGGATGAATACATCTCCCACGAATTGTCTACCGCTCCTATCGCCGAGCCCAGTATCGGATCTACGATCGCCTCGGGAGGCCGAAGCATGAAGAGTGCTAAGCAGCAAGCTGCTGAAAGTGAGAGGAAGGAGTACGAAGAGAGTAATCTTGTTCGTTTGCCGGCGCCGAGTAAGAAGGATAAGATGAAGCAAGGTGGTGCTGGAGCAGGAGATGACAAGAGAGGTGGTTTTGGAGGTGAGGAGTGGAGGGGCTTGGACATGAGTCTTGATCGGATCGGGGATTTGACGAGACGGAAAGGAGGGAAGGAGGGGGCGTTCGAGAGGAGTAAGAAGAGGGGACGTGATGTTGGGGATCGGAATAGAGATGATGGGACGGGTGGGATGGGTGGTGCGTTTGAGGTCAAGCGTAGGAGGGTGGAGAAGAAGAGTCGGCGGTAGTAGACAATACTTAATTCGGCGGTAGCAGCAAATACTCAGGGGCTAGCATCGTAAATGTCTATGTGGATCTTCATCTACGGCAATCTATGGGGTATCATATCGCACTGCTATTGTCATGCGCTACTCTTCGTCTTCCTCGCCTGCCGCTTCCTTTCCTTTTCAACCTGCTTAGCTTCCTTGGCATCCTTCTGTGCTCTCCTCGCCACCCTCGCAGCCTTGGTCTCATCTGAATCAGTTTCTACTTTCTTCGACTCTGCCGCGTTCCTACTGGATCCATGACGATCCTCACGTTGAGCGGATCTCCATCGTCGTCGGGCTTCGCGCACTGGTTTTGGCAGAGCTTTGGTGTCTGTGTCTGCCCACCACTTCGGGTCCTCGGGCACTCTGTCACCAGGCGTCCGTTCGAATATCTGCTTGCCACGAGTGTTCACGAACGAGAAAGGTGTCTGTGAGGCAATGTGCGACCGTGCCGTGGCGTAGTCGCCTTCTTGTATTGTAGCGGCCGCTGGACTGCTTGATCCGTTCGTCGCCGTGTTGGCGAGCGCATCGTCACCCTGCGTGTCCACAACGACAACCACATCTGGACTCAGCGATATCGCGCCATCAGCCATGTCGTTCACAGTGCTAGGATTATCCTGTGACTGTGCACGCTGTAGCCTGCGAGCATTCTTCCCTTCTCTCCTTGCCTGCATGCTAGCGAGATTCCGTGCCGTCCTCGAAGCCTTGTCTACATCACGCTTCGCTTCAGAAGCCCCCTCCTGCTCCTTTCGTGCCCGACGAGTCGATGCGTCCTCGCTCGCCGTCCCAAGATGAGCTCTGGCCACGCGTCTAAACTCGTGCTTTGCAGCACTACGAGCCCGCTTCTTCGCCGTATCGTTCCCAACAGCGGCCAGATTGATATCGACCTGAAATTTGGAGGACGCTGACAGTGTTGCCATGATCTTCGCCAGATCCCCCTTCACGTCCGACCTGGCCCTTTCCGTAGCGATCGGTTCACGAGATTTGCTCGGTAGGAGACCTCGTCGCTGTGCCTTGCCAACCAGCCTCTTGACTCTATCATCGCTCTTAGAGTCCTCCTTCGTCCTCTGCTTTGCTCGCTTATCCACAGACCTCACGTGCTCTCGCTTTCGCTTGAGAGTCGCAGAAGCCATATCCACCGCCGACCGCCCATCCTTCCCTGAAACATGCTGCTCTATCTCCGAAGGTGTAATCGTACCAGCAGGTGTACTACTCAGACTCTCCCCAAAAGTCCCAGCAACACCCTCACCCTTCACGAATCGACCATACAATCCTCCCATAGCAATGCCATGCTTCTGCACCTGCCCAAGCAAACTCTGCTTTCCCGTCCCGAAGTCAGTCAAGCCTTGGTCATAAGCACGCAGCCACCACTGATCCGAGACTGCCTGGTGCTTGTTCACTCCCACGCCAAGGACATCGACCTTCTTGCTGACTAGTAATGGTTTCTTGATCCCGCGGCCGGTATGGTCGAGTGAGTGGCCATCGCCTTGCCAGCCTTGGCTTTGGAGGTAGGCCCTGGCGTCCATGCAGAGAAGTTGTAAGATCCGAGAATACACCTTGAGCCAGACCAGAAATTTTGGGTCTGGAAGATCGGCCGAGGCACGCGCGGAATTGGATCCGGCGTGTGCCTTCCTTTCTAATCTGCTCCCTCCTTAACTTCGAAGCTTTCGCATCCACATCCCTTTGCTCCACAGTGTCAGTGTCAATGATATGCCTGGGACTGTGCGACTTGGACAATGTTCACATCATGGCAATGCAACCAGCGAGTCTAAGCAGCCTGTGCTTCAACAGCGCAGTCAGCTCCTCGTGCTTCCGCCAGAGATACGCAACCGCGCATACATGTACGTGCTGAAGGTGCAGACAAGCTCTGGCAAGATTCCACTTCGCCACGTCCATCGTCGCGACGGCGTCCTGAGAATATTGCAGACATGTCGACAGGCAATGGCCGAGGAATCAGGACTGTTGTATTCGTCAAATCACTTCTTACTCGGCCTTGAAGAACTTTATATTCTGGATCGCATCATTACCAATCCTGACCGCCGTGCATCGATTTCTACTATAATGGTGAAATACACTGTGCCGACGACATAATTCTGGCGCTGATATTGGCAGCCAACTTGCCACGTCTTCGTGCGTAGTACCCTGAAGTTCTATTTGAGATATCGGCCTCTTGGTGCACCAGGAGTGGAACACGACTGGATCTGGATCAAGAAGTGCTTGCTGAAGCAGACTTGTATTCGAGTCCTGCGACTGTATGCTCTTCATGGGGCTTCAGAGAAGCTTATCAGAAAGCTCTCGCATGTGGAACAGCGACTGCAGAACGTGCCTCGGATCGTGCACGGTGGCGATTACGGAGTGTGTGGTACGGCATTGTGGAAATCGAGTTCTCAAGCAATGCTGACAGGGGAGGCAGGCTAAACCCAGCATTGATGTATCATCTACTCCTACTTGTCTGCAGCGAACGCTTTCAAGTCATCCAGATTAATCTTGTTTAGTGCTTTTTCACTACAAACCAAAGATTAGCGGGATGTCCACGCGACATAATAGCGTACGAAGAATGCGGCGCTTGGGCTTACTTGGTAGCGTTTAAGAAGATCTTGGGCACGATCTTGTCTCCTGCAGCTTCCTTGTCACGAGCTTGGAAAGCTTCGAGCCACCTGGTCGTGCAGAGACACCCTAGCAGAAAGGTCAGCAAGAATTTTACAGGCAATCGAGGTATCTTATCCATCCTACATTTGCATCCGGCTTTCATGCCAGGAATAGGTCGAAGGTCGTTGCCTTGCCGTGCCGTGAAGTCTGCTCCAAGCATTAGTATGCGATCGTTGTTCATAAGGGCGTCTCCATCGTGAGGCTTCATACCTAAGAACTCCTCCGTCACCTCAGCAGCAACAGCATGGTTGCCGTAGTCACTGGCAGGGACCTCGCAGTAGCCGTTGCGGAGGAAGCCAGTCATTGGGCTCGTCGAGTGGACAGCAAGTGGTTGCTTGAAGACTGTACCGTAGTCAGTAACAATTGCTTGTTCGCATCTCGCTTTTCCTTCTGCAAACCGTTCAATGACTTCGACATCGTGAAAGTCTGTTGGTGGGAGTTGTGGTGATGGTTGGCGAAAGGATTGTGTATCGCTGAGCTCAAAGTTGCGAAGACGCAGAAGACCAGCAGTAGCAATGATGGCGATGACAAGAAACTCATTGACAATGTTCAAATGGCAATGGATAGTAGTAAGCAGTTGTTGTACATGAACATCATCATGATCACTATTGTATTTGATGACGTGCTTGTTACCCCGATTTGGAGCCCGCAACAGATCTATACGACTTGTTGGCCTTGGTCCAGATGTTAGTACTTACGTATCTAGTACAAGTCGATGTTGCTCGCTACGACCAAGTCGTTCATCTTGTTGGTGTCCTCATATCGCCAGAGTGGCTTTTAACAAGCCATGGCCAAGTGTATGATAACCCTTAATATAGTCTGCATACGCTTAAAGGCGCGTAGCTAGGCGTAGTCGTCGTCGCTTTAGATTTGCGGATTACAATTGCGTGTTATATAGAGTAAGTTCATTTTAAGCCGCAATTTTGAAATGTACGTGCATGCATTTTACACATATGATGCTACACCTGACTTCGGGATACCTTTACTTTCCCACACTAGCACTGCTTCATTTCTTCCTCACCCAGTCCTCATCGTGGCACCTCACCCAGAAGTACCCGTCGATCCGTACTCCCACTAGCAACCACCGTCCCATCAGGCGAGAAATCAACCTCATTCACACTCCCCTTATGCCCCGGTAATCTCGCCACCATCTTCCCGCTCGCCGCCTCCCAGACCGTCACAACACCCTCGCCTCCACCAACCGCCACCCTCTTCCCTTCCCGATCCCAACAAGCGCGGAAAAGATTCTTCTCCAAGCCCGCTTGCGCCCCGTCAAAGACCCGTATCTGCCTGTCTTGCGGGGCGAAGGGCCGGATATCCCATGTTCTTGCCGTCGAGTCGTGGGAGTAGGAGAGTAATGTCTGCGTGTCCGGGCTGAGTGAGAGAGAGGTGATCGTATCTGTATGTCCCGCGAGTTCAAACGACACTTTCTTCATCCGCAGATCGTAGATTTTGATAACATTGTCTATGCCTCCAGCAAAGACCTCGTTCCCTGCTTCCGCTAAACAGATTGCTGTGATAGGATATTCGGTCTGTATGTGATCTAGTGCGTGTTTCTGCCGTGGATCCCAGATCCCTATACTGGCGTCGTCGCTCCCTGATACCAAGAACTCTTCGCCGCGTTTGCTGACATCGAGACAGTTCACCACCTCCTCGTGACCTATGTGCCGCCGTATCCGTGTGCTGGTATTCAGATCCCAGGAAGCGAGAGTGTGATCGGCGGAAGCGGAGTAGAGCACCTGACTATCTCTCGACCAGTTCAGGGCCAGCACGGCAGCTTTGTGGCCGGAGAGGGAGGTATAGTTTTCGCAGGAGCCGGCCGTGCGCCAGAGGAGAATCTGTCGATCCATGCCTGCCGTCGCCAGGGAAGTACCGTCGGGCGAGAATCTGGCGGCGAGGACTTCGGAGGAATGGCCTGTGAGTTCCATGACGGGGGAGGAGAGGGTGGAGGCATTGCCCTGTGTGACCAGACGTCGTGATTAGTTTTGTGCTCCTTCACTTTATGGTTCATTTAGCGATGCGCGGCGCATGCTGGTGGGAGATTGAGACTTACGCCTTTGATGAGTGCTCCTCCCGCTCCGTTGGTCCTTGCCAGTGCGCTGCCATTGAGGTCGGCATCTGATCGTTGTCGTTTCACTAGTTGTGTTGTGCCGAAGGACTCGGATGCTGCTCGCTTTTCGCCCGACATATTGCACGAGTATACGCGATCACTGTTATGGCGGTTGTGAGAATGTCAGAGCTCTCAGGAGTGGTCGAATCAGTGATATGAATTCCTGATGGTCGACAAACCACAACGCCAAAACTTTCCCACAGCTTCGTCAAGCTTTCGGTTCGTGCCCGCCGAAAATGCAAGGATGGCTCGGTGCCGAAATGCTGGGTCCAAGTCTGCCTTTCACAAGCCAAACATTCTAGACTTCCATACCACTCACGATTTCGAGATGAGGTAAAGAACGAATATTGCGCTGCCCATATAGCAGCGCTACAGATTAAAACAGCATAGAAACGGGGCACAATGGCTTCATCCAAGGCAGCCCGCATGGGCGAAGAGTGAGTACCCGATGGTAAACCACAACAACATATACTCTGCACCTGAGCTAACAGCACATCACAGAGTATGGAAGTAAGCCCCGCCATCAACAATCCGACAATCCGTCCTCGACACTGTCTAACACATCTCACAAAACAGAACCCGCACAGAAAAAATCAACCTTGAAGTCCTAACCCTCACCTACGGCACCCTCGTATCCCAACTAACCCACGACCTCCGCGACCCTGCCACCAACATCCCCGACTACGCCGCCATAAACACCGAACTCGACCGCATGGGCCACTCCATCGGCCTCCGCCTCATCGAAGACTTCCTGGCCAAAACCTCCTCCGCTGGGCCCGCCCCTTGCAACAATTTCCGAGAAACAGCAGAGATGATAGCGAAAGTGGGCTTTAAGATTTTCTTGAATGTGACGCCCAGAGTGGAGAATTGGGACAAAGAGGGGCGGAGTTTCGGGTTGGTGTTTGAGGAGATGCCGGTTAGTGAGTTTGTGGAGTTGCCGGACGATGGGCGGGCGCAGGAGGAGTTGTGGTTTTTGAATCTGTTTTGTGGGGTTGTGAAGGGGGCGTTGGAGATGGTGAGTTTGATTCTTATACTATACATGTTTCGGCTGGAAGGTATGAAGTGCCATTGGCCTTGACAAAGGGAGGGTGTGTGTTTATGAGGGCGTTGTCGGCTGACTCGTTTTTGCTTGTAGGTTCAGATGCAGGTCAAGGCGGAGTGGGTCAGTGATGTGCTGAGGGGGGATGATACGACTGAGATGAGGGTTACGCTTATACGATATATTGAGGACGAGATGCCGCCGGATGACGAATGAGCTGATGGTGACATGCTCTGTTTATGAAAGCCACGACGATAGCATCACGAAGTCGAATCTGGTCGTCCACAATCTGTGTACCGCAGCCCATGGGTCTGCGAACAGCCTTAGTCAACCTGGATCGACTTGGTCAGTCTTTGGAACAACAGCAACGACTTTAGGTCTTGAAGTCGAGCCACCAACAATACTCATCGATCCAAGGATTTCAGCACTTGTGGTGCTGCCAGATCAATTCCACGGACTAGTCAGTCCACAGATGATCCACAAGCTCTTCTATCAGCGAGCTGAAATACAGATGGGAGCGAGGGATTTTGCAATGCTCACGGCAACTTTGCCCGGCATTGAGATAACTTCATCATAGATTCGACTATGCTTCAAGCCATCATGAGTGTGATCGCCCCTATCCATTGTGTCAGTTTGTTAAAATGATATGACAGAAGCTCCTCCCCACCAACAATTCTGCAAGGTACATATGCTAGCTAAAGGGGTCTACTTTTTATCTCAATCCCCCGACCTTCTGGAAGAAGTCTATAGTATCACGCCACGGGCAATGCTGGTGATGATCATCTGTAGACGTGTAACAGTGTAGTGAGTCCTCCAAGGGAGACTTCTCGGTGCATGGTGAGGAGAAGATGACACTATCTTTGCCATCACGAATGGCGGAAACCCTCGGTGGATAGCTGTGCAACGTGACCCCTGAATTGTGATTCGTCGGATGCAACCTCGAGCTCTGCCCGCCAGAGCGTGACCTCGATTGCCACAAATCATTTCTGTCGCGACACGTCGCCCATTTGTCACTTGCTGTTGCATGCTCGATATATATATCATATATCGATCTCGTTGGTTACTTATATCGCGCACACCCGATTTTGTGCGACAGAAGGAAGGAAAGAGTGGTGATCATAGAGTAGGCTAAGTCAGCAAGCAGCCAGCCAGCCAGCCAGCCAGCCCGCCCTACGGACGTTCCAATCCCGAAGCGCGAGGGAAACGAGGTCAGACGCTCAACTCTCTTCTTGCAGCACCACCACCACGGTCCACACAGACTGACCGCCCCCACGCTGGAAGTGGAAGCCGCTGCGGGCACACTCAATACATATCGCGAGCATATTGTTGTTATTATCTTTGACACGACCGGTGTATTGGAAAAGGAATATTTGGGGGAAGGGAATTGCCCGAGACGGACGGCTTCCAAATAGACTCGGGCCCAGCTGTGCGGTCGCAAAGTACGGAGTAAGGAAGGGCGGTCGGTGGTGCACGTTTGGGTAGGGAAGCGGATCTTCTGTGCCGTTCCTTTCCTTTGCGCGACTCCACACCCGCAACGCTATTATTATTGCCTCGAACATCGACACACGAACACACGAACACACGAACACACAACTGCACGCACATCGTTGTAGCGGGGAGGAGACAGAGCAGGCTATTACTGCGCGTGGTGGCTGTCCGGTAGCTTTGCCGCTGAAACAGGCACGAACACCCAACGCCGAGTCGTCGCGCCGCCCCCGCATAAACTATATCCTCCCGACCTCACGCTCCTTCCATTATACGATACTCTACCACCCTACCGGCGACGCCACACACAGACACCGGACGACACGCTGTCGCCACGGCACCACATTCGCTGCTCAGCCGAGTTCGAGATAGCGCACGGGAGTTGCCGGCGCGTGTGATCTAGCATGAGCCAGCAGCAGCAGCAGATGCAGCAGATGCAGCAGATGAGCGGCATGGCGGGCGGACCAGTCGGCGGCGGAGGAGGAGCTCAACAACAGCAACAGATGATGAATGCGGGCACGCCGTCGAGTGGCGATGGTAATGCCATCAGCGCCATCAAGCGGCTGAACACCGCCATCTACGACCACCTACTGCGACAAGGCATGTACGATGTCGCGCGCGCCTTCCTCCACACCAAGGTCGACATGGAACTCGACAACAAGAAGTCGCCAAGCCAACGTGGTCAGGCGAATGGGGTGGGCGACGATGGCATGGACGTCGACAGTGCTTACAAAGACCGACCAGATGACCTGCCTGCCCCCGCGGCACTTGGCGAAGGACCTTTCTTGCAAGACTGGTGGTGTCAGTTCTGGGAGATCTACTGGGGCTATCGTGGCAGGGGCAAGGAGCAGACGCAAAACTTTATTGGCCACCAAAGACAGCTGCAAAAGGCTCGGAACAACATGATGGCCACTGGCGGTATGGACGCGGCCAGTATGCAGCGCATGCAGCTCAACGGCAATATGATGATGCAGGGCGGCATGAACGCCATGGGCATGCAGGCCGACCTAAAGCGCACCGCCATGCAGAACCGGTCCAACACAAACATGTAAGTGACACCCTCCAACTTCGGTCCTCGTGACGATCATGGTCGCACATGCTGACGTGGCGTCCAGGACCCCGCAGCAGCTCCAGCATATGCAGAACCAGATAAAAATGGCCGGCAGCAATCAAATGGAGCGGTCGGGTTCGCAGATGGATATGAACGGTCCTCGTTCCAACTCTCCTGCCTCTGGCGATCAACCTTCACCTAAACGCCAACGCACCGACGCCAACGGCAACATGACTATCAACCGTCCTGGTCCGCCAGGCTCAAACAACGTGGGTTTCCCTTCCAGCACACCCCAGCCCAGCACACCAAATGCAAACATGCCCACCCCCGACCCCAACAGCTACGCCCACGTCCATGGCTTGCTGAAGGCCAGAGGCATCGATCCGAACGACGTGTCGCAAGATCGCATCTTCCAAGTTGCTCTGCAGCCTGCTGACCATCGTGTGAAGAGCGTCGATGCCTACTCAGCCAGTATCCAACAAACCATGAAGTCCAGTCTTAACAAGATGTCTCAGCAGGGCGTACCACCGAACATGGCCGGCTCGCCAATGAATCCTGGTATGGACACCAACAACAATGAGTTCTTCCAGGCTGCCAATGGCCGAGGACCGGGCAGCATGCCGCCGAATATGATGCCGGGTGGCCCCAATGCTGCTGCTGCCGCTGGCCAGAACGCCAATGGTAGCGGTAACCACGCTTTGCAAGACTATCAGATGCAGCTCATGCTGCTTGAGCAACAGAACAAGAAACGGCTGCTCATGGCTCGACAGGAGCAAGATAGTATGGCTAACCCTGGTATGCCAGGTGGAGGTGGCCAATTCCCAGGAGGTATGAGCCCTGGCTCTCAAGCACGAGGCGGTGATCCTTCGCCAAACGCTGGCGATGTCCGACACGGCACACCGAAGATGTCCAAAGGCATGTCACCAAATAGCGGCGACATGGCCGGTCGCGGCTCGCCTCAGCCTGGTATGATGCCGGGTATGGGCAACGATCAGATGCGACACATGATGGCGCCCAACGGCCAGATGATGCGACCGCCGTCGTCACATCCCATGGGACCTCAAGGACAACCTCTTGGACCGGATCAGATGGCTATGTTGCAGAATCCTACTGGTCGGACGATGATGCCTACTGGACAGCAATTTAATCCGAACATGATGCCTGGACAGCCAGGTGGACCGCCTGGTCCTAACATGACGCCCCGATCGCAGACTATGGGTCCGCCACCGGCGCCTCAGAGTGGGACGCAGCCAAGTAGTCCTGCGCAGCCGCCTGCTCCACCAACGCCTAGCCAGGGTAACAAGGCGAAGCATGGGAACAAGAAGGGTGATGCTGGGAAAAAGGTATGTTTTACCATCTATTCTGCTTTGAAGGATTCCCACGCTAACATTATTTGTCTTCAAAGGGCAACGCAAAGAAAGGCGGCCAAACAGGCGCGACTCCGGCATCAGAAGCTTCAGAACAACCGCCTACGCCTACGCCCGCCACGCCCGCTACACCACATAATCCCAACAACGCTTTCGCACACAATCACAACAAGAATCTGCAGAACGGTAACCAAGTCGGTCAACAGAATCGACCCCCCATGCCACCTCAACAACAAATGCCACAAGATCTCAACAACCCCTCTTTCGGCCACCTCGGCGCGACCGGCGGTCCTGGCGGAGGTCCAGACGATTTCGGCGTGGGACTCAACATTGGCGACTTTTCGAATCTGGAGGGCACGGATGTGCTGGATACTTTCGACTTTGACACGTTCCTCAATAATGATGGGGATGTTGGTGGATTTGGTGGGGTGGGGTTTGCGGATCTGGCTTTTGGGGATGGTGGGGGACTTGAGGCGGGGGGTGGGGGGTTGGGGCTTGGAGATCTGGGCGGGAATTAGGATGCTTGGCTTTGTGATCTTGAGGTTCATGCTCTTGCTTCGGTGGATGTGGGTGGGGAGGGTGGGAGTGGGAGTGGTGCGATTGAGGAGGAGGATGGTGGGGGTGGGGTGTGGTGGTTGAATGATCAGACGTGATGGGCTGAGTGTGATAGGTTGCGTCGCGATTCGATCACCTGGAGTTAAGACGACTAGGTTTCGCCTTGAGGAAGCCTTTGGCACCATCGACTGGGTTGAAGCTTGGACGAAGCAGGAACGTCTAGATCCTCACTTCAAGACGCAGACCTGTTGGCCGCGGGGTCTGAACAGCGGTAAAGGGACGACGGCCTTGTGCATGTGCGTGGATTGGTCTTCTCGCGCTGCTATGCGCTTCTTCTGGGCCGAACAGGAGCGAACCGTCCGTTCCTAAAGCGATGCAGCGCACGAACGACATCACGTTATGACGACCAGTACACGACTGAGGCCATTCCTATCATATCCTAAGACCATCGCCACTGGGTGTGCTACATCACCACTACCAACAACATCACTACCACCACCATCACCACCAGAAGTGCACTCCGACGAGGGCACGCGTACGAGGACGCAGAGGGCGTAAGATATGTTCATTAATACCAATCAATTGCATGTGGAAATGTCGCGAGAAGAGGGGCTTTGCTTGTTCTCGTATCTCATTCTTGGTTTCGCGGAGCAGGGCGTCTTGTTTCTGTGTGGAAATGGGGAGATTATACCAAGTCGATATGTATTCACCACTGTTCGTTCATAGGCTACTTTTTTACACGACGGAATCATGCTTGCTCACTTTTGCTTATGCTCATCCTGTGTGTTTCTTCTCTCACGTTCGATTGGTCGTGATCTGCTTGAGATGAAAGACATGCAAGATAGACACGAGTCCGATCACGATGCCAGCAATACAGATATATCAAGTATCGACGCGAAGCTGTAGAAGTAGCTAGTTAGACTCGCACAATCCTCACTTCTGCTCCAATAACCACCCCACCCCCTTCAACGAATCCTCCACAAACTTCTCACTGGCCTTGAGCTGTGGCGCGATACTCCAGAATCCATGCGGCAGGCCGGGATAAACATCCACTTTCGTCTTGATGCCCTGTTCCTCTCGCAGGATTCTCTCGTAAATAAGCGCTTCGTCGCGCAGAGGGTCTTGGCCGCAGATCTGGAAGTAAGAGGTCGGAAGCCCTTTTTGGCCGTTTTTGACCAGTAAGGGGGAGAACTTGGGGTCGGTGCGTTGGGAGGCTGGGATGTAGTTGTCTGGTAGTGTGGTAGGTTAGTTCGTTGTGGGTAGTGGGGGGGTGTTAGTTTGTTGTGGTCAACGGGATTGTGATGTGGTAAGGGTAGGAGGGAGAGGGAGGGCGGTAGGGGCGCACCGGCAAAGAGATCCATGGCTTTTGTGCCTAGGATGGCGGCGTTGGCGTTCTGGTCGTAGGAGCGGTAGTCTTTCTTGTATTTCTCTGGTAACTATAGAAGATGGCAAACAAATTAGAGGGGTCTGTGGAGATGCCGTTGTGTCGATTGACTGGACTCACTGCAGGACCGTAGCACACTGCGGGTATCATGAGATGGTTGCCAGTGATTGGCAGTTTTGCTCCATCATCTCGCCAAAGGTTCGTGATTACTGCCGTCAAGTTGCCTAGAGTTTTTGAAGATAGCCACGATCAGTCACCATCCTCGAGACTCGATGAGATATGGCTTCGCTCACCTCCAGCGGATGTGCCGCCAATGATGAAACCCTTGGAGGGATCTGCTCCAAGATCGGAGGCATTCTTCGCAGCCCTGGTGGTTGGCTATCAGTGACAAGTTCTACCAGCGGCAAGATACCCCTTCTTCACAGTCAGTCTACTCACCATGCCGTGGAATCGTGGCAGTCGTGTACTGGAATTGGAAACTTGTGTTCAGGCGAGAGTCTGTAGTCAATCTACATCAAGTCATCAGATACCTACAACCTCTGATAGCACACCCGGACAAGTACTCACATTGACAGCGACGACACCGAATTTCGAGCACATCAGTCTTTTCTGAGCATCAGCATTGGACCTAAGCCATCGATCACGTATGGACTCTGTATACTCACCGGCACAAGAGTTCCTCATTCTCCAAGCCACCAATACACCAGCCGCCTACGAGTCGCAAGACCATCGTCAGCACGTCGTTGTCACAGCCGAGCACGAAGGTCTGGCTAAGTAAAGACTTACCTCCGTGAAACATGACATACAATGCACTTCCACCAGATGGCGCCTTCTCAGGCTGATAGACACGACAAGTGATCTTCTCACCATCACGCATGGCAACCTGATGGTCGGTCTCCTTGACGCCGGGGATGGAACCACCAATCTGAGCGGTCATCCTGCAGTAGACGGATTATCAGACGTTGACCTCGAGCTTGTTGGTGGATCGGCTGGGCTTACGCTTGCTTGCTCGCCGTAATCCATTGGCGGAGACTAGGAATATCTGGGAAGAGGCCGATATCTGGTGCTTGGCCGCCTAGGAGTTCTCTTGTCAGACAGGCAACGCCCATGATGCGGTCAACCCGATGAATGTACCGATGCTCTCTACCCACTGCTCAGGAATCAGTCAGTCAGTTCTGACTCAAGATCTGATTCGGCTGTAGTCCCGCACCTGCTCCCATTCCTTGTTCGGCTCAGCCAACGACATCCAATCCTTGAGGTCAGCCATGGCTTCGAGAAGTATTGTGTTCGGTGATGGAGACGACGTTTGCACACGTAGATGTACTAGACAGGAAAGATGCGCAGTGGTGGAGGAAACTGTGGGAGGACGTAAATAAGCAGATCTAACGAGCCCCTATATATGTGTCTCATCTCATCTTACCCTACTCCTCTAAGTCCTTGTGGTCTGCATCATTTAGCATACCTCGGTACATGTATGAGCGGTATGGAGCTCGAGGCTAGAATCGAGCTCATTTACGACCTGTGGTGGGGCAGAATGACATGCCGTTGATGGCGGCCGACGTCTCGTACCGCTGGATGGATAGTGTCAGAAGTTATGCAGAAGCGTTTACGAGAGCGAGACCGAAGCGGTCCAGAAGGACTCAGTTCTTACAGCCTTAGCAAATCCTGCTTTACGTGGCGTAAGCACGAGCCCACAACTCGGTGTTAGACGGTCTTCGTATGCGGAATAATGACAAGCTGAGATGGTCGGAGACATAACCAGGGCATATATCATGTTCGTGGTATGTATATAGGTTGCATCATCAGGCGTGGTACTTATCATACCTCATATCATCCGTTCAACGAGCGTGATCATGGCGCATATCATGGTCTTCGATCGAATGGTAGCTACATTGCATCTAGTGCCAAGACAGCACACCACCAAGCACCTTCTTTAGCTGTTCCTCACATCCTAGCAGACCCTCTCGGACTCTTCGCGACGACGAAGTATGCTTGTCTGCCTTACCCGGCAACCACTTGGACAAACGAAGGGTGGGCCGATGGCTCGAGTTTGTTCTCGCCTCAACACGATCCATTGCCATCGGATGTGAACGCGCAGGCGACGCGCATGTTGGCGAGAGCATGATAGGTATATCTGCGAAAGTGGTTCGAGGTCGAGCTTGCCTCGTCAATGGCGATAGAGCCTCCTCCCATGATCCTTCCGTGAATTTGAGGTCGTCAAGCTTCAACTCTTCGATAGTATGCTTGTGCATCGCAGCAAAGCTTTGGACTTCTGCGGCTGTCGTGGTGACACCTGCCATCTCGACAGACTTGATACTCGGGAAGCGTAAAGCTGGCATAGCTTTCGGCTTTGCACTCGGATGATTGAGCTTGAAGTGGCCGGACGAGCTTTGTGACAGAGGCTGCGCGGTCGGCAAAGGACCTTTGCAGCCCAACCATCGAGAACTCAATGTGGTAAGATTAGGTTGGAAGTTGCGAAGATAGTTGTTTAACATCTTAGTATGGTCGGCCGGAACATCGCCATAGGGTGATGGTATGGAATGCAGCGCAATGTCGAGGTTGCAAATACGCGACCAGACTTTCGCGGAGCGAGGTGTTGCGCCATGACCGATTGATGGCGATAGGTATTGCAGCGAGCCAGGATGCATTGGTGAAAGTGTAAGTGTGTCGAGCGTGTTTAGGCAGTTCCTCTCGACTGCAATGCGTATCGAAATCAATGCGAAGTCGATGATGCTGCGTCTATATCTTGTTGCTGGATCATAACCGGGGCAGCTGAGCTGCAGATGTTGAAGATTGAAGAAGGTCGAGAATGCTCGAATGAAAGCCGGCACATTTGTCGCGGCATGAAATAAAGCCGGATATTGTCTCGTCAAGATCTCTGTGGTGCCTAGATCACCATACTTCGGCTGTCGACCATCCGTCTTGTGAATTTGTGGCGTGTATGTGAAGGATAGTTCTTCGCCAGTATCAGGCTCGATCAATGGCGGCAGAAATGTCTCGGTAGTATGTGGCAGATTAATGCGTAACGTCTTCACGTAGAAGCCGAGACGATCCAGGGCCGCGATCCTGGCAGGCCTCGTGAAAGTGCTTGTCTTGAAGGTAATACTCAGGTCTGAGAAGAGCGCCGGCGCAGCCCGCACGCTGAAATCATGACATGCAAGTCGCAGACTTGCGATGTCGTTCTTGGGTAGAAGTGATAAGAATGTGTCGCGGCATTTGTCCTCGAGCCAAAACTTGAGGAAGGTGCCACTGTCGCAGAGCACAAAGCTACACACTGATGCGAAGTTCTCTGATGCTGTAGTACCTGCGTTAATGTGGCAGCTAAGCAGTAGGGTAGGAGACACGCGTACATCTGTCGCTGGAGAGATCTATTTCTCCGAAAAGTAGCTTACTGCCTCCACTTCGTGATGTAGCAGCTGACGTGGCTGATCCTGCAGACGACACGGCCGAAAAAGAGGTTGAAGGCTTGTCAGCCAGGACATACGGCGAAGGTCTGTCCTGTCTGGTAGCCATTGGAAACTTGACTCATTGATCCTGCCAGCGCACAGTAGTAGTGTTGCCTGTGATGATCGCGATTGGAAGCGTAAAGGGTGAGGGCACAAAAGGAAGAGGTCTCAGATATTGCGATCGAGCGACGGCAAGGTTTTACCTACCTCTGTCCTCGATACTTGCCACCAGCATAACATTGGCTCGTTCTGGCTCCAATGCATGCACTATAGGCTAGTGAGTCACAAAAGGCAGACCGGTGGTCGAAGAGCAAGGAAAGCAGCAGAGCGTGAAGCAGAGGATAATACGCTATAACGCGAAAGTCGTACGCTGCGAGTGTTATGTATGGAACAGAAGTAGGTGGAGGCTGGGAGGTCGGTAGATCGGCCGAGGCCATTTCTGTTTCAGCTCATGCGGTGCAGATGTAGCGTGGACGAGGGACTTTTCGGATTGGACGGAGGAGCGCACTTATGCAGGTCTTCGCCGCAGGTTGCAAGTGCAGCTAGAGTAGATGCCGCGTGCAGATAGTTCGCGTGGCCATGTATAGGGTCGCGTGCGTGGCGCGAAGGGATTATTGTCAACAATGGTTGATGTCGCGGAAGTGAAGATGTGGCGGAGGTAGCAAGAAGCGCAGAATCGTGATCCTGTCGAGAATTGCCGACGCTAGGCAATTACCCACACTCAGAAAAGAAATCAGAAGACCTCCAGATCTTCAAGATGCGGCCGTGTTCTTAAGGATGCGGTCATGTGAAAGAGACGGTCTCGTCTGGCTTCGCGTTGCGGAGGACAAGCATGTCTCAAAAGTCCTCACCATTTCTCGTCTACGCGATCTGTGTATCGCGTCTGATGGACTACTACCTTACCTTGACGCTTCCACCTCACCATACATCGCCACAAAGCACTATCGCGTAGACATATGTACGGCACTTAGTAACATATCTATAGCACTGTAGAAGCCTGCTCCAATCGTTCGACATCACATGCCCAAGTGTATCTGCCCCCAGCACTACATTGTCATCAACACTGCCACAATACGAGCCAACACGAGGCTCCCCATGATCTTCTCAGCGACCAAACTATCTGCTGCAGACTTCTTCGTGGTAGTCGCTGTTGGCGAAGGCCCAGTGGACGATACTGAAGGGCCACTGGCAGCGGTCAAGCGAGCGGGCGAAACACCCTTACTACACGAGATCGTCTGTGTACCATCTACTACGAGCCCAGAAGATTGTGCTGTGAGTGTCAGACCATCAACGGTGACCTGAGAGCCACCAACAGAGATTGTTTGGCCATCCACGATGTAGACTCCTGATCGACCCGGAATGGGTGTAGCAGTGAACACTTGTCCATGCTCAGTGAAGACAACAGGAGTCGCTGTCATACCAACAGCGAATGTAGATACCGGATCTGTTTGTGTGCCATCCACTACGACGCCGTTCGATCTGTAGGTCAGAGTATGGCCGGAGAGAGTTATTGGTGCACCGCCAGAAACTAGTGTACTACCACCGATAATCACTTCGGTCGTACGCGGGCCATTCGTACCGGTAATGACAGTTTGTGACGCAGTAAGTGTGGAAGGGCCAAGTGTCACCAATGCGCCAGTAATGGATGGGCTGATTGACGAGAGGGCTGTGGTCTGCTTGCCATCAACCACGATCCCAGCAGAGCCAAGACTCAAAGTATCTCCATCGATCGTCACTGGAGCGCCGCCCGAGATAAGAGTACTGCCGGCGACTATGGCTTCGGTAGCAAGTTTGCCGTCAGCACCGGTGACCACGGATCGAGAGGCCGTCAAGGTAGATGAGCCGAGCGTGACAACAGACCCAGTGATAGCTGATCCAGCGTTCAAGGTAGAGATCGTGGCAGTTTGGCTGCCATCAATGATGATGCCGTTCGAGCCCAGGGACAGAGTATGTCCACTCACTACTGCTGCGGACTCACTTTGCGTCAATACCGTGCCAGCTAAGATTACTTCGGTCGTCCTCTGCCCATTGCTACCCGTGACGACTGTCTGTGAGGCGGTGACGAGCGCCGAACCGACTGCCAGAAACGTACTAGACGGAGCTGCGTTTGTCGCTAGTGCTGATATTGCTTGCGTGGTCGATCCACCCCCGACAACACCGCTCGATCCAAGAGACACTACTTGCCCATTGATCGTCGCTGCCGCACCCCCTTGAGTAGTGGTGGTACCACCAATCACGGCCTGTGTGGTGAGCTGGCCATTACTGCCTGTAATCACGCTTTGTACAGCAGTCAAGCTCGAGGTGCCAACCTGAACGACTGCTCCTGAGGCTGTCGCAGCGGCGAGGACGCTGACGGCTTGGGTAGACGAGCCTACGATCACGCCGTCGGATCCCAGGGATATGGTCTGACCGTTGATGGTTGCTGCAGCACCACCTTGTGCGATCGTGCTGCCTCCGATAATAGCTTGCGTAGTTGCTTCACCATTGCTGCTAGTGACGACTGTCTGCACCGCAGTCAAAGAGGATGAGGAGCCTACACTGATCACAACACCAGAAAACTGAGCAGCAGATGAGCCAGATCCAATGGAAGCAGCGGGCACGACTGTGGCTGCAGCACTTCCAGAGCCAATAACCACGCCTCCGGTCGAGCCAGCACTGACGGCTTGCCCACCAATAGATAGCGTCTGACCAGCTGTTAGAGTTGCCGTGACACCTCCGTTTGCCACCACCATCGCGGAAGATCCTGTTGCCTGTGTAGCCACGACCGTGAAAGCCGAAAAACCGACGGAGATCGTTGATGGGTCGAGAGCAGCAGAAGATGCGCCATTACTACCAGATCCAAACCCAGAATTTGCACCAGAACCTTGAGATGCGGCGGCATCGCTATTATCAGATGACCCTGAATTCGAGCCGGCGCCTTTAGAACCTGCGGCTCCAGTATTACCAGATCCTTGCGAAGTAGCTGGGTTGGTTGCGGTAGACAAGGCCTGGCTGAGGATAGATCCAGCAGCTCCAAGATTGGCACTACTACTCTCTGCCGCGCCTGAGCCTGCACTCGTACCGGGGTCTGCCACTCCGGAATTGGCTCCTGATGAACCAGCACCACTGTTGCCTGGGTCGGCATTTGCTGTCGAGCTCGCTTGAGCTGGCTGAGTAGAAGGTGCAACAGACGTAGCTATTCCGGTGGCAGTAGGTGAATTATTGTTCACCGTGCTAGCGGGACTAGCGGCGGTGGTCGTCTGCACGCCAGCAGGGCCAGAAGGACCATCGGTGGTCGTCTGTGCGGTCAGCGCTTTAGGCGGGTCGTACTATGTCACAGACAGTCAGCAAGACATATACTCGCAGGAAGCGCTTCAGCTTACCAGCCCATCCAAAGCTACGGCACAGGTAGCCCAAGCTGCATCCATCTCCCTGATCTGCGTCGGTACCACGAGCAAAGGATAGTACGCCCAATCAACGATAGTGTCGCAAGGTTGCGTGTCCTTTATCTGCTGTCCGTTGACCCAATCGCCATTGAGGGCGTCCGGCTCGGCTACACCAGGCCGAGGCCTATGACAGGCATTATTGCTGACCGCAGTATTGAAAGCACTGAACGGTAAATTAGGCAAGAGATTCGCGAAGTCGAACGAGTAGCCGTAGTCAGCACAATCCTCGCCGTGGGCGCGATTGACGGAAAAGACTTGGCTTGAGGCCACAGTGACCACACTTCCTGCATGCTGCCCGCCGACATAGCCGCATGAGTTCGAGGCATAGGCTGTCTTGAGGGAGATGTATGCTCGATTCTGATAGAGGGTCGTGCTGGCGGTAACGACGTAAGGGCCTAGTGACATTTGCATGAGTCGCCGTATCGTCTCACAAGTCAGTCTGGATGCGACATACCACTATCTGTTGTCGATGTGTTGCCAATGAGATACGGGCAGTTGACATAGCTCTCACAGATGCCACCAATATCTGCTCCGATAGCCGTGTAGGGTGCTGTTGTAGGGCCCAGAGGGCATGTTGTTACAGGGCCACCAGTCTGCGCACAGTAATTGCGAGAAGCATTCGCAGCGACCGGAAAGTACAGAAGCTGGACCTATGCAGGTGTCAGGGAGGGTTGAGCATAGACTGTGGACCGTAAGTGACTTACCTCTCCACCATAAATGGTGCAGGCGCCGCAGGTCGAACCTTCAACTGTTCGATTACAGATGAAGGTCTGGTATGGAGGCATAGTCCCGATGTCTGCTTGCACAATCGCTGATGAGTCTTCGAATAAGAGGTCCCCATCGATAGAATAGTGGGTTAGTGAGTATACAGAAGTTGTGGGATACGTGAGCTTATTTGTGAACACGCTCCCGGGGTATGCGGTGTTATTGAAAGTAATAATTGCAGGCGAAGGAAGTTGCGCGGACCCGAAGGATTTGACGGAAGTCGATGACAAGTGAACGAAAGTCACGGCTGTGGCTTGTGGTGGCAGGAAGATCGTGGTCTGCGCGGCTAGCGCTGCACTGTTGTACGACGAAGAGCTGCTGATGGAAGCAGAGTATAGACCATTGCAGTCAGAGGGATTGATGCTGCACGTAGGTGTCGCTGGAAGTCCCGTTCGCGTGTACATCTCCCATGTGGTGGAGTTGGTTCCTGATGCCTGCGACGATTATCAGTACCCTACTTTAGTGCCGCTTCTAATCTAAACATACGATAGGCGTGAACGTGCCAACCAGGCGAGGATGCGTATCGCATCCCCCTAATGTCGTCGTGGTCGCTGTCCAATTCGTGTATGTGAAGTACTCCGTTGAGGTAGTGATGAATCTAGAGACATTGAGAGCAGCGCTACCCCATGCAGCCCACGATGCCTGACATGCACTTGCATAAGCGCTTCCGCTGTCTGTAATCGACAGAGAGGTGTTTCGAGAGACGATGGCATTGGCGCTCTTCGTGAGATTGAGGGACGACGTAGGTGGCCTTGTGATTGTGGTTTCTATTACGGTATGGGAAGAGTTAAGAGCTGTCGTGGATCCGAGGCCATCTGTGGACTTCAAAGAGGCCATTGATAACCTCGTGCCGGCCGAGACAATGGAGATGTGCGAGACCAGTATGGTCGAAGTGTTAGCGACAGGCAGAGGTGAATTAGCGGCAGTAGGATTCCCGGAAGCGAGCGAGGAAGGACGCAGGCTGCTAGGAATCGTAGTACTGGACAAGCTACTATTTGCTCCATGATCGCTGGTCGATGTCGACAGGCCGCCCACTGTCTGGACCGTCGCAGACGATACGCTCGTCGTGCTGTTGGTAGGAAGAGAGGAGATCGATACAGATGAAGAGCCAAGCCCCTGCAAGATGAGTGTGCCTAGATTGCCAGAAGATGTGCTAGAGCTCGATGTATAGACATTGGAATATATCGATGAGGTCGAGGCCAAGAGCAGGCTCGTCGTCGTGAAGAGACTCGAGCTCGAGAGCAGGCTGGAGGTCGAGGATGAGCTGGGTGTCGAAGAAAGGCTCGAGATTGGGGAAGAAATAGAAGTCGAAATTGTCGGAGTGCTTAGTGAAGAAGTAGCAGTATACAGCGGGCTGCTTCTGGTCGTCAGTACCGCGCTCGAATTTGAAGAGACGGTATCACTCGTTGTTGTGTTGATGGAGCTTGTCATATTAGTATATATGCCAATTGTAGTGTCGCTTGATATGGCGGCAACGAGGGCCGCCGTCCCAAGCAGGAGTAGTGACTGTGAGACCATCATTGTGATACCAGGTTTACATGCAAGGAAAAGTGACGAAAGGAAAGTAGAGACATGTTCTGTGCCACAAAGTATAATACTTGAAGGTCACGAAGCTCTATTCCCAGCCGATTAGCAGGGCCTGGCTGACCGTACCTGCAGGGTGGCGGAGCCGTAGCAGAAGGTTCTGCGTTGCTGGCGGCCTAAGTAGACAGCGTTATGATACTATTTCTCGACCAATGGCAGAGCAAGAGTCCATAAGCCGCCGTACATTCGAGGCGAGATCGCGCTGCTAGAGGTGCGCGCAATGTCCTTGGCGGCACGCCTAGGGAGTACCGCAGAGGCTTGCTAATACATCTCACCCTCACAAGACTGAGGAGTAGACCATGAGATCCAAAAAAAATTGCGCGGAGTCTCCTGTGTACATGTCAAGCCGCATGAGAGCCTTCTGACAGGTATGGTATGAGTTGGGCTCGTCGCAATGTGACCAGTGTCTGTTTGTCGCGCTTCAGGCGTCCAAGGGTCTTTTTGTGGCGGCAATGTGCTCTCCGCAGCGCAGAGGCAGCTTGTCCCTAGCTAGATCTGGATGTAAGTCCTCGGGAGGCCTGGAAGTGGGAAAATGAGCTTCATGGCAGGACATTATTGTCATAGGATCGATATTTTGGACGCGGGCGTGGTGTGTGAGGTGAGACCTTGTGGCTACCATACATGGTGAGTTCAAAAGGCTCGATCGTATAGCAACGCTGTCTGCGATCACACCACAGATAGATTGTGGTGGACTCCAGCTTGTTGAACGGGTCATACTTGTTAATCGCTACATAATGGAAGGACAGTGGTAATAGTAAGTGAGATTCTCTGGAAAGGCTGCACGTCCAACGCAAAGCCACCGGACTGGGCTCCGGCCTCTCGGCTCTCGGCTCGGTACGTCACCGACGCGTCTTTCGACACGACCAGATCACTACAGCCTCACTGCGGCCTCACTTGGCAAAGCAGATTCACAGCCTGACGACAACCAAGCACCGACTGGGGCTCCGTGAGTGAACGCGCGACTGATGACTGCTCACACAATATGCGGTGACGACGAAGTAGGTGGTAGACTCGGACCGGACTCTTAGACACGCCACATGCGACAGGTCGCATAAATACAGGCCGACAGATTTCCTGGAGCGACCACACTGTACGACACCACCGGACCTTCACCACTGCTGCTGTTGCACGACAGCAGGTGACTCCTCAACATCACTAGCGGCCCGAACTTCGCCACGCTCGACGTGCGGTGTAAAGTGCGCTGGTGTCCCTCCGCCAACATGGCCAACCTCGCACCAAATGCGCCTCGGGAGGACGTCGAGGAGGAGTTGAGCTTCACTTCTGTACTGATCGAGAGTCTGGATCAGGGCGCAGACGATTACGCCACTAAGGTAGAAGAGCTTGAGGAGACGCAACGGCAACTTCAACGAAGGCTCGACACGCTGCCCGATAGCTCGAGGCCGGCGACCAGTGAAGACATGAATGCTCAGCAGTATGGCTATGGATGGGGTCAGGCGACAGTGAATGGAGCGCCAGGCAACAGCGGAGGTCACGCGTACCCTCAGAATGGCTACGCTCACTCACTCAGTAGACCTTCATTGAGTTCGGCTAACGGCACAAAACGTTCACGGCCACAGGATCTCTCGTTTGAACACTACCACGAACACCCCTCGAAACGCCTCACGCCTGAACCTTCAAACAGCTCCGGCTCCGGCTCCGGCTCTCCAGACGCCGTCGATTTTGATAGCTTCATCAATAGTGGCTCAGCGACACAGCCATTCGGTAACTCGGGGTACCAGTCTTTCGATAACTCGCGATACCAGCAACAAGTCCAGCAGCAGCAGGAGATGTACAAGCGCAAGCACGAGCAAGAGCATGCCAGTGAGCAGCTTGCTCGCTCCATGAGCCATCCCTACAGCAGGCCCTTGTCTACCATGCCATCATCGTCGCGACCTGGCGTACAAACCACGATTGGATTTAACGGCATGTTCCAGAGGCCACCCCCTCCTCCGCCAAAGCCTGAACAAGTCTACAGCACGCCACAGTATAACCATATGAGCACGCCGCAGTATCAGCCATACCAACAATCGCACCAGCATGTCAAGCCCGAGCCAGGCTCGTCTAGGCAACAGCTTGTGACTCGACCACGTCCTTCTACTGGTGATGTGGTGGACCTCACGGGCAGTGATGATGAGGAGGACCTGGAGGAGATTGCGCCTGCAAACTTCACACCAAGTCATCGACCTGTCCGACCCGTCGAGCATCAGCCGTACGCCTCGACTCCACAGCAATACGACATGCCCGGCAGCTACCCATCTCCATATACCGGTAGACCACCGCCACTGCACTATGCTCAAGGTGTATTTGGCACACAGGCAGCCGGCTCTACTTACAACACCGTCACTGCTTTACAGAATGCCTACGCCGGGCTAAAACAAGCTAGCAGTAGCTATCTGAACGACGATCTCAACAACCTCAATATGCTCATCAATGGCTCAAGATCAAGACCTTACGGTGTCGATGAAGACGATGACTTGGTGTACAGTGGTTCACGCCCGCTTGGTGCCTATGCAGGCCAAGCAGACCTGTTCCAATCACGATATAACGAAATCTATGATAACGATCCTACGAAGACTAAAGAAGAAATCAACGCTCTACTGGAAAATATCCGGCCTGATGAGGAGATGCCTCAACACTTGCGCATTCAGACGCCAGAAGCTCTGACCATCACTCTGCACAAGTACCAGGAGATGGGTCTGACATGGCTAAGGAATTGTGAAGAAGGCTCGAACAGAGGCGGCATTCTTGCAGATGACATGGGTCTAGGTAAGACCATTCAGCTCATATCTTTGCTTGTTACGCACAAGTCCGAAGATCCTCGGTGCAAGACCACCCTCATCCTGGCACCCGTTGCGCTTCTGCGCCAGTGGAAGCAGGAGATCGAGGCGAAGGTGAAGACGAGCTTCAGGCACAGACTGACTGTCTTCATCCACCACGGACCAAGCAAGAAGAAGAGCTTCGCCGACTTGCGCCAATACGATGTAGTCATCACGACCTACGGTTCTCTAGCTTTCGAGCTGAAGAAGGTCGAGAACTTCCACAATCGTCGTCGTACTGAGCCTCAGGCTCGCCCGAACTCGAAGGAGCAATGTGCGATCCTGGGCGAAGACGCGCAGTGGTACCGTGTTGTGCTTGATGAAGCACAATGCATCAAGAACAAGAGCACGCAGACTGCAAAAGCAGCGTACATGATCAACGCTAAATATCGGTTCTGCATGACCGGCACACCCATGATGAATGGCGTCGATGAATTTTACTCACTCGTCAAATTCCTACGGGTCAAGCCATACAGTGTATGGGAGAAGTTCAGGCAAGACTTTTCACAGCCCTTGAAGTCCGGTCGGGACGAGAGCAGGGCACAGTCCATGCAGAGGTTCCAGGCTTTGTGCAAGGCTGTGATGCTTCGTCGCACGAAGAAGAGCAAGTTCGAAGGTCGCCCCATTCTGACATTGCCTGAACGTACGACCGAAATGGTCAATCCCGAGTTCAGCGAAGCGGAGCACGATTTCTACAAGCACCTTGAGACTCAGACACAAATGACATTCAACAAGTACTGGGAGGCGGGTACAGTCGGCAAGCAATACACTCAGGTGCTGGTGCTGCTTCTGCGATTGCGCCAAGCAGCATGTCATCCACACCTGATCAAGGACTATGCCATCAGTGCTGTGGCTGGTGTCGAGCAGGCAGATCTCGTCAAGTTGGCGCAGAGTCTGGCACCAGATGTCGTGCAGCGCATCCGTGAGAAAGAGGGCAGCTTCGAGTGCAACATCTGCATGGACGCCACGCAGAATCCGGCCATCTTCATCCCTTGCGGCCACGATGCTTGCAGCGAGTGCTTTGCACGGATTACTGATCCTGCTAATGCTATCGCTAATGGTAATGAAGATGGCGGCACCAAGGCAAAGTGCCCTAACTGCCGCGGTCCGATTGATAGTAAGCAGATCACGGACTTCGCCAGCTTCAAGCAGGTGCATCAACCCGAGCTGCTCACCGAGGCTGAACGCAAGGAGCTGGAGGGTGACGATGATTCGGAGACTGAAGTGGGTGATGAGAGCGATGATGAAAGGGACGATGTCGAGGACAGCGAGACGGAGAGCGAGGTGGAAGATGTCAAGGTCAATCGGAGAGGTGATCTAAAAGGCTTTGTTGTGTACGGGGACGGCGAAGACGAGGCTACCGATGATGATGAAGAGGAAGAGGATGACTACGTGCATGTCAAGGGTGCAGATGCAGAAGACTACGACCTCGAGGACCTCAACAACGTGGGCGGTCCAACTCAGGCTAATGGCAGCAAACCGAAGGCTCGAAAATCCAAGCCGGAAGCTGAGAAGCCCAAGAAGATCAAGAAGTCTAAGAAGAGCAAGGGCAAGGGCAAAGCAAAGGGTAAGAAGCCTGACAAGGTGACCACTCTCGCCGACCTTAAGCGCCTTGGCTCTCGAAACATCAAAGCGCGTCAAGCCTATCTCCGCCGCCTCCGCAAGGACTATGTAGGCTCGGCCAAGATCGACAAGAGCATCGATACTCTCAAGAGTATCATGGCCGTGAAGAATGACGACACAGACGACAGCGGCAACGGCCTAGAAAAAGTCCTCATCTTCTCCCAATGGACGTCCCTCCTCGACCTCCTCGAAATCGCCGTCGACATGGAAGGCTGGAACTACCGCCGCTACGACGGCAGCATGAACGCGAAAGATCGCGCCGACGCCGTCGACGAATTCAAGACCAACGCAAACCTCCGCATCATGCTCATCTCCCTCAAAGCAGGCAACGCCGGTCTGAACCTGAACATGGCAAGCCAAGTCATCATCCTGGATCCCTTCTGGAACCCTTTCATTGAGGAGCAAGCTATTGATCGGGCGCATCGGCTCGGTCAGATGAGGGAGGTCAAGGTCCATCGAATACTGATCAAGGAGACGGTGGAGGATCGCATTTGTGCTATTCAGGAGAAGAAGAGGGAGTTGATTGGGGAGGCGCTTGATGAGAAGGCTGGGAACTCGGTGAGCAGACTCGGAATGCAGGAGTTGGCTTACCTCTTCGGTGTTACGGCGAATCCGAATCAGACGGTGAGGTATCGGCCGCAGGGTCAGAGATGAGGAGCGTGAGTTACGAGTGGAGGAGATGGCATATCGACTCCGCACGGCGAGCTTTCCATATCGTCAATGTGCTTTCTGAACCAACGTTTCGGCCGGGTATTGTTTCAAGTGGCGTTAATTACACGGGTTGGAATGTCGCCATGGACGGAGCATAGATACCCAGCACGGCAGCCTTGTGGCGCTCGAGAGATAGCGATGAACTTTCACGAGAACGTGCAATGAGCACATGCATCAATCTTGCACAAGGAATTATAGATAGCGTATCCTTAGTAGGTCTTCTAGACCAGTGTATATCACGACTTCGCACATCTAGGTCCTTCAAATCTCGTCCACTACGCATGTCTCAATGCCTGACCAGCTTATTCAACCTCCTGATCTCGGTCCACCTTGACAAGTTGGCGAGCTCCAACAGATTCACTCTCCGCATTTTGCCGGAAGGATTCCCAATGATGACCGGCTTCCATTCAGGATCATCTGCGCCTGGACCCCATGCCACAGATCCCTTCCTTGTCGCTCGATCGAAGACTCCGTTCGGAACGACCTGGACTTCTCTGCACCGAAACATTACGCACATGAAGAAGACGGTGATGATGAGCAGGATACCGGCCACACACGCCACGGCTACTTGTGCGCCAAGGGCACGTGTGATAATGCCGGAGACACCCGTTGCTGCGGCAGCGAAGAAGAAGCCGAGACTTTGGGCGGCGAAGAAGCCAGCGCAGACACGTGGGAAGGAGGAGTAGTTCGTTCTTCTGCGGCGGGTGATTTCCGTCATGGACTGAAGGCGGTGTTTTGTGTTGACTCCTGGTTGGAGGTCGCAGGTATCGAAGACTTCCATGATCAGACCCACGCATTCAGCTATGGCGAGGTTCGAGAGAAAGCCGACTAGTCCGCAGAATATTGTAGGACTCGACCAGTTTACTGAAGGTCCTGGCGCAGTCAAGGTATAGGCCAGGGCGGCGAAAGGCAGGAGTAGCGTGAAGATGCAGCGGCGTATAAGGTGCGAAGACCAGGTCAGACGTGGTGCTCGCATGGTCATACTGTCTGTCCGTTGTGGCGTAAAGCGTGAGCGAGAGAGTAGTGAAGCTTTGGCCAATGGAACTGCAAGCAGGGCACCAACGGCCAGGGAGAGGGCAGCGAGGCCAACGTACTGGGGTTGCCAGCTGTAGTCGCGGGACAGTAGGGCGCCCAGAAGCTAGAACCGTGACAACAGTCAGTAAGCTGAGACAAGAAGGTGTATTGGAGGGGACTGACCAGTATGACCAGCGTCACTTGCGCATAGATCCACCCAATGTAAAGCATGAGCACGAAATATCCTGGCTGCCTGACCATCCTCGTGGTCAGTATGATTCCAGCCCAGACCTCTTGCCACCAATACTTCGGGCCCTCGTTCGAGATATGTAATTTCACTTCACCACGCGCCACTCTCCGCTTCAACTTCTCCGGTTCCGACTCATCGAAGAAGTGCGCGATACTGCGTCTATACGGCGCTCGTCTGGTCTCCGGCGTGACGACGTTGACCAGCAGGAAGAAAGCCAGCAGTATAACCACAATGTAGAATCCCCAGCTCGGATCAAGAGACGAGATGATACAGGCACCAATGCAAAAGCCAATCGATATACTGCCGACAAAGCAGAAAGACCAGATGCCCAGCCAGATCCCTACGCCACCTCCTTGACGGCGGACATCGTCCGAAACCACAACTTCTTGATGTGGCGCCTCTGACATCAAGGAGCAGCCGAAGAGGTCGAACAAAGTGGGAAGCTGATTTATGTTCGCGAAGCCCATTGCGAGACCTGTGGCAGCCCGAGGTATGAGGAGGCCGCAGCGAAACAGGGGGTTGTTTGGGTCGCGGAAGGTGGAGACGGCCAGAGCCTGTGGGAATTGGAGGGGTAGCATGAGGGCAAAGGCGAGGAGAGTGTATGGTTTGCGCCCATGAAGCAGAGGTAGAGGCCAGAAGATCAGTGTTGTCAAGCCGAGGCCGAGGAATAGTCTGTAGCACTTGTCAGGCAAGCGACTCATGTTGATATGAGTGAACGGGCGACTTACAGGACATTGCCCAGGATGACTCGGTGATTCATGTCTTGGATCTGGTATTGGATCCTGGGCACCTCACCAGCCTGTACGCAAAAGTCAGCACTTTCATGCCTCGTCATTCGGGCCATCCGCATTGGCCCATGTGTGTACGGCATAGGAGATGGACGGCACTCACATAGATGCCAGCAATCAAACCAATGAACGCCGTGTTCACACAGACAACAGTTGCAGCCAACCTCTTCCGCTCCTTCGTCCACTCCCTCGCAATTGGCGCTCGTCGATGGTATCTGCCTAAGGAGAAGCCCTGACCCTCATTGAGAGAGATGTGTTTTCTGCGAACAGGATGCTTTAGACTGAGATTCTGGCGCGAAGGAAGCAAAGTTGCTTGGGGAGGACCACTAACCTCACGAGTTCAGTTTTAGTATCTTGGCTTACACTTGGCGGGCGTATCACGGCGCCAGCAGCTGCTACGCTTCGCCGAAGAGGAATCGCAGGTGATGCTTGTGGGTATGTAGGTGGTGGGAGTTGGTGAGGCACTGACCTGGTGTCTGTCACGGAAGACATCTTGCGTGTCTTGTCACGATGATCGGTCTCGGGGTGGCGGTAGTATGCTGTGTCGAAGAAGTCGGAGACGTGTGGATGGTAGTCTGGTTTGTTCTTGCGCTGTACCACCGGACCCGGAGCAATGTTATCGTGGGGTGCAATTGGTAGCTCGTCATCGATCGGAGCGTGCTCGAGCAAGGTCAACTCGCCTTTTGGCAGCTTCCTAGACTTCTTTACTGGGGCCGGTGCACGACTAGGGGCGATTCTGGCTAAATCAAACAAGCCTCTGTCATTCTGTGGCACTCGGGATGGTGGCAGAGGCGGTAGCGATTTGTCGAATGACAAACTCTTGTCGTGCGCGATGCTCTGCCGTACACCAGGCTGACACGCAATAGACTCTCCATCATCGTGGTAGAAGTCTGATGCGGCACCATGGTGACCATAGGCCGTGGCAGCATTGCTGACTGACTTTGACTTAGCCAGTGACCGACCACCCACGCGTGGCAGTGCGCCAAGAGATCTTGGTTTTGACGCCTGAGCAGCCAGAGCCTTGTTGTAGGCAAAGTCGCGCACAATCGAATCAGCAGAAGCAGCTTGATAGAGCCTTGGCGGGGTTCGAGTGAGAGAATGATGGCCATCATCACTTGAGGTCTCGAAGCTTGCTCTCTGCATAGAAGCACGCTGCGAAGCTACTGCTTTGCCACGTTTCGTATATTGGCCGCTGACAATGGGCTGAGCACTTGACTTGGCGCTTTTTGTGAGCATCGTTGTTGCAGCGCTGGCGCTATGCTCTCTGGTGTGCATAGTGGAGCGATCGTCATGAGGACCAAGATCAGAGTCAGATGATGATGAGGAAGGTCCAGACTCGTGCGGAGACAGTTGTAACGGCCCATCTCGTGGCACACGGAAACTTGCGCTGCTCCTTGGGACTGCCGCGTTGGCTTTTTTCAGAGCAGTGGTCGCACTGTCCAGCACATGCGCGACATCATCGGTTCTGCCATCGTGAGCAGCATCTCTGGCCACTTGCAGTGCATCTTCCATCATGTTCTCCATGCCAGTGATAGCACGACTAAGAGAGCGACTTACTCGTCGGAGACCACGCCATTGAGATGCAACAGGTTCCGGCTGCCTCAAAATCGCTTTTGGTGATAATTGTGTAGGGCGGCGCTGGGCATCATGACGTATAAGGTCATTAAGTTGTTCTATACCTCGCGCCGGAGGTTCTGTGTCCCTAGTCTGCGCGGCTGTGTTGTCTGGAGAAGTAGACGCTGACGAAGCCATGAGGTGAGAAGGCATATCATAAAGCGTCTGCTTTCTCGCGGGTGGTGGCTTCGTGAATGCCGTAGTCCGCTTGGCAGGTGGCTTCGGCTTGGACAGCATAGTACCTCTACGAGGCTCTCGGACTTGTGAAGGATCTAAAGGACCATAGTCAAGTCTAATCTCTCTTCGCCTGTCCATCGTGTGTATCACAGGCGCCGGCTGTGCTGGGCTTTGATCTCGAGTCCATTCCGGTGGTGCGATAGACCACTCCGATGGTATAGCAGGTGGTATGCTTGTGCGTGATATGAGACGTGGTGCTGATATATCCGCATTGCTGGCACGACCTAAGCACTCGTATGACGAAGCACCCGTCCTTAGCAAGGACGGCGGTAGTATATCTGTAGTGGGCTGCGATGGTGGATGATTATGATCAGATGATATAGTTGTACTGTACTCGGAAGTAGTGTAATCGTCCAGATGTTTCGACTTCATAGCTTGCACGCTGAAATGTCGCTGCTCCGCATCACGAGCCTGCATCCGTCTTGCATGGCCGTGGTACTCGGAAGATAGAGACAGAACTCTCCGTTGCTCTCTACTCTTTGGTCGGTCGCCAAGGGTGGGATCTGAGCCGACTGGGCGTAGAGACAAGTCATTGCCAAGAGATTTGATAGTTGCTCGCCTTCCAGGGGCTGGTTGGCGTGAAGTGTTTGGCTTCTCCAGACTGCTCTTACTCTCGTCGAAGCTGCCAGGAATACTTATGGACTGTATTGGTGCCTCATCTCGCAACCATGGCAGCTTCTTTCTTGTCAATCCTGGACCACCATAACCAGCTTGTGCATTTGCAGCCCTTTGATTGAGTCCAGTATCGTGTCTTCGAACGACCGAGCTTGCGTTGCTAGGATTGCGAAGTGGAGAATCTTGCTTGCTCGTCACACGTCCCTGGGCTTCGGAGGTGATGTTTATGACCTGACCTGGGATGGTAGGAGACGACATGCCCATAATAATAGGTGAGGCATCGATAGGTGGCGAGGCCAGAATTTGCGTCTGGCTTTGGCGAAGAGCGGATGGTGATGATGAGAAGATGGCGTGCTTCAAGCACTTTTCTGCGACACTGTAGCGAGCGAGATGACGGCAACGGCCAGCGCTGGTCTTGTGTCAAGTAGCAGCGAGTGGCAGGGTGTTGCGGAATGGTAGTACATATATCTGCCATCGAGGCTGATGTTGATAGTCTCTATGTGCGTCATCATGTCCGACAAACAGAAGGAGCTGCTTTTCTCCTGCTTCATCAGCCTCAGATTCGGCAGGCCGTCCTGCGGAAAATGCGCGTTCTGTACCTGGTCAAGAACATCTCATGGTAAGAACGCCCGTATGCGAATATAAAAGGACGCCACGACCGCGGCGAGGTAGCTCATTGCGTCCAGACCGATTGTTCGACATCCCATGAGAATGTCCTTTTGTTTCATTTCATCATACCAGTATGTGCATGCCACGGATTCATCTTCCACTACTCTTCATATCTGACCTTGCCCTCCGAAACATCAGGATAAACATCAAATCTCCTCTGCGTATAGATCGGGACCCCCTTCCTCACCTCCTCGATCCTCTCCCCATTCAGCTCAGCATAAAGAATATCTTCCTTCTCCTCCAACTCTCCCAAGATCTCCGCGTTAGGATCAACAACCATGCTATGTCCCCAAGCATGATACTCGGCCTGCATGTCCCTGGCAGGCGAGCATAAGCCCACGTATACCTGATTATCCATAGCTCTCGCCCTTGCCTGAAGCTCCCAGTGCAATTTCCCTGTTGTGAGATTGAAGGCACCAGGATAAAGGAGCAGGAAAGCACCTTTCCGTGCGGCAATCATGGCGAGTTCCGGAAAGCGCACATCGTAGCATATAGCCACAGCAATCCTGCCGTACTCCGGGAGGTCTATTATGGTGACTTTGTTACCTGGCGAGAGGACGTCACTTTCCCGAAAGGTGATCTTTCCTGGGATATCGATATCGAAGAGGTGTACCTTCCTGTGGGTTGCCAACAGCTTTCCGTCAGGTCCAAATGTGAGGTTCGTGTTATAGTACTTCTTCGTCTCCTCCCAGTACTCTGGTATACTGCCTCCTACCAAGAACGCCTTGGCCTCCTTCGCCATCTCGCTCAAGGCATGGTATGATGGAGACTGCTCTTTTGTGGGAGGTGAGGGTAGGAGTGTCTCGGAGTACTTGGCGAAGTACTTCACGCCGTACGGACTGTTGAAGCATTCTGGGAGGACTACAAGATTCGCGCCTGCCTTTGAGGCTTCGAGGACTTTTTGGCGGGCGTGGGAGAGGTTGGCATGCTTGTCGGCGCCAGAAGCAAGTTGGATGAGGGCAAGCTTCAATGGCTTCTTTAGCAGCTTGGTTGCCATGTCGAACGAGACTGTAATGGCTGAGGTGGATCGATCGACCGTGGCATCTGGTAGTGCACGTAGTAGAAGAGGGACAGAGTCAGGACTGTCATGTACTGGAGACCATGGATGCGGTCATTGTGGAGCAACGATCATCAACATTGCATGTGACAGTATACTGTACATATATTGAGTGGTATAAATCACGAGTGTCCCGACTCAAAGGCCCAGCAGCAAGTCGTCTTGAATCGCTACTTAGCACAAATAATAGTAATAGTAATAATGCAGACCACACATACGTGTGCTCCCATACCATCCAACTCAGGCCCCAGCTGTCGATATATGAGTACCACAGCGGCTCAAAAGAAAACACCGAAACACCATCGCTCACAACGCAGACCAGATCCATTCGCACTTTTCGCACTTTTCGCTTTTTCCACACTTCACTTCCACTGCGCTCCCGAAACATTCCATAATTCAGATCTTTCTCGTTCTGAAGGACCAGTCAAGGCCTCCAGGTCGCTCCGTAAAACTCCATCCCATGCATAACAAACCACAAGCTAAAGAAAGCTATCGTGCAGGACTCCGCAGTCGTCTCAGGAGGTCGAGAAAGGGGAGACTGGCTCCGTGCTCTCGAGTGGTGACTCTAACGCGGCATTCGTGTGCGTTGACGTCCCGTTGACGACGGCAGCAGGAGATGCCAGCTTCTCCTTCTCATCACTCCCTCCATCCATCCTCCCGCCACCATTAGAGCTAGGAGCCTGCACCATGACGATAGTAGTGTTCTGACCTCCCGCAACAGAGGCACGTTGAGCCGCGACTTCAGGCGGCGTGTCCTCGTTCTCCTCAGGGATCGGGGCACAATACTCCTTAAGCACTTTCTTTAGCTGCGGCCGGCGGATAGGCTTGGATCTGTCATTCAACATGTCAGTACGGTACTCCTACCAGGATTCGCGAGGCTTGTTTTGAAAACATACAAGAAGTAATTCATGCCCGAATCATAGCAGTCCTTGATATTGCTCTCCTCCGCGAAAGCAGTGAGCGCTACAATGGGAGCTTGATATCCGATCTCTCTGATCAGCCTCGTGCTTGTCAGACCATCCACGTTCGGCATTTGAACGTCCATGAATATGAGGTTGTAGGGCTGCACACCAGTGCTCCCATCCCCTTCGGAGGCTGCCATCGACTCTCGCACACGATCCAGAGCTTCCTGACCATCTTTGGCGACCGTGACGTCGTAGATATCCTCGAGCTTGAGCATGCGGAGCACGACTTCCTGATTCACTTTGTTGTCTTCGGCGACTAACACACGGATTCTGCCACCACGCGTGGCCTCTGCAGTCATCTTCTCCATGGCCGCTGGTTGCGAGCCAGGGCTTTCCATTGGCTGTGAAGCGGCGAAGAACGGCTGGCTGAAACCGACAAGTCGTGGCTGAGATTCATTGGTGACGGGTGCACCGGGGTTGCTCGTACCGTTCGTGGAGGCCGTTGCAGGATCGGTTGTGGTAGCCGTGTGGTTTTTGAGGGCAGTACCATCATGTTCATCAGCTAGATGCCTACTCCGTCGATCCCGAGGCGTGTGTGTATGCGAAAGCCCATCTGCATCCTCCGATCGTCGCGCGGTATCTGTCAGATCTACAGCTGAGGAGGCAGTACTGTCCGCTCTGCTTTGAATATGTCGGATTGGTATCTGCATCCAGAACGTCGATCCCTCCCCTACCTCGCTCTGCACGCCCATCGATCCTCGCATCAGACTTGCTAGTTGCGTGCAGATCGATAGACCAAGTCCAGTGCCGCCGTACTTCTTGCTCAGTCCCAGATCACCTTGCACAAATGGCTCGAAGATCTTGTCTAGTAAATTTTCAGGTATGCCTGGTCCCGTGTCCGTGACCTCGAACTCAAAGTTAAGGAATCTTCCAGGCGGAGGCGAAGGCGCGCGCTCGTGATTAGTCGCATGCGCCATGCCATAGGGCTTGTCCTTCGCGTTGATCGCATTCGCCGTACTGATAGCGAGACTTGCATCGGAGCCCTTATGCCTGGAAGACCGCTGTCTCGACTGTCTCGAGTTCAAAGAGCCCTTTCTCGATCCAAGATCCGGTAGCTCAGGCAAGCATCGAATCGTGACGATTACGGACCCACCAGAGGGCGTGAACTTCAGAGCGTTGGACACCAGATTAATCACCACCTGTAGAATCCTGTGGATGTCGCCCCATAATATCATATTCTTCACTCTGCCAGTGCCAGCAGGCCCAAATTCCTTCTTCTCCACATGCATCTCGTCATGCCCATGTACCTCACCCTCGCCCTCCACTCCTCCCACACCCTCGAAAAGAACCTTCAACCCAATACCTCCTTCACGAGCCTGCTTATCGAAAATAGCCAAGAGCTGACTACTGACTTCTCGCAGCTTGAACTCCTTATCATCAAGCGTAAGATGCTGCCCGACCTGATTCTTCGAGAACGTCAACAGATCGGTAAGCAGGTTCAGGAGCAGGTCGCCACTCTTGTAGATGATGCCGAGACTTCTCTTCAGCCTCATAGGATCATCTTCTTGCATGCATACAGCGCACATGCCCAGGATACCGTTCAGTGGTGTCTTCAGCTCATGTGATATATTCGCTATGAACAACGTCTTGCTCTCGTTCGCGGCCTCGGCGGCTTTCTTGCTGAGTTCGAGCTCGGCAGTACGTTGTTGTACCCGATCCTCGAGACGCTCGTACTGCATCATGAGTTCATCGGACATTTCGTTGAAGGTCGATGTGAGATCGGTAAGTTCATCCTTGATGCAGGTCTTGCGCTCTTTGACCTTGCCAGGGATTTTGAAGACCCGTTTCCGTCTCGCTTCGCGCCGACGTTCCTTCTCCTCGACCTGCCGTTTTCGCCAGTTGGAGACAGGATTGCTAAAGCCTTCTTTGCGGGCTAGAGCTGCATCTGCAGCTGCAGCATCTGCACCCGATTCGACGACCTCGCCGTTCGCTCCGTCCCGCAAGCCCGCCATACCAGATCTGAGTGAATCCAAGCTCGACCGACTAAGCGTCGCATTCGGTGGTTCCATGGACCGTCTTGTCGCTTCTCGCAGCCTCCTGATCGGTAAGCTAAAGACATGCGCGAGAGGGAAAGCAATAATGGCCATAAGCGCCGCAGTCGCAAAGACACAAGCCAGAAGGATATCTCGCAGGCGATTAATCGGCTGCCATACTTCTCCCCGAGACTGCTCCACGATGATGGCCCAATTGACAATCTCCTGCTGCGGCAATGCGTACCCCACTGAGACTTTTTGCCCATTCTCGTTCTTTGCTTTGAGCATGGCGCCAGAGTTGTCGGACTGACCAGTCTGGTGCGTGAAAGCTGACACGACGACTGGATATTCACCAGCGCTGAAAGGAGCATTCGTAGTCCCATAGACATGATCCGGGTGCCTTGTCTTGTCTGACGGATTGAGCGGGTACACATACTGCACCTTGAAATCACTACCATCGTTTGAATTGTACAGGAAACCACCCGGAAACATATTCGAGGTGGCGGCCGGCCCGATCAGTAGAGTTTCGCCAGTATTTTCGAGTCCCTCGTTCGAAGATAAGACGCTCTGAATCAGGGAGCCGTCCATGACAACAGTGATCCAGCCAAGTATGTCGGTAGCACTAGTATTATTGACAATCGGCATCGTCATTGAAACCAGCGAAGAGCTGTCATTTAAGATCAAAGGTCCCATGAGCATGGTCGAGCTAGGACCAAGAGTCTGACCTCCATACTTGGCTTCCGGAATATTCGTTGTGCTGTTGTAGTACTCAGTGATGTACGTCAGGTTCGGGTAAAGCTGTGGTGGATATCCAAGATCGAGATCGCCACAATTTCCATCGCCAAGATAAACAGGTTTGCCATCTGGGCAATTGTAAGGAAGTCGGATGGTGTTATTCATTGACGAGCTCGAAGTGTTCAGGAGGGAAGCGATCGTGCCCTGGCTGCCATCGGGTGGAAAGACCCTGCTCTGCAGCAGAAGTGATTGCCCAACGGAACTACCGCCGCTGACAGCGTCCGACATATCACCTGATGCCCTAATCCAATTCGACTCGCTGTTATTGCCCTCATTATAGCGTTGTAGCGCGCTCTGTATCAAAACCCGGGTAGTGATGAAGTTGGCAGACGTCTGCATGAGGTTGAGGTTGCTGGCCAGCTGCGCAGCTTTCAAGGCCGCGGTCAGGGAAAGTCGTGAGGAGCGGATGCTGAGGACGAAGTTGTGGTTGGAAACCCATGTTGCTACCGAGACGACGGCCAGGCCGATCAGGGAAGAAAGCAGGATGAGTAGACCCAGCTGTGCTCGAATGGATATCCTCATCGCTCGGTGGTCTCGGGCCCGCCCCGGTGGTGGTGGAAAGCTCTCTGCCTCAGGTATACCAGGTCACCGAAGCCTCTCTTGCGAAGCTGATATCCTTCTCCCACGAGACACAATATGTCCACTTCCTCCCTCTCGCCTTACCCAATCGCTTGGCTTGCTCGGCTGCAGCGTTTAGGGACGCGAGCCAGCGTAGGAAAGTCGCCGAGTGTTCGCGTGTAATTCATGCCCGTCCTCCTCTCAACAGAAGTTTAACCGTGTCGCCGAAGAACATCGAACAAAGGAATGTCGGAGAAGAAGAACAAGAATCAGTAGGTCGTGTAGTAGTAAGCACAGGACTTGCACGCGATCTTCGACCTGGCCAGGTGGAAACGCACAGGGAACGAGTAGTGTTACTGGCGACGCTAGCCGAGCGTCAAATGCAAGCCGTCTGCACCTGGCAATATTAGGCGGAGTATCGACTCGTGTAGAACTATAATAATTCTTCCTTCGCTAAAACACAGTAGGGTATATCAAGAATCATAGGTAGATTGATAGGATCTATACAGCTCAGGATGAGACAACACAGTAATACTGGTGGCGTGAGATGTACAATGCAACTCCTGGCCATCGATCATCTCACCGGCTATGAAGGAATGCACGGCCAAGGATGAAGTCGCGAAAGAAAGCAAAACGGGGCGCGGAAGTAGCTTATTACGCTCTGATCCGCATTCGCGTGGCCATGGATCGCACGATCGAACCACCCCTTATCACCCGTGTCGGATCGTCACCACCGCCCTCGCCACTGATGTGAGTCCAAAGTGCTACAGATCTAGATCATCAAGACCTGACCCAAACATGATCTGCGCCGAGCTGTTCCAATCGTCAATTATGTTCCAATGCCATGAGCAAGCTAGTGGAGCACGAGAGTTTGGGTAGCCTCGTGGTTCCCCACAAAGCTCTCTACTTGACTTTGGCGCGACGGATTTGCCGCTGTAAGGTTTGAGGCAAAATTTCGTACAGCTTCGGTGGATCGCGCAAGAATTAATACGGCATTGTCTCAAGCTGGATGGTATATCAGAATGCTCTGGAGTCGGCAGACCTCAGCGGGTTATGCATACTGACTTCAATAGTACAGTCTGTGTTGGTGACTGTCGACTACGGATCGTGGCCTTGTGCTCTTCGGACAAAGAAGACGCTTGTTGCACATCAGACACAGAAGCGTTTACGACGTCGCTTAGAGGTGCATGCGTCACTGGACAATATGAAATCAGGATAGACTGTACGGATGGTGACAGAATCACGTCGGCTTTGGCTCTCGATTTGCTCGACGAACAACCTGAGCATTCGAAGCCGAGGACTCGCCGTCTCGAGCAAGAACACTTGGTATTGTCGGTAATGGCCCTACAAACACCTTCACTCCACCCTCATCCTCCCCCTCCTGGCCCGCAGCTCCTCCAACCTCCTCCCATCCTCCTCAAATCCCCTCACCAACCCCCTCTGCTCCTCCTTCCTCTTCTCCCGGTTCTGAAATCTATAAAAGTCCTCACCAACCTGCTTCCTCTCCCTCTTCTTCTTCTGTCGCTCCCGCTCCGCAGCCTCCTCAGCAACAAGTTCTGCCGGCTTCTGCTTCGCTCCCCTCGTCACTGTGACGAAACCGTCCTCGTCTGGCACTGCTCTGAGACGAGCGAGCTCCTTATTCCGCGCGTCATCCTGGGCGTTGAAGGCTGAGATGAAGGTATCTACGCTCTCTTGTAGGGTTGCTGGGTCTGGGTAGCGCAATGTGTGGTGTGCAAGGTAGCGTGCTGAGCCTAGTGGTCTTGCGTCTTCGTCTCCTGCAGAAGCAGGTGTGTCCCACATGATGGTCCTCCCACTCTTGACCGCTTGTTTCGCAGCTCGTAAAGCGAGTTCAGCGCTCTCTTTGTCCACAAATCTCACTACCGCCGTGCTCCCACCCGGATGAAGTTCTCGATCCCATACTTGCGGTAGTTGTCCGACCTCCACCACTTCGGCCTCTCCACCTCCCTCGAACTCCAGCCCACGCTTCCGCTTCTTCCCTCTACTTTGCGTAAGAGGCGCAGCGATGCCTTTGCTGGTTCTGATACCACCCTCGAACCTCACTTCTTCCAGCCTTCCACCACCAAGCTGTTGCGAAAAGAGCACCTTCAGAGTCGCAGCTGTCGCGTCGAAAGGCACATTTACGCAGAAGACTTCTCGTGGTGTGCTATCTGTTGGCAGCTTTGGCGCATTGAGTCGGAGGTAGAGATAGTGCTTTGCATCGACCGGGTAAGATGGTGTGGTCGGAAGTGTTAGAGGGAGGACCACGAAGTCGTTGACACTTATTGGGACGGTCGCTTTGAGTTTGGTAGGCATGACATTATCTGGAGGAGGTACGGGTACCATCGTGCCAGCCGTGACCTTGCCTGACCGACGAACTGGTAACTCTGAGTTGATTCTCTTCGCATGTGAAGAACATTACTGGACGAAATTATCCGGCCGAGGCAGGAACTTTGGTGTTTGAGACATTTAGTCGACTGTAGTCGGATGTTCATGCGAGACGTCCTTGCACTTTCTCAACTCCAATACACTCGAGTTTGATGATGACAAGGTGAACTGAACAAAGTTATCGAATGACTATCTCGTACAGCTCCATTTTGACGCTAATGTGCCTCGCAAGTCCCATCAAGTCATATGACATACACATAGATAATCGATGTAGCACCGACTTCAACCTCTGAAGCGACGAACAACAGCATGCTTGATGAACATAGTAGCCGCTTATGGACAGCAGGTCCTTTCTGGCTATGATCTGCTCCATGAGCTCACGCCTTATCAGGATCGTTGATCCCACCAGTCGTTATGATGTAGGTAGCCTCTGCCTCAGGACAATCTGAGACGACCGTTAGCACGATGCTGCAACCATAAAAGAACGAGACACCGCATACCCGGCGAGTCTTGGACCTTGGCCACCCTCTCTCCACCTCGACCCTTCCTCAAGAGAACTCGCGTGGTAGAAGCATGAGCGACGACGTGCCCACCTACAGGCTTGCGGCCATCAGCGCCAGCGAACAGAGCACTAGCACCCGGATCTGACTGGACCTGGTTCGTGTAGAAGACGACGACGTTGAACTCCTCCGAGATCTTGTGAAGTTTATCGAGGAAAAGGCCGAGCTTCTGCTGACGGTCGGCAAGCTCGCCACGGCCGATGAAGTCGATGCGGAAGAGTGCCATCAAGCTGTCGATGACGAGAAGTCGGAACTCGCCAGTGGCAAGCTGCTCGGAGAGATCGTAGATCAGGGTAGACTGCTGCTCGCTATTCGCTGCGCGGGATTGAATGATGTTCTCGTTGGCCACTTCCGGGTCCAAGCCGAAGCGTTCAGCGATCTGGACAATGCGTTCGGGACGGAAAGTGCCTTCAGTGTCTGGACAAGAATGTCAGCAGCGACGCCGCGCAATTGGTGATATGAAACGATTGCCTTACCGACCCAGGCCACTTTGCCACCACCGCCGCCGTGCTCCCTCGGTAACTGAGCAATGACGGACAGCGTATGAGCAAGCTGCGTCTTTCCACAACGATACTCGCCATACACCTCGCTGATGCTCTTGGACTCGAAGCCTCCGTTCAAGATAGCATCCCACTGCTTGCTACCAGTCGACAGGCGGAAACATTGCTTGCGCAGGATCAGTGTCTCGGCACCTGTGATGAAGCCGCATGCGCCACTTGGCTGTAGGAGTCATGTTAGCCATGGAGGACATGACCACAGAAAGTTTGAGCAGCTTTAAAACATACCAGGCACTTCTTCGCGGCCTCCTTGACCTTCTCGACCTTGATCTCAGAGAATCCCTTGATCTTGAGTAGGTGCTTGCTCAGCGTGTTGTTGACGCTCTGCACAGACATCAATTAATACGGTCATCAGTATTACAAGCCCATGACATACCACGACTGTCCATATGCCGTTGGTCTTGAGCTTGAGGATGTCTGCCTGATTGATACCTGCGTCACAATGTCAGCCAGTGGCCTGCCAGGTTGAGTGTATGCCGGTGACCTACCGTGGCTGGCCAATGCATCAATGTCGACAATGAGGCTCTCGTTCTGTGAGTGTTGTTAGTACAGTGGCTCATTGGTTGGCTGGGCCTCTGTGTCTCGCATCGCCATCATCGCTACCAGACTCCGAAGCAGGCATTGCGAACAAGTGTGCGGAGTGAAGTTGTAGCTGAGCGATACGTTGCAAATCAGGTGAAGCAGACGGGATGGTAGTAGATAGCAAGAGATTTGACGGTGGCGGTGTGTAGAGAGACAAGGAGGATGCAGTGAAGAGTAGAGAAGGGATGCTGAGGTCGACGACATGAAGTCGGGTCAAGTCGCGCCATGATGCTGTGTGGTCCAGTCGCAGCCATCAAGGAAGGTGCAGTCGCCTTCGCGTCTCATGTTGAAGAGACGTCGTTGAAGCCAACTTCATGTCTTGGCACGCGATCCCTTAGTGCACACAACCAGGACACATTCGAGGACACAACAGAGCCCCGCTCATCAATGCGATGTAAGTATGTAGAAGGCACATATACAAAATCATATGTATATTTGAAGCCATCCACATCCGCTTTTCGCGCTTTCGCACACCACCAAAAGGAGAATGCAATATGCCATCCCGTCCTCGTCGGCAGACCACCATTGCCACCACTCCCACGTTGCGCTGGTTCTCCACTTGTCTACCTCCCTCTTCTCTCCTCACTCGCGCTGCCTCTCGTGTAAAGAGGCCATCCACAAGTTCGTTCGATTTTGTTATTCTCCAAAGGTGCAGGTTTATGCTGGGGTTTCGTGATGGTCGTAACAGTCGTCAAAGGATGCTCGGTACGAAGTCGCAAAGCCTAGATCGTTATGCGCCATATTGCTCCGCAGGCCAGATGGAGCGCGTATGGAGGTCCTGATGGACCTAAGCAGCAACAGCCGCAGGCGCAGCTGGAGCAGCGACCTCGACAGCAGCCGCCGCCTCGTTGCCGTCAGCAGCGGGTGCAGCCTCGCCATTGGTAGCATCGGCCTGGGTGCAGTCACGGCTGATGTGCCCAACCTGACCACACTTATAGCACGTCTTGCTGGGCGCATTCGGCGTACCGCCGTTCGGGGCAGTGCAGTCGCGCGAGATGTGGCCAAGCTTGCCACAAGCGTAGCACTTCATGGCCTGGGCCTGGCAATCACGAGCGAAGTGATTGGGCCCACCACATTTGTAGCAGGTAGCGGCACGGTTGGTCTGGACACCAGAGTAGCCACCACGTCCTCCTCGGAAGCCACCAGCACCACGGCCGACTGGAGCTTGAGCAGGCACTGGAGCAGCGGCGGCAGCAGCGGGCGCAGCAGGTGCAGCACCAGCTGGGTTCGTGTTCGGGGTTGGGCAGTTGCGCTGGGACCTGGTCAATCATTGCGGCCGTTCTGGCTGGTTAAGATGATTACTTACAGCCAGATGGCCAGCTTGACCGCAGGAGTAGCAGCGTCCGCCAGCAGCGCCGCCGCTCAATCGGAGGGTAGGGCAATCAGCCTGGACATGGCCAAGTCCCTGGCAGTGGTAGCACTGCTTCGCTAGATCCATTGTCAGCTTACTTCTTGAAAGGCAGTTTCTTGCTGGATGTAGATGTGACTTACTCTCGGTCGTCCTAGGAAGCGGGCAGTTGTTGCTCTCGTGGCCTGTCGAGGGACAAGCGGTCAGCCATCTGCACGTATCCTCCTCTGATTTCATGTCTGGACCGAGTCTCTTACCAGGCTGCTTGCAGTTGTAGCACAAGCGCTCGCTGCTGGAGCACACTTCCGCATAATGGCCCACATTGCCACACTTGTAGCAGGCTCGACGGGAAAGAGAAGACATCCTGCCTTCTACTCTTCTGCTTCTGCTTCGACTTCCTCGTATCTATATCGCTTCTACCTGTCAAATCACCCATATTAGCACGAGTCACATTTCACATTCGCTGTGTCCACTCTCGTGGCAAGACCACACGAGACACCGGAGCCGCGCACTCGCATGCAGGTATCCGCGACCTCTTATCGCAACACCCGGCTGCCTGCAAATACGCCCGTGCCGTACCAACTTTACTCCTCTTCCCTCTCCTCTCCTCCCATCTGTCATCAACTCACCTTCGTCTTCAGCAACCTCCCAATCACCTCAGCACCAGCTCCTCAACCACGAAAAACGATGTCGAAAAGGCTGAGAAAGTGACGATGTCGTACGAAGAACTGAACGAGAACAAAGGAAAGCTGGCGCAGGCTTGACGCTTGGTAGGGACGGGATGCAAAATTCCGCGCTAGCGTAGAACAGCCGAGCCAAGATTTAATGACTGTTGGTCTGTGCATGCCATCGATATATGGGCACGTGAGAGTCGTTCAAAGAAGAGACTTCGAATCGCAAGTGTGGTGTCATATCTTCGTAGTCGTCTATCTAATGCTATGCGCCATGTCTCGCCTCAAAAGCACGTCTTTGTCCCATTCATACCATTACAACCTGTCGTGTGACCCAGTGAGGCCTTCAGTACTGAGTGAGCATTTGACGAATGAGCTACTCCTGCTTTTCAATAACAGCCGGCGCCCTGATCTCTCGCCCCTTCAAGTACTCCAGACCCTCTCCTGCATAGCTGATTAACGGACTGACTTCCACACCCTCATCCTCCTTCTCGCTCGTCACTGTCGCCCCAGCACCCTTCAAAAACCTTGCTCCCTGGGCCATGATGTCCTTCTTGGACGTCTCGGGGCTGTCGTCCTTACTACCAGGAGCGTTCTTCAGGGCTGAGAATTCATCTTCGCGCTTCACTTCCATACAGGCGAACCTGTCCATGGAGACGAATGGGAAGCAATCGAAGACGAACTGCTCGAGCTTGATGCCATTTGGCTTCTCTGGTTTGACTTGCCTTCCGTCTTTCGAGTCGAAAGGGATGGCAGGAATCTTCTTCTTCGCCACGTGGTGAGGTAGCCTATGAACCCAGTCGGGGATACTTTGCAGGAAGCCGAACGAGTAGTAATGGTTGACAATATTCGCGGCACGGAACTTAAGGAGCTCGCTATCCTTGGGATCCTTCGCTTCAGCTGTCGCGTCATCCATCTCCGAATACTCGACAACATCTGGCTTGCCGTTCTTTTGCAAGATCAGGCCAACGGACTCCTTGGCATCACGCTTCCGGACGACTTTCGTGGCGATGTCAACTTTCTTCGACGCACTAAAGCCGATGAAGGTTGGATCCGCTACACGGACGAGGCAGTTGTCCACACCAAACATGTGAATGTGCTGCACACCGCGCTTCTCCATGTCTTGCACAACGCCACTATTGATGAGAGCGTTGTACAGACCGCCATTACCGTCTGGTGCCACAGCGACTCTGCTCTTCTCTTCCAGCAAGATCTTGCCTTCCATGTTGATGCATGGCAGGACACCCTGCTCGAAGATCGTGACGTTCTTGTGTGAGAGGCCAAAGTACTTCTTCTCCACGAAGAAGCTCTCTGTAGGTTTGCGTGTCGGTCCCGATGTCATGATATACCACGCGATTACCACGTCCAACACCTCCTTTCCATGATGCTTCGCCGCGAGATGTTGCAGCCGCACGATCCGCTCGGCTTGTAATTGGAACAAGCTCTTCTCGCTTGGCAGACCGATGTTGTATTGACCCTTTGGTAAAGAGCTGCCAAGTCGTGTGCCTTGCCCACCAGCCATGAGTACCACAGCAACTTTGTTCTCCGAGATCAGCTTCAAGCCATCCTTGTACCATTGATCCAGATCCTCTTGCTTGCTGTCGATTGTTGATGTGGTGGCGGAGTCGGGTAGTTGTTCAAGCTTAGGCTTCTCGTCTTCACTCTCATGTTTCGGAGGATTGATGGCCTTGTCCGAGATCTTGTTGTTGTGCTCAGGGCTGAAGCCTTGTAGTTGTTCGAAGAGTGCTCCTTTCTCCTCCGGCTTCAGATCGTCCCAGTAGTTGAAGACATGTTCTTGCCTTGCTTCCTTATACTTCTCTCGTAGCTCCTTATATTCGTTCTCTGATGGTGGTTGTAATACTTCACCTTCTTGCTTCTTACTGCCCATGTTGAGGGCAGACATCATGTTGTTCATCGTGCTCTTCATGGCGTCCATGATGCAGGCGTGCTATTGCTAGACGTCCTATGGGCGAATATGGGGAGTATCGAGTAGGAAACCGACACGAAATCTGTGATTTTATAGGAAAAGGAATTCAGGTACTTCAAATACCTATCTGGGTCAACATCGATCAGTCATTGTGTTGGCCAAGCTGAGCTTGCAATGCGTTTCAGAAGGATTGCCCCGCCAAACACGAGCGCGACTGTGACGACGTCAATGCTCATGCAGGGTTCAAATAACGAATTGCCTCAGTTGACATAACTCCGGATATATGCTGAAGAGGCATCAAGAACAGAGAGGGTTGGAGAAGGTAAACATGGCCAGCCATGGTATAGTAGTTAACTCTGCTTGTGAAAGCTTTCATGAGAAAGAGAGCCTAACGTCAAGTGATGACCTCTGCATTACCATATGCTGTAGTCATCATACAAGCTTGCCGCCCAGCAGAGCCATGAAGAACCCATTTCCTCGTTCGTAGCGTCGTAGAGTAAACCACATGCTTCAATATGCCATGAATTACGGACTCCCCAACTCCAAGCTCGCAAGTAACAACCTGCCAGGATACGCTTGAGACAAGACCACTTCGCTCATTCAGGTATATTGACCTTCAGCGCAGTCAACATCACCTTCAACTCCGCCCTCTTTCCCGGCTCAGGCATCCTCTTATACTTCCTCCGCATATCGTTGCCCACCGGTCTCTGCGCCTGCGCACCGGTATACACCCACGCGGGCTGCGGCCGATGAGTATCAGCCCGCATATGCAGCCATTTCCTCAACGAATTCTCCGGCCCGTTCGGACTCGTTTTCGCAGTCGTGCAAAGCTTGATTTCCAGGTTGTGATTTTTGAGAAGATGGTGTTGTTGTGTGGGTGGGATACGATGCATCCAGGCTAGCATGCCGCTGAAGTTGAAGTCGGTCACGTTGGCGCGGATGGAGCAGGTGCTGTGCATTATTGGGATAATCTCGTTGCGGACTTGACGTGATGTTCTGGAGAGAGAGTGAGGCGAATGGCGGTTCTCTGCAGTCATGGGCAGAATGTGGATGACTACATCCTGGACGACGAGTTTGTAGATCTCCACTCGAATCTCAGCAGGTAGATCAAAGAAATTGGTGGGCCGAGATTCCTCTTCTGGTCTTCGTGGTGGTGGCGCGGGGGCTAGATAGCGATAATTGCTGAAGCGTGATTTCACCTGCTGTGGCCATTGCTGCGCTGGTCTTGACATAGTTTGTACAAAATGAGGATGTTTGACCATACTCTGACTTGGAGCCTGAGAAGAGCGCATATGAGTCTCCATAGCTGCACTACTGGCTAGTTGCTGAAGAGCACGGTAGTCTGGCTGTTGTGTACTAAATTGAGAAGTGTCAATCTGCGGTGATGACTGTGGGTCGGCTAGGTCAGGCTTTGTACTAGCTGCTTCCGTGGCGTCGACTGGTTCTCGTGGTGCGGACTGTGATTGAGCTTCCCGTGACCTGGCGGGAGCTTCTGCGAGGCGAATGTCTATGGGGATTTCCATAATGAAGGCCGAGGGCTCGTTTCTTGAGGAGATCGAACTCAATCTCTGCTCAGTACCGGCTTCAACATCCTCTCCCGTGCTCTTCGATTCAAGCCTTGCGTCTGCCGGCTTGTCAATACTTACCATCGACTGTATATTGACCGGAGTGAACGCTGAGACTTGATCACTCGTAACGGAGCCACTGCTCTCGAGGCTTGCCACCAGCACCATGCTTTCGAGGGGCTCCGTTTTGTCTCCACGGCGTAAGAAAGGACGAAATTTGCTCAGGTGAAGGTGAAGTTGTGGATGGAAGTTGTGGAGAGTGCCCTGGGCGACAAAAATAGCAGTAGCGTGACCGCGTGAACTCACGCGGGCGGCAAAGGTCTTACCTCTACCACTATCCACCTCCCCACGTGAACATGTGCGGCCCAATCCAAACCTTTCACTACTTGGATGCGCTCGCGAACGTCTAGTATATGATGGCGCATATTGCACTGGATTGATCGGTTGCCGTACAATTCATACGCTCAGTGGCCTTATAAATCCCGCATCTCTCCAGGATATAATCAGGTCTCTCGCGCGCAGGCATACTACAATACGTTTCATGGCGATTCAAACACCTGGTCTCCAATACGAAGCTGAGCGACTCCTACTTGGTATTGCAGGCTGTCAATTATGGTGGCGCGAGATGGACTCGGAAGCTTCGTGCTATTCTGCCACTTAGAGGCATGACTGGTGCAAGTACAATGATGGTTGATCCAGTATCCCACCAGCAGCAAGCCATACCCTACTCCGTACTCACTCTCGATCAAACGCTGCTCTCGCATACCTATGACTCGACTCCTTATCGCATCATAGCATTCAGACATGGCATTGCGAAGATGATGTCGCCCACAATTTACGAACATGCACAACGAAGGTTCCGCGGTGCCTGCAAAGTGACGGCATTTGTTCCTGCGTCGGCTTCTCCACATTTGTTCCTGCCCGCGCCCTCACGCGACTTCTCTTCCTCACCAAACGGCATACATTGCGGTAGTCTAGCAAAGGGTTTGTATTGGCTTGGAGCATTGTTGTCTCGTTGTAGATTTTGCTCCCGATTTCATATCACGCCTATATCTTCGTGTTCAGCAAGCATAAACATAGCATAAGCAGAATATCATCAACGCAGACATGGACGGAGCAAGGGACAGCAAAACATATTCCAACGATGAACAGAGCAACCGATCAACATATCTCGACTATCGATCAAGTTTCACTGGCAGCGTCAACAGCCATGTAGATCGTTCTGTCGAGACGCCGGCAACTGAGACCGACCTATCGTCATCTGGTATGGCATATCCGCCCGATGCAGGACCGACACCACTCCAAGCACGCTTTCCTACAGGATCGCAGTCCTCGCGGCCAGGATCAAAGCGGACAATACTTCCGCCCTCGTTCATGAACTATCAGCCAAGGCCTAGCAGTATCGCTAGTAGCCAGCCGATGGACATACCCAGAGCTGCATCTGTAGCTACTTCTGAAGCGACATCAAGAGTTGCGGTGGCTCAGCAAGGAGTGTTATTACTTTTCGTGGCCGGGGAACCTCATGAGCAGACAGTACGTTACGTGGAGACAATGCTTAAGCATCATCGCTACTCGAGCTTAAGCATTATTGGAAGTCAAGGGCATGAGGCGGCAGTCAAGCAGGTGAGGGTCGACGTCTACGGCATCTTAGGTAGACTGGGACGGGAAATGAGCGTACAGACGCATTTGCAAGAGACTTGGAGCTCAGCGGCGCTAGGAGCTATGATACAGCAGGCTGGATTGGAAATACAGGATGTCTTGATCAGCTTAGCGTACGGTGATGCCAAGGATACAGGAGAAGAAATTTTGGCTCTGGACCAGGAGCAGCTTGCGCAGTCGTGGCAGCGAAGTGTTGGGACACTCCACACGATTGCACAAGCTACAATACCACGATTAGTGGAGCGGAGTGCTGAAGCAGAAGGTCCTTTTCGATCTTTCCTGATACTGGAGAAGAAGTGCCGATCGCCTGCAGAGTCTGTAACCAAAGCAGCATGTCGTAGTCTCTTGAAACAGCTGGAGGCGCAATACGCATCGAGGAGTCTGGACATCAATGATGCAGAGAAAGCTCTCACGCTCACAGAGGAATGCGTACCGACAAATGGACACGATCCAGTCTTTACTCAGCAGTACCGGACCGATACTGCTTTTGACCCGACAGGATCTCCGACCAAGCTTTGGGCGATGGCAAGCGAATTTCTGTGAGACCGAGAGCAATAGAAGACTTGATTTACTGCGCTTATTCTGTATTTGGCTCTTTCCAGCCCCAACGATGCTTGAACCATCGTATCACGTACACCAGTCCGACCAGTACCGGGACTTCAATTAAAGGCCCAACAGTCGCTGCCAGTGCCTGCTCGCTACCAGGACCATAAGTGGCAACCACAACCGCGATCGCTAGCTCGAAGTTGTTCGAGGCGGCAGTGAAAGACTGCGTGGCGCTCACTTTGTATCCGAATCCAGATCGCCACATCATGAATGCCGTGAGTGGGAAGATGACGAGGAAGTAGACCACCAGTGGTGCGCAAACACGCAGGACGGAGGTGATCTGATCGACCACATGGGCGCCTTGGCTGGCGAAGAGCACGATAATGGTGTAGAGTAGCCCAATGAGCGAAAATGGCGCCACGTATCGAATGAAGTAGTGCTGGTACTTGTACTCTCCCAACAAATACCTGAGCGAGACCCTTGTGATCACTGCAGCTGCGAGTGGTATACCCAAGAACACCGCTACGGAGGTTGCTGCATCTCGGTACAGGTCGTTGCCGGCTTCTCCTGGATCGTCCGAGACCACCTTCACCAAGAACAAAGCCATAGGCGCGAACAGCACGATCTGGAGAATGCTGTTGAAGGCGACCAGAACGGCACAGTAATCCGCATCGCCACCAGCGAGATCGGTCCAGATGAGAACCATGGCGATACACCTCGCCACTCCGACGAAGATCAAGCCATCCCTCAAGTCCTGTCTATCGGGCAAGAAGGCCCATGCAAGCGCCGTCATGAACAACGGCGCAATAATCCAGTTTAGCACGAACGAGATCCCGATCTGAACCCATAGCGCTTTGGTGCGGAACAATAGATGTAGCGTTTCGTAGCGCACTTTGCAGAGGATGGGATACATCATCACCAGTAATCCGGCTGCGATGGGTCCGCTCACGCCGACGAAGGTTCCCTTTTGGAGCGCTGGGCCGACGGAGGGCACAAGGTTGCCCAGGATGATGCCGATGGCCATGCTGATTATGATCCACAGGACGAGGAGTTTGTCGAGGAAAGAGAGGGCCTTGAAGGGTGGCGGGGCTGTGACCTCGTCGTCGTTGCCATTGGGTGGCGGGGCTGGAAATTGTTAGTTTGCAGTCAAGTTCATTGGGCTATTCATTCCTCGTACCAGTGTTCATCTTGCCCAGCTCGATGTCCGCGTTCTGTTTCCCACCGTCATGCTCGTTCGTGTTTACGCGTCCAACACCAGCATCGGGTCGCGGGTCATTGGCCACGCCGTACTCAACAGTATCCATGATTGTTTCGCACAACAGCAGTGTGGAAGATTGATAAGATCTTTGCGACGTTTGCCATACCGACTATCTATATGTACATCTTCTCCATTCAAATACAGTTATCCAATCACGGTGGCAATGTCTGTCGTCTTGTCTCGCAAAGAGGCTTGAACCAATCAGAACACGATGGTGTCAAGCTCTCGCCAAGAACATGTCCGCTTGCCGCATGTCACTGAACTCTGTTCGACGACATGCTTTTGGACCGTGACATGCTTGCGCATTGTACGTCGAAATGCAATGATGCTCCCTAAGCGACTTCTACATGGAACATGACGGATGGAGGCAAGTGGTCGCCCAGTTCCGTTACCTGCTGACTTGTAATGGCCCGTTGAGAACCTGGAAGGCCTGGAAGGGGAGAGAAGATGGTAGTTTGCTGGAGGGTTGTGAATACGATAGACGAGGCAACGACAGCAAGTGTATGCCACGAAGGATGCACAGCTGGCCCGACTCATTCACGCTCACTAGTGGAATGGAAAACTTCAAGCCGGTCGTGGCGCTGGCTGGCATCCAAACGCAAGAGCGTCCTAAACATCATGGTCCTCCTCGTGTGGGCGATGCTTCACCACGAGATGTCATCCCTGAGAACGAAGAGAATATACCATATACTTGTTTTCATTGTCTGTATTATGTACGGATCAAACTGTATTACCTTGAAGCCTGCCGTGATAATGCGTTGAAGAAGAAGGGTATCGATACAACGCTGGCTGCAAACCAGTAGAAGACATACTCAGAATAATCCTAGATCCCAGCTCGACATCGAACCCATGGGCACCTGACCTGGAAAGCTGTGGCAGATCCTCAAGCTCACTCCACCTGGCAACCTATGTTTCACTCTTCCTCTTCTTCTTCTTCTTGCTGGGCTCACTGCTAGGTGGCGGCATAGCCTCAGCAGATGACATTGGCGCAACGGGAGCAGGTGGAGCAGTCGACGGAATCACGTCTGCACCCGCGGTCACCTTCTCGGCGTTGGGCTTGCGACCACGCTTCTTCTTGGCTGGCTCCTCAGAAGCGGTGGCGTTGTCAGCTGATGGAGTAGCGGCAGCTTTGCGTTTCCGCTCGGGACTGCTGGACGGCTTGGTGGGCTCCGAGGTGTTGATGCTGCTGAATTGAGGGGTGGGTGCGACGGCGGGAGTCTCTTTCTTGCTTTTCTTCATTGCGGATTTGGGTGTCTTGGGTGCTGGTGGTGGGGGCGGAGGAGTGGGTTCCTTCTCGTCCTCCTCCTCGTCTGAACTCTCCTCTGAGCTAGAGGAGTCGTCGTCTTCCTCTTCTTCTTCTTCTTCTACAACCACTGCCTTTCCATCGACGACGTCCTCGCCGGCGGCATCTTCTCCCAGGCCCGCACCTCCAGCCACTTCATCCTCGGCAACGACAGCGAGAGCACTCTCGTCGACCTTCCCACCAGCAGCCTTGTACCTCTCCACCTCCTTCTCATAGTCCTTCAGCGCACGCTGGTACGCCTCCTTGTAGGGGCGATGTTCCTCCTCGGTCAGAGCATTCCATCTCTGCGTAGCGACCTTGCTCAAATCGCCCGGCCTCTGCGGCTGACCACCAGCCTTCTCGGCCAGCTCCTTGCCAAGTGGTCCGCGTTGTTCCTGCAGGTAGCGGAAGTATGCTGTCAAAGGACGTTTCGGGGCGTTCGGGTCGCGTTGCTTGTAGGCGCGCTTCTTGCGTTTGCCCTTCTTGTCGCCGTCCGATGTCTCTTGCTTGGCTTCAGCAGCGACGCCATTGCTGATCAGGGCTTGTTGGGCGAGTTGAGCAGTATGAGCAAGCTGGTCGAAGGGCTGAGTCAGGTAGCTGACGTTGAGCGACGCGTCGGAGGCGAGGACAACGCTGGTGTGCTCGACGTAGGCTTTGACCGAGCGATCAATAGCTTGAGAGAGGCCAATGTAGGCAGAGGCGAGCTGTTCCAAACAAATCGTTAGATGTGCTCGTTAATGTTTACGCGTTCGTGGTTAAAGCTTACCGCGTCTCGAGTCCGAACGAAGGCTTGTACATCGATCATGACCGACTTTTTCTCCGGCTGTTGGCCTGGCGTGACAGTAGTCGGGTATGACCCATGATGGGCGAGCTCGGGATCCATGTATTGTGGTATATCGTACAGCTGCTGCGGCTGGTATTGCAGCGGCATTTGAGGTGATGAGGTGTTGGCAAGGTGTTGATGAAGGATTAATGCGACAGCTGATCAAATTTGATGGGGAAGGTAAAGACGTGAGGAGTTTTAGCAAAAGTTGGGGGTGCACAAGTACTGGAAATTTCAGCGAACGAGGGCCGACGGGCTGACCAGCCTCCCTGAATTTGGTGAACGTATCTTTGCGACAGGTAAGATCAACCCTTTCTGGGCGCTTGCATCTACCCCTGCTCATATTTTGATTGATCGACGCGACACAAACCTCATCAATCCTGCTCGGCTTGAACGCCGTCTCATTGTTGAAAAGCAGTCCCGGTCTACGACTCGTGGAGTACCACGAACATCTAGCTGCAGTTTCTCAAGACGTTGAACAAGAATGTCAGAGGGACTAGGATCACTACTTTCACGCCCCTAAGCGCCATAGTGAAAGACTGCCCTTCCGCCCCCGATACGATCTATCACATCGCGGAGAGTCCCTAAGGACTCTTGCATGGCGACTACGGCCTGGTCGCGCTGTTGTGCAACCATGTCGAGCACGGCTCGTCCATAGAGCTACGCCTGGTTCCTTCCTTCTGTTGCCCGTGATGCCGACCATTGTGCTGATGGCCGAGGGGCGAGCTATGCAGCAAGGTTCCACGCGCTCTCAAATTGGCAATGGTCTTGGTAGACGTCGTCCGTTGTCAGCGCGGCTAGAAAGCAGGTGGCCTCGAAGGCAGCCTGCTTGATGGGTCGTTGCACCGAAGGCATCGGGACTCGGTGGCGACATCTCCCAAGGATACTACCGCTCTTACGGTATATCGATGAATGTCGACTTCGTCTTCGTTCGTGTCCACAAGAGCGGGCATACGACCGTCTACTGAGGATTGACAGCAAATCTCTTCTCATGAACGATCATATACCCTCGACTTCGGTATAAACGCTATCCGATAAGCACCATGCATGAAGTTAAAAGCTCACCTCCCCCGCCAACAACCCCACCCTCTCCATTGACCACTGACCTCCACAACCGCGTGCTACATTCACTTGTTTACGTACTCGCTTTCATGCCCAGCATTTCTGGAATCGAGACCTTGTCAATATGAATCTCGCACCAAAAGAGGTACCTCAAGCACTGACTCACCTCACATCAGACTACTGATACTTTCCCACGCAGATCGACAAGCTCCTCATTTATCAGACCGGCTCCCTCGCCCAACGTCGTCTCGCTCGAGGCACTCGTCTGAACCACCCGGAAGCTCTCGCCCTCATCGCCAGCGTCCTACACGAACTCATTCGCGATGGCAATCACACAGTCGCAGATCTCATGGCTTTGGGCCCGACACTGCTGGGTCGACGCCATGTTTTACCTTCAGTCCCACATACCTTGACCGAGCTCATGGTCGAAGGGACATTCACGACTGGAACATATCTGGTAACTGTCCACCACCCCATCGGCAGCGACGACGGAGATCTGAGCAGAGCCTTATATGGATCTTTCTTGCCATTTCCGGAAAATGCTAAGGCCTTCCCGTGGCCGCCGAAGGAAGGTCTGGAGCTGTACGAAGACGAAACGAAGATGCCCGGAGCTGTGATCGCGAAGAAAGAGAGGATCGTGATCAATGAGGGGAGAAAGAGGATTGCTTTGAAGGTCACCAGTCGTGGGGATCGACCTATACAGGTTGGTAGCCACTACCACTTCATCGAGGTCAATCCGAAGCTGGAGTTCGATCGTCTCAGAGCAAGAGGCTTCAGACTGGATATCGCAGCTGGCACGAGTGTGAGGTTTGAGCCCGGCGATAGTAAGACGGTAAATTTGGTCGAGATTGCTGGCAAGCAGATCATCAAAGGCGGGAATGGTATTGCGACCGGACATGTACGGGATGAAGGCATGACAGAAAAGGTCTTGCACAGACTCCAGGAAGGCGGTTTCTTGCACCGTGAAGAGCCGACGAGTGATCAGAGGTTGGATCCTTTCAGTATATCGAGACATGATTACATTCACATGTTTGGTCCCACCACTGGCGACAAAATCCGTCTAGGAAGTACGGATCTCTGGATCACGATCGAGAAGGACTTCACGGTATACGGTGATGAGTGTTCTTTTGGTGGCGGAAAGACCATTCGAGATGGAATGGGTTCTGCTTCGGGTACTTCTAGCAAAGAGTCACTGGACACCGTGATCACGAATGCCATCATTGTCGACTGGAGCGGCATCTACAAAGCTGATATTGGCATCAAAAATGGTCTCATAGTAGGTATCGGCAAAGCAGGCAATCCAGACGTGATGGATGGCGTACATTCAGATCTGATCGTAGGCACGCACACCGATGTCATCGCTGCGGAGGGCAGTATAGTCACCGCTGGCGGGTATGATAGCCACATACATTTTATCTGTCCGCAACAGGCGTATGATGCCATCGCAAGCGGTGTTACGACTTTCTTGGGCGGCGGTACAGGACCGTCTACAGGCACGAATGCGACGACTTGTACGCCGAGCAAGGACCTCATACGTGGGATGTTCCAGGCCATCGACAACATACCTCTGAACGTCGGTATTACTGGAAAAGGTAATGATGCCGAGATGCATCCGCTGATTGAGCAAGTCGAAGCCGGTGTTTGTGGTCTGAAGTTGCATGAGGATTGGGGCAGCACGCCTGTAGCGATCGACACCTGCCTCTCCGTCTGCGAAAAAGAGGATATCCAGTGTTTGATTCACACGGACACCCTAAATGAGGCAGGCTTCGTGGAAACGACGGTCAAGGCGTTTAAAGATCGCACAATCCACACCTACCATACCGAGGGAGCTGGCGGCGGACACGCTCCCGATATCATAAGCGTGGTCGAACATGAGAACGTTCTTCCGTCGTCCACAAACCCTACACGCCCGTACACAGGCAACACGCTAGACGAACACCTAGACATGCTAATGGTCTGCCACCACCTCTCCCGCAACATCCCCGAAGACGTCGCCTTCGCCGAATCACGTATCCGCGCCGAAACCATCGCAGCCGAAGACGTGCTACACGATCTAGGCGCAATCAGCATGATGTCGTCCGACTCCCAAGCCATGGGCCGCTGTGGCGAAGTCATCCTCCGAACATGGAACACAGCCCACAAGAACAAAGTGCAGCGCGGCTTCCTCCCCGAAGACGAAGGCACGGGAGCCGACAATTTCCGCGTGAGACGATATCTCAGTAAATATACCATCAACCCGGCCATAGCACAAGGCATGTCGCACCTCATCGGCTCCATCGAAGTGGGCAAGTTCGCGGATCTCTGCCTCTGGAACTTTAGCTCCTTTGGCGTGAAGCCAAGACAAGTTATGAAGGGTGGCATGATTGCCTGGTCATTGATGGGTGATCCGAACGCGAGTATTCCCACCGTTGAACCCGTGATCATGCGGCCGATGTTCGGGGCTATGGAACCCAGTCGAAGTATCACTTGGGTCTCGCAGGCTTCGGAGAAGAATGGTGTGGTGAAGTCTTATGGTTTGAGGAAGAGGGTGGAGGTCGTGAAGGGGTGTAGAAATATTGGGAAGAAGGATATGAAGCTTAATGATGCGAGGCCGAAGATGAAGGTTGATCCGGAGAGATATGTGAGTTTACCTTCTTCTCTCTCACCTCGTTATTGTCGTGTGTTGTTATGTGTGAGATGGATTATGCTGACTTTGGTTATGTTTTGATTTACAGACTGTCGAAGCTGACGGTGTGCTGATGACGGCGGACCCGGCGAAGGAGCTACCGCTTGCGCAGCAGTACTTTATCTTTTGAGCTCGAATTCTGATGGAGACGATGTAGATACCCTTCTGTACTTACGAGATCACGAGTAAAGGTCACCGAAATCGAGATCTCGCCAATTTCTGTTGCGTTATGCCGATGAGTCCCTCGCTGATGTCGATCTTGCCCCCAGTATCGAGCGGAGCAGGGAAGGATGCTCATGATTGTTGGTCAGTGGTACGGCTAGCATAGCATGATTATCCCATCTGCAATCTGACCCAACACCTGGGGTATCTCAGCAATAGCCCTTATGCAATACAATATCTAATACCCAAGAAAGGTCCAAAGCAATCATAACCATCCCAGCATCACTTCATACAAATCATAAATCTCGGCCTCCTCCTCCAATAGCTCTCTGCTCGCCCTGCTCAGCTCTCGAGATCACCCTAGCATAATTATCCGCTTCTGACTTCCGACTAGCATCGCGCTGCGCCTCCAGTCTCTCGATCCCAAGATTGATCGAGTCGATGTGCACTTCCAGTGGCACTTTATCACCGATTACCTCGGGCATAGCGACACGCTCGCGCAGATCTTCGAGATTATCGCGGATGGCTTGTAGCTTCACGATCGTGGTCGTGATGTGGGCCCAAGCGAGGCGCCGATACGCGCCCACTTCCTTTAGTAGCCTGATCTGTTGTTCCAGCTTCGCGACGCTGGAGCGATTGCCACCGAGCTTCGTCCATAGGTTTGCGAAGAGCTCCTCTTTGCTACCTTCGACTTTGACACCGTCTCGAGTTGCTACGGAGGCGATGACGTCGAGACGGCCGTCCAAATTGTCTAGGATGCCGAGTAGAGCTTGAGCCTCGGAGATGAGGTTGAGTATCTGCTCCTCGACGGCACCAGTATGTCGTAGATACTGGTCCAGTAGGACATCCCGAGATAGTGAGACTGGCTGGAATGGGGCGAAGATGTTCAGATTGTCACCCACCCATCTCGAGATCGCCCCACGACCAGCCTCAGTAGCACCGACACCATCAATGACCGAAAGCGTCCAGCGGTTCGTGCTCAGTATCTGATCGACCGCTCGTCCAATCCTCGAATTGAATCTGCTGAGGTCCTGACTCGCCTGCCTCGCAGTCTCGATGAATCCGCTGAACTCGAATACCAGCTCGTTGCGTGAAGGCAGCGTACTATACTGCACGACATGCTTGAGGTCCCTGATACTGGCCTCGGAGCGCTTCATATCCATCGGAAGGTTCGCGCCGACCTGTGTGCTGGCCAAGACATCCTCGAATTGCGATTGTGCTTGAACTAGCTTGTCGAATTCGGCTGGGCCCTGCAGTTCCGCCGTACTTGTCGCTGGACAGAAAGGGAGGTGCAGATATGAGACGCCCGGGATTCGGCAGATGGGTGTGAGGGCGTTGTTTATGCTGTTCGTGACGAAGCCGGTGCCGAAGATTATGGCGCCTACCAAAGCGTAGGCGAGTAAGGCGTAGCCCAGCAAAGGCTTGGCGTTCCGCAGAGCTATACCCACTATATCCAGTAGGTATGATGCGAGCGATTGTAGTATGCGTTGCCATAATGCAGTGATTGGTGATGCTGCCATATCTTCCTCCTCCTCAGCGTCCAACCCGTCTTTCAACCTCGAGCCAAGTCTGCCAGCATCGCTGGTCATCGAGCGTTGATTGAGCCGGAAATGTGGTGTCGAAGCTCGCATCTTTGCTGGCCCGTTCATGTGGCCAGCATCGCTCGTTAGTGAACGATCCTTGAGTCTGAAGTGGGGTGTCGAAGCACGCATCGCGCTGCCTGACGACCTTCCTCCGTCTGGTGAGGTGGGCATCACGAGTTCCGGCTCTACTGACAGCCGCGCACTTCTTCTCCGTCCATCTCTTGCGTTACTGCTGGTGGCAGACTCTACTCTGCTGCTTCGAAGATTACGTCGTGATGATGCGGGATCGGAACGGTATGAGTCCCGCATCTCTGCCCGCTCGTCGTCTTCGGTGTAGATCTCCTCGTCCTCTTCGCTACCATCTACATCATCCCACGACTCCGTTAGATCTGGCCTTGCTCGGCGTGCGCGTGTCATGATCCTCACTGATCCAAGACCGTATCCTATGCTTCGTGTTCCAAGACAGACCAAGATGTTACTTCCTTCTCAAACGGTCGAATGCTCTTCAATGGGTCAAGAGCAAGTGAAAAGCAGCTAAAATACTTGCAAGAAAACATCTAATGTTGAGTACATGGTAACCATGCGCCGCGCAGTTGTTTCTCAAACAAGTCGCGTGGCCTGTTGTGCCCGCATTCACTCACAGCTCATGCAAACTGACGTAGTGTCTTGGCGCTCTACACGTTTTAGTACGAGGTGAATGGCCACGAGACAGCCGTCACTACAGACTGTCCCACATCACACCTTAGCAACATGATGGACCTGTGAAATCGAAGGGGAAATCATATAGTGCGCATACCAGACCACAGCAAGGATATTTGAATCGCCTCCGCATTCATGCGTGGTGGGACTGACAGTTTCTGCCCTGCATATCGAGAGGGCCTCATGATTCAGGGGCCGAAGCTTGGTGATCAATTGTACCACGCCGCAACGCCATCCAAGGAACGCCATGCCGATCGATTGTTTCAGGTTTGCAGTCTATGGGGTAGCAGACGGCGAATTTCAGGAAAGTCTTGACGATGCACGCAAGGTCGACGCGTAGCTTGGACTCCGCCACTGACCTGTACAGCTTCGATTACCAGAATGGTCGCCCATACGTGGGAGTAGCTTGCTACAGTCTGGCCTTGCCATGCCCGTAACTGTGACTGAGCAACACTCTGAGCCTACAAACAGCATAGGGCGTTCGTGGTGGATGGGGAGAGCGGAAGACGGGAAAATTCTGTTGGAAAGGGGAGAGCGCCTGTGCGTTGGCCAAATCATGAGCATGACGTCGGGGTCTCGTGCTGCAGGCACTCAATAACCATTCCTCAAGTGCTGCACACGCCTTTGGGGCTGGATGACTACAATGGCCTTTGTCGGTAGCAGACAGGCGCATCCCAACGACCTGTATGAGCATCCCGATCACGAGGTTGAGTTTCTGTATGTACAGCTCTCCTACCACAGACTCGCGTGTCGGCGTTTCGTGGTGGAGACGCCACATTGCGATTAGGCAAAGTCTCTCGGCTCCACGTTATGTAGCATTAGCTGAACTCTGAAGGCGCTTATAGTGCTACACTTAGCTAATGCGAAAGGTTCCTGACCGTGCCGTGTGAAGTACTTTTCACCTTTCGGCATCCCGAGACGATACGGGATATCCTCGTTGTAGCACGAGTCGAGAAAGTGCGAACGGAAGCGACACGAAAAGGGAATCGCGCGATCCCGAATCTCCACCCCCTTCGCGAAGACTCGCTGGCTGCACCCGTGCTGCAGGGTTAAGCTGGCCCTCCCTTTGGCATAATGCAGATTGCCGCATACCGCACTGCCTGACCCACCACATACGATCATTCACTCACCAGCCTGAGGACTTATCACATCAAGCATCTCATTTGCGTCTCATCTAGGAGCCCTGTCGAAAGGGACAAACTACGCCCTGAGACGATTGGAGGGGAAGGGACTAACTGTGCATGAGGATCAATTGGACGTCATTTGGTGTCGCAGAGCCTCATCAAGGAGAAGAACGAAGGTGCAACCCGTCTGCTATAGTCAACATCACACCAGAGCGCTCGACCGCAATCCTGTACAACACGAATCGCCGACCTGGAATGCTCTTCTGATCACACGACACGGCCTTCATTGAGCCTGTCGGACCTCGAAATGCCTCACGAGGATACCAGCGCCGCTGTCGCCAGCCTCCTCTCCAACCTCGCCAAATCCTATGGACCTACCGACGAACAATCCTTTCCAGCCAAAGTGATCGCCAATGGTGCTAAGAGTGCGAAAATTTCGCTCCCTGGCGATGATACTGTGGGGAAGCGGACATTAGAGCGCGAGTTGGCGGCATTGGCTGCCCGCATACAGTCGTTAGAAGGACGAGCGACGTCGGGCACTGCTTCACTACCCATTACGCCCAATGAACCTCTCGCATCAGCATTCTCCGATGCACCCTCCTCATCAAAGGCAGCAATTCAAGCCGCACCAAGGCAGCGATCAGCCTCGTGGGTTCAGAACCTCCTCGGCAAGAGCGATGGCGAACAGCGGACACGGCAGCTCACGGAAGAGCAACTCACAGTCTTACGAGAGCACATCGACCAACAGGCGCAAGAGATCAAGGGCCAGAAGGACTTCATAGATGGCATCAAGTCGCAGCTCACGACTCAGCAGAGCGCAACGAAAGCAGCATTGGACACCCTCGGTAACTCTTCATCGATAGAGCAGCTGAAGCGGGAGATAGAGAAGAACGCTCAAATCAATGCTACGTACCAGAAGGTGCTACGTGAAATCGGCACAATCATCACGGCGGTTGCGAATGGTGATCTGAGCAAGAAAGTGCTCATCCACGTCACCGAGAAGGACCCAGAGATTGCTCGCTTCAAGCACACGATCAACCGGATGGTAGACCAGTTGCAGGAGTTTGCAAGTCAGGTCACGCATTTGGCGAAGGATGTAGGCACTGAGGGTCGACTGGGCGGACAGGCTGTTGTTCCTGGTGTGGATGGCATCTGGGCGGAGCTCACGCAGAATGGTAGGTTCTACATATGTAATCGGCGTGGTCCCAGGCTAACAATACACAGTAAACGTCATGGCCCAGAACTTGACCGACCAAGTACGAGAGATCGCGGTTGTCACGACTGCCGTAGCACAAGGTGATCTTAGCCGCAAGATTGAACGCCCCGCGAAGGGTGAGATTTTGCAGCTGCAACAGACGATCAACGCCATGGTTGAGCAATTACGCACATTCGCCACCGAAGTAACCCGAGTATCTCGAGATGTCGGCATCGAAGGTGTCCTCGGCGGTCAAGCGCAGATTGATGGTGTGCAGGGCATGTGGAAAGACCTGACCGAGAACGTGAATGCCATGGCCAATAATCTAACAGCACAAGTACGAGACATTGCTGAAGTAACGACTTCAGTTGCCAAGGGCGATCTTACACAGAAAGTCAAGGCGCAGTGCAAGGGTGAGATCCTGGAGTTGAAGGAGACCATCAATGCTATGGTCGATCAATTACGACAATTTGCACATCAAGTGACCAGAATTGCTCGCGAGGTCGGAACAGAAGGACGGTTAGGTGGTCAAGCGACCGTGCACGGCGTCGAAGGGACCTGGAAAGATCTGACCGAGAACGTGAACGGGATGGCCAACAATCTCACAACTCAGGTCCGTGAGATTGCCGAAGTCACCACCGCCGTGGCCAAGGGCGACTTGAGCAAGAAGGTCGAGGCCGAAGTCCAAGGCGAGATCTTGGCTTTGAAGAACACCATCAACGAGATGGTGGACCGTCTCCGGACATTCGCGTTTGAGGTTAGTAAGGTCGCGCGAGAAGTCGGCACTGAGGGTACACTTGGAGGACAAGCTGAGGTCAACAACGTCGAAGGCAAATGGAAGGATTTGACTGACAATGTCAACACCATGGCCAACAACTTGACGGGTCAGGTGCGAAGTATCTCGGATGTTACGCAGGCTATTGCGCGAGGAGACATGACCCAGCGGATTACGGTGCATGCTCAAGGAGAGATTCAACTTCTGAAGGACACCATTAACGACATGGTGACGAGACTTGATGCGTGGTCGTTGGCTGTGAAGCGAGTGGCGCGGGACGTGGGTGTAGATGGCAAAATGGGAGGCCAAGCAGAAGTCGAGGGCATCACCGGACGATGGAAGGAGATTACAACCGACGTGAACATAATGGCTCAGAACTTGACCTCGCAAGTCCGAGCATTTGGCGACATCTCGAACGCCGCCATGGAAGGCAACTTTTCGAAGATGATCACGGTGGAGGCGTCTGGTGAGATGAACGAACTCAAGAATCGCATCAATAAGATGGTGTCGCGTTTGAGGGAGAGTATTCAACGAAACAACCAGGCTAGAGAAGCGGCTGAGCTAGCGAATAAGACGAAGTCGGAGTTCCTGGCCAATATGTCGCATGAGATTCGGACACCCATGAATGGTATTATCGGCATGACTCAGCTAACGCTCGACACGGAGCTGGAACAGAATCAGCGGGATATGCTAAACATTGTGTTCTCGCTTGCGAACAGCTTACTCACGATCATTGACGACATTTTGGATATCTCGAAGATCGAAGCCAACAGGATGATACTGGAGGAAGAGCCGTTCTCGCTACGAGGACTGGTATTCAACAGTCTGAAGTCGTTAGCGGTGAAAGCGAACGAAAAGGACATCAGCTTGGTCTACGACACGGACAGTTCAATATTGGATTACATCGTTGGCGACTCGTTCCGATTACGACAAATCATCCTCAACCTTGCTGGCAACGCCGTGAAGTTCACTGAACACGGCGAGGTCCGCGTGAAGATCGCCGCAGATCCTACGGTCAAATGCGCTGAGAACGAAGTGGTCATCAAGTTCGCCGTGAGCGATACTGGAATAGGTATCCACCACAACAAGCTCGATCTCATCTTCGACACCTTCCAGCAAGCCGATGGCTCCACGACCCGTAAATTTGGTGGCACTGGTCTTGGCTTGTCTATCTCGAGAAGGCTTGTGACGTTGATGCGAGGGAGGATGTGGGTTGAGTCGACCTACGGTTCTGGCAGTACATTCTTCTTCACTTGCATTTTCAGTTTGGGGCATACAGATGTGGCGAAGATCATGCCGCAATTGCAGCAATATCGGAAGCACAAAGTCCTTTTCGTCGATCATGGAGAGACCGGCTGTGCTGGCGAGATTACGGATAGCATTCGCACGTTAGATCTGGTTCCTTGTGTCGTTGGCAACAGTGGAGCACGTGCGTCACCTATGCTTCAAGATGGATCGTACGACTGTGTCGTGATTGATCAGATATCGACCGCGCAGAAGCTTCGAAGCATGGAACGTTTCAAGTATATCCCGATTGTTATGGTCGCACCAGCGATCTCGGTCAATTTCAAGACAGCACTGGAGAACGGCATCTCGAGCTATATGACGACGCCTTGCCTACCTATCGACCTTGGCAACGCCCTAATACCCGCACTGGAAGGCCGAGCGGCGCCAATATCGGCAGATCACTCACGGACATTCGACATTCTGCTCGCCGAAGACAATGCTGTGAACCAGAAGCTAGCCGTCAAGATCCTGACCAAGCACAACCACAAAGTCACAGTAGCGAACAATGGCCTGGAAGCGCTCGAGGCTATCAAGATCCGCCGCTTCGATGTTGTGCTGATGGATGTCCAAATGCCCATCATGGGCGGCTTCGAAGCCACGGCCAAGATTCGGGAGTACGAACAAGAACATGACCTCGCCCGCTCGCCCATCATCGCCTTGACCGCCCACGCCATGCTGGGCGATCGAGAAAAGTGTATCCAAGCCCAAATGGACGAGTATCTCTCCAAACCGCTGAAGCCTAATCAGCTCATCCAGACGATACTCAAGTGTGCTACCCTAGGTGGTGCGCTTCTGGAGCGGAGGAATGATGGTCGAGGCACGCTGGCCGCTGATTTGGAAGGTGAGAGTTCGGGAGGCGTTTCGAGGCTGTTGTCTCCCAAGCGGCCTGGGCTGGCGGACAGGGGATATACTGAGGGTAATCCGGCGGGGATGGAAAGTCCGGCTATCGTTACGGCGGACCAGGAGGATCCTATGAATCAGAGGGTAAGTTCATCGGGCATGCTGTTGTGTGAGAATTGGTTACTGACTTATCGAGCAGGAGATGTTGATGCGCGCGCACAGCAGTTGAGCTGGTCATACACGTCTTTTGCACCCATTTGTGTCTGTGGCGTTTGCCCTTAGCGATTTGGCGTTCTTGGTGTTCGTGCCATCTGTGATGGCCGTTAGGTTGAACCGGGTGGGTGGCTGTCTCGATAGGACACCGAACGACGGTTTGATCTCGGTTTTGGTGGCCTTGGAGGCGAGGACAATACCTATACTTTGGGTATGCACATGCTGTGAGTGCGGGCAACACGCTATTCTGCATCCTGTTTGAAATATCTACGATACCTACTTCATTTTTCTTCGCAGCGCTATGTATGCATAGTAAGCAAGTCTGCCTAGGCTTCAAGCAACACGTATGCAATACTTCCTTTCAATCGTCCGATGATCACTTATCTCGTTCATTGCCCTGCCATGTGACGCGCAGGTGTAGAAAAGTCACGTGACTTTCAGCTGCGGCTCGGAGATGTCACCCAAAGCCACGACCGAGGATGATTAGTGAACTTCTCCAACCTCGTGGTAACAATCATGCCTACCTCTTACAAAGCCTTGCAGAGTAGAAGGCCTGATAATTAGCCTTACGTAGGGCGCTGACAATGCCACTACCGCGCTAGTGAGGTGATAGGGGACCACATATACGTGTACAACCGTTGGATCTGAGAAATGAGACTTTGACACCAAGCGGCCACGAAGCACACTATCTCCAAGCGGGTCATGCCTGGAATCATGAGCGCAGAGCCTACGAAGAAGCGCAAACGCGCTACGAAAGCCTCGTCTTCCGATGGCGACGAAGAAGGCAGGTCCCGCGGCAGGCCGAGAGTCGACAAGCAGGATGAGTCCGCAGCAGACCGACGGCGAACGCAAATTCGTATGGCGCAGCGAGCGTACCGTCAGCGAAAAGAGAGCACGCTTGAAGACCTACGCAAGCGTGTATCCGAGCTCACCAATACTGCCGAACTCATGAACAAGACATTCGTCGAGCTTCGAGACCGACTCTCCACTCAAGCTGATGTGAATGACCAAAGAGCACTCTGGGACGTAGCTTCTAGGTATGAAGAACTTATGAAGATAGTCCGAAACCCATCCGAGGACGACTGTGACGAGATCTTAGCTCGGCCGCCAGCTCTATTCAACTCCGCTGTTGTCACCGAGACTGCGCTAGCAAGCAAGATTGATTTGATGTCGACGAATGTACCATCTTGGCTCGATCAGTCAGTCTTGAAGAAGCTCAATGACACGATTCCTACGACACATCTTGGCCTTGGATACACGATGAGCTTTGGCAAAGATGAGTCGTTGATTCCGGCCTTGACTCCACCATCGAACCTTGCGTACGAAGCATTCGTTAGCTGTCCCCCAGTACCAACCAGCATACCTCGTGAGTTACCTCCGATCACGACTTATAGCTTCCAGGAGACTACTCTTGGTCGTCGTTTACACCGAGCTGGTCTCGAAGCGGGTTACTATATGCTTCTTGGTAAATCAAAGAGCGACCGTGACGTCGAAAAGGTGTTCCGCTTGTCACTGATGGGTAGAGATCGGGACAAGCTCATGGCCTCGATAAAGGCTATCTTAGCTCGCGGAATCAATGAGTCCCTAGACTCTCCATCAGTGCCACTGATTCATGTCGGTGGCGCGGGCACGCATTATCCTCGCCGCGATCACCTTGGGAATGTACAGCCACCGAAAAAGTCATATAATCTTGGTGTGGTCGGACCCACTACGCTAGCATTACTAGATGCTGCAGCGAAGAATAATCTTGAGACCGACATGACTGTCGAGATCGAAGGCTACGAAGGCCAATGGCTTGATCCATACGACGTCGAGGGCTATCTGAGAGAAAAGGGCATTGAAATTGATCCATCTGCGTCCTTCGCCGAGGCTGTAATCACAGATGATACAAGCAGCCCGCACAGAAACTCAACCCGCGCATCAACATCTCCACTGAACGACCAAACAAATGACCTTTCAGCTGTAATGGAGTTGGGACAGGCCGCCGGTACTCTACCGAGCACTCGTGGTGCTGATGCGGATACTTGGGACATCCTTGCCAACACGAGCTTCACTGGCGTAGGCTACAGTGACGCGATCACTGGAGACTGGATGAACTTCTTAGAGCCCGGTCAAGGTATCAACTGGTTGAGCAACCCTAAAAGCGATCTACAACTAGCATCTGGCACCGGACAGGCTACTAACATCTTCACGTCCATGAATGGCGTTACTGGTACTTCCTTCAATGTTCCCACCCCTCCGGACAGTTACGGGCCTCTTGCGAAGCGGTCAGTCATCATTGATGTCACAAAGTTCGTGAAAGGTAAGGTTGACTGCACAGCATTGCACAATTTTGTTTTGGCTAATGCTGGGATAGCGTTGACCTCAAAAGGTGTCTGTCTCGCCCGCACACCAGGGTACAGAAGGGCAGACGTTGATCAAGCTCTGGCCATGGCATCTTTCGATGTATGAACACTGACAAAGACCGACTCACTCGGTCACAATGTTCAGCCCTGTCTTTGGCATCAGATAGACTTCTCAAAAGGCGTTTGGAAATACCGGACTTTGATCGGACAAGATTCGTCATCGCCAAGCAGAAGTGATCGGCTCAAATGTATACGTTGAGACATATTAGTATGATGCCGCCGCCAGAAATCAGTCAATCACAGCTCATCAAGATTGCGTTCTTACCACTCACATTGAAATGCTAATCTCAGTACTCGTGCTCGGCGCTGGCGAACTCGGAATTGCAGTCCTGCAAAGCCTGGTCGCACATCCCAGCTCCCACGCTGCTAGAGTTGCTGTACTGAAGCGTTCAGCAGGATCGATTGAGGGTGTAGAATTAAGAGAGATTGAAGTCGTGAAGGGTGACGTAAACGATCTCTCTGAAGCAGAGCTGGCAGGCATCCTAGGCCGCTACCACACTGTGATTAGCTGTAACGGCATGACATTACCACCCGAAACCCAGACGAAGCTGGCAAGGGCTGCGATTGCTGGCGGCGTTGCACGATACTTTCCTTGTAGGCCAGACTCGCTACAAATACTATCTGGCCAACTGCTAAAACGTGTCCAGGGCAGTTTGGCTTAGATTACGACAAGATAGGGCGGGAAAGCTCTCAGGATTTATTCGATGCGCAGCTTGACGTTCGAGATATCCTTCGGGCCCAGTCGAGCATGCAGTGGGTGATCGTTTCGACGGTAAGTAGCCAGAACTGTATCATGTGAAGTCCAGCAGAGTTTAATCCGACGTAGGGCATATTCACCTCCTTCCTATTCGAGCCGGCATTTGGTGTAGTCAATGCCAGAGAACATACTGTTACAGCTCTTGGCAGCTGGAACAACGAGCTCACCGTTACTAGTCCAAAGGACATCGGTCTCGTAGTTGCTGAGGTGGTACTCGCAGCTCCTGAGGTCGACGGCATAATGTAATTTTACCACTTCGAAGACTGATCCCGACCTGCGTTAACGCATGCTGCAGCTACACCGCGGGCGACACGATCAGCATGGGGCGCCTTGCAGATGTTGTTGAGAATGTGTTAGGCACCCGAGTGCGACGGAAGCTTGCAACGGCGAAAGAGCTGGAGGCAGAGCTGAAAGCTGACCCAAGCGACGGCATGAAGAAGTATCGGGTAAGTCTCGTCAGATAAGTCTAGACCTCTTCGCAACTCACACAAACCATAACAGGCCGTGTTCGCTGCATGTGTCGGCGTTAGTTGGGACAAAGCCACCAGCTTCAACGGGCAACGCAATATAGTGGTCGAGACCGCGGAGGAGTGGGCACAAGCTCATCTTTCTCAGATGACTTAGCGAGCTCATGCGGTGAATGCGGAGGGACGAACTTTTACCTTTCGTGGTAAGTGCGGCCCTATGTCAAGGCAGTAATCAAGGTTCAGCCGTGGGCGACTACAACACAACCTGTGACAACACTCGGGGTCTTATGGCGTTTGTCACCGTAGTTCAGAAAAATCACATTCGTTGACGGACGACCTGCATCCCCACTTACACAATCGTTTGTCGTGACCCGCTAGAACAGAACAGGCTGCGAAGCAACACTTCAACGCATAAAACTTGCATCGCGCCAAGAAGGCCCCACATCTGCATAAAGAGGGATGAATCCTTCCGAGAATCAGCTGATGTCACTGTGGTACATGTAGTGAGAATGTTATTGCAGCTCACTTGATCAAACATGTATGATCGACGCGACACTATCGTATCGTATCGTATCATTCGACGGAGGCAAATCACGTATGCTAGCGGGTCCATTCCATGCTCCTCTCGTCTTGCTAGCTAGGTAGTATTGTTTCAACTACCTGTAGATTTGGGGCCTTCCTGTCATCGCTCCTTCCCAAATACGAGAGGTTTGATCCAACCTTTTCTCCTGGCGTGCCTCCTTCCTCTCGCGTGTCCGCTAGTTTCCATTTCTCACTCATCCCTCACTCATCAACCCCTTCCGGCCAAGTTCACGATGGCGGATACAGTCAATATACCAGCTCCGGACCTGAATGGCCCACAGATCGCCAGCAATGTCAATTTCATGGACAAGTACAGTGAGGAGCGGGACAAGCGCTACAAAGTTGGCGGCCGCTCCTACATCGACCCGGCCAAGAGCGACAAGTTCAAGCACTTTCTGAAAGATCCGTGGATTAAAAATGGCACTCCTATCAACCGGCCGATGGGTGTCAATGGTCATAGCAAATTTCTCATCCTAGGAGCTGGCTTTGGTGGTATTCTGTTCGCTGTCAAGTTGATACAGGCTGGTTTCGATGCCAAGGATATCGTGATTGTCGACCCAGCTGGCGGTTTCGGTGGCACATGGTAGTATGTTGCTCTCACTCAGCTCGAATTCTTGTGACTATGGCCATACTGATCCTTCCCGTGTAGTTGGAACAGATATCCCGGACTTATGTGTGACACCGAGAGCTACATCTATTTGCCGTGAGCAGTGTCCTTGTGATGGAACTCTTTCGATGCTGATTGTTCAAGTATGCTTGAAGAAATGAACTATATGCCAAAGCGAAAATATTCCGGCGGCGAGGAGATCCGCCAGTATGCTGAGAGGTCGGTTATATTCCCTATCTGCCTTTGATAACAAGAAGTAAGTGCGTACTGATGTAACAGCATAGCATTGCAAAAGCCTTTGGTCTGCAAGACCGTGCCCAGTTTCAAGCATCAATGCAAAGTGCTACCTGGAACGAAGAAGCCAAGCAATGGAGTGTTGGTATTGTGGAGAAGCCCAAGGGAGGTGATGAAGTTCAATCTACGATCCGAGCTGACTTCGTGATGTTCGCTTCTGGTGGGTCATGTATTTGTCTACAACCATGCAAAGACGGAGCTGATTTGCAGGCGTTCTAAACAACGCGAAGTTACCGGACATCGAAGGGCTAGATGTCTTCAAAGGCCATTCGTTTCATGTACGCAGCCTCCATCCCGTTATTGTGGTCTACTACGAGAGCTGACACCACAAACAGACTTCTCGATGGGACTACGGCTATACGGGCGGCTCAATCAGGGAGCCGGATCTCGACAAGCTCAAAGACAAGCGAATCGCCTATGTCGGGACTGGCGCCACTGCTGTACAAGCTGTACCAGAATTGGCCAGATGGGGAAAGGAGTTATACGTCTTTCAGCGCACTCCATCGGCTGTGGATATTCGAGACAACCGTGAGACCGACCCTCAAGAATGGAAGGCGAAAATCGCCGGCAAGCAGGGTTGGCAGCGAGAAAGACATGCGAACTATCATGCTTTCATCTGCAATGTTCCCGAGAAGCCGAAACTTGATCTTGTGGATGATGCTTGGACGAAGATGTGAGGTGTCGCAGACAGATCGAGTGCGGAGAAATCGCATGCTGACTCCCTAAGAACAGGCCATCATATAGCGCCCTGATAGGAGGGCCGAAGGAAGTTACCATGGAGAATGTCGGTGACCACATCGGAGAACTTCATGCCTTGGATTACGCTCGATCGGAGAGAGTGCGAAAGCGATGTGAGGATATTGTGAAAGACAAGGCAACGGCGGAGGTCAGTGACACCAAGCTCTCCTGTGAACAAGGCTGACAAATAGCAGAGCCTCAAAGCATGGTATCCTGGCTGGTGAGTGGTAAATGCGAGAGATCAGCTGCCCGATTCTGACCACAGATGTAGGTGCAAGCGACCCACTTTCCATGATGAGTACTTGCAATCATTCAACAAGCCTGTAAGCGTCATCCTCGTCCCAGCAGAAAGGCATTTGCTGATGAATACATCAGAACGTCCATCTGATTGACACCGCGGGCAAAGGCATCTCACGCCTCGCGGCTGAGGGGCCTGAAGTTGATGGCAAGGTCTACGACGTGGATGTTATCATCTGGGGCACCGGCTTCGTGTCTCCTTACGTCGGGTCGGCAGCCGGCAAAGCTTCGGTGCAGGTCCAGGGCAGAGATGGCGTTTCGCTTGAGGATCGTCAAGGCACCGGAGATCTCTTGACTCTGCACGGGTCAGTCAGTCGCGACTTCCCGAACATGTTCTGGCCTGGTCCCTTGCAGACAGGAGTGTCGTCGAACTTTGTGGTGAGAAACGAAAAGATGTCTGAGCTGCGAAGGAGTGGTGAAGCTGACACCTTTGACAGTTCACCCTAGAGGTAATGTCAATCCACATTGCTCACATCATCCGTACAGCACACGATCGCCTTCCCGCAGGCCAGAACCCAGTGATTGAGCCCACAGCTGAAAGCCAAGAGGAGTGGGCGAATCGTGTGGCAGCAACCGCCATTGCTATGGCCGGCATGGCTGGCTGCACACCCAGCTACATGAATAACGAAGGTGCGACCGACAGGATTCCACCAGAGATGCAGGCCAAGGCCGCCAGAGGTAGTATCTGGGGTAGGGGGATCGAGGACTTCTGTGCTGAGCTCGAGAAGTGGAGGCAAGAGGGCAGTCTGAGAGGTCTGGAGATTACTGCTTAGTCTTAGCGGAAGAGAGTTGAGTATTCTGCGACAACAATGTGGAATGGTAGAGGAGAGTAGTCTGGCTAGAGCGAGATCGAGACCTAGCGTTCCAACTCTGTGTGCAACATCCTCGATGAAGGATTAATCCTCCTGAAGACCGACAGCCTCATAGCTCAGCTTCCACAGCTTCTCCTCTGCCTGTTCGTCGTATGCATGCTTTGCATAACCGGCCGCAGCAACACTGTGCCCGCTGGGTAGTGGATCAGCCTCTCCTACATCGCTCAAGTATCGACCACCGTTCTTGCCTTCGAAGTAAGGGCTCACAGCTGCCCAAACGGTGGTAGCGGCGCCTTGTTCGCAGTTCTTGAGGACAGGCTGGAACTGCTCGAGTGGGCCGAAAACTGCCCACTGTATTGGATGTGTCAGCTCAGAGTACTGTGGAGGTCAAGACGAGCACGATGTCTTATGGCAATGGGGTATTTCTTCTTAGGCGCAACTTACGTCTTCTGGGGTCATATGTCGGCCTAAGGCTGTATCTAGGATGCCGCCAGGATGAAGAGAGAGCCCAGTGATACCGGCAGAGCTGTAGTGACGGTCGATACTGCTGGCCAGATACACATTGGCGGTCTTGCTCTGGCCATAGCCCGAGAACTTATGGTAGCTGTCTGGGTCTTTGTTCCAGTGCATGTCGTCAAACCGAATCGTGGATAAAGAGTGGCCTTGACTGGAGACAGTGATGACACGAGACGCGGTACCGCTTTTCTTGGCAGACTCGAGGAGTAGAGGCTTGAGCATTTGGAACAGCAGGAAGTGGCCGAAATGATTGACGCCCATATGCATCTCAAAGCCGTCCGCTGTCTTCTCGTAAGGCACTGCCATTATTCCAGCATTCTCGATCAAGATATTCAGGTTGTTGTTAGCATGTTCCTTGATCTGCTCAGCACCTTCGCGGGTGCTCGCTAGTGAGGTGAGATCTAGCTTTACAGCTATGGGTCGAGTGCCGTTCTTGTTGTGCTTCGCGTTAGTCACAATGCCGTCGATATTGCTGTTCAGCTTTGCCATGTCACGAGCAGTTAATATCAGCTTGGCGCCAGCCTCGTACAAGGCGCGAGCGGTCTCAATGCCAATGCCTGCGCTACATCCAGTGATGGCAATCGTCTTGTCTGTGAGCTTGCCAATCATGCCGCAGTCTTGGATTACTTTCAAAGCAGTCGGTCGTGCATCGCCAGGTCCGTGTGTCTCCTTGTGCACATCAGCGTACGGCTGGTATGGTGTTTTTGGCGCAGGCATGATGCTAGAAGTAAGGAAGCGCTCTCTGGTGGTTTCAAGTCTGTGAGAGTGCAAGAAGTAAAGCTGCGACTCCAATGAGGAGGGCGCGTGAAGCTCGAGGTGGTGTTGGTAGGGGGATATCGTCCTTACCAGCAGCAGATGCCGAATATATATCTGAACTGCTGCCTACATCTCGCGACCAGGACGTCTCGCATCCATGCCTACTCAGCATTACGAGCGAGCCAGCTATGATTGCGGACATAGCTGCAGCTCGCCTTGAGTGTAGGGCTTAAATCGGTAGGCGGATGAACACGTTCAAGGAGAAGGCCTCAGCGAACGGCTCGTCTCACCAGCCTATGCCCGGAGTCTTATGCACGGTCCCACGATTCTTCCAATCAGCTTAATAGGTTATTATCATCATCATGTAGAGCACGGACCAGTCCTTTCGCTGATATGCAAACTCCGACGACGTGCATATGGTGGCAAGCTCAGCAGTATTTCTGGGCTCGCAGGTTGTACTAGAGCAGTGATGGGATCCTTCTCGTTCGGCTTCGGCGGCGATAACGATGGTGAAGAAGGGGAAACGCATGCTCCTCCTACCAAGACTTCAAATGGGAAAGTCGTCTATCAGGTTGGGATTGAAGAATACCGCTTTGATGATCTGGTAGGTATGCAATGCAGTGCTCCAACCTTTTATACTGATCAGTTTGCACGATCTGACCTCCTCACAGTTATCAACCCTCCCAGAACATCTAAGCTACAGCACTGTTCGTATTGAATCACCTATAGGACGTATCCTACACCTGCCAAAACGTGACCTTTACGATGTCAAAGTACAATTGCTTCAAGAAGGCTCCTCAAACGACGACATCATCGACCAGATCGACAAGACTGACATCCGGACTGGGGTCTACGAAGGCGGCTTCAAGACATGGGAATCTGCTGGCGACCTAGCCAGTCTTCTATTGGATCGTGGTCCCAGGAAGGACATTGATGAATTGGTTCGATGTGATCAGGTTATTGAAGTGAACTTTGTCTACCTGTCTCGTTCGTATATCATGCTGACAGTACGTAGCTGGGAGCTGGCACGGCGCTTCCAACTCTGGTCCTCTTCAACCACGCTCTGCAGAACAACATCTCCCTAACCTTCACCCTAGCGGACTACAACGCAACAGTACTCCGGCTAGTCACACTGCCCAACCTGCTCCTAACATGGGCATCCAATATACCATCATCAGGAATGCCACAACTACAGCATGACTCATTAGGAGATCTAGACATCACACCCGAACTCCTGCAACAATTCAAAGCGGACCTCAAAGCCAACGCCATCGACCTGAAATTCCTCTCCGGTCCCTGGTCGCCTGCTCTGGCCTCCCTTATCCCAACCTCAGCACCAGAAATGGGCACACTAATCCTCGGCGCAGAAACAATCTACAGTCCTGCCAGCACGACAGCCTTCGTCGACCTCGTCTGCACCCTACTTAAACGAGTAAAGATGTCGAAAGCCATGGTGGGTGCTAAACGTCTCTATTTCGGCGTAGGCGGAAGTGTAGACGGTTTGAAACAAGCTTGCCGCGATCACGGAGCTGTGGCGTATGAGATAGAGAACCACGGTGTACCCGGGCTTGAGCATGGCAAGGTAGGAGTGGGGAGGGCGTTGATCGAGGTGCAGATGTATTGACTGTAGGCTTCTCAGGCCGATGATAGAGACAGAAAGTAGATGTGCACTTGGTGGTCAAGGATGGCCGAGCTGGCTTCCAGATTTGGCCTTACCAGAACCTGGACTCGTTGTTTGTAAGATGCATCGCACAGCTCCCAAGTATCGAACGAAATGTACTGTAGCAGCTCCTGGGCCCTGCGAAGCAGCATTTGCAAATCTACGCATCAGAGATCGGTACGACCGTGCGCCAGTGTAGAAGTTTCGTGGCAGATAGCCAGCAGATACCGAGCGATCGTTCCCTTGTGAACTTAGCAATGTGCTACATTGAAAACATACAATTCGTGTCGTAGAGGTTCGGGATATGCTAGCAGGGTTCAGCGTCACGAATAGATCGTTGTTGCGTGAAACCAGCAGCAACATGCCGATGGCGTCTGCTAGTAAATCGAACAACCAAGTATGAAGGCTCTCATGAAACGGGTGGTCGAGGAATTCGAACTTTCATGCTATTCACATCTCTAAACTATACTTCGTAATATTCTGTCCTCCTCCTCATCACCACATCACACTTCAAGCTTACAAACGAGCCTGAATGTTGTTGTTGGGGTGGCCAGGGACATCGAACCTGTCCAAGTCCATGACCTTGTGCCACACGGCAACAAAGTCCTTGTTGAACTTGTCCTTAGCATCGTTGCTAGCGTAGATCTCGGCGACAGCACGGAGCTCTGGGTGAGCACCGATGATGAGGTCAGAACGGGTAGCAGACCAGACGGCCTTCTTGGATTTGCGGTCCACGCCCTCGAACAACTCTTGGTCGTTGCCCTTGGGGTTCCAGATGGTGTCGACGTCGAGCAAGTTGACGAAGAAGTCGTTGGTGAGCTTTCCAGGGGTCTTGGTAAGCACACCGAGGTCTGAGCCGTCCCAGTTGGCGTTGAGTGCGCGCAGACCACCAAGCAGAACGATCATCTCTGGTGCAGTAAGGGTGAGGAGGTGAGCACGGTCGATCATGAACTGCTCGGTCTTGACGCGGTCGGTGGACTTGCCGTAGTTACGGAAAGCATCACGGGACGGGTAGAGGTGTTCGAAGGTCGTGGTGTCGGTCTGCTCCTGGCTGGCATCGGTGCGACCTGGTGTGAATGGGACCTGGACACCAGCGGCCTTCTCGACGGCAGCGGAACCGGCAAGGACAATAAGATCGGCCATCGAGACCTTCTTGGAGCCTTGCTGGATCTTCTCGAGCGCGCTGAGGACCTCCTTGAGCTCGGATGGGTTGTTGATCTCCCAGTCCTTCTGTGGCTCGAGACGAATGCGGGCGCCGTTGGCACCACCGCGCTTGTCAGAGCCGCGGTATGTGGAGGCAGAGGCAAACGCAGTGCGGATGAGCTTGGTTGGCTCAATGCCGGAAGCGAGAATCTCCTTCTTCAGCGAAGCAACATCGCTGTCGCTGAGCTGAGCGCCCTCGGCCTTTGGCACTGGGTCCTCCCAGATGTGCACCTCAGCTGGAATTTCGGGGCCCAGCCATCGAGTGCGTGGGCCCATGTCACGGTGGAGGAGCTTGAACCATGCCTTGGCGAAAGCATCATGGAGCTCATCTGGGTGCTCGAGGAAGTGGCGAGAGACCTTGTCGTAGTCTTTGTCGTAGCGCAGAGCAATATCGGTGGTCAACATGGTAGGCTTGTGCTTGATGCTCGAGTCGTACGCGTCTGGGATAATCTTGTCGTCGGTCTTGGCAGTCCACTGGTTGGCACCAGCGGGCGACTTGGTAAGCTCCCACTCGTACTTGTACATGTACTCAAGGTAGTGGTTGCTCCACTTGGTAGGTGTGCTCGTCCATATGACCTCGAGGCCGGACGTGATGGTGTCTGGGCCCTTGCCAGACTTGTAGCTGTTGGTCCAGCCGAGACCCTGCTGCTCGATGGGAGCGTCTTGTGGCTCCTTGCCAACGTTGTCAGCTGGGCCGGCTCCGTGGGTCTTGCCGAAAGCGTGGCCACCAGCAATGAGGGCAACGGTCTCGTAGTCGTTCATTGCCATGCGGCCAAAGGTTGTGCGGATGTCACGGGCAGCGGCGACAGGGTCGGGAACACCGTCAGGACCTTCTGGATTGACGTAGATCAGACCCATGTGTGCGGCACCCAGTGGCTTCTCGAGATCGCGGGAGTGGATGTCCTTGTGTTCCTTCTCGGACTGCTGGCCATCCACGACACCAGAATCGGCGATACCCTCGTTACCGCGCGAGTAGCGATCCTCGTTGCCGAGCCACGTACCCTCAGCACCCCAGTACACGGACTCTTCCGCCTCGAATGTGTCGGCACGGCCACCAGCGAAACCCTCGGTCTTGACGCCCATGGACTCAAGAGCGACGTTGCCAGTCAGAAGCATCAAATCGGCCCTTGTCGCCATTAGCAAATTGTAATGGTCTGGAGGTCATGGAGATGCTTACCAAGAAAGCTTGTTGCCGTACTTCTGCTTCACAGGCCACAGTAGTCGGCGAGCCTTGTCAAGCGAAACGTTATCGGGCCAGCTGTTGAGAGGAGCGAACCTCTGCTGTCCCTGTCCACCACCACCACGTCCATCAAAGACACGGTATGTACCAGCGCTGTGCCACGCCATACGCACGAACAAACCACCATAATGGCCGAAATCTGCTGGCCACCACTCCTTCGAGTCGGTCATGACCTTGTGGAGGTCCTGCTTGACAGCATCGTAGTCAAGGCTCTTGAACGCCTCGCTGTAATCGAAGCCCTGATCGAGAGGGTTGGTGACGGTGGTGTGTTGGCGGAGGATGTTGACCTTGAGCTGGTTTGGCCACCAATCGAGGTTGCGGGTTCCGCCACCACCGGTATTGGCTTTGCGGACAGGGCACTCTCCTAGTGACGATGCCATGATTGTGTGTTGTGTGATCTTACTACTTTTTGATGGGTAGATAAGAGGAGGTGTAAGGTGAAAGTATTAAAACGATGATGCTGATGGCAACAAATACACACTAAAGGCGTCTTCCACTTCTTCCGAGGTGGGGCAAAACCCCCACTTCGAGGATTATTGCCCGATTCTCGGCCTACTTTACGAGACATATTGATCGAAGACATCTGCTCGCTGTCCCGAGCAATGAACAGGCTTCGTGTCGGCAGCCTATCGACCACGATTCGAATTCCTTGTCTGGCACATGATTTGGCATGGTGCGACTGCACACATATCCGCACTCTACTGCAAGCGCTTTAGTACTATCGTTTCGGCTCCAGTACTCATCTATCTCGACCATCACTCTGCAGTAGAGTCGCTGATCTATGGCTTGCCTACCATTGGCTTCAATTCAGACCATACGCGCCACTCACGATGGTCAGCAGAATCGCCGAGCAATGAAGTGGCCGATGTAGTGGAGCAAGGGTCTTCCATGCACGAAGCTACGCCCACATAGGTTCGGGAATATCGAGGTCTCGCTCTCGCTGATAAATTACCACTTTCGGACATATGGAGCAATACGATGTGGTTCCGAATCTGCCTTAGGTAACAAGCAGTGTGCATAGATTGGAGGTCAACGGGAGTAGTGCACCGCTGCTACAGCATGTTTGTGTGAAGGTCGCAGTGGCGTCTGTCATGCCGCGGGACTTGCCGCGATTGCATTCGAAATTGCGTTCAGCATTGCATGGCCGATCTTGGAAGCCGATCTTGTGTCGCTGTACTAACTGCGTCTACGAGGCGGGTGTCCTCCAAAGCCCACGTCTGTTTCGTGGACGGGGAGTCAATTCCTTTGATACCCCATACCCAAGCCTCTGACGAACCTCACCTCATCAGCATTCCTCTCCAATGCCCTCCGCATAGCCATCCCATATTGCTTCTCGGCGTCAACCCGAGCTCTCTGCTCAGCACTCTCCGTCTGCGGATCTTCAACACCATCATGCCATTGATCTCGCCCGAGCGGATTCTCGTGCCCAAAACCAAGAACACCCAACCGGCCGTCTCCAGTCCAAAGCAATAAATTAGACTGATTGACATCCGCTCGATCCCGGCCACTGCCCTGTGTCGCCAGACCAGTGCTTGAAGCAGTAACAGGATGAGTGGGAATAATCTTCTGCACAATATCGCCCTGGCCCGGCATCTCCGAAGCAGTAGATGACCAGATCCCATACGCACTCGCGTCCTGGCTACGCGCTGCTTCCCTATCCTTTGCAGATACATAATCATTGATGTTGAAAGTCCTGACATGACTGAAGCCATCCCGCTCAACCCATTTCAGATTCCCATCCCCATCACTGAAAACTATCCTGCCTCCATGCGGCGCCACGGCCAAGAGCTTCGACGCGGAAGCAGTCTGCCGATTCTGGTAGGGTTCTTGTCGTGGGAGACCGTAGAGCTCGAGGGAGCCCTTGCCCTTGTACTCGGCTGCTGCTAGGATCGTCGTTCCCGGTCGAGTTCTTGCATCTGCCAACAATGAGATAGGGATGTCGGGGTTGCGGATCAGGTCCAGGCTTTGTGGGATTAGGGGATATGGTAGGGAGCCAAGCGCTGCTATGCGTGCGCCGGAGTGGATCGTGCCATGTAAGCGTGGAAAGAAGCGACGATCATAGTTTAGCAGGGAGGTGAAGCGGCCGGCTACCCAGATCGAGCTGTCTCCTGTACCGGCGGCTGCTTCGTGGAGGATCGAGAGGGGCCCGGGTTGGGTGAGTGAGGCGTGCGAGTAAGTTGCTCCGCCTATGAGTTCGCCACTTGATTCCTGTTCGTTCGCACCGAACGCTGGATCACGAGGATCGTGGAGGTGGAGGGTCCAGTTCGTGCCTATCGTTGCAGGTACCCCGTTTCGAGTCTCTGATAGCGCTGTGATAGGCCAAGGGTATTGTTTAGTTGACACGAGCTGCAACGTCGTGAGATCGACTTCGTGAAGTCGGTTCTGTACTGCGAAAAGAGCTTTGCTGTGTGTATTGTCCACGGATGCACATTCCACCGCCCCAGTCTCGGTCATGATGATCCGGCTATCACTAGTGGCTGTCGGACTTTGCCCAGTCAGTAGTCCAGACCGACTCTGTGCGACTATCTTGCCTCGTCCACCAGCTGTGGTCGTTGATCGTTCTGACACATCCCAGATGCATATACTACCATCGTCCAACGGCGCTATAACATGCTGGACATGCTCGTCTGAATCGTGCAACACGCCCACGCCAGTGGCCTCCCGTAGCTCCTCCTTATCAGACGTCCTAGCTTTGGGTAGATCAAGCCAGCCTAGACTAATGGGTGCATGTCTATGCACAAATTCCTCATAGTAGTCCAGCCGTTCATCAGAGTACCCGGGCTCCCAGTTCGCCAGCGCTCGGACTCGCTGCACCCTCGCCGCATATTCCGGGTCAACTGAGGCTCGTGGCTGAGCACTCCCACGCAGCTGAGAGACATCCCATGCTGTTAGGTCGGAACCCGGCAGTGCGGTCACGGCATTTCGAAGTTCAGCTAGCTTTGCATCTTGAGCTCCGAGGAGAACCTGTCGTCTGCGGAGTGCTTCTGCTCGCGAGCTGTTGAAGCATTCGAGTTTCCAGATTGTGCTGTCCCGCGCAAGGGTTAGATGGCGGCGCGAGGTCCGTTGGAAGTGGACGATGTCTGGAACTTCGAGGAAGCGAATGATATGCAGGACCACTTCTTCCGGCAAGGCGTCCATGACTTCAGAACTGATTTCGAGACCACCACGGGTAGGGTATCTTTGTTCCAGAAGACGACGAGTATGGTCAAAGATAGCCAGTACTAGAGTATGAGACGAGGCCGGGAGACCGGAAGCAAACTCAATGACCAGTGGGAGCGTATATCCTCATGTGCAATGCAATACGAGTGACTGACCACCCCCTCGTCATGTTGACCGAGATCCGAGATCCAAGGGACAGCACATGCGGTGGTATATGAAAGGAGGCAAGGTCGCGTGAGCATGCAGACGGAGCAAGCTTGGGAAAGTCAGTGCTCGTGCTGAGCTGCAGACGCTCGCGTGGCAGACACGGAACGCCGAAACAACGAAGCCAACACCTGTCATCCATCGTCAACATGCGCTTTGTTTGATTCTTGCCTTTCCATGCTGCCGTGAAATGGTACTAGATCTGTGTACTGTCGTCAAAGACTTACACCCAACCCAGACACAGACACGATGAAGTACAGCTCCTGGCGCATGGCGCCACTCCTGCTATGTAAGCCAGCTCATCTTCAAAGGTTACTGACTTATGCCATACTGATACCTTCTACAGTAGCTTTCTTTCTATTCCTCGCCAGTAGTGCAGCCCGGGAAGAGCTGGACTACCAGGATTTTCAGGACCATACACAGAAGCCGGTGTCAGCCTCCGCGAAGGTTGGGGACGGTACATCCTTCAGGGATGAGGGTGCGGACAATGGACGACAAGACGAGATGGCGCAGAGCATAAGAGAGGCTACGGCTTTGCTGCGGAAAGTCAAGGCACCGGCGGTATCGAAGCTAGCCACGTATACGCGAAAACCGAAAGGCTTCCTAGGGAGCAGCGCTTACTACGCCAAAGAAGCCTTCGTGCTCCTCTTCATGAACTCGCCCAAGCAGACAAATCTCTTGACGACCTCCACATCCTCACCACAACAGCCGAAGCTTCCAGCCCCACTCAACGTAGCCCTCCAGCTCCTCGAACCTGCTGCGGAGGAAGAGAACGCTGATGCTGTCTTCCTACTGGCTGAGATGAACTTCCATGGCAACTTCACACACCCGAGATCCTACTCCAAGGCCTTCGACTACTACAAGCAACTCGCCGACCTCGATGGTAATGCTACAGCGCAATACATGCTGGGCTTCATGTACGCCACAGGGTTGAACCCGGAAGTGTCCGCGGACCAAGCCAAGAGCATGCTATACCATAGATTCGCGGCCGAGCAAGGCCACACGCGCTCACAGATGACGCTGGCGTACAAACATCATGTAGGAATAGCCACGCCAAAGAACTGCGATGAGGCTGCTATATGGTACAAGCATGTTGCGGACAAGGCGATCGACTACTACCGATCTGGACCTCCGGGCGGGCACGTACTATCGAGAGAATCATACAGACTCGCAGATGAAGATGGAGGTGTGTATGGAGAAGGTGCCAGCGTGAGCTCGGCAGGTGTGCATGCGAGGCAAGGAGGCGTCACGAGCGACGCATATGCAGATGTGGAGGATGTGCTGGAGTATCTTGTGCTGCAGTCTTCGAAGGGAGATCTGAAGGCCACATTCGGACTGGCGAGGCTGTACTACGATGGCGCACGAGGGCTGAAGCGTGATCTGCGCATGGCAAAACAGTATTTCATGCAAGTTGCTCGCGAGTACTGGTCCGAGAGCGGCAAGACGAAAAAGGATGTGCCTGGTGGTACCGAGAAGCTCGCATCGAAGGCTGCAGGCTACTTGGGTCGAATGTTCTTACGTGGTGAGGGTATGGAGCAGAGCTACACCAAAGCGCGAATTTGGTTCACGCGAGGTCTGAGTAATGGCGATGCGCTTTGTCAATATGGCCTTGGACTGATGCATCTGGATGGTCTCGGAGTGGACCAAAATGCTGTCAAGGCTGCCGACTTCCTTGCTGCGGCCGCCGATCAGGACCTGTCGGTTGCACAAACAGAACTAGGACAGCTCTTCCTGGACCAGGGAGATGTTGCCACAGCCTCGCGATATTTTGAACTCGCAGCGCGTAACACGCACATCGAAGCATTCTACTATCTGGCTGAGATGAGCAATCAGGGTATTGGTCGTGATCGATCATGCGGTGTGGCAACAGCGTACTACAAGATCGTAGCGGAGAAGGCGGAAGCGATCTGGGGCACGCAAGCCGAAGCGAACTCAGCTTACGAAGAAGGTGATACGCAAAAAGCAATTGTTGCCTATCTCATGGCTGCCGAGCAAGGGTCCGAAAACGCGCAATCGAACGTAGCCTGGCTGCTAGATCAGACTACACCAAAGTGGTCACCCATCTCATATGTCCTAGGTATCAGCCAGACCGCCAAGAATGCCTTGAATGACGCCAAGCTTGCTTTGACATACTGGACCCGCTCAGCAAAACAACAGAATATCGACAGCTACGTCAAGATGGGCGACTACTATCTCCTCGGCATTGGCACACCGCTTTCGGCCGAGAACGCCGCGACATGCTACCAAGCTGCGGCCGAGACGCTGCAGTCTGCGCAGTCCATGTGGAATCTTGGCTGGATGCATGAGAATGGTATTGGTATCGAGCAGGACTTCCACCTAGCAAAACGATTCTATGACCAAGCCCTTGAGACGAATCGAGAAGCTTACTTGCCTGTTAAACTCAGCCTCTTCAAGCTGAGGTGGAGATCGTGGTGGAACGATATAACGAATGGCGGTGTGAAGTCCATGGGTGCTGAAGACACGGAGCGCAAGCGAAGGACATTCGCTGAATGGCTCAACGATTTCCTTGAAGCAGACGCCCAGATGTATGCCCAAGAGTACGAAGCAGATGACTGGAGTAGTGAAGACACTATGCCTGGCGGTGATGACTTTTGGGGTGCTGAGGGCGAATTCATAGACGATGGATTGCTGGAGACGCTGCTTATTGGCGGACTGGTCGCGGCGCTGGCGTGGCTGATCTGGTACAGACAGCAGCAGCAGCGGAGAGTCGAAGAGCAGAGAAGAAGGCAGGGTGTTGAGGGTGGTACACAGCCGGCACAGCAGCCAGCGGCGCCAGCTGCCGATCAGCAACCTGATGGCGGATTCTTTCCTCAGCCGGGGGATCCGAATTTCAATGCTTGGGTCGCTGGTGGAGTTGGAAATTAAGGCGCTTAAATTGTACATCTTTTGATATCATAAACCACTTCAAAACATGTCTGTTAAGGTATCAGAGCTGCCTTGTGGCGCTCGGTTCAGGCTGTTATTGGTGCAGGTCTGCACCACGTGTACCACATCTTATCATGACTTCGCCTTGCGATGCCCTTTCGCAGTACTCTCAGGCAGGGCCTCGTGAAGGTGTCAAGTAGACATTGTTCGGGAGCATGAACTCTACGACATGCACTTACTGACGGTTACAACTTCTGGTGGAGCTTTACTACTGGGTGGATACGTTCTCAGCCTCCTCCTCACACCACAAGCACCAATAATGACAGACAAAAAGATTCCCTCAGGCATACCCGACAAGTTCGACCTCGTCGGGAATGTGCAGCCTTTCGCAGGCAACACCATCATCTGTCCTCTAGCGAACACATGTGAGCTGTACACAGCGTTGCTTCCCCTAGTTGAGGAGCTCAAACAAAGTCGTCTCTCCCATCTGTACACGCTTCTTCCGCCGTCAAGCTGGCACATGACAGTCTTCGAAGGCGTTGTCGACAGTCGACGAGGCAAAGGGCAATGGCCATCTGACATCGCTGCCAACGCCTCCCTGGCCGAATGCATCGAAAACTTCAAGAAAAAGCTGGCGGACTTCGACCTGGCCACAGACTTACCCTTCCACGTCAAAACCGCTGCCATCGAATTCGCAGGTAGCCTATCTGGCATACGTGCGACACTCGAGCCCATTCCCAAGGACGAGAAACAGCTTCGCGGTCTTCGAGATCGTCTCTCGGACTCGTTAAAGATACGCAGCAAGAAGCACGATACCTATGGCTTTCATCTCAGTATAGCGTACATGCTACGATTCCCTACGGACGAGCAACAGACGGAGCTTCGGGAGATCTTTGAGAGATATTTTGAGATGGTGCCGAAGCAGACGGCTTTGGAGCCGCCAGAGTTCTGTACTTTCGAGGATATGTTTGCTTATCATGCTGTGCTACTTTGAAGGACCAAAGTGCTGGTCAGATGAATTGACGAATTAAAGATTGTTTATTGGAACGATAACGAAGTGCCGAGTAACGATCTTGTAAGATGAAGTCCCTGACCTTACGCTTGATGTCTCCCTGCGCTTGAACCAATATTGTTTCTTCCAAAGCAGTTAGGTGCCTCCCCACTGGTAAAAGACTCAGGCTCATACACTGGTCCTCTCGCAAATCTTCTACACTACAAGCAGTAGTCAAGCACACCGCAGCGAAAGCCGTGAGGATAAGCTGAAGCGGTGTAAGGAACGCATAAACGACGGCAGAGAATCTCCGCATGCGTGGTTCGTCGCGGCAGCGAGCATATTGCTGGGTGAGGCCGTTCTCCATGTTGAACTCGATGATTTGGGCGAGGCAGCTGATGAGCACGATCCAGCCTGCGAAGGGGTATGGCGTGCATACGTCCCAGACTTTGTAGCGATAGTAGACTATTAACAAAAGGGCGCCCGAGCCTATGCAGATGCGGAGGAGAATGGAAATGGTCGTGGATAGTGGTTGACGCCATGCTTCTTCGGCAATACTAAGTACTGGTGTGGATTGTGCTGTCGTTTCCGAGGGTGGCAGGTCTCTTGTATCTTCTGAATCCGACAAAGTGTCAGAGTCTGGCCCGGTGCCTCGTCGTGCCTGTGGGCAGTGAACTGGATAATACATTGCTTGATTATGAAAGTGTCGTCAAAGCGAACGTCAAGACCACGAAGTCTGCGCTGGCCTCCGCAATGACAATCGAAGTGAGTTCTTCCATGGAAGATGCATAGGAATAGGATTGTGCGGAGTGGGTTACCTCTTGGCCCTCATGCTTCGCCCACTCTCGATCCTCGTGTGCAATATTTGTGCTTGTGCAGCTCTGGCCGTCCATTTGGTGTGCTCAAGGACGCTTGAGATGTGTTATGGAGAATCGCAGGAAGTGCGGGTGGTGACTTAGTAATTTGCAAGTTGCTTGCCAGGGCGTATCAATGTCTGATGATCAGTAGCAAGAAGCCCCACGAGCAGACCTTGACAGTTGTTGCGACGATTTTAGATGGATAGATTTGCGCAAGACGGAGCGTCATGATGCATTTCGTGTATATTCTAGAGCACTATATGTCCAGATATCTTATAAACAAGGATATCTTGTTTCCCACGAGCTGTGCGGCGTTCAGCGATTGTAGCCTTTCGCAGGTGTCTCGCGGTCCAGACCAGGGAAGATGAACAAGCAGTGTCAGCAGCTTCTGCATCCGTTTATGGCAGGCTGAGGAACAACTTCAGCATGGCTTTCACAAAGAGTCAGCACGTTCTCTCAACTTTCATATCATCCACTACTCACCAGGATAGTTCGGCGTTCCAAGTCCTGTAACAGGATCCCAACCGCTTGCAGCGCTGAAGCCTTGCGTACCACAGCCAGGATTCGTGCCGTTGGTGATATCATGCAAGACCTCCGGATGCGCATACAATGTAGGATTGACAAAGCCGACGGTCGATTTGCCAATCTTGAGACGTTCCTCGTTGATGCGAGTCAAGATGGATGCGAAGGCTGGAGAGGAGGCAGAAGTACCGCCAATTCGAACAGGCTTGCCCTTGAAATAGATCAAGACATTATCGCCGATGGCGCTGAAGTCAGGGTAGCCCTAGGAACACCACGCGTCAGCTTTGCAATGTTGTTGTTGCTTAAAAACAGATGTCGACTCACACGACCACCGCGGTTGTAAAAGCCGCCATTGGTGAAGCAGGCGGAGCTGTTGTACTCGCAACTGTAGGAAGGATAGGAAGGGTTGTCAATCTCGAAGTATCTCGCCACGGCTGCCTTCTGATAGTTGGGTGGTGGGTAGATGTTGCTGTTAGTGAAGATTAGCTAAATCCCCGGCTTGCTCGGACACAGCAACGAGACCATACCTGAATCCTCCACCGGATGGAAAGCGTGTCACGGCTATCTCTTGATCCTTGTGCACATCAGCGCCCGGTGGCAATACGGTCGCTCCCAATGTCGTCAAGTACGGGCAAGTTGCTGGAAATGCCGGAACGAAAAGGTTCTTGTTCGGGCCGTAGCAATAGTTGCTAGCAGTACCATTTGCACCCCTCGCAGCTATGCCTGAGTCTCCAGACGAAACGCAAATGGAGACACCTTGCAGGCCTAGCTTCATGAACTCGTTACATTGACTACCGATATGTTAGCACAAGCTACAGATATCATAGCGGAGATACCCCACTCACCGTCTCTGGTAACTCATCGGTAGGTCAAATTCGGTCCCTCCGTAGCTAATGGAGATAACGTTCGTTGGCTTGTAAACTCCGCACTGTAAAGCGCCCTTCTACATGTAACATAACGAACGGCCGTCAGTGAGGAGAACAATTGTAGTGTGCTACATGATTGGTCTGCACTTACGTAGCCGCCAGGTGCTGGATCCGGATAGGGTGGATCATCAGGTGAGTTGCCTGTCTCGCCAAAGGCGCTGTATGAGCAATAGGAGCCGTCCTTTGTAGTCTTAGCAGGGATCCGGCAACGTGATACATCAGTCTACTGGCACTTACAATTGCATCCAGGAAGTTGTTAAGGAATCCCTGAAAAGTGTAGTTGTTCTCATACACGTAGTCATCTGTCTGGAACAATACACTCTGCTGAGGCCAGATAATCGGGTAGCTGATTTGGAAGTCGAGGGCGGATTCTTCGCCAGATATGTTCCTCGCCACAGGTGCTATGGCACCGTCGATGGCGTCCAGTTGAGGGTGCGTGCCATTCGGGATGTATGGTGCCAAGTTCGAGAAGAAGGCGTCAAGGTCCTCCTGAGAATATATATCCCCAAGGTCCTCAAAGATGCCAAGTTCGTTGCCAGGGTGCGCTGAAGTACCCTTGGTAATGTTATACAATGTGGCGATGCACTCGGGAGTGGCGACGTACGTGCAGTTGTTGTTGCCAAGTTGTGGTGTTGGTGGGAGACCTGGTGGCATAGGTTGCATGGGTGGCGGGCGGGGACGCCAGCCGTGGCCGCTGCCACCACCAAATCCAGGACCACCAGAACCGGGACCACCGGGACGACCGAGGGATGTGCGCTTATTGATCGAACTCGATGCTGGCTTGCGGCCGCTGATTGCGGAGAACTTGATGCCTGGAGTGATGTAGTCGACGTGTTTCTGGATGTGTGAAGGCACATGGTATCTATGCAAAGTCAGGGGACAATCTTGTCAGAAGTCAAGGTCTGTGTGGACAGCATACTCATCGCAGGCAACGCTTGAGGAACCATGCTCAGCATGTTCGTAGAGGTGGTAGTTCGTCTTGAAAAGCTCCTCGGCCTCGGAAGCCTTGGCATCGAATTGCAACCACTGCTTGTTGACCGATTGGGAGACACGGCTTGCATGGATTCCAGCTGCCTCAAGCCAGCTCTGTACTGCTTCTACGGTATCTGTAGATGGAGCGAAAAGATCTGTAACCTCTTCAACACTCAAATACTTGCCGTAGCTTGCAGAACTTGGGTACGACAAGCTATCGAGCAGCGAAGCTCCATGATCCAGGTTGCGTTGCGTCAGGCCGATGCGCATCGGTAGTTTGGCATCGCCATGGAGGCGCTCTCTCTTTTGCCACGGGGACGTAGTTAAACTACGGCGCTCGTGGAGGACATGGCGAGACTCGATAGAAGCGGGAGCGGCGATTGAGCCGACGGCTGCAAGTAGCAAGGTGGCGGCTGTTGTCGTTCGCATCGCGAGGAAAGTAGATCGGACGACTGGCTAAAGACGATACTACACGACTTCTTGGGCTTGCCTACATTCTTATGCAAATCAATTATCCTCGCTACGGCAGGGGAATGATAACGCCATTGCAAGGCACGTACAGCCTGCGTCTTTGTAGATCTGTCTCATTAGCACAGCGTCCATCGATGCCAACAGTGCCCGTAATCGACAGAGTGAGAGCATTGGCATCCACACTTATCTCGTAGATCCCGGCACATGACGCCTTGTCTTGATAAAGTATGATGCGCATCACCAGACAAGCCGCTGCCAAGTAGAGTTCGGCGGCTCAAGATGGAAGGAGGTTGATGAAGTCCAGTGATCGACATATCGGTGTGTGCGCTACGCAGATGTAGCCTGCAGTAGTTCATTTCGCGAAGATAGCACCTGCTCGACTGGGTTGGTATGGATGAGGGGTACAGTGATGGATATCGCGCACGGTGGCATCTAGCTTTGCTACTGACGGTTGGCTGGCAGGATGGCAACTGTAGGCCGTAATTATGGCTAGCGGACGGATCAAATGCCAGCAAGATGAAGATTAGAAGTCAAAGATAAAGAAGCTGTGACTGGTGGCAGACAAGCGGGCGCTGCCACTAGCGTCACTCGGATCTTGGCGTATCGGACAGTTTCCTTCCGAATTTGCCCACGCTCACTTACTCGAGCAAAAATTTCGCTGCTCGAGAGATGCAACGCAAAACAAAGGCAAAAGACACTCCAGTAAGAGACAGCGCAAAGGTGCTAGATGCATCGTAGGAACCTACCGCGTCGTCAGCCCGGGGCGATTGATTGATAAGGTTGGTCATCTAGGAGGGAGGAGGAAGTCGAAGGCTTCCCTCTCATAAGAAGACCAAGTCTATGCCTGAGGCTTCAACCTGGCATACTCGTACTGTACTACGGAACATGCACCTCTCAATAATAAGCATAGAAGCACTATAGAGTACTAGCAGGCTGCTATGCTGCTAAAGGAACTTAGACTCTGTCTTGCAGCTTTACAGGCTTCAGCAAAGCTGGAAGTCGGGATCAGGGCCGTCCTTCTGGACTTCGGCCACCTACGACAAAAACATTAGCTTCTTCCCGATTATATTGATAACAGAAGAGTACCGACCGCATCTAACTTGCTAATCGCGGCTTTCTGCTTAGCGTTTAAGGGACAGTACCAGAAGTTTAATTCGCCGTCGCTGTTAAGCGTCTTCTCGATGACAGTAGGATCTGGACCTCCAACGATCTTGCGGATAGCGGCGTCCGTGCTGTTGACCTGGTCTTGAGTGAGCTTCTCTAGCACCGGCCATATCAAGAAGTGATCTAGGCGGGCTGCGGCTGCGGAGTCCTTGGAATAAGATTGTTGTTGTTGTTGTTCTTCGACTGCCGGAGACATGATGCCGATGAGTGCGACTTAGAGTCGATGTAAACGTGGAACACCAACAAGACGAAGCACAGCGCTTAATGAATTATTATGTTCGGCGGGGCGGTTCGCTCCGATTAGTTATCAAGTCACGAACGTTGACTCGAGCGATCGATACAACTGTGTCTCTCGACCAACATGTCTACGGTGGGCGCGCTTACCAGCTGCATATCTGCTTTTCGGTACTGTGCCGCAATAACAACTCTTTAAAGCAGCGACGTCGCATCGATGGAGGATTGGCGCTTGATTGTAGGCGGCCTTAACGATCTGCTCTATATAGCTGTGTCCTAGGCAGAAAGGCACAGTATGTCAAGATGGGACCATATCGGCAACAGACCAGCGTTCCATTGGCCACGAGAGTGTTAGTCAGTATGCCGATATGAAGCAGGTTTAAGAAGAGGAATGAGGTAAGATGTGAGTGTGTTTGGTGTATTGGCGGACATGGCGCCTATAATCTTTGACAGGCACAGTCGTACTACCGAGAATAACTCTCTGAGGCGCTTGAAAGACCAGACAGCCTGTGATATCGGAGATCAAGCCAATCAACACCTGATTAGTGATCGAACTAGGAAGATCAAACTCACAAGCCCACTGTTCCAGGACGCCGCGCCTTGGGAACGGCGAAGAGTCTTAACGTCTTTCGACAGGACTGCAGTCGGTCTGCGAGCCCTCTGAATCCCCTGGACGTAAATATAGCTGTGGACCAGCCACCGCAACTCTATCTCAAACTCCATCTCAACAACTCTACTACCATTGTGACTAGTGGACTTCCCCTAAATGGAACTTTTGGAGTATCCATACATGACCGCGTTCTGCGTGTTCGAGTCACGGCCCATGGCCATCAGGTATTTTTATTCGTACTTCTGTCCTGCTCCGCCAAATTGCAGACCGTGCAGACCGGCAAGCATCCAGATCACGGCGTCCGATTGCTTGCTCTCGCCAGCGCCATCTGATGCTGTGCTCTCATTCGTACGCTCTTCTGCCACAGCATCTAGCTCTTCAGTCGGTACGTTGTCATTGTCGTCTACGGCGGGTCTGGTCTCAGTATCCACTTCCGAGGCATTGGCGGGCGACTGAGGCGTGCCTATGCGGCTGCTAGGTCGTATAACAGTACTTTCCGACGCATGAGCAAGCAAATCCGCACTTGAGTCCGGATCAGTCGTGGTGACGGCCGTCTTATCCTGAAAAAGGCCTGCTAGAAGAGCAGGCCCTTTTCAGCGAGCCCTTTCAAGTAGGCTCGAATCTGCGGCTTATGCTTGTGGATGAAACCACTTCTCACGCCTTCACTAACAAGCTCCCGTCGCAAGAGCCTCCCTACCCCCTTCTGATCATCATCGTATGTGGTCATGGTCAAGACAGAGTCCCCTCGTCGTCCTGCACGTGACTTCGCCGCAAGAGCGTTGACCTCACGCTCACCTACTCGAGCAAAAGATTTCGCAACTAGAGAGATGCAACGTAGAAGAAAGGCAAAACATACAGCAGCAGTTATAAATCTCTGCAGTATGAGACATCCACTGGCCTGCAGGCTGCATCTTGCCAGCTGCTTGGGACTAACAGCCCGACTTGGCATGAAAAACTGGGTCTGGACGGCTTGACACATCAGTGGTTGCTCCCCGTAGTGGATCATCTTGCAGGTCTCTAGGAGGGTCAAGACAGCGCTATATCTCCCGTTCCAAGGAGATACGAAAGTGGCGAAGGCTGAAGCGAATGCGGCGTGGGTTGTCTGATCATTGTTGAGCAGGACGGCTTGGATGTCGTAAAGTTCTATTGCGATGAGGTGGTCATAAATTATGAGCCGGATTTCTGTGGGCAGGTTTCATCAACAGTATGAGCATTGCGCACGAAAGGACGACAGGGACATGTACTTATGGATGGAATCTGTCCTGCTTAAATACTCTGCCTATCTGAGAGAGCCAGCTAGCTACGTAAGACATCTACCTCAGACCGTATCCAGGTGGTTTAGGAGGTCCTGGCGGCGCCGGCGGCAGTGGTGGAGGCGGCGGCGGCGGAGGAGGTGGCGGGGGAGCGGCCTTGCTCGTGATTGTTGCCTTTGTGGAAGACGAAGGTTTTGTTGAAGACGAAGCCCTGCTCGTAGTAGAAGTCATCGAGGAAGCGGAAGTCTTAGTAGAAGTCTTTGTTGCAGATGAGGACTTCGATGTTGATGAGGACTTGGATTTCAATGATGACTTGGATGTAGAAGTCTTGGTTGTCGACAGTGATTTGGATGTGGTGGACGACGTCTTGATCGTGACTGTAGACGTCTTGGTCGTAGATGACGACGATGTCGTCGAGTTTGATGGAGGCTGGCCATACGGAGTGCCTTTGTAAGTCGAGTCGAGATCACCCCACTTGATCTGGCTGAAGATAACATTGGTGGTAGGGTCGTTGGCCTCGATGACTGAAGGACCGCTCTCCTCGGCTGTGCAAGGACCACTGGACCCAGAGTCGAGCCAGGTCATGTTGCCACCGGCGTCGTTCCAGATGGACATGATGAAGACCATGCCGACGTCCAAAGCTTTGCCCATCTGGGCGAGACCACCGCGCTGCTCGAACCAGGAGGAGGTGGAGGCGCAGTAGCCATTCTGTTGACGTTCATTAGTTGTATGCGTAGAGGATTGAATACTCGTCACTTACATCAATAGCAGTGGTGTTGACGCTGCTGCCGTTTGAGGCAGTGTAGGTCTGCGGCTGGTTCTCATATACCATGCCGTTCTGCACGTATTTGCGGACGATGGCATTGAGGTTACCCTGGCTAGTGCCATCATCCGTCTTGAATTGTGTCACGACCGTGAACGGCTGGGTGGTATCGATGAGCTTGTGGTAGCCATAATAATTCGTATCACCCTGATGAACAGTCAGCAATAGGCCCTCAATGGTTTACTACGGATAACAGATATCGCCACTAACCTTATATGGGTTGTTGCCACAGCCCCACTCATCGCACACACCAACTGGCTGGCTGCACTCATCGGTGCTCGTGCATTGGTAAAGACCAGTCACGTTGCATGCGTGCGGGGTGAGTTGAGTGGCAGCAGCATTGGCTTCCCACAGATCCATCTCTTGACAGCATGCACCGAAATTACCACTATTGATGATACCGTTGATGTAGGAGGTTCTAAAGCACTGAGCATCACAGTAGCCAGTACCGTAGGTGGCTCCAGCGGGGTTGCCGGCGCTGCGACCACCATCTGCATCCATTGCGGACATGTAGAGTGCTCCGTTCATACCGCACGGCAGGTTCGACAGGTCGACCGTAAAGGTCACCTCCTGGTTTAGGAGCTGCATAGTCTGGTAGTTCTTACCGGATGGGTCCAACAGGTAGACACGAGGGGAAACGGTCTGCTCGGTGCCGTTGATGTTGAGGTATTGATGAAGATTGATGGTGTCGCCGTAGGTCTGAACGCCATGCGAGGCATAGTCGCTGATTCCCTCGATAGTAGATTTGTTGCCAGTCTGGACGATTTGGTGAGTTAGAGCGTCGAGCACCACAGAGGTCTGCAGCGTCTTGCAGCCATCCTTCTTGGTGCAGAACTGGCTGGTAAGCCGAGGGTGTACCTCAGGTGACGTCCCGACCTGTTGAGCCCTGATCAATGGCAAGAGGGCCAGAGCCGAAAGAACGAGCGAACGAGCAGCCATGGCGAAAAGAGAGAACCAAACAGCTGTGCGCCATCGTTCGTGCCTGGAGAGGGAACCATCATTTTATCTTGTCTATCGTTGCCATTCACTATACATGCGGGAGATACGCAGTTCATCACAAGGCACTGACACTTGGCGGCTGTTGTACTGCAATCTGAGTATTCATTAGCATGTCATTTAAATCCCGCCAGATCTATAGAGATCAGTCCTCGTGGGTTGCCCTGCAGATTTGTGGCGCACGTGCTCCAGGTAACGTGCCGTAAGAGATTAACAAGGCGCAGTTGATGAAGTGCGGTTAATAAAGGGCAAACATCAGCCCGCAAACATCGCGGGCCGACTTTCCCGCCAAGAGAACCGAATGAACTCCACTTCCTCAGACAGGTTTGAGACTCTGCACGAGCACGCCTCGAACATTCTTCTGAGTGTTGGTACAGACGGGTGATGTATCAAGCCGTAACTTCCCGTGCCTCTCGACCAGAGCTCTATTGCAGTTCGGCACACAGTTGGAGATGACAGAGGTATCGACCCAAATGCAAAGTCCAGACTGGACAACCCTAGGACTACGACTTTCTGTCCCGGCCAGCGTCCTCCCGAAGAACAGCCAGATAAAGCCATGTATAATGCATCTTTGTTAGGTGGCTAGCACCACAGACTGCCTCACTTGGCATTTGCTTACAGACGTGGACGCCTTGGACAAGAACTTGCCGGAGTAGGTCGAGACAGGGACACTGGCCGATGGCGTAGGCATCGAGATGGTGTGGGCACCCACTGTGTTCAACATCGACGGCGGAGGCTTTGTGATGTATTACTCCGCTGCGCACGAGGATACTGAAAGCTTTTATGGAAGGTGTCGCACCCGCACAGCTTACTTAGTGGCGTGATGCCGAATTGTTGATGTCGTCAACTATACTTCATAGGTACAGCGACGTCCGCCAGCCCGACTGGACCTTACGTCCCGGACCCTGGCGAACCTTGGGTCCGTCCACTCGAAGATGGCGGCGCCATCAATCCGGCATACTTCCTGGACACCTCCATCTCTCTACCGACGCCATACATCTCGGCAAAGTTGACGGCAACACTATTGGCGGCCTAACGCCCCTAATGCTACAGCAGATTTCGACAGTTGACGGTGTTACGAAAATCGGTGACGCACAGGAGATCTTCACGAATGATCCGAAGATCGATGGTAGGCTCGCCAAGGCGCCCGGTAGCTGCTAGCTGCAGGCGAACATGGGCTGCAGATGTACGTGCTGTAACTATGCGGCGGCCAGCCACGCTCTGCGATATGACAATAGCAGGGGGTCCGATATGGTAACGTACTGCAGGCGGCATGTAACCGCGACCGCTGCGGAGAAGGTCCTGCGGCAGCTTTGAAGCAATCCCGACTGCGGGGCGTCGTCACTATACAGAAGCGTGAAGCAACATGAGCAGAGACATGGGGTATAAACCTTCAAGTAGTGGCAGAATAGTATCAGTACCTCGATCCACCACAGACCAAAGCGATTAGCCTTGGCGCGAATCAGGACATGGACCCCGCGCCTACGGATCCCAACGCCACCCACGGCTCGCCTCAGCACCGTCATGTCATCCACCCTACTTCCCCCTCCTCCCCTTAACAAACCCCACCAAATTCTCAATAACCCCCTCCAACACCTCCTTCTCCTTCAACCCCTCATCCTTCCTCTGCAGCCAATACTCCAACACCTTACTAGCATCTCTGTTCAACCCCTCCAAGCCCGCGACATGCCCCTTCAGCTCGTCGTCTAGATAGACGGACATGGCTTGTGATGTGGTACTACACAGCAGCGCCGCGGCATTGAGGTCGAAGTCGGGCGGTGGCGGGGGTCCTTTGGCCGTTGTTGTGCGTTTTGAGCTTCGTGGTTTGGGGTTGTGTTTTGAGTCGAGGGAGGTACTTGAGTCGTTCGCCAAGGTGGAGTCTTTTAGCCTATCCAGTGTGGTCGACGGCCGCGGTGAGGCTGAGGTAGAGGGGAGATTGATATTCGGCAGCACCAATCGCTTCTGTTTACTAGGCGGGAGAATCTCATCTAAATCCACCGGTACGCCGAGGGAAACGAGGAAGAGACGGCGGATGCGGGAGCGGGTCCAGTTGGGGGGTTGCATGGGTGGGGGGGAGACGAGTTGTTGCCAGAGGGAGTGTGAGCGGTCGGAGAGGAAGGGGGAGGTTTTGGTGGGGTCGATGGGTGCGACGTCTTTGGTATTCGGGAGTGGCGTGGAGGTGGGGAAGATGGCGGTGAGGTAGGGGGTTAGTGCTTCTTGGCGTTGGGTGCGGGTGAGGTTTGAGAGGTTAAGGGGGGGCTGAGAGGAGATTCATTAGTGTTGAGACTATGGTGTGCGAGCTGTACAGTACTTACAAGACCGGCTAAGATATTTGGTATAGCGGGTTGTTTTGTTTGTTGGGGCTCTTCAGTCTCTGCTTCTGCTTCACCCGCCTCGTCAAAGTCACCAAAGTCGTCGTCGCCACCTCCTTCGTTGAATTCATCAAAGTCGTCCCCAAAGCCATCGTCTTCCTCTTCTGCTTCATCTTGGTCCTCACTCTTAGCAGTAGGTCCCCCCTGCTTACCTTCCCACACAGACTTTAGCCAAGCCCCTTGTTGCTCATCACCCTCTACTTCTCGATCGTCATCTCTGAGCACCTCGTTAGCACCTTCCTAGGATAGCACCACCACAGCCAACTCACCTACCCTCGTGAACGACCCCATCCACCGCTATGGCTGGTGCCTGCCTCACCTCATCCGGCTCAGCATCAGCCATTCTCTGCTCCTTTGCTAGTGTACCTTCCACTTCCCCATGCGCAGGTTTGTCATCCACTCTTTCCACAATCGTCTTCGGTATGGATGAGCCACCGGGAGTTGACGGACGGGCAATACCGCTTTCGCTCAGACCGCTCAAAGCACGAGTCCTAGTGGCGCTGCGACTTCGCTGGCCATCGGGTACGATCTCGACTTCATCGGGTACGGCATCCTGGGTTCGGAGATTATAGGCAGATGTACCGGGCACCTCTCCATGAGCTGGTTGATCATCTACCCGCTCGACCCGAGTGACGGGTGTGCTGGGAGCCCGGTTGTGGCCACGAGGTGTGTCGCCTTCGGAAGCGGAGGAGAAGTGCTCGTCTTCGCTGCCGGAGAGGTCATGAGCACCGGGGTCTTGGGTGTTGATGCGGGGTGGTTGGAGTGCGGACATGATGGGCGTGCGTGTACTGTCAGTATGTGCTGTTCGACTTCACATATTATTATTATTATTCATAAGTAAGAGAAGAACGAGGCTGTGCTATGAAGTCGGGTTAGAGCTTGGCTTATGCATTGCCGATGCTTACATGTATGATCGCTCGCTTAACCGAAACCGTCCGCGTACTAGCGCGAAATTATGTCGAAGCTCTCCACGTTCAGCATCGCGTTTCGCAGCCAACGACAATAGCAACACACACGACTATTGACAATAGCTAATTGTGCGATATATTCGACGTGCTTGCTCATAGCCATCTCCGTAAGTACAGCACCATCCTCCTCGCATTATCACCACAGCAGCACACAGATTATCACTCACAAAAACATGGCTCCCCCTCCCCCTCCCCCTCCTCCTTCACAGGTACTGCCTCCACACATTATTGCGCGCCAGTCGCGTCAACCCCAGCTGTTCATCACTAACAAAAGACCCAATGTCAACAGACCCCCTCTCGGTCTAAATCACGCAGCACGACAACAACCCAACCCTTCCCTCAATCTCAACAGCTTCTCCATTCCCGACACCAGCGACCTACTCGAAGCCACCCGACGCCAGGTAGCGGCGGACAACGCGAGCCAGGGACGGCCCTTCTGGACTACCGCAGCCGCCAAGAGACCTGCCGACGAAAACATGGCTTTCAACTTTGGTCAGCAGGCGAGCAGCGCTGGTGCTTCGGGCAGCGCACCCGCCACATCTGGTGCGAATGACGGTGGGTCGATCTTTGGACAGAGCAAGACTACAGCTGGCAGTCTGTTTGGCCGTGACACCAACGCGCCAACCTCGGGCTTCGGTGCCGCTCCTGCTTCCAACGCGGGTGGACTCTTTGGCAATACGAACAACTCACAAGCCAAACCTGCAGGTGGCTTCAGTTTCGGGCAAGCTACAGGTAGCACGCCTGCTTCGGGCACTGCGACACCCAGTGCGCAACCACCGTCGTTGTTCGGCGGCAACTCTGGCTCAACTGGTGGAATGTTCGGCGGCGGCAACAACAACAACAACAATGCAAGCGCAAATCCTTTCGGCTCGTCAACTGCAGGCTCATCCGCTCCGGTAGCCGGCAGCTTGTTCGGCGCCAAGCCTTCGGCAAGTCCAGCTGCTACACCAGGCGAGCAGCCCAAAGCTGGTGGAATGTTCGGGAGTGGAGCGCCTGCATCAAATACTGGTGGCAGCCTCTTCGGTGCCGCCGCAGCTAGCAATCAGCCATCTTGGAGTTTCGGGCAAAATGCACCAGCAGCCGAACAGAACCAGCCCGCCAGTACGCAGAGTGTCTTCGGCCAAAGCACATCCACGACGCCTGCCGACAAGCCATTGTTCGGCGCCATCACCCCTCAAAACAGCAAAACTGCTCCTCCAAGCTTCACACCCGCTGGTAACCCACCGTCAAGCTCGTTGTTCGGTGGAGCGGGCAAGCAGAAGGAGAACGAGCCAGCCACAAGCCAGCCCCAGCAAGGTGGTAGCTTGTTCGGCGCCAAGCCAGCAGCTACACAAGCGCCTGCTTTCCAATTCCCTGGTACAGCTCCTACACAATCATCTTCAACACCTCAATCGAATAATGGTGGTCTATTCGCCCCTAAGACAACTGCTCAAGGTCCAAATGCCACACCTTTAGCGGCACCTAGTCTTTTCGGTGGAGCTGCCCAGCCACAGCAATCGAGCTCGGCTACTCCAGCTTCATCTGCTCCCGCAGCTGGCGGTCTATTCTCGAACCTACACCAGCCTGGTGACTCGGCTCCTGCGCAGGCTGCTGGTCAAGGCCTGTTCAGTGGCGCCAGTGGTTTCAAGCTGCCAGGTGCACCTGCCTCGAGCACAGCGAATCAGCCAACTGCTTCCACAACTTCGGCACCGGCTCCTAGTTTCAGCTTCCCAACAGCTGGGCAGACTACTTCGTCTGCTCCTGCTCAGCCAGCAAGCACTACCGCACCAGCACCATCATTTAGCTTTACTCAGCCTACACCATCCACGACCTCGCAGACTCCTGCTGCTGCACCTGCTCCGGCAGCAGGGTCTGGTGGACTATTCGGTGCTACTGCTCCTGCGCCAGCAGCATCCGGTGCAGGCGGAAGTGGAGGACTATTCAGTGGTGCTGCAGCTCCAGCAGCATCGAACGCGGGTGGAAGTGGTGGAGGACTATTCGGCGCACCTGCCTCATCCCAGGCAGCTCCAGCCGCAAGCAGCGGTGCTCCGGCCGGTGGGCTCTTCGGCAATACCGCTCCAGCCGCTTCTCAATCCACCATGACCGCAGCTCCAGCAGCACCCGCCCTTGCCGCTACAGCCTCCACCACCGGGCCCGCACCACCCCAACAATCCCGCCTCGCATCAAAAAGCATGGACGAGATCCTAACCATGTGGTCCACCTCCCTCGCCACACACCAAAAGACTTTCCAGCAACTTGCCCAGCGCGTCAGTACATGGGATCGACAGCTCGTGGAGAATTCTTCCAAGATCTCCGCGTTGTATGGGAGATGTTTCCAGGCGGAGAGGGATTGTTCCGAGGTTGAGAGGCAGTTGGGGAATGTGGAGCATGGGCAGGTGGAGCTGGAGGCGTTGTTGGACAGATATGAGGGCGAGGTTGATAGGATGATGGAGGGAAGTGGGTTTGGGGAGGGAGGGGGAGGCGGTGGGGGGCCTGGGGGGGTTGATCGAGAGAGGGAGAGGACGTATGTTGATGACTATGCAAAGTACTTATGCCGTTCACGTCCCTTTGCTAACATGGACTACAGATACAAAACCGCTGAATCCTGCTCCAACCGCCTGACGGATATGCACCACTCCCTCACCTCCATGATCGAGGAGATCAACGTCTCTTCCTCCTCCCTCTCCGCTGCCAACGGTGGTAGAAGCACCAGCAGGAATCACCAGGACAATAAGGATCCCCTGGCCGATATCGTGACGATTCTGAATGGGCATCTGAGTCAATTGCAGGCGATTGATCAGGGTGCGGCGATGCTGCAGGGGAAGGTGCAGCTGGCGCAGAGGGAGGCGAGGGGCTTGAGTGAGAGGAGTGGGCTTGGTGGGGGGAGGGGGGAGTGGGTCGAGGGGTTTGGGAGGAGTTATTTGGGGAGGCGGTAGGGGGATACTTTTTTTGTCCGTGAGAGGGGGTTGAGAGGGATGGGCGGAGGGGTGGTGTAAGAATATGTGCGCACTCCAACAAGAGGGAGACTCAATGCATAGGGCATGGTTCGTCGCTCTCGGCGCGCTGCCGCGATGGGAGGTCTGGCGTGCCTGGCGTGATGGAGAATGGGTTGGTAGATGGACCACGCGCAAGGTTTTGTACACAATGCTCGACTGGCGAATCTCGAATGAAACTCCCCAATCTTTGGGCCCCTGCTCCTTTGTACTCTCAAGCTCGGGATCAAGCGACTCACTTTTATGGTTGACGGGATCGATGAACAGACGGGCTCTGGGCGGTGGCGGGAAGACTGATTTGTTCCCTGGTAGCTTCCAAGTTGGAGTATGGACAAACCGTGCAGGTTCGGAAGGTCACAGGTCGATGGCTGTTCAACAGTACAGGGAGCATCTCATTGCAATCGACCGGGTCCCGCGGAAAATACTTGGCAATCTGATCTAGAATTACAAATGTTTGCGAAGTTGTTTAAGGGACATAGGATGCTGTGCTCAAAGTCGGGACCCGCCGCAAAGGCCTTCAGTTGCGCTATCTTGCTATGTGGCGGTTCTGTGGATGGCGTTGGTCGCACTCACATAAGAGTAGAAGGAGGATAGCGAATGGCGTTGAGAGTCCTGCTTGTGGCTACACACGGAACAGTAGAGTCATGGTGGTAAATGGCGATGCTTGCTTCTGACGAGCTTGATGGGCTAGCGCCAGCTTTGAATTCTGAGACACAACCTGGGCAAGCACGACCTTGGTGCTGTCAAATGCCTCTGGCTTCAATCATCTCTGCTTCGGTACGTGCATCTGGACACGAAGCTTCCCCGGCGCTCAGCAATACGTTTCGACCACAATGGCTGCTTATCAGGAGAATGCCTGTCATCTCTTTAAGCTCCCGGCGGAGCTCCGCAACCAAATCTTTGAGCTCGTGTTCGCCGGAGACACATTGGAGGACGGGAGCATCTTCGACCTCAGTCCACTGAAGTGCGATTTGATGCTCACGTGCCACGAGATCTACCATGAGTCCTTGAAGCTATACGAAGCTACTGTACATCGGTACTGGACAACCACCACCTTCACCCTCAATGCTCAAGCCTCCAAAGCAGAATTCGAGTCAGCATTGGCGGAACTCAACGACGCCACACTAGCGAAGATGAGGAAGGCCGAGCTCCACACCGACCTCAACCGACTTCTCAGTCGCGGTCGGTGCTCTCAACGTTATCGCTTCCACCATGTATACGCTAGCCGCCAGCGTCTTCGAGGTAATACATACTCAGTCGACTTCCAGCGATGCGCGCGCCGGAAGTGGGTTCCAGTGAGACCTGCACTAGCTCACATGGCACCGAATGACCATGCGGTACTCGATCGGCCTCCGGAATCGTATATCATAAGTGATCGCGTTGCGTACGAGGACGGCCGCACAAGGCGGGAATGGTATGTGCTGATGGATGTGGACTTGTTCGTGCCCGAGGTTACGCTTGATACCGAGCATGATGGTGAGTTGGTTCCAGTGACGAAGAAGGAATTGTGGGCTTTATTGGGTTGGGGCGTGACAAGGTCTTTGGGTGATGGCGGAACTTTCGTTCTTTGTCTGTAAATGAAGCTGGAGTTGCGGAACGCACCTAGGCCGACTGGGCTGCTCATGACGAACAGTGCAGTCTGAAGGCATCTCCTAGCTCTCACATCGTTGCATTCACATTTCATTTACTTGACGAAGAACAGTGTTTGCTGCTTGTGATCGGGTCCCGCTCGCACTAGCGTAAGCCGGGATCTTGGCAAGCCAGCTTCGGTAAGCACGACATTGCCCACTCACAATGCCTTCTATCTACAACACCATTTCTCTTCGTAGAACAGTGACACATCCAAGGATAATCGACATGATACATGCTACTAAGCAGCAGGACGACTGCCACCTCTCCAGGCTACCGGCCGAGCTTCGCAACCAGATCTATGATCTCGCCTTCACTGGCAATGATGCAAATGCAAACGCCGTCGACCTCTCGCGCGCAGAATCACCCACAATCGACTTGCTCCTCACTTGCCGCGCCATCTAAGACGAGTGCTATCAGCTCTATGCCATTGCGTGGACTCGTTACCGGGCAACCACAAGTTTCAAGATCTACGACATGTGCTATACGAACTCTGCCTCTAGAGCTGCAAACTCCCACAAACCGGCGCTGGCGCAAATCCACGACAAAGTCTTCGCCTGTATCAAAGATATTGAAATACACACAGACTTCGGTTGGTATTGTCATAAGGTCAAAATGAGCGACAGGTTCGCCAACTATTGGGGCCATTTACATGATCTCGATAATCGTGTTGCCGGTCCAGACTCATGGTCCGTCGTCCTAAGAAGGACCAGCCAACAGAATTGGGAGGTGGTAGGCGCGAAGGCGAAAGACAGATCCCCTTCATTGTGGAAACCATGCAGTATCGACTTCCACCCCTACGACAGACCGGGCATCAACAGGGCCTGGATCTGCCTGTTAAATTCCGAAATCCAAGCATCTGCGGCATTGGGTTCGGTGGGTGCGGGTAACTTTGTGCCACTGACGAGGGAGGAACTGAAGGGGCTCAATTTCCTGTCAAGTATTGTCGATGCTGGATAGGAGTATGGTGATGATTTCACATCAAGCGGATTGGATCTTGGTCTGCTTACAGCCCGGGACGTCGAAACAAGATGTGGAGAGCTCCAGTATGTCTGTGAGCCCTTTGTTCATGCTTGATCTGGCGTTCCACCAAAGTCGACGACGACGACTCGAGTCCGTCTTTGTTGCTTACTGGGCAGGATACAAGGCCATTGTATAGTACGCATCATGAGTACTAACAAAGCATCTCCACATACCTATTGACCTACCCTCACAATCGACTTGTGTCCTACCGTGGTTGCCCTGCCTATAAAGTCCCCCCCAATTACAATGCCCTTGGTGTCTACACGTGCCTATATCCTTCCAAACACACTCCGCCTCAAACATGACTTATCGTTCCCTACTTCGGCATAAAATAGTATCCTGTGCGCAAGAAACGATACTGGTTATCGTCTCCTGCACTACAGGATACCACAACAGCCAACCCAGCCGTCGAAGTCAACAACCAAGCGAACCACACAAGCCCTGCTAACCAGCCCAAGAGCAAGAAAGACAGCAGGTATGTCTTCCCATACCTCCACCCCAACCACCCTCCACACCTCCAGCACACCTTCCAATCGCCCCCTAGCGGACTTCTTCTCCGTGACTCCAAGCGCGACGAGTAGTCGATACTCGCAGCCTGAGAGCCACTACGTCAAGTACTCCAAACCCCGTGAGCGAAGTAACTTCTCGGTCAAGACACTCATTGAAGAGGAGACTGTGGTGACGCCTAGCTTGAATCGAGCCAGCACTGCGTCGACGTCGAAGAATGCCCATCCTTTCGGTGCTGAAGCCTTCAACAATCCACGACCGACGCCGCCACTACCATTTGTGATACCGGGGGATCATGATCTCAAGCGGTCACAGAGTAGCAGGGTAGCCCAGTCATCTGCTCAAGCTACGCGAGCACCCGCACCAACTAACACCCAAACAGGGCTGTCCAGGACTCTATCAACTACCCTTCGATCCGGCCTTCGCCGTCTCACCAGCACCCACGGCCGCGGTCCAAGCATCGAAAAATCCACCATCCGGTCGCCTACGGGGTTCAGAGCTGATTCTCGCGCCTATGCTAATGGGGTTCCCATGGATGTGGCGAACGCCATCCCGATAGCTGAAGCACAGCGTAGACGAGCTGAGCTTGGCGACCAAGCTTTCGTGCGTACGGCAGCGACTGCTAGGCCGGTTGGCGTGACAAGGTCTCAGTCAGTCTCGAAAGCTGCATCCGAGCAGAAGATCCCGAGATCAGGGAATAGCAATGCTTCCAAGAAGCAGGCAATACCACCAGCTCTTCCCGCTCCAGCGCATGTTCCTGCTCCGGCTCCAACGGCGAAGCAGAGCAGACGACTCAGCAACGCCAGTGGCATGACAACATGGACGCAATTCGTCGATGCCGGCTTCGCCTCTTCACCAATCCCATCAACTAAGAGCCACAGTAATGTGGAAAGCTGGAACACGATAAACATCCTCAACCACAACCTAACGCCAAGAACGATCCCCGAAAAGTCGTCTATGCTCCCCCTGCCTCTGAACACGAGCAAGGCGCTCCCAGAAGAACCGAATCCGGCACCACCGCATAATTCGATCGCGAGGGCCCGACGATGTAGTTGCGACGCAACTTGCATGGAAGACCTTTATGACGGCTGCGTGAGGATCCCGGATAGACCTGTCAGCCCACCAGCTAGTGTCGTCGAAGCAATCGCCCAAGCCACTAGACTGCGTAAAGCTGACAATGAAGGCGAGGATGAAGAAGATTGGTCATGGTCCGGTTCCAGTATCGCCACCCACATTCCTCCAACAAACCAGCAACTCTACCACCCCAACAACGAAACATCAGTCCGCGCTTCCGACGTCGATGAGGTCCGTCGACTGTACAATCTCAAATTCGGTCGCCCTGGAACGGCTGGGAGCGAGGAGTCGGAGGGAGACACGACGGTAGATCATCGGCTTCATGGGAGCCATGTTTCGATTTTGGTGACTAGTTATCCGAATAATGATACGATCAAGTCTGTGCATCGGAGGGTTCCTTTGCCTGATGCGGCTGGGAGGGTTTGGGAAGGGTTGGAGGTGGAGAGGGAGGGGTGGGGTGGGGTGGTTAGGAGGGAGAGTGTGAGGAAGGAGAGGCAGGCGAGAAGTCGAGTTCAGAGCTCGGCATGAGGCTAGACAATCTTTTGGGGGTTTTCTTATGTGACGTTGAGCTTACCATGGCTTCTAGACACTCGTTTAAGCATCTTTCGTATGTGATGTATAGGTAATGATATGCTGTACGATATTGTAGGAAATCTGTGCACGAATAGAATCGCAACATAAACTCGCAAGAAAGACCTGCTTCCACACAGTCACACGTCCTTGACGTATGCTTCATGTGCTTTGTTTTGTCTCTGTCCAGAATCGAACAAAGATGAGGCCTATAGAACTACATCAGCTACCAGGTCAATATCGTGGGGAATCGAGTGAGTCAAGACGAGAAGGATGTCCTCAGCGAGCTCGTATCATCTCGATCATCCTGGACTCCTGGACGAAGCAACAACGAGGCTCTGGCTATAGCGACCGTTTTGGCCACTCGATAGTTGTAGAGCTGTAAGGGACAGAGTTTTCCATCTGTAGATGTTTATGCGTCAAAGTCGTATCAGTGAGGATAGCAAATGTCTCGATATATGGTCCATGCATGTTCGTGCAATAGTCGGCTGCAGTATTGATGGATATGGTCGCAGAGCATGTGACCTGCATATACTGTAGCAGCTCGTTTGAATGCGGAGGTTCGATAAGGAACATGGATGAGCTCGAAGCTGCAGCACTCATCCAATCCGGCGGCTGAAATAAAAGTGGTCAATGGCCGCGCGTGCTGACCAGATCCTCAACGTGTTGCTGTATTATTATTGTTCTCAAGATCAGCTGTAAGGACACTTGCTATATTCCCGTCCTCAGTCTTATTATCGTCCGTAATATTAATAATATAGGTCCCTACAGTATCATGATTTTGGAAAAGGGAGATTCGCCATCAACCTTTCCACTTCCCACCCCTGCAGAAAGCTTCAAAGGGCTGCTTCGCGAGGTGCCAAGTCGCACTTTCCCCATCTGAGTGGCGTCCCCAACGCCTCCCGACGCACATTATCATTGGTTGGATACAGTAGCAGCTTCCCTGTCCGGACTCGCCTGTCGTGCTCCACCCACTCCCGACCTTCCCCAGCCTGCCCTTCTTCACTAAGCTACGGTGATACCTTGCTATTCAAACACATCCAGCAGTGGGTGATTTGTTCGCTATTTCTTGCTGCAGCAGAAATTGTTGCAGAAGAGTCACGCTGCCTTCACTGGAGATTCTTCTTGATTACTGAGGAGGAATCGCCAAGAACATTCGCTTGTGGCAGCGTCGGAGGAAGTGCAGTGCGGGTGGAGGAGATAACTGTAGATACGGAAGTGTGCTCGTGTAAAGCTTGCGGACAGCTCTCAACGAAGCGAGCGAAGTGACTAGGGGTCTTTGTCGTTGCACAAAATAGCTGGGCGCGCAGATACACAATTGGTGCTACCTGTTAGTGGAGAAGTACACACGAGAGAGAGAGAGACAGAGAGAGTAGGAGGTGTACAGGCACAAGTTTAAAGGCAGGATTCTTCGCGGCGGCGCGAGCACATATTCACACATGGCTGCCGACTATCGGATACGGACGATGAGCTGGGCGCTGCTCTTGCTGTGCTTGCAGACCGTGCAGGCCTTTTACATACCGGGTGAGTGTGGACTACGACTCAAGCTGTAGGACTATACTGATCTATTCTAGGCTGGTCGATCAAATCATATTCCGACGGCGAGCCCATACCGCTATTCGTGAACAAAGTGTACAGCGACAACACACAACTACAATATGCATATTCAGAACTACCTTTTGTCTGCCCGCCTTCTGGACGACAACGGCCTGGGACCGGCCTGATCTCTGGCTCGAATGTCGCGTTGAACTTGGGCGAGGTGCTGCGTGGAGATCGAATCATGGTGTCGGACTACGAGCTTGAGATGGGCAAGGACGAGGAGGTGCACTACCTCTGCGCACACGAGGTAGACCGAGCAGGTTTGCAGCGAGCGAAGGAGGTGGTGAAGAATGGCTACGTTGCTGAGTGGATTGTGGATAACCTCCCAGGTGCGACGAGCTTCGTGACAGTAGACAAGAGCCGAAAGTACTATGCTGCAGGCTTCAAGATGGGCTTCGGGGAGACGTCAATTGTGACTGGCCAACCGACGTACTTCTTAAACAACCACGTCACGGTTGCCATCCGCTGGCATCGTGCTCCTGGCCGAGATGGTAGGCACGGAAAGAAGGTTATCGTAGGGTTTGAGGTGTACGCCAAGTCAATCGAAGCCGGAAACAGAGCTGCGGGCGGCATTCCCATCGATCTGCAGAGTCCACCTGGCTTCGAGCTAACAATGGCGAAGAACGTCACGAACACGACTATGGCTCGCGACAACGATAGCTCCTATGTTCTCCAGGAGTTCGACGATGGTGCGGAGGATGCCAAGTTGACCATCCCATACACATATAGTGTCTACTTCCGCGAGGAGGAGCACATCGAATGGGCGAACCGCTGGGATCTCTACTTTGTCAACCAGGAAGACAGCAATAAGATTCACTGGCTCGGCATCATCAACTCAGTCGTTATCTCTGGTCTTTTAACGGCAGTAGTAGCTGTGATCCTCGCCCGCACAATCCACGGCGATATCAAAGGCTATAAAGAAGGACTGGAAGAAGGCAAGCTCCGCCTCACGAAACGCTCGAGAGGCACGCGCTCGCCACGCAAGAGCTTCGAAAAGGGCGGCCTGCTCGAACAAGTCGATGGCGACTCCTCTTCTGTAGCCGACGACATGAGCTCCGAGGACGAAATACCTGAGGAAATCACCGGCTGGAAACTCGTCCACGGCGATGTCTTTCGCTCACCTGCTTTCGGACACCTTCTCGCTCCACTGATCGGCTCAGGCATGCAGCTCGTCTTCATGGCCACCGGCCTCATCGCCCTCTCCTGCTTCGGCGTCCTCAATCCCTCCTTCCGCGGTGGTTTCATCTCCGTAGGCTTCGCCCTCTTCATCCTCGCCGGAGCTTTTTCAGGATACTTTTCCGCGCGCGTGTACAAGACTTTCGGTGGCACACAGTGGCGTACCAACGCCATCGTATCTGCTACTCTATTCCCTGGACTTCTCTTCTCGACCATCTTCCTTCTTAATCTCTTCGTCTGGGCTCAGGCTTCCTCGACCGCGATTCCACTGGGTACACTTTTCGGTCTCGTGGCGCTGTGGCTTCTGACGCAGCTGCCGCTCGTGTACATGGGTTCTTGGTACGGGTTTGTCAAAGCGGGAGCTTACTCGCACCCCATCAAGGCCAATGTCATTCCCCGACAGATCCCACAACAGACGTGGTACTCCCGGAACGCTCAAGCGGCTTTACTGGCAGGACTGGTGCCCTTTGCCATCATCTTCATCGAGCTCATGTTCGTTTTCCGTAGTCTATGGCAGGACAAGAGCGGATATTATTACATGCCGGGTTTCCTGGCCGTGGTGTCGACGATTCTGATTCTGGTTGTGATGGAGACGACGGTTATCGCTGTGTATATTCAGCTTTGCAACGAGGTGAGTACATGCAGCAACCCACTTCATCCCTTCTCTTCCACCCATGCAAGATGAACATTATCCGCTAACGTTAATTTTGACAGAACTACCACTGGTGGTGGCAATCCTTCTTCATCGGCGGCGCCTCCAGCCTCTGGATCTTCGCCTATTGCGTCTATTACTTTTTCAACCATCTACATATTACCGGCATGGCGTCGACGATGCTGTTCTTTGCCTATGCGTTTTTGGCGTGTAGTGTTTATGGCTTGCTGACGGGCACGATTGGCTTCTTGACGGCGTATGGGTTTGTGAGGAGGATTTATGGGGCTATCAAGGTCGATTAGGGATTTTCTCGCGCCCAACTAAGATGAGCAGCACTTGCGGCTCTCGGTAGAGATACGACCTATCAACTCCGCTGTCTTTCGACATCGTATGCTGGATATCACTATACAGGCTTCTCTATTTTGAGCGATAGACGAGTAATGATAATACGAACACTTTGTATCATCATCAGCACCACTTCATTTCTCGATCAAACCGAATTCACGATGGCTATCCCTATGGGTTCGACCTTTGACGTTTGACACGATAAACTGCTTTACTTATTAAACAGCACAACCTCACCACCTAAGTCACTCCTCCGTATTCGCTCCATCAGCTTCTTCTCCGTCATCTTCATAGCCAGACATATCTCATCAAAACAATGCGTTCCATCTAACCACCCTCGCAACCTCTCCTTCTCCTCCTCATCAAAATCTTCCTCCAGACCATGAGCACTAGCCGTCCGACTCACCTTCTTACTCAACTGCACAGGCGGAGGATCAGAAGGCGGCGTCGCCCATCCTGAACTCAACGCCGCTTTCTTCCATGCGCGCTCGAATTCCCGCACCGCTGCTTCGTTGGGACCTGGGCTTGGATTTGGAGGGGGAGGAACTGGTTTTGCTTTGGATGGAGCCTGAGAGGTAGGTTTGGGTGGTGGGGTTGGTGGTAGGGATGAGGAGCCCGTATTTATGGATTCGGCGGAGGAAGGACTTAATTATGCCGAAGGTTATGAAGCGGCGGATGTCTATGCCGTGGGTGGTGAGGGTGGGGAGGTGGGTGAGGGTGAAGTCGTCGAGGGGCAGGCCGGGTGTGAGGGTGGTGTAGAGGTGGATCAGGGTTTGGTTGGTTATGCTTGGGGATTTGTCGTCTGGGTTGGCGCTTGTGCTGGTGGTGGCCGTGATGTAGTTCCGGCATTCGTCTAGTGTCTCTGTGTCGTTGACGAACGAGGTGAAGTCTGCAGTTGTTGTGTAGATCGCAGCGAAATGGAAGAGGTCGAGAGGGATCACGTAGTCGTGGCGGAGTAGTTCACGGATTCCGCGTTTGACTAGTTTGACTTCGACGTCCGCTTGGGTTGCTATTAGGCTGATGTGTTTGATGCCGTCGAGGAAGGGGATGATCCTCTGTAGGGTGAGGTCTGGTGTGCAGTCCTCTTCGGGCGGTAGTGCTCGGATGAGGAGAGGTACGTCCCATGTTCGGACCTTAGGTGGCGTGTCGGGCTTGGGCGGTGTCTCGAGGCGGAGGTTCAGGACGTGAATGTCTGATACACGGATACATGTTTCGCCATATCTGTTGAGTTGGCTCCTGATGGTCTCCAAGATTTTATGAATGACCCTTTGATCGCCATCCTCGGACAAAAACGTGGCGTTCGTATCCTGGTCAACTTCAGTCTTGTCGTCCCGGTCCTCCTCGGCCGTCAATAAGCCATCTTCGACTTCTAATGCCGTGAAGAATGCCGCCGTCTTCTCCACAACTCGCGTCCATGGTCTAGCATCTACGTCTTCGCGGAGCACAAAGCACACGTTGAACGTGAACCGGTTCCTCTCGTACTTCGGGTCCTCAAGACTGATTGGGTACCCTAGGACTGCATGGCCATTCGTGGTAACTGACAGGGCACGATTACAGAGGTCATAAGGTGGGATGAGATAGGCTGATATGTTCTGGAAGGACAACAATGGACCTTGTCCTGGTCTTGACTCCTGATCCTCTCGCGAGTGGGACGTTACCCAGCGGGATGGGGATTGGTAGATTACTGATGGGCCTCTGGCAGGATGGAAACGAATGTAGAATACTGCTTCGAGCATTACCTCCCCGAGTAGATTCCAGCGGATAGTACGATTTTGAGATGGTCACCGCGATGGGAAGGTGGGATCAGAAATGCTCGGTGGTTGTGAGGAAACATTAATGTAGCTGATTGGCTTGATACGCGTCGCGCTAGCAGCCGGAGGCGACCCGTAACATCAACTCACAACACTTGTGAGAAGTTCGCGTCGCACTTTATGCTCAAAACACTCTACAGTGAGTGTCCATGATCAAGCTTGACGAGATTATGCAGTAAGTCACGAATCACAAAAGTTGGCGAGGGTTGACCATGGGAGGGTATGTAGTGACCACAGATCAATAGTGATTATGCTGGTATTCCTATGTGGCAAGGTAGATATCTATCGCGGACCAAAAGTGCACGACGAGCAATGGCGGGCACTCAGGTCTGGAATGATGGATTTAATCCCGTGCTCTTGACGGTCTGACATTCTGGCCCAGCCTCTGAAATGTCACTCAGTACCCTTTTCACGAAAACGGCGAGCAGGCCACACGTAGCGGCCAGAAATATGCTCGGGCGAGGTGTTGCTTAGCACGCAACACTGGAGATGCATGGCAGAGCCTCACGACGATACTGCTTCAAGCTACACTAGGTTCGCTTGATGTGTAGACAATCGATGAAGGACCGTAACAGATTGTCTTAGGAGCATCTTGATATCGGCTGGCCGCATGATCCCGAATCCCGGAGCAACACCTGTGCTATGGTCCACGACTGCCCATAATGTCTGGACTTGCTCCGCCGATAAGATGCCAAGCTCTTCATTCTCCGGTTCCTCGGCGACACCCAGCACCTCCTCCATTTGCTCTAAAAGCGTGATTGAAAGACTGCAGAAGAGTGCACCTTGTGCGCAAGCGGATCTCGTCTCGCCCGTCACGGATAACAGACCGGGAATAGTCATGACAGGGTCGCTCTCGATTCGCTCGATCCTGTCTGTCAAGCGATCAAGTATCAGCTCGTGAATAGAGAGGAGCCGACGAAAGATGTTCGTGAGGCCCACGAAGAGGGCGGAGGAGAGGTGCGATGTTGAGTCATCTTGTCTACGCCTGGCAAGCCCGTCGCCCTGGTCGGAAGACTCGATTGCCGCATTTCTATTCATCCGTATCCTGCTTCTCATACGCCGTAAGATGTGTAGGAAGTTCGTACATGCCTCGAGCATGAAGTCGGCCAATGTCCGGTTGTTAATGTAGAGAGGGCTGTTCTCGTAGATGAAAGCATTGAGATCCAACGGGACTGTGGACGTCTTGATGATGGCGCTGCGCAATTGCAAGTCCTCGAAGATCATCGACATCCCAGTCATGATCTCCAAGTCACCATCGTTGAGCAGGCAAGCCCTTGATGTTGTCAGTTTAGTGGAAAGCAACTGCTGAAAATGACGGGTCAAGATCGGCACGAAAGGCGTCAGATTTGTGCTCGTAGTGCTTGATGCGATGTCTCCATTGTCAACGTACATTGTCTCGCGCCTGGGGTCGTCCCAAGCTTTTGACATCAGTGGCGGATATCCCGACTCAGTCATTGGCGGGCTGGTTGTTATACGGACAGTTGGACCAGGCGTTTGGTCCAAACATGGTATAGATAAAGTCTGCGGTCGTTGGAAAGCATCTGTAGATCTCTGATTTCCAGGACATAGTGACTTCTTGGGTCGGCCAGCCTTTCGTGGTCGTCCAACTTCGCAGGGGATATTGCGCAGCGAACATTGCTCGCATCTAGGAGTATCTGGTCGAATCCGGCGGCATTTATGTTTTTGCTTCCTGCAGAAGTCGCAAGAAAAACGCTGTTGCGATGGGTGTATCGACATGTAAGGTCGGGCGGTGATCTGCCCGGGGCTGTCGAAACAGGCGAGAACAACCTAGAGAGTTCGAGATTGTTAACGTACCCCTGGGAACAGTATGGGGAGGGGTACTGATTCTCGCGGACAACGTGCTCTTCAGTGCCTCTCACAGTATCACTAGAAAGCGTGGCGTAGGAGTAAGTGTCAGTCAAACCTCTGCTGGCGCCGGTGATAACGATCTTGAATACCAGTCCGCTGTTCTGTTTCACGCACACGTCTGACAAGCTTGCCGAAAACCAAGGGAGTAGATGAACGTGACGGAGGTTGTGTCGCTCTCGACGATAGAGTTCCAGGTCGGAGGGTTTTGCGAGATGTCGACATCCCGTTATTGCTTGGCAAATATCCTGTCTCGGCCGTAATTAATTTCGTGGATGCTCGTTTGTTCGTCACTGGTAACTGTCGTTGAAAGGCCTAATGGTGAGCATTACAGTCGAGCAACCGACATGTTCCCCTGACCAGAGCGGCATCTCTAAGTTGTGCCTACACGTGGATCATGTCCTTCTACAAGAACGATACTCCCTAAAGACGAGGCTCAAAAAGCATGGGCCGTTTGATGACGACCGTGCATTTTGCGGAGGGTTTTGCGAATGTTGGGCGGACGGCGTGCTGTGGCTCGGGATATCACTGTGCAACTAGATAACGCTCTACGATTGACACAGCACACTTATGATCAGCAATCGCCATATGCGCAACGCCTGACCAGTCCGAAGCAGAAAGTACGTTTGAGCTCATCGGACGGTCGGTCATAGGAGGGTTTCGTGCTTGGGCAATGGCCACCCTGAATCTCGACGCCCACCATGGTATATAACGTCTTCCTCGACCGCGCCGTACAAGTTATGGGCAGTAATTCGCACACGTACCGTCATGTCCCAGGTTCGTCGTCCCGAATCTGGCGCAGACAGACTCACCACTTCTTCTCCCATGGTCGCGGAACTAGATGGACACATGTTGGATCACCTGCGACGGCTTGAAAAACTCACGACGAACTCCGAGGAGCAACCTAGGAAGCTCGGCTTGTCATGGAGCAACCTGACTGTAAAGGGCGATGGTGCTAATGCTACCTTCAACGAAAATGTGGCCTCTCAGGTCAATCCTCTCGGCAAAGGCAACAAAGGCTCTCATTCCAGGACCATCGTCGATCGTTCGTTCGGATGCGTCAGACCTGGCGAGATGTTGCTTGTCTTAGGTCGTCCTGGAGCCGGCTGCACGACCTTGTTGAGCGTACTTGCCAATAACCGTCGTGGTTTTAAGGAAGTCTCTGGTGAGGTTCGATATGGTGCGATGACCTCAAAAGAGGCACAAGACTTTCGGGGACAGATCGTCATGAACACCGAGGACGAGATCTTCTATCCAACGCTGCCTGTACAAGCAACTGTCGACTTCGCTACTCGGCTGCGAACACCACGTCAGCTTCCACCTGGTGTCGAAACACATGAAGCATATTCTCAAAGCTACAGTAAGCTTCTGCTGGAGTCCCTCGGGATTGCTCATACAACGAGGATGAAAGTCGGAGATGCCTTTATTAGAGGAGTGTCTGGTGGTGAGCGCAAGCGTGTCTCTTTGGCAGAATGTCTTGCTACTCGCGCCAGCGTCTACTGCTGGGACAATCCTATCCGAGGTCTCGATGCCAGCACCGCACTTGAATATATCAAGACACTACGAACTATGACATCTGCTCTCGGACTGGTCACCATCCTCACTCTTTACCAAGGCGGAAATGCCATCTATGACCAATTCGATAAGATACTCGTTCTTGATGAGGGACAGCAGCTCTACTATGGACCTCGCTAGGATGCGGTCCCGTTTATGGAGAGTCTGGGCTTCGTTTGTGATGGTGGCTCTAATCAGAGCGACTTCTTGACCGGCGTCGTCGTTCCTACCGAACGTCATATCGCCGCAGGCTACGAGAGCAAATACCCCAGAACAGCCAACGAGATCGCCGCCGCTTATGATCGATCGGAAACAAAGGCTGCGATGATAAATGAGGCGTGTAGCTATCCGGAAGGTGCTGCCGCGCAAGAGTATACAGAAGCCTTCAAGAATATCATCATCACAGAGCGTGACAGAGGTAGTCGGAATTCTTCTGTCAGTGCAAATTTCCTCAATCAAGTGCGCTTTGCGATAATCCGGCAATACCAACTGCAGCGGGGCGACAAATCAACCGTGTTGATCAAGCAAGTCTCGACGTTGGTGCAGGCACTGATTGGTGGATCTCTCTTTTACAATGCTCCTCAAAACAATCTTGGCTTGTTCATAAAAGGCGGAGCCATCTTCTTCTCCACACTGTACCATGCTTTGCTTGCTCTGGGTGAGGTGACTGACTCCTTTACTGGAAGACCGGTCTTAGCGAAGCACCGCTCTTTCGCTCTGTACCACCCGGCAGCTTTTACACTTGCCCAGATCATCGCGGACGCTCCCTTACTGCTATTTCAGGTCGTCCAGTTCAGCCTTGTCCTGTACTGGATGACTGGCCTTCGACCCACTGCAGAAGCTTTCTTCATCTTTCTGCTCATCAGTTACATGAACGCCATGACTATGACTCAATACTTCCGGGCGATCGGCGCTGCTTTCCCGACCTTCGACGCCGCCACAAAGGTGTCCGGGCTCTCTTTCGTAGCCTTGTTCATATATATGGGCTACATGATTGCGAAACCCGTAATACATCCATGGTTTGTCTGGATCTTCTGGATCAACCCTATGGCTTATACCTTTGAAGCACTCCTCTCGAATGAGTTCCACAACACCATAATACCATGTGCTGGTCTCAATCTTGTGCCGAGTGGTCCCGGCTACGGAGATAACAACGGCGGCCAATCGTGTGTCGGAGTCCGCGGAGCTATGCCAGGTAGTACCAGCGTTACAGGTGACTCATATCTCAACGCCTTGTCATATTCTCACGCACACCTGTGGCGCAACTTCGGCATACTCTGCGCCTGGTGGATCTTTTTCGTTGCACTCACCATGATCTTCACCGGCAGATGGAAGCTGCCAGGAGATGGCAACCGTCGCTTGCTGGTCCCTCGTGAACATCAGGGAAAAGTGGCACATTTGCTGAAGTCTGCCGATGAAGAAGCACAAACCTCGCAAGAGAAGCTGGATTCTGGCTCCGAGTCCGACAGCAGCGGTGCGAAAGACTTGATCCGCAACAAGAGCGTCTTCACGTGGAAGAACCTCACATACACAGTCAAGACCTCTGAGGGCGATCGGGTCCTCCTTGATAATGTTCAGGGGTATGTGAAACCGGGTATGCTTGGCGCCCTGATGGGCTCCTCTGGTGCAGGTAAAACGACGCTTCTGGATGTTCTAGCTAGACGGAAGACACAAGGCACTATCCAGGGTAGTGTGCTAGTCGATGGGCGACCTGTCCCTATATCCTTCCAAAGGTCAGCCGGCTACGTCGAGCAGATGGACGTCCACGAACCACTCGCGACCGTGCGGGAAGCTCTCGAATTCTCGGCCCTTTTGCGACAGCCAGCCGACATACCAAACCATGATAAGTTACGATACGTCGATACTATTGTCGACCTTCTGGAACTACAAGACCTCGAACATACCCTTGTCGGTGCACCTGGGTCAGGTCTTTCGATCGAGCAGCGTAAGCGACTAACAATCGCTGTCGAATTGGTCGCTAAGCCAAGTATTTTGATATTCCTGGACGAACCGACATCCGGATTAGATGGTCAAGCTGCCTATGCGACGGTCAGATTCCTTCGCAAGCTCGCAATGGGAGGGCAAGCCGTCCTCGTCACGATCCACCAGCCTTCAGCTCAGCTCTTTGCGCAGTTCGACAAACTACTGCTGCTGACTACCGGTGGAAAGCCGGTCTATTTCGGAGACGTCGGTGAGGCTCTCAAGGACTACTTCGGGCGCCACGGTGCTCCATGTCCTTCCGGAACGAACCCTGCCGAGCACATGATTGAGGTTGTGACAGGAGTCGGAGCAGGAAGAGGCAAAGACTGGAACCGGATCTGGCTGGAGTCACCCGAGAACGAGAAGCTGACACAGGAGATCGACCTGATGATGCAGACCGCGGCTACTCAACCCTCGTCTATTGACGACGAAGATGATGGCGAGTTCGCAGCTTCGATGTGGACGCAGATCAAGCTAGTGACACAGCGCATGAACGTGTCACTGTATCGCAATACCGAGTACGTGAATAGCAAATTCGCTATGCATGTCTCCCTGGGTCTTCTGAACGGCTTCACTTTCTGGATGATCGGAGACTCTCCCACCGATCTCCAGCAGAACTTGTTCACGATCTTCAACGTCATCTTCGTCGCTCCAGGAGTCATCTCACAGTTGCAGCCGCTTTTCATCGACAGGCGAGATATTTTTGAGGTAAGGGAGAAGAAAAGCAAAATGGTACGTCTGGGATGAGCATACATATGAGGCCACCACTGACCTCGTACATAGTATCACTGGGCACCTTTCGTCACCGGCCTTATCATATCGGAGTTTCCGTATCTACTCATCTGCGGACTGCTCTATTACGTTTGCTGGTATTTCGGTCCTGGTCTTAGCACTTCGCCATACTCTGCAGGCAGCGTATTCTTCGTAATTGTAAGACCTTCGCTCCTCGAGACCTTCATATGTACTCCAACTGATTCGATCATAGTTGATGTACGAGTTACTTTACACTGCTATTGGACAATCAATAGCCGCCTACACGCCGAATGCCGTCTTCGCTTCACTCGTGAACCCGCTGATGATCGTGACCTTGGTCTCGTTCTCTGGTGTCGTCGTTCCCTACAGTCAAATTCAGCCCTTCTGGAGGTACTGGTTAGTACTGACCCAGGAAAATTTATCTGCAACAAGCATGAAGTGCCAACTGACGCTTCGGCAGGCTTTATTACCTTGATCCATTCAACTACCTCCAGTCCAGTCTTTTGATCTTCACTACGTGGGACAAACCCGTGAAGTGCAATCCAGACGAGATCGCACTTTTCCATCCTGCCGTCGGCCAGACTTGTGCTGAGTATCTTGAGGTGTATCAAACCAGCACGGGATCCGGGATCAATCTGCTCAATCCCAGCGACACTGTGAATTGTCGTGTATGCCAATACTCGAGCGGTGCGGATTATTTACGCACCCTAAACCTTGCAGAAAAGTCGGATGGCTGGAGAAATGCGGGGATTGTGGTGGTCTTTGTGATTGGCATTTATGGGCTTGTGTACCTGATGATGAAGTTGAGGACCAAGCAGACCAAGAAGGCCGAGTCGTGATCGGGCTGGACTCGTCACGAGCTTGCCATGACCTCTGCATGGAGTTGGAACAGCCCGACATCACCAAAGTCAAGCCCGTCTAGTATACTCAGCGAGGGACATGCTGGCGAGACGAAGCTTTCAATCATACAAGGCTTTCAAGATCATATTATACAACAACTGGTTGCGAGTGCTAGGGCTGAGATACATATCTATGGTCCATCAAACTAGTATGATGGAAATCCAGGTCATCCAACGACACTGATTCCGAGCTCGATCCAAGGACGTCCATCTCCGCACACCTTCGCTGGTAATCACCCTTGATTCGACAGCTTATACCGGTGCTCGCACAAATTCTCTGGAAATCTGTGCCGCACTTAGTTCGCCATTCTCGGTACTTTCCTTACCCTCCTCCTGCTCTCCCCCATCTTCTTTTCTTCCCACATCCTCCAACGCCCTTCTCCTTCGCACCTCGTCTTGTGTCGCCCTCACCAGTTTCGCCACCACCTCACCATCTTCTCGTGTAGCTCCAACTTCAATCCATTCCGCACATCACAATATGTCTCCATGCCCGTCCAACACGCATACCCCTCTGGATAATCGCGCAGGCGGAGCAGCATTCCCTCGAGGCCCTGGTCGTAGCCCTGATGGCGGAAGAGTAATCTGTGAGCAGTATCGGGCTTGAGCTTCTGTGGCGACAGCGGTGGGGTGGTATAGATTAGGTGGCGATATGCTGGTCGCCTCGCAGAAGAATCTGCGGTGGAGGCAGTAGTGGCTGTCTTTGCAAAGGCTGAGGAAGGAAGGTCGGTAATAGAGATCGTGGCCAAGGGGCGAGGATCAGTAATCGGAGCCATGGCGTGGATGCGGCGACAAAGATAAATCGTGACGATGTTTAGGATGGTGATGCACACACTTCTTCTTCATGGCTTCCTTCGGACTGAAAGAGCATGACCGGCAGCTCATGGTCTACTTCGATACTCACTGGCTTGCTTCAATCCTAAATGTGCTGCAACAATAGGATCGAGAGGCGCTGCGTCATATTCACACACACATTCACGTGTTGGCAGGCTGACCGGAGAGTGAATGCGCCTTGGCGTCCACAGATTTGGCAGGCACACGGGTGCTGAAACACGCTAACGTCTTTACAAGAACGATTGCCCCAGTCTCTAGCCTGTGAAGCTTCTCTTGAATTGCAATTGCTGGTCGGACGTCGCAGACAACACTTTAAGAGCATCGCCGACTTCTCACATCAAACTTCACTGGATCCGGCTGCCAGGTACTATGGAAGTGCGACATTGTCGGTCTCTGAAGCAGGCCTTCCTATCCATCCGAAAATTGAGATCGACATGAGCAGACTTCAACATATGGCAGTACTGAAAGACTGCAACATAACTCTGGACCCTCGTGTACCTCTGTTACCGCTTCGCGTGAACTCAAGACGACGATAGTAAACAACGAGGGCTGCGAGATTGACCTTGTGTGCTGTCTTGGCCTAGGGCAGACATGAACCGATCTAGCGTCTTTGTGATCGATCTTATATTTCAACGCTGGTGTTGCTGTTCCATCATACGGGTCCAGGCCAGAAGAACTCATGCAGAACGAACGGCCCCAGAAGCTCGACGGCCCAGTACCCGGCTGCCTTGTTCAGCTTGTAGGCCGGAAGCGTATTCTGCAGCATATGCGTAGAGCTCCGCACGAAATCAATCTAGACCACAACAAGACTGGTCCTCAAGGTGGCAACGAGTCTCTTCGCCGCCAGAAGCATACTAAGAGGTATGCAAGGTGGTTAGAAGCTCAAGGTCTTCCCATCGATGTGACGTTCTTCACCAACGTCGATGATGAATTGAAGAGCGTTGAAGGTTGGGAGGACGTCCACTTGTCTGAAGACGATCAACTGGCCGGGCACAGTACACAAGCAGATGAAGACGAGGATGAAGATGAGACTCCTGCGTCAAGCAGTGGAGACGATGTTCCCTTGATTAGGCCAGTGAGCCAACGCCGGAAACGATACACGATTCACGAGGGAGAGGATGACGAGGAAGACAGAGGACTTTCATTGAGTGGCAGCAACATGGATTATGCGGCCAACCAGAAGGAGAATGTTGAGAATGATCATGAACCTACTGACGAAGGAAATTCTTATTGGCGGCCAGCGGGCTGGGCGGAAGATGATAAAAAGTGTGCTGAAAGCCTCATGCTACTTAGCCGCGCTCCTGTGCACTTCAGGACTTGATTAGACACTCATGTGGAGGAATATGTAAATGCGAGCTTGCGTGCATGCAAGGTGTCTCCAGTCGCACCTTCTCCAAGAGCAAGAAGCCTCATGTAGAAACAAACGAAGTTATGCAGCTTGGTTCCTGCAGCTTGGATGTGAAGTGGACAGCACATTCACAATTTTCTCATCTTTCCTTTGGTATCAGAAGTGATTCTCCATCAGAGGTTTACCAGATCGAGATCCTAATACCGATACATTGATGCTTTGCATTGCAGTACAACTGTGACTCGCTAGCAACAACGCAACTCGAACTGGACATCCTGCTCCCTGTGGTCCCTCTATCTAAATCCAGCTAACCAGAAGCGAGATGTCGACCAAAGCCAGGCTCAAATGTCCTGTTCCAGGCTGCAAGTGCGAGCGTAGCTTGCGCAAGAGAATGTATGGTCATCTCCGCAGCAAGCACAATATACCACTTTCGATCTACACTGGAGGCAACCTCGATGCTTTGCGTCGCAAACACGCTGCCGAATTTGGCCAGTGGTTGGAGGAAGAAGGCTACAAGGTCGACGTGAGCTTTTTCGGCGCAAGTACGGTGGACAGCCAGCAGGCTACGAACACGACCTTCGAAGATGACTATGAGGAGCCTGGTGACCATGGCGATGAGGAACAAGAAGTGCCCGACCGGGCAGAAACTGAGACGCACGACAATGCTAGGGTGAGGCAGTCGAGCGATAAGGTGTCTTTAGACATTCCCGATGATGGCAAAGCAGACCATGAACCATATCATGGAGATTTAGCCTATATGCGCTTGCTGCGAGAGCGCCTGGAGCTCTTCTGCGATGCGCAAGGCCAACCGACGGAGGTAGAATTTGACATCGAGCACATCGCCATCCTCATCTGCAACGTCGATGATCCGGCCATAGATCGGTGGGAAGGGTTCTGTGAGCAAAGACGGTGGACGGAGAATGATGTGGAATGGATCAAGACGTACGTCTTCAAGATCGTGCCGCAGTGGCGTGGTGCCATCACGAGTAGGCATGTGATCGACGAGCTGATATCGCAGTTCAACAGTGTGTTTCAGGCGCGAGTCGGATTGGTGTAGGTGGGTTAGGTGGAGCTCGTAATGCAAGCCAATACCCATGGGATTGCCGTTTGCTGCTCGGTTGGGCTAGCAAGGCCCACGCTGCTTCTGGTGGCAGACGGCGACAAGATTTCAGTGGATCTGGCATCTGTTCGGTTGCTATCAAAGCTCAGCATAGCGTAGCAGGGAGTTGATCTCAGCGGTATTGTGTATTGTATCCAAAGTACTTATAGCTTACTCTGCCCTTCCTGCGGCACCTGCACGACCACCTTGCCCCATGTCCCTCTCTCACCCAACGCCTTCAGCGCTTCTGGCACCTTCTCCAGGCCAACGAATTTCTTGTCGGTATAGTTTGTGCTTACCACTTTCCGGCTCTCGAACAGCTCGAATAGTCGATCCCAAACCTCTGTGATCATCTCCGGCTGGTTCTGAGTGTAGGCGCCCCAATGCAGACCAACCACACTGATATTCTTCAGCAGCATCTTGTTCGTTGCCACCTTTTCTATCGGCCCACCAGTGAAGCCAATCACGCACAAGCGACCGTTCCACGCAATGCACTTTGTGCTCTTGTCTATCAACCCGACGGGATCGTAGACGATGTCTACTCCCCTGCTCTTTGGCGTAAGCTTCTTCACCTGCTGTGGCCAGTCGTCTTGTCGATAATCTACAACATGATCTGCGCCAAATCGCTTAGCCACCGAAAGCTTGTGAGGTGTGCCCGCAGTGGCAATGACTGTCGCGCCAAATGCTTTTGCAATCTGCACCGCAGCTAGGCCAACACCACCAGCTGCCGCGTGTACCAGGACCCAATCTCCAGCTTTGATGTTACATCGTGTCACCAAACCAGCATAGCTCGTAGGCATGGTCACGAACAGACCGGCTGCCTCGAAGAACGTCCAGCCTTTGGGGACGAGTCTGAGCTGTTCTTCCTTGGCACACACTTTAGTCGCATATCCTCCCATTGCCGACCCAAAGACTTTATCGCCGACCTTGTACTTCGCTACCTTGCCAGAAGTTGGTGTCGCTGTGATCACGCCGCTGAACTCGGCACCTGAGACCCATGGTAGCGGTGGTTGATGCTGGTACTTTCCACGAATTTGGAGAAGGTCGAAGAAGTTGGTCGCGGTGGCATGGACTTCGATGGCATACTGATTTGGTTGAGGCTTCGGATCTGGCAGGTCTGAGACTGTAAGGTCCAATGGTCCTTCGACGTATTGCTTGACTTGAATTCCACGCATGATGACCGATGTGCAGGGAGATGGTGGGTTTGGCGAGGTCTAGGAAGGGCAGAGGAGAAGGACGACGGATGTAATTGGCTCTACGGATAACAAACAGTTGAGAACGGACTCAACATCCTTACCTGAAGTCTTCTATTACTGCTCGGGTACATGTCCAGCAAATAAGCGGACAGCAAGACACAACCTCGGTCGTTCCTGCTTATTATTGAGCTAGTGGGTGAATGGTATTCCTTAATGCCTTAGGCTGAAATTCGAAGCAAGCATGTGAATCGTGACATCAGCTGGAAGTGGGCCGCCGCCGCTTGCTGTGGCAGAAGGTCACAGAAGGCAGTCGGTCTTAATCATGTAAAGAAAGTAGTTGTCCTCTCACGAAGTCCAAGTTACTTATCTCATTATTTCAGTCATATTCTCCTCCGACCAAGGATCTACCACGGGTATCTCCAAGTAACGAAAACACCACGCCTCGCAAGACTCCACAGAAGCAACAGCAATCAGTCTTGATTCAGAGCTGGCTATATCGAACTCGCCACCACCCTCATCGTAGGCCACAATGGCTGACGCGGAGAACGAGCAGCAGATCACATTCAACGTCAAGTCCTCTTCGGAAGCGAAATATGTCTTCACACTTGCCGAATCCATAACGATAGCCGACCTGAAGCAGAAGCTCTCCACGTCAGAACACGCGGACATTCCACCAGAACGGCAACGATTGATCTATAGTGGGAGGGTGCTCAAGGATCACGACACAGTTGGCAGCTGTAAGATCAAGGATGGCAATACGGTGCACCTTGTTCGCGGCGCCGATAGTAATCAGCGACAAAACCCAGCGAACCAAGGCGGTTCGACGGCTGTGCCCCCTGGTGCTGGTCAGCCTGCCAGTAATGTGCCTTCGAATATCGCCGCTGGCACAGGCGCTGGCAACCCTCTAGCACAACTGACCGGCGCACGATACGCTGGCTTCCACGGTCTACCGGGTATGGATACGTTCGGCTCAGACGCAGGCATGGGCGCACCGCCAAACCCAGATCAGATGCTTAGGATGCTGGAGGATCCCAACTTTGCGCAGCAAATGAACGAGGCGATGAACAACCCGGCGGTAATTGACATGCTACGGAACAATCCTATGATCAGGAACAATCCTATGGCAAGGGCGGCAATGGAGAACCCAGAGCTCAGAAGAATGATGCTCAATCCAGACATGATCAGGATGCAGATGCAAATGCAAAGATCGATGGGTGGTGAGCAGGGTGGGCAAGGTGCATTTCCTATGCCAGGACAGACAGATACCACTACCCCTGCAGCGGGCACAGAAGGCACAGGAGCTACACCCAATGCAACCACCACAACTGGTAATGCAGCACAAACACCTGCAAATCCTTTCGCTGCACTATTCCCTGGCGGAGCAGCACCTGGTGGAGCAGCAGGCACAGATGGTGGCGCATCACAAGCGAATCCATTTGGCAACATGTTGGGTGGCCAGCAAGGCGGCGACCAGCAGAACAATCCACTCGCACAAATGACGCAGCAAATGATGCAGAACCCTGAGATGATGCAAAACATGATGCGAATGATGGGTGGTATGGGTGGTGGAGCGGGTGCAGGCGCTGGTGCAGGAGGAGCAGGAGAGGCAGGCTTCAATCCGTTCACAGCTTTCGGCGGTGGAGGAGGGGCAGGTGGCTTCGGTGGCTCATCTGAACCTGCACAGCCAGCTGATGACCGGCCACCAGAAGTCAGGTATGAGGACCAGCTACGACAGCTAAACGATATGGGCTTCTATGAATTCGAGCGGAATGTTTCGGCGCTTCGACGTAGTGGCGGCAGCGTGCAAGGCGCGGTCGAGTACTTGCTCAGCAGTATGTGAGATGGCTTGGTGCCCATCGCCTGCTATGAGCAGCACTTTCTTCTATGTACACTGCTGTTTTAGCAAGCTTAGCGAGCCGACATGATCTTCCATGATGCAACTTCCGGACGTTGTAGCATGGCGATTCGCATGCTCGTCACTACGATTAGCCATAGCTACCTCGAATTGATCTCAGGTACTACTGTGCAGTAAAGCGCTCTTTGTTCCTGTCTTACTCTGCCTTTGTCATGAAGAAGTAGCTCACTGAGACTGTGTTGGAACTCATTTCGATCTTTGTCTCTGCTCACCTCGGACACTATCGTTGCTTCACTTCCGCCAACGCAGTATCGTTGATATGGTAGATATGAGACATCGATACCAGCCTACATGAGACAGAAAGTGAGTACACAATAGCACCAATTCAACCCATTGTCCACAATGCCACCTAAAACTTATGCAGTCGCCTCAACTGCTCAGCTGGTCGGCATCGTCGACTTGGCAAATGCTGAGGAGGACAGAAACGATATTGTACAGATGCAGAAGGTTAACCATTACAGTAGAAAAACACTAAACAACGACAATCCAATTTGTAAAAACCACGATTCCACCCCAAAACACAGCCCGATCTACACCACTTCCCGACCGGACCTGCATAACGCGGTACGGGGGGATGAGAGCCTCATCCGTAGCGCGGTAGATTTTGCGGGGAATGATTCGACCGGGTCTTGGGAAACCTGGTCTAACACCAGCCATGCCCATGCAAGCCTTGTCGGGCATGATATCATCCATCAGGATGCGAGAAGCGGTGTGCGGCAGGGCGGTGAAAACGTCAGTGCTGATTCCTTCGCTGCTGGTAATGACGATAGTGAGGATCTGTGGATATGGGAGGCGAGGATTTATTGTCGTGGCTGTTCATGGAGCAACCAAGATCAAGAATCTTGCACCTCACAAAGCCAGCGCCAGAGCTCCTCTGACAAGACAGCTGCAGCCTCGAATGCTCGGCAGACATTGCCGAAGAGACGGAGACATAATATCGCCAAGATTCAGCTAGATCAGCCTCGTGTTGCTACAGGACGTACCGCTTCCGAAGGTGAACCTTCTTCGCAAGTACCTAGCTTTGTGTCGTCACGGCATGCCAGCACACCTCACCGGCAAAACATAGATGCGCCGCAGGTAACAGAAGAGATCTACTTTTCACCTACGAATGTAAACAATACTTCACAAGCTTTCTCTAAGCCTTTGGCCACGGACGAGCTCGATCCACTGACACCCACGCAGGAGCAATATGATGCAGCGCGACAAGCTGCTCATGAAGACAACGTCACATCAGAGCCCGAAGGCGACCTACTCGAGGGGGAGATCAAGCTGATGCTGAAGCCAGAGCAAGTGGACAGGCTGGTGAGAGCACTAGCTGAGAGTCCTTTGCTTCGTAATCATGTATCCAGGCAATGGTTTGATGATGGGTCGGAGGTATCGACCATGGCCTCAGTACACGAGAGAGAAGATACTCCCTCTCTGACATCTGGATCATCGGCCGAAGCATCGCCGTTGTATGCGCAGACCGAGCAAAGTTTCCCAGCAGAGCAGCACTCTCCCATCCTTACTCGAGATCTCCTCGACGATGACTTCGCCATTCGATATCCGGACCATCCCAAGGCCCGGCGATTGAGTAAAGACCTCGAACCACAATTCGGTGGCATCGCAATGGTCGACCCAAAGGTGCACGGAGCGCCCGTACGGTTCATCTCCAGAGGTTATCAGCAGGGTGCGAACGTCCTGCAGGTCGGCCATTGTTCTTTTGTGAACATGCCCTTCGGGACGACGGTACATGCTTCGCTGCGAGTCGAGCCAGCTTCGAATCGGAGCATCAACTGCCGGATAATGCTTCAAGTCGTCAATCAGATCCTGGACCGCAAGTCGAGCAAGAAGTCGTACCTGTTGGTCGCTGAGCTCGACGTTACTGAAAGCTTCATTAGATCTGCACTTCTCGAACTGTCAGCTCATAGTGGCATGTCTTTGGATGAGATCGAGATGATAGCTCCTGGCGTCCGACCGATGCTGAAGAAAGACCTTGACTGGTGCAAGCTGGCGGACGAGTTGCAAACATCACTCGCCATTATGGACGTGGTTGGTCTCGCGGCAGCATCCTTTGCTCACTTGTCGGCGCATACTTGCACAATGCAAACCTTGACCTTGATGTCGGAGCTCGAGCGCCTGAAGTCCAGACATCAGGATTTCTTGGTAGTCCGACCAACAGGATATCATGCCAATGGTATGATGTCTGGGATCAGCATGCCGTGGATATCGCAGCATCTCGAACAGATGTTGTATGATGCAGACTTTACGACACATCACGATGAAGCCGCTAAAACAGCTCGGCTGCTTCGCGATCGAGTCGTGTCAGCCATTACAGAAGGATGCTCAGGACGTAGACCCTTCGACACACGGATCTGGTGGGGTGATCAGATGAGGCAGATCCACTGTGTGCCGCTGCATGAAAGTGCCGATGGTCGGCCAGCTGCTTGGGCTGCTTTCTTGAGTGGTGAGTCTGTCTACTTACCTTTCAGAGTTTCGATTGACTGATTTTCTGGGAAGACTTGGGGAGGTACGAGGGCTGTTTGATGCAAGCGTACAGGTTAGGTGATATGTGTCAATATGTTGAGTATGTTTGATGTCCTTAGAGGACGAGTCCTCCACGACCTTGCTCGTTGTGTTCCGAGAGGATAAGAGTGCACATGCGCTTGTGCGAACACTTGAGCTTCCTCTTCGAGAACTTTCCCTTAGTTTCGGCACATCGATATTGTCGACGAGGTGAGCGCGTTCAGTGGGTGGCCATGAGCTTCGCAAGCTGACCACGACTCTCTAGGCACCCCATAAGAAGCTTCAAAGGATACCATTCTGCGGACATCTACTTCTCGCCATCCTCCATACTCTGAATCATGACCTTGATTCCTCCTTGCTTAGCATCTGCTGCAACTTTGAACGCTTCCACGGCCTCCTCAAGCTTGAAGCGGTGCGTCACCAGCTTGCTGAGATCAATCACGCCACCCTTAAGCAGCCTGATTGCTCGAGGCCAAGTGTTGGCGTATCTGTACTGGAATTGCAAGTCGACCTCGCGCGTGCTCAGGCGCATAAATGGAAGCTTGATCTCGGGCCTTCCGACACCAATGACGAAAACCTTGCCCCCGAATTTCGCAGCGTGAATCGCACCAGAGATAGAAGACTCCACACCTGTGCACTCCATCACGATCGCTGGCTCCACGCCATCTGCCTTCTTGACCACCTCTTTTGCGAAATCTTCTGGTGTGTGGCTGAAGTCGACCTTGTGCGTCCGTACACTTGGGCAGAACTCTTTCGCAAACTTCAGACGGCCCTCGTCGATGTCGGTGATCACAATTGGCTCGGCACCTGCAGCCTTGACGCACGCTAGAGTGACCAAACCAATGGGTCCAGCACCACAGACCAGCACACTATCACCCAATGTAATATTCGCTCTTTGCATGCCTGCCAATGCTACAGAGAGCGGTTCAAGCAGAGCACCATCTTCAAAGCTCATATCACCAATCTTATGGCACCATACTGCAGGATGGTTGACGTACCGCCTGAGCAGGCCCGGGACTGGAGGGGTGGATCGGAAGAGTACGCTTTCGCAGCCATTGTAGCGACCAGTCAAGCATGGCTCGCATTCGTTGCAGATGATGTTGGGCTCGACTGCCACGCGCTCGCCGATCTCATGGGTTTTGACAGAAGGGTGCTTAGCAACGACGATACCAGCGGATTCGTGACCGAGGATGTGGGTATCTGCGAGCGTCAGTAGGTCACAAGCGAGGAGGCCGTAGTGAAGCGCATACCTTCCACTATCATTGGGCCTATACGGCCTGCGTGCCAGAAGTGTACATCAGAACTGAAAGCACAGTCAGTATATGAAGTAAAAGTGTATCTTCTACCTCGTCAACGTACCCGCAGATCCCAGTACTCTTGATCGCGACTGTGATCTCGCCTGGCTTTAAGCTCTCTCCTTTGTCAACCTCCTCTTTGCTGGGTGTAGCTTCGCCAACCCATAGATCGTGAGCTGGATTGGTATACACGCCAATATTGGCTTTCGAAGGCGCCACGGTGGTAGTCGTAGTAGAGGACATGTCGTCGAATCTATTACAGCAAGGTGCGTTGCAGAGCATAGCAGATGAAGTAATGATCAGATGGAATGCTACCTTTGCAGCAGTACCTAAGGTTCGCCTACTACAGAATCATGTATTTCTGCTGACCCACCGGTGGGCTTTACTTCGACTGCAGGGCGTCTGATGCCGACGCTAACGCCATCACGCTGAAGCCCGTGTTTTCCTGTTGGGTTCACCATGTGGACAAGGTAGTAGCTTTTGTTGCTTTCTCGAATTTATCCGTCAATCATGACCCCACCAGGAGCCCCGCCGGGCGAACTTCGTTGCGCACCTCGCGTCGGAGAACAGGCCGAGGGGGGGTCGAAGGAGTTTCTTGATCGGGACGTGGAGACCAGAATGGAGCAGAATGGAAGCGGGATGTCCTTTTCAATGCAGACCTACAAACGGTATGCCAAACGTGGCCTACCAAGCGCGCTGTCGGTCGTCCGTTTTGGAAGATGTTTGATGGGACTCTTGCAGAAATTGACCGGATGGTTTATCTGGCTACCAACCACAAGACGAAGACTACCGCCGCCATCGTTGCCAACACACGAAGCTGGGCTGTTGGCTAGGCCACCAACTTCAACATGTCTAATATCCTGTGGCTACCAAGGAATACCTGAACATCCCCTTTGGCAGCCTCGACTCACGCGTGTCATGGTATCTTATCAGTCTGCAATGGCATGTAGGTATGCTCTGGTCAATGCGACATCACCAAGAGAGCATTCCCAGGATTTGCTTTGCTGAGATGTTGTCATGTTCGTGGTGTTGTATACAGACCTTCATCCCGTAAGTGGATAGAGGTGGACTGTGAACTTCATCTCCCATGCCGTTAGGAAGACCCTCCGACGGATGGCACATCTCATCTTTGGCTGAGCCAGTACTGTTGATGGGTAATGGAAAGCGTGTTGAAGATCTCGAGGCGGAGCACTGCATCTGCGTCCGTCTGTGCAGGTGTGGCTTGCCAAGGCTGATCCGACAGGCTTGAACGCTGCTCGATGACTTCACCTTCTGCAAGCGACACCAGGCGTGCCAGGTTTCGCCATACAGTCAGCTTGTTGTGAATGTTCGCGATATATCTATAAGAGTAATGGCGATGAAGTGCATGTTTAGTTGATCGCAGGGCGAACGCCGCTGCGTCCAATCTTTGCACGGTCACCCAGCAGAGACAACCGACCGGCGACACATCTGCCACGAGCCCGCCACGAGGTCGTCAACATGCGAGGCTTAATGTACCGAATGTGGCTCACCGTTATCAACGTGTTCTTTCCGCCACTGGCTGTCGCTATGCTATGCGGGTTTGAATGGGACTGCATGCTCAACTGCGTCTTGTTTCTTTGCGCCGTGTTCCCTAGTCATATACATGGTTTCTATATATCATGCACATATTTCCATCGGCGGCACAAGGTCAGTAACAAAGTAAGCTCTACTACGATGGCCGACTGACAAGTTCACCAGGTCAAGAAAGGTCGTTGGCCAGGAGGCCCAAAATCTCTCATCCACTCCAGCAATGTCATCAATGGCGGGGCAAGCAATGCTGAAGCAGCCAGACTGTATGGCAAGGAAAGGGGACTTGAGGATGCGGAGAAGCTTAGCAGGCACAATAGTAGCCAGCGTTCCGAGATGACACAGATGCAAAGCAGGCGCGCAAGCCGACAACAATCTTATCAAGGCGGCGCCTCACCTCAAAGCGCATCTTATGAACACGGTAACCAATTGGACCGGATGGGAACGAACCAGAGTCGACTCTCGAGCAGACAAGCGAGACCATCTGCGCACAGATCGTGGACTGCAGAACATACTGCACAAGATGGTTACGGGATGCCGCAGCGCATGGCACATTCGCAGGCAGGGAGATAACCAGAACATTCGGCCTTACGTCCTAACGATACCGAGTGCGTCGCATTGTCGTGCGATCTGGACTCAATATACCATGTATATAGGAAACTCGTGGATAAGTTTATTCGTACACCTGATGCTCGATAGCCTCCTTGTGTCGCCAGAAGTTGCTGTATATCTATCGCGTGCCAATAGTCTCAACTCATGGTTAGGCGTTAAGGTGGTCGAAAGCTGTAGACATACTTCTCCGGCGCATATGCCGCACCTGAGACTCAACATCTTGACTTGTTTGTCAATGGCCGGGTTCTACGATATCGCTCACAAGTGGAGAGTAAGATCCGCAATGTCTTTCGCTATCCACATTGAATCTGATACAATGTCGCGGGCGTGATAGCTCCTGCGCTCAATATGGTACCAGAGCACGCTTTGGGTGTACGAAGGTCAACACGATAGCAGAACACGTGGCGGTGTTGTACATGCTCCAGCGCAGCACAATTGCCGGCAACTTTGACGAATTACTGCCTTCTAGAAGCCCGCTTGAACCTTCTACATCTCCACCCCTTCATGCACGACACGCCTCGCCAACGCTTGCGATTGTGCTTGGCGACCGCTGGAGCTCCGACAATGGCAGCGATTGGCTCGATCTTCCGCTCCCTCTCCACGCTTGAATGCTTGCGAGGGTCCAGCGTGCCGATCGCCAGGCAATCTGACATCGGAGACACGGCTCGTTATCTAAGACGGGCGTTTTAGCCGGACATAACAGAGTTGCGCAAAGAAGTCAACCTCACCTGGCACGCTTATTGGCAAGGTCGCCATGACCTCGTCCCCTGTCTCGCCGAAGTGGCGCGACCTCACGGTAACAGCTCTCCCCAGCATACCGACTCGCGGCCCGAATCTGCAAACTGAGCCCTCGCTGCCTCACAAGGTTCGACTTTCCTCCACACGACGATACAGCTCCCGAGCATTCGAAGGTCTAGTGCTGCTCAAGGATGGGGCGCTTCTACTGTCCACACTCGTCGGTTCTAGGTTCACTGCGATCGCTTTCTAACGGCATTGTCGCGGAACGCAATACTAGTGCTGTCTGAGTCGCGTATCTCATGGAACTACCACCTGCCTTTGATCCATTTCAGTGTTCATAACACTAACACCGGCCCGTCCTCTTCGTGTCAAGAAGGCCATCTGGAGAGCTTTGCTCACAGCAGTACTGCGCACCATTCTACCTCTACTCCCTTTCTCCACGACTCGTCGATCCGACCAACACGAACAGGGGAACCTTACTCTTCAACTCCAGGATGTTCAACAAGAACTTCTCCTGGGATACACGGAGGTCGCCCTCTCTGGAGTCCAGCAATGCTCCAACCACACGAGACACATCACGATCTGTATCGCCCTGTTCTGCGGTTGGACCGTTCCCTCCGCCACGATTTACTATGACCGACCTAGCTGCGCAACTTGGAGACTCCAGGCTACGGCATGATTCAAGAATAAACTACGACTCATGTGAAGCATATGCTGCCGCAGACGATGACGCTGGATGGACGATTGAGCCTACTATAGAAAATGCATGCACACTGGCACCTCTTAGTCAATCACGCACGTACCCTCTCAAGTTTGCCCGACCACATTCGCCGACACAACGAGGTCAACGGCAATCAAATGCAAGGCTACTTTGCACTTCTGCCCACAGGCAAGAACTGGCAGCTCTGGTGTCACGGATGGTGCAATCACAAAACCAGTGCTCGGTGGCAGAATCATGTACGCCTACGGCAATCGTCGCAGCAGACGAGGACGAGGAGGACAGCAGCGATGGGTCGACGGCGGCTCAGTCACGGCGCTCAAGTATATTGCACAGTGGCAGACGGAGACTGTCCGATATGAAGAGTACTGGCACTCGAGTGAATAAGAGCGTGAGATTCGGCAGACGAGAAAGAGAGCCCTCAAGAGTGCGAACTTCCGAAAAGACATGTTGAACGAGCGATGATACCCAATAAGAGATAGATGATGATAAGAAGTGGCGTAGGACGCCAGAAGATCAGCTGGCGCCACGATCAAATGACCTAGCAATTACATGCTTCGTGTACAAAGATGTAGCAACTATGTATGTCAATGCGATAGCGTTGAACGTGCGACGAAGCTCTAGCATGCTGCGCATGATACAATTATGGTTGAAACGCGTCAGTGACGGTTCCTATTATAATCAGTTTCGATGTTCGCGATTTCCACCGTCCCTTGATCGTATCGTCATTGTTGGTTGCAAGTACGGTTCAGGTCCGGTACTGGCCTCACGTCTTGGCGATATGATCTACTGATGACAGGCACCGGCTGCAGAGTGGTATTGCTCGAGTGTCGATGATCCTCAAGTAAAGCCCCAGCGAGGACGCTTGACCGATTAACATGTTACAACTTGCGATCTTACGGATATACAAATATGGCCCAAAAAGGTCCAACGTACACTGTCTGTATGCAATTGAACGAAAGATTTCTGATCGATCGATGCATGCTTGAGACTCCTTACAGCCTCATGTGTCTCGACAATACGCATTTCGTGATACGAGACGCCATTACAGCAACCGAAGTGGTCCATCTGATACAACAACGCTTCGCTGCTGCTTCCAGGATGAGACGACATAGCAGGCCTGTTTGATTGTCGAGGTGCTAGTTGGATACCCTTCTGGTCGTGTGAGTAGTAGATGAGAGCTGAAAGTGGACCGGGAACCAGCGGAAGCTGCTGATCGTGTGACGCTCGTATTGGCTACCTTCACGACTATACGATTGCATACATTGATATTGCTTCCATGCAGAATAGGCTTATCTTGACCGAGACGATTGCATTGTCAAGCTTTAGCATCCGCAGTTGGAGGAAGAAGAGCTGCAGGTACGCTCCGCTGCGCTGCACGTTTACTGATCCTGTCAGTGAGGACCACACCACGGCTGAGGTCGCAAACCACGCTCGCCACAGTTCTGCGCAGCATGTCAAGTGTTGATGACGTGAGGCGCAGTTGACCGGCATCCGCGCTGTCAAAGCTTCATTCGAATGTGCACAGTCAGCATTTCTTTCGACTTTCGCGCGCGGGAACACTCCCAGGACGACGTCACTCTACTCGTAATAATGGAGGTCTCATACTATACCAGAGCGATAGTTTGTACAGTAGTGGGAAGACGTTCATTGCCAAGCATCGATAGTTCTTCTGTTCTGCTGGAGTCAAGCCCATCCAATCCGAGCGGAATGTAACCCTCCACCTTTGCGTCACGGCGCTCGAAAAAGAAGCAGCTAGCCGCTGACGGTCTAGCGCCGTTGGTGTCCGCTACTCAACTTTGCTGACTTTCTAACATCGCGCAATCTTTTCTGACAGCGTAGCATGACCAGCTGCCTATGCAAACGCCGCCGTGACTACCCGAGGGCGCAGTCTCTCACCAAACGAGAGACACATTTCGTAGGGCTACCGTGGAGCCGACGAGTCGACTTCAATCTCTACATCTTACTGGTCAGATTGGCTCGCTCAACGTCCCCGGCAGCACCGCATGGCCGCCAAGCTTACTCTATCGCAGCCTCTTTGGCGGCTAGCGCTCTCGTGTTCGCCCGTACCCATCGGTCTGCTCTACCACCGCACAGGGTGACTTCGTGCCATGATTAGAAACGCATGAGTCTTCCCATATCGTGGATGACGGAAGCCTATGGAGGCGTGTAGAGGTTACGACGATGTATATGAAGGTAAGGTGGTACGCACATCAGGCTCCTTTTCCATCATCAATCAGCTCTCCCATCAATACAACCACAGTTTCCTGTTTCTTACTCTGTTCATCGATCAAGACCGCCACTCGCTTGGGTCTTGTTACAACAATCGCTACAGACACAATATCTGCATCCGACCAATACAGGCCCTTTCTACATTTACTAGGCACAGCATAGCAGTGAGAATGTACGCACAGCTCAGTGTTCTTGCCCTGCTCGGGGCGGCGACAGCCTATCCCCAAGACGGGAGCTGGGGTCAAGGTAGCAGCTGGGGCAACGGCGGAAGTTGGGGACAGACTGGCTGGTCCTCGAGCTCGACAGTATCATCCACATCATCCAAGCCCTCCAGCACATCATCCAGCACAACATCAAGTGTACCCAGCAGCACATCTTCTTCCAAGTCGTCTTCCTCACCAAGCAGCTCGTCGGCATGGAGCACCACCAGCTGGACATCCTCGCACCCAGTGACCACCAGCACATCGAGCACCGTCAACAGTACTTCATCGCACCCAACGACAAGTACCACGTGGAGCAAGTCATCGAGCTCTAGCTCGTCAAGCGTCAACACGACTTCTTCGCATCCTATCACAACCAGCTGGTCAACATCGTCGCACCCAGTGACGACAAGCTGGTCCACATCCAGTGCGAACACGACCTCGACTCGACCGACCAGCACCCCCACTTCGTCTTGGCTGACCGGCCACACCTGGAGTCAGAGCAAGAGCGCCTCGACTAGCAGCGTCAATTCCACCTCATCCTACCCAGTTACCGGCCACACGTGGAGCCACAGCACCAGCGCCTCCACAACCAGCAGTGTCAACTCCACTTTCTCGTATCCCATCAGTGGCCACACCTGGAGCCATAGCACGAGCGCACCTACTACTCCAGTTACAAACGCGACTACCACGAAGTATACTACAGGCACAACTTCGACCGTTGTCACAGTCACGACCAGCTACCCGGTGACGGAAACCAAGACTTCATATGTGCCTTGCAGCTCTCCTATCGGCACAAGCTCTGGCACTACCTATTGGTCGACATCGCTGACCACCAGCCATGTACTCACTTCCTACATGACTACCCAGACCAGCACATGGACTGCCTACCCGTCTCCATCGCACACCTCCGGCTCCTGGTCTAGCTCCATCCCAGTCGTGCCAGTCAGCCAAAGCTCGCCAGTCAGCCCTGCTATTGCTTCCACACCGGTCCCCACCTCGCAAGGTTCTTGCCCATCAGCTGGCGCTGTATGCCACTGCCCCGTCGTCCCAGTCCTAGGTACCGTGACCGTGACCAAGACAATCTACAGCAGCATGCAAGCTCAACCCACCACGACCATCCCAGCCGGCCCCCAGACAACTGAAACGGTCACTGTCACTCTCGGCAACGGCATGACTACCTGCATCACAATGACCTACCCCACCGGCCCAACGCCAGTCGGTCCTAGCAACGGAGGTCACGGTGGCCACGGCAGCTGGTCCCAGCCTTGGTACCCAGTCAGCGGCAGCACTACTTCCTCCGGCCCAGCACCATCCGGCACTGGTGTCTCCAGCAAGCCGTCCGGCGCTTGGGGAACTGGCAGCAAGACTTCCAGTATGCCTACTGGCTACGTCAGCAAGTCTTCCTCGTCTTCTGCCAGCTCTTCGACTGCGAGCAGCTCAAGCTCGAGCATCTGGTCTTCTACCTCTACTTCGACCAAGCCAGCTACCTCTTCCAGTGTGAGCACTTCCTCCAAAGCTACTCCATCGTCCACCAGCGGCTTAAGCTCGACCGAGAGTTGGTGGGCTAAGCCTACCGGGTGGGGTAGCAGCTGGTAGACAACTACAACCACAATCACGCGAAGAGTATAATGGAAATTCGATGTATATATGAGAGTACTTTTGCTCGACACGATCCTTTGACGAAATTAGCGGGCGGCGTTGGCGGGATGAGGAATATTATAGATGAGTATGCGTTACGAAGTTTGGACCTTTATTGCTAGATAGTATGGATATGCATAATGTAAAGAACCACACAATCGTTTCGCTTCCCAACTCATCATCGTCTCTCTTGCTTCCGACCTTCTAAGATTGCCCACAAGTAGCAGGTATCATCACCACGAACGTCAGTCCGTATGCTGACGTGCCCGAGCACGCGCCCAATACTCCCTTTGCAACGCTTGCATACTAAGATTGTCTAGATTGGCTTGGTCAGCACGACTTCCTGCCAGTTGCATAGAGCCTCCCTTCGCCCAATGTTCATGCAACTTACTAATCTGCTCCGCCATCAACACAATCTCATCCGTGACATCTTCTCCCTTTGCCATCCATTCCATGTGTTCGTGGCTAGCCGCACAAACAACATCGAGAGCATGCCCCGCCCAGGCACCGCAGCCTAGCCCCTCGGATAATGTTTCGAGCTCAGTAAAGAAAGCATCCCTTGCCGAAGCCCCATTCCACGCAATGCGCATGATAAGTGCTTGGTCGAGACTTAGCCATCGACTCCCTTGTACGAGGGCTTGTGGGCCATGACCGCGAAAGCATGGCAGAAGGTCGAGTCGAAAATACTGTTTCTTGCTCAGGTTCCGAAGGATCCAGTGGCTTTCACCCTGATCTACACCATCCATGCTGCCGGTAGCGCGAGTAGACTCGACGATGTCCATAACATCCCGCCACAGACGCGCGCGTAGCACGATCGATAATGGAGATGTGATTGTGAGTAGACTGGTGCTTAGAGCTTCCGTCCACTTTCGGAGTCCCTGCTTCCCACCCACATCCTCGAATCCATCATCCTCCGGCTCGGAAACGGCATTCCAGTTCCATCTCCGAGCCGGGCAAGGGCCATACCATCTTTTCCCTATACGACCACGTCCAGGTATGGTTGGACCGGAGTGGTAGTTCTCCATGAAAGCCTGATACTCGTCTTCCTTGGCCTTCTCCTCTGGTAATAGGTCGTAGATCGCTTCAGGGAGGGTGGTGAGATATGTTCCCGTACAAAGTAAAGGCTGACCTGCCCAGGATCCGGTATGCAGTCTCAAGTCGCGGCGGATGTGTGATAGAGTGTGAGACCATAGGGTGGTGGAGCAGAGACCTAGGTTGATGATATCCTTCGCTTCGAGATCAGACTGTGCGAGGACTAGTCCCAAGATCTCCGCCGGCAAGGCTTCGATCATCGAGAGGGAGCCGTTGCTGTGATGGAGGCTTGATACGACGCTTGATCTAGGCGCCGACGAGTTGACTCCAGTCACACGAACAAGCCTCTCAAAAGCACCGAAAACCATGCGATCCCAACGACGGAGGAAGTCCATGGGTGTGGTATATACGGAGCCGCGCGAGTGACCTAGCGTGTGGCGTTGGTGACATGATGGGGCGAGGACATGCCATCGTTGTGTTGTACGACAGGTCTGGTCGACGCCGGGCGGACACATGGTGGTAGAGAGGACGTAAAGATGACAGCGAGGTGTGGTGGGAAGGGAGTGATGGATGAAGAGTGGAAGGCGTGGGTAGAGAAGAAAGAGAGGGGGAGGAGAAGGAGGATGTGCGGGGGAGGGTGCAGCTTTTTGTATGTGGGTCGAAAGTTGGGAGCCTGGGGTCACGTGATGGGCATGGATCGTGCCTCCCGAAGGTGGCCCTGCATGCTAGCCCGTCCTGTATTTTGAGTCGGGTTTGAAGGACAGGATAGCTAGTGGTCGGCGTTCTGATTGCATCATGAGCTCGTAGTGCCCGCAAGACCACCCGGGTGCACAATTGTCGTTCGGTGTGGAGCCTGTGCGGTGTAGTCGTTCAGGCGCAGCGCAGGGGTGATTCCAGGTCAAGAGTCCCGTGAGACGGAATGCGCGTGCGTGAGTTGATACACGGAGATGGCGCATGGTAGGAGCTATATGGTTGCTTAATTGGAGTTCAGCTTTGTACATACCATGTCAAATTTAGGATACCATATTCCCTCCTCACGAAGCTGGCACAGTGCTGCTCCCCGCCTTCCACACCCTCTTCAGACCCTCGGTCAAACCCACGTCGTTAGTCTCGAACTCGTACCAACCCCAGCCGACCACGAATACAGCAAGCATGTTGCCGTAGTCGAAGAGCTTGCGCCAGAAGGGTACACGTCGTGAGGGCAGGTAGTCGGATATGATGGAGCTGTGTTGGATGAATCAGCATTGGGAGAGGTCTTCAGAAGATGCAGTGCACGGGTGTTGATAACCTAGTATCTTACCTAAAGCCAATATATGTGTGGATAATAATCATGCCGATGAAAGCACCATCAAGCACTGGACTGAGCGAGCCAGCGGCGAAAGGTGCAAGGCTGATGGGCAGGAGTGCCGCGGATAGACCTCTGTATGGAATCAGCATATACCACCCTCAGTATACCTTTCAAGCTGCTCCCCACCTTTCGAATGTCCAATGGTAGTTGCCGTGCAGGGCATTTGGTTCACCCAGTATTTGCGCATCGTTCACTGTGCCCTGTAGTCTTTGTGGAAGCGGTGGGAGAAGCTCGCGCTTGGCTGACGTCTGGAAGGTGGCTTGCTGTAGGGCTAGAGGCGTTCTTTGGAGGAGGAATCGCTGCTGTGGTTGAAAGGCGGGCAGGGTGGAGGATATGAGGCGAGCAGATGGGCTGGCGAAAGCCTGGCGGAGCATGTTGGGGCGGAGAGCGGAGGCCATGTTGTCGACTATGCGGACAGTAGTGAACAAGGCCGGTGTGTCGCGCGAGCTGTCCGTGGATTATTGAGAGATGGTGATATCGAGCTGACTTGATTCCGGTCCTCGGCTTGGATTGGCAGCGCTGCCATTGGCTGACTTTTAACGGCAAGCTCCGACGAGCTTTGGAGATTCTCAAGATTCATGCAGCATTATTGACAGCAGTTCACGGCCATATCGCAGCACCGCCCCTCCCCCCCTCACAATCCATACATCGCCGACCATGGCCTCGAGGAACATCGCCGCCCGGCTGCACCAAGGTCTCCGAGCCAAACGCGCAATCGGCGCCGTCAAGAACAGCAATCTACGGGCACCGGGCTTGACCCGTAGTCTGGCTACTCCTGTGAGCCATGGCGCCACTACGGAAAGCACGACGCTGAGCAATGGCTTCACGGTATGTTCAGGATATCGGAGAAGGGTTGGATGTGGCAGAGGGATGTGTACTGATGGCTGTGTGCTGGTCTAGATCGCAACCGAGCACTCCCCCTACGCCCAAACCAGCACTGTTGGTGTCTGGATCGATGCTGGCTCTCGCGCCGAGACAGACAGGACGAATGGCACCGCACACTTCCTCGAGCACTTGGCATTCAAGGGTGAGTGGGCTACGAATGCAAGAGGTGAGATGAGTCACTTACACATACCGCAGGCACGCAGAAGCGTAGTCAAAGCCAGCTCGAGCTCGAGATTGAGAACATGGGCGCCCACCTCAATGCCTACACGTCCCGCGAGAATACCGTGTACTACGCTAAGGCCTTCAACAACGATGTACCCGCCACCGTGGACATCCTTTCCGACATCCTCCAGAACAGCAAGCTGGAGAGCAGCGCCATTGAGCGCGAGCGAGACGTTATTCTCCGCGAGCAAGAGGAGGTCGACAAACAACTAGAAGAAGTCGTCTTTGACCATCTCCACGCCACCGCCTTCCAGAACCAGCCTCTAGGCCGCACCATCCTCGGACCCAAAGAGAACATCCAATCCATCACTCGTGACGACCTCCAATCCTACATCAAGACCAACTACACCGCCGACCGCATGGTCCTCGTCGGCTCCGGAGGCGTCCCTCACAACCAACTCGTCGACCTCGCCGAGAAATACTTCTCCCACCTGCCCCAGCATAACTCCAGCCAACAAGCCCACGCCGCCGTCCGGGGCACAGAACAGACCCCGGACTTCGTCGGCTCCGAAGTCAGGATAAGAGACGACACGATCCCGACCGCCAACATCGCTATTGCAGTCGAGGGCGTAAGCTGGAAGGACGACGACTACTTCACCGCCCTCGTCACCCAAGCCATCGTCGGCAACTGGGATCGCGCGATGGGCAACTCGCCTTACTTGGGAAGCAAACTCAGCACTTTCATCCACGAGAACAAATTGGCCAATAGCTTCATGTCGTTCAGCACGTCGTACTCCGATACCGGGCTCTGGGGTATCTACATGGTCACGGACGCCATCACCCGCATCGACGACTTGGTCCACTTCACCCTCCGCGAATGGTCTCGTCTCTCCTTCTCCGTCTCGGAAGCTGAGACCGAGCGCGCCAAGGCACAGCTCAAGGCTTCGATCTTGCTTTCGCTTGATGGCACGACGGCGGTGGCGGAGGATATCGGAAGGCAGATTATCACTACCGGTCGACGGTTGGCTCCCGAAGAGGTGGAGCGGGCGGTGGAGAGTGTCAAGGCCGCCGATGTGATGAAGTTTGCGCAGGCGAAGCTGTGGGATAAGGATATTGCTGTTTCGGCTATTGGGCAAATTGAGGGGTTGTTGGATTATGCGAGGATCAGGGGTGATATGAGTAGGATGCTGTCGTAGGTCGTGCAGAGTACTGAGGGTTGAGGAGTGAAGGTTGAGAGGTGGTCGGTGGAAGTGGTAGTGGCGTGTAATCACATAGATGCTCCGCTCGCTGCTTTGCTTGCCTCATTTGGGGAGGTAGAGGAGATAGTGACTTTTGTACATTTAGCTCGTGTGTGTGTGTAAGTGTGTCTCACTCATCAAGATTGCGGTCGCTCCCTCATGTATGGTACTGTACGGTCGACATCTGCAGACATCACCTCTGGATCAACCCTTGTAGCGAGGTGCCAAAACCAAGCCGAATCATTATCGCGAAGCATACATGATATGAGTAGTAGCAAGCATCAATCACACAGTCTTTCCTCCTCGCCGACCTGTCCTCCGTCTGGCATGGGCACACAACAATTTTGCCCACTAAGAAGTGCTTTTTACGCGGCAACATGCACACTACTATTCACGCCCCTAACAATCCCGTACGAAACACCCGCCGCCACAACTCCAATGACGAGTGTCTGCAAAGCACTCCACAGCGCATCTTTGCGTTGACAGCCAGTGATGATGGCTTTGACGTAGCCGAAGACGACGAGGATGAAGGCCGTGATGCCGATGGAGGTGAAGAGGGCGTGGGTGACGTTGTGGAAGGCGAAGTAGGGGATCATTGGCAGTAAACCACCTGGCCGGTATTTGTGAGTAAGTTCTTTCTTTCGTGAGACAAGGTGTTCGGGAGGGATTAGAACGGACGGACTCACCGAAGAAGTAGGCGACGGCCATTACTAGACCCGCAAGCCACGCCCCTTTAGCCGCCGGTCTCTCGAGCTGGAGCTCAAAATCCATCATAAACCTCACCCACACCTCCGGATCCCTCTTCAATCCCTGCACAACCCCCCTCGCCTCCTCCCTTCTCACCCCATAACTAGCAAAAACCTCATAAATCTCCTCCTCCTCCTCTGCTGGTTTCTCGATCACTTCTTTCCACTCCCGCGCCTCCTCGTTCCGGTAATGTTTGGCTTCGGTCACGGTGGCGAGGTAGGCGCCGAGACCCATGGAGATGGAACCGGCGAAGAGTTCGGCGAGGCCGGCGAGGATCACTAGGTGCGTGTTTCCGAGGCTGGAGAGGCCGGCTGTGAGGGCGAAGGGGACGGTGAGGCCGTCTGCTAGGCCTATGGTGAAGTCGCGGAGGAGGGGGGAGGAGGAGGAATGGGTTTCTTTGTGGGGGCTTGGTTTTTCCGTGGCTGGCTCGATGGGGGTTGCGGCGGAGCTGGAGGTGGAGAGTTCGGCCATGTTTGTGGGTTCGTTCTTCGGATTACCAGGGGTGGCGTCGTGTGGGAAGGGGAATACTCTTCGTCTGCCTGGTGCGGTACGTCGTGGGGATTATGTTCGCAGTCCTTCGTGACTGAGATGCAGACTCGGACTCCTGACGTGGTGCGTCGTACGCCCCTTCCACAAACTTGGTCTTGGTGACATCTTCGAGGTGTCACTGTCCCGCGTGGTATATCCTGATATGATCAATCGCTGGATCAGATATCGCCAAGCCAGTTAAATGAGGCGTGATATCTGATCGAAAACTTGAGGACGGGTTGGTAAAGGAAGATGAGAAAGAGCCGAGGATACTTGTGGTGGTTTACAGGCATAGATGCCAAGCATACAGGTGCCGTTGTGGTTGACACGGTGTCAGTTGGTATGTATGAGAATTGAAAATCGTAAAACGAACATTCGGCAACCTGTGGGAGCCGTGAGCTTGACGCATTCATCACTGCACTTCTGTTCGAAGACGGGAACTGTGCCTAGCGATAATGTAGTCTGCGATGCTCGACATTCTTGGAACTGAGTGTCAGTGAGGTGAAGTATGAGATCGGTGGAGTGGAAGTAAGTGACGAGCTCCACACATGAAGATCCAGCCTGAACACCATGATTGCTTGTACGGTGTACTAGTACTAGCCGTGTGCTTTTCGATTTCCGTCTTGCGGTGCCGCTCATCATTCTTCCGTCTCGCTCGTCTTGATGTAAGAATATGCTGGCAAAGCACCATTAGCAGCCGGCAGGTCGAAGACGGCAGGCTATTGGTGGCACCGCCATCGCGATACCATATGGCGTACGATAGAGTGTCCTAGCTCATGGCCTTACCTCTCTCGAGCGTTCATCCCAGCTGCATCCTTACGCAAGCAGTCCACGCAATCGCCGAAGACCGGATGGTGGCGAAGCATCAGGCACGCCTCGCAATAGGTCCAACTCAAAAATCTGCCAATACCGACATGCAACCACAGATGACTTGCATTGCATAGCCCTCTCCCGTCCGGCGCACTGCTGATCACAAGGTCTCCTTCTTCACGAACTCACCCCACCTACCTTGCAAGCATACGCGTGTGTCTCACGCAAACATCTGAGACAGGCGTTGGACAATGGGCGACGTGTGTTGTGCTGTTGATTGGTTGCGGACACGCCCCACTGCGAGTCCGCACTCCCCTGTTTATCGATGTCGATTGGAGACGGCAGACGTCGCTTCTTTGCACACGCCAAGACCAGCGTACCACACATTTGGGCGAACCCCGATCTTGCAGCCACGGCCCATGGATGTGGTGTGCGAGGTTGCTGGCTGTCCCGGTTGGCACTCGGTCATTACTGGGCAGGCGTAAGCCGCTGTTATGGTGGCACTTTTCCAGACTGCCGAGCGTGCGGGACCTGGATTGCCTTTGTCTAGGAATATGTACATGTGGCTCGCGCTATCCGGGTCTCGTGTTAACAGTGACTTCTTGCGCAGGCGCAGACGGTGAGCGTACTATTCTTCATGCTCGTACAGGATGGTTTCATTACTTTTGGTGAGAGGACTGGGCCAACAGCCGTCAGACGTGTCCTTTTGATCACGAAACTCCCGGGGCTGAGTATTTGGTGTGGCCTTGGATACAGACGACCTTCGTTTGGGAGAACAAGTGGAAAGAAACCTTGGAGCAGGCCTCCACGATCGTTTTGGGCGGTGGTTTGGGCTAGCATTGGCCAGGTTGAGTGCCAAACGGATTAACGACTATATCTTACGGTACTGGGCCACAAAGACGGCCACAAGCTACAAAACCATTGTTCGAAGCTCGGAGACTGAGCAGCAACTTGCTCGGCCTCGATAATGTCAAGCGAAGACATGCCCCTCCTTGAGGAGCACCCACCGATCAACGTCACTACACAGCAGCTCCCACGCAACTACTCGAAGCCTTTCCTCACCCCAAGTCCTCCGATAGCTCCTGCAGAAGCACTGTATCAGTTCGAGAGAGGCCAGTCACCGCCAAGCGTATGGCCGATCCCCGTCGAAGTGTACCGACCTCTACGGCGCAAGCCTTCAAGCTCACACTTGTCGTCGGCGGGGACCATTCAGGGTGGAGTTAGCGAGCGACCACTAGCGCCGTTCTCTGCAGAGAAGGGTTTGCAGAATCTTCTGCCACCTTTCACTCCTTCGCACTTCCCATCACCCTCATCGCCTTCGTTAGCATCCACCATCACGACTTTACAGTCGACACCATCGCAGTCGCCTGCGGCATACCAAGCAGACCTCGACGAGGAGTTGAGGGAAGAAGCGAGTCAGCCTCTGTTTACCAAACGTAAGTTCCCTTCTTTTACGCAGGCAAAGCGACTCCCCAGGCGGGCAAGTGGGGAGTGGTACGTCTACGCGGCGGTCATTGAAGGCAACGCGGAAGCAATTCATCAGGAAGCTGTCAAGAAAAGGGCGAGGTCGGTACGATTGGCGGGCGTTGATAGTGAGGAGTCGGACGCGAGCGCCCACAGCGCGTCGGGAGAAGAGAAGGACACGACTACCCAATCCACTTTTACGCTTTCGAATTTCAAGTTCCCAGCCCCGTCAGGCAAGGCTTGGGCTGACACTTTTGGTAAGTTTTCAAATGTGATTGTCCGCTTCACATGACTGATGGGCTCGCCGCCAGGACATTTGCACGAGCCGACGCCACCAACGAGTCCAGCAACATTACACTATAAGGGTGCATCGTTCGAGCTGGTAAATCCTCGCGCATCTCTTCTTCTTGTAAGCAATCCCAAGCCCCCAGCGACCACTTCACTAACTTTCCCAGGGAAAGCAGGATATTGAAACCCCGGCAGAGATCGATGGGCTTTTGGATGACTACTTCTGCGCCTCCGAAATGCCTTACAACCACGTGACGGGAGAGCTCTCTTCTCCTGTCCTTGACACATCAGAAGATGGCTCCCGCCGTACGCGCACTCTTTTCACTGACGCCAGCAGTGCGAGACGCACAATCATGCGCATTCCGAGTCTCCCCGCAGATCGCTACTCGCCCCCCGCACAAGATTCACCGCTTGCTGGCCGGTCGACCTCCCAGCCAGTATCGCAGCATGACTCCATTGGAACATTCCAGCAGCAGGGAACTGGTCCCCAAAATCACTTCCAACCTGCACCACTAAACCCAAGCAGCTATAGAGAAGACACCAGATACAGATTTCCCGCAGACACTCAAGACCAGGTAGCCACTGGGTTCGATGATGACCGAAACGATAGAGCCAACATCTCCCACCGCACGAGCGTGTTCAGTGATCCGTTTGACCTGGAGTCCAGCGAGGAGACTATAGAGCTTGGTCGCAACAATCTCGACGAAATGATCACGACCCAAGATCGTGAGGACTCCCTGAACACTTTGTATACCATTGAGCGGGACAGCGAGCTGATGACCTCGGAAGATGGCGATGAAGTTCAAGCGTATGTATCAGCTTCATCCCATCCATCGCTCTCCCGTTTCATGAGATCATTTACGAGCTGTTTTTCGCAGGCGTCTAAACTCCCAGAACCAAGATACCACCCTCGATGACTTCTTTGGCGCATACGAATATACCAATCCGGATGTTGGACATGGCGGACTCTACGAGGACAGAAGCCCACCTTACGGTGACACTGGTCCATATTCTGCATCTAGTGAGGGCTTCGACGATAGTGCTCCATTCTTGGACGATGTAGCATCTCCGGCCCCATGCCGTCCGCTCTCGCACGGCCCGGCTGGATATGCTGAGCTCAACGATCAGACCGGTCTCCGTCCGCGCACTCATACGCATGGCATCTCCATTGAGCCAAGAGGGCCACCACCAATGACGCCTCCTCAAGCTCCCGCACTGTCTCCACAAGCTCGCCTTCCCTATCAGGCTGATTGCACGGAAATACCAAGCACCAGTCAGGAGTATGGACCGACCAGTCAGCTCCTCCGGCTGACGCCAACTTCTCAAGGCCCAGCTCAGCCGTCACATTTCTATCCGAACGGCGGCACCATGATTGATGGTAATGGTCCGCGATCAGAGACCAAATATGTTACCGCAGAACAACGGAATGTTCCGCCGTCGGACTCCGCCATGGGATGTGCAGATCCAAGCATACCAGCCGTCTGGTCAAACACAGACCTGCGTCGTCGGGGTCAAGCAAGCGCACCACATCTCCGTGTCCCAGCGGCTGTCGCAGTTCGACTATCGACCCGCTTCAGCCTTGACGATGAAGGTGACTGGGAAGACGTCTCAGTAGAGGTTCGGCCCGGCGACATTCAAGATGCACATCGGGAGAGCATAATCAGCGTTGCTAATGTCAGTGATGCTAGCACTGTCAGTGACTTGATAGTGCCACCCATGGCGCCAACTAGGGAGCGGTCCACGCTGCCAACAACAATTCAGCGGGCGGCGACAAAGTTGCAGCGTGGGAATCTGAAGCCGCGTGAGCTGCTGACCCTGCCCGGCGAGACCATCCATGATCGACGTGTTCACCGTGCAATGCAAGTCCTTCGAACCATATACGAAGAGAAAGGTGCTCTACCGTCGAGCACCAGTACTGGGTGTTCTCCCGCTGATAAAGAATTGACGAAGAGACTCGAGCGCGAGCTGGTAGCACTTCGCAGGGAAGATGAGACTGTGATTCGCGAGGCCGTTGACGCATTGACGCTGGAGATGAACCGAGAGCGGCCAGCAACTTCTCATCACAAGGGCAAAGGCCGCTACGATCCGAATATCAGCTTCGATCACATCATACGCAAGCTCAGCCTCGATCGTATGAGTCTTCATGGCAGCGAGCAGCGTAGCCGTGCATCCAGCACGCGCAGTCTACCGGGGACGCAATCATCAGCACAATCCGGAGGTCTCAGCTACAGTCCCTCTCAAGGCACTTTCATAACCGTCAACGAGGGAGATGTGGACACTCCTCCGATGCCGCCATTGCCTGCCAACATTTCTCACTGGTCGCCACTGGGATCTGCTTCACCTGTCATACCCTCACGCGGCGAATACGGCACGATATGTAAGATGCGCACTCAAGCCGATCAAGACATGGAAATGGACGAGCTCACCATCACTGGTAGACGTCTTCCGGCAGTCAGTAGTCAGACTGGTCTGCGCCCTATGCACCTCGGTAACAGCCACCAGGACAGCACTGCCACTATCGTCACGCCAGATCACCGTCTGACAGATGCAGAGCTCATGCAACGCGCGCCAGCCTGGACCATGACTCCCCCAGTCAGTCTTCCTGGCCGCACTGCCCTTGATCTAGGCCCACGAGACGGCCCCCGCGCTCGCCTTCTGGATGCCGAAAATGCTGGGAGCGAAGGCTTGATCGCTGAGCAGAAGAAGATCAGTCGACGCTGCTTTGCTCTGGTCCAGTATTGCCCGATCTCGGCGTTCTTGTTTGGAATTAGGTATCTTGACAAGTACGCTGAGAACTTGAGCGCAGGACGTGTGAAGGAGATGCGGAGGAATGATAAGGAGTGGGCTTTGTACGTTGCGGCGCCTTTGGGGTGTATTGTGTATGCTTTGATTGGTGTCGTTACCGCCATGGTCGTGATCCTCACTCGCGTGACGTGAGAAAAGATATGGGAGAGAACGCCTTATGGACACGAGATCAGATTGAGATAATGAGGATTGGTTGAGTGTATGCGCTGGAAACCGCGCAGGCACTTCGTAGTATTGATGAGTTGATGGCCTCTAATCTTAAAAAGCCTCTCCATGACTCTACTAGTTTCGTGAGCTCTTGTAATGCACCTGCAGTACCCTAAGTCCAATACCGAGTTGCTCGAAGTGTTTGGTACCGTGAAGAGGAAGGTGAATATCGTCAGAGGCCGAAGGCCACATACAAACAGGTAGGTATATATGTATAATGTCTAGTACAAGTGAAAAGGTCGTCGCCGTGTACACTAGCCAGACTATGGCTTGGAATTTAGTCAACCCACCAACTCCGCGCTAAGATGTCAAAACCCAAAGCAGCCGATACTCGCTCATACTATCAGCAGACAGCCGAATAAGCCGCCTGTGATTGCTGCTCCGACCGTGAGGGTCAGCCCCAGTAACGTCGAACTTGCTGGCCGACTTGGCACGGCCATACTGGTCGACGTGGCTCCACCAGCTCCTGCTGTCGATGTGATCTCTGATTGAATGATAGGGTACGAGACTGTCGATTGCACGACTGTAGGTGTGCTGCTGATGGTAGCAGTGTACGTGGTGGCAGTGACCGTCTGTATCACGCTCCCCAAGAACCTGTCTCCGCTCTGTCCGCAAAGAGACGAGCCGCTGAGCGAAGATGCTGGATAAAGTACGGCTGGTGCGCCTGCACTGATTGGTATTGAGAGTGAGCTCTGGCCATCCAGATTGTAGGTCTTGCAGGTCAGGACTTCCATGAGCTGGGTGTTGGCCGCATATCCAAAATCGCTCAGGGGTACATCCAGCGTGAATGCGCCACCGTTGTCTCCACCGTTGGTGAAGATCGAAATGACCTGCGCGCCCTTGCTTCCCTTCGCCGTGACTAGTATGTGGTCGTCCTCTTGCACTACGGTACTCGCCATCGTAGTATACGACTTATCTTTCTGTATGACCTGATGCCGGAGTGCGTTTAGTGTGGATATGGTTTGGTATATCGAGGCGAAAGGGTTGAGGCCGGTTTCCCACAATGGCTCTCGGTTTGTGTAAGGATTGGTGCCTCCTCGATAATGCTGTTCTTGGCCCTGGTAAATGATAGGAATTCCGTCGGACATCAGTACAAAAGCCGCAACATTTGTAGCAAGCGCCATATCGTCAGTGGAATTGCCGAATCTCGGTACATCCTGGTTCTACAGTGCTGTTAGCATAGTTCGTCCGCATGAGACATGATTCGAGCATACCTCGCTGAATGTGCCGAGAACGGTCACGTCCTTGAACGCCTGTGCATTGGTATTCATAGCGTCCGCCAGATCACCCATCTTGCCATCGCTCTGAAAAGCGGATGTCAAAGGCCAGTATAATGGATAGTTGAGAGTACTGCCAACCGCGTCCTCGTACATGGCCACCACCGAAGCATTCGAGTGGTACACCTCAGCAGTCGCAAATATCCCCGCGCTCTTTATAAAATCGGGGAAGAAATCGGGCTGCACGTTGACCCCAGCGTCGATACGCAGACCATCGACAGACCAGTTCCCAACTATTTGCTTGATCCAATCACCGAGCATTGACTTGACAGAATCAGACTCGGTGTCTAAATCTGCGAGTGGGACGTGATCCGAGCCCAACCAGCACTCCTCAAGGGATGTCAAGTTCTTGCCAGAAAAGTCCATCTCGCAGTATGGATGGAAGTAGCTCTGGTCGTTGAAAGGGTTGAACACATCGTAACTGATGTTTGCTGGTGGTCCACCGGTCCACGAATTGTATGCCATGTGGTTGACCACTATATCAAGCATAAAGAGCATGCCGCGCGAGTGCACAGCATCGATGAGCTTGTGCAGATCGTCCGCGGGCCCAAACTTCGTGTTGATTGAGTACAGATCCTGCTGCCAGTAACCGGCATAACTCTGTCCATCTTTTGTGAATTGTGGCAGCTGCGCAACGATGGGAGATATCCATATCGCATCAAACCCCATGCCCTGTATGTAGTCTAAGTTTTCCATTACCCCTCGCCATTGTCCTCCGCAATACGGCCCTAGTTGTGTCTGACATGGCATCCAAGGAGTGTGTGAGTTCAGGGCGAATCTATCGGTCATGATCTGGTAAATCGAGCGTCCGCGCCATTGATCGATGGTCGCTCCAGAAGCGAATGTGTCCAACAAAAGGAGAGAAACCGCGGCCAATGCGCTCGTGGGCGCATTCCCAATCATTATAACGACAACAAAGAACGGCCAAGGATGCAAAGAGAATGATCGTTATAATGTAGATAGCAAAAGCACAAGACAACGGCAGCAACAGAAGTGGACACCACGGATGGACACGAAGGTTTCGTGGTTTTCTCCTCGTTGCCTGTGACCTGCCATACCCCAGATGGACACGAGAACCATTCTAAATTGGTAGTCATTTCTCGGCAGAGGCGAGTTGGGCGAATTGGGCGACTCACCCTGGCCGCGGCGTCAGGGATTTACATCATCCCAGTCATTGCTGATCGTATTTCATGCGCTAGACATCTGCGCGGCTCCTCGTACCTGCGCTAGACACTCCGGCTTTGCCGCTGTTAGGGGTCGGAATATCGCCGACAGCAGGACAATGACAGGGTAGAAGTGGGTGAATATCGTTCATCGTCAAGAACACATCCTTGCCATAACGACGAAAGACCGAAAGCTCGAATACATGTAGGAGTGTGCATGATGGTGCTTCCGGATCGGCGGGATGATCCTCGTGTGCACTTTGGCCACGCTCGCATAGCTCGTATGGCGCATCACTGGCAAAGTGACTTTGGCGGAGCGGACCGCCGTCGACTCTACCGTTGCCAAGATCAGCCTGATTCGAACAACCTAGATCTCTGCCACGCGTGCTACACAAGGCAGAGACATGAGAGGACTCCACAGCAATATGCCAGCCCTGTGCAACCCACAGAAGACCATAATGCAGCACCCGCATTTAGTACTGAGGCCAGGCTCTTCAAATTCGGCGGGTTCGCAAAGCCATCTCTCATGATACGGCGCTGTTGTGATTACTCGTCTCAATAACAATCGACCGTGCAGTGGTCCTTCGCGGTCATTGAATGTCCAATTTCGATGTTCGTGTGCTGCTGGAGAGGACGCGGAATGATGCAGTGGAGCAATCGACGCTGGAGCTGCCGCGATTTGTACCACCACGTGGCTGGAATTATAGCTGACCCAATGTTAGGATATTCGCAACCCGGCATTAGCGATCTTCGAGGCCTTCAAGGTCTGCGTTCAGAAGTAAGTCGACTTGCTTGGTGAGATGGGGCGTATAGATCTACGCAAAGCTTGATAAGTCTTCATTCCAGCAGATGCATACCAGTGTTCATGTAAGCAGACTCTCGTATCCTCCAGGATGACGAGCGCCAGGCTGGAATGTCTGCCACGCCTACCCACGAGGACTGTTCGATCACATCATGGAAATCGCCTGCCCTCTGTACTTCTTCACGGACCCGCCTAACAGCTCCTGCACATTGCCGAAGATATCATGTCAAGCTTTGCGATTGGAATCCCGAAAACTGTATACGGAAGTTGAGGAGCCGTGTATACATGCCGTACGCTATTTCCACAAAGCGCTGAAGGCGACTTCGCAGTCAGCCCCTCTGAGGGACAATGTTCCGTGGTCATAGACGACACCACTCCGCAGGCAGCCACTCCCTCGTGCATGCTTTACAACAAGCAAGGACTACGAGGATCTCGAGAAGAACCACGCCGAAAGGGACTCAAAGTAGCCACAACGGGTATCTAGCTCAATGGAAAGCTGTTCTGAGTGCGAAGGTCAAGATTGACACTAGCAGCCTAGAGACTTCAGCACTACGGTCCAGATCTGCTGGATTTCGCTCGTGATACCCGTCAACCTCTTGGAGGCCCGACTGCAGACGAGTTGATCATCCAGCCAGTCCTTCATGTCTGCCACTAGCTCCGGCATAGTCGTCAAAACCTGACGAGCCTCTTTCACTTTAGACCGCACAGCCTCTTTCCCTTCCAATTTTGAAATTTCGGCGGTATCAACACAGAATGAAACATTAAGTGGAAGGAGTACGAGAATGTTGTTCAGCCAACCACGCAAGACGTCCTTAGCCTTGTGCAGGGCTCTGACGACCAAAGTAGCACCACTGAGCGCTTTGATGGCCTCTGCCAAACGCTGAACTGCTTATCCCTCTCCACTAGCATCCATTGGGAAGGCCATGTCGTGCCTGTCGGGCGAAATGGTCGGTTCGAAGTATATCTCATCGATTCTGCTATTCGCCTCTGCTTGGAGCCTCTTCTGCTCCTCTTCCAGTCTCTGTTTCTCCATCAGGTGAGCCTGGAAGTCAGCGCTCGTGGATGGGAGAACTACCATCCAGCCTTCAAAGTGTTCACCCCCTTCTGCCGACATTCATGGGGAAGTGAATGTGCTCAGATGAAGAGGCCGTCTCGGAAATCGTGCGTGAATTTTCATACAGCTCATACCACAATTTCGCACTTTATATGAGCAAGTTTCGAAGCGTTTGCTTCACCGCATCTGAGTGACAAGATCGTGACAGACCGCATGAGCATTTGCTAGGCTTCAATACGCGATCACTGCAACAAGAGCATGCTACAGTGCCAAGATCTTGCCATACTATGTTGTGTTAGCCTTAGTCGAGATGTAAGAGACATCCATGGGGTGTGATTTACAAGTGCCAGAAGTCTTCAGACATCAAGAAGCCGTATGCACTCGGGATCCATACTCTAGACCCAGCGGGATCCTTAGCAGTAGTATGGTCGTAGTACCATGGAGCATTTCGAGAGTACATCAGGTCTACCACCATGATCGCGTCAGCTCGAAGTCGTCTATCGATAGTGATTCTCATGCAAGTCCCAACACGAGATTGTCGGATCTATCAGGATCTCAGCCACGATTGAAGTCATATAACAGTCATCAGTGGAGCGTCCTCTACCCTGGTCCGGGAGATGTGCGATCTCGTCAGGAAGCTCCTGTCATTGCGTGGGCACACGACGATGTCCCTGTCGCTCCTCAGCACTGCGTCCATCCCATGCCTACGAGGAGACTCAATTGCTGAGCAGTCTCGCGTGGCGAGAATATATATGCTACACGTCGCTGCGAAGCAATCTTGACATCTGATTGGTTCAGCTCGACCAGTACCGAATTGAAGCTAGGCAATCCGGTGGTTTGCATCGCAGAAAGGTTATGGACAAGGGGGTGGTGATGAGTTTGCAAATAGCAGCAATCACACGTGTAAGAGGAGTCGCGGAACATAATGCGAGGCAGACTGTCAGTATGGTCAATCGACCTGTTTACGTGGCGTGTATAATCATAAGTCGTCTCGAAAGCTCGAATGACCCCAACCAGCGGTCAAAGCCGGATCGACGCTTCTTTGCTTAGAATTAGAACTAGAACACTGCAGCTTCCTTATTACTATAGCCAACCATCAACAACACCACCCAGCACTTTCCTTCATCGTCGGCCCCGCCACATACCTTTGTGATACACACTACCATCAGGTGAGTCCCCATGGCTGCGCTCGCAACAATGCAGAGCCGGCCCCACCTCCAAAGGATTTGCTTCTGCATCAATGTGCTGGTATACTTCCGGAAAAGAGCAAGGGCGCTCGTTGCAGCCGGTAGACTGTGGAAGCTGCTACACCCAGTCATCGCACTCACCTACGATACATGGCAAGACGGCCTAGGCGCGCCTGCTGAGAGCGGTGGTGGTCGGGTGGACACAAGCAATGCCCAGAGCGGAGTCGTCAACCATAAAACCGTGATGACCGCGCCCAACACGCAAGGCATACTGCAGTCCACCGTGACTACCGCCGTTATCACGCGCACCGATTCCCGTTATTTCGGCGCTCACTCGCAGCCTCTCCAGTCTTCCTACCATTGTACCATTTCACACAGAAGGTTTTGCGAATATCCAGCTGACAGTGCCTCTTTACAGACTCTAACTGGACCCGTCTCACTACCGCTACAATGGGTTACCAAGATTCCGTCTACCTCGCGAAGCTCGCTGAGCAGGCCGAGCGCTATGAGGGTACGCTGGCGCAAATTTTTCCACGCCAGGACACACAGCTCACGTGTCACAGAAATGGTTGAGAACATGAAGACCGTTGCCTCTGCCGACCAAGAGCTCTCCGTCGAGGAGCGAAATCTGCTCTCCGTCGCCTACAAGAACGTCATTGGCGCTCGCCGTGCCTCTTGGCGCATCGTCACCTCGATCGAGCAGAAGGAGGAGTCCAAGGGCAACGAGCAGCAGGTCCACCTTATCAAGGAGTACCGCGAGAAGATCGAGCAGGAGTTGGCCAAGATCTGCGAGGACATCCTGGAGGTCCTTGAGAAGCACCTCATCCCTTCTGCTCAGAGCGGCGAGTCCAAGGTTTTTTACCACAAGATGTGCGTCGATCCACTTGAAGATCATTGCGTGGTCAAGTGCTGACTCTGTTGCAGGATGGGTGACTACCAACGCTACCTTGCAGAGTTTGCCATGGGTGACAAGCGTAAGACCTGTGCCGACAAGTCCCTCGAGGCGTACCAGGCCGCTACCGAGGTTGCCGCCACTGACCTCGCACCCACTCACCCAATCCGCCTTGGCCTGGCCTTGAACTTCTCTGTCTTCTACTACGAGATCTTGAACTCGCCCGACAAGGCTTGCCAGATGGCCAAGACCTCCTTCGATGAGGCCATCGCTGAGCTCGATACTCTGTCTGAGGAGAGCTACAAAGACTCCACCCTCATCATGCAGCTGCTACGCGACAACTTGGTACGGCACCTATCTATGTTGACTTTGTTCTTGCGTATCATACTAACATATATCTGCAGACCCTGTGGACTTCGTCCGAGGCTGAGCCAGCTGGTGGCGAGACCGCTGCTCCTCACGCTGAGGGTGAGAGCAAGGACACCGCCGACGCACCGACTGGCACCGAGGAGAAGCCCGCCCAGTAGAGGCTCTTCCTCCCTCGAGCCCGACAACAACAAACACCTGTGAAACGAGAACACGATAACACGGCAGTCGTGTGTCTGAGCCGGGGGCAATACAGCTTATCTTTTTGGTGGCGAGCTGTGATGTGTGATGTCAAAGCAAGCAAGCATTCCTTTATTGAGCAGCGGGCTGGAGGCGGTGGTGGAAGAGATGTGTACGCTTGCATCATATCCTAGTGCCGGTACTTTAGCGATTGCTGTGGTTTGTTGATGACGGGGCCTACGCAATGTCTACTACTATAACCTCGACTGTCCTACCACTCATTGATTATTGTACCAGATCCTACGATCCTGGCAGCGACTAACGACGTTCTATGGGATTAGAAACCTCGTGATGGCTTCGTGCTCCCACACGGTATGTTTCAGCACAGCGACGTGAGACATCTTCCCATCGCCCGTGTAGGCGGAACTGATGGGTGGCCCGAATCTTATGTTATATTCGCGTGGCGATCGTTGTATGGTTCGCGTCTGTCTCAAGGCTCGGCTCGAGAGCACACAGCACAACAGGAAGTCAACGTCCCCGAGCCCCTGTTCTATACCTCGATTCATGCCACATCACGCACGACTGTCACCACTGTGTCCAAGATCTTTGTCTCAATCATGAACAGTATATCATTGGTGGCGGAGGGCGGCAACTGGCTATAACAATCTTCTTATACTAGAGATGATGCATCGAAACCTATAACGGCAAATGCAGCACCTATGCCGAGAAGTGGAGCCCTCGAGTCGAGCTCGTGTGCCTCTCCAGGTCAAGATCAAGGGGTGCAAGGGGTGAAGGCAAGCACGTCACGAAGGCGTCTCATAATAATGGGCTGCCTCGCTGTCACCACACACTTTGCACTTGGCACTCATTAGCAAGGTCTTACGCCGTTGTATTGAGATCCAGAAAGTGAGGAGTGATTGAATAGTGCTCCCAAGAGTCTCGATCCGTGGTCGGCCGAAAATTGCGGGGGAGTTTCTATTTCGACGCACTCGATTCACCATCATCGTTCTGTTCTTCTACACTATTACAAACACACACCCGATCCTTGACTTGACTCTGGTGCCTTCGACGTCCTATTCGCGTGCGTTACAAGCAGGAGTTCGTCCTTTCAACATCCTCTTCAGGCGCTGCTTGCTGCTATCCATCGGTAAGCACTTCTCTTTCTTGTTCCCAGAGACAACTCCCATCGCTCGCGAAACTGCGCCTCTGATCTACGTGCGGCTGAGGCTGAGGCGCATCCTTGCAAATCACCTACTTCGCATAGCTATACTGCCCTGCGCATATTCGACCGGATCGATCACCTCTAACACCATTCACCTCACGCGCTGTGGTCGTCACCTGATCGCTCGCGTCTCGTGACCACATCGAGACATCTTTGGCTTTCGGCTGGCGCATTCTGTCATCGTCACACCCGAAATTCCGAGCAGCTCCCTTCCCTTCCCTCTCTCCCACATCCGCTGCGGCAGAACGCCTCGCTGCGTCCGGCCCAGCAATACCATTTCCACCGGCGATCATCCACGAGAGCATCCCACTTACAAGCGTGCTTGCAGTTCCCGCGACACTCTCCTACGACCAGACCAGCATCTTCATCGTGCGCTCTTTTACACATCAGCTTTCAACTTCGAGCAAGCGCTACCTACGACTTCACTTCGCGCGCCAGACCATCCGACACTCACTTCTTTCGGCGTGCAATCAGTGACGGCTACTGGCGTAACTGCTTCTTTCGTCACGAATAACGGCCGGGCAAAAGCATTCTTATTGTCGTTCACGTGAGTCCAAAGCCGGGCATTGAAGTGAATGGATCTGCGCTTCGAGAAACACAAAATCCTTGACTGACGTTACTCAAATACAGACAATAGCATCCTCGTCCCTCTTCAATCCAAGACTTCATTTCCCAATCACTAAACAGGATCGACTTTAACCACCATCATGAGCTTTCCAAATTTCGGTGAAGGCGGTGCACAGCCGCAGCAGGCTGGCGAGGAGCAAGGCCAGTTTCATCAAGAACAGGGTCAGTTTCACCAGGAGCAAGGTCAATTCCAGCACGAGCAAGGCGGCTTCGGTGGTCAAGGTGCTCCTCAGCAGCAGAACCCAATGGGTCAGCAGATGGACCCGAATCAGCAACAGCAAGGCCAGTTCCCAGGCGCGCAGGGTGGTGCTCCGGGCGGTGGGCCAGGCGAGCCAGGTCCGGATTCGAAGACTACGTTGTGGATGGGCGAGCTTGAGCCATGGATCGACGAGAACTTCGTGCGCAGTGTGTGGTTCGGCATGGGCTACCAGGTCAACGTCAAGATGATCCGCGACAAGTTCTCTGGCAGCAACGCAGGTTACTGCTTTGTCGACTTCGAGAACTCGGATGCTGCGACCCGCGCACTCCAGCTTAATGGGCAGATGATTCCGAACTCCAACCGCCAATTCAAGCTCAACTGGGCATCCGGTGGTGGCCTTGCCGATCGCAGCCGCGATGACCGCGGTCCCGAATACTCGATCTTCGTCGGCGATCTGGGCCCGGAGGTCAACGAGTACGTCCTCATGTCACTTTTCCAGAACAAATTCAACTCCTGCAAATCGGCCAAGATAATGTCCGACCCGATCAGCGGTATGTCGCGCGGCTACGGCTTCGTGCGCTTCTCCGACGAGACCGACCAGCAGAACGCTCTTCGCGAGATGCAGGGTGTCTACTGTGGCAACAGGCCCATGCGCATCTCCACGGCCACTCCCAAGAACAAGGCTGGTGCTGGTGGTCCAGGCGGTCCAGGCGGTCCAGGCGGTCCAGGCGGTATGGGTGGCGGCATGCCGGGTCAGCAAGGCGGTCCAGGCATGGGCATGTATAGCATGGGTGCCCCACCTATGGGCTACTACGGTGCGCCTCAGCCGATGAATCAGTTCACCGACCCCAACAATACCACTGTCTTCGTGGGTGGTCTGTCCGGCTACGTTACCGAGGATGAGCTCCGCTCGTTCTTCCAGGGCTTTGGCGAAATCACCTACGTCAAGATCCCGCCAGGCAAGGGCTGCGGCTTCGTACAGTTCGTCCACCGCCACGCTGCCGAGATGGCCATCAATCAGATGCAGGGCTACCCAATTGGCAATTCTCGTGTCCGTCTCAGTTGGGGTCGTAGCCAGAACAACTCCGGCCCTGCTGGCACCCCTTACCGCCCGGCTCCGCCTCCACCACCGATCTACGGTCAGATGGGCGGCAGCATGCCTGGCATGCCACCCCAGAACCCATACGGCAACTTTGCCCCAATGAAGGTGAGTCGCAATCATATGCCTCGCAACCTCTGATCGAAGCTGACATCGCGAAAGTAATCGTCTTTCGTCCCTTCCTGCCTTGAAAGTGATGCGCTTTAGCGGGAGTTGGTCAAGGTTTCACCCAACGATGTACGCGACACAGCCCTCCTTCTTCGACGTCTTACAGTTAAGAACGACAATACAGAGCATGCTACCCTTTTTTCTGTTTTGCTTCCAGCCAGCGCCGATTACGACTACTCAAGACGAACGACCACGAACATTATTCTCATCACAGGTTCATGCATTCTTAGAGGGGCAGGGGAAAGGGCGGTCAGATTGTTGTTGCTGTTGTTCCTTAGTCCTTGCGTTTAGCACAAAAGTTGTTCCTGGCTGTGGACTGCGAGCGATCACTCCTGGGGGATTTAGCGAGCATGGCGCGATGGGGCTGTTCTGTCTGTACAACAGGGGCATGCAGATGGTGTGTGGAGCAAGGAAGAGTGGCTGGGTGCGTATTGTAGCTAGCATAGTCATGGTTGTCCTCGCGAGAGGATGGCTGGTGGTTACGTTCGGGAGGGCAGTCTCCTTCTCGAACGGGATGCAGCTACTATCAACGTTTCTCAGCTTCCTTCCTCCCACATCCTGTCATTATTGTATTCGTGGTGTTCCTGTCGATGGTTAATGCATGTTATGATCAATTAGCCTTCATATTTGAAACAAGGACACTATCGCTGTACAGGCAACGCATCAGCCGCATCGGAATCGACACCAGAGACGCACCATCAGCCCTGCGGTTGAGCTTAACGGAATCCTATCTCATCCAATTCGACACCTTTGTCTCAAAATCACCAGCTGTAGAAGTTTCTTTCTTGCCCTCTCCATACCTTTTGCGTATGCTAGAGAGGAGGATGCATCTGTCATATACGAGGACTTACCTTCTAGCCTATAGTTAGTTTAGATATCAACATTTGCAATCCTTTGCGATCGGCCGTAACGTTACGGCCGATCGCAAAGGATTGCACTTTTCTAGGCTGATTCGCGTGTTGGAATCAGAACTGATGAACTGACATTTAGGACATCATTGGACCTTCACAAAAAGTGTCATTTCCGAACAATGGTTGTATCCAAGCTATATCCAGTAGTTTTACACAACATGTAACTTAATGCCCTACTTCGAGTGGGGGTTCGGTGGAATGCCCAAAGCCTGCTCCGCAGTGCTCTCACCCAACTCATCACGACCGCTCTCAAACACCTTGTCGAAGTCATACTCGCCCCACCTGATATCCGGATCCAAGCCAGCGAACTTCCACACACCATCGACCTTCTTGTACCAATGCGTGTTATAGCTGTGCGCATGTCCCTTGACCAGGACCTCCTTTCGGCTGGCGTCTTTGTACTTTTGATGCGGGACACGGAGTTGGTGGTAGCCCGTGATCTCGGTGTCGCTGACCTTCTCCCACTTCGTACCGCCGATGAAATGTTGGGTCATGAGCAGGGGGTCGCCGAGGACGTTCTTGTCCGAGGCCATGGTTACGAATTCGTCGGCTGGCATGGCTTCCCAGAGCTTGTTGAGGAAGGAGCGGTAGTCGATGCGGAGGGTTGGGGCGATGACCGTGCGGAGCTTCTCCCAGTCTTTGGTGTCGTAGCTGTGGGCCCATTCGTAGCAGGCGGCCATGCAGCCTTGGGCATCTTTGAAGACATGCTGTGTCAGATATTCGTTCAAGCCATTGATGGGCTTCTAATGAACGACTCACCCTCCCAGCTAACATGCTTGACGGGCTCGAGAACCATCTTGGAAACCTTGGGATCTTTCTCAAGGTCGTCAGATAACGTCTGTCGTCGTTTACTCATCAGGACAACATACAGTAACAACAGTAGCAAGGTCGGTGGAAGGCGGTCGATGGTGGGTAAGAAGTACTCTAGGTACAAAAACGATGTCTCACGACCTTCCCGAGAGGTTACGAGGGACGCTTTTATTTAGGAAGTTACTCTAGTTGTCTCTCCACCGCCTTTCCTTTGTCCCCGCTATCCGATGGGGCCGAAGGCTCGACATAGGCTCATCGCGTTGGTCTCGCGTGACGCTGGAAGTCCGATGTGCGCAGGATTGCCCGCAATGCTTCAGATTCTTACTGTCTTACCTGCCTACCAGATACTGGTCTCGCAGTGCTGCTCTCGCGTGACACTGACACTACTTGCCTCTCGAAGGGTATTGTTCCTGCATCCGTGTGGCTTTTCTCAGAGGGTCCGAGGGGTCTCGCCTGTGATGAGCTGCATGTGAGAAGCGGGGGCAATTTTGGTGGCTCACCATTCACCCTCGAATTCTGGACTTCTGTTAGCGTTGTTCTGCTGTCGACCTATCATAGGGGTTCTGCTTCTTTTTCTTTGACTGCGTCTGCATATGTTACAATTTCCGTCCTGATAGTTATGCAGACGCATATGTCTATGCTAGTGGCAAATGACGAATCGATGGGCATGATGCGCGGGGTGGGTCGATAGAGGACGGTCCGCGAGCCATAGAAGGTTTATCGTGCGGCCGCGCTAGGTCCGAAATAGAAATACCAAAACATGGACGCAGCATGGTAACAACACTATTTCTCCCGACATCCCAGCACACTTGCGCCCAACAAGATGGATCACGAGAGCCTTCGCACGGCATCGACATATCTCAACAATCTGTTGCTGGCTCGCGGCCTCCTCCGCAACAGCGAACCTGTCGACTTCGTCAAGCCATCTAAGGACAGTCGCGCTCAGATCATCAACCTAGTTCATGACTTGATACTACGAGAAGACCGCGACAAAGACTCGCGCGAACATGTTGCGGTCACACTTCGTACACTGCGCGCCGAAGATGCGCGCAAAGCAGCAGAGATCGAGAAGCTGAAGGAGAAGTGCGAGGCATCTGCACGAGATACTGTCCAGATGCGTGCCACTGAGCGAACGGCAAAGGACGAATGCAAGAAGGCGGAGCGATCTGTGAAGAGCCTGCAAGATCAAGCTTCGAAGCTCAAGACGAGTCTTACACAGGTCAAAACACAATGCATCAACGATGTGCGCAAACGTGACTTGGAGCTGGCACGACTAAAGACGCATCTGCAAGGTCAACAGAGAGGCAACAAGGTCGGCATGGCCGCTCCAAGTATGACGGTGGTGGGAGGTGCCAGGTCGAAGCCGGCGTTCAACGCTTCTGTGCACGAGCTGCGGGACCCAGAATACAGCCTGAAGCAAGAAACAACAGAATTCTTGACTCAGCTCAGCCAAAGCCTCAGTGACGAGAACGATGGCCTGATCAGTCTGGTCCGCGGTGCTCTCGGAACAATGCGCGATCTGCTAGGTCTTCCAGCGAGCCAGAGGCATCCCGATAGTGCCGTTGGCAGCATGGGCAGCAACGAGGACGCAAAGAATGGCGCAAGTATGCTTCATGCTCTTCCCACATCGTATGATACGCTGGCTGCAGACATGGAGCAGACTTTGACCCACCTGAAGAGCATACTGAGCAACCCCAATTTCGTCACGGTAGAGGAAGTCGAGGTTCGCGAAGAGGAGATCGCGCGCCTCAGGCAAGGTTGGGAGCACATGGAGCAGCGATGGAAGGAGATACTACTAATGATGGACAGCTGGCGTAGGAAGATGGACACTGGTGACACGATCAATATCGAGGACTTGCGCAAAGGCATGGGGTTGTGCTCCCCGGAGCGACAATACACGCATAGGCTTCCAGCAGAGCCCGAACAAAGCTTTGTCGATGGAGACAGCGTCAGCGAGATTCGCCTGCCTGGTATTGAAGAGGTCTTGGAGCCAAGCATCGCATTCGAAGCTCCGCGGCTTTCGAGTCCTGCCAAGAGCAGTCCAAAGCGCAAGCGTGATGTGCTCGAGCCGCCAGAATTCTTTGATCTGCGTCCTGCGGGTCCAAGGTCGATGCCAGCTTCTCCTGGTCACGAGGCCGATAATGCATCCGCAGAGGACATGGATGAGGTTGAGCAGGAAGAAGATCTAAGCGAGCCACAACTGTCCGTCGAAGAGAAGCTCAGAGCTGCTCAGGTCGACGCGGAGCTCGCAGCTGCAGCTGGTCGAGCGGCTAAAGAACGTGCAGCTGCAGCTGAAGAGCCCAGAATGTCCACTTCAAAGAGGTCGAGGAGTACTCGCGTATCTTTCTGCTATGATCGCGCAGATGACCGTGACGAAGAACAGGACGATACGCTTGGGAAGATCGTGAGTCCTATTGCAAGGAAGACGAAGATCCGGGGTCGTCCCAAGAGGAGGAAGTCCACGCTCAACCCAGACGAGCTTGAGGCCTTGTTGATGGTTGATGATGTGTGATCGTCACACTACCGATATGTCTATTATGTATGGCACGCACGATCGTCGTTTGAATAGTCTGGTAGCTGGCTCCAATGCTCACCATTATCGTCGCTACACCTCTTCCCACACAAGGTGCAGGCATACAGTACCACAAGCTCATGCCTGAACGGTTCAACCCATGCAGACAATTATCACGCACGACACTATCCGAGCGAGTAGCTCCGGAGCGTGCCTTGCCATTAGCACCTTCTAACCGCTGAGTGATATCAACTCCAGATTGGCTGCAGCCATGTCTTCCCATAGCAGCCCGCCCCACTTTTCTAAAGCGCTTGCCTCTGCTCAGCCATTGGTCATGCCAACTCTCACCTCATGCATCTCACCCAAGCACCTCGCACGAAAACGGGATGCCCTTTGCGTGCCTGTGACTGGCACACCACTCGAGCCCGTCGTCTTCGCGCTCTGATGCACCTTTCCAATAGTAGCTTTTGCTGCACGCACGCAAAAGCCTCATGCCCATTGCACAGCAGCCCACACCCTACCTCCCATCCCACACCCTGTCGTTGCGCAGAGCAATGGTAGACATAAGAATAGGTTTGTATCCTCCTCCACCTCTCCTCTCTTTCCTTTCCTTAGCAAGCTGTCAACTATCAAGAGCTGGTGATTTGGTTTTACGTCTTTTTACTCTTTTCATTGTTTTATACAGGCCTGGTGCCTTTTGTTTATACGCTCATCCACCACTAATACAGTCTCTCCACCACGATATCAAAATCAACAAATCACTATTCAGCAGTTTCCAGTATCTCCAACGTACTTCGTCGCCGGTCGACGTGAAATTTATAATCAACAGCTCTTCTTGCTCGCTCAAATCAGCAAATTTACGACTTAGTTCAGTCACGTATACACGACATCTTACGTCACAGCAACGCCGAAAACAACAACCCAACTCGTAACACATATCGAAAGACGCAATCACAATGGCCGCTATCCAGCTCAACTTCACCCTCCGCACTTCCGCTAACTGCAAGACCGTGCACTTGCTCGGCTCTTGGGACAACTACGCCGGCCAACTTCCACTTTCCAAGGACTCCAGCAAGGCCGGTGGATGGAAAGGTACCTTCCGCTTTCAGGGCGCTACTCTCAAGCAGGGTCAGCGATACTGGTACTACTACATCATCGATGGCTACCACGTCTCCCACGACCCAGCCCGCGAGTCCGTCACCGAGCCCACTACTGGCCGCAAGTTGAACACTCTCGACATCCCATCCGCCAAAGGTGGTGAGGTCGTCGCCCGCTCTTCAGCCAAGGCCGCCAGGCACGAGCGACGCATCTCGTCCTCGACCGTTCCCAAAGGTCGCTCGCTCTCGCCCTCTCAGATCAAGTCTCCACAGCCAACCCGCCCCCTCGAGACCTCGCAGGTCAGGACCGAGAAATGGCCACGCATGACCGTCGAGCAATTGTCTCGCCAGCTCTCGTCCACCGGTCTCCAGGACTCCGAGGATGACTCCAGCAGCGAGGAGGAGAGCGACAACGAGTCCGATGTCCCATCCCTCAGCTCCAGCCGCAGCTCCAACTCTTCATCCCCGTCTTCCGTCTCGTCCACCAGCTCTTGCTGCACTTGCGAACGCTACGGCATCACCCGTGCCGGTGCTCGTGTCAAGTTGGATTGTGGTGGTTCCCGATGTGGATCTGATGGTTCGGAATGTTCTTCTGAATCCGAGGAGGAGACTGTCGCGCGCGCTACTCGCAGGCAGGGTATTGTCATCAGGAAGTGAAGAATCTGGTAATCATGGGTTCATGAAGAGGTGTTTTTTCACGAGGAGATCATGATGGTTGTTTACCCCACGCTCTCTTTCGATACCGTTTTATCGGTTTGCCATGCTGTCGCCAAGGAAGAAGACGAGTGCCGTCAGCGTACATGCCGCTTCCAGCTGGTCTGGTTGTGGGATTATGCTTGATGTGCCTTGCCTTTGACTTGCTGCGATGTCAGCTAATATCATTGACAAGATAGTGCACTTCTGCTTTATGGCGCGGAAGCCTTGCAGCTGCGAAGAGGGACGGTGGTTAGGAGGGGTCAACGCGGGTGCGGTGCTCAATTTTCGACTGAGCAAGTCCAGCCTGGTGGATGTGGAGTGTGCATGGCAATTATGTAGACCCAGTCTTCGTAACGACTGTCCTATGTAGACAAGCTATGCTTTGCCACCTCCATCCTTGCTCCAATGCCCATCCTTTTCACCTTCCTACGCATTCTGAAGGAAAGTGCAGATTGGAAGTGTCCTAATCAAGACCCGACAGGCAAAGTCTGTTCACGCTTCCGGCGTGCCTGCCTCTTCAAACGCCCGCTCCTGCCTGTTCGGAAACATCATTGGTCTCGATGGTTGTGGCGTGCGATAGGCATAATCAGTCATGGAGACATTGTGGGTGGGGAAAGTCGAAATCGCTCTCATTTCCGATCAGTAGATCTTGACAGAGTTACACCCATCAATTTCATCGCGTCTACAGGGAGCTCGCGGTTTGCAGACACTGTTGGACATGTGCTGAGTCTCACTCATCTGCGTAAGCACTCCCATCACTGTCAGACGAACTTAATATCGATGAATTGCCTGACGTCCATTCGTTCTCCCAGTCTGACATCCCGCCTGCCGAGGAGAAGTCGACCACTCTCCTCCTGCCGCCAATTCTTGCCATTACACTCGGTAGTGTCCTGCTCAATCGCACCTTCAGCCTGCTTAGTGGCGACGCGTGATGCTGTCGATGATGGTGATAACGATGCAGATGATGAGCAGGGAAGGAGTGGCTTTGCCAGCCGTACTCGGACCACACAGATCTTGCACCTGGGATGCTAGACCAAGAAATACGGTCGCTTGATGATCCTTCGACTGGTTGGGAAGCATGCTTGTGGTCTCGTTCAAAGCATTCGTGAGATGGTGGACACCGTGCACGAAGCCAGTCTCTGACGTTGTGCAGAAGCTCCAGCCTGGGTCTGGCGGCGTTTGAGCATTCAGCTGGCACGGCAATGCTGAGCGCCTGTATAGCCACGCTGATAGCACTCACATTAGTATCAACTTCAGGATAGGCATCCATAGTAGACTTGGTGGTCTGAGCCTGATTTGCAAGGAGTTCGACTTGATCGTGCGCTAGCCTGAAGGGCATCGATTGCCTCCTTGCTGTGTCCAAATACATCCTCGGGAAGAGTGTAACGTTGACTCGCTGCGGCAGCTCCATTGAACCATTCTTGTCGAACGTGGCTGGTTGGAAGTTTAAGCATATATTGACATGCTCGTGGTTCCGATGAAGTGGTACGCACATCTGTTGCGACTGCGACTCGATTTCACTCTCGCGGAAATCGTCATTGCCCTTCTGCGTATTAACAAGCCAGAAGCGCCGCAAGGCTATCGTATACGAAGTATTGGCCTCATCGTACATTTGTCTGGATGCCAGGAGTAGGCCAGCTGAAGGAACTACAGGATGACATGCATCGTTGGCGATCGTATCAACGAAGTACTCGGCCTGGAATGCTTGTTGTACGATCTGATCTCGAAGTTCTTGAAGCAGGCCGAGCAGGTTTGCTACCTTCATGATATTGTGAGACGGGGCCTTATTATCAGCATCTTTTGCAACGACGAAATCATTGTGACGAAAGGGGGCGTCGAAGTCGGAATCTGACGAAGCCTGACAGGTTTCTTGTACAATGTTCGCTGATTGTCTCAATTTCGAACGAAGCCTGATCTGCCGGATTTGGGTTGATGTTCACATTCCTGAAGGCCACGTGCATCGTCGCACGTGTTCTCTGATGTCTCCACTTTCATAATGCGAGATACAGTATCGTACTCACCACATGATTTGTCCAGTCCAGCCCCTTGCAACTTCCTGTGCCAACGCAGTCCGTACTAGGAGCACGACCTCCTTTCGCCCAACCTCCACGCCCCCGAGCTTGTCCAAGCCTTTTCTCCAGTCCCACGCCCTGTTGACCTGCAGCATAGATCCATTCGTAGACTTCCCACCAGAGCCAACCATAACAGTCTCAGCAAGCAAGTCCCACTCACTACCGCCCAGCAGTCCACTTCCAGTCCCAGAAGACTTGCTCAGATCACTCCGCGACTTCTTCAGATCGCGTCCGCCACGTCCAGGCTGTGTGGAACTTCTATGAGCGTTGAGCGAAGCACGTAGGAGGCTCTCAGCGTTCTCCTTGATCCTGCCACTGACGCCCTCGAAGTCCTCCAGAATCCTCAAAAGAGTGAAAACCTGTTCTTTCGTAAAGACCCGCTTGCTCTGGCCGAGTAGTGGTAGTGCTTCGCCAAGCAAAACCAGAATGCCGTCGATTGGGACGACTGACTCGATCTCAGGGTCGAAGAGCCCGCCGTGGATACAATCGGACGCGCTGTTCAGGACTGCGATCAGAGCTTTCGCTGCGTCGCGAGCGCGGGCCAATGGTTGCGAGGCCGATAGAGTGTTCTGATCTCGCAGGTCGTAAAAGCGACGGAGGGTCGCGTAGCCGCTCAGATATTGAGCCAATAGTGTTGCAGCATCGGCGTCTCTGCGTGCTAGTGTAAGGAGAGCAGTGCGCCCGCCGGCGTCGCCTGCGCCAAGCAGAGAAGCTAGAGAATTATCGAGGTCTGCTTGGGCCGGTATGGAGGCGGAATGTAAGAGGCAAAGCGAGGTCAGTAGAGCAAGAGTGTCTTTGAGCTTCTCCGTGGCGTGCGCGCGTGCATAGTAAATAAGTGCCGAGCCATAGGCTGGCTGGGAGGTTGTATCTTCGTGTGAGGTAGCCAGAGAGTCGGCGTAGCGCTGATCACTAATTAGCCGTCATCCAAAATCGTCAAATCAGATGCACATACCTCAGCAATTGCCCGCGCCTGCTCTACCAAGTCCAAGCCCTGGCAGGCAGACAAGATTTTGTCTACCCTAGCCTCATCCGACAGCTCGATCTCCTCCAAGAGTTCCGTGATCTTTTGTTGGCTTGATATCTCGTCGTCCATCCTCCCGAGCACCATAACAGCCAGCTCCCAACCTTCTCGTTCCGTTCTTCTGTCTTCGCTCCTGAGCACCTCTCTTTGTGCTAGCATGTCCGCATACGCAGCAAGAATCTCATCTCGGTCTACGCCATTGTTCTTGCTTCCGTTCCCAATCTGGGTACCAGGACCATGACTCAACACCATCAAGTCTTCACTGCTCAAGCCCTGGCCAACCCATCCGCGACTCTGTGGCCGACCGACAGGTTGTGGTAGCCAGCCGGACAATGCAGCAAGCTCCACAATCGCCACACTCATTGGCATGCTCAGCATTTTGACGATAGCAACAACACTTTCGACGCAATCGGACATGACACAGCCCAAGCCGACCTGTACCACGTCCATCGTATCAGGCTGGAAGAGCGGATCCTCGACGTCCGTAACGTAGGCGAATGCATCAGCTAGGCGCCTTCTATACGCGGTCGCAGGAGCTACATCTGCCTCTCGTGGTCGCTGGCTAGCGCTTAAGCTCTTACGAAGCGCAGCACTATCTGCTGAGCCGTCTGCACCATCCCACCAGATAGTGATATAGAGAGTCGCCTCTAGCCAGTCCTGGCTTGCATCGATGATCTGGTCAGCACTTCCCAGTAGGATCTCGTAACCCAGTTTGAGATTCTCATAAATGCTCGGCGGCACTCGACTAGCGGCCTTCTTGCTAGCTGCTGAGATGCTGAAGATGTTGCCACCTGCTCTAGTCTGCGGCTCGTCTCCCTCCTCATCGTCGCCATTGAAGGCCTCGAGGTCGCGGACTGCTTGCCGTACTCGCGCTCGATACACGGTCCAGTCGTTGCCTTTGACATCCCAGTCGTCGTATTTCACGGCTGGAGAGGATTCGAGAAGTCTGGCACATCGCTCAGCCACTTCCTCGATATTATCTAGCTGCTTGTCACTGTAGCCTTCTGGCTGCGAGTCCTCTTCCGCCGTCCATGCATTTTCCCATCCTGCAGATCGCAAAAGGTGTATGGCTTGTTGGTATTTGCCGCGAGTGAGGGAGGCATATATTGAGTCCCAGAAGCGTTCGTGTGCGGAAGGAGCGGGCTGATGTGAGCGGATGCCTGGGAAGTCGTCCGGGAAAGGGTTGTGATAGGTATTCAGCCAGTCAAGCAAGGCGCGTGGTATGGTACATCCATTGTGTGGAAGGCGGGTGAGTGCACTTGACGGATGTACATTTTGTGACTGGGCTTGATTGGCACCAAGTCTGTTCGGGAGGTGAAGCTGTAGTAGAAGTGTCGACAGGTAATTGGCTCGGGTGAAGGCGTCCTCGCTTTCAGGACCCAAGCTACCCTCTTTGGTCGCCGGCTCGTTGTGCTTCGCCCACAAACGTGTCAGGTCTGCGGCGCCTTGGGCTAATGCCGCCGTATCCTTCCCAGCTTCAACACGTGACAATATCTCCTCCTGCCGTAGCATGATATCGTCCGGCTCCGAGAGTTGTGCTGCCTGCGCGCGGATTGTCATGCCTCGCGCGATTGACGAATAGTCACCGCCCACTTGCTCCCGTACCTGCCCATTGCGACTCCTCTTCAGACCTCGCGGCGCGCTCATGATCGAGTCCATGAAAGCGTCCTTCCCCCGCGCGTCGTCCATCTCATCGTCCTCTGCCGGCGCATCCATATCGTCATACCCATCGTCCTCTTCGTCGGCCTCCTGCAATGGCGGGCTGCTGTCTGGAACCGCGAAGCCAAATCCTTTTCGTGCGGGAGTGTTGCCTTTTCGACCGAAAGTGTTGTTGCCGGTGTTGAACGAGCTACCATAGACGGAGCGTGGCGGCGGGCCGAGTGGTGTGGTGGAAGGGAGAAGAGAAGAGGGAGGGGGATGAGACGGCGTTGTAGATGGTTGGGCATGGAACGATGCTTTCTTCGTCTTGGGTGTCGCCGGCGACTTGTTGAGGTTTGAGAAGCTGAACGACATGACAGCGCGTCCTACCGACAGACGATGATCCGTAGTAAAGGGCTGTCCAACATGTATTGCATTGGTCTCTATATTGATCTGACTCGACGTCCATGTTTTGACTTTCAAGCGGCGACTCGCGAATAAAGCTTGTTAGCGCGTCTCGGTCAATGTTTCCACCAAATCCACTCAAATGTTCATCAATACACGCTACGATGCTCATTGTCATTCACCAGCACTTCGCTCCCTAGCGTACGTGAATGGCAGCATCGCCAGAACTGATATGCCACGGCCGCACTCAGGCTCCTACGCGGGCTATCGAATTATAGCTCAAGCTGGGCAATATGTCAGCCCTAGATGCTGATGAAAGCATGGATTAGGATCCTCCGTCAGATCAGCGGCACGAGGTAGACCAGTCGTTGGATGTAAGACAGATATAAGGTAATACCGACATCACGAGCATCTCATCCTACTCATTTGCTTCTGCCGACGCCTCGAAATGCCCGTTCACGCGCAGGAACATCTCAACATCCCAACTAAGGACATCTTGTCTTGGTGCTATGACAATCGACCTGCATTCGATCAAGAGAAGCCAGTGAGACGGCCATCTTACCAATATCACCATACGTGAACGACTAATCCACCCAGATCTTCATCGATGCCGCCAATCCAAAGCGTTCCATCTCTGCCACCCAGGCATACACTCTCATCCGCAAGCTAATTGCTGGCTTCCGCCGCTCCGGACTGCAGCGAGGCGACTGTGTCTGCCTCCACTCTTTCAACAATGTACGCAGCCATGCTGATGACCCATGAGCTACCCAATTGACGAACAACAGGTCCACTATCCCATTCTGGTTTTGGGCATCGTCGGTGCAGGTGGAGTGTTCGTAGGCACGAATCCTGGTTACACCTCCTATGAGCTCCATCACGCGCTTAAGACCTCAAGGGCCAAGTTTGTCATCACGGAGAAGGAGTTGCTTCCTGCTCTGCAACAGCCTGTAGTCGACCTTGGTATTCCCGACAACCGCGTCTTCTTCGCCGGACAAGCTGGCATTACCAATCAAGCTCGAAAGCATGAATCGTGGCGCACACTCCTTGAGCATGGCGAAGAGGACTGGGTACGGTTCGATGATCTTGAGACAGCTCGGAAAACGACAGCATTTCTTATGTTCAGCTCCGGCACCACTGGCCTACCGAAAGCAGCACAATTGAGCCACTACAACTTGGTCGCCGAACATACTCTAGTCCACGAGAATCCAGAGCACCCGGAGAACTTCGCCATGTCTCGCGTATGCGCTTTGCCAATGTTCCATGCAGCAGCAGCACCTTATGTTCACATCACGACTTTGAGATCGGGAAGACAATCGATCATTATGCGACGATTTCACCTGGACGACTTTCTGAAACATCACGAACAACACAAAGTCACGTCAGTGATGTGTGTTCCGCCCATGGTGCTGGCTATGGTCGGTCACGCGGCTGCATCGCCAGCCAACGCAGCGCATGTTCGCCAGAGCCTACGCTTCGTTGTTCACGGCATTGCTGGCGCGGCACCTCTGGATGTCGAGACGCAAAAGCAGTTTCAAGCCCTCTTGAGTCCAGACGCAACGTTCGCACAGATATGGGCTATGACGGAAACTTCTTGCTTGGCATCTGTCTTCTACCATCCCGAAGGCGACGAGACTGGAAGTGTTGGCCGCTTCATGCCGAACCTGGATGTCAAAATCGTAGACGATGAGGACAAGGAGATCGACCCGCCATACGACCGCAGAGGTGAGCTTTGTATTCGTGGCCCAACGATCATCAGAGGATATCTGGACAATTCGGAAGCCAACAATAGAGACTGGGACCAAGATGGCTTCTTTCATACTGGAGATATTCTATACTGTGACAGTAAGACAAAGCTCTGGTATGTCGTCGATAGGAAGAAAGAACTCATCAAAGTCAGGGGCTTCCAAGTAGCACCCAACGAGATTGAAGGCGTCCTGCTATCTCATCCAGGCATTCAGGATGTAGCTGTCATTGGCGTCGACAGTCCTGATGGTGAGGTTCCGAGAGCTTATGTGGTTAAGAGAGATGGTGGACTTGATGTGACCGAAACTGTGGTCAGACGATGGGTTGAAACCAGGCTGGCAAGGTACAAGAGGTTGGATGGTGGTGTAAAGTTCGTGGACGCCATACCAAAGACGGCGAGTGGCAAGATACTGAAGAGGATTTTGCGAGACGAGGCAAAGGCAGAGGCTAAGCGAGATATCGCAAAGCTGTAAATCTAACGGCGGCAGCTCTTCCACGCGCACCAATCCGGAGGCGAGGTCTCCGCGTCCCGTCTGTCATCATTATATAGCGTTGACTCGAGATGCAGCAGACAGGTCGCCTCCCGCAGGTCGAATGCAGCTGCCCCGCCTCATCCTGGCATGATGGTGCGCAGTGGTCGCATTCGAGCACGAATGTCGCTCGGAAGCGCGAGCATTGGCCCCTAGTAACACAACGTATCGAGCCATTGGTGCAGCCATAGTGGATCCTTTGTATATCCGGCAACGGAACGAAGCAGCAAGCAAACACCATACCAAGGCATGAAGAGTGCGAAACTGCAGTCTACTCGTGCCGAAGCTTGCACTTCTAGTAGGTTCAAGGCTACTGAAGGTGTGCCACGAAGGGCGACTCATGGTCGACTGTCCCAATGGCTGTGGCCGTGGGTTGACTATCGCTCCACCTTTGATCTTTCAGGTTTCTTTGTACCTAACTCTTTCCTCATTGCAGCAAAGTTAACCGGGTACTCTCAACGACAAGCCTGTCAGCGTTAACTCATGGCAGACGTTGATGTACTTGTCATAGGTGCTGGCGTGGTAGGATTGGCGCTTGCTCAAGGACTGAGGAAGGTAAGAGTGTAAGAAGCCTTGAGTACTGTGCGCACACGAGATTCACCTTCTTACTAGGCAGGTCTTCGAATGGCCATTTGCGAGCAAGACTCGGACGATACTTATTATGGCCGACCACGAGACTGGGGTATCACTTTACACTGGGGATTTGAGTTGATCGCCAAGCTCTTACCACCAGAGTTGCATTCTCATATAGATGAGATTCTCTGTGACCCATTCTACAAGCAGTCAGAGCAGGACGCTGATCTCGTCACGTATGCTGGTCACACTGGCAAAGTTCTGATCCGCACTCCAGCTTCCACCGCCCGGAGTGTCAGTCGAAAGAAGATGCGAAGACTATTCAGCCAAGGTCTTGAAATCCAGGTCAGTGTGTGCGAGAGCTCGAATGTGCTATTGCCATGATCTGACGGCATTTGACAGTACGCTCAACGTCTTGTAAACATCGAGATATCAGATGATTCTGCCACTGCAGTCTTCGAAGACGGGCAACGTCTGACAGCAAAGCTCATTATTGGCTGTGATGGCTCGCGATCTCGAGTCCGAAGTATGCTGGTTGATCCAGAAACGGCCAAGGTGAAGAAATTAGGGATAAACCTCGTCAACTTCGGCGCAAAATTCGATCAGGAGACGGCTCTGCTCATCCGCAAACAGCATCCCATCTTTTCCAACAGCGTTCATCCCAGCGGATACATGTACTTCCTTCGCATACTGGATGTGCCCGACCCGGACGAAGCAGAGAGTTGGACATTCCAGAACATCTTTGGATGGAAAGGTGCACCATATGCCAGTGATTTTGCATCGAAGACTGAGCAGACGCAATGGCTCAAGGCGAAGGCCTCAGAGTTTGCTCAGCCATGGCGAACTGTGCTCTCGAACATACCAGATGACACTGTCTTCACTATTGATTCTATCAACACATGGCGGCCTGTGGGCTGGTCAGCTTCGCCACTGCAGGGCAAGGTTACTCTGGCTGGCGACGCGGCGCATGCTTCTACTCCTATTCGTGGTCAGGGTCTGAATAAGTAAGTTGTTGAACCTAATGGCAGAAAAGCTAAACCATGCTCAGCTGACCTCATGTGCGATAGTGGCCTAGAAGATGCAGTACAGCTTCTCGGCCGGCTCTCGAGTGCTGAGAAGACAGATGAAGGCTTGCGTCACGGTGTACAAGGATATGAAGAGGAAACGATTGAGAGAGGGCGGCGAGATGTTGATCTATCGGAGTCTTCTGCCTTGGGAATGTTTGACTACAATCAATTGGTAAGCATGCCATGACTCAACGGTATCGTCTGTTGCAAACAGCTGATGTCCGCAAAGTTAAACAGCCCACAGGCGAAGCTTGGTCTCAAGAAGTCGCAGGCATCCGATGTTGAGCCAGTGGACTCCGGCACGAGTACACCCGTCTGATCACTGGCTCGAGACTTCGAAGGAACTGTCAATATACGAGAAACTCAATCAAATGCTGTATAGGAACCACTAGAACTCAAAGACGGGATCACAAGCGCACTGCTACTCAGTATTGTTTCCGGGTACTTTAGCAAGGCCACGTCAACTTCAAGCAGCTGTGCCGTCTCCCCATGTCATGATCCCTCGTTCGTATAAGCCAACAGCTAAACCTATACCTCTGCCAGAGTCTCTCACAGCAGTAGTAGACGTGCTAAAGTCGTTACCCACGAAGAGATCTTTCAAGCCATCCTTCTCGGTCCACTCAGCGATCCAGCTGGGCGCCTTTGGACGATCAGCCTGCACCGCATCAGGCTTGTCGAATTCTGCGCTGGCTTTCGAGACAGCCTCGAGGGCTGGCGCATATGGAGCCCCGGCTATGAGAAGCGCACAATTGGAGTCCACGCTCAGATTGTCCGGGAGGAAAGGCAGACGAATGGTGTTAACCAGTTTGATGTCGTCTGCGTCCTTCATGAATCGGCTTGGCGATGTGTACACATGTACTGCGGCACCGGCACTGCTGGACACGGCTACAGTCGTGGCATTCAGTAGTGCAACGCCATTCGCGAATGCTAGGCGAGCCAGCTGTGTAACCTTCGGTGGTCCTGCCTTCCTGCTAATATCAAGGTCGAGCCGAACGACACTCGCTAGTGGAAGAGCAAGATAGGTTTCGAGTTTAGCGAGCACGCGAGACTTCCGTATCTCGAAGTAGTGGTCGTTGGTAACAAGCAGGCTACTAGGACTCAAAGCTGCTATGGAATTCGGTGTCCGAAGCTCCGGATGCTCTATTGTACCTATATGGAGAGCCTCCTGGTGATCCACCGTGATCCGAAAGCTTTCGATACGAGGGCCGTTGGGGGCATGGTTCACCACGTAAAGAGTCCTACTTTGCGGGACGTACTCGATACCGAGCGGGTGGAAGTTTCGTTCGCCTGATGCAAAATTGGAGAATGTGAGCTTTATGGGCACGGCATTGACTTGGTCCTGGTAGTGGTAGATATATAGTCCCGCGTCCGGATGGGCGGACGAGTCGATGAATGTGCCCTGGAAGCAAAACTTTAGCAGGATGTCAGCTTGTGCAGTAGCAGTGTCCGTACCATAACCGTGTTCCAAGATCCTCTACCTGGATCACAGCTGAGGATTGCCCAGCCCTCGTCGGTGTTCATATATACGTCCTCGCAGCTGCGAACGATGTCCTCGAACTCCACGCCAGCTGATGGCAGGATGTTGTATTCTTTCAAAGATCCAGGACGGTTTGCATACAAAGTCATGAGACTCCCTCTGTTCGAGTACAGGAAGCTTCCCAATAATGTAAACAACCCGAAGAACGATGCATTCTGTATTGAGATTAAATTGGACTCTCGTCACAGGTTTCCTATTACCTACGATTGTGTTGAAGCGAGCCATATTTGTCGTTGGTACCGATCCTGTTATGTTTCCTTCAAATATACAACAACAAGACTATTGTCATCGCCTGTCTATACGAAACAGGAGCTGGGAGTGAAGTCCTGCTTCTTGGCCCCTGATGTGGCGCCTCTACTCTAGTGGAGCCTTCCCGCATGCGTACAAGATCGTAGTCGTTGGAAAGATGCTCACTCATAACGCATGGTAGCTGAAGGTCATTCAAGCGATAGAAGTGACCTCTCCCAGCCTCGATGAAACCTCTACGCCCGTTTGATCACTGAAGCAAGAAACTTGTGATGTAAAGAACATGTGCATATAGGGACGACGATGCCGTCCCTCGGCTTCACGTGCTTGGATTCCTGAACCTAAACATCACCAGAACGATCGGAATGTGTCTGCAGCCAACGAAGATGCATCACCAAATGACAGGTATGCGACTGCCTTGATCACAGTAAGAAGATCAGAAGCACAATGGCTGCACAATCCACCTTACGCCGTTCCACGGCAGATCGCTTCTCAGACCTCTTCGACCACTTCTATGAGCGATTGCAAGCCCGACTCGATGCCTACCAAAGACGCAGTCCCTTGAGTAAACGAACGACTCGGTTGATTGCCACGCTCGCCCTATCGCTCACAATCGTCGCCAGCAGTTATGGAGGGTATAGGCTATATCGTCGTCGCAAGAAGGAGCAGACCTTGGGCAGACAACTCCTCCGACGCAACAGTGGGCTGAAGAGCAAGGATGGGTCGAGAACGATATTCGTGCCTTACAAGGACCGGACGACGAAAGTCACGATACACCCTACGAAGAATACCACATTCGACGCCCATCGAAGACTGTTCCTTAGCCCACCCAAGCAGACTGGGATGGAGGCTGGCGTACCACCAACTAATATCAAGCCGGGGCTGAACATGGCTTTCATACATCAGTTTGGTGCATTGATGAACATTATGATACCACGGTGGAGGAGCAAAGAGACGGGCTTGCTCATGACGCATGCTATCTTTTTGTTACTACGGACGTACCTCTCCCTCGTGGTAGCCCGCTTGGATGGCGAGATCGTCCGCGATTTGGTAGCCGGGAAGGGTAATGCCTTTCTGCTCGGTATAGCCAAGTGGCTCTCGATCGGTGCCGTCAGTAGCTATACGAATAGCACGATCAAGTTCTTGCAGTCCAAGATTAGTATTGCATTTCGGACGCGACTGACACGGTACATCCACGACCTGTACTTGAACAAGAGTTTGGCCTATTACAAGCTTCACAACTTGGACGGTGGCGTGGGACAAGGAGCAGATCAGTTCATTACACAAGATCTGACGCTGTTCTGCGACAGTGCTGCTTCTCTGTATTCGAGCTTAGGGAAGCCATTGGTCGATCTGGTGACTTTCAATTTCCAGCTTTACCGATCTCTTGGACCCTTGGCGCTGAGTGGCCTTCTGATCAACTACTTCGCCACTGCGACCCTACTTCGTCGTCTCAGCCCACCGTTTGGGAAGATGAAGGCAGTCGAAGGCCGCAAAGAAGGCGACTTCAGATCTATGCATGCCCGGCTCATCGCCAATGCGGAAGAAGTTGCCTTCTACAATGGTGGCGAGACAGAGCATATACTGCTTGACCAAGGGTTCCGAGAATTACGAAAGTGGATGGAGAATATATATCGCATCAAGGTTGGGTACAACATGCTCGAGGACTTTGTGCTGAAGTACTCGTGGTCGGCATTCGGATACCTCGTGACAAGCATGCCTGTCTTCCTACCTACTTTGGGTGGGCTGCCGCCTGTCAGCAATACTGCACAATCGACAGCTCAATCAGGCGTTGTACTGGCTGAGCATTCGTCCGAACGCTCTGGTGGCCGCATGAAGCAATTCATCACCAACAAACGACTCATGCTTTCACTTGCCGACGCAGGGGGAAGAATGATGTACTCGATCAAGGACTTATCCGAGCTCGCCGGGTACACTTCTCGGGTATACACATTGATCAGCACGCTCCACCGCGTACACGCTGAAGCATACTACCCTGCTCGCGGCACATACGCAGAGCTTTTCAGCTTAGCAGATGTGCAAGGTACCTTGCATAAAGGCTTCGATGGTGTGCGTCTCGAGAATGTACCGGTGGTAGCGCCAAGTGTGTATCCAATGGGTGGTGAAGAGCTCATCGACAGTTTGTCCTTCGTTGTGGGGCCAGGTGATCATCTACTCATCACTGGACCTAACGGCGCAGGCAAGAGTGCAGTCAGCCGTATTGTCAGTGGTCTGTGGCCAGCTTATCGCGGCCTCATCTCTCGTCCCCGTCATGATGGTCAAGATGGTATCATGTTCTTGCCGCAGCGGCCATATCTCAGCCCTGGCACCCTCCGAGATCAGGTTATCTATCCTCATACAGAAATAGACATGCAGGCTGCCGGGCGGAGGGAGAGCGAGCTGCAAGCAATCCTAGAGCAGGCTAAGCTGGGCTACATCCCTGAAAGAGAAGGTGGTTGGGATACGAGGAAGATGTGGAAGGATGTGCTCTCTGGTGGCGAGAAGCAGAGGATGGGTATCGCGAGGCTCTTGTACCATGAGCCCAGATATGCTTTCATCGATGAGGGCACGAGTGCGGTGAGCTCGGATGTGGAAGGCTTGCTGTACGAGACGGCGAAGGCGAAGGGGATCAGTGAGACTATTCTTGTGTTGATGCTACTTGACTATGCATGGCTAACGTGACTGCAGCACTGATAACGATCTCCACTCGCGCTTCGCTGAAGCGCTATCACTCTTACACCTTGACCCTCGGGCTGGGCGACGAGGCCAACGAGTACGAATTTTTGCGGATTGGTACAGCGAGCGAGAAGAGTAGTGTCGAAAAGGAGCTAGCGGAGCTGCGGGAGAGACTGAGCCAGGTGGATGAATGGAAGAGGCGGAAGCAGGAAATCGATGTCGAACTCGGAAAGGTCTGGGTGGCGGGAGATGGAAATGCTGAACAGTCCTCCCTCGATGCGCCCTGAAAGGTCCGCGGTCATCCACACAAGGCGCTAGGCTCTTCACTGCTGTATTGCAAGCCGATCAGATCGCCTTCAACTACTCCACCACTGCTTCAGCACGTTCGACCCTGGCGGCATCCTTAGACTCTCGCAGAAGATCATGACGCAGCACCCAATATTTAGGCTTGGAAGTGTGCCTGGTAAGAGCTCATTGCAGCATGCAACGGCCATCAATCTGGCAAAGAAGTCTGCGCCGAGGGTCATGGCTATCTCTTCCTTCAAACCTGCTGGATCATCCGTTCGCCTCCATACGACACTCTGAACGTTGTTCTGCGACTTGAGCGTTGCAAGGACGACGACGTCGGGCATTGGGGCGAGGAACCCTCCAATTCTGAGAGGTAGCTTGCGAATTCCTGCGGAAGACAGGCCGTGGCACCGCATCGCGAGATCGCGCTGTGTGCTCAAATCTAGAATCTCTTTGCCCATAAATATCTCGAAAACGCGTGTGCTCCAGAACTCGCGCAGGGCGGTGCGAGACTTTGCTTGGGCCTCGTCCCGGAGAGATCTCGAGACTGCGATCAGGGCCCATGGCGGTGCCGCAGACTTTGGTTTGAATAGGTCCACATTGGTGTGCATGTCCATTTCGAACACGAAGTCATAGATTTCATCTCGGAGTTCGCGAGGAAGATCAGCAAAGCGGAAGACTGTGCTGTCTGCATACTCAATGGCGACCATGCTGCGTGGCCGTGGATGGTAGTCTGCCCGTTTTTTGGAGCAGTGTCAGAATAATGAAGGGTCTGCCTGTTGAGGATTGGAGAGTGGCCGCTGATGTTTTGTTTGAGAATCATAGGGCTCAAGAACGTTGTGAGTGAGCTACACCTTCACGAGTCAATGACATGTTGCCTCAAAATGAGCAGATACCTGGGCCACAATTGACGACTTCTTTGGAGGTCACTCCATGGTCATGCAGAAACCGCCGCACATACACATGTCCCTTCCACTTCTCCACCAAAGATACGCTCGATCGTTTTGTGTCAAAAACACATATATAACTGCGCTGCTAGTGACACCATCTGCAGTCCCAAGAGCTGAAGAATGGACCACATTCCGCAAGCACACCATCGTCATAGGTTGTGATATATGCCGAGCGATTTGACTTTCCCATGCTCTGTTGCTTCCGATGCCCACGTGCCTTCCACGTCGACATGTCGAAGCTGCCTCAACGAGTACCAGCGCCGAGGCAGAAGCTCAATTTGGTATGCAACGCTTTCACACTCACAGCAAACCATACCAAACACAATAAGGAGCATGCTGGTATTGTCGAGTTGAACCAGCATTACATCAACATGGCTAGTCCGAAGAACATTCGGGTATGCCACATCCTACAACTACCACCAGAGCTGCGAAATGCGATCTTCGAAACAGCATACACGGTGACGCCTGCAGAAAAAAGGCCACTGTTTCAACGCGATGGTCTATCCTGGGAGCTGCTCCTCACCTGCCGACAGATCTACAAAGAAGCGCTCGGAATCCGCGAACAAGCGCATCACACTTACTGGTCTCAAAAAGCCTTGGTCGCGGACAAGGTGCTAGTTGGCACCACAGTACCTCAACTCGGACTTTTACGCAATAAGGATATCACGTCAATCACGAGCATCTGGCTGGCTCACGATGAATTTGGCGAGAGAACAGTCTTCGACCGCGGCGTTTGGCAAAATGAGACCGGGGAGTGTTGAGAGTGGCGGGGAGTGTGGTTGCCGGATGTTCTGGCTTCCACACCACAGCGGCGGATCGAGCGCTGTATGATGTTCTCGATCCCATGGATGGAGTCATAGTGCGACATCGTCTGTCCGGGTACTCGCTGGACATGCCACACCTTAGGAAAGAAGTGGCTGCTTGTGCAGAATCGAAGGTCTTGAGCAGGGATGAACTGAGGAGTATGCTCTCGTATCTTTTGCCGCATTTTTGAGGTCATGCACTTCCTTCTGGTGAGGGAGTAGCATGCAGCTCGGGGAGGCACAAAAGGCCAGGTCAGCCAGGGAATGCGCGAGAAATGGCAGGAGGCGCATGACTAGGCTCTGAGGCACGTCAGGGGAGCAGTATAGGTTGGACCAGCAGCATGAGTTCGAGCAAATTACACTGGAACTACCCAACCATTGATGCATCCATCGCTCCTTGCCTTCTCCGTCGATCAAGTGCATTCGCAATTGCGCCCTTGACTTCAGTATCGTTCCTGATCGTATTGTGCACAAGCCATTCCTTCAGCGTCGTCCTTAGATTGCGATGCGAAGCTTGATCGCCTGCTGCGACAGGCATAAGCTCCAACCCCATCAGCCTGCTCACTTCCTGATCTGTCGCCTTGGCCAAGGCATCGACCCTGTCTAACAGCTGGGGTGAGACACCATCTTCGTTCGTGCCTATGCTTTGTGGCCCTTGTAGTACAGGCCCAAGCTGTGACATAGCAATGAAGAATGTCAGAGCAAATTTTCGTAATAGTGATAGCATCTGGAAAGGTAGATAAGGTGCTCGTAGTCCTGTACTGAGAAGCATCGGGTTGACGAGCTTCGTCAGCACGGCTGGGCAGTCCGGCCGCATCATCGTCTGCACTTCCACCACGAACAAACCAGCCATAACCAAATATCGCCAGAACTTTCCTTGCTGCAGATATCCTAGAACGCCCAATAGCACCAGTACCGCTCCACTGCCGATGTAGTAGACCGCTGTACGCTGCACGCCCGTAATGACATAATCACGAATCGTCGTACACTGTCGCCACCCTAGGATCTCGGGCCCGAACCTATCGTAGGCGAGACGTTTCGCAGGATCGATGAGCGTATCTCTCGCAAGTTTGAGCTGCACGTATATCGCCTCCACAGTCGCCTTCTCACTCGCAGACCCAGAAGTCACCTTGTCGGGATGATACTGCACAGTCAGTCTCCTAAATCTGGACTGCAATTCTCGCTCGGATGCGGAATGTGATACGCCGAGATGTTGATAGAAGTCGCCTTCACGTCGAAGTTGCCAGTCGGATTCGTAGATCGTATAACACAGATATGCCAGGATTACGAAGATGAAGACACGTTTGCGATCACGGATGTGGCGAGGCGAGCCGGGTTGTGGTTTTGGTTCGCCTGCGCGCATGAAGATCGCGTAGAGAGCTGTTTGGGCGTAGCCTGTTACAAGCTGCGACATTATCAGCTCGCTTCTTTTCGTAGCACACTTTCATTACGTACATTCGGTAGGAAGTACCATCCTGCCAGGGAGAGGAGATTATTGCTCATCGTGGTTTTAGTATATCGTGGACTACACGAGATTTCCCGTAAATTAGTGTGTTCTCATGCTACGTCACTTTTACTTCCGAGATTAAGTCCTCCTAGGTGCCGCCTATACAAGTCGTCGAGGGTATATGGACGTCGATTGGTACGTAGACGTAGACATACAGCGGAATACTTCCGCATAAATTTATAGATCTGTCTTGGGAAAGTTGATTCACTTCACGATCGCAACGACTTCTTACAAGGCAGCCTAGCCCACTGCAGCAAACTAAGATGTCCACATCGCAACCACCCGCTCTGCAGACGACGAAGGCTGAGAAGAAGTCGAAGAAGGAAAAGGCCGACTTAAAGAAGCGCAAAAGAGAAGAAGAGCAAAGCAATGTCGCAGTAGCCGAGTCTGCGACGGGGAAATCGAAGAAGCAGAAGATAGAAGAGGTAGCGAAGTCAGAGGAGGCTGCCCCAGTCGTACCAGTGGCCAACGGTGACGCGGAAACCAACCTTACAATGAAACCAGCAACCAATGGCGCAATACCTGAAGCTTCAGCAAAGAAGCCGAAGAAGAGTAATAAGAAGGATAAGTTAGCCAATACGAGTGCAGATGTTCCTCCGGCGCCAGCGACAGAATCAACACCGGCGAAGAAGCGGAAGCCGAAGAAGGACTCGGGGGATACGACGAAAATACAAGGCGCATCTACCACACCTGCGAGCGCAAGCTCTTCTGGCCCTTCGAAGGGCAAGATAAAAGCCTCAGCCCAAGACAAACGTCAAAACAACGAAGCTGGAGCTCCATTCGACGACGACCTACTACAGAAACATAGTCCATTCGTGCAAGAGACACATTCTATATATCTTGCTCTCTCACCCTGCGCCAACTCTTTCCCGCTAGAAGGCCTTGTGGCTGAACACATATCGCCATTACTTCTGACTTACTACCCGCCACTCAAAGGCGTGGTGCTGAATTATAGCAATGCACGGATGTCCGAAGGACCGCACGACGGGAAGGCGGACGATGACGTGGTGATGAGCAAGGCCGTAGACGAGTACGCTGTGACATTTGTCTGGCTGACGGTAGACTTTATGCTGCTGCGACCGAGCAGAGGATGCTATCTTGAAGGCTACGTCAATCTGCAGAATGAAAGCTTGTTAGGTCTGATGTGCTACAACTACTTCAGTGCAGCGATTGAGTATCAACGATTACCGAAGGACTGGCAATGGGTAGAGGAGGACGCACAGGAGGAGAGTCTTGGTAGACAGGAAAATGGCGGGCACTGGACGAACCAATATGGCGAGATGGTAGAGGGTAGGATGATCTTCCGCATGCGCGACTTCGATGCCACCGGATCTGGTGATCAAGGTGCCCGGAGCCTCAGCATCGCTGGGACGTTGCTTGGTGCCAAGGAGGATAAGCGCATGGACGACGAAGAAATGCAGCAAGGCCTGATTAGCGAGAGGAGAAGATAGTATCACCGTAATTCATCGCTTGCATCGTCTACGCTAGCTTACAGTCGGGCGACAATCACAATGAGATGATATCCGCGAGTCATGTATTCACATGTTTATACGAGCCGGAGTTAGCGCGTCTTTGCTCCGCGAAATCGTGTTTGACCAAGCTTCACTTTCTCTTTCACTTTCACTTTTCTTGCCTTCTCTATAAACTAACGAACATGTATCTTCAGTGCTTTCTTCTGGCATAGACAGCGCCGCCAGAATGCGTGGAATGCGACTCCGCTTGCGCATCCAGCGTAATGAGCTTCCTACCATCTCCACCCTCTGGCCAGTTCCGGACATTCAACTCAAACACACCATTTCGCAGCTTCTCGATGCCGTGAACCGCACTTTTCCGCTAGAGTCAGATACATGGGGTCTGGAGCACTATGTCGTCACGGTAGCAGGTTTTGAATGCCTGCACTACCACGAGCTGGGCCAGGTGTGCAAGGATGAAGACGAGATTGTGATCAGGCCATTGATGTATGCCGAGACGAGGGCGAGAACGTTGACGGGAAGAGACCAGATCACGCCAGATGGCCGGCATTTGTGCGATGGACTGCCCTTCGGACGACCACTCCTGAGAGGTGTGATAAGGCCCGATGTCAGGATCCCAGACAGGAAAGGGAAGCGAGAGGAAGTTGAGGAGATGGTACAGGCCGGCATTCCGATCGGAAGTGGATTACCGAATGGTATGGGCATGGTGCTTACAAGGCTTGAGGACCGGGAGGATGTTAATGAGGATAGCGAGGGAGCTGACGAGGACTTTGAAGTGCAGGACAGTGACGACCAGTCAGATGCCGCTACCTCCGATGAGAGCGACAGCGACGAAAGCTCAGAGGATGAAAGTGACAACGAGCACGATTCGAGCAGTGGCACTAGCGACACATCTGATAGCGATTCCGAGGAGGAGAATAGCACGAGTGACGCATCGTGGCATGGCATTACCGGTGCTACTGTTACCTTGTCGGCCCGAGCTGCTGCCAGCAAGACTGAGCTTGGTTCGCGCATGCAGCCTCATGTGAATGGAGTCAACAGCATAAACAATGTGACAGTGAAGCGCAAAGCTCCGGCTGATGATCACGCGGCCAGCACGGTAGCGACCGCGAAGAAGGTAAAGATTGACAACGCACCACCGTACCAAGGCAAGCCAGTCACAAAGTCGCGCAATCAGCGAAAGCGAGACGCGAAGCATCTACAACATCTGAAAAATGTCGGCGTATTGGATCCTAATGCTGATTTGAAAGCTCTCCATGATTATCAACGGAATGACCAGCGCACAATTGACCATCTGGACACGATGCTAGAGGTTTCCGCGAACGGCCAGGAGAATACTGAGGAAGATATTGCGACCGACGCCGTTGAGCAGTCTGAGGCACAGGACAACCAGGCGGCACAGGTTGCGGGTGCCGCTGTCACCAACAAGCCGAAGCCGAGCAAGAAAGCGGAGATGGAGGCACTGCGTCGAAAGCTGCTTCAGGACATATCTACGGGTGGGATAGATATCAACGACAAGTGTGCCAGACTCAGCGCCAAGGAGAGTGATGATACACTTGACAGGGTCGGGAACGAGAACGAGGACGAGGTCGAGGACGATGAGGCGCCGGAGCAGCAGAGCTCGAAACCGCCGGTCGACGCCTTTGATGATACCGTCGGCGAGACAGTAGCAGATGAAACAAGCTTTGTAGAAGCCGAGAAGGAGAAGGTGAAGCCTCCTGCGATTACCGACATGGTGCCCGCATCAGTGGCTCGTCGAGCGAAACTCGACCTAGCTGGTTCACAACGTATGCTCTTCGGCTCCCTCGGCGTGCGGGCTCCACAGACTGCAGAGGAGAGGGTGGCATTGCAGAAGAAGCTGGCCGAAAAAGCCAAGCAGCGTCTCCTCCTTCCTGGCATGACGCCGCGCAAGATACCACAGAAGAGACCAGAAGTTCTTTCGGCAGAAGCTGAGGCAAGAGCACAAGCAGAAGACGAGAATGCGTGGCTTAGCAAGATCGATCTCTCAGCTGTCGAGTGCTGCGAGGAGGGAGTGACGCTAAGCACGCCACCATTTCCTTTTTACCAGCGGTGGGATCCTCAGCAGAAGAAGAGAAAAGCTAAGGGTCGTGCAGCTCAAAGTTATGCGGAGCCAAGCAAGCGACGCAAGCGCGGCAGGCAGCAAGATGTTGCGAATGGCGAGCTCGTTGAGATCTACGACAAGTATAATGCTGGTGCTAAGGGTGATGCTTTGGACTATGATGATGTTGAGGACGAAGAAGATCATGAGCAGTATTGGGAGGAAGGCGCGTTGCTAAAAGGCGACGCAGAGGAAGGTAGTGAGGAAGACGACGGCTTCCCTCCTTTGCCGGCTGATCTTACGACATTGACACCACTCACCGAAGCAGACGCCAAAACGGACGATTACATCATCTTCACTGAGCTTGTATGCTCGGCTCTGACCTCATGGCAACCGAAGATGCTCACGCGTACTGCTAAGCTGCTCGGGAGGGATGACGAGAGTGCTTGGAAGCTACAATCCGCGCAGAGAGACCTGGGTAAGAAGGAATACGATGGCGAAGGCAACAGGGTCTATCGCAAGTTCGAGATGGAGGGCCTGAGCGACGACGAAGGAGACGAGGATGACGGAGGTGAGCGGGAAAGAACGATGATGTGGGCTGAGATGGGCGATGTGAAGTTATTGCTCAGATCAATGCATGGCGAAGCTGTTGTAATTGAAGCCCAGACCTGAAGTCAAGTAGCTTCCACTATGCCAAGACAGCTTGCTTTCTAGCGCACCCACAGAATCAGCTCCAACCCTCGTGTCCAACACTCCTGTTTCATCCTACATGCCCAATTTCAGGATGGCCTCGAGCTCCCTACGTCTTGGCGGGGCTTCAAAGACCTTCACCTTTGGATTCGCGACAAGCGATCGCAAGAAGTGCAGCGGATGGCTAGGCTCGAGTGGACGCATGACCCCCTGCAAGACCAACCCCTCTGGAAATCTACACTCCCTCGTCCTCACCACCGTCACGCCCAGCTCCCAGATCCCGCTCCTTGTCGGAAACCTGCAGGGCTTCGTCGTACCGTTGCGAAATGCGCAGAACCATAATTGCCGGTCCCTGTCGCGCTTGGCTATGAACGCGGTGGGTTCCACTGGACACCCTAGGCTCGCCCAGAGGAGTGTGGTGAGATCACGTGGCCTGACGAGGAAGGTCTTAGGTGGTATCCAGGTCGCATGGAGCTCCACGTTCTCTATATGCTCGATGTCCTCCTCGCGAAGATGATCGAACGTGCACGGTCCATCTTGTTGAATGAAGAACGGTGTGTGGCGCCAGTAGTCGCGGAAAGCATGACGATACATCAAGCGCGCTTCTTGGTAGGTTGTCCGACAGCAGAGGAGTAGTGCTTTGCTCGGTGGATTGGCGCAGACGAGCTCAGTCGCCTCTGTCTCGGATACTAAGACCAGCTTGTAAATGAGGTTGCGGAGTTCTGCGGGCAGTGCCAGGAGCCCATTTCGTACCATCATGGCGTGATAAGTGGCGAGAAGTACTGCGTGAGAGCATAGGAAGCTTGGCGATATCTTTTGGAGAAGTAGATCGACGTCGTGACTGTGGGTGAAATTTGTAGTAACCGCGTGTACTCTGGAAACAAAAGGGTATGTATCAGTCGCATATACTCATCGAGCGCTTTACAGAAAAGGATCATCTGCTAAGGCGCTTGTGCGCAACGTTGAAGCTGAGTCCCCGTCCCTGTATGTGGTGATAGTCAGCTACGTAGAATAAGTACACTTGAGCTCGTCGTTCTAGTAAGCAGAAATGACTCGCTAACCAGATGAACGCGAATTGTCATGTTGGCCGGAAGTTCGTAGCTTGTTGGGCGTGGGGCTGCAATCCATCATGATTAAGAGCTCACCGCCGTGAGCGTTGATCTCTCTGGTCCCTGTCACGCTCGCGACTTCGCTGCCGTCGATCGTCCCTTTCGCGGTCATGACGCTCTCTTCGCCTAGGAGGACTACGGCTTCTTGACCTGCGCCTCGTGATGTCGCGATCTCTTTCATAGTCTCGTTTACGATCACGGACGCCATTCCCATCCTTCCCGCTGCGTTGGCGATCTTTGTCGAAGACGTAGCCATAGTCATCACCCCTAGCATTCCCCGCATCACCTCCACGATACTGCTTTCTCTTCTCCAGATCATCGAAGCCACCAAAACCACCACGTGATCTTGCAGTTTTTGAATTTGTGTTGCCACGCCACTCGTTCGAAAGCTTCGAGACACTTTGTGAGAAGTCGACGTGGATGCGATGGTCATCGATCAGGACACCTTGCATCTTGAAGTAAGCTCGTTCGCAGTCCTCCTTGCTGCCAAATTCGATGAAAGCATATTGTAAGCTATCTCCGGTCTTCTTGTCGCGTATGACTTCGCATGACAGGATCTTGCCGAATCGGGAGAAGATGAGTTCGAGGTCTTCGTCGCGTGTCACCGGGTTGAGTTTACAGACGAAGAGGATCTGCTCTGGTGGTGTGACATCTGCGAATGGCAGGTCGCCAATGAGCTCAAGCGTGAGAGCCTGAGCTCGTGCTTCGCGCTCGCGTCGCAGCTTCTCCATCTGCTCAGGGTCGTCTTGCTGCGCGAGCACTTCGTCATGAGCGATGCGAACAGTGGCACGTTGCTCGGCAGAAGGGACAGGACTCGATGGCGGCTCAATCAATCCAGGCGGATCGTCAAAAGGGTCGTCGAGAACAATGGTGTGCAATATGCGGATGTCTTGCAGTGGCCTACCAGAGCTGTCGACAAAAGCTGTGTTGATCTTCTCCAGAGCATCAAAGCCCTCTGCCACTTCACCGAAGATTGCAGCCTTGCCATCCAACTGCTCGATGTTCTCGCCGAGCGTGATGATAAATTGGCTGCTCGCCAGTCTGTCGTCAGGATTTGTCTTCGACTGCGAGGTAGCCATGCTCACAGTACCACGCTCATTATGCTTCCTCTTCGCTGCGAACTCGGGCTTGAAAGCCATACTCTCCGGTCTTGTTGCACGTTTGGTGGCACTGTTCGGCATGGCCCATATCGAAGAGCCTCCATCGCTGTCCTTGGATTCTGGTCCTATCGGGTCGCCAGTCTGGAAGGAGAAGTTTTGCTGCACATTATAGACCGGTGAGTAGTTGTAGTACTTGATCTTGCATAGCTTCACGAAGCTGTGGGCAAGTGCCCAGGTCTTAGCATACTGATCAGCCGTGGGTACGGATTGCTTTAAATGGGGCAGCTGTACTTACTTCTCACAACACTTTGGCGCATCCTTCACCAGCAAGTCGATTGTAACGTCGCCGGCAGATGTCTCGAGTAGGACGGACATGTCGTAGCTCAAGTGCGGCCAAGATTACGGTCGGTCATGTAATAGGCAACAGATTGTACAAAATCAACAACTACTCAGAGAGCTGCCGAGGGTGCTTCGCTTGCGCTGGAACTTTGATCAGTGACTAAGCAGCGGAACTGTCACGTGGCACCTGCCTAGTCACGGAGCTACAGTATTAGTGTGGCGTTCACGACCAACATTGGCCCTGCAGGGAACACTATGCATGCGAATTGATCTGTAACATCCGGCGATGTGGCTTGCATGAGAACATCTCACTGACATATTCCATGGGCCGCTAGACGATGTGGCCCAGCCCGCGGGCGCGCTCCTGCCCTTCTGACCCTCTTGAGCACGACCCGCAAATAACCACGCTAGACGGAGGTGTTTGTGCATGAACACCTTCGCCGACATAGTCAGTCTTGACTACTTTGGAGAATGCAAACCAACCAACCATCCAACGTCGAATGAGATCAGTCTGCCCGTGCGCTGCCAATGTCATCCGCAGGAAGGTGAGAAGAGGCGCCCTTGCCCCGTCGTCGTGGATATGGCTGTGGCTGGTTTTATTGGCTCACGATCGATACCGTACATCTGTCACTGCGTATCAGCCAAGTGTCAGAGCCAGCGAAAGTGACCCAGGCACATTTCACGAGTGATGACCAGACTTCTCTCCCTTCATACTCCGTCATTGGGAAGTTGGTGGTCTCATTGCGATTTGACGAGTGTATCAGCCTGAATAAAGCAGCGGATGCTAGTCTGACGGCCTGCGTCACAAATCCAAGACTGGCCTGTGTCACAGATCCAACTGACTTCCTGTTACCAGAAAGATATGTCGTAAAGACTTCCCAGTAGATTCAACGCAGTTCATCTATTTGTTCTGCGAGGCTACACACGTCGCTGGATCTTCGCAACATAATCGTTTGGGATTGGAAACGCGACGCATCTCTGGAGAATGCATCAGACTTTGGTGGCGTGGAAGAAGTCAAGGCCCCTCGGGAACCTGCTTTTTACGGTGCTCGTCGTGCCCATGCCAGTCTGCCAGGTCCCGTGCCGGATGGACAACGGCGCTGCACAAAGCCCTCTTCTATGCTCCGGAAGACACGGATAGATACAGCGTCTTCCACCGTCCGTACAACGCACGCTACATTTCGACAATTGCGCCATAACGTTTTCAGCATCTGGACAAACAAGCAGTCTGCGCTGCTTGATATAACCTGGGGGTTACCGAGTTGAGCTTTAAGATCTGTACAGATAGGCTCGAGGATGTGAGCTGTTGCAAGGCGCTATACTGGGATGGATATGTTCAGCACGATATGTTATGGTATGCTCGGGCAAGGACCCAACCTGCCGGCTCTATATCCGCTCGGATCTGGCTAGTAAATAGCCATTCTCATGCATGAGCTAACGGGTGAGTCTAAGATCATGCCATAGATACTCAACATGTCAGCAGTCATGGAAGCTGCCTCGTACCACATCACTAGCAAGGCTGCCAGACTACGGCAAGCGCGGGTACGAATCATATATGTCCAGCCCCTAGCCTGGAAAGATGACAGGTTCTGCAATCAATCAGCTGCTGCATTGCTCTCTGGTGACCCGAGCTGTCATTCACAAGCGATCCTGCAGTGGTACCTACGATAGTCTGATGCTTACGACGAAGCCATGCAGATGCTTGCTGTCACACCAATTCGCAACCACTCCTCCGACCATGTACGATCAAGATCAAAACTTGACATCTCGGCTTCGATGTATGATAGGCACACCGCTCACAGAACCGGCAGCGTCATCACGGCTGTGCTCCTCTAAGACTGGTTTGTGATCATGCACTGCTGTCGCTTCCCGTGTGGCGCACTACAGCAAATCCGCAATGCTCCACTTCTGCTCGTGCAAACAACGCCTGGCAAGTTAATCGCACCAAGACTCGCATCAACTAGCGGCAAGATGGAGAAGATAGGAGTGACCGCTCAAGATACCTTGTCCGGCTGATGTGTTGAGTAGCATCATTGCTCTGTCGAGGCAAAGTCAAGAACACGGCTTGTGTTACCAGCAAATTTCACCCTTGCAAACGCCCACTCCCACACACACCTCCTGATACATACTGTTTGCTACTGTTTACTCGCCATCGAGACCGTGCCACCTCTTTGTCCCATGGCGCTCTGACGCCAATTCAGTTTCATCAGCGCATCTGGCGCCAGGCCACGTCGCCCCTCTTACCTTCCCGCGCTCTCTCCTCACGCATTGCATGACATGATTGTCTGACTGCGAACACACACCTCCTTTTAACGTCTGCGTGGCTCTCTGATTCGGCGGTCATTCTTTTCGATGTGTCTGCAAAGATCTCAAATCTCCAAGGCATATTGGAGCGATGATGACACAGGCATACTATCCTGGAGAGGGCTATGATCCTTTCTATCGCCAGCCATATCGCTCGACTTCAAGTGCCGGGCACTATGAACGAGCAGCTCCATATGGCTATCACGATCGCCCGCGCATGCACATGCACGATCATTATGGAGATCGATATCCAGCTCGCACCATGATTCACGAGCAAGAGCTTGAGTCTGGTACTGGTGGAGCACGCAAGCGTATTGGCGTAGCGGTATGTCTGATCTTGCTCAGCAATCGACACTGACGGCTGACAAGCGACAGTGCCTTCGCTGCAGGCGACGTAAAATCAAGTGCTCTGGTGACCCAGGCGATGGGACAGGCTGTCAAGGCTGTAGAGCTTCGGGAGCAGATCTGGCGGCATGCAATTTCATCAGAGTATCATATTATGATAGATGTGCACATTACCGTCATGCTAACCAAGCGTAGGTCGGTAGCAAGGAGGTCACAATGCCTGGGGGCCTGGAAGCATTTCCTCAAGCCACGTATCCTGCAAGTGCTCACCCTGGCAGCGCATACAATAACGACAGCAACAGCTTGCCGAGCTACAGTCAAAATATGCGTCTGCACGCTCGACCTTCACTCCCGACCTTGCACACTCGCTCATCATGGATGGACAACTATGAGCAGTACGAGAACTCGCCTGTGGATGCCTACACCTGTTCATCTGCGAGCATGCCACGCCAGGACTCATTTGCCAGCTCCTATGGTGGTGTCGAGAGCTACCGACCTTGGAATACCACAGCCCCTGCATCTGCACCACTTCCTGCGCTCGCACAGTCAAGCTATTACGACCAGCAGCCATCAGGCTACAAGTACGGTAGCCTGCAAGCACCATCATATACAACGAGTCAAGTCACTCGAGTACCAAGCGTGACGGCCGACTTACTCTCGATGGGCTCTCTTCACTCATCTCTCCCAATCCAGACCGCGCAGGAGCGTCGATTGCCCGTGCCTTACACTATCCAGTATCCGACGCCACACTCGAGCTCCCAAATTCCTCAAGTGCGTCCGTTGGGATCGTACAGTGAGCCTCGCGCACCCACTCACGGTATCCACAGTCGCCACGCTATGCCATGGTCTACTGAAAGCACAGCTGAAGCCGCTCGAACAGCATCTACACACAATCCTGCTGATGGCCGACCATATTTGCAATACACGCAGCCTCAACAGCCGTACATCAACATCCCGCCAATATCTGAGCCAGCATTTGGCTACCAGGTCAGCCAGGGCCACGATCCACCCACAACAGGTTCTCCTGGAGTCTCGCCTAGTACGCTTCCTACCCAGCCTGTCAATCTTCCGATCACTACTTCTGGTGTACTTGCGCTGCCGCCAGCATCAGCCATCGACTACCGTCGAACGGAGTACCCAACTCACTACACCATGCCAATAACGAGCAGCAACACTTCCGGCACTTCTTACGAGACCATGCCTGGCACATCGCAAAGTCTCTACAGCTTCAGCGCGGACGAGCGCCCATCCACCGCCAGCTCCGATGCCGATCATGACGATGAAGGCGGTGTGACAGGCAGCAGCACTAATTCCTCTTTATCTTCGCAGGCCTCTGTTGGCAATCTGCAAGCTTACACGAATGCCAACCTCACCGCCACTGGCACCATGATGAGACATCCGCAGCCACAGAGGAGTCTCGAAGGACAATGGCGCCGCGAAGATTCAGAACAGAGGCGTGCTGCTGCAACAGCGCAGAGGGTTTCGGTCAGTAATTTGAGCGCGGCGCGTTATTGAGGTATGACTGCAGCGGCACATGAGACTGGAGTATGGGTTTGCTGTCATTACCTTTCGGCTGTTTAGGGCATTGACTCTTGTGCTATTATGATACCATACCACCATCACAGCAGCGGCATGTACGATAAGGAAGGTAGGCGTGCTGGGGAGCGTAGGATAGCAGTATCAACTTAACGGGTGAGGAATATGGCATCATATCTGCGACTGGGTAGATATACAGCGAGTGTGCTTGATCATTACAGTCCTGGGAAATGTGCCCTTGTCAGCGGCTGAATGACATCCAGGCATCACTTACACCACCATGCAACAGCGCCAAGAACCCACATTGACGAGCTGCGAAGAACAATGCCCGCCATGCCACAGACAGCAATACCTGCAGCTTGCTAACAGGCAGGGCATGCTTTGACGACGGCCTTCATCCTGCTTGCGATGACAACAAACATGCTTCTTTGCACAAGAGCCGAGACGTGAATATAAGAACGATCGTGTTGACAGAAACAGTGAATCATGTCACCACCATATCTGACAGCTGTAGATAGCCTCACATGTGCTTCCCGCCATTCACCTCCCTCTGGCTCACCAGCAGGAGCAAAAGACCCAAGGATCTTGAAAGCCCCCCCAATGAAGGATATCACATGTCCGTTCTTGACTCTCAAAGCTCAGTCCAACAACCCACCGACCAGAACACTCATCCACACAGTAACATGGCCAGGGAAGCCGATACCACCGCCGGAGATCCAGAGGTCATAGAACGCGATAATGAGTATGCCGCCTCGGCTGCGGATCAGCGTTATGACCCATACGACTTGCCAGCTCCCGCCAAAATGATCTTGTCGAAAGGACTTTCTCCGGATCTGTTCATGCCGCCGCCACGAGAGGAAGATGACGGAGACGAAGCCGTTCAGAAGCCAGATGGCGGGGGGGAGATTCGCCGCCACCACAGGTCCTCGGATCCGCTCGCCTCTGCCAAGGTAGTCAAGGAAACAAGGAAAGCATCCACTCAGGACAAAGACCAGGGCACCGCGAGTCCACGACGAAGAAGAAGAAGACCGTCTCGCTGCTCCGCTGGGGGTCACTGCCGGGTCGAGAATTCAGGTCGGACGACAAGCTATTGCCGAGGAGGATGATGGAGAAGAAGTAGATGAAGAACAAGGGGAAGAGGAGGAGGAGGAGGAGGACCTGCAGGGTGCTGGCTCGGCTGCCTGACTCGGACGTAGTATGACGTGGTGAAAGTGATACCAGAGATGGGGCGCCAGATTCATCTCGATAAGACCACGGACAAGGGACGCCGTGGTAAAGTGATGCCAGAGACGAGGACGACTTCCGCATCGGCAAGTGTCTTTCCAGAATGACCTCGAGCAAGGGAACAATTCGGAGCGCTCGGTGAAGCGTACCGCGCAGAAGCCTCGATTGCGGTGGACAGAAAGGACGGATGGGGGAGCCATGAGTAGCACTGGTAGAGTCATATCCCGCAATAGAAATTTGTTCTTACAACTGTCCTTGGCCGCAGCAAGTCGCCGCCATCGTCCTCAAATGACCAATCAGACAACTGCCTCCCTCACAAATCCCTACCACCCCCGACGACAGCAACCGGACTAAACACCGCCGCCCCCCCAACCCCCTTCTCCCCCTTCCCCTTGGCCAAAATCGCAAACCGCAAAAACACCTCCGTACACGTCACCAAAATGCTCAACACAATCAACACGATAATAATCCACGTGATCCGCGTCATCTTCACATCATTAATACTATCGCTCAAAATCTCCGCCAGATCCAAAAACACCCTGCACCGTTCGTTGAGGACTTGGATCCGGGGTTTGATCTCGAGGTATTCGCGCACGGCTTGGTAGAGGGGGTGGAGGGTGGGTTCGGAGTCCCAGAAGAAGTTGGGGGTGTCGAGCATATTCGAGGCTGTGCGATCAAATCTGGTCAGCAGAAAGTTCATGTTATGTGCGAAAGGGTTGGGGGGGGGACGGGGGGGGGGGGGAAGCAGAAAAGAAACGACTCACATAAATTCACATCCACCCGGCCCTCAAACAACCGCCCCACCAACGCCACCACCTCCTTCCGATTCATGCCCAATCTCCCCTCCAGCGCCAATCGGCGGGGTACATACTGCGCCTCACTCATCGTCCGCTGCATCCTTTCCTCGAAGAAAGAGAGTTTGGTGCTCTGGCCGATGGCGTGCGACATAGCCAGCTTAATCATATGGTCCGATGTCCGCAGCGTGATCATGTCGTTGTAGATGCGGGGTTTCGGGGCGTGGGGCGAGTATTGGAAGTGGAAGGCTTCCGTTTCGAAGTCGTCTTCGTCCAAGGGGCGGGTCATGAGGGGGAGGATGGTGGCGGGAGATGGACGAGGGGATTTGCTGGGGTTGTTGTTGTTGTTGCTGCTGCTGCTGCTGCTTTCTTTTTGTTGGGAGGTAGGGTTCGTTGTTGTTGGTGAGTTGGTGGAGGAGAAGGTCAGGTCGGCTAGGAGGTCTTTTTCCTGGTTCGGGGTGAAGTTCCAGAGGACGGCGACGCCGTAGGAGAAGATGAAGAGTTCGGCTACTGTGTGCGCGTCCGGTGAGATCGAGGGTTGCGGGGAAGGGAGGCTGAGGGTGGTAGCCAAAGACGACTCGTCGTTGTGGTCAGAATGCCCACCATTGCCACCTTCGTGCCCCTCCCCAGCATCAGTACTTCCATTTCTCCACCCCTCGTCCATTTCCTGCCTTCCATCCCCTTCTTCTTCACCTAGACCAACCTCCCCCGAATCACCCCTCTCACCCATGTCCGGTCGACTCCCATGCCCATCATCCCCATCGCCATGCCCACCAAAACCCTCCCTTCCCCCACCATCCCCCCTAACAGAAAACTCCACACTATCGCCCTCCCACCCCTCCCGGAAATTCCTCCTCTCATTCGCCTCAATCTGCTCATCCAACACACTCCTCCCCCCCGGATTCTTCACCACAGGACTAGACCTCACCCGGAAACCCTCACTACCCCCTAGTAATGGAAGTTGATAAACACAATACAAACAATCCTCGTAGATCTTCGTCCGCGCTGCGTGCTGCTCCCTCACAAACTGCGCCGTACTTCTCAGCCGATAACTCTGCGCGGTGCAATATGCCGTCACCCTCGCTAGCTGGGCCTCAGCAGTCCTTTGGCTTTTGGGTAAGCGTTCAGCATCCGTCTTCCCACCCGCCGCACCCCCACTTCTTCGTCTAGCCAAGGCCTCGTCGTCAGGTGGTGCATCCTCCCCCTCCTCATCCTCCTCAAACCCATCCTTCTCCCCCGTCCCACCTTCCTCATTCGTCTCGGGAAGCAAAACAAGCCGTTCACTGATCTTACTACTCCGTACCGGGGCATGCACACCCGCTCCCAGTCCGCCTCCCAATGGGACACCGACACCCCTCAGTTTCGGCTCGAGCGGATGTCGGCCCGAGGGTGTCCGCGTGTGGTTTGCAGGTCTGACACCGGGTGGGCCGCGTCGCTGCGCCGAGGGGATCTCGGATGCGTATTGTAATACATTATCCACCGAGATTATACGTGTGCCTTGTCGTTGCGGCGTCGGTCGGGAGGAAGCCGCGGTCGCTGTGGAAGGCTTCTGTTCGCGTTCCCGTGTATCTGTCACGAGGATCGCTGGGTTGCGCTTTGGTGGTGGAGGGCCGCCTCGTGGGCCGGCTATGGACATGGTTTGGTGAAGCGTGTCGTGCTGGTCTTGAATCCGGACGGTGAGATCCACGCCTTTGTTTGTCGAAGAGGGGGAGTCTGCTTCTATGCCAAGGTCGAGGAGATACGAGACATTAAAAGGAGTATAAGCAGCATAACATATGTATATAAGAAGCAGTCTCCAATGCGAACAATAATGTGACGGAGCTCGGGCGATCCATCACAACCTAAGCTGGGAAAGCTTCACCTCGCTTCCCCGGATTATTATTCGGAGCTCGTCATGCTGCAGAGGCGTTGCACGTGTTCATGACCGTTACAACGCACATCCATATACACATGTACATGTATCAACATCGGAAGCTCACAGCGGCACACGTGAAACGCAATAGCATGGGTTCCAAAGGCAGAGAGCTTTCAGGTACACATGGATATCCAGTGCTGCTCGTGAACCAGATCCCACACTTTCCCGAGGGGGGTATCGAAAAACATTCCAACTCCAACCCTCCCCACCCACCTCCCAAACCCAAACACCACCCTCCCCCCCCCAAAAAGAAGATCTCACTGCCCCTCCTTCTTATTAGTACTCTCAAACCCCTCAGGCTCAAGATAACTCCACTCCGGCACCTCCCTAACCTTCTTCCACATTTCTCTTTCCAACTTATTCGCCGCTTTAGCATAAGGCGTAGTCTCGGCATTATACCGCTTACAGTTCCGCACCAACAACAAAACATCTTTGACGAAATCATCCACGATCTCATACTGATCTTTATCGAGCCTGGATTCCATCGTGCTGAGGTCCATGGGCTCTTTGATCACGGAGTAGTAATCTTGGACTTCTTCCCCGTTGACGGGTTGGAGGAAGGGCCAGGCGGAGGAGGAGGTTTGGAGTGCGCTGAGGAGGCCGAGGAGGAGGGAGTGGGAGGGGTTGCGCCGGGGTTGGCGCGCGAGGGCGTCCATGTCGGGACTCCAGCCTGTGGCGCGGATGGCGGGGATGTCGAGGGGGTTGATTTCGGGGAAAGGGTCGCCGGGTTTGGTTTTGGACCATGCGGCAGGCGGTTTGTGGATCTCGTAGCTTTTGCTCACGGCGCGGATTTTGGCGTGCACGGTGGCTTTTTGTTTGAGGAGCATGCGCCCGCTTTCCAGGTAGCGGATTTTGGGCAGCATGGAGCATTGCATGATCGTGCCGCCTTCGTAGTCCTTGATGTAGCCCATCCATTTCGGTTTGTCGAGGGTGATTTCCTTGGTGAAGCCTTGCTTTTTGAAGTAGCCGATGGCGTAGTTGTCGGCGTAGGTGAGGAAGTATTTGACGTCGCTGGTAGCGCGGACGTAGTCCTTGAGGTGGTTCATTAGATGGGCGCCGTAGCCTTTGACTTGCTGGTCGCTGCTGATGGCGCAGAAGACGATTTCGGCGAATTCGCGGCCTTTGAAGGGGCGGTAGGTGATGCCTCCTACCACTTCTCCTGGCAGACCTGAGGCTTCGGCGTTGCTTCCAGCAGGAGGTTTCTTGACGATTGCTATGCTCAGATGTGTCCTGTCGTATACCAATCTCGCTATATAGTCCTTCGGCATCTTGGGCAGCTGTTTTTGGAAGATACATTTCAGGCCTGTGAGGATGATCATAGATCTCGGTTGGTTGTCGTTGTTGACCACCTGGAAGGATATCTCACCCTCGCGCTCTTCTGCCACCGCCGGCTTTTCCGGGAATGGTGCGGCACTCCTTAGCTGGGTTGTGAGATCTTCAACACCGTCCGCCGATTCACGATCGTCCTCATCTTCTGGTTCTGGACTCGGCTTGACACGTTTTGCGTCGTGGCCGTTGGTGTCGCCATTCGTCTCGGCCTTTCGTTTGGGTGCTGCGGGGAAGAAGATGTCAGCATGAATTACCACCTATGCCCGCGGTTCACTTTTGCGCCCACATTCACCCCTGGACGCTGCTTTGCAGACGGTGATGTAGGACACTTTTTCCCGAGTTTCCTTGCGAACACGAGCTTTGCCAGCGCTTCTCGTCGTTCGTGTAGTGTTGAAAGTCGCTGATCCGGCATCATCCTACTCGCAAGCCAGCTTCTTCTCCACGCACATCAAGCAGGGCCGCTGTCCGTCGCAGTGTGAGTCCCGGATTGCTCTACACCTGCGACACTTCTTTGCGTCGTTCATGATGTCTTGTAGAATGCTCAATATGCCTGCTGATCGTCCTCGAATGTGTCTGGCATGAGTTGTGTAAGAGATGGTGTAAGACCTACCTTCTTCCCTGAGCATATCCTGCGCCATCGCAGCTACCACCGATCCCGTATCGCTGAACCGACTGAGGTAGCCACCACCACCAAAGCATATATGTTGTTTCTTGCAGGCAAGGAAGGCGGAAGTATTGAAGTGATTGAGGCCGCTAACTCCGAACCACGATCACATGCATCTTGGCCATCATAAGCCAGCGGATGCACCCGACGAGGACAAGAAGCTCGGACCTCGCAATCGAGTCGCAGCTTCCTCCAGCTGTTCATTCGTTGACACGACACGACACGACACGACACAACATCACCGCTGTATACGCAACGCCAACCTCAGCTCCACATCCACGACCTTCCAACGTCACTCATAGCAACGTCACTTCATGTCTGTCTCACCCCTCCACGACATCTGGGAGGCGTCGGCCAGCCAGCCCTTCCAGCCGAGCATTGGGAAAAGCCTCCAATTCACCATTGGCGCGACACTGCTGTTCATTGCGCTTGTGCTGAGTGGTTTGTTCGGACTGAGTATGTCTTTAATGCACACAATATTGTGGTAGATGGTGGTTGTCCTGATCATGTGTAGATAATTCGCTGAAGAACTTGCCGGTATATGGCATTCCAGCCTCGTTGGCATTTGGGTCAGCATGGTCAAAATACTATCTTTCCACTGCTCCTCCTACTGACTGCGATACAGCTTCGGTGCCGTGTATATGATCTGCGCGGTTGGCGTATACGTATAAACATCTCCTCACCGCATCGATCCAAGAGCATGACCAGGCAGAGTTGAGGCGGACATCACTTGCTTCAACACCTCAACTCGCAATGGCCCACACCGGGCCCATGTTCTCTGCTGTGGCCGCCTCCGCTCGTCAGATCCTCCTCCTCCTACGCTGCATTTCTTTCGCCAAGAAAGCACTGGTCCGCATATCCTCCGATGGCCTCCGCTTCAGCACCGACGAAGGCAGCTCAATGGAAGCATTCGTCTTCCTGGAAAAGGCCCTCTTCACATCATACACATACTACCCACTCTTACCACCATCCTCGCAGGACGACCCACCCGAGCCTCCCATCTGTGCAATAGACCTGCAGTCTTTGCTCGAAACACTCAATATCTTCAGCTTGTCCGACCCAAATGTATCGAAACGGCCTGCCGGCTACGACGACTTTGCTGCACATCGCCTCAATCGACATGCTGGCATCAATGCCTTCTCAAACCATGCCATGGGCATGACTGGCGTATGCACTTTTCGCTACCATGGCGAAGGAAGCGCTCTCAGCATCCACATGTCCGAATCCGGCGTCACCACCACCTGCGACCTCACCACCTACGAAGCAGAAAGCACCGAAGAAATCCCCTTCAACCGCAACACCCTCTCCGTGAAAACCATCATGCGCGCCAGCTTCCTACTCGACGCCGTGAACGAGCTCAGCTCCCTCACGCCAGCAAGTATAACCATCGTCGCCTCCCCCACTACTCGCCCCGGCTCCCACCTCTCACTATCCGCCGTCGGCGCCCTAGGCTCAGCCTCAATCGACTTCACCACAACCACATCATCCGAGACTCCCGTGTTAGAAACTTTTTACTGCCCATCAAGGACGAGCGCGAGCTATCGTTTCACCTCTTTGAAAGCAGCGCAGCGTGCTATGGCTACCGCGACGAAAGTTTCTCTGCGTATGGATGATGAAGGGGTATTGAGTTTACAGTTTTTGGTGGAGATTGAACCAGCGAGTGGGAATGGGAATGCTGCTGCTGCGGTGGCGTTTGTGGATTTCCGCATTGTACCGTTGGTTGAGGGTGAGGGTGAGAGGGAGGAAGTGGGTGATGGGGGGGATGATAGTGAGTAGTTACATATTCTGTTCTACAACAAGTCGATCAATTGAGGCACTCCCATCGCGCGATCCAACTACTCTATAGAAACAAGGATGAAAGAACCGAGTCAAGCAACAGATTCAGCCATCGTCCACCGCCCAACCCCACCAACCTTTCGATTTCCACATCCCGGAAAGCTTCTCCGTGCTTGCTGTAGTGCTCGCTCACATACATGGACAGCGTTTCCCCGAAGCCCGGGGCCGTCCCTCCTCGCCCATCTCCTCCTTTACTTGCCTCCTCTCCTGCTCCACTCTCCGTCCTTCTTGCTCTGCTTCTACTGCTTGCTGAGCTTCGGGGACCATAGCTTGGTTCCTCGGACTTCTTGGACCCGCGATGGAGAGAAGATCGGCGTCGGTAGCGGGGATACCCCCAGGTATCACTGCTAGCTGCCGTGGAAGTACCCTCAGATCCATCGCTGATGGGTCGGTTCGCCTCGTGTCTGGTGGAGGCTTCGGGCTGGTACGTATATTGCATTCCCCCCCTGTGTGGAGGGAGGAGCTGGGGCTGGGATGTTGTCATTGTTCGGCCGGGTGTTACTAGTGCTTTGATTGAGAGGTCTGGTCTTGTTTGGCTGAGGGCTATGCTGTCGAGTGACGGTGTTGGGTGGATGAAGGGCCCTCTGGTCATTCTCTGGGTCTGGACATTGCTCGTAGTGCTGCCTTCGGGCCTGGACGCTGTATTTGGAGTCGTTGTTGATGGGGAGTTCTGTAGACGCTGTAGCATGCAGGTTGGACGGGTGAGACTGGTGCTCTGATACTGTCGTCTGGCTGGGTTGCGTTGTTGTCGTCGTCGGTAATTAGCTGGCATTGATTTCGGTCGTGGTCGCCTGGCTGGACTACCGTCGGATGAGGTGATGGGTGAGAGTTCGCGCATCTCCATGTCCCGTGAGGAGTGTCTTGTGTCGGTATCCCCCACTGGCACCAGCATCGCCCGCAGGACTAACGGGAGATACTTCTTGTGAGAAGGACCACAGCAGAGTACTCCCTGCTTGCTCTGGCGTAAAAGTTGACATTAGTGTAACTGGGTCGAAGTCTGGCTATCGTGGCGGTGATGATAAGAGATGATACTTTGAAGGGCAGAGGGCAGGGAGGCAATATATGGCATGCTGCGTCTGGCACTTCTAGACTGAATGTTTGTCTATACATAAAGTGCATCAGGTAGGCAAGCAAACATTGCATGATCGTCCTTTCATGATATCGTTATGTGTATGAGTAGCAGCGTAATTGCACAACGCGTCCTCAGATCCTGCGCATAGTGGGACAAGAAAGTAGCACAAAACAAGCAGATGGCGTGTCTCATCATACCCGGCATCTGAGCGTCTGTTACCAGGTATACCTGCGTTGACAGGACGCCTATCCACCAAAAGCCTCCTCTCGATGCCACACCCCAGCTGCCGACCCGTTGAAGCTCAGATCAGTGATGTCATGCTCACTACTAATATAACCCTCCATATCCGGCTCCAGTGCCTCAAGCGGCAATTCAATCTTCTTCTCATACGTAGCACCAAAGTAATATGCCTTGGTCTTATTATCCTTCTGCGACCTGCTCCTCAAATCCCCATTCGGAGTCGACGGAGCAGACCACTCGCCCGCAAACCCCCCGCTCTTCTTACCGTGACCCTTAAGCTGTAGTCGTACACCTTGTACGCTTTGTCGACTGGGGTCGGCGTCGGCGAAATTGTGTGGGACGAACATTACGCTGCTGGCGGATGTGTGCATGAGGGTATTGGGGATATCGCCACTGTGTGGAATATGATGAGCGCCGAGGTTGAAGTAGACGACTAGATCTCCGTCGTAAGGGGTATCCGGTGCGCCACGCTCGAGTCGCTCATGGTCAGCCATTTTGGTGAAGTCGATGAGAGGGTCGTGAGGGGCGAAGTAATTGAGCGGATCAGCAGACCGAGGCTCGTTGTCCTTTCGCTGCAGGACCCAGAGGTCGTGTTCAGCCCAGCGGGCACTATCACCAAGTGTAGTCGAGTTGAGGATGGTGAGGTGAGGTGTCGAGCCCATACCAGTACCGGACGTGACTCTATAGCCTTTCCGCTCGCCCCAAGCGTTCTTCTCATCCGAGCTGTAGACGATGTAGAACTCGCCAGAATTCTTCGGCCAGTCGAGACCAGTCTCTTCCGTGACTGGGTACTCCTTCAAATGCATCGTATTCCGCTTCGGCTGTTCAGGCTGATCCCAGCCGTAGCTTGTCGTCATTGGCTCGAGGGCTAGCCTCACCATATCGTTGGTCGGACCAGCAACGTCGAGATCGGCTTTGAAGTTCAGGACGTGGTCGTGCATGCTACTGCTGAGAGCGTCGTGGATCCTGTGGCCGTACTCGTCTTCACTTTTCGTGCTGTTGGCCGTGTAGAAAGCAGAGAAGATGAAGCCACTGGCGCGCACCTTGACCTCGATCGTCCCGTCCATGAAGAACATGTATTCGATCGTGTAGTCGTAGTTGCCGACGGTAGACACGGACCGCACAGTCAAGAAAGTGTTACGAGAGGCCGTGACAGAGTACTGTGCAGTGTGTCGCGACAGGAGGTAGTCGGCGGTGAATTCAAAAATGCAAATACTATTGGGCATAGTATGCGTTTGGTACGACCGATGCCATTCAGCATCCAGGTAATCTGCATAGGCAGGACAATCATATCCAGGCACAAGCTCGAAGGCGTTGTTTCCCATGCCGAAGAAGCTGTCCATGAACTCCAACCCGCCTTGCATTGGGTCGTCACCAGCATAATGAGCCATGGCTTCCTGCAGACCAAGCTCGTACATCACACGTTCACCCTTGAAGCGAATATCGAAGAGGCTTACACCGGTCGCCTGAGCAGTCGTAAGGTAAAATTCGAAGCCGAACCACGAGATGTAGTTCTCCTTTTTATCGAGATTGTATCGTGGCCCATACGGCTGTACGCTGACAGGTGGAGGCAAATCGCGATCAGGATAGTCACCAAAGTCTTCAGTGTTGGTCCATGATCCGTCCAAATTAGGTGGTGTTCTCTGAAAGTCCGGATCATCTAGCGCAGACCTGAACTCGGCTGCAGAGTCATATAGCACACCATTGTAGTAGAACTGCCCGACAGTCCACTCGCTAGTATTCAAGCTTGTAGCATCGACCTTGACATATATACCTTGCGGGAGTAGCGTCCGAGCACCTGACCCCATTCCAGGTCGGTAGAATTGCATCCACAACATCATACCTCCAGTCTCGACGCGAGAGCCTCGGGGAAAGGCAAGTAGGCCTTCCGGGTCGTCGGGGTTTGCACGGTTGACTGTAGCACCGAGTAGTTCTTGCGTAATGTCCGATACATCCTCCGCCATCTCGAGGGCGAAGTCTAGGATGGCGCCATAGTCCTGAACAGGGTTCTTGATATAATTGCGGCCAGAGTTGAAGGTGTACTCTAGTGGTAGAATTTGAGTCTCTTCGGAGACTGGTAGTGGGCCGACCATATAGTAGACCATGTACGGGCCGTCAGGAAAGTTCTCTGAGATGGACGCCTTGGCCCACCGCTCCGGCGGCGGAGCATCGTCATGGAGGAAGGTCACAACATCAGTCTTGTTGGGTTTCAGAGTCTCGACAATGTACACAAAATTATCTCTGGCACTCTTGGGATGCTTGGTGAGGTTCAGATGATCGAACTTCTCCAGGATGAAATCATTGACTGAAGTGGCCTCCTGCTCGGTGAGTTCTGCAAAGACATTGTGCTTGGGAGCCTTGAAGGCCTTCTTGTCCTGTTGCGACTCGTACTCGAATGCGGTAGATATATGAGGATATCGAAGATAAATTAATGAGCCGAGGGCGAAAACAGCAAAAAAGAAAGTCGGAAGCCAATATGCTCGTCTGCGGTCCATTATTGTGATGGCTTGTAGGGCATCAATGAGTCTAGTCATGAGTGGAGAGAGGGAGCTCTAGGAATGCATTGCCGATAGAGTCAAATATACAGGTATATAGCTCCACCATAGCTAGTGAGAGCAACTGGTGGAGTGCATGACATGCGATAAGGAACGAGGTCGCCGTCAACAGGGATCTTACTTTGATATGCTGCTTCGGGAAGGTGCTTGCGACCCGTGCATTCTCGAGAGCGGAGTTCGGAATGAACTACAAGACAGTAAAGAGATACATGGCAGGAAATGAACTTATTCACATACTGAACACAGACGAGGCAAATACAACGAGTGCATCATAACCGGAAAGCTCTAGCTGAAGTGTTCGAAGTCAGTCATGAGCTACATCACCACAATCCACGATGCCGCCCACATCATCTTATAACGGGCAAACCTCAAGTACCGCCTTGCCAAAGTTCTTGCCCGCAAACAAGCCTAGCAGACCCTCGGCAGCATTATCAATCCCCTTCGTCGTGCTCATTCGAGCCTTGAACGAGCCGTTGTGAATCCACGCCTGTACGTTTTTCTGGTGCTCCTTGGCATAGACGGGTCCCATATCTGGGTCGGACACGATGAAGCCACGCATGTTGATGCGCTTGGCAACCACCTGCATCAGATTCTTCACGCCGTATTGTTCCTCGGGAGGCTTGTTGTACTGCGAGATCATACCACAGGCCACGATGCGGCCGAATGGCTTCATGGCCGTGAGGGCAGCTGCAAGTTGCTCACCACCAACGTTTTCATAGTAGATGTCGATACCGTCTGGTGCGAGTCTGTCCAAGGCATCGCCCGCCTTCTCCTTCTTGTAGTTGAAGCCTCCGTCGAAACCCAGCTCTTTTGTGATGAAGTCGAGCTTGGAGTCGTCACCAACGCTTCCGATGACCTTCAGGCCCTCGTGCTTCGCTAGCTGTCCCACGATCTGACCGACGGCACCTGAGGCAGCAGAGATGAAGATGGTCTCGCCCTTCTTTGGCTTGCCAATAGCGTAGAATGAGGAGTAGGCTGTCAAGCCTGGCATGCCGAGGGCACCAACAAAAAGCTTCGGATCGAGGTTGTATTGGTTGTCCAAGACATCGCAAGCATCCGCCTCCTCCTTGCTAAGCGCGACATACTCCTCCGTATTCGTTCGGCCAGCATAGATGACTTGGCCGTCCTTGAACTTCTGATTGTCGCTCTTGATCACAGTTGCAACGGCTGAGTTGGTCACGGGTTTTCCAAGATCGAACGGTGGAGCGTATGACTTCACGGTTGCGGGCCTCATGCGTCCACGCTGATAAGGATCGAAGGAGACATAGTTGACCTTGATTGTGATTCCCCCTGAAGGAGGTGTCTGGTTCTCGTCGAAGTCCCTGGATTCAATCTTGATATGCTTGCCTGCTTCAGGTAGACTCGTGGGATGTGCGGCGTAGATGAGAGCTTTGTTCTGAACCATGGTGGGCGAGGTGTTTGGTGGAAAGGACGACGAGATAGTAGATTGGTGTGAGAGGATTGAAGAATATGGACTTACCACTGATTACTATATACACAAGGTGCTTGCTCGGCAGAAGGCCATGAACGTACGCTTGCGTGAGCACAACATTTTCATTCGGCAAAAACATATGTCATCAACCTCGCATTTGCCTCGGAGGAAGACAGCTCATAGCATTGGATTTAGAGCAGAATAGCGGGGCTTCACGGCGGCGGCGTGCTCTTTGGGTCAATACTCCGAAGGGCTCCCTGTAGCGCACGTACAAGTGTACTCCCCAAGACGAGTCGGCGGTTTGGAGAAGACTAGTCGCAGTTCCCAAGACTCGCGAGTCGATGTAACGGTACATGTATTTGTGTCATCTGAAATCGATCTCCTGCAGGTGAACTTCACCAACGAGTGCGTCAGCAGTCCGTGCACAATAAATGTCAAGACATTGCATAAGCTATTCGCGACATTGCTCTGTTTAGTACCATTGTCGTGAAGCACACTGTCGAGTATACGATGGCAGACCACAAGACCTCGCTGGAACCACCTCCAGCATACACCGACGAGCCTCCCGCGGCTCAATCGGCGACAAATGCTGCACCACCACCCAGGCAGGGCGTGGTTCGCGCACCGTTGCCACTCAACTTGCCCGCCCTTAACATGATCAGGGGGAAGAGAGTGATTCTTGCCTCAGCTTCGCCTAGACGAAGACAGCTCCTTGCACAGGTAGGTCTAGACATGTGACCCCAGAGCGACGATAGTAAGCTGAGCGGCACCAATGACAGCCACCTTGAACAGGTCGGCCTCAATGAACTCGAAATCATCCCATCAACTGAGCCTGAGAACCAGGACAAAGCGCTCCCGCCTTTCGAATACGTGCTCGCCACAGCTGAGCAGAAAGCACGAAATGTCTACGCCGCACAGATTGACTCGCCACAGGGCGAGCCTGCGCTTGTGATCGCTGCAGATACGGTAGTGAGCACACATATGGGGCAGATTCTGGAGAAGCCAAGGAGTGAGCGAGATCATATCGCCACGCTGAAGATGCTGCGAGACCAGAATGGAGGTTGGCACAAAGTCTACACGGCTGTGGTGTGCATGGCACCACTCGACTCACTGGCAGATCCTGGCTACGCATTCGAGACACATGTCGAGGAGACGGCTGTCAAGTTCGATCAGAGCGTGACCGACGACTTGATTGTGAGCTATGTGCGCACCAGGGAAGGAGCAGACAAAGCTGGCGGATACGGCATCCAGGGCGTGGGAAGCATACTCGTGGAGAAGATCGATGGGACATTCGACAATGTCGTCGGCTTGCCATTAAGAGCAACTCTGCAGCTCATTGAGAAGGTCATCGTCGAGCCCGATGTTCCGGACGAGGTTGAGGAGGCTCTATAGTGCTGTGAAAGGCGGTGTATGGGCCACGAATTAGATTACAGCCGAAACACCGCAAGCATTCACGACCGATAGAGCTACATGGTGTTCGAAAGTGTACAGGTACATGCAACTCGTTTTTCAAAGCATGCTGAGCACAACTCAAGTGACCCTTCTAGAGTTGCCTGTAACCTCTTAAACCTACGAGAATCACGAAGCATTCTTCATGAACCAATCGCTATTGGCATCAAAGACGAAGTTCTGGATGTTGAACTCATTGCTGGTTCCTAAATCCATCATGCCCATCCCAGGAGCACTATCGCCGCTGATATTTTGCGAGGCGAGATTGACGTCGCCACCAGCTGAGTATGGCAGTCTAGGCATATTGAAGAAGTCGAAGACATCGAGGTACTCAAGCTCATTCGGCGCTGGCGTCCTAGCAGGAGTGACCGTGTTCGTCCTCCCGCCAAAGTACTGCCGTGGCTGGCGACTAATCAGAAAGTCGAGATCAAAGGCCGTGCGGCGCATGTCTGCTAGTATGCGAACAGTGGAAGGCGTTTCACGCAGGCCATTGGCACCCACTGGCGCACGCTCGGAGTCTGAATACTCTTCCAGGACTCTAGAAAGTAGGCCGGCGTACCTTTCGGCCACCTTCCAGTAGACGCCCATCTCCCTCAAGGTCTCCACGAGGGGCTGAATCGCTGGATTGACCTTGTGGTCAATGGTTGATCCATGGACAAGGAGCAGACGTGCAGCGACCCACAAGCTGAAAGCGAAAGGTGGCCCCAGCTTGTCTAGGAGACCGTTACTCTTCGCATATGTATTCAGTGCGCAGATATCCTCCACGGCGGTGTGGCATCGCTGTGAAGCACTAAAGCTCGGAGTGAAGATCGGCGAGCGTGTAGTAGGATATGCGGCTGAAGAGTGCAGACGGATGACCGCGCTATATATATGCTTACGTTAGCCTGACCGGCGAGCTTCTGTATTGGTTGGAAGAGACTCACGTGTGATATGTTATATGTAGCATTATCCAGATGCAATTGACAAGCTTGTTGCTGCCTGTCGAGCTGAAGACTCGAGACATATTGCCGTATTCGCTAGGGAGTCCAAACTTCCAAGAATTCAGCTTGTTATCCAGCTGACGGTACCCTGATTGCCACTGCTCGACATCCGAGAGTGCGCCGATGTCGACCGGCTTCTTCAAGAAGATGTGTATTTGCGACATGATACCCATGACCTCGATGTAGTAGCTGAGCGATCCTAGGTTCTCGGGCATGTTCGTACTGTAACCTGAGCGTTCGGCGCTTGGGAACCATTTAGTCTCCACAGGTTGGTTCCGTGAGAGTAAATCGTCCCGGCATGGTAGCTTGCGATCAATCTCTTTGTTATCTAGAGCGAACTCAAATGCTGTGGAGATGGTAGCATATCGATCGAGAAGATACACAGTCCAGAACAGCCGTCGTCTGCTTTCGTCTTCGATGAAGGACTCCGGTTCTGGCAGAACCATTGCGCGTAGCGTGTAGATTGACGGGTAAAGTGGAGCCACAGAAGCAGATGTCGTCTCTACCGCTAGCCCGAGCTGTACCACGCTCCTGGTAATGAGTGCAAGCAGGTTCCAGCCAGGTGGTCCGTTTGAGTCCCCAACGATGTCGAGCGCAAGTATGACAAGTGCTTGCAATGCTTTGACGGAGCTGTTCTCTAGGCCGTAGAGTAGTACCTTTTGTTTCGACACAGAATGATATCTATCTCTAAGCTCACTACTCAACCGAAGATCCGTGGAGAATCGCAAAGTCGTAGCGACAATTGCATGAAGAAGGATACGATCTGCTTCTTCCAGTGCAGACGGTCCGAACAATGAGTCCAGCGTTGTTCGTCTGTGGAGGATAGGACACCACGTGTTGACGTGCTTGAAGAACAAATCTGCTAGAGCATACAACAGATCGTACGGCGGAAAATCATGGTCGCTGCCGACGGTCGACGCAAAGGTAGGCTGCGTCGAGCCTGCTATGTTGAGACTTGGAGAGGCCAGAGGTGGGTCTGTATTTGTGTACACGTCACCAGAGCCCGGTGGACCAGCATGGGGCACGCTGGGGTGTTGAGCGTAACGGTCTCTTCGTTGATTACTCGTCGATGTTGTCATCGAGTCTATCGTGCCGTACTGTGGGAGATCAGAAGTAACCTGATACATCTGAGGCGTCTGCATGAACAGCGCCGTCTCGGCTTGTGGAACGTGGTTAGAGCGAGTGGATGCGGACAGATCGCTTGGTGAAGTCTGCGTTGCTGGTAGGTAGGTGACAAGCTGCTGCAACACAGTCTGCTGCGACTGCAGCACACCTTCTAGCTTGTCTGGGTTTGCATCAACATTCCGCTGACTGTACTAGTTGTAGCGATTTCTCTACACATACCTAGTCGAGATTCGAGCTCCCTGCCATAACCCGCACGCAGTCCAGGTTTCTTGCGCTCCTTATACTCGCAGATCTGGCCATTCCGCAGGCACCAGCCGCATTGAGGATGGATTCGATCACATTTGACCTGACGAGTCAGCTAGTCAGCAAGTCATTGCAACAAAGTCCCGCGGCTGCTGATTGATGCTTAAAACCCTGAGCACTGGTCTACGCGCCTGCGAACTGGTCTTCCTGCGATGGAGTACTGCGTCCGTATTCAACTCGATGTCGAGCCTCGTTCCTGGCTGCGATTGGTCTCTGGATAGGATCTCTACTTACTTTGCGTTCTTTACACTTCTCACAGCTTACAGAAACCGGCTGACTCTTCACTCGTTTGCGCCTGTGGCCGCTGTCTTGAACGTCGTCATCATCACCACTCCAGACTTCCTCATCTTCGTGCTCAGCGACAGTACTCGGTGACCCTTCCTCTTTGGTCGACATCCTTGAGGTGGTGATGGTTAATGCAATGGTACTCGGGGGAGGATGTCGCGAATCCCGAGGTCTTTGGACCCCGGCCCCGCTTGCTCACCACCTCATCGACAGCCGGGAACAGAACTGGCCTTGCCTTTTGTCTCCACTACTTCTGCTTCTGGTTATCGAGGTCATTATTCAAGGATGCTTTACGGACCAATTGAAGCCCGAAGGCATTCTGCCCTCTGGGTCGGCTTGGTAGACATTGGGCCGACGCGAGAACATACTACAGTCCCGTCTCCTACTTTCTTTAGAGAAGGTTCTTGGTATACCTTACCACTTTCACGTTAGAACTCCCATAATCCTCGTCCGCGAGCTACTACGAGACCACAAGGAACACCATCCAAATCTACCTTGACATAATGCAGAACTCCAAAGGCGGCGTGGCCACTTTCCCAAAGATCAAGGCGATCAAGACCTTTATCATCCAGGGCGTAGGCTCTGGTGGCGACTATCATAATGTCAAAGGCGGCCACTGGCTTATCGACTCGAAAATTTCTACTCCAATGTCCGGGTACGAACAGTACAGAAAGTCAAGGACAAGCTGGGGCATCAATGTGCTTGGGTCTTTCTGCGTTGAGCTCGAGGCTACCGATGGTACGAAGGGCTTCGCGACAGGCTTTGGAGGACCCCCAGCCTGCTGGCTCGTTGCAGAGCACTTCAAGAGGTTCTTGATTGGCGCCGGTCAGTAGAATGATGCTAGTGCTGGAGCAGACACTGATGGCGACTGCAGATCCCCGTGATACCAACCATTTGTTTGAGCAGATGTATCGTGCTTCCATGTTCTATGGCCGCAAAGGCTTGCCCGTAGCAGTGATCTCAGTCATTGATCTAGCGATCTGGGATCTCTTAGGCAAGATCCGAAACGAACCTGTCTACAAGATGATTGGTGGTGCAACCCGGGAACGACTGCACTTCTACTGCACCGGCCCAGAGCCTGCAGCAGCTCGGGATGCCGGCTTCACAGCTGGCAAAGTAGCCCTTCCATACAGCCCTGGTGAAGGACCAGAAGGCCTCAGGAAAAACATCGAGTACCTACGACTGAAGCGATCAGAAGTCGGACCAGACTTCCCATTGCGCGTGGACTGCTACATGAGTCTCAATGTTCCATACACGATCGAGCTTGTCGAGAAGTGCAAAGACTTGAACATCGACTGGTGGGAAGAATGTCTCGCACCAGACGACTTTGATGGCCACGCGCTACTCAAGCGAGCACATCCTACCGTCAAATTTACAACCGGCGAGCACGAGTACTCCAGATATGGCTTCCGAAAGCTCATCGAGGGCCGGAATATCGATATTCTGCAACCTGACGTGATGTGGGTTGGTGGCATGACTGAGCTGCTCAAGGTCGCTGCTATGGCAGCGGCGTACGATCTGCCTGTGGTACCGCACGCCAGTGGGCCTTATTCGTACCACTTCGTGGTATCCCAGGCCAATTGCCCCTTCCAGGAGTATCTGGCGAACTCTCCGGATGGCAAGACGGTGCTTCCGGTGTTCGGAAATCTGTTCTCGAATGAGCCTGTACCGACAAAAGGATATCTGGACATCACCGAGCTCGACAAACCTGGATTCGGTCTCGAGATCAGCCCAGACGCACCGCTGATTGATGCCACCAACATTCTCAATCCCTCCCCGCAGAAGACGCTACCTGCACCAGATACACAGCAAGACAAGTCCGAGAAGACTGCTTGAGCAGGCGCCAATCTCGCTGGATACTACGACTACATGCAAACGGGCGCTTGGAAGCGGATTTACATAATATGCTTGGCAATCTGAAGATTTGGTTCGAAAAAGAGGTGCAGATAAGCCAAATAGATAGATTGATCGAATCCCATCATCCTCCATTGATGGTGTGTAACCAACGAAAAGCTTATATCAGACTGTTCGATCTGGTAGTTCTTGGCTACTTTTGATAGCGCATATGGTGTCACTCAAGAACTCGACTTGTCTGGTAATGTTCGGAAGGAAGTTGGCACCAGCATATCCATCGAAATGTCCACCGGGGATGATACTCAGTGCCTTTGGTTCTCGAGCACGTGCATAGCTTTCGAGTGCTATGCCTGTGGGTACGAGTGTGTCGTTCCGTGCCACGGTCATTGACAGTGGGGTAGGTGAGATACGGTGTATCATATGGGACGGATCATTGGCACGCAAGAGCTCGATACTAAAGCACGAATAAGCTGCGAACACAATAGTTTTTGACGTCTAGTAACTTACCTTCGCAACGTGACCTCGTTCTTCCAGCAAGACTTCTTCTCCCATGCCGCAAAGAAGCGATAGCTCTCAGCAGTAGAGAGTGCAGAAAGGCTTCATTGGATCTTCGTCGACTACTGGAAGACACACGGCTGCAGACCCCTGCTGACGAGCCAGGCGGTCTATGTGACTCATGATTAGCGATACTCACACAGCCTATGCGATATGGACTACCTTGAGCGAAACCTTGCTCTAAGGCCTCGATGAGATCTGGTCTGATCAAGCGGTGGAAGTTGGTCCATCCATGAACCAATGGCCTGCATTCATGTCAGGAGAAGCAAAGACATCGGGTGTCACACTACAAGAAACGTACATTTGGCTCAAGACAGCTTTGACCCGACGGTCGACAGCACCCACGAACAGGACATGCCCGCCACTATATGACGTTCCTCATATACCGATGGCTGAAGGGTCGGCCTCGGGGATAGTCTGAGCATAGGTGATAGCGTCTGAGTAGTCGCTCTGCTGTAGGGACGGCACGATCTCATGGTGAGGTGCTCCCGCCTGGCAGTCGCTTGAGCCAAAGCCACGGTTGTCGTAGATCAGACATGTGATCGACAGATGTTCAGTAAAGTGGATGGCGAAGTTATCGAGGTCCATCTCTTTGACTGCACTCCAGCCGTGAGACATCACCAGACATGGAAGCTTGGCATGCTGACCTATTTGAGTTGGTGTGAAGAACCAACCTCGCAATGTGACATGGTCCGTCGTCTTGAACTCGATGTCGCGGCGCGGCATGCTGTCGATCGAGATGGAAAGCTCGTCTGTATGTCAGCAGAATAGCAAAAGTGACAAGAGTGGAAGGTTGTTGGACTAAGATTCTCGATCCAACCTGCGTGAAGATATAGCATTTCGAAGGGCTGCGGCGTGCAACTTGAATTTACTATCGGCCTCATAAGCTTTCTACACTCCATGGAAGCTTGGAACCAGACTAACGCCAAAAGGTTCGAGGTTGTACCCACGTGATCATCAGTGCGGGTGGCCTGACACGTTGGAGCGCTGTGCAAGCTCTCGCACAAGCTAAGCTACAGGTACGAGAGCGGTTGACATGTGCTGTTCTTACCTCATGCATTGGCCTGTAGCACAAAGGTTGCTTTACGTCTAGCACGATCAATGTATCAATATGTTGAAAGGCTTATCGTGCAAAGACCCTTCATCAGGCTCCCACGATGCCTGGCGGTTTGGCTGACATGCTCCAAAGCACGTTATTCCGCATGGGTACCATGAGTTATGCTAAGATGAGCGTACTGGAAACTGTGTTCCCGCAATGGTCCGATGGCCTTGGTACGAGTTCTGGAGAACAGCAACCATCTCCTTCGCCTATGGGCACAGTAGCGTACGACCTGATGAGGTCTCCATCATTCGCGCAGTACCACAGATAGAGGCAACATCGATGTCCTCGTGCCCAAATACTTGAAAGGCGATGGAGCCGTTGGCAGGGAGCCTTTCCCCGACCAGACACGAGACTCACTGGTATCGTGGTAGAGCGACCAGGGGGCCTTACGTTGTGACTGAGGTCCTTTCTTGTGAAAGAGACCATCGCCTAGAGATGAGTAGCAACTTTTCGAGCTGAGGGATGTCGATATATGTGTGAACGTAGTCATGTGTGATACTGGCTGCGGCTAGCGTCCATCGAGATCAGGTAGGCCGGGGACCGGCAACTCGTCCAGCAGTGCGAACACGAGCACACCTCGATACATCTTCGAGCGGCATCTAAGGGATACCGTCATGCGATCGACTCGCTACTCGGCATGTACGATTTCCTCTGATACGATTTTCCCGATTCAGCCCAATCGACTATAAACCAAGAGTAGTCTCCGACTCAATTCTGCAAGCAATTGGAATGCGAACCTTCGCGTTCGGTCATGCCGCTTCGCATCGCTTTGCTCTGTGTGGCTGAACGTCAGAATTTGAGGTGAGTTTTGTAACAAGTGAAGGCGCAGTATCAGTCATTCGCGAACATTGACAAATAGAGTTAGGCTAGCGCGGTCAGTCACATTCAGCCGCGCCAAGCCATCGCATTCCCTTCCCTCCATTTCAGCGCCTTTGATTCCATCTGCATGTCTCCTTTCCCTGTAAAGCGAATGCAAAATGCCCATCAGACTCATCAACTCCTTCGCCCTCTACATAGTACTGTCTACACCTTCCTAGAGCTCAGCAGGTAAGGACATACTGCAATAGATGGCCGTGCCGTGAACGACCCCTTTGAATGTCAGCACAAACATGCAGGTCCTTTATGCAGGATGATGACGCTTGTCTACATGAGCCGCACTCACTGTTGCTGATCCCTGTCCGACCACGAGGTGATCTACTGCAGTTGTGCCATCCACCTGACCCCTGGTGCATCTTGCGGCCACGCTTCAGTCTGCGCCTTTCAGCCCCCAAAGCTACGCGTGGCATGCCAAACCAACAGCGGCTACTCAAGTGATCTCCTAAGCTCCCGTTAGTCGACCTCGGCCGTACCAATACCAGTGCGTATCGAATAAGGGTCCAATGCTCCTGGAGTCTAGCTGGAGGCAACCAACAGTTCACCTCTTGCGCAATGGAGCAGGAAAGATTACTCGGCATGATACCAAACTAGTCATCACGATGGGTCACGCAAGTAACCCTGACCTCCGATTCCTCCCTCGCATCTTGCGGTTCCTGCCGTATGGCTACGCCTGGCTACGCCACTGCGACCAAGACGTCTATACCTTCCCGCCTGGCCTATAGTATGCTGTGATTGATAGTTGCAACTCCCTCTGCATGTCAGGCCCTTTGGCTTACATTTTGGTCATCTTGTACAGTTCGTATGTCATCAGGTAACAACAGAGATATATAATCGCCTCCTGGCAATGCCGCTCGCTGTTGCAGACCATTCTCTCTTACCTGGCTCTGGCCTTTCATATCGACCCCAGGCCAAACCCTCAGATCGCCGCACTACAAGAAGTCACGATCCACATCAAGTCATCCGGAATGTGTATCCAAATTGTCGAGCGGTACTCTGTTTGCAGATGCCTCTACCACAGGCACTCCATCGACCCTTGCGCCTATCGAGGCCAACGAAATCACGGCATCCAAGAGAAGACTGTTCTAGTCGGATATGCCTGCAACGCACACTCTAAGCATCGAGCGTCAGCACCATCGCAACACCTATACCCAGACTCCGGTTATTCCAGCTGGGATCACTCAGGCAAATGACATCTTCTCGCCAGATCGGCGAAGTCATCCACTGATCCTTATGCTGGACGAAAATGACCGAACCGGACAGGCGATCGGGACTATACACGCCAAAATTAGACAGACGTGTTCGGGGCTCGACTTGACATCTCCTTGCGAGATCAATCGAGACGGAAGACAGACTGCAGTACGACCAGGTCAGATTCCAAAATCTCATCGATCGAACAACGAGCTTTCGGTTCGAGCCCAGGGATCGCAAATCGTCATCTAGGCATTGGTGCTGCCGAACAGTCGCTCACGGTTGAACGGGACCCTTCCAGACGCACGATATCCCACGTTTCCAATGGATCCAGCACATTAGCCAGAATAACCTTTTCTGCTCCACCATTCTGGCTCTATCACGGGGAACAATGTGATGAAATTTGCCGAGTCCCGATCGGTGGCGACTCTGCAGGTATGGGCGCAAGAATGTACGATTATGTACAATGCTGACGCAGCGACGCGGCGACACGGCGACGCACCGAGGGTCCAGACGCACTCTAATCTTCCGTTCGGCTTGTGTAATTATTTAAACTCCTTTTCACGATCATCAGCACTTTTCTCAATCAATGTTTCCCATATACAACAGCATCGCTTGCGTGCGTTGTTGACAGTGGTTGGAACCACCTCGTGTTGGCTCGTATTGACCATCCTTGCAGTACGAGCTTTAAATCGATGTTCAGCTCGTCACTGTGCATACATATGCGCCCCTGCCGGCTATCACACATTGGTCACGATTGTGCATCTTGTGCTCGCGTGGCTCGCTTGGCGGAAGCGTGTGGGGTTGCTCGGGTGTACATGGTCGTCGATAGTGGAAACAACCAATGATACTATTAGGACCAGCCCCTCGCTTGTGGCCTCCGGTTGCTAGCAGTGCTCTACGACGTCATCGAGGCGGTATCACGAACAGAGCACTTGAGTTGCCAGAAGAGAGCCACCACGATCTCAAAGCACAAAAGTCACAGCCAGCTAGCAGCGAAGTGCCGAGCACCAGCACAGCGGTAATGCCTATCACTCAAACCGTTCCTTGCACTATCCACGCAAGACCCGTTTGCCAGACTGTCGGGCCGTGTGGTGTGCTCACGATCTTGCGACTTGAGGCTTGGGGGCTGGAAGGGAACCTGAGCTAAAGTATCATAAATTCACACCGCTCTGTTCTCAATGCGGAATCTTATTGCCTGAATAAGCGGGTATACGAGTCTAGACACCTCCAAGACAATTGTGTTTTTACAGTTGGTTTACAGATACAGGCCATATGTCGTTTGTGCATTGTTGTAGCTCATGTTGGACCTTCAGCGCATATTTCCCAAAGTGATGGAACTCTGCAGAAATCCGGGGCCAAGAATACGCATCGTTTGGGCCACCATTCGAAGACACGTTACTCAGCGCCCAGTCAGCACAGCCATACATTTCTTCACGGGAAACGAACGTAATACAATACGATATCCTAGCTGCCACTATACGCTTTACCACCAACACTCTCATCAAACGCCATCAAGTCCTTCAGCCCACACAGGTCAAACAGTCCTTGCGGCCCCAATTTAGGCCCTTCGGGCGTCATACCAGTCTTCTGCAGCGTCTGGTATGCGTGCTTGACCGAGGCAACCACAGCCTCAAGCCCAGTGATTGGCCAGATGACAATGCGAAAGCCGAGCTTGTTCGCCTGAGCGGTGGTCATGAGTGGCGTCTTTCCGCCCTCGACCATATTTAGCAGGACAGGAATTTTGGGGAGACGCTCGATGACTTGCTTCGCTTCTTCTTCGCTTTGGATGGCCTCGAAAAAGAAGGCGTCGACGCCGATTTCAGCTGCCTGGGTCAGACGCAAAGTAGCTTCCTCGAAGCCGCCGTTGCCTTCTGCGTCTTTACCGGCTCGAGCATCGGTGCGTGCGATGATCATGATCTCGCTTTCGCTCTCGTCTCGTGCTTTGCATGCCGCTCGTAGACGGTTGTAGTAGACTTCGCGAGAGACCAGGAGTTTGCCGCTCAGGTGACCACAGCGCTTCTCCTGGACTTGATCTTCGATATGGAGACCAGCAACTCCAGCTCTCGCATATGCTCTGACTGTGTTGGCTACGTTGATGGGGCCTCCATAACCCGTATCTGCATCAGCGATGACGGGGACCTTAGGATCGATCGAGGCTATCATGGCTGCGTTCTGGTGCATGTCCGTGAAGGTTGTCAGGCCGAGATCTGCCATTCCGAGTCGCGACATGCTTGTGCCTGCCCCAGTCTATCCGTCTGATCAGTCGGCCGCTTCTGTCATAAGTGAGATATGGCATACCATGTAGAGACATTCAAAGCCTTGAGCTAAGGCCAGCCTGGTCGTGATGCCATCGTAGACTCCAGGGGCTACTACTGTCTTAGATGGATCGTTCAGCATTTGGCGTAGTCGCCTGGCTCCGGACACTGGCCGCTCGATGCTGCCGTTCGATGTCATCTTGAACAAGTCGCGGTCGAGTTTATCTAGCCGATGAGGTGCTGGTTCCCGATCGAGGGTCAAATCGTGTCACAGATTAATCTATCTCTCAGTGTGACGTCCTAAAGACAATGAGCAGCTCGTAGGTATCTATGCTCGTGTTTCCTGTAGACTGTAGATACTTCAAACCTCTTCTCCCGATACCGGAGTGATGCTATGGCCGCTCTGCCATCGAACTTGCATGATTGGTAAGGACGACATGTATGAGAACATGGCTCGCAGGCTATCTGGTTTTATCTCGGAGCAGAATCTGAGGAACGACTCATGACAGACCCACCCATGGATGGGGACAACGATGTGGCGCGACGACAGATATGAGCACGGACCAGTCTTCACATGTCAGTCGCGACTTCCCCGGATCATCACCACCGTTGCTGGTTGAGCCGCGGTCTGGAAGTGAAGTCATGCGCTCACATGCTAATGCTCGAGCGCTGTTGAGTTCAGAAGCATGATCATAGAATAGTCTGGTATTTGTTCAGCATTCATCCGTAAATCACAATCTGTTCCTCATCTCCATTGTTCGCAACACGACCGCCTCGAATACGATTTTACAGGAACACACTGATCATTGAAGCGCATCAATCATGTCTCTCAAGGACGGTAAGATACAGAGAGCGCCCGGGTAGCGTATTGAAGCTTGCGAGACTGACATGCTCATCACAGACGCCTGGCCATCCTCCGCCGCTTTCGATGCCATCTCATCTGCGCTTTCCAACGAAGCCGAGCGTAAAGACGCAGTCAAGAAGGGTGGAGCAATATTCGCCTTCACATTGAAGAACGGCGGCGGAGAGACGAAGGACTGGTACATAGACTTGAAGGAGACGGGCACTGTAGGCCAAGGCGTAGCACCCGAGGGCAAGAAACCTAATGGTAGGTTCATACCCTTCCTGACGACACGAACGCTGTGATGCCTCTTACGACAGCGTCGGTCTCAACAGCAAAATGGTAATGTTGTGGAGCGCAGCACAATCATAGACAACTGTCCGGTCCTTCGAGTGCTGATCTCGATGGCAGTGACTCTCAATCTCGCTGACGCTGAATTCTCGAAGCTCATTTCAGGCAAGGCGAACGCACAGAAGCTATTCATGAGTGGGAAGCTGAAGGTCAAGGGCGATGTTATGAAGGCGACCAAGATGGAGCCGATCCTAAAGAAGGCGCAGACGAAGGCCAAGCTTTGAGCACTTGTATGTGGCTGAAAGCGGGTCTCCGACATATAGATAGGATAGCTTGTTGGTATATAAGAGCTGTTCGAGACAGCTCTCCACGATAGCCTATGCTGTTAGTTCCGATGAATGATGTCCTGTCGTGAATATTGGAAGCTGCTCCCGTGACATGAATGCACAGCCTAAGGCGTGAAATGCTACGGCCCGTTGCCGCGAGCTTGGACACGTCCGCGGAGTTTACGATGATAATCTGCATGTTTATATGGCAGAGCCTCAACTGTATCAACGACGACACGAAACGAAACGCGACGCGCCGCCTGTCCTTCTACAACCACTGCGCATGGCAGGATCTGCGACACGTGATTTCTCAGGCGTAGTGCGGTCGGCTGTACATACACCTTTGGCCAACGCAACTCCTCAGCCGCGGCCGACCTGGTGACGGGCCAGGTATCACTTGCGACCTGCAGCATAGAGTCGGGGACCAAAGGTTTTTGGCGCAATATGAGCAAGCGAGGTATGGATTCGCAGGGGGGCGAGGAGAGATATGGCGCAATGGAAGGACAGGGCAATGATGCTGGAGTGGAAAAGCCACAGGCGGCCACGGCTGCGCAGCTGGCACGAAGGAAGTAAGTGGCAATCGCGGCATACAATCGGTGCTGTAGTGGGCCCGAATGGCAGGGCACAAGCTAACAGGCGTCATCACAGAATCTTGAATGCGAAAGGGCGAGGTACACCCCGTGGCGCTCGTGCCGGTTCACCAGCCGTAGCAGGCCCTCCAGCAGCGAATCCCTTTCAGCAGCAATCATTTCAAGCTTTTCAACCGCAACAGAGCAGCTTCGAGTTCAACGTGCCAGGCTCGACACCCGCGCCCACATTTGGCGCTGCACCACAGCAGCACGGCGGCATGTTTGGAGCACAGCCGAAGAACACACCGAGCTTCGGAGGGTTTGGGAACGGCCAGGCAAACGGAACACCTGCTCAGAGCTTTGGTTCGAATGCCTCAGCACAACTGCAGACAAACGGCTTCGCACCTTCGGCTAGCTTTGCTGGGTTTGGTCAATCGCAGAATACCACGACAACACCCGCCTCATCGTTCACATTTGGGCAGACTCCCAGTCAGAGTCAAGAGCAGCCGAAGTCGAATCCATTTGCTACGCCAGCTAGCAACGCTTTCGCGAACTTAGGTACACAGCAGCCTCAGCAAAATGGGACTAGCTTCGGACAAAGCCAGCAAGAGGCGACGTCGCAACCTAGCGCTCCAATATTCAACTTTGGCCAGTCCCAAACACCTGCTGAGAAGTCAGCTACCGCCGGACTCTTCGGAGCTACGACTGCGGCATCGCAGCCGAACGGGACGACTCCAGCTCCTGCTTCGACAGGTCTGTTCGGCTCGCAGCCTGCAGCAGCACCGGCGACAACCCCAGGCGAGAGCATATTCAGTGGCTTGAACTCGACGAGCAGCACCTTGAAACCGAACATGTTTTCCTCGCAACAACCATCTCGATCGCCGTCGCCTTTCGGGGAACCTCAGCAGAATGGAACGGAAACGCCAAAGCCGGCGACCAATCCCTTCGCGAACTTCTCCAGCCAACCGAAGACCAACGGCGAGCAAACGTCGCAACCTTCGACTTCATTCTTCGCAGCGCCAAAGGATGCGCAGGCGAATGGTGTGTCAACGCCGATGCCAGCCACCCCCTTCGCGGGCTTCAACTTTGGGCAGGCGAAACAGCAGGAAGTAAACAGATCTGATAAGGAGGAAGGTGCAGCACAGAAGAAGCCAGTATTCAGCTTTGGACAAACGCCGTCGAAGCCGGAGCAAACTTCAAAGGCGAGTATGTTCGGCAGCCAGACGCCTTCTCAAGCACCAGCGACGTCACCATTCAAGTTCAACGCATCGCAACAAGAAGACACGAGTATGGTCACTCCTGGAAATACACCACAAAAGCCTTCATTCCAGCCACCGAATTCATTCAATACCGCGGCAGGACAATCGGAAGCTTCAACCTCACATCACGAGCCAGACCAATCTTCAAGAATATCGAATGCTGGCAATAGTATTTTCGATCGTATCTCTCGCGATCCTCCTCCTGTGAACCAAACTGCATTCAGCTTCAGCACACCTGGTGGCTCGACAAGCGTTGAGCGCGAAGATCTCACGTCTAGTGTTACTGGGAAGAGCTTGTTCGATCACATATCTTCAAGAGACCCGAAGCCGCAATCACAGCAATCCGCCAACGCACCACCAATATCCTTTGGTCAGGCTGACAATTCCACCACATTCTCTCACAAAGACGTGCAAGGATCAGCTATGTCTGCGCAGCCTGCTTCAACACGAGCGGAACCGCAGCTCTCGCAGCCGGCGAGGGCTCTCTTCTACGCGAGCTCATCCACTTCGACCGTGTCAGCCGATCGCAAGAAGCTGAAGCTACTCAATGAAGGCCTCGTGTCGCATCTGAAGACTCAAGATCCGAACAAGGACTGGACTGTGCTGTTCCAATACTATATTCAGCAAGCTGCGAATGTTATGGGCAGTGAAGCAGTGAGGATGCCTACCGCAGCAACACAGCCATCGGCTCCAAAATCATTTATGCCACCACCGCCAGCCAGCATTCAACACACGAGCATGCAACCGAAGGCGCCGACGACGCCCTCCCAGCCGTCTGCATCGTCCACTGGCAGCTTTGGTATCATGCAACACCCTCCGCCAGGACAAAGAGCGAGTGCCACGAAGACGCCATCAGCCAGTAATATCTTTTCACAGGCTGCACAACCTCCAGCTACTGCGCCAGTAAATCGCAAGCGTAGTGCGGACGGCGACATCACAGCCCCCGCTACAGAACAGCGAGCGAAGCCAGACGTCTCATATACAAAGCTACCGGAAACAGCAAGTAATACTGCTAAGCTATTCGCGTCCACTCTCGACAAGCAGAAGGCTCCAGCGAGTGCATCCAACCTTACAACCAACGGCGGTGCGTCGAATACATTTAAGCCTTCTACAGCGTTCAGCTTTGGTGCAAGCACACTTGCACGCAACGCTGGGGGCTCTACCGAAACTCCAGCAACCTCGTTCAAACCTACACCTGCAGCCGTACCTGTCAAACCAGTCGAGGACCCCAAGACGCCAGCATTCGGCTTCAAACCTCCCGCACCCGCCGGCACGAGTATGACCAACGGTGGATTCAAGCCATTGTTCGCTGCACCTCCTGCGGCAGGAGCAAGCAGCTTCTTGTCCGCATTTGGAAAGAAGGCGGACGCAAGCCTGGAAGAAGCGAAACGAAAGCGCATGGACGAGGATTACGACAGCGATGAAGATGATAAAGCATCGTGGGAGGCAAAGGACAAGGCCGAGCAGGAAGCGAAGCGCCGGAAGATCGAAGAAGCTGCAAAGTCGGCTTCTGGTTTCAAGGTCCCAACGGCAGGGTCCAGTGCTTCCAGTGCGCCATTCGCTTTCAATGTTCCTGCCGCTGTGGACGCTTCTACACAGCACGATGAGTCTTCGAATCCGAACGCCGGGAAGAGCATGTTCGACAGGCTATCGCCGGCCGATAAGACCCCTGCGCCAGCCGCCACGCCAAGCCTCTTCTCTGCATCGATCTCGAAACCGACGTCCATGAACAATCTCTTTTCACCTAAACCAGGACTGTCATCCGGCTTCAAGTTCGGTGCGCCTACTCCTGCTAAGGACGCAGCCACCGCAGAGAAGGAACAAGGCACTGGAGATAAGGCATGGACACCCAACACACCGATCAAGTTCAGCAGTACATCAACAGCCATCGAGAGTACAACGCCCGCGGCACCTCCACCAGCATTCTCAAATTTGTTCGGTGCTAGCAACAAGACACCGGCGCAGAATAGCGAGACAGGCAAACTTGCTCCTCCTGCCCTTGGCTTCACGTTTGGCGCGCCCAAGGGTGTGTCCACGGACGTCTCACGCGCGACTACACCCGGCGTCACTACGGATGGCGAGGCTTCAGTCGCCGGAGACAATCCTGAGGGCGAGCCCAGCGAGCAACAAATCGATCAGCAAGTCGAAGACATGACTGCTCTCATGCCAGCCGAGCGCGCAGATGAGGATGTGCTATTCGAGGCATCGATGGCCAAGGCGCAGAAGGTCGACCAGAAACAAGACGACAACGGCAACAATGTCACCGCCTATGTTGACCGAGGCAAAGGGCCCCTCTATATCCTCAAGAACAAGTCTACGGGCAAGATCAGGATGCTTATGAAGATCCCGCCGCTTGGTCGTTTGGCGATGAACTTCTCGCCTATCCCAGGCATGAATTATACTTGCGCACCAGGCAGGAAGATTGTGCTGGCGACGTTCCTCGATCACTTTGATAACAATAAGGAGAGAGCTGGACGTCCGAGCTCGTGGAGTATTCAGGTTCGAGAGCCGAAGGACGCGCAGGAGATCGCGCGGATTTTGACCGAGGCGGTGCAGTGAGCCTGAGTGGATGATGCATTGAATTTTTGGCATTCGCGTGGGCAGTACATACTTTGCGGGGTGGTGCGGAGTGTTGGTAGGGTGCCTGGGATAGCGGGCATAGCATTGGAGCGACCGCAGGGGGTGTGAGGCATGTAATATTGCTGACGGTGAACATATGGGGAGGCTACATATGTACGTGTCAAAGCATTCCCGGGAGCATGCAGTGGTGCGATCGAATGCACTCGGACCACAGGAGGTTATCTTGATCTCGCGCTACAGGGGAGGTGCGGAATCTGAATGCATCGACAGCCAACGTCGTAAAGTATGAAGGTCCTGCTGGGCATTTGTAACCAATGATATTACCAAAGATCCAATTGTTACATCTGTTCGCTACCAGAAACACCATGCTGAACAACAATAGTCTACCACTCGCAATCAAAACCAACTGTCTTTCCCAAATACCTTGTCATCCGTAACGCCATGCTGAAGCCCTTCATGCAATCGATTTGGGTATGCGCAACGGAGAACAAAAATGCAAAGCCAACTCCGTTTCAGTTCAGCCCACTCAAGACACGAGCACTACTCCTTCTTCGACTTCCTCCAGGCGGTACATACGGCGAGTAACCAGGCAACTCATCGTTAATCGGAGCCTGACTGCCGATTCTGCTTCGACCGACGAATCCTCCATCCGGTGATCTCATCGACCTAGGCTCGAAGAAATCGGTCACATCATCATCTTCCATCTCGCCTTCGTCTGTGATCGAATCGCCGGAGGCGCGTCGCTGAATTGCATCGGTCGATGCGTTTTCGGATGAGATCTGTATCGGCACCTTCAGGTTGATATTTTGGCCGATACCGCTCAGACCCAATTCCAGCTTGAGCTGATAGACACGACTGATGAGGCAGGTGTGGAAGGTCGGTACGAAGGTTTTGTTTGCCGGCAGTGTGATGGGCACCAGGAGTCGGGCAGTGTAGTAAGCCTGGCCAGTGTAGCCCTCGCTGGGTGCAGGAATATTACCAGTCTCGACCGCCGAACACGCCGAGTCCCTACGCTCGGTGGACGATGGTTTAGCAGGGTCCACTTTGACCCATTCGACATTACCCATGCAACGAGACGCCAGTGTCATCTGCTCGCTATGAATGCCCTGGGAGAGATCCTGGGCTGAATTCTTCTTACTTGGAAAGTGATGGCGGGCGGTACTAGCGAAGTACGTCGCCACTTTCAGCTTCGCCACCAGGTTGCCGAGCTTTGGTAGTGCTGCAGTCCTATCGACAGGGTCAAAGCGGAGCATGACGGTTGCCATAGAAGTGGTGCGTTGTTCTGGATCGTGTCGAGCGCTGACAGAGAAGGACGCTGGTTGGGCGGCTTCCATTGATAGCACGCCGTTTTTGCCCTTGAAAATGCCTTTCTTGGTCTCCTTCTGCTTTCGCATGATGTACTCGCTCTCCTCGTCATCCACAACAAGAGGTGGCTGCTCCTCAACCACAGGCATGATGCGAAGCCGTCTCGCTCGAGTTGTGATGGGGTCGCGTTTGAAGAGACCATCATCCGTAGCCTTGAAGTTGCAGATCTTCACGAAAATGCCGTATCTGACCGAGCTCATCTCTGGCGCAAGGTCGTCGGGGATTCCTGCGGACTTTGCCTGTTGTCGATCGCCAAAGCTCGGCGGTAACAGTAAGTGGGCATCATGTACTGCGGAGCTCTGCACCTTATGCTGGCAGATGCGAGGCAAAAGATGCTGTGGGACTACGAAGACGAATGCAAATTGGTACTCAGTTCCCGCTTTGAAGATGTTATCACCGGGGTACTGGTGGGCGACATCCGGTTGTGTGAGCCTCAGGAATTGATGGAAGGCCTCGCTTCGACCAGACATAGCCGCTGCCGTTGCCATTTTCTCAATGAAGGTTCGTGAAGTTCCAACAAGCTCGATGGAGACTTCATCGAATGGTAGATCTGTGGGGCAAGTAATGGATACTGTCCCTTCGATTCTGTCTAATGTGGTGTAAATCTTCTTCTTAGAGGCGACGTTGATCTTGATCACTGGCGCTCGTGCTTGCACGATGCTGCGTAGTCTCGACGGCATATTGGTACCATCATATGAAGCCATCAGTTGAAGAGACATCGTTGCTAGCGATGTGAGAGGTGTGTGAGTCTGGCAATTGCCACTTAAAAGAGGACAAGCCTTCTATAGCCAAGGACGTAATGCGACAGCCGATTGCGGGGTGGAAGGTGTAGGTGAGCTCGATGCAATAGGTACCCGTACCCTTTCGTGGCTTGCTCGTGCCGCTTGATGATAGTGGAGACTAGGAATCCTAGGGTAACAGCTGCTGGAGAGTGTCGATGACCTTATTAGGTAGGAGCGGACGGTGGATTGGTCTTATATTGATGACCGGCTATTGCCTTGCGCCCTTCGCATGCACTCCAGTTGACTCACAACAGCAATGGCTTCGGAATTGAGTGACTTTGCCCTGCTTCTGATGTTAGTATAGTACCGATAAGCTAGTACCACTAGGATCGGGATCAGCGAGTCGGGAGGAACTCTATGATGATCTCCTTCGTCTCTTTGTCAGCTGCGCTCATCAATAGCACCTCAGATGATCCTTGTCAAATGGTAGGGCGTGGAGATGTTTGGAGTCATTTTCCCGCCCTTTATTCTATGTTCATGTCGAAGCATGGGCTTGCTCAAGCATTTCTGTGGCGTATTCCCACATGCAAGTTTCCACTGCAAACGACTTGCCATCACGATGACTATTGCGCCTTATAGTGAAGTGAGACCCTTCTAACAGAGAAACGGCCGGATCAGGAAAAGGAATCCATTCTTGATTCCCCAATGTTAGGTGCACGCGTGTTAAGAAAATTCAATGCCAACGCTAGACTCCAAAGCACACGGCGAACCAGCAAGAAAAGCTCTTCCACCGCCGGCACCACGAGGAGAACTAGTACAGCCGACTCCAAAATAGAGAGCCAACGTTGCCGACAGCGTCTCACCACCGGCCTCTCTGTCAGCAGTATTACGTCGAAATGATGGTATATGCAACTCATCGAGGGTTCCCGAGAGTCATCCATGATGTGAGATTGCACGCTTGGTAATAATAATGCGCACGCGCATGAAGAATCTGAGCCGCAAACAGACGATTGGGTGTACAGGCGGCTCGGGTCAAGGCTGCGAGACTTCGAGTCGGTATACCGATGGTGATCAGTAGGGCAGCCACTGCCAGCTAGCCAGAACGATACTCCGGCCGTGTCAAAATGCGACGATTCGATCTGGATGCTGCATGTCCGGCGTTGTTCGCGGAGATGGACACGAAATTGTGGTCCCCGATGTCGGAGGCGGATCATCTCCGATTACCTCAACCGCAACACCACAAAACAGCAATCACTCATAGCAGCACTGCTAATGGCTACAGATGGACTTAAGCAACGGTGATATGATACTGGTTGTCGCTGCATTGCCTATAAGTTGGGACGCTTTTCACAACTCAAAGTAGCCTTTACTCGTCTCCCAGCAAGAATGTATGTGTGCACCATTCTTACAAAGTGCCGCGGCTGTACAACAGACAGTACTCCGCAGCTGCTGCTTGACAGTGCTCAAAGCACTTTGTCCGGTAGTTTCGCATCATCACAGCTTGAAGGTAGGACCCCATACGTTGCCTCTCCGACTTATTAGACGACCATGGCATCCACAACAACACCACCACCAGTGACAGGATTCCTGAGGCTCTCGTATCCAGCACCAAGGGTTATCCTCTGCACTATGTCAAGAGAAAAAGGTGATGATTGCCCAAGACAGAAGGGGACGAGTGCTAAGCATGGCAGACCTCAACTGTACCAATGCAGCCGCTATCCTCGAAATGACAGCTGTCTTTCGATGGTTTGATGCGGAGCCCTCACTATCTGTGGCAGTCATCACTGGTGCGGGAAACAAGGCTTTCTCGACCGGTGCAGATCTCAAGGAATGGAACGCCAAAGTAGCAGAACTGACGGCCGCTGGTGAAGACACCAGTGGAGCAGGGCCAGGCAATGTACCAGGCGCCGAGGCCATGTCCAATCGAAGAGGCAAGAAACCCGTCATAGCAGCGGTCAACGGCATGGCTCTTGGTGGCGGTTGTGAAAATGTAGTCAACTGCGATATTGTGATCGCCAGTGAGACGGCGACATTTGGGCTGGTCGAAGTCAAGAGAGGTCTGGCCGCGTATGCTGGAGCACTACCACGCCTGATCAGAACTATTGGTCTGCAGCGTGCAAGCGAGATGGCACTGACCGGCAGGATCATTGATGCTGTGACAGCTGAGCGATGGGGAATGGTCAACAAGGTTGTGCCTCAGGATCGAGTCGTTGTTGAAGCCATTGCATTTGCCAAAGAGTTGGCAGAGAACAGTCCCGACTCATTGATTGTCACTCGGTCAGGCCTGAGAGAAGGCTGGAAGACTGCAGACGTGATCGATGCAACACGGACTACTAATGAAGGGGTGTGGAAGGAGTTGCAGAAAGGTGAGAACATGCAGGAAGGTTTAAAGGCCTTCTCCCAACGACGAAAGCCGCAGTGGAAAGGACCACGACTGTAAACCGGTGGGTTTGTATCATTGATACGGCTATCCCCATCAAGAAAGCTACCATCCAGCCAGAAACATAAGCTGGTGTTTGACAGAAGGGAACGGGGAAAGCAAATCGTCCCTACCCACAGCATCACCAGAAGACACCATCTGCAAAGCAATATCACTAAACTCTGGCCCACTGCATCTTAATCTGATCGTCGAGTTCGACGTCTCGAGAGCATGATTGATCCAAATCTCTGTTTCCCGTTTCCACAGCCCACTTTGCGATACGCGTCTCGTCGTAACCGTAGCCTGAGGTCGTAGCTGGACTGCCTCGAGCCTGCTGATGCTCTCCCAGCCTTTCCGTGCCGACACTTCTACCTGTTGGACGAAGTCTCGAGAGCATTGCCGTATTGGTCCATGCATGAACCTAGCCGCAGGGATGCGACTGAAGCTTGTTTTGTAGTCGATCGTGAGGCGAAAGGTATTGAGTGACCAGTATTGCTGACAAGCCCCTCGGAAGACGGCTTTAGCATCGTAGTGCAGTCGTTTTGTGGTCAACAGCAATGCCGCAGATGGTGGTGCTGTAGAGAATAGGTCGATTGTGCTTTCAGAAGGTAGATCTGCCCAAATGAGCTCGTAGATAAGGATTCGTAGCTCAGCCGGGAGTCTAAAAATTGCATATGAGACGCGTGTTGGCTCCTGGTTGTCGCCGGATGTCGCTTGAAGAATTTCGTTCACGACCTCGTCTGATGGTGATGCCAATGGTAGTTCAGGGATCGACTCGACGGTACGAACACGTTCCAAATTGTCGGAAGGCAGTCCAGCGATCCCAGAATCCCTTCGCGGTGCTGTAGATGACGACTTGCGCCTAGACTCGTTTAGACGTGCCAACATTCTTGGGATTGTGCTTTCCCAATCGTTCTCAATGCTATGCTGGGCAACGAGGTTCAATTGAACACGAGAGAGCGTCATCATAGCGCAAGCTTTCCGCTAGACCGGTACCTGGGCTCCACATCACTGTAGCATGATAGTACGATGTGACTTTGGAAAGAAGCCTTTTGGAACTATGTGTCTTTGCATGATTCTATCGCATGAGCTTAGTCAAGCGTATTGATGTCTGTTTCAGCACCATACTTGAAAACAACCCACTGACAAAACTTCTCAAAATCCTTCGCCCATTCCTTCATCCTCTCTGCTCGCACACCAGTCCCGTAAGCACCAGCCTTGATATCTGCTTGCCAATCCTTGGCGGTACAGTCATCGAACGTCGCCCATCGAACACTGTTCTCTGCCAGGCTGGCTAGACCTTCCAAGCCTAGGTTCTCCCAGCCTTGCAGTGCTTGCCAGAAGTCGTGCGACATGCCACAGATTCCTTGGCCTAGTATAGCCGGGTCGTCGTTACATAGTGCGCACGAGACGCCGCGGGCGAGGAGAGCTGGCAAAGGGTGGTGCATTATACTGCTTGTCAAGCGTAAGACTTCATTGGAGACTGGACAGCTCTCCACCAGAATCTTCTTCTCTTTGACCATGTCAATCAGGAGCGGATGTTTGTATAGTGAGAAGCCGTGTCCTATCCGTCGTGTACCGAGTAACACTGCATCGAACAGATTCTCGTCGACTATGTCGCCATCTCCTAAAGTTTCGCCAGCATGGAAGTAGAAGGGTATATTGACGCCTTCTTCCATACATCGTTTCTTGAACCAGAAAAGCTCGGGCGTAAGATGAGCCAGAGGACGTCCGGTATCTTCTTGGCCTACAAGGTCGTAGCCTGCTATAAGATCGGGGAATAGCTGCTTAATCTCGATGCAGCTCTTCATATTTTCAACCACGCTGCGAGTATTGAGACTTCGAACGTGCGTCCAGATTACTCGAGCACCCCAGAAGCCCTTGCCTTCCTCCGACTGCTTGAATTCTGCGATTACTTCTTCTAGCGCTGCGAACAGGCCGTCGAAGTCTTCGTCTGGAGTGTCGCTGCCTGTGGCGGTGAAGGGCACGCCGAACACTGACCTGATATCGACCCATCGCACGCCATCAGCGTTAAGTTCTGCGAGCAGTCTTCGGATACATTTGCGGAAGATGGGCTCATATCGTTCGATCGATGCTAGTATTGGGAAGCACGATGTGAACTTTCTCCAGATGGCGTTAGGACCAATGTGATGCTTTATCGATTCGTCGTGAGTAATGGTCACCCTCGACACAAACCATTCGATAAAAGCTTGCTTGCCCCCTGGAAAAGCCTCAGCAGCCTTCGTCAGAGGTATCTTCCTGCCCTTGCTGTAGCCATCAGACCATATTGACGGTACGTCGTCTTCAGGAGATGTCTTCGTGAATGAGAACAGGAAAGAGCCAGTCTCCCGCTGTTCTTGCGTCGCTAATGGAGTGTCTGCTGTTATACAAAAGCCGTTTGTGGTAAGAGCTTCGTTGATAAGCCATGTAGCATCGGTCATGGCTTCAAGATGACAATGGAGAAGTGCCCCTTTCGGCATCTTCTGGACTATCTTCCAGAGCTTCGAAGACTCCATCCTCTCTTTGGCGAGGCTGAACATCATGCCTGGGTACGCTTCAAAGGAGTCCTGCTTGGCGAGATTATCTTCATATTCTGCATTCCATAAGGTCTGCTGTTCTTCGAAGCGAATCTGACAAAGGTAAATAAATTGCCTTAGAAGATGTTTTGTACTCATCAACTCACTTACAGCGGATATGATTGCAGACGCTTCTGCAGCCATTGGAGAGAGCGTTTCTCGGAAGGCATGGTCACTTCGTTGCCTCTTCTCTTGTGCTATTAGATTATCTCTTCCGTCGAGGTACTTCTGCAGGAATGGTTCTTCAAGAGATGGTAGGCCCTGCTCCTTGGCCCAAGCTCCGTCGTCTTCGCTCTGGTCTTGTGAAGTTGGATCCATGATGTCAACGCTTAGATTTCATGTTGTCAAAACGGTCGCTTCACCATGGAGGTGTATCAGCCACAGCCATGGCGGGGCTTATCTGCGATAGGCTGTCGGGAAAGCCTCGGCCCGCTCGAACCCTGACCATCCCACGCGCTGAGGCTCGCGTCCTCGTCATCTGCATCACGAGCGCCTTGGTTGCTCTCAGTCGCCGTCCGACAAAGGTACACCTGAGCCGCAGACCTGAGAATTACCTAGTCTGCTTCGACTCCTGCTGCTGCTACTACACTGCTACCCATCCATCGAAGTTGCCACTGTTTGCTGATACTCCGTTCAATAGTATCTGTCTTATCGCTTCCACTTACTCATGTCGTAGAACAGTATGTCCGTCCAAAGAACACTTCGCCTTAGGCACGCAAACACAGCAGCACACGATAGGTCTTCCCCTCTCAGTCCGACAAACCTCGATCCTGGTCTTCAAAAACGATAATAAGAGGCCAGTATGACTTCTTGGTGGCAGCGGAAGCTCTTCCAGTACACCGTCTCTCGCCTCGGCTTGTTTGAAGATGGTGCCTTCAACTTCGATGACCTTAACCTCTCGTGGGGCCGCAGAAGCACGATACACCTTCGCAACCTCCCATTCAACACGCAAAGGCTCAGCCAACTACTTCAGCTACCATCAACTCTGCGTGTAGAGACTGCGAAGCTACTCTCCCTCCGATTGAGTGTACCGGTCAACCTGAGTGGCATCGAGGTCGAAGCAGATGGAGTTGAGATCGTGGTCAGGCTACTGCGAGATGATGAGGTCGGCAAGGAAGGTCAAGGGAAACCCGGTGCTCCTACAAGTGGCCGTGGTCCACAGCACAGAAAGGCACACAGACGATTAAGCTCACCTAGACGCCCAGGAGCCCTGTTTGATGAGGATGAAGACCATGTCCATATACCAACTGCTGAGGAGCTGGCCAAATCATTCCTGTTAGAAGAGCCAATATATGAGAGACAAAAGCTCGAGGCTTCGCTGGCGGCTGACCACAAGTTCGTAGACGAATCCATCGTTAGTGAAAGCAGTGATAGTGATGATGCTCTTGGTACTGGCACTGGAGTCCCTGACATACTTGCTGGATGGATACAGACTATCGTGGACCAGGCACAGGTGCATATCGGGAACGTAGAGATCAAGTTTGAGGCAGATATGGCAGGAGATGCCTCTGGGCCTATTCCAGTCACCTTGCGCCTGACTCTGGCCGAGGCAGACGTTCCACCTGTTGATACGACTTCGGGTGGCGATCTCAGGCTGGGCAACCGCAACATTGTGCTTCATGACATTGCGCTGGACTTGCTCTCAAAAAGTGAAGCCTTCACTACTCTATCGCAAGTCATTCCACCTAGCTCTCCATCGAGTAGTAAGCGTGCTGCCAATACCGCTGCGAAACTGGCGGACTCTGGATCTGTAGCAGCAAGTCGCATGCATGAAACGAACCAACGTGATGGTCCATCCCCAGCGAGCCAAGAGCAAGACGTTATGCAGCGATCTCAGCACTTGCGGCAGCATGAACCTGAGGACGACATGTCTGAGCAGCTAATAAGCACGAGCGCCCATGATATCTCGACATCAGATCTCGAGATTCAGCCGGGCGATGATAACATTAGCTGGGGCTCAAGGCGAAGCAAGAGTACGGGGCCTGCCGAAGACTTATGGAGCTCCACGACAATCGAAGATGATCTACCAGCATCACTATTACTGGACCGCGCGAGCACACCGCGAGCATCGTCCTCTAGAAGCGAGAGTCCAGCAGTGTCTCGCACACGGAGAGCAGTCTCGCCATATGATCGTGTCTTGGAAAGTCCAGGATCATGGCCACGACCAAACGAAAGTCCAGAACGAACAAGGTCACATCGTAGTCCCGGTTCGTGGCCCTCACCTGATACCCGGCAACACGATATGTTCCAATCTCTGACCCCGGGCCCTGCTCCGGACGACGACAATCCAATGGACAACAAACGTGTCGCTCTGCAAGCTTCTCAACTTGTGGAAACATACGGTCGTCAAGACGTGAGTGATGCTAGCGATGACGATCTTGATGAAATGGCACAGTCTCGAATGTACAGTCATGAAGAAGCGGAGAGCCTGTACATGAGCGCGATGACGCAAGGGCCCAGCCATGCCATACCTGGTGGCCGAGAAGCCGCAACGGCTATAAAGCACCCCATGATGTCCTCATATGTCGATTCGCGAGGCGGCCTTGACCATTCGGTGTTTGGCGAAGGTACAAAGCGACTCGCTAAAGGCTTGGACGAGACTCTTGGAAGCGCAACCCCACGCGCGCAATCTCCTGCCCAGCCTACAACTCTCTCGCAATCCAACCATAGACAGTCCGTACGGATCGTCAGCATCGACGAGATATCAGTATGGCTGTGCCTACACATGCAATCCACCACATCAGATGCGGCGTCTACTCAGCCCATCTTCCAACCGCTTCGAGGCACAGAACCTGAAAGTCATATGCCAGGCGCCTTCTCGACCTATTCTGACCTGGCAGCATCACGCCAGCCGACAAGCTCGTCGGGTATGACGCGCAGCAAAGATATCCGGGGAAAGCCGCGCGAGCAGAGCACTGCCGCCGAGAATAAAGGGGTGGAAATTGCATTTGGCAAGATCACAGTCTCCATCGATGCTGCAAGCTGTCGTCTGCTGTCGAGTCTCGTCACTCCTACTCTGCGAGCAGTCGGAGACTCGTCTAAGCAAAAAGCATCAGTATCTATCAAGACGACTGCAGTGCCTGCTACACAAACCCTAATAACAGTATCAATCCGAAAGTTCCAGCTCTCGATTATGGAACAGCTGCACGAAGTGACCAGCTCGAGATCGGATGTAGGTCTGCTCACCTTCGAATGCCGCAATGTGCTTGGTGGCCATAGCATGAACAGGTCCAATCTCAGAATCGAGTCAGTAAAAGCTTGGGTCAGTGGTAGTGAGCTTTTGACTTTCGACCATCACGGCGCTGCAGATGCCTCGACAGTGCTCTCTGACACCACCTATGCTATTGACCTCCACAGATCGAGTGACAAAGTGACTCTCCAAGGTCAGTCGGTGCATGAGTTGACCTTCGATACTCTTCCTATCAAGCTTGATATTGATCTGAGTGCGCTTGACGATACACTTGGCTCATTCGGCGGCTTGAGTGGTATCCTTGAGCTTAGCAGCTCTTTTCTCCCGGACGGCACACATCCCGCCCCACCGAAGACAGTCAAGAAGCCGTCAAAAGGTGTACGCTTCGTTAGTGATGCTCAGCCAGCAAAAGCTGGACCAGAATTCAAGATCAATGGACGCTTTGGTGGTGCTCATCTCACAGTCTACGGCGAAAGCTGTGCCGTCAAGCTGCAGACCAGGAGTATCAAAGTGGTTCATCGCGCTGTTGGTACAAGTGTGAGCGCAAGTCAGGTACTGCTCAAAGGCCCGTACCTGGGAAACACGACCAGCGCATCGATCTCTATTAACCTTGAGGCCATCCGCCTAGAATACCTCATCACACCTGGCGACAAAGATCTGGAGAAACTACTGGCTCTATTGACACCGTCGAAGGACAAATACGACAACGCCGATGATATCTTGCTTGACACACTCTTACGACAGAGGCAGAAAGGCTCTCTGCTGCGAGCTTCGATTGGTGATGTCAAGGTCAGGGTTGATGATTTGGATTGCGTCGACAATCTGACAGGCCTAGCCAACGAGCTCGCAAAGCTGTCAGCGGTTGCGAAATATCTACCAGAGGACGATAGACCTGGAATACTGAGTATGCTGGATATCAAACAAGTCAACGCAATGCTCCCTGTCATCGATAGCTTTGGGAAAGTTCGGCTGCAGCTCCAAGAAGTTCGCTGCGCCCACGTTGGACTGCCGGCTCTGCTAGCACTGTCTATTGGAGGTCTGGAAGCTGCACGAGAGAGCACGGGTACTCAACTGGTACACGCTATGCTGCCGCTCACTGGCGCGGATCATCTGCCGATGATCATGGCTCGTATGCTCGGTGATGAAGCTGAACCAACTGTAAAAGTGAAGCTCTACAACTTGTGTCTGGAATACGATGTCGCTACTATGAGTGCACTGATTGGACACTCGGAAGCAGATGCCGAAGGTCTGGGCAGAGACCTTATAGAGTCTATTACAGACCTCGCCACAACTCACCTCGGACAGACCGAAGCTGGACCTAGTAGTCCAGCGAAGTCGGCGACGGTCAAGCCTATCAATGTCGAGCTGCTCATGCACGACTCTGGAGTCGGCCTGAAGCCCGTGAAGGGCTCTGCGAAGGGTCTTCTAATCCTCACAGATGCCAAGGCATCCACTTTAGTACCACCAGGTGAAAGGCTCACAGCTTCTCTCGAGCTACGCAAGGCTGCACTATTCGTGACTGACAAGCACTCCGATGCAAGCACTCAGGATTCAGCACAATCTAATAGCAAGTCGAGCAATACAGCAACAAATGCACGCGTCTCATCTGTCTTATCTGACCAAGGCTATGCTTCCGTGGCGTCTCTCATGACCGCAAGGCTAGCAGCGAGCGTCAGCGACAGCACAGAAGAAAGTGCAAAGGCTGTCGAAGTGGAGATCAGCAGTGAGCTCCTACTGTTGGAGACATGTGCAGACTCCACGCAGACACTGTTTGCGATATTAGGTGGCCTAGCTCCACCGTCACTACCTAGCAAGGCCCAAAAGTACCTGACGCAGCCGATGACCATCGAAGACATGATGGCTTCATTCACTGGCGAAGCAGTCACAAAGCCAAGTACAGCGCCATCCACACTATTCGATGTTGATGAGGAACAAGACGACGATGCAGAAACTCTCCTTGGCAGGTCTGCGCTTGATGACGGAGCTGACGATCTGCTAATGGAGTCAGAGATGGCGTCCAGTCTGTACGGTCGGGTCAGCGGCATCCTCGACGGCAATGATGGGCCTGATGGTGAGTCCGAGGAGGCCTTCCCGGAGACAGTTGAGAGTCTGCTCGAGGATGATCCATTCGAAATGTCGCTCTCACCGACAGATATGCCTATGAGCGACAGCGCTCTGGTGCGAGATCTTGCGAAACAATGCAAGCCGATTGCTCACGCGAGACCAGCCACTTTGGGCCTTACCGAGATAGACGATCTTGGATATGAGGTCCTTGGCATTCAGGTACAAGCATTGGGCTCACGCCACAGATTCAATCAACCGTTTGTAGGAGACAAGACCACGTCTCGTCAAACTCAAGGTATATTGCCGTTTCGACTGAAGGTGCGGGATACGCATATCATCTGGAATCTGTACGATGGCTACGACTGGCAGCGAACAAGGGACGGCATCACGGAGGCTGTGGAGCAAGTCGAGGCTCGCGCAGAGCAGCGCGTTGCTCGCAGGAGGCGGTCCCACACCGTGGAGGAGGAGGATGAGTCAGTGATTGGTGACTTCTTGTTCAACTCGATCTACGTTGGCGTACCCAATACGCAGGATGCACAGGAGCTGCGCAGACAGATCAACCGTGGCATCGACGACCTGGTCAGCGAGACGGAGAGTATACCAGTCTCTGGCCTGTCTCGGCCAACAGCATATTCAGCTTCTGGTCGGCCTCTACGACCACAGCAGCGGAAACAAAAGCTCAGGCTAGAACGCAGTAGGACGCATAAGGTCGCATTTGAGCTCAAAGGTCTGTCTGCAGATGTTGTCGTCTTTCCGGCTGGGGAGAAAGAGCTTGTCAACGCTATTGACTTGCGCATCCGAGATGTTGAAATCTTCGACAACTTGCCGACCTCGACATGGCGCAAGTTCTTGACCTGCTTGGAGAACGACAGCAACACCCGTGAGATGGCAAAGCCAATGGCACATATCGAGGTACAGACAGTTAGGACTATTCAGGACTTCGATGCTTCGGAGCTAAAGATCCACGTGTCACTCCTGCCACTCAGGCTGCATGTCGATCAGGATGCTCTCGACTTCGTAGCAAGATTCTTCGAATTCAAAGACGATAAAGCGGCGCCACCGCCAGATCCGAATGACCAGCCCTTCATCCAACGACTTGAAATCGAGACTGTCGATCTTCAGCTAGACTATAAGCCAAAGCGCATCGACTATGGTGGCTTGCGTTCTGGCCACACGACCGAGCTTATGAACATCATCACGCTCGATGCTGCCAACATAAGTCTCAAGCACGCCATCGTCTACGGCATCAAAGGTTTCGAGCCGATCCACAAAACCTTGAATGACATCTGGATGCCGGATGTTAAACGTAATCAGCTGCCAACAGTCCTCGCAGGCTTAGCACCAGTCCGCAGTCTAGTCAACATCGGCAGCGGTGTACGAGACGTCATCGCCATCCCAATCCGTGAGTATCGCAAGGACGGACGTATTGTTAGGAGCATACAGAAAGGAGCGTTACACTTCGGCAAGACCACGACCTCAGAGCTCGCACGGCTTGGTGCGAAACTTGCCATCGGCACACAGACAATCTTGCAGAATGCAGAGGGCATGCTATCACCTGCATCGGCATCGCCATCTGGAAGACCTGACATGGCTCGTCGTATCTCTTCCGAGCAGGGCTGGCATGACGTGGGTGACGAAGAGGGCGATCACGAGCAAAGAAAGATTTCAGCCTACGCGGATCAGCCTATCGGTGTTTTGTCTGGCTTGCGCTCGGCACGATTGCACCTAGAGCGCGATCTACTAACTGCTCGCGATGCTTTCATCGCAGTACAGGGCGAGCTCATGGAGAGTGGGAGTCCTGGTGCCGCTGCGGCAGCGGTGGCTCGGCATGCACCAACTGTCATCTTGAGACCCGTGATTGGCGCTACTCGAGCTGTTGGAACGACTCTGCTTGGTGTTGGAAACCAGATCGATCGACAGAACATGAAGCGGATGGAGAATGTAAGTGACTGGAGCAACGTTGACGGGGTACATGCTAACAACGAGTACAGAAATATAAGCGTCGCTGAAGCCTCTGGACTTGCCTCGCGCGTGCCACCGAGTCTTCCTTTCTTTGTGTGCTTGTTGGCGCAGCGACTTTCGCTATCAAGTATTTGACGGGTGTGGCAGTGCCATTTGGTCCTTGATACAAGGCTAGGATGATATGTAGCTGGACACATAGCACCGGAACTCGATATCAACGCCGTGGAAAATGCGAGCAAGGAACCAGGCCCCGTTTGTCATGCTTCACACACCTCGCTGCTAGATCATCTCCCATCTCTTCCGCACGTGCATCGCCATTCTCTAGCCTGGTTGCCCCGTTGTGCGATCGGTCTTTCTCGTCATCGAGCCAAAGCCTCCAGAGCGATGTTTCCTTGGGCCAATACCTCGCCCCTCCCTGATCACGATCTCAAAGGGAGCGCTGAGATAACCATTGATTTACATTTCTCCTGATAGATCGCCCGATGGGACCCAGACTCCGCTGAAGTCACACGCGATCTGAACAAATGCGTGCGCCAGAACTCCTGCTGATGTTGATGTTCGGCAGAGTACGTGCCTTCTATATTCCCCCAATCCGCAACTCGTCTGAAGCAGTGGTATAGATCACCAGTAAATCACACCCTCCCCTTCCCCAAAGCAACAACATTCCTCACCGTCCCAAAAGGCAAAACCTCCGCAATCCTGTCCCTTCCACTCAACAACATAACCAAACGATCAACACCACACCCCCACCCCCCCGTAGGCGGCAACGCCCACTCCAAAACCTGCACGAACCCCTCATCCATCGTGCCCCTCCCATCCCCTTCGCCATCCACCTCCCGATACCGCAATTGATCCCGGAATTTCCGGCGTTGCTCAAAGGGCGAGTTCTCCTCCTCGTACATGTTTGCGTATTCCCGTCCCTTGATGAAGAGTTCGGCGCGAGCGGCGATGGTTTGGTGTGTGCGGGGGCAGGGGAAGTGTTTGCTTAGCGGCGAAAGGCAGGCGGGGTGGTGGGTTATGAAGGTTGGTGCGTGGCAGAGGGGTTCGAGGTAGTGGGCTGCGAGGGCGTCGAGGAGGCGAGGTAAGGTTGGGTTTGCTGGGAGGGGTATGTTTTTGTCGTTGAATATTTCCGTGAGCTGTTGCGGAGCCTCTGGAGCGCTGAGATCGGGTATGGATTGGCCTATTTCACGCTCTAGTGTAGGCAGGAATTCGAGTCTTTCGTATGGTCCGAAGAGATCGATGTCGAGATTCGGTAGTCCAGCCAAGGTACGCGCTTTGAGTTCATCGAACTTGGTCTGCATACCGCTTAACAAACTCTCGGTCTTCTGCATCAGGTCCTTGAGAGTAGCGAAGGCCTCGTAGAACTCGCAAATGGAGAACTCGGGGTTATGTGTTGCATCAACTCCCTCGTTCCTGAACGCTGGGCCAATCTCGTAGACTTTTGTCAGGCCACCGACCACTAGTCTTTTCAGCCACAGCTCAGGTGCGATGCGCAAGTTTAGCTGCTGGCCTTCCAGTTCAGTCGCCACTGTCTCGAATGGGCGGGCGACGGCACCACCGGCTCCGTGTGTTAGTAGCGGTGTGTTGACTTTGACAAAATCGTGTTCGTGAAAGAAATCGTTGAGCTGCTTCTCCACGTGATGTCGCACGAGCAGTGGTATTGTCGACTCACGATTGACCAACATATCAACATGGCGGTGTCGTGCACGAGTCTGGGGATCGTCTAGAGTCTCCGGTATCTGGTGTAGCGATGGCGAAAGCAAGGTAGGCAGTTGCGTGACCAGGACGGACAGCTCGCCACGACTGGTTTTGTGTGGCCATCCAGTTGCTGTGTACCAGTCGCCCTTCCGAGCAACCTTGCTGAAATCTTTGAGCTGCTTCACGTCTACTCCCTCTCCTTGCAGCTGACCATACTTGCAGAGGACTTGTATGCTGCACGTGCTGTCATCGATATCCATGAATACTAGCTTGTTTCCAGCCGTTCGAATGGATCTCACCCTGCCTACACTTTCCCTTCAGCACTTCACCTTGGCTTGAAAGGCGTTCAAAACATACCAGCGACCGTGACTGGCACATCACCTTCCCATATCTCATCTCCTTGCAAGTGTGCCCAGTCCCTTCTGAACTTAGCCAGCGCTACGATATCTCTCCCATTGCTTTTGTCCAGACGAGGATAGCATTCAGACAGTGTACGATGGGCTTCAAGCTCAGCTATACGTTTCTCATAGTCGTGTGTCACCGACTTGGTGTCGTCTTGGGTGTACAGGGCCGGCACACGTGAGAATGTACGGTGGCACTGTGTTCGCTGGAAGCCATGGAAGAGGCAGGGTCGCAGACGACGGGCGACATTGCTGGACATTACCTACAGTATCTCAGATCAGAATCTTGCCATCATCTTATGCCGTCTGGTCTAAATATATGGGAATATGTGTAGTCAGGTAGATTGAAGGATGTATTGTGATCACGCCTCTTGCGAGGTCATTCGCAACGGTTCTAATGTTTTGGATCGATCATCATGTGGATGCAGTGAAGAGAAGTGTCATCACCTACCGTGCTATCAAGCTGATGAGGTAGTATGCATTGTCGCGTGCGTGGTATAGCGATAGAAAATAAACTTGTGCTGCGCCTGATAATAATAAATCGCAGATCGCCAAAGCCAAAGCCTCCCGGACCGCAGCCGCAGACGCACAGCCTCACCCATCCACCGCATGGCATGTCACCAAAAGGCATCTCCCTATCGCAAGCAGTAGTACAGTACCACGTTCGAGCTTTGAGGCAGCCTCCTTATACATCTACACTCACTTCGCCGTCGCCTCTCTCTCCCATCGCCCACCAAATATTAATCGTCCGACAGTGAATAGACCATCGCACTGACTGTCCCCCTCTACTCTCCACCCCCGCGCCACACAATCGGCCAGCTGAGACGCGAAGGAGTTCGCCAAGCGATCAGACAACCATTCTGCGACCGCGACAAAAGCTCAGCCTTACATCCTCCATCCGAGCTTGACATACTGTACCTCACGACATTCGCTTCCGCATACTCTCCATCACGCGACGCACATTGCGGCCACACGGGCAAGCACCCTCGACTGGCCCTCTCACTCAATCCCTAACCCGACCACGACCTCCACGGCCGCTCCCCGGCGGCCACCACGCCCGCCAACATAGCTCCCTCAAACCACAAGACGCGATCGTCGCTCCTAGGTGGCAGCGGCAGCGCCAACAGCGCATACGAGCCCCTCTCCGGATCCAGCGCGAGCGGAGCGCCCGGCTATGCGCCAGGAGGCTACCACGACAGACAAGGTCTCCCCACCACCCACAGCACAGCTGCCGGCAGCAGCGGCAAATCCAAGAGCAGAATGTATATGCCCAGCACAAAATGGACATGGAGCTTCATGGGCGTGACGGTCTTCCAATGCATCGTCAGTCTGGCACTAGAGGGCTACGTCTTCGGACGATTTCAGTCGAGCCTGGATCTCGCAAGGGGAGGCACAGCGCCCAGCGACGCATTGACGATCCCGACATACCTCGCCTTGTTCATCTTCGGGTTCCTGTACGAAGTGGTGCTGGTCTGGGATGCCCTGCGGCTGAAGAACACGATTCAGGTCATTGGCATCTGCATCTACAATTTAGGGATGTTGATCTATGCCGCCGTAGAAATGGGCCAGGTCAGCGATGCGATCAATAAATTGGAGGCGAAAGGTGACATTGACGAGGGGACATGGATCGCGCTGCGACCGTATCTGATCGCAGCGCCGTGCGTGATAGCCCTTTGCACCGTCTTACTCAGCTTCCTCGCTTGGAAGCTGTACGATGAGTTCGCCTGGACGATCTATAAACATATCTCTGCGGATCTACGGCTGAAGAGGAGATATCTGACATATCAGGTCAGGCTAACCCATCTATCGTTCTCCACTTCTCCGTGATGCTAATTGATATTCCCAGATCTACATCGCCCTCCTCAAATTCGACTTCTTCTTCTTCCTCGGCTTCACCGTGCAATTCCTGGTAGTCGTCCCCAACACCTCGAACTTCGAAAAATGGCTCACCGTCGCCGCCCTCCCCATCACCGTCGTCCTCCTCTTCTTCGCCGCCTTCTTCACGAGGCGGGAATCCTACGCCGGGCAAATCGCAGTCATCATCCTCTACTTCGCGGGAATGGCCTACTTCGTCTTCAAGCTCGTGCGCATGTACGAGGCGCCCGAGAAGCGGGTGGAAGAATATAAGCCTGCGCGCCGGAGTCTGACGATTTTCGCGGTTTTGACGCTGATTGCGTTGGTTTTGACGATGGTGACGGCTTTTGTGTGTATGAGGAATTTTAACAAGGGGCTTAAGCCGCATATTCAGAAGAGGGAGGTGCCGAATGCGGATGAGTTGAAGTATACCAACTACGGGCCGGATCAGTTCAATGGGCCGTCGCATTCGCTCGAGCCGGTGCCGCATCGGATGACGATCGATTGAGGCATGGGGTTTTGAGATATCTGGTGGTGGAAATCTTGTATGCTTTGTACGATGGTCTTCCTTTTTTCTTTTTTTTTTCTCATGCTGGGAGTGTCGTGATGAAGATATACCATTTGCTTTTCAGCTGTTTAGAATCTTTGTAACGAATCTGTTGCGACTACACTTGGTACTGGCACACCAAATTCCAAGCCGGGACGCGTACGATATCTCTACCACATCCCAGACAAAGTCTACCGGCTCCGGGTGTCGTTACGGTGGCCTCGCTTGTCAGCCCCGTGGCGAGATGAACACGTCACCTCGAGACGAAGTCGGCACGACCGGGGCAGTGACGTGACGTGACTCCACCTGCACCTTCGCTTGCGCTCTCATTATTAAGTTCTGCTTCCTCCTCCTCGCGATGCAACATCGGGCCCTGCCTCGGCCATTACTCAAGCGAGCTTCAAGCGAAGCACGCAAGCTACAGCGCGTTTGACGTTAAGCTGCTAGTAGGATGACAATGTAGGAGTTTCATCAATTCTCTCTGGTTTTTGAGAGCTGACCTACAGCACGAAACATTCAGTTGGGTGTTGAAGATGATGCTCAAGCTACTGCAGTGCAGTCTTCTCACTCTTCTGTATACCCAAGACTCCGCTGCTTCTCCCGAGCAGTCTTCCAGCGTAGCTCTGGATGGTGAGTATACCTTGTCATGGCTTCAGGACTCGCTTGTCATCACCGAAGGCGACACGACTGTCTGGTCGACTGTTCCTGGGAAGCCTTTCATCGGTGCCAGTGCGGGAAATGATTCTTTTCCTGGATCCAATGGCGCCTTTAATATCACACAAGTCGACATCGATCGCTGCACGGATCAGAGCATTTCTTCTGTGCAGAGTGTGCCATGGGATGGTACAGTCACCGGTTCTGCAGGACAGGTCAAAGGACAACTCCTATCTTGTGGGACAGGCTCTGCGGAATTTGAGCTGACTTTCTGGATATCTGCCAACCTGACGGATCAGGTCGCTTTCTACCTGAACATTATACAACAGTCCGGCTCAGCCACGCCGCTGAAGAAGCTCTACTTCAGCTTCGCCAGTACCGCAAATGAGGACATATATGGTCTTGGAGCCCAAGCTTCGTTCGCATCGCTCAAGAGTCAAAGCATACCTGTGTTCTCCCGCGAGCAAGGTGTTGGCAGGGGTGACCAGCCCATTACTGGTATTTTGAACCAGAATGGTTCTTTCGCGGGTGGTGACAAGTTCACGACCTACACGGCAGTTGCTTCGTACATTACAACGGAGGGTAGGATGTTCTCTCTGTCCGAGAAAAGCACAGGCTATGTGAACTTCGACTTTACCGAGCCAGATACAGTCACGTTCCGATATGACTCGTTGAGCGTGGATGGCGCTTTCGCGAAGGCTGGAGATATGTTCGGCGCTGTTGAACGTCTGACAGCTCTTACCGGACGAATGCCACAGCTGCCTAAGTGGGTCGACAACGGAGCGATCTTGGGCATCCAAGGTGGTCAGAGTAAAGTCGAAGAGATCGTACTGCATGGCCTCAACGTGAGCTGCCCGATAGCTGGAGTCTGGCTCCAAGACTGGGTGGGCACGCATAGCCAAGCTGGACCCTACATCAATGTTTCCCGATTATGGTGGAATTGGGAGAACGACCAACAGCTGTACCCGGCGTGGCCTGCCTTCGTCCAAGGTCTGCGTGATCAGTACAATGTCCGCACATTATCATATGTGAACACGTTCTTGGCCAATGTCTCGACCAAGCCGGATGGCTTTGAGCGAAACCTCTATGCCCAAGCGGACAAGGCAGCTTACTTCGTGCAGAATACCACCACGAATTCAACCGCCATCATATCTAGCGGTCCTGGATTGGACGCTGGGATTATCGACCTCACGAATCCTGGCCTGCGATCCTGGTTTTCACAAGTGCTCAAGGAGCAGGTATGGGGCGCTAATATTTCTGGGTACATGTCGGACTTTGGCGAGTATACTCCTGTCACTTCGGACACCAGACTGTATGATCTGGTTTCTGACGCCTTCTTCGCACATGACGAATACCCGCTCCTATGGGCACAGTATCAGCGACAGACGATCGAGGAGCTAGGTCTTGAGAACGAAGCACTTGTCTTCCATCGCTCGGCCGCGACGGGTGCGAACCAGTATATGAATCTCTTTTGGGTGGGCGACCAGAACCTTGATTGGGGCGTCAATGATGGGATCAAGAGTGTCGTGACCATTATGCTCCATATGGGCCTCAGCGGCTATGCTCACCAGCACTCGGACGTTGGCGGCTATACGGACACCCTCACTTATTCGAACTATAATGTTACTCGCTCTGCCGAGCTACTCGGCCGCTGGGGTGAGCTCGCAGCTGTCTCGAGCTCTGTCTTCCGTTCACACGAGGGGAATATACCTAGTGTAAATGCGCAATTCTACAGCAATGATACGACCTACCAATACTACGCGTACAACGCTCGCATGTTCGTGGCTCTTGCTCCGTACAGACGACTTATCTTAGAGACGGAGTGTGCGACGAAAGGCTGGCCACTACTCAGGCCGCCAGTCATGTATCATCCCCAGGATCTCAAGGCTCGTCAGATCAGCTATCAGAGCTTTTACCTGGGACCGGATGTATACGTCGCTCCTGTTCTGGATGCCGGTGTGCAGGCGGTCAGTGTATATCTTCCAGGAGGGAGCAATAGCACGTTTGAGCATGTGTGGACTGGTCAGGTTTATGAAGGTGGTCAGGATATTACGGTTTCGGCGCCTTATGGTAAGCCGGCTGTCTTTTTGGTCAACGGCACTCAGCGAGCGGAGCTGAAATCGTTCACCAATTTCGTGCATCTTGAGAATGGGACGAAGCTTAGCATAGCATGAAAGTAGGATTGTGATAGAGTTCCAAGTCCTGGTAAGTGATCACGCTGGCATGTATATATGTATCCTACTCAGGGCCTGCTATCTGGTCGCAGATGATGTTAGCTCGAGTGGCACAGCATATACGTGGTGATTATCACTGTTCGTACTCATCGCCACAAAGAGCTGACTCGCGCAAGCGTTCGTGGACTGCTGCCAGACGCCTACGGATCCCACAGAACAGCTCCTGCCGACAAGCTTTGATGGACTCGTCTCGGGGGTCGTGCCTCCGTTGCGGACGCGTTACATCCACTCCCACCTTCTACCAACATTGCCCTTTGCACACACCGCGCGAAGTATTGATGTGGAGTACCTCGTTCAGATCGAGAGCTAAGTAGGAACGATGTCCAGGTCAAGTGTTCTTCCCTGCTCTCTTCATACCATAGACCGTCTTACTGCTTCGCCTCCAGTCCTTAGTCCTTGAACCAATATCTCCACCAGCCGAGTCCACCCTGTACAGAACGCTAGCTGACACGGTAAGAAGGCAACATGACTACTGACGGCGCGGTCGTGTCAAATGGCACCTTTAATGGTACTGTCGTTGCCCCTCAGACCAAGATCGCACTGTCTGGAAAGGTGATAGCAAGTAGGTGAACGAGAATCTCATATTCGATACTGCGCGTATGCTGACAACGCCATCAGTTACTGGAGCGAATAGAGGTATGAACGATAACAGATAGTGCAAGTAAGTGCTCGCAGCTTACCAAACACGATAGGTATCGGTCTTGGCATAGCAAACTCATGTCTCAGCAACGGCGCCGACCAAGTCTTTTCCATCGACGTCGGCGAAACAGGGGACGACTTCGCAGCAGTGCAGAAGCTTTATTCTTCACGACTCCATGCCATCAAAGCGGACGTGACTAAGGAGGAGACCATCACTACCGCCCTGGACCAGATCATCGAGCAAGCCGGAGGCCTACACGGCGTCGTAGCTAATGCTGGACGGACGAAGCACAAGCCTGCTCTTGACTTCACGACAGAGGAGATCGATCAGTTGTGGTCGATCAATCTGTATGGATCGTTCTATACTGCTCGTGCTGCGGCGAGGGCGTTCATCAAGCAGAACGTGAAGGGCTCGATCGTCTTCACGGCGTCGATGGCGTCGTATCGACCGAACAAGAGGGTTCCTTCAGCGCCGTATGGGGCCAGCAAGGCCGGTGTACGAAATATGACGCATACTCTCGCCATGGAGTGGGCACAGTATAACATTCGGGTCAACTCAGTGAGTCCCCTTAGCGTTTTACACATCTGCCGTCGTCCTTTGCCCAGTCTCGCAAGCATCCCGACTAAAACCGGTTGTGCCGGCGCTCAGGGCCTCTGAGAGTACGGGCTGTGAATGCTGATGGATATTTAGGTGAGCCCGGGGCTAGTGAACACAGCCATGACCTACTGGGTCCCACAACAGCCCGACTGGGAGCAGCAGCTCAAGTACTACGGCGGCATGCCCAGGCTAGCAGAAGTCGAGGAACTTGGTGGCGCATATGTATATCTCCTCAGTGACGCGGCGAGCTACACGACCTCGATCGATATCCCTGTGAACGGTGTCATTGGTAGTGAGTATCAAATGCCTTCGATACGTGTGTCGAATGCTGACGAAGTGGCCTGTAGTCTGCTGAGAGTTGGGAGCTTCGCGGATCGATGTTGAGGGAGGCCTAATGGCCACCATATGAGCTTGTCTAATGGCCTACAAGGATGCGTATTTCCCACGAGCTTGTGAAACTTTATCAGTATATTCGCATCAAGCGCGACTTCTCTAGCGGTGATCATGATCATGTTCTCTCTACAAAGTGGATGTCGGTCGGAAGCAAAGATACCATATCAAGACTGCGCCACGGTATCTTGCTTTGTACTGTGATGCTGCAGTCCTACAATACCATGGGGGTGTGATACTATAAGGTGACCGTGTAGTCATGCTGTGTCGCTATCAAGTACTAATTAATGAAAGACTTCCCATGTGGTCGATAATGGTAGTTATGCGCCGGTAAACCACCAACAAGAAGATTGCGGTCGTGCTGAGGATGTTGATGTGCACAGGCGCAGATGATCTTGCTGCTTTTAGTGAATTATGTCGTTATTCCGTTCGCAGCTGTAGGCGCTTTGGAGTCCACTGATGTCGAACAGGAACGCCTTCTTGACGAGTGATCACAGTCTATGTCGTGAGACTCATTCGCCGTTGAGAGGAGTGATATCCGAAATTCTGCTAGTCGTTAGGGAATATGGCCGACGCGGAAACCTGCCCGCGTATTCTCCGAACCTCGAACTTCGAATACCAGCTTCATTCACCCCATCATCTTTCACGAAGGAACGAAGGATCATGTCGGCCGCGTTCGTACGACCCACCGCAAATCGAGCAGTCCATCTGAGGTTCACACCACGTCCATCTAGCCTAGGAGAATCTCGAGAAATCTTGCGGCTCATCTCACAATTTGGTGAGGTCGAGCATTTCAAGAACCTCAACTACGATGCCTTGAGCGCGCCCAATACCGCCATCGTCATCTTCAGGGAAGCAGAGGCTGCAAGCCATTGCATCAAGAAAAGTCCCATCAGGTTCCGCATGGGCCCAGCGGAGCAGAGCCAGGATCCTGATACCACAGAGGAGGGACTGCGACTCTTTCAAATCCAGGCAAACACAGCACGCATCAATCTTCGCGATCAACTCAATAGCTCTCACTTCCATGGCAACTTTGCGATAGATGGCAAAAACGCAGCCCAGCAGGATCTGAACCATCGCGTGCCTATGAAAGGACTGAGCGACGTGAACTGGCGAGCTGTCGACAAGCCTTGGGACATCGTGAGCAGGGAGAAGGCAAATCATGGCGCTTTCAAGACCAGCGGCAAGCGTAAGAGTCTGCAGGAGATCGCATCCGAAGCTGCATCAAGTCCGGTCTGATACCGCATGAGCGATCGAACCCTACCCGAAACAAATCTGAGCAGGACGACACAAACACACCGGCCGGCTATGCACCAGACGGATCACGCGAGACACTTACTTGAGGTGCGTTGACGAAGAATTTGAATGAAGCACCCATGGTGTGTCTTCGGAAGGCTCAACGTTGAAACGAAGGCATAGTCGGCAACGAAGTCATGCACTGCAGATTACACTTTCTCATGCTATGAGCATGACAGGTTACGCTGTTTCCTGGACTATTTAATCACGGTCACCGCGTCTGGGTGCAGGCTTTGCCAGCAAAGCATAAGCATCCGCCCGCACAAGAACATTGCAATCGCCCGCAGTGCGCAAATCGTTTTGCTGTATATGCCTTCGGACATCCTCCAACAACTCTTCGACTGTGAGTCGGATACCAAGCGGACCATAAACACATTGCTCGATCAGATCCCAGAGCCGCTGAGAGTAGCTTCGCTCAAAATTGGTGATCAATATAGGAAGCCGCCCAAAATAATTGTGTAACGGTGGATCGGTCAATACCATGAGAGAGAGTATCGTCTTGCCAATGCCATAGACATTTACTCTGCTGGGCAAAGGCGTCGGTAGCAGGTTCTGGCACTCGCCGAATTGTTTAGGCGCCATATAGTAAGGGGTGCCGGTATCGACCATACCCCTCGGGTTGATTGTGTCGCGTGCTTGACGCTCGATTGCGCAGCCGAAGTCACCAAGTTTCGCTACTGCTCGCATGCCTGGCCAGCCAGACCCGAGGTTATCGGCCAGGAAGACGTTAGCTGGCTTTATATCTCGATGCAAAATCTCGTTGAAGGGAGGGCCGTTGGAGGTCAATGTACCCTTGTACATCAGATGAGCGGCTTCGGCCAGCGTCTCCAATAGAGACCAGATGAAGGGCTCGGGGATGATGGCACTGTGTCATGTCAGCATTCGGACTAGTGGTACAGAGATGTAAACAACTTACGAGTCCATACCCTCCTCATCCTGAGCCGTCTGAGCTACTCTTCTCGCCGTATCGTGTCGTTGCCTCAGATCCTACAGCGAGCCACGCGCACAATATTTCATATAGATCCTCTGCATTCTCAATTGCTCGTACAGTACGCCAGCCCGATGACGCACAATACTGCCGCTGGACTCAAGACCGCTGAGCATCTTGTGGACATCATCCTCGCGACAGGTTCGGACACCGAGTTCGATGTCTTTCCAGATAGCCTTGTGGATCCAGTCTCCAGGTCCATCGTACCAGAGTTCTTTGACTGCCATTCGATCAATGACGTTACCTGCTTGGTCATACTGTACCCACAGCCCTGCATGCCCCTGGCCACCCTCGCCAAGGCTCTCAGCCCACTGCCATTGATCAAGAGATCCTGGGAAGGGATTGCCAAATTGGAGCTGTCGCGCTTTGCGACTCTTCGTCCATACCGGTTGTGGCGGACCTAGTGGCAGGGCCGGCGGCGGTCCTGACGGCGGTCCTGGCGGCGGAACTGATGGCGGACCTGGCCGAGACGGCGGAAAGCCATTGCCGCTCTCCAAGACTGGCATGTGATCCTGGAATTCTTCGTCAGATTCATCGTCGAAGCGTCCCAGAAATGGGATTGGTACCTCAGGAGTCTGCCCACGCCTTCTACTGGGAGGTCCATTTCCCCCGAGCTCGGCCTCAGGACGCCTATCTGCAAGAATATCACGAGCGTCTCGAGCTCCCACCCAGAGGTCTTGGTCATGGGCATGCTCTCTCCAAAAGTCTATAAGCACTTTCAAGACTGCTTCCGGCGAAATGATAAGGATCGTTCTCAGCGTCGAGATTATTCCTCACATACCAATCGTGCATGGGACCATCGTCGACTATGGCAAGCTGCTCGATCAGCTGCTCCTCAGTCGGTCGATCCCCTGCACTACTCTCGGACGATTCAGATCGTGGCTTCAAGCTTCGACCGTCTCGAGAGCCGTCACTTGGCTTGCGTTCATCCTGGTTCAGTTCGTCAGTGTAATCGGGCAGATCGTTAATGGGGTCGAGCTCATCATCCTTATTGCCGTTCCTGACATCGGTATTCGGCCTGGGTCTCAGCACGGGTCGCATACCAGAAGTTTGGCCTTCGCCAGAACCTTTACGTTTGCGGGATCCGCTAGAGCCACTGATCCTCCCTCCGGAGGACTCATGTGCGCCGGGAGGCGGAGGCGTCTTCCTTACTTTAAAGCTGTCCTGCGTGCTTGCATGTGGTCCCTGCCTGGAGGGTCTCGGGCACTTCACCAGGGGCGGGCTCTCTCCTTCAGATGCCATACCTCGATTCCGAATCACGCGGCGACCAAGCGCAGACTTTCCAGGAGTTGCTTGAGGCTTTCCTCGAGGGCTGCTAGCGAGAGCGGGACTCGCTACATCTGCCCCGTGGCCCAAGAGTTCCGTCCGAATGGCGTCTCGTTGGCCTTGGACATGTTCCAGTAACTGCTCGGTCAAGATGATCGATGCCTCAAGGCCCGGCCAGCAATGCTGTTGCTCCAGCAAATCAATATAAGCGGAAAGCAGATCATCCTGACGGTCATGCAGATGGCGCAAGCGAGAGATCACGATAAGTGTTGCTACGGTCTGGCGGTCGTTCGCACACTGTGTCCGAATGTCGTTGGCTGCGATCTGGGCTGCTCTAACATCCAGCTCTGCTGCTTCGACCTTCTCGATTGCAGCGATGTAAGCCTCCCGCCCATCCTCGTCCTTGATTTACCTCCACTGATCTGCTAATTCGGACATGACTTCGACCATACGCCTCGGCTTGTGCCGATCGTTGCGGATCTTGAGCTCCCAGTCTCGAAACCTTCTAAATCTAGCCATCGCGTCGGAAACATACTTGGATGTCAACTGTGAGGGCTTGCAAGACTACAATGCATAAAGGCTGCCGGATCCGGCGCAAGAGTATGCTTTCATACCTGCTAGTTTGTGTAGAATGAACAAAGGAAAGGAAAGGAAAGGAAAGAATGCGCTCAACTCACGACACGTCGTTACACATCTGTTTGTCAAGTGTCTCGCATGCGTCCCGCACCAGAATTTAGCACAGGTAGGTAGGTCTTGAGTTCCTGATACAGTAGAAGTGCTGTTATGATGCCCTTATGTGGCCTGGACAGTGACGACCGTGATCAGCAGTGTCGCTGTCTCAAGGTGACCGCAAGTGTATGATTCTGATCAACAGCGCGGCAGTACTGTTACACGACCAGGACAAAACTCCGGAGGTCAGTTGTAAGAACTGCCTGGTATGAGTCGATTACAAACCACATCGCCACACGCGTGCTGAACGATCTTGATCCGGTCATTGCAGTAATAGCGGTAGTGTCCGTGGCTTTTTGTCTCGTAGACCACACATATCCTTGCTATGTCATGTCTGTGAGGAGGGTGCATCGTTGTTGGAGGGACGAAGGAAGAGTCGTGCAGAAGACGCGCTACTAGACGCACGTGCCACAACGCGTCCACGTTCGGAAAGAAACATCCAGATGTGATATGTGGGTGAGGGCACCAGAAGATGGCAACACCAAAGGCGACAAGAAGCATTCGGACTTCTCGATCCACCGCAGTCGCTGGCGAAGCTGATACAGAAGCTACCAGTCCGACAAGCCAGGGCAGAACCGTGGACTTGAAGGATGCCTTCAAGTCTGCAATTGGGCGCTTTCAGTATGATGCGACGGACACGAATGGGCCGAGAAGCACCAGCAAGGACTCTTCCGATTACAGGGTGACCAGGAAGCGTCCGTTAGGTGATAGCAGCGAGGACAATACACTGTCAGCGACCCCGTCACCAGCCAAGCGACAACGCCAATCCTCGAAATATGCTCCTCCATCAAAGTATTCGCATTTGCCAAAGCTGCTTGACATACTCGAGCCCGATCTGATATGTATATTCGTTGGTACCAATCCAGGTATCCGAACAGCCACAGCTGGCCATGCCTACGCGCATCCCAGTAATATGTTCTGGAAGCTGCTCCACTCGTCGGGCTGCACAGACGTGCGTCTGCCACCGGAGAACGATGTGGACTTACCACAGTGGTATGCTATGGGAAATACTAATATAGTCGAAAGACCTAGCAAAGATGCTGCGGAATTGTCCAAAGCTGAGATGGCAGCTGGCACTCCAATACTTGAGGAGAAGGTCCGCAGGTTCCGGCCTGGAGCTGTATGTATTGTTGGCAAAGGAATCTGGGAAGCTGTCTGGCGGTGGAGATATAAGCGGGAGCTTCGCAAAACCGACTTTAAGTGGGGTTGGCAGGATGAGAAGGAACGCATGGGACGGACTGAAGATTGGGAGGGTGCGCCCATCTTCGTGACTAGTTCGACCAGTGGATTGAGTGCGAGCCTCAAGCCACCTGAGAAAGCTGCAATATGGAAGCCATTCGGTGAATGGGTGAAGGCGAGGAGAGTGGAGAGGTTCGGTACTGAGGGAAGGGTAGACCACGCAGATGCAATAGAGAACAAGGAGGATTAGCCAACAGCAGCTACTGCATCACTATACCTATGTTGTGATTCCTGCCGCAGAACGACGATAATTCGCCTGATCAGGATCGCTGTAATGGCCCGCTGGCATGCTCTGGCTTTGTCCGACCACAATGTGCCCATCGAGCTTATACCGAATGCGTAATCTTTTGTGCTTTGTCCATCACATCTCACCACAGCGACGCAACCCAGCAATACCAGGACAGAGCCTTCAGTACACCCAGCGAGGATTCTATCAGCTTTCGCAGCACAAGATGGCGGGCTTTCGTGACGATTTTCAATCGATCAAGGCTCAAGAGCGCTTTACAGATGTAGCTTTACACGTGATTGGTGAGAGCAACGGTAGAGGTGAGTTTGTGACCCCTGAGTGAGATTGACGACATCCTGACACCGATCATCTGCAGATGAGCTCGAGCTCACGCTTCAGGACGACTACAACGACCCTCGGATCCTCAACAGCTACGATCGCGCACTTCTCGATGATTTGGTGAATGTCTGCATTGGTCGATCCAACGAAGTCTCGAAAGCGAAAGAGATTGCTACGCAGAGTCGAGTCTCACCCGCCATAGCGAGTGGACCGCCTAGCCGCGGGAAGGTCCGGGCTATAAACACATATTCCGACAACATGGAGTGGCTCTACAGCCGCCTTGTCGATTATCAGGCTAGCTTCAGGAATTTGGGGGATCGAATGATATTCCGCGACGACGTTCCTTGGAGCCAGCAAACGAGGGACCTCTTCATTTATGGACTACAAGTGAACAACGAATGCGTCGCTGAGGCGAGTGACGAAGCAAGTAGGGCATTGCAGCAGGCCACGGAACAGGCAGCAAGACCTGGTCAGAACCCTCGCAAAACAAGGTTTTGGACTAACCACCAAGATGTTGAAATGATCAGTACGGCAATCAAGTCAGGCTTGCAATCAGGACCATTAGAGTTGCAGCCAGAGCAGCCATCTGAGATCCCGCCTGGAAATTGGCTGTCGGCGGCATCTCTTGGCGGTGGCATGGCACAGGTAGCATTATTCGTTGACGTCGACCACACTGGGTGCATCAGAAATCGAGTTGTGAGGAAAGATACTCATATTGATGGTGGCGACTGGGCCGACATTACACGCTGGTACGGCAATATGAATACCACCAACCTCAACGAGCGGTGGCCGATGGAGTATTATTGTCAGAGGCTCATGGCGCAGATCTCCAGTACACATGTGGTCATGCCACTGAAGTGCGAGGTTGATGCGCAAAGATCTGTATTCAGGATCTACCTGCCTTACTGTCCGTATGGCGACCTCAGCAAGCTTATCGAGCACTATCAGATGATGAGCATGCAGATTCCTGAGGCGTTCGTATGGCGGGTGTTCAAGGTGTTATGCGAGAGTGGAGAGATCATGGAGAAGGGGTGGCTCCCGCCAAGCGGTGTCGACCAAGCCGCACATCAAGGCTGGCGGCAGATCGTTCATCGCGACCTCAAGACGTAAGTATAACAACGACTTCTAGTGTGGGTTTCATCTCAATAATCTCTGACACTCGCTCGCAGTAACAACGTCTTTCTTGACGCCGCCCCCCAGTCCAAGATCAACGGTAACCCGCAAGTCAAATTGGCGGACTTTGGTTTGGCAATCCTTACTAACGCTGATGATCCTCTGTAAGTGCATCCTCACTTCTCGCTTCACATCTGATGCCCGACTGACCAAGGTATCCTGCAGTAACCCAAGATTGTATAATCGTGGCGCTGGCACAGAGGGCTTTCTGGCGCCAGAGCAGAGAGACTATGTGGACCGTGAAACACGCCAACCCGTAGACAACTTCCAGCTTCTCGCGCACACCAATGTCTGGGGTATCGGCGCAATAGTGTGGTGCTTGGCTAATCTCCACGACCTCGGCGCTCAAGACCAGCCCAGCTATCTGCCAACTCAAGCAGGGGATGACGGGCGCCCGCGATACACAATAGAACCTCCAGGAGAGGGAGACGAGGCATCCCACCTCTCACCAGCCTTGCGCGATATGATCAATGCGTGCTTAAGATTCGATCCCTCGCTCCGACCAACCTTCTCGCAACTTAGGTCCAGAATTGATACTTGGATCCTGGAAAATTGTGCTGACGGTGCGGCTGGACAACATCTCTTCGCAGCATCGAACGGCTTACTGTCTACATTCGATACCGCCGCTCCACAGCACACGCTCTGGCAGGTGCAAGACCAGGACTACAGGATTGGGTTTGCTCTTGATCGGGAGCGACAGACTTATGAGCAGCGACAGTCGGGATATATTGGGCCAGAAGCGCAGTTCGGCGGTGCGTCGCAAAACGATCAGTACAGCGCGTAGTGTAGAGAGCAATCATGGCGTGAGAGGTTCAGATCCGTGGTCACAAGTCATGCTACCCTCCATAGCCGCTCCCATGCTCAGATTCGAAGTTGCTCATACTCGTCATCCTGTGGGAAGCCAAGATGGAAACGTCCGCACTTTGCAAACTCCAGCACTGCACCGTCGCCCATTTCGAAATCCACAACTCTGCCACCCTTCTTCTTATCATCCGCAAGAAAACAGCTCTGCAGACCGTCACCACTGACATCCTTCTGCCAAGGCGGTATGCAAAAGCCGAAGATTGTGCCTTTCACATCCCAGTATGTCGCCTGTTTTGTGCCCATGTACTTGATGGGTCCTGTTATTCTGAAGGGCAAAGGGGTGTTCCTCGCCTTGCTGGCAAAGAGCTCGAGCACTTTTTTGAACGTCGTGCCTGTGGGCAGCTTGACTCGCTGAGCAGGCTGGAACACCGTCACGAGTGTATGCGGCATCTGGTCGCCCTTGTCCGCTCGCTCCGCTTGTCCGTCGTTATCGAGAGCGTATGCAACACTATCTATCTGAATCATGTCTTTCGGCGGCAGCTCAGTGCCATCGTCTTCCTCTTCAGCTTCGAATATGCCGACACCATGAGTGCCGTGGTTGGTAAGGAAGGCCACGGGTGGTCCACCCTCTTTCAATCCAGCATCGTAGGCAGAGCGGAGGGAGTACTGATAGATATCGTTTGGTATGGAAGCGGGGGCCATTGTGGAAGTGTGGATCAGTTCTTGGGTCTATATAAGTCGGAAGGAAAGAGGGATGGTGCAAGTGGTACAGGTAGCGTCTTCGAACTTGCCTGGTGGTAATGTTGGGTAAGCTACAACACACTGCAGTGCTCTGCAAACATATCGTGGCTTGCATTTGCCGTTCCGGTCAACGACAATGATTGGGAGTGCGGAGCCGATGAAGTGCATCCGGTCTCGGAACCTCACTAGCTTGTTGCAACAACAATATTGTCAGCGAAGCGCGTCCTTGGACGGACAATTAATTGATATGAGGGCATGCAGAAAGACCGATTTTTGAATATCCTCGTAGGTGCATACACAGTCCACACATCAAGCGTGATTAACCTAACCACAGTATGAGTGGTGAACTCGAGGTCGGCCCGCGAGGGCGACAAGCGTTTCCCGCCTCCGGATGCGCTGTGAGATTCATGTTGTTTGCTAGTGTGCCTACAATCAATCCTGCTGACGAGAGATAGCCATGAACAGTGAATGAATGCCGTCGTTAGCCGAGGGACTATAACAAGTCCAGGGGACATCTCCAACATCGCCCGAGAAATCTACGCTATGGCACCAAAAGTACTTGTTCATGGATCCGGAGCTGTTGGATCGATTTATATCTACCTCCTGGACAAAGCTGGCTGCGACGTCACGGCCGTATGCCGATCAAATCACGATGTCGTCAAAACCGATGGCTTCACGATAGAATCAGATTTGTATGGCAAAGGTTTGCACGTCCATCCCAATGTAGCAAGAACGCCTGACGAGGCAGTCCAATTTGGCCCGTTCGACTATGTGCTCGTGACAACAAAAGCACTGCCGTTGGCCAAGACACCTCAGACTATCGCACCCGCAATCACTACAAAGCACACCAGCATCGTGCTAATCCAGAACGGCATTGCCATTGAGGAGTCATACGCTAAGTCGTTTCCCAACAACACCATCATCAGCACAGTCGTCTACCTGCCTACAACACAAACTAAGCCTGGCAAGATCCTGATGGGAAATGTGGAGCTGCTCGAAGTTGGCACCTTTCCTGCTTCGGCGTACCAAAATGAAGACGGCTTGGCAAAGATCGCAACTGACAACCTTGCTGCAATTCTCAAGAAAGGCGGGAGCAATGTCCGTTTCTACGACGACATCCAGGAACGACGCTGGAACAAGCTCCTCATTAATGCTTCTTGGAACCCAATCTGTGCCTTGACATTGTCCCGGGATGTAGCCTATCTGGCCTCCTCGACAGCAGCAGAGCCACTTGTCAGTGCCGTGATGGCTGAAGTTGTGGCTATTGCTCAGGCACTAGGGTACTCCAAAATGGACCCATCCTTTATCAAGGAGCAAATGAAGAAAGCAATGGATCGCAGAGGTGGTAAGGGCATTGAGCCAAGCATGCTGGTCGACGTGCTCTCGCGGAGGCGCATGGAGGTCGAAGTCATCCTGGGAAACCCAATAAAGATAGCTCAACGCCTGGGTGTACCTGTACCACGATTGGAGACGCTTTATGCTCTGAGTGCCGCGCTTGATGAAAGTATTGCATACCGGCAGCCAGGGAAGAGTCTCGGGGGAGATGAGACTAAGCAATCGCACAGTGCCAAGTCGTATATTTGATCATGGAGCGGTACGGCGTAAGTAGACATCCTCTAGACAGAAGTCCTCATATATCGTTGATAGACATAAATTTGCTTCGAACCGGAATGACGTGTGTGCGCGAAATCGGTAGCTTTCCATGACCATGATATTTCGATCGCAGAACGACAAGAAACACGTTCACTTCAGTCTTACGAGCGTATTGTGGCTAGCAAAACGAACTGAACCTCTTCCTCCATCCCAAGTGGAGCGTCTCCCGAAACTTGTTTTAGAATCACGACGGCCTAATTCATAGATGAGTCACATCCCAAGGAACGACGCCGTACAACCACAAATCTGAACTCGACTGGGAGAAAGATCAAAAAAACTTGACTCCGCGGATATGGATGTGCAAAGCCCTTTTGCTCTGGTGAGGTGCTCCGAAGAAGACATGCCTGATCTGGTGAAATTGATGTACGACGCTTTTCCACCAGCTATTCGGACAATTTTCATGGGCTGCAGTACACCACCGCAACCAGGCGAGTTGGATAGAATCGTATCAGTCTACAACAAGGAGATACGCGAAGACCCTAACGAGATATGGATGGGTGTGAAAGATATCGCTACTGCCAAGTTGGTTGCCGCAAGCTGCTATAAAGTTTTTCTCAATGGCGAAGGTGGCAACAGGAATGCCGATAGCACGCCGCCATGGCTCACCGGGAAGGACAAGGAGTTAAGTGAGAGAGTCATAAAGCAGATGTCAGAAATGCGTGCCAAAGCTATGCCTGGTCCGTTTGTCCGTATGTCTCATCACTCAGTATCGTATCAAGACACAAATATTGACTTCAAGCAGACCTTCATATATGCTTCACCAATGCTGCATATCGTCGACGAGGCGCTGGTGGCATGATGCTGCAATGGGGCTGCGATTAGCTGATCAGCTGTTCCTGCCAGGCTATATCGAAGCTTCTGCAGAAGGGAATTTTCTCTACAAGATGTATGGCTTCTATAATCTGGAGAAGACTGGTGGGGAGCTCGGTGAGGACAGTGCGGTTACTATGAAGCGAGATGCTCGGATCAAGCCGATCATGGGTGGTAGATCTTGAATTGCAGAATGATCCGTGTCGCAGGAAGTGCTCATATCGTCTCGACAAAATCGCATTCAGCAAACGGCCGCGAGAGTCGTGATGGGCCCAGTGGAAGCCAGTCTGGATGTCTTGAGGCATAGACACTGTCGCCGAGCATGGCTATTAGAGGCGATGGTCACCATAGATATAGATTCAATCTTGTTCTCCTGCTGATAAGAGATTGGCTGATTAGCTGCAGTAGACTACAGAAACCCGACTGCACTTGATTATGCCGTGCTATTCAGCATTGGGTCGCATATTTCCCGGCCCTTTGGAAATAAAGAGATCCGCTGGACGCTGATATTGTGTTCAAGGTTAACGTCTGGGACAGAAGGCACCATGCCAAGGTTTACTGTAGTTCAGTGCACCTATCTCCAAGCGGTGCAGCACCAGCACAGTCTCACGGTGGCAGATATACGTGGCGCTCGTAAGCATCAGGGGCGAAGTCCTTTTGCTGGCTTGCTACCGTAGTCCTCATCTTCGATTGATGAGCGCTCTGTCGGTTCTTCCGCCGAAGACGTGCCAATCTTTGCCAAGACCGCTTGCCCGCTTTAAGAAGAAACCGATATCAATCTTCCAGGCTCATCTCATCTCGTCTCGTCATTGCTGTTGCTTGACGCGTCCGCCCACAGTACGCGAGCGCTGCAGCTGTCGAGTTGACTTGCTTGAGATGAGGGGCCGTATCAGCTATAACACCTACACGCTGTCACAGTGACGGCGTCCTTGCAGGCTATATGGTGATATGGCATCACTGTGACTGCTACTTCATGCACAGCAACAAGTTGGTCGGCAATCACATTTGGCACAAGTGTAGGTAATGAAGAAGCTCTCGGTTCCTATGGGCACGCGTTCCGTGTTTTTTGTCAATTCATTCATTCCATATTTCCTCTGCTACCTTTCAGCTCACCACCATGGAGACCATGAAAGCTGTTTCGAGGAACATGGGCGCTGGAGAGCCGCGAGGCAACAGGATGTCGCACATGATGTCTGCGAACGAGGGCCCAATGGATATCATCGCCAAGGTGTCGGGGCAGCGCAAAGATGGCATTCGTGAGGACGATGGTCCATATTTCACCAACAATGAAGGTATTCCATTGCCAGATCCGGAGCACAGCAAGACTATCGGCGGCATTCCAATCGCCAGCGATGTTCATCTCTTCCAGAAGCAGCAGCACTTCAACCGCTCCAAGAATCTTGAGCGAATGGTACACCCTTGCGGCTCAGGAGCTTTTGGTTACTTCGAGTCGACTGCCGATGTCTCTGATATGACAAAGGCCGATTTCCTGCAGCGGTGAGTAAAGCTGGTTACACAAGGGGCCTTCCTCTTACTGACAGCAGTCTAGTGTGGGCGAGAAGACACCCATCTTCATCCGCTTCAGCACAGTCACTCTTGGCCGTGAATTCCCAGACGAGGCTCGAAACCCGCGCGGATTCGCAATCAAGTTCTACACTCGCGAGGGCAACTATGATCTGGTTGGCCTGAACTTCCCAGTCTTTTTCTGTCGTGATCCTATTCAGGGACCAGATGTTATTCGATCTCAGGCTCGGAACCCAAAGAATTTCTTGCTTGACTACGATGCGACCTTTGACTTGCTCGGGTGCACACCAGAAGGCAATCATGCGGGTCTCATGTTCTTCTCGGACCACGGCACTCCCGATGGCTGGATCAACGAGCACGGATATGGTTGCCACACTTTCAAGTGGGTCAACAAGGAGGGCAACTTCGTCTACATCAAGTACCACTTCATTGCCGAACACGGCCAGAAGCAGCTCACTGAGCCAGAGGCCATTCGTATCTCTGGGGAGGACCCTGACTACTCAAAGAGGCAGCTGTGGGACGCGATCGAGGGAGGCCAGGAGATCAAGTGGACTGCAAAGGTGCAGATCATGAAGCCAGAAGAAGCTGACCCAGAGAAGCTTGGCTTCGATCCCTTCGATGTCACCAAGGTGTGGCCAAGAAGTCAATTCCCAATGCACGAGTTCGGGCGTCTTGTGCTCAACAAGAACCCGGAGAACTACCATCGTGATGTCGAGCAAGCCGCTTTCTCGCCAGGAAGCATGCCACCAGGCATTGAGGACTCCCCAGACCCGCTCCTGCAGTTCCGTATGTTCTTCTACCGCGATGCTCAGTACCACCGCATCGGTGTCAATCTCCACCAGGTCCCGACCAATTGTCCCTTCATGGCGAACTCCCTCTCATCAATCAACTTCGACGGCGCCATGCGAGTCGACGGCAACCACTCTGGCAACAAGCAGTACACGCCCAACTCATTCGCTGACCCGAAGAAGTTCCGCGACGATGTTGCTGAGGCTCCATACAAGGTTTCTGACAATGTCGTCAGCCGCAAGAGCCATTACTACCACGAGGGCAAGCTCAGCGAGTACGATCAGCCGCGTGAGCTATATCAGCGTGTGATGGACGAACAGGCACGCAAGAACTTGCACCACAATACCGCTAAGATGTTGTCCCACGTCAACTACCCTATCATCCAGAAGCAATATCTGGCACAGATTTACAATATCGCACCGGAGTATGCGCGCGGTGTGTTCGATTTGACCAAGTTCAAGCACAACCAGCCGTTTGAGTTCAGTGAGGTTGAGACCATGAGTAAGGATGCGCCGACCTTTTTCAAGAACCCGAAGTGTATGTTATGAGTCCCTCCGAGATGGATCCTAGCTGACATGATCATAGTCCGACCGGATCCTACGAATCGCCTCACCGGCTTTGCACCAGAGAAGCCTTTCTACCATGTTTAGACGTAGTCTCGGATGATGAACCTGTAGAAGAGCAGACAAGTGGATAGTGGTCCGAAGCGATTTATCAATCGAATATCATACAAGCGCGAAAGGTACATAGCCCATTCGCCATATACGCTATACCTATGCACCCGCAGCAATATGCGTACAATGCTTTGATGATTTAGACCCCGCCACGCTGAGAACGCCTTGATGCAGTTTTGGTACACGTCTTTTGGGAAAGACTTCATTTGCGTCCCTTGCCGCGCTTTGAGGAGGATGAGGATGTGATCTTTGATGTGGCCATAAGCTCGCCAATATATCTGCGTCTCATTAGCATCTCACACCATACCACGAGATGTCGTACAGGAACATACGACTGCAAGAACTTGTTCCCACCCTCAAGCTTCTCATGCTCACTCTTCACCTCCTCCACTCGATCCACGATAGCCTGTAGACTCGTCTGCAGCGTATTCGCCTGCTCAATCAAATCCTGTCGCGCCCTTTCACTCAACCTAGCCACTTCCTCACTGTTTCTCCGCGGCGACATGGCTCGCACATCGTCTTCTGTGATATCAGACTCGACGGCCCGGGTGGCATCGTCTCGTGATACTATCATTGTGCCGGAAGACTTTCGGCTTCCTAGTCGTGGTCGTACTTGCAGGCGCGAGGCTCGCGGGACATCGTCTTCGCTCGCCACGGCGCTGGTGTCCGAGGAAGGTGAGTTGAGAGGTGGAGTGTCTGAAGGTGCAAGACCGAGGTTCAGTTGTGGTGGTGCTGGTGCAGTGGACGGTATTGTGTCCGAGTCTTGAGTCATTGCCCGGAAACAATGTCTCTTGTTCGTTGAACTTCCTTGCACATGTGTAGCGTGCGTACAAGGGGCGAGTGTCTTGCAGCTGCAGGGAGGACTGTCAGGTTCCAAGGTCCAGCAGGATGTAAGGCCGGAGCGGTACAACCGTTTGTATACACCAGTTGCGTCTCAGGGACTAACTATACATTAAGCTAGATGCGCATGACCAGTCCAATGTGGTTGCCGGTAGAATGAAGAAGAGAAGTACTCAAGTGGACGCTCATGTGATTTCGTGCAGCACGCATATGTAGAGGCGGCGGAGTGAAGGAAAATCTATCTCTGGAGCCAGCCTCTCAAGTGTCAGTACGTGGTTACACAAGACAATGAAGAGTTAGAGGGGTCTCACAACGCTTACTGGTTTGTTAGCCGGGTCCACAGGCTGATCATCGCTCCATGTTCAGCAGAAGCATGTGGAGTTGCGGCTGAGACCCTGCGCCGGACGTTTCAACGGCATGACGAAATGCCTCAGACCTATTTTCACACGGGTTGAATGGGGAGTACCGCGTAACGGCGAAAAGGTACTGCCTTGTAGCCATTACTTCAGAGATCGTCAGTATAAACCATCTTCCCGCTTACCAGCAACCGATTTCCTATCGGCTGAAGGCTGTATTGTACAGGCGCTCGCGTGGAGAGCGGAGGACATTTTGCTTGATGGTCAGCACAGAGGGCACTTCTACCATTGGTCTGCAGATCCCCTAATGAATGCTATTGTGGGACTCCACCACGCAGTTGGCGGAGGGGAGTCCGAGGGCGAGGCTGTACTCCTGCGTTGCTCTAGTATATGGCAATCTTCAACAGGCTGACAGGAGGCGACGACCAAGTGCAATCGTGGTCCATTGCAAAAGACCTCGTCTCGACACAATGCTCGCTTCACCCTTGGCTACTACTAAATGCAGTATCCAGGAGGGAGTGCAGGCCTGTAAGCGAGTCGTGACAATCTTCAATTCTCACTCCCTAGCCTTAGGATCGGCACGTCAATTACTTCTTTCCGCAGTTTCGCCGGTGTTGCACTCGAAAGCATCCGGCTCATTCTTCTCATGATGTCGAACGCGAATCTGTCCACGAACTATTACACGTTTATTACGACAGTGTGGTTGCCTCACCATGAATATCTACGGAGGTAGACGTCCTCCGGCTTGGTCTCTGATATGACTGTCAGCGGCTCTACGAATTCCTACGAATTATTGGCAATGGCCAGCATTAATGTGTTACGGTCATTTGTTCTGACGATCTGATGAGCCTGAAATACATCGCCATCAGAACGTCACGTTCCTTGGCAGTCTGGTTCGACTATTCGGCCAGCAACATCATAACGAGGCTACAAATGGTCTAGAATTGGCACTCTCTTCTAAGCAGGAGGCGCTGGACAGCGTGAAGCAGATGCACAGTCCGTCCAATTGACTGACCAGGTTTCTTGCTTACCAGCATGGAGGCTTATCTTCCGGCACTTTGCCATTGCTCGATTATGGCTATTTCTCTTATGGCCTTACCAAATCTCCCAATCATCACTCTCCTTGCTGTTTGTATTACCAATTAACGTCGCCTTCCCGCAAGACCCGATCTGCACATGGTTCCACTCCATGGGAGGAGCACACGACGTGCCATGGTCATGATAATTAGTCCTCGTGCGGAGGCATGGTCCGACCACCACGACGTATGGACCAGGCAGCATCAAGAAGTACTTCTCGTCCGCTCTCGTACAAAGACGTTTTGAAGGCGCGCTTGTCTCCTGTCGTTGTATCTCGCGGCTTTCTCGTCAAGATGCATTTCACACAGTCTGTTGCACTCATTGTCCAGGCACTACTCGTCAGGAGTGCTCCCACATCACCTCTATCGCGGAGAGGCCTGACCAATGATGCAAGCGCAGTCGCTGGAGAGTCGTCCGACTATGCGATCTGCGGCGGCGGTTGATGATCACCATTGGTTTCCTCAATTATGTGCTAACAATTGCAGGTCTCACTGGATTGACAGTGGCTAGCAAACTGACTGAGGATCCCAACATTAGCGTACTGGTGATCGAAGCTGGCGAAGACCGCCATGAGGATCCTCGAGTCAATGATGTCCGGACATATGGTCAGGCGTTTCAGACAGAGCTGGATTGGAACATCACCTCTGCTCCTGTGGTATGGCAGAATGATACCAGCTTACCGTTGGTCGCTGGTAGGATGCTTGGCGGAAGTGGTAGTCTCAATGGTGCAAGCTGGACCAAAGGACCAAGTTCGCAGTATGATCTCCTGCCGATGCTAACCGGAGATGACAGCTGGAGTTGGAAGAATTTCAATCAATATATGCTTGAGGCAGAGCACTTCAACCGGCCAGACGAAGACGATACAGGCAAAGGAGCAGATCACACACCACAATCTCACGGCCATGAGGGCGAGGTCGAGGTCTCTTTCGCGCGTGGGATGTATGATTCGCCGCAGCCGGCGGCACTGCAAGTATCCCAGAAGGTCTGGTAAGATATGGCAATTGATCCCGATACTGCAGACGGTACGGTGGACGGCGCTAACATCATTCCTAGTATGTTGGGTCCGGTAAGTAAAGTGTGCTTTCAGGAGCTGAGACAGTATCTAACGTCGTATCAGGACGAATCTCAAAACCGTTCATCGCCTTCCACGGCCTTCGCAGAGCATCAAGTGCAGGAACGCAGCAATTCCATAATCTTGACAGGTCATCGAGTTCTGAATATCAATTGGAAAGACTGCGATGGTATAATTGCTAGTGGCGTCAACTTCCAGGCGAGCAAGAACGGCGACATACATTCCGCTACTGCTAAGCGAGAGGTCCTGCTCGCTGCAGGCTCTTTACAGAGCCCACAAATCCTCGAGTTGTCTGGCGTGGGCGATTCAGATGTGCTCGCTGCAGCAGGTGTAACCCTGAAGGTGGCAGCTCCCGGCGTAGGCAAACATATGCCGGAGCAGTGAGAGGAATTACTCGACTCAGTCCAGGCCTGCAGTGGCTAACACGGGTTCAGGACCAAGAACTCACTATACTACGATGCTAAGGACCTTGCACTCACCGGCACTGGTCCACCATCTGCTATAGCTTTCCCGAACATTCACCAGCTGCTCATGGACGATGCTGCCACAATGTAAGCGCTTTATCTCGATCTATCGGACAAAGAGTTGACAGATGACTACAGGTATGACACAACAATGGCCAACATCGCGACGCACGCCGCCGATCTGGAGCTAAAAGGTTCAGTGGTTGACGCCGCAGCGACCCAAGCTGTCCTCGAGGCACAAGTCAAGAATCTGTTCGAAGATAATGCGCCAGCAGCCGAGATATTCTTCACAGTCTTCCCGAGCGAGAAGCAGATTGGCATTGATCTTTGGAACCTGATCGTCCTATCCCGAGGCACATGTCACATCAAGTCAAACGACTCTTGGGATCGACCTACTGTTGAGCCGGCATACTTTGGGCATCCGCAGGATCTGGCTATACAGGTCGCTGCGAGCAAGCAGAGTAGAGAGGTCTATTAGACCAAGCCATTGTCTCAATTCGTGGCAAGCGAAACGGTGCCCGGAAGTGCCGTTAGCCAAGACAATACCAATACTGAGTGGGACGCTTGGGTGAGGGGTTCTTTCACCTCAGTTTGGCACTATATCGCAACTGGTCAGTTTTCACAAAGAGACGTTTACAGCCGAACAGGGCATAGACTGACACAAATCATTAGCCGCCATGATGGAAGAAGATAAGGGAGGCGTGGTCTCCAACAGATTCAGAGTCTATGGAATCGAAAATGTTCGTGTTGTTGATGCTAGTGTGCTACCGATACAGCTTTCGGCTCATCTGAGCTCGAGCTTGTACGGCATTGCACTGAAGGCGGCCAAGACCATCCAGGAAGATCAAGTTGATGGACGTAATCATACTCTTTTGCTGAGCTGACCGGTCCTCTTCGGCAAGGTGGACTGCGACATAACGTAAATGGCATCAAGATGTCTTACGAGACACGGAAAGCCTTCGCCTACACAATCACGATGTCCTCTCCTCCATAATTGCTTTTAGCAAATCCAGCACTTCCTGACAACACTTCTCCTTTGTCGCCTTCTTCCCGAACACATTTGTGTGCTGGCCAAGAGTACCGCCAAGTCTAGGTTCCTTCCTCACATCAGACAGAAGGAAAGTCGCGCCCACATCGACAAAAGGACTACCATCAGACCCGAATGCACCTGTCCTGGACCTCGACGGCTCGATGTGGTAGCTTGGATGACTGAACCCAAGACTGATCGCCAGACTCGCGACTTGAGACGGCAGACTTTCTTGCGCGTTGCCCTCGATCGCCGGTTCGGAGGTGTCGTCGTCGTTATCAGAGTCCGTACTGCACAAGTCTGGTTCACCCAGCTTTACTCGCTTCGCAGCCACATCGTTGACCCATGCATCCTTCAGGACGGCACCTTGGCTCCGTAGCCAGATGACTGCTTCACGAGCAGCTGCCTTCCGCGCTAGTGCTTTGTTCGAATAAGTATCAGTCCGGGATCCGAGGAGAGGTGCATTGGGCATCGCAAGCTTGACTCCGCAAGCAAATGTGTAAGGTGTCTTGGTGGTCTGCAGCTCCTCGTATTCAGGCAGCTTCAGCCTGCGTAGCTGGCAGTAATCTCGTCTGGTCAGTGTACGTCAGATGAGCTTGCCAAAAGATCCCTTACCTTGTAGAGTTCCGATCCAATTGGTGCCGTTGAGTATAGCGGCGCTCACGACATCATTCGGCGTGCTAAACTCAATGTTCTTGCGCTTATCAGGGGCGATGGTGCCCAACTCCTGTATTATGAGCAAGGCACGCTTGCATACTGCTTCTTTTGCAAGCCATTTGTTGGGGAACGTCCCGTTGCCATCGACGAGAGACTCGCTAAAGGCCACAGTTACAGAGTAGAGTTGAGACCCGTCTTCTTGGTACCTGAACTCCGGAACCATACCTCGTGAATCACAGGCATGCTGAAACTTGACGGCATGCTCAGGATCTGGCTTGATTGTTCTCGATGGAACGAGTTTTCGGGCGGGCGCCCAATTTGGATCCTCAACGTCTTCGATAGACATGAGCTGGTCCCCATATCCGTTTGCATCAATATTCGGCTCCTCATCTATAGATGTAGACGTCTGTAACTCAACCTTGGGCCTCGACACAAGCGTTTCGCCGCCAGTGTAGTAATCGCTCGACATCGTGCCTTTGTCAAAGTCGCCAATGCTATCGTCACTGCGCTGACTGGAAGCTGGGACCAGCAACCCGTCGATGTCTGGCACAAGCAGACTGTCGAGCAAACGTTCCATGGTTTGTTGGAGCGGAAGAGCAAACGACCAATTCGTCGTGCCTGCAATTACCTAGTTCTCCTCCGCCGCTAGCGGCTCCACAGTCACCCTTCGCGCGTTCAGTGAATTCGCGGCGCACAAGATAGCAAAAATGAATACACTTGTTCCGGAGTAAGGAGACGTGTCATGTATCAGTATACACGTCGGGTGACTGTTTTGTGACATGGTAGTCAGCTCTTCCAGTCGTCCGCCGAAGTGAACGATCAGATAGTGAACTTTAACTGATATGTGAACCAACGAAATGGATCTACCAGTGCACGACTTCGCATAGCATACCGTTCGCAGGATGTAGCCAGAGTCAGCTGCGGCCTTCGCATCGTTATTGTGGTTCTCTCGCACTAACGATATGTACACTGGACGCCGTGATTAGCCGTTCACAAGATCGTGCCGTGCTGCCTTGAACAGAAACAATTTCGACTCAGTATAGGAAGCCGACTCATAATGGCTCTTGCTTCGGCAGCATGCTTCTCAGATACGAAGCATCCGCCAGCATCGACAAGTCCTGCTTAGCACCACCATACGCCTGTTGTTCCTGCTGGCTAGGATATGGGTCCTGGTCGAATTGACCGTCAAAGTCTGCATACACTTGCGATGAACCCTCGATCTGTGCCTGTGGAGCATAATGTGTCTCCGGTACGACACCAGCCAGCGGTGCCTGAACATCGTAGCTACTAGCAGCAGTATCCCACCATTGATCGGTCAGCTGGTCTAGTGCTGGATCCTGAACCAGGTCCGCAGTGGTGCCGAAATCAAAGGCAGTGCTGTCGAATGTGGCAGTTGTGTCAAAGTTGCTGAAGTCTAGAGTTGGGTCGAAAGCTGCGCTCTGGTCGTATGACAAACTGATACTGCCGGCAATGAAGTCAAAGCTGTTATCTGCGGAGAAAGTGGCAGCATTGTCAGGGTGAGCACTCAAACTGCCATCGCTCATGGATGTCGGCCAGGTGGCAGACGATAATGCTGAGCCCGAATTACCGTCGTACTCAAAAGGCGACTGTAACATCGGCTGCGTCAGAGGATCCGCGGCTGGTATGTCCACGCATTGTGTGCCGTAGTCATACACAGAATCAGTATGTTCGTTCTTCGGCGGCTCGGGATACTGCAATGGAGGTATAGCAGGCGGAGGCATGATCAGTCGACGCCAGCTCGCACGGCCTTGCGATACACTCGATTTGCGAAAGGTCCAGCACATTACGAGGATGCGTTCGTTACCGTGCGGAGAGACAACGAGGATCTCCAGCATGGCCGTCAAGCCACGCAGCAAACTGTCCACTTCAGTAGCAGCTTCAGGATCGGTCTCGGTAGGTTCTCGCTGCAGTCGAGCGGCAAGCTGATGCAGCATCTTTACCCAGAAGTTGCTTCCAAACTTCAATGAGGTAGTGATATTGCGTCGATCATCAGAGTACTGAAGTGGAGCGTCGAAGTCTTCGTTGTAAACGCGCTTGCCCTTGCGGTAGAAGCTGTTCCGACATCTGACCACGCTCTTTGGATCCAGATGATTAATGCTGCAGACGAAAGAGATCCCTAGCTCGACACCAGTCATATTGCGGAAGCTGGCAGTCGGGAAGCCGATCGATACATCAGCGACAAGGATGTTGCAGTCTAGCTGCTGTTTAGCGCTCATGGCTACAAGCAATTCATGGCTGGACCCTTGCCATTCCTGGAAAGGCACATCTGCTACCAGTGGCATGTCGATGGACTGTGTATAAGTGTGCAGACGTTCCTCCAGTACACTCTCGTCCGGTCGTGGGGTCTTCTGCTGCACAAACATGGAGAAGCTGTTGGGCTGAAAGATGTCGAGCTTATCTTTCATGCGTCGGACGTTATCTATATCAGTCTCGGCAGCGGGGATATGCATCGACCTCGTGCCATATGGCATAGCAGCTCCGGCGCCATGGTATGTCGACATTCGCCGGCCGGACATGGGCCCACCGAATCCCACGAGATGCGAAGGCGATTTGCCATGGTCATCTTTCGAGAGTACTTGCATGATATACGGATCGCTCTCAACAAAGGGCTTAAGCACTTGGATGTGACTAGAGACCTGCTTACGACCGCGGAGGACGCCAGTGACTTGCTGTATGTAATCGGCGATGAGCTCGTTGCGACCTCGTTGCTTCTCCTTGTGCATCATCTTGCGTCGACCCATGGGAGGGAACTTGACGAGTGCTGGTGAGAAGTCAATAAAGTGAACTCCTGAAATTCGGGTACTATGTCTCACCTTGAAAGAAAGCACGCTCAAGCTCATCCGGCCACTTCTGTTCCTGGCCATTCTTGTCGTCTTTCTGTTGACGACTTCGATACTTAGTATACCCTTCCGATTTCTGGAAGCGTTGGAACAGTGCATCAGCTCGCTGTCGTATATCGTACTCGTACTGACGGTGCCGACTGTAATTGTACAGTTGACGAGGCACATGGCCGTAGCTGTAAGCTCGTCTATATGTCGGCTGTGGGTTGATTGTGTGTTGTTGATACTGCTGATACGTCGCTGGCCAAGCGTTCTCCGTCTGTACCGCTGCTTGAAACTTGGGCGCGTATCCATCAGCGAGGGCATAGCTGCTGTGCTGTCGATTGCCCGAGTGTTCTTGCAGTACACGAGAGGCATATCGCAAGTCGTCGTCGCTACCGTCGTGGAGTGGCGGAGCATTAGATGGTAGCACCCTAGGTACTGGCTGGAGCTCCATTGTCATGGCTAACAATCCAGTCCAGAGGCAAGAATGCTTCAGTAAGAATGCTAAGGGTATAGCGCTCTCGCCGTGATTCGTCAGTATATTAAAGCAAGAAAATAGTAAGGAACGTAGAACAAGTTGGATGAATGGTAAAGGAATGACTGTGAGTAATGAGCGACAGTAAGATAGCACAACGACGACAAATGCCGCCTGTTGTTCCAAGCAGCGATACAAGTGTTTATACAACAGGAGCCCGCCACACACCACATCAGAGTCGGCCGCTTACTTAGTACTTGTCTTGATCACCTTGTGCAGCCTCCTGGGACCCAAGACCAGAGTGCAATCTCGGCAATGGAGCCTAAGGTCTGCACGAACGCAGCGATGAGGTGGGTCGGCAAGAGTGCCGATTGCACGGTGCATGCTGTCCCAGCGTGCCCTAGTGTGGTGTAGCGATGGAGCCTAGATTGGTACATTGACCAGTGCAAGGGAAACAGATAGTCTGACGTCGGCAGGTGCAAGCGGTGCCTGCGCGGTGGAATCGAGAGAGGGATAGCGTCTCATCTGAGACAGATAGGTAGGAATGCTGTGTGCATGTTGGTGGAATGTAAACATCGTTCGCTTCGCACGTTGAAAAGGCCGAGTATCGAAGTTGAAGATAAATGCTCAATAGTAGTCTCATCAGCATCGATAGATGTGAGTGCTTACCCAGTCATGGTTGTACGGCTTGTGGCCACCGAACTGGCCGCAGGAGGAGTGGCAAAGCAAGGGAGGAGCTCAAGCTCAAGCTGCCATGTACCACTCACGTGATACTGTGCCACGAAACAGTTCGTGAGGTTCTTTGCGGACCACCTACTGCAAGGCCATGCCCTTCGGCTGAAAAGTGTCCGATCGTTTTGATTCTCATCCAACCTATCCCACAAGAATATAAGGCACTGCAACAGGGTATTTTAATCAGAACGCCAGCCCAATGCAAATTGTAGAACGCAGCTCTTTCCAAACAATGATAGATACACTACTTATACACCTGCTGCCCTCCCTGCCCAGGAGGTGGTGGAGGCGGAGGCCGACTCCAGCCTTGATTTCCGCCCTGCTGAGGTTGCATCGGTATTTGTCCGCCGCCGCCTGGGCCGTTCATCTGTGATTGCACGTCGGGTCTATATTGAAGGCTGCAGCACTCGTTAGCATTCGCGCGAGTTCTTCGAAAGGAGGAGGCTGATGTTGTACTCTTGCTCGAAGTGGCAGATAGGACAAATCACCGAGTTGTATGGTTTGAGGGAGAAGGGTATCAACGGCACGAAGCAGATTGTGAACCATTGCTGTCAGGAACAGTCAGCTACTGTGCAGGATCTTGACCTGCTAAGGCGCATACCCTACATCTCATGGTTAGCAATCTGGATCGGACAGCCAATGATTTGTGGATTCCATGCTCACCATAGCCCAACCACTCGACCACTCCAATTACCGCAGTTCTGACATTGACATTGCACATGCTCATAACCCTTCACTTCCTTGGTGAACTCTGAACGACCTTGTCAGTATAAGGCTGGACACATGCTGGCGACGCGCCGGAGCTCACTATGTGTTCCGAAGGTGATACAGAACGCCATCGTGATCTCCAGGGGAATGCGCGGATGCGGTTATATTCCAGAACGACGTTGAACCGACTGTCTGGTGAAGGATGTCGCCTCTTGATGTCGATAAAAGAGTGCCGCGTGGCTGTGGTTGCTTGGAAGCTTGGAGAAGATCGGGTCACTGGAAGGTGCTCGTTAGCATCGGCCTGGGCCGTTACCCCAGATTTACCCTGCTTAGCGGCTTAAGATATATGGCTGTCCGTGCGCGTGAGCTGGAATACAGTATGACAATGCATGAGAGCAGTTGCTCGGAGAGCAAGGTCAACGGGCTGTTTCGGAATGGAATGGGAAGCTAGACGATGACGAGGCAATCGAAATATAAATTCTTTCGATGCTGTGCTATCCTTACAAGCTCGCTGATGCTCGAAGTGAGCTGGGCCGCTTCGGTTTCCGATCCAGAATCATTGCGTCTTGAACAGTAGGATGGCACAGTGACCAAGATAGAAGTAGATGAAGTGTTTCGTTTCTGTGACCGATTAGTGCGTGCCGGAGTAGCAATAGCCTGAAGGCCATCGTGTGCGTACCGTGTGTGACGAAGCTGCCGAAGTTGCGTCCTACTATGCAGTGCCATGTCGCACCTTTGCGGACGTCGAACTAGCTAATCATCAGCATCGGAATCGCACGAGGGGCCTGTGAAGGTGGCGCTGACCTCCTTCTTGATGTGGTGGGCAATCTCCTGGAGGAATTTCAGCGACTCATGTTCGGCTCCCTGGACTTCAAAGCGAACCTTTTCGATGTTGAACTTGTCCATGGCTTCTTGAGCTGTGGCAAAGGGTCAGTCGTGGTCCTCCTTCACGTTGTAAGCATGATTGCAGCTTGCTTACCAACTTCAATAGCTTCCTGTTGCATCTCGTCGCTCTATGAGGAATCTGATCAGTCGTCCGTAATTCGCACGGTCCTCAGAGTGGCGGGACATCGTCATACCATGTCGACAGACTTGATCTGGACTGTAGGTGAATGTCAGTAGGCGGGTAGACAATGCGCGGTCCGGTCCACGTACCTTCGAGCTTCTCCGGCTTGTCGTTGGCGTCCTTGACTTCGGCCATGCTGACGGTGTATCGAACTGGCCCTGCAGTAGTCCAGGTAGAGCACACGAGCGAAGTGTACGACCAGAGAGGCTGGGAGACAGAAGTGGCGCGTGTGGTTGTATCTTCGAGGTCGTTGATCAAAGTTGTTGGCCGACGCGCTCGCGCGCGCGACCTCGCCAGGGCTGAGCTTTGGACTATTTTTCCAGCTTCTACCGAGCACACCGCCCATAATTCCACAACTAGCGTCTTAACTTTTCTGCTTTGTGCGGCTTGATTCCTTACGCACTGTATCTACTCTCGGTGAAGACACGAGTCAAGATGGAAGATTCACAGTCATCTCGTATCTTCATCAAAGGTCTGCCGCCGACCTTCACGGAGGCGGACTTCCGCAAGCATTTCGCTCGAGATGGCGAAATCACAGATGCGAAGATATTTCAGAATCGTCGCATAGGATATATCGGCTTCAAAACACCGAAAGGTGCACAACAGGCGGTCAAGTACTTCAACAGGACTTTCATCCGCATGTCCAGGATCAATGTCGAGATCGCAAGGCCGCCTCCTCCGCAGACACGAGTCTCAGGCCAAAATGCTCTGACACCAACGACGAGACGGGAGGAAGCTACAAATGATGGCGAGGCTGCTGCCGACAGTATGCTGAAGCGGAAGCGGGACAGTGAGAGTAAAGTGGAGGATGATCCAAAGCTGAAGGAGTTCTTAGAAGTCATGAAGCTCAAGAGCAAGAAGAAGGCCTGGGAGAGTGATGCGGCGGGTTTGCCGCAAGCAGCAGTGGAGTCAGTCAATGCGGAGGAGTGGAAGGGTATCGAGGAAGGACAGAGCGACGAGGAGTACGAGGTTGTCCCGAAAAAGGCTAAAGTCAAGGCATCAGTTGTAGAAGCAACAAACCAACAGAAAGGTGCTACAGAAGCCTCAAAAGGACCTGCTGACTTGCAGGAAGAGGCGACTGCGACAGCACATTCATCAGAAGACATAGAGATGGACGGCAATGCAACACCTAATCCGGCAATCTCGGACTCGGACTGGGCACGATCGAGGACAAGCAGACTTCTTGGTCTGCTTGAAGAGGATGACGAGGGCGCAACGCCAGCTGTGGCCCGAGCTGAGACCGACGAGAGTGAGATCGACGAAGACGTGGAACAGAAGAAAATGAGCAAAGGTCAATCGCAGTTGGCAGCGAACGTCGAAGCCGCAAGCTCGTTACCTTCGCCACCTTCGGATCAGCCTGGAGCTAACATCTCGGCCGAAGCAGAAGAGAGTACAGATGTGTCGCAACCCAGCATGCGGCTCTTCATCCGCAACTTACCATACAACGTCACCCGCGAAGATCTGCAAGCTGAATTCGAAAGCTTCGGCGAAATCGAAGAGGTAGGTGACTCCTGTTCCTTCATCCCTGAAACCGTGCGAAGATGAATTGCCTGATAGGGACAGCTGATAATGCAAAAGCATATGCTGAGAGCAGGGAGCGTATTTTAGTAGATGCTTGCTCTGTCTGAAAGAAGCACAAATTCACATTTTTACGCTATGTAACATTTGTCGAGAAGCATGGCTGACACTTACTTACTAGGTACATGTCCCACTGGATGTCAAGACTGGCATTGCTAAAGGATTCGCGTATGTACAGTTCAGCACAGCAGAAGCCGCCGAGAACGCACTGTACGAAAGGGATGGTCAGACCTTCCAAGGCCGACTTCTACACATCTTACCTGCTACTGCTAAGCGGGAGAACAAGCTTGACGACTTTGCATTATCGAAGCTACCACTCAAGAAGCAACAACAAGTGAAGCGCAAGCGGGAGGCTGAGTCGACGACTTTCAACTGGAATGCGCTATACATGAATGCGGATGCTGTGGTATCAAGCGTAGCTGAGCGCCTTGGCATTTCAAAGTCAGAAGTGCTCGACCCTACGAGCAGCGATGCTGCCATCAAGCAAGCGCACGCTGAGACCCACGTTATCCAAGAGACGAAGTCTTACTTCAAGCAGCAAGGTGTTGATCTTGATGCTTTCAAGAAGAGTCATCGAGGCGATACTGCTATTCTGGTCAAGAATATCCCGTACGACTGCAGCAGAGACGAGCTCAGACGGCTGTTCGAGGAGCACGGTGATGTCAAACGCTTCATTATGCCGCCTAGTGGTGTGATCGCTATCGTGGAGATGGCCAACTCTGCACAGTGCAAATCTGCTTTTGGGGCGCTGGCATACCGGAAAATCAAGAGCTCGGTGTTATTTTTGGAGAAGGCGCCAAAGGGTGTTTTCAACGGAGGCCCCGTCGCAGCTGGAGAAGCTGTACTGGACGGGATCAACAAGACCTCTGCTTCCGATTTCAAAGACACCAACGTTGACGCGGTCATGCCCGACTCTGTAAGCACAGCAACACTTTTCGTTCGCAATCTCAATTTCAGCACGACTACGCCCATCCTCACCAAGACCTTCAAGCCGCTCGCTGGCTTTCTATCTGCTCGTGTCAAGACTCGCACAGATCCGAAGAAGCCAGGTCAGATCCTGAGCATGGGCTTTGGCTTCTTGGAGTTTGCCTCTTCACACCAAGCTCAGGCAGCACTACAAGCTATGGACGGCTACCTCCTTGAAGGCCACAAATTGCAGATCCGAGCCTCACACAAGGGTGCCGATGCAGCGGAAGAACGACGCAAAGCCGATGCAGCGAAGCGACAAGCAGGCAAGAAAACCAAAGTCATCATCAAAAACTTGCCGTTCGAAGCCACCAAGAAGGACGTCCGAGCTCTGTTCGGTGCGTATGGTCAACTACGTTCTATCCGCGTGCCGAAGAAAATGGATCGCGGAGCTCGTGGTTTCGCTTTCGCGGACTTCACTACGCCGAAGGAGGCGGAGAATGCTATGGATGCTTTACGTGACACGCATCTGCTCGGAAGAAGACTGGTTTTGGACTTTGCGGAAGGCGATCCCGAGGATGCAGAGGCAGAAATTGAGAAGATGCAGAAGAAGGTGGGCAACCAGGTTAACAAGGTTGCGCTGCAGAAGCTTACTAGTGGCGGGAGGAAGAGGTTTACTGCTGCGCAGGAGGAAGAAGGAGGATAGGCTGTGGTGTGTTATGGTCGTCTGCGGACGACATGCTGTGGACGAGAACGAGATTTGCATGGCTCCACGGAAGATGTTCGACCGTACTGCATGCGTATGCGTGTGTGTATGCGTATGCGTATGCGTATGCATGCCCTCCGCGTAGGTGCTCAGCGACACACGCGCGGCTTGCCACACAGCGCCGCAGCGGCCTCACTGTCAACATGTAAACTATTTCAACCTGTCTGCAATTTCATCTCACATGGCCGACACGCAACTATCCTGACTTTCCGTCCCGTGCACTCCTTATGCAGATCGCAAAGTCTATCGTGATTGTCGCTGTAGAAGCGATCATGACAGAGGCATGTCATCCCTAGCTTCGAAAATGGTGCCGCCATTTACTGCATGTGGCGCTTGGTTAGGCGCGGTAGGTCGGATTCATGAATATGGATTTGCGAATGCGAGTCGACGCAGCGAGAATTTCCGAGGCAGCTCATGCCGGATGTGCCATGGTTAACGATCATCCTCCGAAAAGCTGTTACCAATACGTCGGTCCAGTAGCATGTCAACGAGTCAGTAAGCTGCAATGCGCACGCAATACACAGATCCCGATTGAGTGTGGTCCCGACATATGTGGAGCACAGTTCGTTGTCCAGGCCTCGCTCTCTCCGCCTGCAGGCGAGATGCACATGCGAAAGCCTAATCATGATAATAACATCGTTATTATTCACGAGCTGTGCCTGCCCCGCTTGTGGTCTCTTCCGACATGAGCGTTATTGTGTCTCAGACACCATCGAAGCGTCTCGTAGAAGACAAGACGGCAAGGCGGTAGAGAGATGCAAGCGAGTCTCGGATCTGGGCTGAAGCGGTCTTGATCTCTGCCGTGTTTTGCCCTGCCAAACAACCAACCAAGCGCCAGGACTGCCGAGACTGCCGTTGGCAATAGAGCGGGAGTGTCTTAGTAGGAAAGGGACAAAGTACATCATCATTCTCGATCTGGTTCTCAAAATGATTAGCAGGTTATGACCCGGCTTGCGTAAAAGGATCCAGTTCGTCGCTCGTGGCACAGACACTTTGCCCTGGTGATGAGCCCCGGCATGGCTGCGTCCTACCAACACCGCAGCGCTGGCCGCAGCGAGGACTGTATGGATACAGCATACGAACATCGCAGCCCGAAGCCTTCAGCGTCACAACAGAGTAGTGCCTCGCTGGCAACGAGATTGAACGACGAGTATCGTGCGGGCACGACCTCGACACAGCATCGAAACAACAACAGCAATAGCGGTAACAGTAGCGCTGCTTACGCCTCACGACCGACTGGACGAACATCAGACGAGATCATGAGCTCCTATACGACGACGTCGACGGCCTCAAGGCAAAGGTCAGCATCTGGCCATAGTAAACTTCACAAGCGGGCCAGTTCTGGCTCATCACTGCCGTCACTGCCCTCACCTATGGCTCACTCACAATTTACCACGCCTTTCGCCACATACGAAGAACCACAGCACGACGTCTCACCAGTGCCATCATCGACTTCCACCCCTAAGCTCAAACTGTACATTCGCAAGATGTCGACGTCAAAGCAAGAAGACCAAGGCAGACTTGACCTATCAAAGTCTACTTTAGAGAATGAGAGACTAGCGGGACTCGGGATACAAGAGCTGGGTCAACGGTCAGTGTCGGATGTATCCATTTCGCATGCGGCCAGGAGAGGTACAGGGCATGGTAGGACGACAAGCGGCACTTCACAAGCGTCGACAATCTCGGGTTCATACAAGCCGAATTTGCCGTTCGTGCATCCCATGAGGCAGACGCCGAGACCATATGGAAACACAGGCAGTGCGAATGCATCATTTGTGCACGATGAGGAGGCAAGCGAGAGTGATGATCTGGTCGATGTCGATGACGACTTCAGATTAGGGCATGGATTCAGATCACGGCGAAGTGTGTCCATTTCGTCGGTACCAGCCATTGCACCCACGCCCTTGTCGCAGTCCGTGACTGTCGACGATTTGGGCATGGTACCAAAGCTCACCAGCGCCTCACAAACCAATCTGTCCATAAAGTCTGGTAAATCCGGGAAGTCAACCAAGTCACGACACGGCAGACCAAGACGTGAGACAGGTCCGTCTTTCGAGCAGCCGTCATCTCGCACAAGTTTCGACAAAGCTTTCAGCTTCGTGTCTAGACGATCGGATCCCGAACCGCGAGACCGTGACGAACGTATACGAGCCGCACGCCGCAAGTTCGAGGAGAAGGAAGCCATCAAGGACCGAAAGCTCGAGCAGGAATACTCAAAGCGTCGACAATCTGAGGATGCCAAGCGGGCAAAACAACAAGGCAGACAAGCACGTAAATCAGAAGCAAGTGAGCGACCGAAGCTTACGAAGCAGAACCGAAGTGGTGGCGATGGTCGAGGCCCTCCGCGGAAGGACAGCAAGAATGACGAATTGACTGAGAAAGTGCCTTCACGAAGCTACGATGAGTTCAGGCCTGCACATCAGATGTCTCTACCTCGGCACGGACAGGAAGCAGGCATGTCGGAGAAGACTGCGCGACCTTCTGCGCGCAGAGCAAATCCTCAGACGGGCTGGGTGAAATTCTCGGCTTGGTGGCAGACGAGGATGTTGAAATGCGGCGGTCGATGATATGGTGTTCATGGTGGCGTTTGTGGGGATTTATGAGAGCGCATTGCGTATGGGATACCCGTTTGGAATTTTGAGAGGGTTACACTGCATGAGCATGCGAGCTGACATTGTATAATCAGCTCGCTCTTGTTGCAGACTGAGAACAGGCTGGGCTCAGTAACCCTTGTAGTCTGCTCTGAACAAATCTCCATCAGGCCTCCAGCCACTGTCCTACGGTCTCATATGAACTTGCGCGCGCAGCAGTCCCTAGGCAACCTTGACTTCATGCGACTTTCTGACGCTTCGAAGGGTGTTCGTATATTGACAAAGCGAGATCTTGAGGCGAGGCAACACGCTGCATAATGCGTGAGCATGTCTATCATGGCTCAAAGTCAGCGTTTCTCGGATCATGTAGCAAGTGAGACTGGGTCGACCTCGACAGCAAGTCGTGGCCCGCCCGCCTCAGCCTCCACAGTCCTGATGACACTTCCATCCGCCTCATGCTGTATCACATACATATCGCGCGCGTCGCATACACTGTGGTCTCTAAGCTCCACCAGGAGACCCTGCAGACCTCTCTGAAACCTCGTAACACCGTTCTGGTTCTGGTCTGCCGATAGTCAGTCAGTCAAACCCTGCTGTCGGACCCGATGTTATCTGGATCTACTCACCGACCCACTGGCCCACATCCTTCCTCGAAGCTCTGATTTCAGTCTCTCGTACTACGGCACGCATGGTGGCGACGTTTCTGCGCAGAGGAGGATAGTCCAGCACTACAACGAATGAAGTTTGGTGTCTGAGATATCCACTGCTCTGGCATTTCCTTCTCCAGATATTTCTCCACGGTGTTGACAGACTTCGCAGTGGAAAGCTCCAGATGGGCAGCTTGAGTGACCAGACAGCCAGCACTACGTACTATAATATCTCCTTTCGAATCCTTGAGTTCTCCTGGGACGGCAACTTCGAGCGACAGCAAGTCTATCAGAGCTTCCGGAGCTTTCTCGTCGAGGAAGCCGTTGACCTTGTGGCGCAACAGGATCTTGATACCATCAAGGTCGTACTCAACGATGCCATAGTGAGAGACACTCTCTGCACAATCGGCTCGATACTGTAGATACTCTGCGCCGAAGTTATCACGAAAGCCTTTAAAGGATCTTGGGTTTGTGCCAATGACTTCAGCTTTTCCAGCATCGTTGGACATGAATACAACTGTGTTGCCGATGACCTGAGCCTGGAAGCCGAATGCGGCGCCCTTCTCTCGCAGCTTGCCGAAATGGCCGAGGAGTTGACTGAACGCCCAGCGATCTGTAATGAGGTCGACGCTGGTGAAATCGTAGTCTGGGTGGAGATGTAAGATGGCGGTGAACAGCGGCTACATTGGCGAGTGGGAACTGCGAAGAGCGTTTTGGTCCAAGGCGCGGGATCTGCAAGAGAGCGGCAGTCAGTGGTTGGTGTTACTCCTGACATTACTGGACTGAGACTCACCCTCTGTCAGGACGCAGTTGCGAGTACCTCGAAGGTGGGGACCAAGTCACCGGCAGTCCGGGACTAGAATCGTGGGTTCTTTGCAGTCGAGCCAGTTGTAGGAGGCGATGAGCTTGACATTAGTGATGTCGAGTCTATCGGGAGGCTCCTCATTCATGGTGGTTAGCGACAATCACCCAGCAGTTCGGAACGTTCTGCAGCAGATTGGACTTGGCAATATGAGGCTTGTTGAAGCGTTCGCAACTCTCCTCGGCTACGTCTGGTTAGGTGCTTGAAGACTCCGACGGCGAGCTCCTGCGCCGTTTGCAGCCCGTGCATGGTCGTTCCTTCCCTTTACAACAAGCAAGCTGCCTAATCGGGAGCTATGGCCGTCGATCATTCACTCTGAGGTTTCACGGCCTCAACAAGCGCCGCGTGACCTCACTGAATTGAGTACAAAACCTCATCGCTCGATCGACCTTCGACCTTCGACCACTACAACACCACTTCCTCCAACAACACCTTCGCACACTGATCTTCCCACCATCGCAACGCTCTCCGCACTCGACTCTCACTCTCCGTAAGTATCTATTGCCCCTCAAGCAGGATGGAGATGGCTTGGAGGATGGTTGTTATCCTGTGGGCAATGGCGCGCATCGCCTTTGGCCTTCCCACATCAACCTTGAGCACGATCATCACGCCTTCCGCTTCGACATCCTCGATCTCTGACTCCTCGGTCGCCCTTCCGTTCCCAACTGGCTCTTACGACTCGTCTACCTTGCCCCTTGCTCCGACCACGTCCAATCGACTGAGCTTTAATGGTCAACTAAACTGCAATGGATAAGGCAATACCTTTGCTGGCGTGTAAGTATCACCGCTCGGAGCCATGTGTGTTTCGACAGATTGTCTGTACTAATGCCATGAACTCAGCATGAGTGACGTCCGTGACTTCTGCGCGAACAAATCTGGCGTGAATTTCTCAGGGCCTCTTTCGGGAAATGTGTTCGCTAATTACGCTGATGCCGACCTTCAAGTCCGTCAATCTGTCCTTGATACAACGGCGAGCTTCGCGGAGTCTGATTGCTTGGATTACATGCTCTACATCCTGTGGCAATGTCCATCAAGCGGCGGCCAAGCTCCGGGCGGTACTTACACGTCCGATGGCCTGACATGGACCATCACCTTAAGACCATCTTCAAAGAGAAATATCGATGCTTCTACCACGACCGCCATTGAGGTTCGGCAGGCCGATGTGGGGCCCTTTCTCCGCTGCACTGCTCCTGGACAGACTTCCCACGCCGACATCGAGGATTATGTTCGGGAGTTCTGTTCCACTCATGCCAGCAACCCCTTCGTGTATCTGACACAGGATACTCACCAACATGGCTCTGTTGGCGTGTATGAGTGGGGCTGTGCTTTCGGCAAGACGGTCACTTTCGCCGAGCAGACCTGCATTGACAACATGCTGCGCATTCTGCAGAACTGCCCCGCTAGTGGCGATTTAACCCCACGAGGTGAATATGTAACCCAGTCAGATTGCTTGAGCTGGGTCATCACCGCAGCAGATAACCTCCTTGATCCTGGAGCCGGAGACAAGATCGAATCGGCCAAGCTGTCGAAGCGCTCATCAGTGACCTGCGACTCCTCAACCAGCTCTGAGACGTATGGGATTCTGGAGGACCACGCAATCACATTTTGTGAAGCTTTTGATGGCAAGCCAGTCGCGCAGACAGATGCTGCCGTCTACCTTGGCACCAAATACGATTACGGCTATGCAGTCAACCACTGTCCTTCGAATAGTGCCAACAGTACCAAGCAAAGTGTCAATCAGGCCATCTGCGTCGACAACATGCTAGCCATCCTGGACAACTGCCATGGTCAAGACTCAACAAAGGCATTCGGCGGCACTTATACCGATGAGTTCTATTGTATCAAGTACACCATCAAGATCATACCGACAATCAACAGCCGTGAGAGCAACCTCATATCCAGACGCCACCCTACAAGCTACGCTGCCCATCAATTTGATGCTGGTGATGTTGTGGGCGGGAGTCTTGATAGGCGCAACATTCCGGTATGCCATCACGACAAGCCATGTCAATCATGGAATCACGTTCTGTACAATGTGTTCACTTTCTGTCTAGAGCACGAGTATGAGCCTATTGTTGATAATGTTACTTACCATACCGATAACGGAACATATGGTGTTGCGACGTGGGGCGACACAAGCCCACTATTGACCATCGACTCCTGTTATACAGGTTTCATGAACATCATGGCCGCCTGTGGGGTTCCAGGCCAGGATGTCCACGGCGGTGGCTACATATCAGCACAGAGTAATCTGATCTTTGAGTACGATCTTGATGCGCAGATCAAAGCTCGTCGCAGCGACCCCGAGCGTTGTGATCACGGCCTGGCAGCTCCAACGACGGCCCTGACCAACATCGCCACGACCTTCTGCGACAAGTATGCCAGTGGCACCGTCTCTGGAGAGCAGGTCCTGTCGGAGACATTTCCATTGGTCGGCAGGATGCTTGCGACTTTCAAGCGCTCTTCCTCATGCACCTATACGAAACATTATGACATCCCTCACGACTTCTGCACCTCTGCCTTGAACGAGCTTCTTCGACAATGCTCCTCTGGTCAGAGCTCTACAGGCGGCTCCGTCGAGTTGGGAAACTGCCTCTCGTACGAGATCACTATCCACGACAACATTATCGATCATCCTACAGCTCCGCAAGCACGTCAAGCGGACCAAATCAAGTGTGGAGAGAATCCTTGCGTGGCGTCTAGCGTGGCAGTCCAGAACGCGACAGACTCCTTTTGTCATACTTTCAACGGCTGGACTCTCAAGCGAAACAATACCATCTCTGCGCAAGTGACAGTCTCTCCGGTAGCAGAGGATGGCTCGTGCTTGAAGGCCGGCATTAGCATTACCAATTCATGCTTCGAGTTCTTCACTTGGTACAAGCCTTGTGAAGCCGGCTTCGATGATATCATGGATGACTGCGACAATGGCAACACTGAGACCTCGGGTGGCACGGTCACTGCTGGTGACAATGGCTGCGTAAAGTACAAACTGGAGGTGTACACGGCGGAGGATGGTTGCTGAGTAGTTTCACCGTGCTGGGTGTAAAGGGCAAGCAGTAAGAGATGGAGTAAGCATGGGCGGGACAGCATAGGAGGCAGGAGCTTCACAAGCAGTCTCGACGGCCGCACATAGATGTAGCACCGGTACTCAAAGCGCATGGTCGCTTCTACCTTTAACGAAGTTGTCTGCGATCCGCGCTTTGTCAGCTCGCGGTAAAGTCTATTTCGTGCCCATTGCCGACGCTCCCGTCTCTGCGTGATCGCATGTAAACAATGGTTTCGTCGATCATGTGGTGTTGGTTGTATGCTCTTCTCGCTCACAACTTGACATGCCTGGACGATGATGCAATACACCGACCACCGTGAGAGTCTAGGCAGTAGTGGAGGGGTACAGTCATCATGGGTGTGGTCATCTCTAAAACCGGTGTTTTAACGCCCATCTCTGTTGCCAGCATCATCATCGGCTTCGTCTCTTTCGCATTCACAGTAGCAACATTTCTGCGAGTGCTATGGACAAATTTCATGACCCTCGGCGAGGCACCGCACGAGGTTCATGCTTACCTTACGAATCTCCGGACTGAGCTGCTGGAAGAAAGAGCGAACCTGAAAGTCATGAAGAAGAACTACCGCAGGCACCACAAGCTTATACAGCAAGGAGGCCGTGGTAGCAGAGTAGACAGTGGAATGGAACTGGACGATGTGACGATTAAGACTATGAATGACACAATAAGATATCTGATCAAGCGGTTCAAAGAAATCGAGAAACCTTTCCTTGAGCCTGGCGAGCTGGGCATCAGTGGCGATACGAATCCGCGGAAAAGAAGGCGAAGAAGTCGGTCTGAGAGCCCGTACGATCAGTCGTATAACTCTCCACCCGAGAAGGCACATGGTCGAGGAAGGTACGACGACGATGTCAAGGATCCGAGAATGTCTCGGTACGCGGACGAGCGTGGCATTGATGAGGATGATGACAAGTACTGGGCCCAAAGGACGCAGTATGCACAGTACAGTTTCAAGAAGCGAATGACATGGCTGTACAAGAAGGGAGATGCCCAGTCTCTGTTCGAGGCGTTGACCCGGGTGCAGACTAGGCGAATAGCACGGCAGGTCGCAGGAATTTCTTGCCTCGTTCATGAGTATGGAAGCAGTACCCTGGAGATGCAGGATTCGGTCAGACGAATTGATGAAAGGATGTCTCGCTTCGTTGGCGTAAGGAGAGTGGACGATTGAGACAAGCCTCGAACAACTTAACACAAGCGAGGCCGAATGCTCGCAGTATGAGGTCCCGCAGGACCTCTGTAACATTTAATAACATCTATTGTACACTACTCGTGCAGTTCTATCTTGATGACAATCCCATCCACAACGCCACGCTCTAGCAATTTGAATCCTTCTCAATCGCTGGTCACAGCATACTTCGACATGCTTCTGATTTTTGGGCCTATACTCGATCAGCAACGCATCCAAGGTTGGGTTCTGCCGGACTTACCATAGATATAGAACAAATAAGGTACCGGCACGAGCAAGCTACTCAGGCATGCTAAGATAGTGCACGTGTAAGGCACGCCTAGATTCTCGTACCATGGAATGCCTATTACGACGAATGCTCCGCTCATTACGTATCGAATGAGCGTTATGGAGGCCAGTCCAGACGCTGCATATGTCTCGTAGCTGTCAATAATGTATTGGTAGCACGAGATGAAAACTGTTAAGATGCCGTAGCCGAAAAAGATTGATGCAACCAGAGGCGACCAGATTGAGATGTCTGGTCTAGCAGTCCAGCCCATCCAGAAGAGTGAGATGGGTATGGCGAAAGAGCCCCCAAGCTGCGGAAGAAGTCAGTCTCACATTTACTGTGCAACTCAAGAACGTGAACAGCATACCATGCAGAACCACATCCGAAACTCTGGCGAGATACCTCTTCTTCCCTCCTCTTCAGCTTTTTTCATCTCCACTTTCGCCCACTTATATATCAGAGGCACTAGTGCAGAAGCACCAAAGAGACCGATAATGATCCCGAGGAAACACAAACCAGTCAGACCCTCAGATAGCCCGTAGTTGTCGGTGAAGATGTAGGTGTAGCCGTCTAGAAAACTGAACAGCACAATATAGATGACCGAGAGGTACAGTGCCACAAGCATGATGATCGGCTCACGGATCGTGAGCAAAATTGGTCGGTACAGTGCTCGCTTCAGTCGATGTGGCAGACTCTCTTCCCGTACCTCGATCTCTGCTTTGTAACGCTGGTCACCAGTGAGCTCTCTCAAGTGCTTGGCTTTCCATTTAAGCAGTATAGGTGGATATGTCTCTGGCTGGAACAGGACCACGAGAGTGAGCACGAGGCCGGATGCGATGAGTGTGACCCATTCGACCCATCGCCAGTCAATATATTGGACGATGAAGCCTCCCATGACTGGGCCTAGTAACGGTCCTGTGAACGCAGCGTTTGCGAATACCGGGAAGGCAAAGACCCTTTCCAGTGGAGACCATAAATCGCTGATCGAGCCACCCGCGCAGGTAAGAGGCGTGCTGCCGAATAATCCCGCAAAGAATCGTAATGCTAGCTGCGCACCAATGTTAGGGGCTAATGCAGAGCCAAGGATGAAGCACATATAGACGGCCAGTGTGACGATGTACACTGGATTCCTCCCGACGGTCTCGGATATTGGTCCAGCGAAGAGAGCGCCAACCCCAAACCCGATCAGAAAGAGCCCGGTAGCCAGGGACTCTACCACCTCGGATACACCAAACTCTGCTGCTGCGTGAGGCAGCGCACTACTATCGATGGCGCTGGCAATACCAACGACACATCCGATACTAGCAATCAGAAACGTGCATGGAATGCGGATCCAAAAAGACCAATGATGCGGGTCATTCTCATCGTGCGGACCTTCATAGCCAACGATGAAGACGTTGCCTTCACCACCTTCCTTTGTCAATCGCTTCCGGATATTGATGCCAGTCAGTGCCCGTCCCAGTGCTGTACGATCTGTCATAGCAGAGTGCTGTGTCGTTATTCTAGAAAGCGTAGTCCGCTGCTGTCGTAATTCATCGTCATCGTCGTCCTGGTCGAGGTTCTCTTGGTTTGGTGATTCGGCTTCCTCGTACTGCTCAGGCCGCTGATTGTGCTGCATGATGTCGACCTCCTCGCTAGGGCCGGGAGGACCGAGATTTGGGTTGACTTCGCCCGGGTTGACGCCATGAGGTAGACTGTGGTAGCTTTCGGCTTTCTCGAGGTCGGTCTTGTCCTCTTCTGAAGAGAGTGGCGAGTCCCGGGCATGATGTTCGGAGTGCAAGCCTTGTGCTCGGGCCCTGTCACGCTCTACTTGTGCCTTGACAGTTGTCCGGAAGCGCCTGTATTGTCGTATCGACTGCATAATTGATGTCCAATGGCGTGGCAAAGACGTGATGGAGAGTATGCAAGAAAAGTGAAATATTAGACTTACAGGAGCCACACAATCTTCGAGCATTAGTCACTCGCTGAGTGACAGGGTTAGCCTATTGCGATTGCCATTGCAGTGCAGTATCTGCGCGAAGTATGTGCCAGCCATGACGTTGGGAGCGAAGAAGAACCACGGCTAACGGCTATGCGGAACGCTCACATATTCTAGTAAGAGGTGCGATCGCGGAACTTTGCGAACTGAATTATACCGCTTATCTCCGGCGATGATCTGTCGTTGAGCGGGGTGAGATTCTGATTGGTTGAGAGTCGCATGATGCTAGTGGGTGTAGCCTTCGGAGCACCACCAGGAGGACTTCATTGCTTCGAGAACAGCTTCACGACTTGGGGACCTCTTTCAAGAAATTGGCCTTTCCGCCTGGTCTGGGACAAGGGAACTGGCAAATTACCCCAATTGGCAATATGACGCAGACAGACTATGACTCTGACTTGAGCCACTTCACAGTAGACGACATCAATTGCAAACGCAACATCACTCCTTTGAAGCTCATCGCATGTCATGGCCATGTCGACCCTCTGCCTGCGTTCGTAGCGGCGAGTGTGTTCATGTCGAGCAAACCGGTGGCCTTGCTCGCGTTGCTGTCTGATATCCTTCGTCAGACTCACGGTTGAGGATGATTGCTAGAAGTGAACGCCAAATAATGGCGCTGCTGAAGACGCTCGCTTGCTATGTGAGGTAGGTATGTATTGAAACAATGCAGATGGGACTAGGTGAATGCATCTTACAAAAACCCTGGGCGTTGATGTGTCCCAGACATCTCTCAAACACGAAAAGAAGAATATTTGCTCTCACCTCTGTGACTGGTCTGGATGAGCAAACTTGGCAGGGCCTATATATACAGCCTCATTCTTGACCGTTCAGATGTTCTTGGCTACAATAGATCAGCACCATGGATCAGCCCAGCAAGTAGCCAAACACCCCATCGAAGAAGGCGACCACGCCATCCAAGAAATCAAGCAAGAAGAAGAAGCAAGGGACTACAGACTCCCCAAAGAAGCGTCCGTCCCAGCAAGAAAACGAGTCCGTCAGGAGCACGTTTCGTGGGAGCGATGATCCGAGATCTCCTGGAGCGGCAGCCCTTCCATCAGGCAAGCAATCTTTACTCTCGAGCAATCCACCGCCATCACTCAGCCGGCTCATCAGCCCCTTCACTAACTCATCAAGAGATTCCGCGAGTGCGCCATCCACGTCCACTACCGAAATTGCCGAAGCGGACGATTACGATATCGTCGAATATGCAAACAGTGTCCCATACACCAGCAGCGGCCAGCGGAGCGGCAACAAGCCACTCCCACTGCCATCGGTCACTCAACAAACCAGTACCCTCAGCCGCGACCCATCTTCAGAGGCATCCTATGAGCAGATCTCGCACTCCGAAGCGACCTCACCCTATGACGATGACTTTGATATCGAAGGCCACGAAGCCAACCAAGGCGTCGGCATCGTGAAGGCCATGGATCGAGCGAAATCTGGAGATAGCGATGATGAGAGGTGAAGGAGTGGGAGATGTGGAGGATTGATAGGAGTGAAGTGGGAGCGGTACGGTCCTCGTGGCGCTGGTTGCGTATCTTGAGATGGGCAGCAAACTTTGCGCCGCGATACAATGTTGTTGCTATGGCCTCGAAATGTAGATCTAGCAAATCGTAGATCTGAGATCTGGTAGATCATGTATCGATATCATGTATAATGCAGTGAACAATGTACCTGTCTGGATCAAATTTTCTCCCCTTGTACTTCCACAGTAACTTTCACAGTCGCCACAATGATTCGCCGCGACTTCTCCTCTCCACTGCGCTACTCCCAATCAGCCATGGAGACTATCGATGAAATGGTCGCTGCTGCAGGTATGTGAGACGAGCTAAGCTATCTTTATCATAGCAAGCTGACCAGCACAAACTATAGGCACGAAAACATCATATTCTCTAAAGCGTGTGCCCAATAAGCTCCGCAAGAGAAGGCCAGAGTCCTCGCCTAACGAGGAAGTAACGCCAGCGTCACCACAACGTCGTCGAACAGTAATGGGTGAATTGCGTGGTATGCTCAGCAGGCAGTCCGTGGAGGCAAAGTATGCGGCGATCAAGACATCGTCGTCGAATAACAGCTTCAAGCTGAAATCGATGGTGAGACGGAGTCCTGATTCGCCGAGCTCATCGCATTCTGGATTGGGCATCGGAAACACGCCGTCGATGCGATCGAATCCTGTCATTACTGGAGGAAGTACGAGCAAAGATAACAGCATGCTCAAGCCCGGCGACTTTGCGACAGGCAACTCATTGTCACAAACATTCATTGTAGACGATACGGACGGCCCGATGCCAATACTAGCGTCAAGACGAGGCGTATCTCGTAAAGGTCCGCCCTCACCAGAATTGGAGCTTCGCGATTGGGCACTGGACAGACCCGCTGTTAGCAGCAGTGATTTCATGCCAGTGCTCGTCAGAGGTGATGTGATGGAGGCGTTCGGACTGCGTGTCGACGCACCACTACCAATTTATCCGCGTGACCCACCAAGAGAGTGGTATCCGGAGATCAAGCCGATAGATCCGTGTAGAGCGTGGCGAAACAGTGACAGACGCCAACGCGCGAAAGATGAGTTGTTCACCAGGAAGGATCCTAGGGACTATTTTCACGATATGCCAGTACCGCCACGATGGGGTGAAAATGGCCGCGTGATAAGGCCGGGTGGGAGCCAGAAGATTGACATGGCCAATGCCCGAGCAGCGGAGAATGTGCTAGCGGCCGAGGAGGTGATAAGAGCAGATAAAATGAAACCTGAAGTGGTGCTACCTGGCCCAAGCCAGAGACCTGTCTGGAATGGCACACCTTCTTCCAGCATCTTCATGGGAGAGAATCTTGCGGAAGAGTGGGAGAAGTATGTGCCCTATGTGAAATCAGAAGATAAAGCACATAATGAAATCGAGGCGTGCGGGAAAGTGGCAATGGCCGCTTTTTCTCCCGCTCAGGCCCCGAAGCCGGTACCAATAGCACCAGTACCAGCAGGTCCAATCGTCGAGCTAGCAAGCCCATCGCGATTGGGGAAACCAAGCAAGGAAGCCGTTCAAGAAACAGTCGAACTTGACAGCCAAGAGCTCCATGAACTGGATGCCACACCTCCAGTATCTAAGCAGGAATCCAGCCATGACGAATGGAGGGGCAGCTTATCCCAACGTTGGAAAGCCGCACGTGATGATGCTCTCGCAAAACTTGCAAAGGCAGATTACGAAGTCTTCCAGCACCCTACAGAGCTCCCAGCATCACGAGAGGAACTTCAGTCGTCAGATGCAGAGGGGACGTTGCATGGTAATAATTCAACAGAAACAAGGCTTGCTGAGCCTGGACCGCTCGCAGAGCTAGCCACAGCACGAGAAGACCTTCGTCTATCGTTCGCAGAAGAGGAGCCGCGTAACGTTGGGTCGATCGACGCCAGGCTTGCCGTGCCTACGCCGCATTTCCAAGAGCCGCCGTCTACCACAGATCTAGCAGATGCCACTAACGCGACTGATGAACCAGATCTCTCGACCGACAAGCAGACAGCGTCGCGGGAAGCGATATTGAAAGGGTCTGTTGTCGTGCTCGCGGACGAGCTGGCGGGGGGAATGCAGCAGCGCTGGGACGAGCTTATCGCTCGCTCTGAGAATGCGAGCAGTGGTGCGCATCAATGGGATACCCATGTATGAAGAGACTCCTGGAGTGACTTCACGCAAATTTGTCATGCTTGCCTTTAACCTTCACATCCAGCATAGCTTCATGATAATCGCCATCTCTCCTCGCTCGCTTCAACCTCTTGACTTCATCGTCCTCCAACCGTCTCCCAACTTCTTCTTCGAGCTCCTTCCGTGAGATCTTGGCTCGCACCTTCTCTGCTTTGTCCACTTTATGCTGGGGTTTGAAGCGAGCTTGCATTCGGACTCTGAGCGCTGTATTCTCATTCATTTCCTCTGCATCACCTCTGACCTCGGGTGAGTCCTTCTCCTCGTTAAGTGTGAGATACTTCTTGTGCCCGGTCTCGATGTTGAATAGTCCCGCTCCACCTTCCACAGCTGAAAGCTTGAATGTCTCCTCCTGACTAATTGCTTCACGTGTCGCCGAGCATATACCGTATTGATCGCATCCCAAGTATCTACCATGATGGCCTTTGAACGTAAAGTTATTCTCGCTGCCAACGACTCGTGTTGCGATCCACACTTGTCGCACATCATGCGGCTCTGCACTGTCCGGTAGTCCTTCCACGAGATTCTCGATACTCTGTGCAAAGACTTTGCCAAGCTGATCGCAACTGACAGATGTGGGTGGCGACGAAGGCAGTACGAATGCGACAGGACCCGAGATGTCGCTCAGCTCGCCAGCGGAAACCCACTGGTTGTCGTCCACTTCCTGCTCTGGCTCGACCTGGGCAATCTGCTTGGTCTCGGGTCTAGTATCGTCCTCGTTCTCGGCTGCCACCCTCTTCCGCTTTTTCGGCGCCTTCTTATCTCCCTTGAAGCTCAACGGCTTCACCATCTTGGTATCTGCTGCATTGAGAACTCGGAGCTCTGGAAGCTGTATTGGAAGTGCTTCACATGACTCGTTCCGAAACAGGCGTTAATGCATGCTTATCGATTGTGCCAGATGATGATGCAACTTTGGTGAAGCTGTCGCCCAATAAGGTTGGAGTCGATTACGCTTAGTGATGTGTTGACGTCGCGGGGCAGGTACGACCATCATATCCAGTAGCTGACGAGCTCTGGGAACACACCTGCTGTCAGCTCTTACACCTGCAGACACGTTACATGTCCATCCTACGATCCTTCAACTCTGTCCTTCGTACTTCACTTCAACCAACAAATAGATTTCGAAACAGGCGAACGTTCAGCAGCACAATCACAGCCATGGCACAGGAATTCAAGCTCAAGGGCTTGACGAGCATCGATCTCAAGAACGGACAGAAGCAAGAAGCAGAGGTGGAGGGAATTGAGAACGGAAAGGTGTTGCTCGTCAAGGTTGAGGACCAAGTGCATGCCCTCAACCCCAACTGCACGCATTACGGTGCTCCATTGATGAAGGGTGTGGTGACTGGCGATGGCAGAATAACGTGCCCATGGCATGGAGCTTGCTTCAAGGTGTCAACCGGTGATGTCGAGGATGCACCTGCTCTCGATCCACTGCACAGATTTGATGTGCTCGTAAAGGACGGTGGTGTATTCATCAAGGGACAAGAAAGCCAGATCAAGGAAGGTAGACGCACACTCAAATTCAAGACCAAGACTCAGTCGAAGGGTCAAGAGAAGGTCGTCATCGTTGGTCGTGGAGCTGGTGCGACTGGTGCAATGGAGGCTTTGAGGTATGAAGGCTTCGACGGTCCCATCACGACCATTGCCACAGAAGATTACCGCCCCATCGATCGCACGAAGCTTTCCAAGGCCCTCATCACCGATTTATCGAAGGTTGCCTGGCGATCTGAGGAGTTCTACAAGGACGCTGGCATTGAGAATGTTACAGACAACGTCACATCCATCGACTTCGACGGCAAGAAAGTCAAGACCGAGTCCGGCAAAGAGCACGACTACACCAAGCTCATCCTCGCCACCGGCGGTATTGCGAAGTTTCTGCCTATGCCAGGCCTCAAGGGCGATTTGGAGAACGTCTTCGTCATCCGCCAGCTGAACGACGCCCAAAAGATCATGAGTGCAGCAGGTAGCGAGGGCGGCAAGAAGGTCGTCGTGATTGGAAGCTCTTTCATCGGCATGGAAGTCGCGAATTGCCTTGCGAGCCAGAAGCACAAGGTTCACGTCATTGGTATGGAGTCGCAACCCATGGAGAACGTTCTCGGGGCCGAAGTCGGCAAGGTGTGCAAAGCATTGCTAGAGAAGAACGGCGTGAAGTTCCACCTCAATGCCTCCGTTGACAAGGGCGCCGAGAGCGAGAAGAACAAGGGCAAGATCGGGAAAGTCCTTCTCAAAGATGGTACAGAGCTGGAAGCCGATCTCGTTGTCGAGGGCGTAGGTATCCGTCCCTCGACAGACTACCTCAAGGACAGCAAGAGCGTGCAGCTCGAAAAGGACAATTCGGTCTCCGTCGACGAGTCCTTCGCCGTAAAGGGCATCAAGGACGTCTTCGCCATTGGTGATATCGCAACATATCCCTACAACGGACCCGGCGGCAACGGCAAACCCGTCCGCATCGAGCACTGGGATGTAGCACAAAACATGGGCCGCAGCGTCGCATCCACCATCGCCAAGGGCACAAAGGGCAAATCTTTCATTCCTGTCTTCTGGTCCGCGGTTGGCTCGCAGCTGAGATACTGCGGCAACACGATGGCGAGTGGGTACGATGACGTAGTTATTCAGGGCGAGACGGACACGAGTGATGGGAAGCAGAGTTTTGTTGCGTATTATTGCAGTGGTGATGAGGTAGTGGCGGTCGCTTCGATGATGAAGGATCCGTATATGACTCAGAGTGCGGAGCTCATGAGGAGAGGCAAGATGCCGAAGAAGAGTGAGCTGAAGAAGGGCGTTGATATTACGGAGATCTCGGTGCCTGCTGGGGTCAAGGTATGAGCGATAATTTACGTATGACGGAACGAAAGGATGTATATGGCAGCAAGACAGCCACTAATGTGCAACCTCGTGACCTGCAGGCATGCGCCAGAGTGTTATGTGAGACGCGTGTGCGCTTGTCCTATCTCATGTTCCACCGGTGCATCGTGTCCCGCAGGTAGGTGACCTCGATATTCCTCGTACTAGAGGGCTCAGGCAGTACGTCTCTATGCTGCAGCTGAAAGTCCTTCTAAGCACTGACAAACTCCGCCCAATCCGGAAGCCACGAGTCGTCATAGCTAGCGGCGTTACTGCGGTGACTTTGAATTCCTGTTGCAAGACACCATTGTACTTCACTTCAGCTCATTACATTCCTACTTGACTCTCAAGCCGGTCTCGTTCTTTAATCTAACACTCTATCGACGTCGACATGGCGCCAGCATACACTCTCGTCGTGCACCTCTATGCCAAAGACGATGCAGAAGCCATCAAGAAGCTCACAGCCAAGCTGCAGGAGGCTTCGCAGGTCTATAGTAATGATAAGGAGTGTTTGAGCTGGTGGGTGATGAGTGTAGAGGGTTGTTGGATAAGATGTGGTTAGCTGACCAGACCTTTCGCAGGTTTGTAATGCAAAGCGAGTCTGACAAACGTGCTTTTACTATTGTAAGTATTCAGCAGTGACTGTCAACGATTGAGGTAGTAATTTCAGAACTAATCGAGCGTTTCAGGTCGAGCGATATGCTGCAGAGAGCAGCCAGCAGTAAGTGTCTGCTCACGAGAACGTCTCTCCAGGTGATTGATTAGCTTCTACAGATATCACTTGAACAATCCGTATTGGCCAACGTTTGACGACTATGTCAAGCCGCTGCTCGATCGTGAGATGGATCTTCGTCGCTACAATGAGCTCGATACTAGTAAAGAAGTGCGCGTCGAGACCGACTCGAAGATGTGGGATGCCGTTAAGAAGCATCAAGCTTCCTGAACGATCATCCATATGCCGTCTATATTCATGGTACTTTCGAATTCATGCTTAGCGGAGTTATTGCTGGGGAGATCAAAAAAGTAACGGATGTACTATTGCTGTACAAGAAACTACCAAATTTAACTGTCCAACTAAGAATTGCCATGAATGTCATTCCGAACCTGAAGCTATGAACAAGAAGCCAAGTCTCAATATTGCTACATTGATATTACCCCCTACAAGTCGTACACGTATGTGTACTGGACATTGCAGTTGGCATCATCGCCACCAGCAGGGGTGGTACCGGACGGTGCGGCGGCACCGGCGGCGCTGCTGCTGCTCCTGCTCGATGCACTACCGTATGAGACTGGGACTGGCAGGGAGGAGGATGCGAGTGCTGAGGATGAGGCGCTGCTGCTGACTGGCGCAGCTACAGAGCTCGAGGCAGAGCTTGAAACGGCGGTTGCAGGAGCAGAGTAAGCTGGTGGTGCGGCAGCAGAGCTTGATACAGGCACGATCGATGCGGCTGCAGATGAGCTGGAAGAGGAGGCCACAGGTGCGGCGATCGACGAGCTAGCGGATGATGCAACGGCAGCCGCAGAGGTAGAGGAAGAGGCGACAGGTGCGACAACCGAAGAGCTGGCGGACGATGCAACTGCAGCGGCAGAGCTGACCGAAGATGAAGCAACGGATGTAGAGCTCGAAGCTGGGGCGGCAGCAGAGCTCGATGCACCGCTACCAGTTGGTGTCTCACCAGCACGGATGCAGCCAGTCTTGTCCGTCAAGGCCTTGGGGCAGGTCACCTGCTTGTAGTCGACAGTCGGGTTATCGGCGCCCTCGAAGAAGTCACCGAAGCGGAAGTTGCAGCCTGGCTGAAGGGCGGATGGAAAGGCCGAGCAGGTGTTGCTTGAGATACCGCCGTACTGAGCACCCCAGCCGGAGGAGGGAGCATCTAAAAAGGCATGTTAGCACGATATCGATGTATCTGACGGCGATTTTCACTCACTCCACTCAGCAGTGCAGGCGTTGAAGATACCGACACCACCACCTGGAATGGCCAAGTCGAATTGGCCCTCAGCCAAATCGGCACCAGTGTTGGTAGCCTGGACGATCATCTTCTTGCCGGCGATTGAAGTCGAGGTGAAGGTAAGTTCGTAGCAAGCACAGCACCAGCTTGACTCAGAACCACCCGGGATCGAGACGGCAGCAAAGCCGTAAGCAAGGTCGGCGCTGACAGCCCATGGGCTCTGGTCAGAACACATGTACGCGGAGCCGCCTACAGGACGCATGTTAGTATGCCATTGCTAGAGGCCGGAATGATGTGTAGGACATACTAGTACGGAGTCAGCACAAGTCCTCTTAAGCACAACTCGGGTTCATTGACTCACCCATCACAAGCGGACTGGGCGTTCGCATCCGTCAACGGCTGGTCCTTAGCATCGCAAGTCGTGATAGGTGCAGAGACATCAGCCTTTCCAGACCAAGCACAGCTGCCCTTACAGCAATCCCAGTAACGGGTGGTCTTTCCGGAACCAGAGACGTCCTGCGCGGCAGAGATGGAGGCAAACCCAGTAGCGAGAGCCAGGAGGGCAAGAGACTTGATGGCAGACATGTCTAGTCGTTCGTCGTTTGTGGCGTAGTAGTTTCGATACGGTCACAGACCTGTGGTGAAGTTTAGGTAAAAGAGTGTGATGACTGATATGGTCTGTGAAACGAGTGACTGCAGGTCCGGCTTGCAAAAAGTATTTGATACCAGACGAAAGAAAGACAGAAATGCAAGACCATGTATATTTACCTTGACGATGTATGAAGTCGTAGATCAGGAGCGTCTTGGCGGCGCCACCATCAATCTATACCAGACAGCACGAGTTGCAACGAAGCTTATTCTTCCCGCTCGTCGTCGTAGCCCATCTGGAAGCGCCGGAGCGATATCTCTACTGCTGCTTACGGCGCAAGTGGATCTTGGATCGCGTTCGTTGAGATTTGTGTGGCATGGCTCATCTCGCGTATCATGATTCTCCGTTTGGCTGGTGTTTCGGATCGGGCTTACGTCTCTAGGCACTCAATTTTCCCACATCGTCGCGCTTGGGATGCTGAAGTCGCTATCGAGGCACATCAGACCTATGTGCGCCTATTTCAATTTTCCAGTCGTGTACCGGATGACGAGACAATCGCCAGAATACATGGTAATCACAACTGGAAAGTCGGCGCAGGGCTGGAGTTTTCCCGAGCAACTACGCTTAGTCAGCCAAAGCCGCACAGAGTAGTATAGTTTGAAGTGCAAGTAACAACTGGTAACGTTGTCGATTCGACGGTTGAGGTAGACCGAAGAGTTGACAACCTGCAGTGGGCGATGTGACCGTAATGAATTCAAGAGGAGCGTTCCTTCCACTTTGGTTTAACATGCATTAGTGCCGAGCCCAAGCTTCAAAACAGTTAGCTTGTTAGCTCCCGTTTTGACTTACGAGTTCACCTACAGAAAGCGCTTCACGACCAATACAAACAGCAAAACACACCGAGAAGAACACTACGTGCTAAGCCAAACTCAATTGAGGGGCCAACCCGATTTGTCGCACCGTACCAGTACGTTTCGAGGCAGAGAGAGCCATACATTGGGTAGGATGAGCATTAGCTAATGAATCACAAAGCACAAACAGACAACATGGCTACAAATGATTGTATCCTCTTCAAGCTACCGCCAGAGCTTCGAAACCGAGTCTACAAGCTCGCGTTCCGTGGCAAGAAGTAAGGCAATGACGAAATCGACCTCCTTATGGCAGAAGGACCGAACAAAGCACTTCTCCTCACTTCGACAGTCATCTGTCATGAAGCGAGCGGCATCTACAAAAGGGACTACCGCAGCTACTGGCAGACAAATACTTTCGTAACCCACATTGCGACTCGACCAGCATGCGAGGCGATGGTTCAGCAGCTTCGACTAGCTGATCTCAAGCACATCAAAACCTGTGCGATCGTGTACCATGCGCGACATAATCGCCAAGATCGCTGGTCCTACGAGCAGAATCTGCAGGGCAAATGGATGATACAAACCTCCGACTGCTCAGGGGGCAAGTCGTGGCGACATGATGCTGCGTTGTTCTGCGTGATACACAAGAACGATCAAAGCGAGCTCATCACTTTACGGGGCAGCCCCATCACAGGCGATGAGACAGGCATAGAAATCGCCACGATCGCCAAAGCTGTACAGTTCCTGAGTACAATCTATGGCGAGATCCCTGCCGAACCGCATCTGAGCCATGAGCTTGTGGCAAGGCTGGGTATCTCATCAACGAAGCGCGAGACGGGGAACGCTCAAACTGCCACATGGGCACGGGTCACGTTCAGTGACTGCCTTCAGCACATAGTGTTACAGCTATCAGATGACGCCTCCCACTTTCAAGAAACACAGCAGTCACCAAACCAACCACCCTGCTTCCCAGCCTGCTTCTCCAACCCTTCAACCCGCTGCTCGACCTCCCTGACACCCTTCTCAAAGTCATTAACACCCTGCTCTACATCTTCCACCCTACCCCTCAGACCATTAAGCTCGTACTCCAGCTTCGCGGCAAAAGTCTCGATCTCCTTGCTGCCTTCTTCCAATCGCTCCTTCTCCGACCGAAGGATACTTTCACTGTGCGCTTGCAACGCTTGCACCTGGTCAACCAGAGGATCGTGTATCTCATGCAGGGTCTCGCCGTTTGTGTCTGTAGAGGCGAGAAGGGTAGTAAGGACCGAGAGCTGGGTTTGTGTCCAGGGTGAGGTCGTTGTTTGCAATTGTTGCAGAGAAGCATGCAGTGCCTGATTCTGCTTGGTCAGGAGCGTCTGTTGTATGAGTTGTGCTCTAAGATCGTTGTCGAGTGGTCCGTACTCTTCATCCTCGTCGTCCTCGTCGTCACCTGTGGGTATGACGGATGACCAAGTGAGGACGCTGTCTTCTGCTAAGCTGAAGCTGAGATGGCGAGGATAGCCATCGTCATTGTGTTGTTCAAGCTGCACTGATATGAAGTGGCTGAGGGACAACGTGCGCCGGAGCAACTGATTAACATCCTTCTCTGTCTCTGGTCCGCCCGGCAAGACCTCGTTCATGTCAACTCCATTATATATTGACCCAGCTACAGACGGCTCCGCAGTCACAGTCTGCGATTGTTGTGCAGACGTTTGCTCGGAGGATCCGGTGTGTTTGCCGGACCCACCACTATCATGCTGATCACGATATGAAGGTGGTACGTCCAGGCTCGTGCGAGAAGCGTCGGCACTGTGACCCAAAAAAGGCACATTCGAGACACGCATGTCCTTCGGCCCTAGATCGTCCGCTGTACGTATGTGCTGTAGCTCGTCCACGGGCTCCAATCGGCTGTCGATAGGTGGCGACTTAGGACTGGTCGGACTACTCAATGGTGAGCTGTGTGCTCGTCTGAATCGCGGGCGCTTCTTCGCTTGTGCTGTGTCGTGTACTGGCGTCGTTGGCGTGACGGGTGAATCGTTATCAGCCATCGACACCTTATGCTGATGACCCTTCAATCCAACTGCACCCTTAAACTTGCCCAGCCCAGCTTTCGGCAGACCTGTGGCACGCTTCATGATACCGCTCTTCGGCTCCTCTTGCTCATCACTGTCTGCATTACTCCCAACCTCATCACCCATTTCACGGTCATCAGGTAGTGCTCCTTGTGCGATACTTTTCCGCGCTGTCCATGTAAACCCACCCTGTTGATCATGCCGAAAGACCAAGCCGCTGTTGAGCGCAGCATTCGACTCCAGCCGGTGCCGACCGTCAGATTCCTGCTTGTTCTTCTTCATTGGCTTGCCACGCCATAGCCACTTACACGTTTTCCCAAAGATGAGCTCGACGAATCTCTCCATATCACAAGTCTCGATCTCTGCTATACTTGCTCTGTCCCGATGGCCTACAGCATCAACAAGCATCTCGCCACCTTTGCCACTAAGCTCGGCAGCAGTATTCTTGAGAACCTTGGGCATGGACCAGCCTCCATGTTCGGCAGCCTTCTGCGTAGCTTTATGCAGACGATCCAAAGTCCGTCGATCTAGCCTTCGTGTTCGTGTGATGCGTTGCTGCTTCTGGAAGTGTCCGATACCTCGCTTCATCGAATCTACATCAAACGGATCCTTACCTACGGGCGCACCAACAGCGTGTAACCTATTTCGTGCTCCCATGAGCAAGCCGAGCAGACCAGCAACGGTGGTGGGACCCAAAATACCATCGTGTGGCTCTGTATTGTAATGATCGGTTCCAATCTCGACCCACCAATCCGTGATTGCCCTCTCTGTGACATCACATAATAGACCATCAGAGTAGTCAACCTCCAATTTATCAAAGAGCATGAGCGCTGACTGAGCAAGCTTCACAAGCTCGATGACAGACTTGTATAGCTCGTTCTTTTCGGATGTCCGATACAGCTGGTGGAACTTCGATATCGTAGCAGTACTAGGAGGTTGCATTGTCAAGCCTACCCGACCAGAGCATCCCAGTCGCTTCAGGTTCTCGTTCACGAAGAAATCGAAGCGGTGTTTTCGTATATCGCCATTGGGCACTGGTATTACTGTGAGTGATGATGGGAAGCCGGAGAGGTTTGTGACCATCAATATGCCGAGTGGCGTTTCCTGCCGTCTAGCATGATATTGATTAATTGCTTTGAAGTAAACCCTCAAGCGTGGCGACCATGTGCTTTCGTCCGTCGGTACGCTCAGCACCCCAACAACAACTAAATTAGACTCATTGCCGGTGTACGTCGTGATGACGAAGGTCGGATGTGTCCGCGAGGTCGTCCATTGTTCGACGACATAGCATTCGTAGCCATAAAGTTCTCGTCGTCGTTCCAGTACTGTAGTAGAAGGATCATCCTCCAGATACTTGAAAGCTGCTGGATCTGTCAAGACGAATCGTTGATGGCCTGGTTTGAGAGCAGGACCAGGCAGAGGTTGCACTTCGAGCGGGGCCTGAAGGTGTGAGACTTCTCGTGAGCGTGTACCGTCAGATGTAGTCCCGCTATGTGGCGCTGTCAAAGGTCGTGTGGCGCCAGATCTTGCTCGTGGTCGCATGCCCTGGTCATCGACCGAGGCTCGAGTGCCTTTGGCGTTAGACATTATGATGCTGTGTCCAGCTCAGTTAGGTAAAGGAGCGATTCTGATGATCATGTTGCGTGATGGATCGCATGTGCAGCCATCAACGGGAGTGCTCCGATGTGGTACGCCTAACTTGTACACAGGGCATCGGTCGGTCTCTGGCTCTTAGTAATGTTTACTGGAATGTTCTCGTCCTTGCCAGTGGTTCAGGTTGATGATATCGTCGCTGCCCTGAGTTTCGTGGTGCAGGTGAAGCTTGGGCGCCACTCTCGGCAGCGCAACCGAAAGCTTCGCTTGCTGATCGAGCACATGCACACACGTTTGACCGTCTGACTCTAGTATGGTCTAGCATAACCTCTTCTTCGGCAGGCAAAGACATCTATTCGTGCCAGACTGTGTGACATCGGTAGAGCCACACTCATCCTTATCACGCACCATGGAGTCGATCCTCGCTGCCCACGAAACACTATCAAGCAAGGCCAACCTCTCCAAAGCTCTCCAAGACGTTGACGCCCTCATATCACTCTTGCAAAACGCCCGGGACAACATAGAGTCGGATCCCGATACGACGCCTCTGCACATTGCAAAGCTCAAAACTCCACTCAAGCAGTCCTTCGACAAAATCGATGATGATTTGAAGGAAGTGAACAAAGGTCTCAATCAATACCAGAAAGCGCTCAAGGACAAGTTCAAGGCTAGCGCTTTACCAACGGCTAGCATCGGCTCCAATGCTAGTGATGGAGCGGCCACGGGTCTGGACAGCCAGAGGAGCCTGGTGGAAAGGGCGATTGCCATGCATCTGCTACGAGAGGGCAAGTTCGACGTCGCTAGTACTTTCGTCAAGGAGGTTAGTGCGCAGGCAGCAGGACAAGACGATCCTCCTCGATGGCTAGAGGACTTTGCGGACCAGGAGGGCGGTGAAGACGAGAACATGGACGAGGATGAAGATGGAGAGCTAGATGAGGAGTTGTATGGCGAGCTTGGGAGAGGACATCTGCAGAGGAAGTTTGCTGAGATGTATCATATACTGGACGCTCTACGGAATCAGCACAACCTCACACTTGCTATTGAGTGGGCACGAAACCATAGCGCAGAACTGGAGGATCGAGGCAGCAATCTCGAGTATGAGTTGAGTAGGCTGAAGTTCGTGGAGCTCTACACATCTAGTCCCGACGATGCCAATACTGCTCTGCTCAATGCCCTGGACTACGCTCGTGCGACATTCCCGACCTTCAACTCACGCTATGCACGGGAGACGGCTGCTCTCGTCACGACACTGGCCTATTCGACACAACTGGCAGACTCACCATACTCGCCGCTATTCAACAACCCTTCATTATGGACATCTACCAGCCAACTATTTACGCGCGAGTTTACATCCCTCCTCAACCTGCCATCCACATCACCCCTCCGCACAGCTATTACAGCCGGTGGCCTCGCCCTCCCAATCCTTCAAAAGGTCGAACGAATCATGTCCACCTCCCGCGGTCAATGGACCAGCGTAAACGAGTTACCAGTTGAAACACCACTGCCCGCCAACTTCATGTTCCACAGCATCTTCGTGTGTCCGGTCAGTAAGGAGCAAGGCACGGATCTGAACCCGCCCATGATGTTACCGTGTGGACACGTGATTGCAAAGGAGAGTTTGGAGGGGACGAGTCGTGGGAAGAGTCGAGTGAAATGTCCTTACTGCCCTATTGAGAGTAAGCCTGGAGAGGCGAGGAGGGTGTACATCTGAGGGAAAGTCGCTCTTGCAGAAGTGGATGGGTTATTGGATTTTGTGTATGTGCCGGAGGGTTCGACCGCCCTTGCTCTCATCCATCTATTGTGACCCCTTCGAGCCTTATAGGACATCCGCACTCTAACAGGCTGGACCGGAATACACACGCCTGACTGACTCGTGGGTGCTATTGCTGGCGCAGCCGGACTTGGCTGGCCACGGAGTATCCTCGCGCGCTGGTCCCTCCACACACTGCTGCTCAGTGCGCTGAAACAAACCATGGTAAGACTTCTTTCACCGACAAGACATGTGCAGTCTGTGGTAAAGCCTGAGGTCTGTTGATATTCGCACGCAGTCGTTTGACATCCTCAAACTCTGCGCCCGGCAAATGGTAGAATTTGTATTCGGCCACCGAGCCTCCACTAGACCATTGAGGCAGATGCAACCATAAGCCGTCCTCACTGTTATGACTAGCCAGCAGTTCAACTTTTCCTTGCCCGGCATGAAGCACACTGCAAGGCTTCGCCTGAGCAAGGTTCTCCCCACAGATGCCTCGGATTTTGGCAAAGGCGACCTCCCATCCGGTCGAAGCCAGATTGATAGTGAATGCGTTGGTCTGCCAGTAGGCTCGGTATGCGTACTTGTACAAGTCCTGGGCCTCGGAACGCATCTGTCTTGATACAAACAGTAAGGACTTTGATGGTGTTGATGCAAATATGAGATCGATGTCGCCATTGTCGTGATAAGCTGATGTGAAGACGAGTTCGTATATGAGGGTTCAAAGCTCAGGTGGTAGGCCGAGAAGGCGATTGCTGCTCATGGTCGTGATGTTGATGACAGCGGTCATGTTGCTTGCAGTCGCAATATTCGCCAGTAGTGAGTCAACTGGAGGGCTGGCCATATCGCGGGTTTTAATTATGTGAAGGCAAGATCTTCAAAGAGTGTTCACTGTGAACAATGAGCGTAAGGTGAATCTTGGATTTGATGAACGTGGAGACTTACGCTAGCCGAGGTTTGAGTCATATAGTTGCTTATCTGCTTCACTCGTGGACAGGCGACTGGAGCCTGAGTAGCAGATATTTTCAAGCGAAGTATGGTCCTAGTATACAGCCGTGGAGGATGCCCACGAGCCACAAAGCCTTCGTCCTCCATCAACATTAGGCTCTCCAACGTCCTGCCGTATCTCGTAGAACCTCAATCAGTGTTGGTGAGCGCGCGCCACCGGGTAGCGCCACATCTTTAAGCAAATAGCGCCACCGGATGGTGCTTGGCTCACTGGGTCTCAAGTACAGCTCAACAGGGGGAGGGGTCGAGGCTGAAGAGAATTGTGTGCAACACGTCTGTCTGTTCTGAACCATTTGCCGTGGCTGTGAATCGCTCTTAGTTGCACCTCGCCCGGGAATAGTACCTCGCAAAGGCGGATGTTTGTGAGATCCCGATCGCGTAGATTGTCGACTGTCTCCAATTCGAGTCCGGCTTTGACAAAGGCACCGGTGACGCTGCACAGCTCTATCACGAAGTTAGTGTTCCTACAATACCCGCAGTAGATGCGGTTGTACGTGGCGTGCGTCTCAGCATGCATTTGCTTGGATACGAGGAGGAGACCTTTGGTGGGAGGGTCGGCATCCTCGAGATTGACCTTAGCCTTGGGTCCGATGGGGATGAGTACGAGTTCGTAGATCATGTTGCGCAATTCAGGTGGTAGGCACATAAGGCCCAATGCTGAGGTGGTCGTCACCGGCTGTACTGATGATGTGATGGTGGCCATTGTCGGCGATGTGTCACATGTGATTGGGAAAAGTGTTTGGCCTCCAATTTGTTCAATGAGTAGGCTTATGAGGCTGTGTACAACGGTCAGAGCAAGTTTAGCTCATGTAAGGCTCAGTGACGGTGGAAGTGGACCCTGGGTCACGTGTTCCGTGACGAAGTACTCGCAGTCACGCAGAAGCGTGGCTGTCGAATATGTGGGGCGACAGGAGTCTCAGGCCTGCGGCTCTTGAAGATTATCTCGGCGACTCTTCCTTTGCTTGAAGATACTACCGCCCGTCCATACAGCGGTAGGCAGAGCAGTGAATATTGAGAGACAACCAAGCACAAGTGTCGAGGTACCCCAACCTGCTCTCTGGTTGATCAGACCTCCCATCAGTGGTCCTATGAAGCAGCCTGCGGCCCAAGCCATGTTGAATAAGCTATATGCTTGAGCATATGCACCATTCTTGCCAAAAAAGCCGGGTGGATGCCGTCGTGCTTTAGCGTCTACTGCATAAGTGATCTCAGCCATGATGGGGGTAATTACCAGAGTCATAGCCAAGCCGAAGAGAGCCAGTAGTGCGCATAAAAGCACTTTTTGCGTGAGCGAATTGTGATCCACAAGTCGCATTAGCATTATGAAAGGGCATCCTATCACAAAGCCAGCAGTAGCAAACCATCGAGGTCCGACTTGATCGCTAGCACGACCTATCAGTGGTCCGAGGAAGGAAACGACGACAATCGGCAGGAATATCAAGCCAGCACCTGTCGAATTCCAGTGGAAGGTATCTCGAACGTAGAGCGGAAGCATAGAGTCGAACGCTGTGAGCAGCGAGGACTGTACCAAGCAGGCCCACAGTGCTGATAGAACTCGTCGAGATGATAGGAGATAGATCACAGCTGGTAAGCGGCTCGCGAACTTGCCAAGAGGTCGTCGAGTGCCAGGTGGTGTCGTCTTTGCAGTGTCAGAGGTAGCGGCCTCCTTGTTTGCTGTGTCATCCATCACCGGTAAGGCAGGTATTTCTTGAAGGTCCAGAGCAGGATTCCTAGTGTCTAATGGTGGCATGTCCTGCTTCTTCGTGTCTGGTATGACTTCTTCCCGAGGAAGCCATCTGAGCGCCACCTTCTTCTCGATCATGACAAGTCGCATCACAATATCGAAGCCTATCAAGCCAAAAGCCATGGCAAACACTGCATAGTACCCAGAAGCAGCGAACACGACGCCTCCTAGGAGTGGTGCAAGCAAGATAGCCAGACTCATGCTCAACCCAAGGTAGCCCATCGCCTGGCCCACGCCTTCTGAGCCGACCGTGTCGACAAGTAGTGCCAATCCCACTACCCATACCACAGCAGCACTGATCCCCTGCAAGACCCTACCGGCAGCCAATACCCCAATACTGTTACCGATGCACAACATCACAGTCGATGCCGCCAGCGCCACCAGACCGAGGACGAAAGGCAATCTCCTCGACGATGTCCGGTCGGCCAACCATCCGCATACCGGCGCAGCGGCCAACAAAGCCGCTCCATACACGGCCAGAAAGATCGAGATCCATGTCTGTATCTGATCCGGCTGGATGCTCGATCTCGAGGTGAGAGCGAAAGGCAAGACTGGTACTACAATTCCATAGAGGAAGATGTCCGTAAAGATCGATGTCGAGACCGTGATAATGATGAACGTAGCCGAGCTTCTTACTTTGAGGAGAGCAGGCGGTCTGCTATCCGAGCCCACAAGCCAGGCCAACATTTTATGGCGGCCAAAGAAAGGCAGAAGACAACGTTTCAAGAAGCCAGAAATGCATGTTAGAACCACCGCTCAGTACACCGCGACTCAATCGTGATAACGCCATCCTGGCAGAACAAAGACTGCCGCTAGCAGCTGTCATCGTCGAGTCGTCACGATACGATGGTGTGTCAAGAAATTCGCCGAGAAGCGAGATGGCTGTGGGCCTGGACCTGCCTCTTTCGGTTACGCAATGCGTCCGGGCTCAAAACATCCACATGGATACCATACGAGCAAATCACAAATACCACATGATGTTTTCAAGTCACCAATGATCGCGGAGAACAGCCTGGAATCTATCTCGATGTATAGGGCAATAGCGAACCAGAAATTTAGATGTTGAAGGTCATTGATCATCTTATCATATCTCGTAATATCGTTGTCCAGAAGGCATTCACCCTAATTGCAATGCTACTTCACAGCAGCTTTAGCATACTGCAAATAATTCCTCTCATACTGATCCACATTCGACAATGCCGAATCGCCATCCCACAGCATGATACCGCCCATATTGCCAACACGCTGACTCGTCGCCTGGCCGACATACTGCCTCAGCGCATTCCCAGCCACATACCCACTGCCTGCCCCCGCAAATGCTCCCGTACCAATGTAGACTCGAGGCTTCTGGTTGTACGAGCTTCCTGCGAGCGTACTCGACCACTGCTCGAACGATGAGTTGAAGCCCGTGGAATTCAGGTTACAGCTGGGATTGTTGTAGAACTGCACCCAGACAAAGTCCGCTTGTGTCATGACAGACATCGGTATGGACTCGTCAGGAACTGGGCACTGAGGAGCCGCGGATAGGTAGTATCTCTTACTCTTATCTTTGGCAAATTGTCCTCGCAAGGCAGTGGCGAAGGCTTGATATTGTGCTGTGCTGTGGTCCTCGTTATCAATATCGAAACCATCGACAACGACATCAGGACCGAAGGGTCGAAGCAGTGGCGTCTGTTTACCAGCACCGAACAAATTCCACAGCGTCCCGGCGAATTGTGTAGCTTGAGCGTCCGATACGAAGCTTGTGTTGGCTCCCCACCCTCCAAGACTAACAAGAACCGGCTTGCCGATTTTCTGACAGCTCAGTATTTCCCGGCCAAGATTCGGACAGCTGAGCAAGCCTGGTGCTTTCGCTTTCTGTGCAGCGTTCGGCGGGTCACAGGCAGGCCCGAAATTGACGCCGGGGTACCCATTTGCATGAAAGAAGTCGTTTACGAAGGCGAGAATGACAATGTCCACGTTCGGATTAGCACAGAGCGTGCTGAGACCGCCGGCTTTTGTGCTCGGAGATTGTCCATAGTACACAGCAACGTTGTCTTGCGCATTAGGCCGGAACGTGTACGCAGAAGGTGAGTTATTGTTGGCGAATAAGGCGAGACTGCCGTTTGAGCTCGTATAAGTAGGTGACGCGGTCTCTGGCGAGACTGTCAGAGTGCTAGACGATGCCAGTAATGTGCTTGTTACAGTCGATGTCTCGGGTGCCAATGATGTTGTTAGTAATGTAGACACCGTCACGGCTGAGCATGTCGTTTGACCCATGGTGACAAATATCTCTGTGGCTTGCGTGGTATCAGAGCGGGTCGGTATGGCCGCTGTAGACGTCTGAGTAGAGGTATCAGACGAAGTAGAGACGAACAACGAGCTTGTGGTTGCAACGAGAGCTACTCTCTGGCTCGAGACCACAGCTTCGAGGCTTTGTATTTGCTGTTGCAGGCCTGCTAGTATATCCAATATTTCCGTGGACAGGCTGTCTACTCCTTGCTCGATTTGATCAAGATCGTCGATAACCGCATTCAAGTCTGGAGACTGTGTAGCTGTTGGCGTGATGGTTGAGAGTACGATATTGGGAGAGTTTGCTCGGTGTATATGCCGATGTACGTGAGCTGGTTTGCGGTGTATATGTCTGCAATGAATATGCTCGATGTGGCAATACGAAAGCCATAATGCGGCAGCACAATGTGATCTGTGAACCATCGTGACCTGATATGTTCGGAAAGGTAAAGGAAATGCTGAACAAACCTTTCTCGCTGGACCAGCGTGGCTCTTGCGCAATCATGAAGAGGCTGGAAGAGAGGCACATTCGTCGTCGAAGTCGCATGAAGGGCGGGTCGTTTGAGCATTCCAGCAGAGCCTTGCGTGGGTCACGTGTGAAGATAGACGTTCCATGCTATCGAACGAAGAACGATACTCTGAAACCTGTTCATACTTCAGACGCGCCAGTAAGTCATGAGACAGCGTCCGATAACAGCCGTTACCCGAGGACTGTAAGCAGAGGACCTTCAGATTCAAGCCGTCTGGGGCGGGCGATGTCCTAGTGGTACTGCTTGACTTTCGACCGATGTGACATACGACTTGGTCTTTTCTCCTGAAGACAATGTGTACAATCCCAGATACCCCATGCTATAGCACATCCACTGCTGGCCAGTGAGCTGATGAAGTGAATATGGCCAGGGCAGGAATAGTGTTAGAAGAGGAGAGGAGAGGGAGGAGCGAAACAAAGACGCAGCTGCAGGGGGCGAGGCCGGGCCGAAGGCTAGCGTGCGGCAAGCTCATTGGTCGAATTAGTTACCATTCAGCGTTCTTGGTGCGAGAGATCGAAGCTCACGCAAAGACACCGGATGAAGCCACGATGCGGCGGCCGAACATGATCAAGGCAAAGCAAAGCTACACGAGGCTTGCCTCATCAAACGGTATTAATATTGTGCGCGTGCACTTACTGCCACGCGAACCATCTCCTTCGTGCCCATTATTTCTATCACTGACTACGCACCTCGACGCTGTGGAATAGTAGTACTAATTACGAGCAGAAGTGCGTGTCGGCGCCAGATGCGAAAGACATTCTTGAACAAAGCTTACCGAGTGCGGCACAAGGGATCAGGCCAATCTAGCCACGTTCGCGAGCGCAATTCATGTTGCTGACCAGCCGTCCATACCAACACACCACCACGTCGACTGACCACAAACACGATCAAAACCCATCACGTCGACCACGATGACGACCCCAAAGTCGAACAAGAAGAGCAAGATAATAACACTACGGCTCTCACCCGAAGCTTTGTCACAATGGCCATCTGATAGCACGCCGAAGCCATCAGCACCAATCATCAGCACCCATCCATCACCTTCTGTACAGCCACCAGAGTCCATCGACAAAGCTTCCGACTCAAATGGCACGCCCATGCCCACGACCAGTGTGGACGGTGGAGACAACAGCGGCCTGGCACCACCAAAGATAGACAGACGACGAAGAGGAGGCGCTGCTGTTGCTGGCCGAAAACGCGCGCACCCTTCAATAGACCCGAATGGATCCATGAGAGAACGTGGAAGACCAGGACCGAAGAAGAAGCCAAGACTGTAAGCACATCAATTGCTCAGCGACCACATGCGCGAGATCGCCAGTCTTGCATCATACTCCTTACTAACAACCATCACAGACCAGACGGCACCATCGACCACTCACAAGATAATAACACTACCAAGAAAGTCGGCCCAACAACAGCCGCCGCACACCGACTTGGGCCAAAAGCGAACACAGGTAACATCAACGCCAATCTCCGTGCTCTCGACCGCACAGGCAAGCCCTGCCGCAAATGGGAGCGCAAAGCACTACAGCTCAAGTCCTTCACCGGCGTGGCATGGGGCACGTCACGCTGGCAAGCTCCACCCAAGGAGACTAGCTTCCCTGGCGATGTCAAGAGCGACACTAACGGTTCAAGCGACAACAAGCCGAATGACAGCAGCGCTGTCGGTAGTGAGAGGAGTAATAGTGGCAATGGCGATGTGACTATGACTAATGGTATGGAGAGCTCGCCGGCGCCAGCCATCATGGCTTGAGCCAAGATGATCTTCGCCCCTGCTGGTCAGCATCTTCCAACGATATTGACGTGGGGAATGTGAAAGGATTGATAGGTCTAGCTGCCACTCGTGGAGCGGGGGCATACAGATATTGACTTGACAGCGATTAGCGAGGCGTTTCTGGATTGTACTTTTGGAGCACGAGAGCACGAGAGCACGAGCCCAGTTCAAGGGAGATTGGACTGGCATTGTCAGATGCTCTCTGATTGTGGTGATCGCTGTCTGGGGACAGGAATCTGCTCCGAAGAAGACTGGGAGAAGAGGTGTAATAACAGTTACTTCACTATACTTCCAGATGTATATGATATATCTACCACCTCCCCACGACGGATCTCCCTCGGTCGTTGTGCATCCCTATCTGTACAAGCAGACCCCCAGCATATCAGTAGCAAGCAGCAACCATCGGGTGAAAGCGGGGATGCTCGATTGAGGTGCAGTAGCTTGACTTGGTATGAGATAGACGTGCTCTACTACATGTATCGCGAGCTTCCACTCCGTGGACCACGTTATTGCAGTGAGATCAGGCATCTCCAAAGACAGAATGTACGACCTCGTCGCTATGTCATACTGTCACGAGCCCAGCACCCTGGGGCAACCTCGGTAGAGTAGCCGTGAAGCAGGTTGACGACTACCCGCATCGCATCACATCACCATAGCTTCATCTTCACTTCTCACCAGCGATAAGCTTGCTACGACGGTTGCTTGCTACCTCAGTCAATCCATGAACAGCAAATAATTTGCCCGCACTCTACGCAAACCACTCAGTACAGTCATACGGACTACTTACGCTGTCTGAGACAGCGGGTACCATGACCAATCCCTACGCCGGTAGCGGTGGACCTCCTTCCTTCTCTTCCACATCGGCTGGTCCTGGCGGTGATAGACACTTGCGACGACCTTCGTACGCTACTGTTGCGGCAGGAACAGGAACAGCTTCACATCGAGCAAGTGCATCGGAACGATCGGCAGTCGCATCGGCGGGTGCTCTGGCTTTGGCGGCGAGAGGCGAGCAGCAACCTCAGGCCGTCAATATGCTGTCAAGACCACATTCTAGGAGCATGGATATGGGTGAGCAAGGTGGTCAAAGACCGGGTAGTGGTTGGAGAGGAAACAGGATGGGCTGTCTGGTGCATGAGGACCACCCACCATTCTTCGTTCCATCATATCTTGGTCGATCACGGCATGTGGCACGGCTATACCGGGAACATCGACGACATCTCGAAGAGTTGCAGGAGCTAGCACGTCAAGAGCCAATACCACCGCCGCAACCGTCACTATCTACAAGCTCGAGTAACGTCAACCTACACAAACTCCACACAGCACACGCCCACCACCACCGCGGTCCAGTCCAGGACATAATCGAGCGCCTCCCTCCACCATCAGAGGAGGACAAGAACCTCCCTCTGCCCTCTGCCTGGAGCGAAGAAGACAAGCAACCCGGCCTCGAGATCCAATCCGAAGGCACCGAAGTCCGCTTCACCGGCAACTGCAAGACCTCCGACGAAGCCGCCTCCATCCGCTCCGACCACCCCATGCCCAAAGAATGCGGCATCTACTACTACGAAATTACAATCCTCTCCCGCGGCAAAGACGGCATGGTCGGCATCGGCTTCTCCACAAAACGAGCAAGTCTGAATCGTTTACCAGGCTGGGAGCAAGAGTCTTGGGCATATCATGGCGATGACGGATATTGTTTCGCGTGTACGGCGAGTGGGAAGGCGTATGGACCGCGGTTTGCAAGTAATGATGTTATTGGGTGTGGGATCAACTTCAGGACGGGCGAGGCATTCTTTACGAAGAATGGGGTCTATCTTGGGGTGGCGTTCAACAATATCAAGGGTGATAGGCTCTACCCGAGTGTTGGTATGAAGAAGCCGAATGAGCATTTGAGGGTCAATTTCGGGAGGACGCCGTTTGTGTTTGATATCGATCGGATGATGGAGCAGGAGAGGAGGATCGTGATGGCTGAGATCAGGCAGACTGATGTCACGCCAATCTATCCTTCGGGTGACGAGAGTGCTCTGACGCAGGCGTTGGTCGCGCAGTATCTGGCGCATGAGGGCTATGTTGAAACGGCGAAAGCTTTGTCCCGCGAGAGCTGGGAACGGGAGCAGTCGATACGTGGCGTTTCGCAGCCATATCAGCCACCAGACTCTGACGATGATGTACATGCTATCAATCGACAGAAGATACGGAAGTCGATCCTCGATGGCGATATCGATCGAGCTCTGAAGTATACGAGCAGCTATTACCCGCACGTACTGGAGGAGGAACGGAACCGCGATATCTACTTCCGGCTCAAGTGTCGCAAGTTCATCGAGATGATGAGGCGGTATGCTGAGCTCGTGGCGGCTACCTCATCACCCCAATTGGTGACCAAGTCCATCGACTCGCTCGCCAGTAACGGCCATCCTCAGCAGATGATCGAAGATGGCCAGAACGAAGAAGCTGAGGACGACGAGGACGGAGATGACACACAGATGGAGCTTGACGATCAATTACACCGTGAAGCTACCACGACCAAGAATCTATCTGCTGTCGCTACAGACGACATCGACATGGATGCCTCGCAGGAGCTCACACGGTCTCAGACTCTGCGGAAAGGCGCTTTCATGAAGAAAGAAGACCTTCAAGCTGCAGCGCTGGCTTATGGACGAGAGCTGCAGATGGAGTTCGGCAGCAGTGGCGATGTGAGACCGGAGATCAAGAAGGAACTGCAGGACCTGGGAGCGATATGGGCTTATGACAATCCGGCCGATAGTCCAATTGCGGGTATGCTTGATAAGGGACGGAGAGTGCTGATTGCGGAGGAGGTCAATGGGGCTATACTTGGTATGTGGTCGTTTGCCCAATTGCTGGAAGGGGTTATTCATGCTGATCGTGTGTCTCTTCTAGTATCGCTCGGCAAACCATCATCCGCTGCACTGGACACGCTGTGTGCTCAGACAGAAGCTCTACTCGATGACACGGCTAGTAAGAGTGGTGGTGCGGCTGCATTCGTGCAGGTCTTTGGCGATCTGCTGGCGCCGTAGTTGCTATAGACTCGGAAGTATCCAGCTCGATCATTTTCAGGAGCGATTTTGCAATATCAGAGATGCCACTCTCATCCCGCTAGATCTCCAAAAGGCCGTTCTCACACATTCCGTCAGGATCAACTCTATGCGTTGCCAGTATGCTCCAGCTTGTTCGATATCTAACATAGATCGTGTCCGGGCCGGCACGAAGGTCATCTGATTGATCAGACAGGCCGTCGCATTATGCTTTACGTGCTCACGAAAGCGGTATGAATCTACTAAGCGGCGGCCGTCCACGATCTAGCATTCTATGGACTCAAATCAAGATCTTTCGCTGCTTGTGGGAGGGCCTTATGTAATTCACGAACCGTCAAGAGAGAAAAAAAATGGTACCGCAACTCGCTGTCCTGTCAAGGTCTTGCTCACAATGGTCACCAATCAAGCCCCACTCTTCTTGACTCTGCCAGCTGAGATACGGTACGATCGATTATAGCCTGGTTCGTGCTCACCTGCTTGGCGGACCCATTAGGGAAGAGATGGTAAACAGCCTTTGAGTCTCGATGAGGTGAAGATGGTGGCGGGATTGTAGGACTGCTCGCGCGCGTAATGCTGCAGAAGTTGGCTCTTCGCAAAAGGGTGAGGGTGAGGAGGCGGAATCTGTTCACGGGTCGGGACTGGTCTCAGCGCGTGAGGAGGAGAAAGATGAGGAACCTTCTGAGCCTGTTGCGAGAAGCGAAATATGGAGAGATCGTGCTGGTCAAGTCCCGCGCTGAGCTTGTGTGCTGATGAAGGTCTGAAGAAGATGGGGCTGGTTGGGAAGCGTCATTCTAATCGCGAGTTACGAAGACGCGCATTCACGTTCGTCCTTCTTGTGACTGCTCAATATTTGTCGTCACTTTGTGCTTCCACAACGCCTCCAAAAACGTCTACTCAACACTCAACCTCCACTTATAAGCCGAACCCTTTGGCCGTGTTCCTGCAATCAACACATCCTGGGCCAAGCTTCTGCCGCATACTCGAAGAACGAACCTCTTTCATAATGCCAGCTAAACAAGCCTCTCGGTTCATGGCCCTGCCAGCAGAACTACAAAACCATGTATATACGTTCGCCTTCGCACCAACCACCAAGGACGAGGTCGTAAACCTTCTGGTGGCGAAACCACTCACAAAGTCTTTGCTGCTCGCCAACAAGCAGATCTACAGGGAGACGCACCAGCTCTATCGTGACGCTTACCGAGTCTACTGGGAGACGACGAGTTTCTTCATTGACGCACTGGCCCCACGGCCCCTGTCCCCAAGCCCGTCTGCACCACCACAACCTCACGCACATCAAGAATATCACCTTCCACACCTCCGGCAAGGCCGTCGTCCAAAACATGTACAACCGCCATCGCAACGAGCCCCAGCACCCTCTCAGCACTCTTGGTAAGCACGGTGTCTTCCACAGATGCGAAAACGGCCTCTGGGTATCAGAGCATCAGCGAGATGAGGGTTTGCTATTTGTGTTCTTCGTCGATACTATGGGGAGAGAGTTTCTGATGGGGAATATCATGGACCCAAACGTCAGGACACGAGGGGGGTCGATAGGGCCGCTGGCGAAGACGGAGATAAGTCTCTTGCTTGGATATAACATTTGGTGGACTAGAGGAGTGGGGTGTAGGAACGGCGATAGGCTGATCTAGTTCCTGGACTTCGGCCTGGCCTTGTCTGAAACTCTTCTTGCCGTCAGCGGTATGACGTTCAGTATTGTGGTTTGCAGGAGAGGATCTTTTAAGCAGCGATTTTTGGTCTCCCTAAAGTAGGGTTAGGTTGCAATCATGTGTGCGAGCGATACATAGTACACGGTGGTATAGGTCAGACCGTTCCTTCGTGCCCACGCAATTTCATCCCAGGTAACGCCAGCGCTATGCAGGTATCCAGGCGCAAAGGACGCTCATGCATGCGAAACAGCCAGTAGAGGATCAATCAGAACCCAACAGTCAGCCCATTCTCCTCCATCTCCGCCGGTTCCTGATGCCTGGCCAGCACTTTCTTCTTGTACTCTGCCTGGTCTCGATCCCATAATAGCGCTGCCTCGCCGTTGAGTGGAGAAGCACTGTCAACATGTTAGCATCAATCACTACCCCTTAGAATCATGTCTGCTACACTCACTTGTTCGGCTCCCCAAGTAGACTCTGAATGCTCAACAGCACGGAACTAGTATTCAACACCGCACTCCATGCACCCTCTTTACCCTCTCCACCAGGCTTCAGAATGTCCAAGCAGATCCTCCCACTCATATCCACATTCGGATGGTACACGGGCGTCTTGAACAGTACTTCTGGAGGCGCGTAGGGGTAGTTGGACGGGTAGGAGAGTGTGAGCTTGAAGGTCAAGTTGGCGTAGGGTGTTTCCGAGGGTCCGGCGACGGTGGCGTTCCATTTTGTGAGGTCTGTTGCTGATGGGAAGGTGGAGAGGCCGGGTGTGGGAGATGTCATTAGGGTCATGAGTTCGGATTGGAGACTGCCGTGGTGTTAGTTGAGGAAGGCACGGGTGGTGATCTTGTGCTGGGCATACCGCTTGACAACGTTACCGTTGTTGGCGGGTCGTGTGGTGGCAGTGGCGCTTTTAGCACTCTGGTTGATGGAGGAGCTCATCATGCTTCTGCTCGCCATATTGGGCGTCTGTGATGCTCAGTAGATTGGTAGGAGATGGTGAAGATGGAAGCGGAAGTGCAGACCTCTGGTCGTTACTGCTCGCGTGATCGACTTGGGAGAGAAATTCAGTAGAAAATGTGGTATGGTCCGGGCTCAAGGTTTGACGCAGCAACTCGTCGGTCTAAATCACTGTTGTAGATGTAAAGACACTTGATATGATCTGTAGTAAGACATTCAGGAACGATAGGATGGTATATCATTCATCCTCACTTGGCGGCTGAAGCCCTCCATAGCAACGAGACTAAACATATGACGCCAAGCGGGATTGCAGCGCGCACGCGACTCGCCAACGATCTCGCGTGGCTTTCGTGAATATGAGGAAAGCGGTTTGCGCTTTACCAACTCCGAGTCAACATACCTTATACTCGTATTCTCCCACCCATCACATTCACTCCAGTAGCTACTTCGCCCTTCATCCAGGTCAGACCTCAATATAAAGAAGCCAGCTTCAATGCTAGTAATACTAAGCATTCCCCAATATCTGGCTACTCCTCAGGTCATGCTTCTCTAGCGTATGTCTCCATCGACGCCTGCAAAGCTCGCTGCATATCTCGGTCGAGCCTTCCAAAGTCCGCATCCCCGAAGTCGCGCTTTTTATACTCGTCCTCCTCAGCACTACGCACAGTACGCCCCGATTTGTCGTTGGATGCCTCGAAGTCGCTTTCGTGAAGGCTCTTGCGCTTCCTTGGACTGCCCTTGCTGGACCATCCTCCAAAAAAGCTCGCCGGCACGCTATCCGGCAGGTAATCGTCCTCGTTGATGTCAGCCTGGAAGTCCTGCTCGTCGAGGTCTGGAACACGAATTGCGGGCCTGTTGTCGCTGTAGAGCTTGCTGAGGGTGAAGCGGAGCCAGTCGCCGTGAATCGCTCGAAATTGGTGAGCGTAGTCTTCATTGAGCAGGACAGGATCATACTCCGCCGTGAGAGCGTCCTTAGACAGAATGCGCTGCTCCAAAGTGGCGGTGAACTGCTTCGTTGGAGCATGCATGGCGAGGATCGGAGGGAGGGTAACGGTAACGTTGTGGGCGCGCAGGATCGCGAAGGGCCGGAGTATCATCTCGATGTCGGGGAGGCTGTCGAAAGTGGTCGTGCTCGGCTGCTTTGCCATACCATCCCAGAGGTATCGATCGGATCTAGCAATGACACGCCGGCCCATGAGCTCTTGACTGCCTTCTGGCGCATCGGCGAAGTCAATGGTCAGGAAGTCAAGCTTGTGCTTTTCAACACTCTTCTGTAGGAGCTGACAGAGCGACCAGGTCATGAAGAATGTGTGGACGTGAGGATGTCCAATCGCATCCTCGTTGACAGATGGCGGCACGATCACGATCTTGATCTTCTTCAGGCGATCGAAGCCATTCTCCTCGCGATGATTGAAGCGAGCGAAACGACTATCCTCAATCACCTCGTCCTTGTATTGCAGCTTCTGGCGGCCGCTGTTGACGAATTCGATCCCACCGTGCTTGAGACCTTCGTGGATGTGGACGGTGAAGGTACGCTCTTCGTACATGATAGTCGCGATTTCTCCTTTGAGCTTCTTGCAGAGGCTCATGAATTGAGTCGCACGATTTCTGGTCTCTGGCTTCGCCACTGTAGGCTCCAGGGACTCCAACCGCGTGGTCTGAAGCCTCCTTCTCCTTCTTGGGGCGCCCATTGGCTCTATAAGCTTCGTGAGCTGAGCCCCTGCTGCCAGACCAAGGCTGCGGAGACTGCGACCGCAACCCTCTGGAGGGCTATCTGAGAGCGATTGGGCTGCCTGCGGAGCTGGGGATGGGACACGATCGACATGCTTCTTCGCGCAGTCCTTCTTGTCGTCGCAACAGTGCGGTAGATAGCTCTTCTGCGACACCAGCTCGTACATGAAGATGTGACGTCGCAGCTCAAAAGGCAGCTTGAGCAAGGGGCAGCCATGTCGTGGTGGTTTCTCAGCCGGGTGGCGACGAGGAGTGTAAGGTGAGTCGTCGTCGCTTTCGGCACTTAGATCAAGGTGGCGCTCTGATTCTGGGCGAGGGATGGCGCCGGTGCAGTACAAGATCTCGAGCTTGAGCTCACTTGGCAATGATGTAAAGAATTGGCCAAAGTGATTGTGGAGCGCCCAGAGAGCCATCCATCTGGAAGGTGCCATGTCGCATAAAGTGTAGGAAGCGAATGTGGAATGCGCGCTCGTTGGAGCAAGATGTTTGCTGGTAGGGCGTTTGTTCGTCGCAGACTGGAAAGTGGCAACCTTAAGTACTTGCAGAATCGGTTATGGGGCGCTTGCTTGCTGCGAACAAATTACTCGTGCCTGCGGTTTCCTCTATGCTGCGTGATCCGTCTCCCAGCCAATCATGGAGTGGGTTTCAAGGGGCACATGACATGAATGCCGGCCTTCACTTTTAGATCATTCACTGCGTCGCATGTGAACTTCCATGGATGATGTCCTCTTGTGGCGTGCACCTCGAGCAGAGCAAAGAACAGGTACAGAAAGCCATCATCGCTGCAGAATCTGAAGCTCTGAGCGTGGTGAAAGCACATACAATGTTCGGTGATGCGCCAGAAGCTCCATCGTTCTGCACGTCGGCGTATTGCAAAGCAGTAGTGACGCTCACGCATAATCACAGTGGGAGTCATCAATCGTTCCATTCGTGGCTACTCAGAGGTTCTTCATGGGCAGCATCAATTATGGGACACGGTGCCGCCCTGAGTGATGTTTCTGTCGCCTTGACGGCCGGAATTCTGTCCCTGAATCAGCATGATACGTCCTCTGCGTGACCTGTCAAACATACCTCCGTCTCAATGATTGAGCCCTTCTCCAATATCTGCTGTACTACATCTTCGTCCTTGCTTGACCCGAATTCGTCCTCCAGTGCACCTTTCGAGGCACTGTTCATCTTGCCTTGGTTACCTTGCCTAAGTCGCCCTTGATCAGCTTTCGCTCCGATGTGTCCTTACCTGATTCCGCACCAGCCCTTCCCTATTGTGTCTGCTTACTTGTGCGTAACAAACACTTTGAACCCACTCACAACCTGAGCAAGTGGTACACTCCTGTCCTTCTTCCACTCTCTCACGGCATCTGAGGACTCTACAAAGATGATGAAGTCGTCATTCTGGCCCTTGTGGTGGACCTTCACCTGGGCGTCATTGCCCCGAGGCATTGTGTGATGTTTAATGGACGATGGCGCAGTGTTCAGTGCGGTACTTTCAATGACTTCTTGGTGATGATTGGACAACAGCAGTGTTGAGAACACGAAAGGATACAGATTTACAGCTTATACGATCGGATGCTCTCCAAGTACAAGCTACAGTAGCTCAGCTCGACAAGCTGGTCGCGTGCCAGGAACAGATTGTGAGGATACAGAGGATCCGCCCGTATCAAAAGCGGGAGGTAAGCGCTCCGCTCTCTAGCGCTAGTTACTTACGCTAGTAAGCGGTTATATCACTTTTAGTAGTATCGCTCCTTGCTTATGCTTATACTTATTCTAGTTAGTAAAGGTAACTAGATTAGGATTCTTTTTATATGATTTTATTGATCTTTTATAAATTATAGTATAATTTATTATAGATATAGATATATTTCTACTTTTACTTTAAAGTAAAGTATTCGGCATACTTTAATGATTAATTATAAAATTATTCGAACGCGATTAGTGTAATACGACCGTACGGACAACCAATACATAATGATATAGGATGCGTAAGAGCAGATACGTATTAACATATAAGCTATAATCTTCCGACTGTCTTTTACTACGTTACTACGCCCTAGCAAGCATGTTGCTGGGCCTAGATTGACTATCATACAGCCAGATACCCATCTAAATCAGCAAGGCGATGTAGTAAGCTCAACAGATTCAAACCCGATATCACTGTCCAGACATGCGTAAGACGAATTCTGGTCGTTGTTAATGGTAGCAGTCGGCCCTTGACTACAATTTTGGTCGTGGTATGCGGTCAGGGTATAGCATAGGGAAGGGTCGGCGTTTTGCAATGGTCCAGCGGCGACTTCAAATGCGGAGAACGGTATAAGCGTGCAGACTCCGGGAACTACGATGACTTCTCCCGTAGGCGGCTCCGAATCGCAGCCGGGATCGTATGATGTGACGGTTTGATAGGCGGTTGTGGGGGTGGGTGTAGAGATGGAGGTTACAGCAGCTGTTTTGGCAGTCAGTTCTGGTTCAGTCAACGTGATCTTGAGTTGGTAATCGTACTCAGTGAGGTCATAGTTGAGGTCTTGGTAGTTGAGGTTGGTGCCAAGAGGCAAGAGCAGAATGTACTGGCGATTGCTCCAGCTTCAGAGATCAGGCTCGAGAGCAGGGACGCCTTGGCATTCAGAGACGTGGTAGTCTTAGTGCTCGTACTCGTCTTTGATGTGATTCTGGTAGTCGTGCTTGATTTCGTTGTTGTAGTGCTGCTCTTGCGGGTCGTTGTAAGCGTCGTGCTGGATCTCGTTGTCGTGGTGGTCGCTGCAGCATTGCGCTTGGTGAGGTACTTGGCCGAACAGAAGCTTTGAGCGGGAGGATACTGGTCGAGCGGCTCGAGAAGAGCTTGCAGCCCTTGGGTGCACTTTGGATCAGTGGCGTATGCTAGCATGCACATTTGCGCGAGCAGTATTAGGATGATGTTCATAGTCAGCATGTTGGAAGAGTGAGGTGTGTTGTTGGCCGGTTTCTCTTGTCTTTTGAGTCGCTGTGAGGATAACAAGGGCAACGAAACTCACACGGCACTTCACTTATATGTATCTCACGCCAGAGAGAAAGTGCGGTCAACATGGTGTACACCACGCTGAGCATGAATATGGCAGCTTGTGCGACATCAAACCACCACCAGAAGAAGCCCAATGGGCAGCTCTGGGCGAGTCGGATATGCTGCAGCGTAAGACTCGCTTATGTAGGTGATGGTCTTAGGCCCGTCTTTTTGCCAGCCGAAACGACCACTGCGTACGGTGGACCACACTATTTGACCGTGGTAGACCATGACAGGTGTCACGCCTACTGTGCGGGAGGAGAAAGGATGCATAGGCGGGCAGTATGCCGGTGGTTTAGCGAATCATTCACGCATCAATGAATCCAACTAGTCCAGAATAATGGTTCACAGCCAGCCACAGTCCCGCAGATCCGGCCACAGTGAGCTGCATCTTTGCCGCTCGCCAGCGCAACAGGCTGACAGAAGGATGGTCAGGCCGTAGAATGTTCGGGCTCACAACACGCAGGTCTTACAATCGTAGACGGAAGGCGTTCCCGTGCTGTGCGAGCTCAACTCAACGGTAAGGAGAAGGACCTCACACTGCTAGGACTCTTTCGCTTCCGGGTCGTCAGTGACCATCAGTATTAGTACACTGGGTAGCACGATGGCGAGTGTGATTCTTGGTTATCGAGATGCCTTCGTGATAGCCAAAGATATCATGTTCATGTCATGACGATTGCTGTGACATTCGAAGAATACCTTACATGTACTCCTCGACACGTGAAGGACACGCTAAAAAAGCATCGCGTAAAGTGCGGCGCGTCCTCTGTTGAATATTATGTGAAATTGAACATACGTTGGGGCAACTTCTCTCTAGAATCATCTGATAAGACGTCCTGGACAACTGATTCACAGCAATCATCAGGCTATGGATCGCCAAGCTAGCCAGTCAACACCGCCACTCTTTGGTAATTACCTGCGGTTGGTCACAATGTCCAGAACGCCCACCTCGCTTGCAAGTTATGAAGCCGATTTAGACTTAAGCAACCTTTTCTTCAGTGCTGCTGCGCCGGACTGACTCCAGACTGGATCCGTGGAAGGAGTACTGTCACCAGCTTGAGGTGCAATCGCGGCAGGCAATGAGTCTCCGCCATTGATCATGCGATCCCGGACTTCTTCTGGCAGACCTGGTGCCTGGCCCTCTGCGGCGACTTCGCACACAAACCCGTCAACCGCACGGTCGTGATGAAGCACAAATCTCGCGCCACCCATCGTCTCCTGCCCAGCTCTGACACACTCGATCAACGACTTGATGGATGCGACCAGACCACGAATGATGCCTTGATTCTTTTCTTGCCAATCTGTAACGTCCGACAGTACGTCTTCGTACTTCGTGATGGCCCGCCCTTCCACCACGTCCTGGAACTCCTCCCATGGCAGTGATTCTCCCCGCAAGACGCTGCTTGGATTAGCCCACACGAAATTCGCGGTCTGTGAGAGCCACAGTTCTGGCTTCTTGTCTGTGTAGAATACTGTGTCATTCCCTCTTTTGAGGTAGTACTCCAACACACGATCTATGGGCATCATCTTCCCATCCGCATTGACTCCCACAGTCTCGAAATTGCCGATCTGGAGAAGGACACTCCTCTCGCCTCTCGGCGAGGATGTGTCGGTCAAAGACTCGGCTCTCCGTCTATACCGTCCACTGGGTGTCGAACCAAAAGCTTAACGTCAGCGAGGGTGTAGGTAACGATGCGACGATACGACAGGTCGCCTTTGTAGTCTGCTTACTTGTAGCGGAAGTACTTGGCTTCGAAGTCGGGGCGACAGCCAATGAAATGATCGATCAGCTTTTTTGGCTTGTGCTCCGCCCGCATGATCAGGACAGTGTTGCCAACGATCTCAACATCCCACGTCCAACTGAGCGACTCTCCGGTCGACATGCCCATGAGGCCCTTGCGTTGACTACGATCGGTAATGATGTCAAGATCCTTGAAGTCGTGCTGAGGCTGCATGGTAAGAACGGCGCACAGAGCTGGGTCCAGTGGAGATTGGTTGGGTGCCGCCTGGTCACCGTATGTGCAGTAGCCGGTACTTCCACGCAGCGCAGGCGGCACCCGTGGCGGCTGCCATACACGTGGCATTCCTGGTCCATGTTGGCAACTGGGCAGTAGGGAGTCAAAGTGACTTACCTGGAACCATGATTGGGAAGCATCGTGCATCCTGCTGCTCATTGGGATAGCCGTAAGAAGCTACAACCTTGAAGTCTTGGATGCCGACAAAGTCCGGATCAGGAGCTGGTGTGTCCGACATACCTTGAAGAACTGCGGCAATGTATGACCATCAGGTTATCTGGAAAAGGTGTAGACATCTTAATGGAGTGCCTCTACTTGCTACGGTCACACATCGAGCGCAGTGGGCACAAAGCCCAGCAAACCGCGTAGCTCTTTAGTCGAAGAAGCGCCATCATATCGGTGCCTCCGGCGAGCAAGCAGACCTCTCTCCATACGTGAGACACAGCGAATGCACACACACATGGAAGCACCATACCCACCCCCTCACTCCGCCTCAATCCTCCCCTCCCTCTCACCCCTCTCCCTCCACACCCTGCCCAACTCCCCTCCATCCCGACAAACATGCACCCTCTCCGTCTCCCCCAAATAAGCCCACACATCCCCACTCTCATTCCTCACCGGCTTCAGAGTAACAGGCGTCATATCACCATGACACAACACCGCTTGCCTCAACTGCTCAAGACAATGATCGATATGCAAATCCTGATACTCCTTCTTTCTGCCGCTCATGCTGGGGCCGTAGTAGTCCATGTGTAAATGCTTGCGGAGACCGTTGATGCAGTGAAGGGAGTGGAGCATATCTGGGCCACCGTAGAAGCCTTGTTCTGGGATCAGTGGGTTGCGGGGTGAGGGGGTAAGGGATAGGAGAGGTGGTAGGTCGGGGTCGTTGTTGAGCCAGTCGACTTCGGAGTCGGTGAAGCGAACGTAACGGCCGTATACAAGGTCGTGCCATGCTGCGTCTACTTCTGGCGAAGGTTGTCCAGTGTAGCGCCGCCCTTTGTTGTCGAGTGCGGGCTCAGGGACGTAGAGGCCATTGCCGTCTGGTGTAGCTCGGATAGCGCCACTAAAGCGGACCTCATGGGTTTTGATGTGCGGTTGTAGGTATGCTGTAAGAGAAGTCAGTTTAAGCGGTCTAAGAGAGAGGCGCAGCGCTGCTTGAGACTTACCAAGTTCTGTGCTCTGGTTGTCGTGTGTGATCGAGGTGGCCAGGAGGTACGAGCTTTCCATCAGCAGGATGATAAGCAGGATGCCGCAGAGATATGGCCAGAAGGATAGGCGAGTGATCGAGTCTCGCGAGGATTCGATACGACTGTTACAGAAATCAGGAGAGGAATCCTCCTTTGGCTCATCATCACGGAGAAATGGCACATCCGCTCCAGCTTCTGTATCCTGCATTGTCTGGTGAGTAGCCCTCATTGTGATAGCGTCTCGTGTATCGTTAGGATGTAGACTGTCGGGCGTGTGTATGTTACGATAGAAATCGGAGCAGAAAGAGTTGTACGTCCTGCCGAAACTCTTTAAGCTGTGTCAAATGATGTCCTCCTCGATTCCTGTGTCTCTCGCGCATTGGCCTGGCAATCACTCACAAGACTGTATGACCAACAGTGGAAGAATCAGCAAAGATGAAAGCCCTTGTGGGCCACGGCTTTGTCACCCAGCAGCATTCACGTCCGACGATAGCCTCTTCACAAAACTTCTATCCAGCTTGGCCACCCTGATGTGCAGAGCACATCATGCCGCGTCGATCTGTGAATCTCCGTTTGCAACGGCCATGAAACGTGGAGCCAAAGCGGATCGACGTGCTTCCGGACTGAGGCGATTCGGAAGGCACGCCACGTGCAGTCACGTGACTGAGAAGCGGCATTGTCACTAATCTGCCAGATGTATCACAGCGGTGATGTACACCTTGTGACCATACGCGCGTCTGTCTTTCGAACCGGCCTACTTGAGCGTCACTAACTCGTAACATGCAGAGCGATCATCGCGAAGCAGCCACATCACCCTCCGGAGCATCAAGCCTGCGCGTCCCGCTCTGCTTCTCCGCCTCTTCCACAGGCCTTCCATCAGCATCGGCAACAATGACATCGCCATCTGCATCCTTCGCCTCAGCCTCTTTCGCCTGATCTTCAGCCTCCTTAGTCTTCTCCGCCTCCTTCTCCACATCAGCAGAATCCTTACCAGCCTCACCAGCATGGTCTTGCCGAGCTTCCTGCATCTCAGCATCGGCTTGTAATGCAGCTAGTACGTCGTCCACGCGCTGTTGAGTAGTGGGTGTATCAGGATGGCGCTGAGCAGCGGCAGGTGGCGACTTCGCTCTGCCTGCCGCTGCTTCCATATCGAGTGCGACTGCACCGATTTTATGCTGCTGTGGTCCCATGTCTTCCATACCGATCTCTTCTGGTCCTCGTGCGTGTGGTGTCTCTTCTGGTGATCGGTCGTCCATTGCGATGTCTGCTGCCGTGTCCCTGGGCACGTCGGCCGCTGATGCTGATTCGCGACCTACAGCTGCTGCACCACCAGAGATTAGTGATCTTCGCGGAGCAGCTTGTGAGACGGGTACCACGCCAGCTTCCTGCTCCTGCCGTAAAAGCTCTCCTTGTGTGACGCCGCCCTGCTGCCGTAATTGCGCGTCAGTTGACTCGAGGCTGGTACTACTAGACGAGCTCGCGTCAGACTGCTCGGACAATGTTGGAGAGGATGGCGATGTGTGTGAGTTGCTGGCCGTGGTCGATGAGAAGCCGTTGACGGTGACAGACACAGTCTCGATGCTGCCTGCACCATGTGGTCCATCGATCGTCTCCGTGCTCTCACTGTGCAATTCTCCGTCCTGACCAGCACCGTTGCCATTCCCCGTCAGTGGCCCACCGTTATTCCGTAGCCATGGTATAGGTGTCAACAGAGCTCCACCCAGACTCTCATCACTTCCCAGACTATCTCTTTCGGAAGGCTGCGTGGTCTCGCCGTTGGTCAAGAAGTCGCCATTCTCTGCATTCGCTGCCGCTGTGAGCTGAGGGAGCGGGAACTCCGAAGCGGGTGAAGTGACGGAGACCGTTCGATCCAGTGCTCGTAGGTAGGCTGGCAGGAAGCGGTAGTGTTTTCGTGGGTAGAGCACGAGCTCTGCTAGTCGTTGAATGGTATATGGCGGGCTGCGAGAGAAGTTCTGCTCCAACATGCGAGTTGAGTAGTGGTATGAGCCCAGCAGATCTGGCGGCAGGGTGCCTGCTGGCGTTTCTAGGCTATCCGGAGGCTGGACTGCGGACTGTGTGCGATTGACCTCGAATGCAGCTGCTGGGGGTGGCCTAGCTGCTAGCTCGGCAGGCTCATCGTTCTCTTTCGTGCTGCTCTGACTACCGGCCGGTGGCTCGTTCTCGTCTGCGGTAGGCAAGTCATGGGCTCCGGGCTCATCGTGGTTGCTGAGAAGTGCTGGTGGGGTGGAGGCAACAACTTCGGGATCGATCGTTGATGGTAAGGGTACAGGCAGAGGTATGGTCGGTATCGGGAAGTCGTTGTATACAATCTGGCGGCATGTCAGCTGGATGATGGTCGAGATGCGAGCAAGCAAGGGCAGCAGACATTGTGCAGCTTCTGGAGCACACTTTCGAGCACGCGAGGCCATTCTGCTCTGTCTTCTGTCAGCTCTGACGCCTTATGCAGTACTTTGACTTATCTCACATATCTAATGAGCCATCGCGAGCTGCCTCTTCCAGTAGCGCGTCTGTAGACATGGTTGTGGTTGTGATATCCTACTCGGCGCAAAGCTGACGTTTTGCTTCGACGTTTCTCGAATGACGCGCGAAACGCGAGCTGCAACCGCCGCCAAGCCACGAGATGGGAAAGACCAGCTCGATCTTTAGTGATCAAGTACAACGCAAATAACAATGCAGTCTCTCTCGCTTACCAGATTGCTATGGGTTATCAATTGTTCGTGCTTGCGGTGTAGCTGTCAAGATCGTGGTCTAGATGCAGCACGCAATCCAACCATGGGCCGAGCACTTCTCGAGCATGCAACATACTACTGCAACGATGTGCAAAGGTAGTCAGATTGCACGACGAGAAGGTGAGCATGATGATTGGCATCGGCCACTGAGGTGTGCAGGCAGCAATGCGAGAGCCCGTTGTAGTGGGTCGGTGGTCGTGGAATAGAATTATGACCTTATATCATATCACAGTGAAAGGACATGTCCTCACATGAAGGCTGGGCTGTACGTGGATGTGGTAATCGGGAGTATCAGTGCATGGACGCAAGCATTTGCGCAGAACATAGCAAATTGGGGCGGAGGTGAGGTGCGAGGTTTGAGGGGCAGACGCATAAGTAAGCATACTGGTGGCGACATGGTCAATAATGCCAGCGGTGTGTTATAATAATAAGCAGTATGAAGCGGGGAAGCGGCCAGCTGACAGGATGACAGTGGCAAGCGTGCCGAAAGCGACAGCGACGGCGACGAGCTTGGCAGGCAGAGGGTAAAGTTCACGAGTAGGTTGGGCGGCGGCGACATGATGCATTACATGGGGAAGATAGTGAGTCGGTAAGCATAGAAGGCAGCAAGCAGAATTGAGTGGGGATACGTGTGGTGAAGACGGTGGCAAAAGGTCAGCGATGACGAGGTGGCAAAGCCTCCAGTATCGAGTGGTGGGCTCGATAGCTGATGGCCTAGCTACCCCAATTATTCTCCGCCGTAACGACTACAGACAGTAGTAGCGCTACATCCCCGTACCACTATGCTAGCGATAGCTCTCCAAAGTCCGCCGCGACCTGGTATGCCGTAGTCGATGGCAGCGAGATATCTCCATCCCCGTGACCCTCCACCAGCAATATCGTCTCAACTTCCTCCCTGCCATACCCAGTACCCATCCATGATGGTGAGGTCCTCCCTGCCTTTCCCCTCCGTCCCCTCCGCCAATGATGGTTAAACCCTCTGCGTCCTCCCTGCCATCCTCTCCACCCTCCTTCCCACCCCCTCCGCCAATGGTATCCAGTATCCTCCAATCCTGCCCGAAGGCCGTCCGCGCCGTCTGAGCGGCCTACAACATCCTGGTGAGGAATGCGTAGAGCGGGATTGTCCATCGCAATGCGTGCCGAAGCACCGCAAAATGACTGTCATGGTAAAACGATTGTGCCGCCTCTCATCCGTTCGCAGCAAGATCGCACGCGGTGTGGAGAGTCGTTTCGGCGATTGTCCATCCTTGTTCTTTCGTCATCAGGGTCCTGCATCGTCGCGCTGTTTTCGACACGTCCACTAGACCAAAGCAAAGCAGCGAAGTGAAGTCGGCGATCGAGGGGAGTGACGGTGTGAGATGGGACAAATGAGAGTGGCCTCTGGGCGAGCGAGTGTGGTGGCAAGCTGCCGTTATGCGACTCCGAAGCGATTGTGGTGGTGTCTCACAAAGGAGAACACCGGGCGACAAAAGCCAAGGTGGTGGAGTCGGAGTAGAGGAGGGCGGGCTCTACTTGGGGAGTGGGATCCTATTGGGACGTCAGCATGGATGAGATGATTGTTTGGGTGGATTGTGGACGAACCGGCGGAAAGCGTCCCTGTCGCTGAAACCGACGAATTCCGTCCGCGATCTCCAGGTAGACGTCCAATCCTTAGAAGGGAGGAACGACACATCCAGGTCCGATGGCGACGGACGGGGTGCTGGCTGTCGCCTCACCTTCCTATGGAAGCGTCTGAACCATGCGCCGAGCGGGTTGTGGATGTAGAGGCCACAGAAGCGTGTCATGGTGTAGTCGGGATTGATAATGTTTAATGGTATCGAAAAATTGGTCTTGGTGAGCTTTGAGTTCACACGATAATTGAGGAGAGAAGAAGAAGAAGAAGAAGACGGGAATGGGGACCTCACCAAATACTTATGCATGGGTCTCTTGTCTGCAATCACACCAGACGACCGATCTCGCAGCAAGTGAATGCTTACCCAGAAAAGTATCCCAAATCACGCATGTGAGTTTGGCCTGCTGCCGGGGGATATCGTAACTCAATGTGATCTTGCCGTATGGGATATCTTTGAATTGCTTACTCAAACTACATCTCATTCGAAAATCATGAATTTCGATTTGCTGACACGCAATATCAGAGCTCAAACCCACTGTGTCTGTCTGGGATACTTTTCGAAGCATCTCCGCCCTCCCGACCAATTGTGACCTGCTGATGGGCAGTGTGATAACTGCAAAATCACACGATCGTGATGAGAAAGTACTGCTTGCGAGAGGGGTCGATATGGGTCCACATGTGATCGATTCTCGGAGCCATGGTGGCGTGCTTGTGATCTCAGAGAGTCCGCCATGCCCCAAGCGTTGCTCCGACCCAGATGGGACTGCACTGGGCGTAAGGGTTGGACAACGCTTAAGCTCAGTGTAGTGGCGGACAGTACGAGGACTTTCAATTCACAAACAGCAGGATCGATGAAGACGTGAAGCGCAAGCTCGACATGAAGTCGCGATAGAGCTTTGCGATCTGTCTCTCAGCCTCGTGGCGTTGCCGACGCTAGATTGCTAGAATTGCCGTCTTGAGCCGAACAGTCGGAACCGAACACTGCTGCTTTGAAAGCTTAATTGCGGTCTCCTTTCTTCTTCATGCTTGTAACATATCATATATTGAAACTTTACATCATCAATGCAAAGACGCTGTGCAAATCAGGAGCTCGATATGAGCCAGTTCATCCTGTTCGAAAGACTTTACGCCATGATCGCACGCAGGCATCTCGCTCAACCCATTGGGTCCTTTCTTCAATAACAAAGACCTACAGGTACAAAGATAAGTAAGGCCAGAAATTAGTCATTTATAAGAACATTATTTCTTTGTCAAGCCAGAGAGCTTATGGGCCTATGCCTCGATCACCTCGAACATGCAGTCATTTTGTGCCTCCCTCGATCCATCGATCCAATCCCAAATCATCATTTATTGCCACCCACTGCGCTGGCAGGTCCGCGCAATATGCATCCGCGCAAGGAAACATACGACAATATGCCGGAAAGCACGAGACAGGAGTCCAAAGGTCCATGTCTCGAATATGGCTGCTCGAAGTTTGCCTCTTTCCAGGATCCTGAGCTGAATGGCATCAGTGCTGACCTACGAAACCAGATCCATCCTATCTTCCATCTTAACAAGTTTGCCGACAACATGGACTGCGATGTCTTGGAAACGCCTCTCCGACTGGCAACAAGACTTCTGCTGAGTGACAAGCTGGTCCCGTTCATCAACACGATCACTGGTGGGGTGATAGTAGCGCTGGACGGTCCACTTGCTGGTCAACTGATCGATAGCATAGAAAAGGTCTGCGCATACAGGGAGAATGAGTTTGGTGGAGTGGACATAGGTTCAAATGCATGTGCTTTCTACCCCAAAGCCGCCGATTGCAATCCGGGCATTACCGACACACAGCGACAAGCCGCCCACCATGCAATCGATAGACTCGAGCCTTTGATCGATTATCTCGCGGCAGGAAAACAGCTTTCGGTGTCGGCCGCAAGGGTGCTTACATCGAGTGGTCCCCTCACCAAGACTATGACCTCACACTGGCCTGACGGTCAGATAATGAAGATCGCAATCGGCGCATGCTACGATCAGCTCAGTTCGAAGCACTACGCCTATTTCGAGACAGAGGACCTGTACCGGACATCAGCGATGGCGGAAGCTCTTCTCATGGAACGTATCATGTTCGCCATCGTCCTGCTGCATGAAATCGGCCATGCATTTGGTAATGCTGCTGGCGGTGGCCGTGGCAGAGCTGAGCCCTTCTACAAGGGTAGCTTTATTTCCGAGCTTGGCAAAGAGCTAGAAGGTGAGCTTTTTGGCGGCTCTGTTACCAACAGTAATTATGTGCACCAGCAGGAGATGTGCGTTCATCAAACCGAGAGCTCTAGCCGACGGCGATGCTTCACGGTGATGGACTGGCCAGGAGCTTACTACATCAATACATATACCAAGCAGGGCCAACTCAACTACTATCCCCGTCCGTGGAGGTTCGACACGATGTGGCGCATCCCCATGGCCTGGATGGAAAAGCTTTTTACCACGGAGTTCTGGGACAACGAGGTTGCTTCGCATGGTGTGGCTGCTCTTGAGCTCCCCAGCACTATGGGCTGGACTTTCGCCGATGATCAGCATTTGGGAGGGAATGAGCGTGACTCCCCGCTGCGAGCCGTGCGCAATGGTGATCCTTTGTTGCCGAAGCTTGTGAGGAGAGAGGCTAGGAGGGCTCACATTCATCCTGAGGCGGATCACTACGCACCACTCTGATTGAATGGAGTGGCCAACGACGACCGGCATGACACTTACAGCCTCATGTCTGGTATGATCGACTGTGAGGACTGGGGTATGGATGGATGGCTGGGATGTGATCGATTCGATGGGTAACGCTTGGGGATTATCCCTCCATGAGGGTAAGGAATGATGATTACTAAGCTGGTCATTGATGGTATCCCAGACTCCTAGTAAAGTCGAGGCGTGTCTGGGTGTCCTATCTCAAACCTACGAGGTGGATGGTGCAAGATATGTCGTGCTTGAGCGGAATCTCGTGCCTAGGCTTAGAGTTTGGGCAAAGGTCGTTGCTGATGCGTCAGTGGCCATGTGTGCCTTCGATGCTAGGTAGACTGTCGGAACAAGTACGTTCATCCCTGTGTGCCGAGACGCACTTCAAAGCGAGACTACATCTTCTATTCCATCCAATCGATGTCTGTCAAAGCTCATGTAAGGCTGATTGTCATCAGGGGCCATTACAGTGCTGCTGATCAAGACACACGGATGTTCCTAGCTCCACTCGACCGATCATGCTACTACAATTTAATTGCAAACACATCTCGTTGGATTCTTATGCAGCTTCAAATGGAAGGTTATGAGCTACGATGATCTTGTAGCGGCACAAGGAAAGAGGGAAGAGAAGGAAGCTTTGAAGTGGCAAGCGTTAAGGAAGCGACGTCGAAGGCGCGGAAGTGAGGCAGCATGTGTTGAGAGCATGGGAAATGAATCATATACGTCAAATGGCAATGAAAGAAGCTCGTCTCAAGTGGTGAAGTTCGTCGCGCCGAGTGCTCATATGTATTAGTGTACCAACAGGGCAGCTAGGTGAATGGGGCAATGTTTTGTAGTATCTCATGGGTGATCAGTATGCACAAGCTTCAATTGAAGTGGTTTTACTAGACTCTCGAACCTTCGTGGTAAGGTTTCCTTTTCCAATTTTGATTCGAGCCTTAAGTCCTCCAACATGTTCAAAAGCTGACCTGATAGATTTTCCTCGCAACTTCTCTCGTAGCTGTCGTCCGAATCATATCCACTTACAACTACGTCTTCAGCCCCTAAGTTGAAGCTATGATCGGAGCCACTCCAGTAAAAGTCTTCGTCAAAATTGTTGACACCAGCCGACAGTTTCACGTCCTTCTGACATACATTTTGTTGAGCAGATATCGCGCTCTCGATACGCTGTCAGTGTTGTTTGACCGCCGGCATTATAACGTGTTCGTGCCAGTTGGGTGCTTTGCGAAGATCGTCCAAATTCCAGATGCCAACTATCTCTGCAGGAGTTACTTCCCAAATGCACAGATAATGGTTTCGCCAATAGTCTTTTCCATATGGAACTTTCACCTGATAATGGGTCATTTCCGCGCCGCAATGCAAGATTGGTAAAGCAAGCTCGATTCGAAGGCGTGGGTCAATCACCACAATACATTGGAGGCTTCTTGCTGTCCTTGTGCGACGGTAATCGGCCAGTTCCTCAAGGTCTTGAGGACAATTAGTGAAAGAAATGTAGGGGGCGTCTTCCCATTTCTTGTGATCAGCATGTGTCTCCAAGGTCTTGATGCGAATCTCTTCCTTGTCCAGCCGCATCCTAGCACCTCTTGCCAACATACGAGAGCTCTCAGGACATGGTTCACTTCCTGACATTGCGTCGTAATATCGCATCAAGGCACAGTCCCAGAGCTGATCAAGGACGGCACCTGAAAACAAAGTCCTTTGAGCAGGTGCCCATGTTCTTGACCACAGACGCTTGTCTTCAGCAGAGGTGAAAGTTGATTGTTAGTCGGGACAAAGAAGAGATCTCGCGACTCCGTGCGTGAGTGGAGGCGTGTCCATGTCTCCTGATATCAGCTTCGAGAGTGTTGTTGGGCCTTCTACGCACGTCCAGACGAATAAGACTGCACAGAACAGGTACGGACGGTAACTTGAACGGCCTTTCCTTGTGCACAGCCTTCACAAAGTCCAGCCATATGTCATTCAATACCCTTCAGAAGCTCTAACTACCTGTGTTGACATGCTGGCAGTCTGAAGAGCCTACATCTTGCACACAAAAGAAGAAGACCGATGGTACTATCAACGCCTCGATTCCCCCACTTGCCAACCCTGGTTGCGCCAGGTTGGCCAAGGAGCCAATTAGAGCTTGTAGCCTGTCACCCACATTTGGCTCGCTCCCTCGCCAACTTTGTATCACTTGCCTCCAGACGCGATAACGATCGAGCAATTCACAGTGCCACATATCATGAACACCGCTATCGCTTTCCATGCTATTGCGCTCTCAATCGAATGCGGGACCCTGTCGTGAATCCGAATTATCGATGAGTTAGGAACAGGAGATTGCTGGTCCGCAAGTGACTGCAAGAAGATAATGAAACAGTGCAGGACGCATGTATGTGCTGTCATGTGGCTGAGAGCACGTCTCTGAGGACATTAAGTAGATGGAGGAAGGTCATCGACCTATCTGGCTCTCCTAAGGCCCGGTCTTGATCGAGCATACACTGCATCATGGCTCTGAATTGCGAAGACTGTGACCGCACCTTTGGCACAAGGAGAGCGCTTCAGCAACACCTGCGGGACTCGCCAGCTCACCCCGCCACTTTCGACTGCAACGAGTGCGATCGCGCTTTTGACACAGAGCAGGCTCTCCGGCAACACCTGCGGGACTCGCCAGCTCACCCCGCCACTTTCGACTGCAACGAGTGCGATCGCGCTTTTGACACAGA